TCTTGCGCAGTTTCTTCCTGCATAACTCTCTAATCGTTTAGTTAGCTAGCCGTCTAATTAGTTTATGCACTTAGTTTATCTCTAAGATTATTTCTAGTATCTCTTCTAATCTTATTAGTTTGCTGCTCTTCTAGGTATAATCTATCCTTAATAAGGAGGCCTAGATTATCTAGCTCGCCGTTGTGTAGAATATTAGTAACCTTAAGCGCTAATTTCTTTTCTATATTCTTATCGTTCTTTCCTTAAAAGAAATAACTTTTGTTAAACCTAATATTACAAGTTGTAATAACCTAGTTAAGCAAAGAGATCTATATTCTATAGATATTTAAAGCTTAATAGCCTACTAAGTATCTAATATAACCTCTAGGATTAGTTTTAAAAAACCTATGTCTTATACTAGCTGCCTAATCTAAATTCAATAGATAAGCTTAATAGCTATATGTATATATACTACTCTAATCTAAGCGTAGATTAGCTGTTCTTAATTAAATAACTGCTAGTTTGTAGTATCGTAAAGTATTATTAAAACTAGGAATTAAGAACCTTATTTAGTAATTAATATCTATGCAGTGCTGTTAAGCTTATTCTATAAAGCTAAGCAGCTGCATCTAGTATCTCTAGCTAAAGCTTATTAGGCAGATTTACGCTTATGCGCATCTTTATTGCCTTTGTAATTATTTTCTATCCTGCACGCTTAGCTAAGCTATTTAGCTTATAAGTATAAGATAGAGTAGCTTTAATAGCGATTCTATTTTTATCTGCTTATTCCTTAAATCTTAATTATCTTCTCTACAGTTACGTTGCCTAATTACTGTCTTAGTATATCTCTATAATTAAAAGGTTGTATTTTGTTCTTACTCTCTAGTAGTACCTTTTAATAACTTTTATAATCTTAGGCAGCGACTTTAATAGAAGATTATTATTCTTAATCTTTCTAGAATAATTATCCTTTATTAGCAATGACTATTGCTCTTCTAATTATTCTAAATGCATATTAAATAGGTCTTATAAGATCTAATAGAAGAGTTAAGATAATCTCTCTTTTAGTCTTCTTAAGATTACCTGTAAGGCGTATGCTGTTGCATAATATTTATAATTAATCCTTCTAATACTAGTGATTTTAACGTTTTATGCATATTTAGTTAGAGCCTGCAGTGCCTTCTATCTAAGATAACCTAATCGTTAGTGCTATATTTGCTTATTATTACTTCTATTTTGCAGATAATATAATCTTAGCATAGCTCTTCATAATAGTAGAGACTAGAGAATAGAAAGACTTAATTAATTCTAAGAAGTTAAGGTTATACTTCCTAATAAGCATATAGAGTAACTTATTCTTAGATAGGTTACTATATTAGAGAGTTCAATCCTAACTAGTATACTAGACGTTTCCTTAATCTTAAAGTCTTGCTTCTAAGATAATATTAAGGTAGAAACCTTTAATAACCTTTACGTTAGTAAGTATAAGGTCTACTATATATAGCCTACTTAGTCTAATTATAAGGTTTCTTATAATCTAAGTACTAACACTATTAATAGGTAAGTATTAGGTTTCTGCCTTAACGTACTCTCTATTTATAGCCTTAATAAATATTCTCTTTTTAATTAGACTGTGATTATTTACTAAGTAGACGCATACTCTACTATTAAGGATTATAGATTAGTGCAGTAGGTGCTAATTAAAAGTAGTGCTATAGACTTCTAGTAACTCTTTTATAAAGAGAGTTAGATTAATTAAGCTTACTTAAATAGCAATAGAGTAATCTTTATCTAATCTTTTCTTTCTTAGAGTAGTAGACTAACCTAACTTTTTAATCTATTTACAGAGATCTTGCTATTTAGGCTTATTATACTATTCTAAGATCTTTTTCTTATCTACATCGTTAAGCTTAATTAGATTGCTAGGGGCTAATTCTATTACTGCTGTTTAAAGCTTAAGACAGGTAATTAGTTTCTAATAATAAAACTTATCTAATTAGAGCTTTTGCAGGTAAGACCTAATGCATAGGCATACTTTTAGGCCTTTTTTAGTTTTTCTAGTTAAGCTGTTTTAAGCAGTTTGCCTATTTAGAGTTAGTACTGCAAAGATTAATAGTCTCTTTTCTTTTCTAGCGTTTCTAGATTGCTCGCTTAGCATAGCGTTAAACACTATAGCAATATTATCTACATGATTATATCGTTCTTTCCTAGAGATGCTCTTTTTATAACTTCTACTCGTTTCTGTTAGGCTTATTCTAGAGCGTATTTCGCTATAATTGCCTTAAGAAAGTTAGTAAGAGCAATAGTCTCTTTAACTTCTAGGACGTTATATGTCTAAGCTTAGGCATAGAGAGTTTGCTATTTATTAAACTACTTCTCTAGCCTAATCCTGCTATGCTTAGCTTTATCTAGGTAAGCTTAGTACTCCTATCTAATTTAATTCTAAGTTATAGCCTTACTTAGGGCTAGCTAATCTTTAAGCAGTTTAAGTTGTAATTAGAGGCTTAAGTTATCTGTTTAGAAAAGCCTAATTTGTACTAGCTTAAGAAGGTCTAGTAAGACTGTTTTTATAATCTAGTCTTAAAGATTTGCAAGTATAGTAGCTTTTTAAGACTATTTAGCAGTAAGAACTTTCTATTATTAGACTCTCTTATTATAGTTGAGCTAACAAAACTTCGTAGGCTTTAATATCTTTAATATATTCTTATAAAGACTTTTCGTAATTAGCTTTCGCTTATATTAGTAGCTCTAGCAGGAGGATCCTTTAGCTTAACTAGCTTAGTAGATAATCCTAGGTATAGAGGAGCGTTATTAAGAAGATTAGGTTGCAATAGGCTATCTAGATTAACATAGTCCTATATTTGCTTTCTAATAGCGTAAACTTTAAGCTAAATGTACTATGCTAGCTAGTCTTTATAAGCTTAAAGAGTAACTATAGAAGAAAGTTTTGTCTAGTCTGTTTAGTCTATTTAGACTAATATCGTTAGGATAATTTAAGAGGTTTAAGAGGAATAAGAGTAGTAGAATAATTAATTTAAGTACTTAGCAAATATAAGATGCACAGTAGAGAATTAACTCTATAATTCTATAGCGCTGAGCTTATAACTGTTGTAGCTGAGCAAACTTAAGAGAAAAGATTATATTAATTACTGCTCTTCTAATGTATCAGAAGAGCTAGCTTAAATATATAAATAGATTATAGAGAAACGTTAGTCTACTTCCTAAGCTTAGTTAGCTTAGTTACGTAGATTAGTACTTCACTGTTCTCGTGTATTAATACTGCAACAATAGGTTTATTTAGAACTTAGTCTATAAACTTTCTAATAAGTGCTGTTAGTGCTCTTTAGTATCGTAACTAATAATAGCGTTGTAACTCTAGGCAGCTAGTAGCGTAGCCTTTTATTTCTTAAGAGACTAGAGATTATAGATCGTATAGTTCTTAAGCTACTATTTAATATAGATAGTGCATAGGCATATATTGTTAGTAATGCATATATTATCTAATAGGCTAGCTATCTTAGGTTCTTTAGGCTATATACCTACGCTAAAGCCTTAGCCTTATAGCGTAGAGCAGAATCTCTATTATATACTTAAACTTTCTAGCTAGAATAGGTATAAGTTAGGTTATAGTTATAGATATTTAGGTTATAGTTAAGTATATTATATAATAGAGTTAAAGTTAAAGTTAAGTATTATATAAGCAAAAATTTAATAATTTTTTTTATTCTCTAAAGCATCTATACTACTAAATTAAGTAATTTAGAAGATTAAATTTTTGCTTACATAATACTTAATTATATAGTTAAGTATTATATAATAAAATTAACCTAGGTTAACCTAGACTTAACTTTCTTATATAATACTTAACTTTAACTTATATAGTCTTAGCATTAACTTAACCTTAGTTAACCTATACTTAACTATACCTTAACTTATACCTATATATAAGTTATCTATACCTATTTGCTAGCCTGTAATTAGGCTTAAGGCGCTAACAGAAAAGTCTCTAAGTATAGGCGCAGCCTATATCTTAACAACTCTCTTACTTAAGCTCTAAGGTCTTTAAGCAACGTAATGCATCTTAACTAGATTTAGGTAGTTAGCGCTACTACTAAATAAGAGCCTTTTTAAAGTCTAGATATCTCTCTCTTGCAAAGATTTCTAAGTAACGCATATTAAGATAGTACTGCTTACTAAGATCTATCCTCTATTAAGGCAAAGAGCTTATTAAAACTCTAAATTTAGGTACTAAGAAGCTTATATTTAGTATTATACTAGTTATGCTAGTTAGCACTAATACTAAATAATAGCCTTTTTAAAGTCTAGATGCCTCTCTCTTGCAGACGTTCCTAGGTAATGCATGTTAAGACAGGACCGCTCAATGAGGTCTATCCTAAATTAAGTCAAAGGTTTTATCAAAACTCCGCTAGTGCGCGCTTCTGCCCTACGGATAAGCTCTGAAGTGCCTTGATATACGGCCAATGTGCTCGAAAGCGCTATGCTGTGCGTCTGCTAATCACTCTTCAGCTCTAGTCGTAAACATAGTGAAGACAGAAAAAAAATGTACTACAGGAAAAGCACCGGAGGAGATTTCCGCGAACTAAAGGGAAAGTTTGGGAATAACTACCGCAAATGATCCGAAGCAACTAACCCTAGGTAAGCGAGGCCAACGACACTGAATACTATACTATCTATACGTACGAACCCGGGCTCCGAGGTCTCGGGTCAATCCTGGCTATCGATAAGCTTGGCTTCCCTGAGTTTACGGGGTACTAACGGGCTAGCCCTCAGTCTGGTGGACTTGGGCATATCTTATAATTTCATGCGCTGGCCTTCACCTCCCCTGCAGCCTGTAGATGCCTGCCTATGTATCTATCTGCTTGCGTAATATACGACGAGGCTGCTCCTATTGAAGTGTAGCTGAGTTTATTGATTATGCCCATAGGTCTCTCTGCACTGTGAAGCTTATAACGCTGTATACAGGTATTTGAGGGCTGACACCTAGGTAAGATGTGAATATCTTACTTTCTTGGAACCTGCTTGGACCCGGGGTTACTGATGATAATGTTCCCGCTAGGATCTTGATCTTGTCGGCGCTTCTTAAAAGGATATAGCGTAGAAGATCTATACGCTGATTGTGAAGGCAGCTCGTAAACGCAAACCCTAAACAAACTAACTGCGAGTCATTAATAGAACATACACGGTGATATCCGTAACTATATTTATTGTGTAGGGAAATGGTCAATCTCCGTAAACGTATGATCATAAATCCTTGGAGGCTGTCTAGCATAGCAGCTAACAGCGAAGAGATGTGCAAAAGATACGCAAATGAAAGTTAAGCTATCACTTCACTTCTACGGTGTCTGCACTTCATAGCAAGCAAAGGCAGACAGATTGGGAAGCTTCAACCGACTGCAAGTCCCTACTGTAAGGGCCGAATTAATACGAGAATTAAATTGGCCGAGCAATTACTCCAGAACTCTGCTTACCTTCACAGCCTTCATGGCTGATCCGAGCGCTAACTTAGCCAGGCGGCTGCTCCGGAACGCTGCGTACCTTGACTGCAAGCTTCATGACCAATAAGAGTGTTGAATTGATCGGGAATTTGCTCCGGGCCTTTCTTTAGCGCAGCATGACAGACGGCCCGAGTATAGAAAGTACCGCAAACGCAACCACGATGGCCTGAGACTCTGTGATGGCCCCATTTGACTGTTTAAAACGAGCGCGCGTTCGGTCAGCGCTGCCAGTAGGAAGTAATGCCGATTGCTACAGTGACGGGTTGCTGCTTGTATAAGCAGTAGAGAGTAGAGCTGCTACATTACTGCCGAAATTGCTCACCAATGTTCCCCTCGATCGCACTGAGGGCGAAAGTTATGGTCGCTGTACCTTCAGCTAAAATCTCCACGCAGTCGGAAACAACATGTGTTCCTCTCTATCTGCCACGTGCAGCGCGCACTCAGCATTCGCAAAGAGCCCACAGCACTTCTGATGCAAGAGACCTCCAGCGTTCTCTCCTCTAACTCATTGTTTACTAGAGGGACCGGAGAATTATTACGGCAAGGCTTGTGCGATACTCAGACCTCTGTATCTGGACCTTGATCTTGTTAATCTCTGTCTTTAGGTAGTTGTCATGCAAGCTCTCCATAACGGGGACTGTTTTGAAGGTAAGAGAGGATACGAAGGCGGAAGGTAGAAGGCACTTAGTCCTGGTGCTTTGCTGCTTATTACAGAGCAATGACACCATCTAGGAAGCTGGCAGCCCCGGGCGAGAGGGGAGATGTGGGCGAGTGGAGGGTTCAGGAGCCTGGAGTGGTCGTGGCAGATGTCGTAGGCCCATCAGCCTTCTTCGGGGGCAGCTGGAAGTTCTACCTGGTGTCAGCATGTCTCCAGCATCGTGCGCATCTTGGAGACGCCTGACCTACCCTACCTACAGCCCGTCTCCTCAAGCCATGCGCAAGGCCGCGGCGGGTGGGCGCCCGCGCATGCCAGGGCGCATTGGTGGCATCCACATGCACGCTGAGGAAGTCCTGCAGCAGCATGTTGACGCGCTCGCAGACTACTATGGGGAATTTTTAAGCTGATCGAGGTCGCGCCTCTGCCCCATCATGATCAAGTGGTCCTTATTCCCATGGTGGAAACGTCTCGTTTATTTGCCTGATCTCGTTGGACACTCTCGACGCCGATGCCGACCTCGGTTCTAGCCGTCCCCGCTTGATGCAGCCGCCACACCTCGAACGGGATAGCTGGAAATTCGTCATTGACGGCAGCTACGATCTTGGGAGTTATATAATGCCAACGCCGCGCTGCGCAGATTTCGGAGCTTTTGCTATTTCATGTGAATCAAGGGCAACTGCCACACACCCTCGAAACTGCAGGCCGGAATTGAAGGAGCCCTTTGCGCGGGAGAACTAGCCTCTTCGGAATACTGCAGTGGAATGACTCGATGCATCAATTCCGACAATAATCTGCCATATAAGAGCTTGGCTGCGCCTGCGTGTAAAGGCCCATAGGTAACAAAATGTCGACCACATTTGACCTGGTGGAGGAAGAGAAAGAGCCCGCTGCAGGTGGCTCGACTTCTACAGAGGAACATGTCGTCTCGAGACCGACATCGGCACAAGATTATGGACAACTGGACATGGAAAAGCAAGAGCATGGTATCCATGAAGAAGCAGAAAACGATCGCAATCCTCTCTCTCGAGCAGTCACAACAGACTCCGTCATCCCTCCCCCACCTGACGGCGGCCTCCATGCATGGCTCAAAGTCTTTGGTGGCTTCTTCATATACGTGAACATCTGGTGAGTCTCCCACACTTCTCTCCACAACACCATACTAATCCTCCCAGGGGCTTTACACTGACCTATGGCGCCTTCCAAGCCTACTACCGCAACACCCTCCTACGCAATGAGACTCCCTCCGCCATATCCTGGATCGGCACCGTTCAGGCCTGGCTGCTCATTTTCATCGGCGTCATGTCCGGCCCCTTATTCGATCTAGGATATTTCCGCTCCATGCTCATCGTCGGCAACTTCCTCGTCGTCTTCGGCATCATGATGCTTTCCCTCAGCACCACCTACTGGCAAGTCTTCCTCAGCCAGGGCCTTTGCATGGGACTGGGTGCGGGTCTGCTGTACATCCCCTCACTGGCGCTGGTGGGCGTGTGGTTCGATAAGAAAAGAGCACTCGCGCTCGGCATTGTCATGAGCGGCATCGCCGTCGGCGGCGTCATCTACATCATCATGTTCGACCGCCTCACCAAGTCCGCTGGCTTCCCCTGGGCAATGCGCGCTATCGGCTTCGTCGCGCTCGTCGCTGCATGCTTGTCTATCCCCGCGCTCCTCTCTGGCTCGAAGATGCTCGCCACGAAGCGCAAGGCGAGAGCGCTGTTTGACAAATCAGCGCTACATGAGCGCTTGTTTCTCATCTTCACGGCTTGCAGCTTCTTCACGTTCCTCGGGTACATGGTGCCGTACTTCTACATCCCGACGTACGCGCGCGAGCGCCTGGGCTCATCGGACAGCTTGTCGCTGTACATGCTTGTATTTGCGATTGCGGGGAGTTTCTTCGGGCGGCTGACGAGCGGCGTGATTGCGCATTTCGCGGGCGCAATTGTGACGTGGATTCTGTGTGTCTTTGCGAGTGGCGTGTTGGCGTTGTCATGGATCAGCATCGAGAAGGAGAGCACGTTCATTGCGTTTTCGATTCTTTGGGGTGAGTCTGCTCCTCTCAAAGCATTCATTCCTTCGCATGACACAAATGTACTAACCACCCTTCAGGCTTCTTCTCCGCCGCCCTTGTCACCGTGCCATCCGCTGCCTTCGCAAACATCACGCCCGATCTCTCGCGGCTGGGTACGCGTCTGGGTATGTCGTGGAGCGTATCGAGCATTGCTTCGCTGATTGGCGCACCCATTGCTGGTGCCTTGCTGAAGAAGAAAGACGGGCGGACGGATTTCATCGGCGTGCAGGTGTGGTCTGCAGTGTGTTTGATGCTGGGTACGATGTGGTTGGTAGTGTTGTATGTCGTCACTGTGCGCACGCAGAAGAAGGGGTGGAGAGTGTGATGGGTGTGGTTGCTGGAGAGGATTACAGCAATGACATGACGATGCCGATGCTAGAATGCTTAGTGTGAGACGCTTTCTCTCCGTGTTGGTAATCGAATCGTTGTCGAAGCACGGCGTGTTGTCTAGGAGCAATTTCCAGAACATTTCCATCGCGTCGTACAGCCGCGAAGAATGGCACGACTGTTTGACGCTATGTTGGGCTATTTCGGCTTAAGGTTTTCGCTTTTCCTTTCGCTGACGGTGATCGTTGTCGAAGCAGAGTGTTTACCCAGCGACAGCTCCCATGACAGTGTCATCGCGTCGCACAGCCGTTTGGCCTCGCTTGCAGACCGGGTCTTTGGATTTCGTGTCGGACGAGGAAAACGCAGGTACGCAACATCTCCGTGGGCATCTGAAAGTATCCATTGTCAGTGATGCATGTGGTGGGCTTGATGTGGAGCACCGGACATGCAGGCTTAGCTCATGCTGTACCATCACCGTTACCGGGCAGGCACGACTGAAACAAACTGCCGTGATTCGGATTGGTATGTCGAGGCTTGAAACCAACATTCAGGAACCGTGCGATCAGCACTCTTAGGGAACCTGTTCGCGACGATCTCGGGATGTGGAGAGGGAGTGACAGTCATTGACTAGGGGCTTTTGGCTGCCCTTGACAGGGTTTGTCATTTAGGTACGGTTTCCGATGGCTGTGTTCATAGAGCCTTTGCGACTGGCTACAGTCTGCGATGTTTGTGTTCACGGAGCCCACGCTTGCTGGGCAGAGTCTTTGAGGCTCAGATTCGGACGGCCCTTGCCAGTCATGGACCATCCCTCCTCGGATCACGCGGAGATACAAGTATCGAGTTTCAGACGAAGCAGCCAATGGTTATACAGAGCATGGGTAGAGACTTATGGCAGCTGCCACTAGCATGTCTTGCATTGTAGCTATTACGAGTTCATTACTGCGCATGCTGCAAGGCTAATTGAAGTGAGCGATGTCGTGGACATGGTGTAACAGCGGAGACATGGCCAGGGTGGATGTGTGCCCTAATGCATTCCAGATTAGTGACCTTGTCGTGGTGTCATGCCATAGCTCTAAAACACATCAGGAATGTCGTTACACCTCTAAAGTGCGCCATCACGCCAAGGATCTCCAGTGTGCGACGTTTGATCTTAGCAGGATCATTAACCTCTCCGACATTCGTTCCGCAAAAGGAGCCAACGTCGATGGGTGTACGGTATGCTCATGTCCAGTACACGTGTAGAGGTGGGCCGTGATTTGGGTCTGAAGCTGTTCTCGACCCTGAGCATGCGGTCCATTACGTGTTGTGTCAGAAAAAGACGGACTTGTCTTGCTGAGCCCTGCCTTCCAAATGGCCGACGTGGATTCATGATATCTAGCCTCCGAAGAAGTCCGCCGTGTTTAGGTAACTACACTATAGGCGTCCGAGGCTATGAGAGGCTGGCCACACAATACGATGGAGGAGGTCTTGAGGCTACTGGACGCCCTCTGCCAGAGGCGATACGATGTGCAAGCGCCCTGTAGCGCTATAGTGTCTTCCCACATCGCTAAGCGCCTGGGCCTGTCGGCTCCGACAGCGAAGCTATGTGGCTTCGGTGGCACATGAGTGGAAGTGACAGGATGACCCACGAGCAAATAGCGGCGCATCGGATCACCGGGTGGCTGTTCATGAGCGTTTGGTGTGAAGGAACAAGCTGCGCACGGAAAGCGGTTGATGTAATAGCATGTACAAGGATGTCCACATGAAAAGCAAAATGTACCCCTGTTTAGTGCAGGCCGACCCATCAGTGCGGAAGAGATAGTGAGCGAGTGCATCTAAGATAACCGAGAAAAACCAACTACGCCCCCTGTCCCGGAAAACTTTCCTCTTTACTTCACGAAAACCAAACACACGCGCCGGCCGCCAACCGTTCTGTACAATGCTCCCTGAATGTTCCCTGCTCAACACCGTAAGCAATCCGACAGCCTGGGACACCTGACGCCACCAGCCGTAGCCAAGCCACGTTAATGATCACATAACGACGCGACTGGATAACGAAATGAAGGAATGTTAAACTACAGAATCTAAGCTCGCTAATACTGCTCGCTGTCAACAAGGATCTAGTGGGTCGTGCACATAGATCTTACCCTGTACATGTCAGATCCCACAATTAATGGCGCAGCCTGTCCAACAGCCGTCGTCTCTTTATCCATACGAACACTGAGCGTCATACCCATGTGCTCCACCCTATTCAAGCAGTAAGCCGCTCTCTCGGCAAGGTCTTGAGATCCGAATGTGGCAGTCGCTAGCCCCTTGAAAGCGCCGGTGCGGGTATCTCGGAGTAGCTTGTAATCCACGGGCTGACCGACAGTAAGAAGCAGACTGTAAAGGTCCGATGATGTACACTTGTAGCTCAAGTTTTGCAAGAAGATGCCTCGGGCTTCGGTCAAAACAGCCCCGTGTCGAACGTTGACCGGCATTCCATATGTGTTGGCGGAATAGACGGGCATTTGAGTTGGTGGCGCATAGCCCGGGTACATGGCCGGAATGTTGTAGGGTTGTGTCGTAGCGTATCCATACCCGTAGATAGGTTGGGCAGACACGTATTGTGGCGCTGTTGTTGGGGGGTATGTGGCTTTTACGCCGCCTGTCAGGTGACTGACTCTTCCCAGGTCAATTCCACAGCGACCTGCGGAATGGTTCCCGTCGGGCACTTCCAAAAATACCGTAGAGCAATTGCATCTGAGGATGCGAAATCCCTCGCTACTACGACATGTCTCCCATACATGCACCAACATGCCCTTCGACCTCGAGTAGGTTTCTGCACATTGGATGTTAGTTATGACTACAGTTCACAGCTGAGGGTTCAAGACATACTGTAGGCGGTATCTGCATCTTCTTTGTCTCTCAGTCTGGCCCAGCCTTGCATTTCACCGCGACGTTGACTTTGGCTGGAGTACACATCCACCCAACCTGGCTGCTCTTTGACCACTTTCCGAATGTGATCCTTGAACTCTTGCCATCCTGTCAAATAAGATGCACTGCGGGTTGAACCAGATATGACCAGCAGAAAGTCGCCATCTCCATCCTTCCAGTTGTTGCTGTAGGACATCGTGGTACACGTAAATGTCTGCGTAACGAAAACGATCCGACAGGTTGGTTGGTCCGGAATATGGAAGCACGTGGAGTCGAAATATAGCTGAGGCGTGTAGCTGAAGCTAGTTGCGCAAGATCCGAAGGAAGGATAATAATGTCCGGGGGGAATGGATGAGCGATAGTTAAGACTGTCTGGTATTTGAGGCAGGTACGACCAGGTTATACTTATAGTTGTGTAGTGAGGTTGCAGAAGGAAAAGGCTTTTTGGTTCATTTCAAGTCGGAGGAGACGTGCACACTACAGTGTATGGACCGTCGCCAAGCGCTTGTGCTGATGACTGAGTGGATGTATAGCTTCCCGTCATATGCTATGGCAAAGACCAATGAGGTGTCCCTGCTGTGATGGCAACTATGTTCTATCCGGACTAGTCTAGAGTATGTCGTCCCGCTTCCCCGGTGATGTGATTAGCCCTGAACTTCCCAAGAGGCCGCAGATATTTTGGGTGTTACACCTAGATCCAAGAAATCAAGCGACCATTGGCTTCGGGCAGCAAGTTCGCAAGACCGAAAGCGTGGGGTGTACATCATCGCAGCTAGCATTGTGTAGTTTAGCGTGCCAAGAGGATCTCAAACGTGCCCTTGCATGGGCCCTAAGATCGATCAACTAGACAGTTTTTGGCGTGTATCTGCAGCTGAAATGCAATCTGGTTCAGGTGTTGGGTACCGATCGGCTGGGTGTCCGTGTGCTGTTGCCACCATTTTGCGCCCCTTGCACCGGCTGGGAAAAGCACATCTGCATGCAATTCATTCCCGTAAGGCTACAATGGACAAACCGAAATTTATCGGAGAGGTGCCTTATGCCAGACAACTGAACATGATGCTTTTATCGAAGCCACTGACAATACGGGTGTGTTTCTGATGGCTTACTTGAAGGCACATATTGGTCCATCACTGCTCGTGGGGTTGGATCCAACGTCAGCGATATCAGTCGTGAGCCGAGAAGGGAATGCCACTAACCACCAAGAACACTTCGCAGGACATATGGCGGGCTTGTCGTACCTGCCCTTTTTGTGTGATTAGGAGATAATGAGATGTCAGATGTGATTGGAAAGGCGCATCGCTAGGCTTGCCAGATGATGAGCTTCTGATCGAAGCCTCCGCTGATAAGGTACTCGCGCTGAGCATCGACCCCGGAAGCGCTCTCTCGAGTGGAACCCAAGGTCCCAGCCCAAAGACACCGAAGTTTCGAACCCAGATCATGCCCTTCTAAAGATGCCATGAGTTTGCCCGTGTTCGCTTCAATTCCGCGGACCAGACCATCGTCCGAGCTGACGTAAACCCCAGAGCCATCGGGCCGCCAAACTAACCTTGGTGTCGAATACTGGGTTTGTGGCGCAAGCGTCGAGACGCTCACTATAATCGCAGCTTCTTCCCGGTCTTGCACCAAGAGCTCGGCCCGGGCCTGGGAGGCTTGCGTGACGGTCCCACTTGGGCCTGTCGCAGATACGGCGTCAAGTAGAGATGACTGGTTAGTGGGTACAAGTAGCTTCACTATTAGCAACTTCATGTGGGGTGTCGTTGATGTGGCGACTGCAATCAAGGATGGATCGGTGGGACAAACTTGTACATCCGAAGGGGTAAAAGCAATCCAGGCATTGGAATGAGGTGCAAGGTTTTGCTTCCCGAGAAAAGTCAACTCCGGAGACTCTGAGCTAGGGACAGCATAGAATTGTAGGAAGGTGGAATCGCGACGGGCTACAAGGAGTATCGGTGTTCCGTCATCCAATGAAGTGACGAATGCGAGTGTCTCCGGGATAGTGGGTAGTAACAATTCTGCCCTCGGTTTCCCAAGCCGCGCAGTATCGACATCAGAAACGATCTCGTAAAAGAAGACTTTCGAGTCCCAGCCCGCACTTGCAACCATAACCCGCTCGCCATCCCGACGACAGGCCAGTTTGACAATGTATTTCGAATGGTCTTTTCTTTCATCGACAACCTCGTTTCTGACGGTATCATACAGGCTGAGTCGTCCAGACATTGACGCGGTAAGTATTAGATGCTTGTTTATCGCGATCATGTCCAATATAGGCGAGTCGGTGAAGTTTGAATACGAGTGCGCGACCTCGTATGTGGAAGATGCAGGATTTAGTAAAGACAGCTTTCTATCTGCCGTCGTGACGGCAATGTAAACCTGAGGATGCACTGTTGCACCAAGTGACAGCTCAACAACACACACATGGAGTATATTAGACCGGCTCGGGAGTGAAGAAACAACACTCGGTACAGATGGTGCGCTTTCTGACCAACCACGATTGTTGTCGTTCAAGCTGAGTTTTTCGAAGCTAAGGCTGGTGTCGAAAGTCTTCTTCTCTTGCAAAATCGATTCAATGGTGACGGAGTCACTTGGATTAGCCCCAGTATCCGCAGGCAGACCGGCTTCGGCGACAAAGCTGTTCAATGTCTACGACCCTGTAAGCGATGATATTCAGGCTACCTCATGATGTTATCCGAACCTCAGTAAACCCATTCGATCTCAGGTAGCGCGCGATCAACTCCGCTGCTGATGGAAGCATGATGCGGGAATGAGATGAACTTTTGCTCTGTAGCAGTTGAGACCACTTTACAAAAGGATGTGTGATGATGTAGAGGATGGATACGTCAGGTGTGGAATATCCCACAATGTCCTTATCGATAACATTAGCGCCGCCACTTCCAGAAAAGTTCTCACAGCAACACCGCGCAGCAAAAAGTCTGTGGTAGAAACTTTACAACATGAAAGTCAGTGAAAAGCAAAGGAAACATAGAATCTCATTCGCTCATGTTCAAGTAGGACCAAATTATCACTCGCCAAGATCTTACCCATCAACTTGCCGCATTACAGGAAGCCACAACAGACCGACCATATAGCATACCTCATCGGCTGGAGCTTGCAAAAGTCTACAAGCAACTAGGATATCCTGATCTTGCTGCTAGTGATGCTTATAAAGCGCTTCTCTTGATAGACGAAGTAGTGGAAGAAGGCGAGTATCACGAAGAAGCCATCGAAGCAGCCAGGGACGACTATATTTCGGAAGTGCTTGCTCAGCTATCGGTTGAAGAAGAAAATGAATCAAAGGAAGAAGAAGGTGCTGTAAGATGGGCTCAGACAGTTTGCTCGATTACTGCGTATGTAAGCAATCGTGTCATCAATAGTCGAAGCGTTGATCTGTCTGACTGAGCCAGTTATGACATTCTGATTGGGTGTCTCCTAGACTGTGGGAGTTATCGCAGTGCTTTCGACTACATCGCTCGCGCGCAGAAAGCGTTTCCCGAAAACACAATATTCCAGAAGCACGACGGGGACTTATCAAGCAAAATTTCTAAGTTCTTCGCGGCTAAAAGCTGGAACATGAAAGATGTAGAAATTGACGACTACCCAGAGAGAGGGCTCGTACGCCGCGAGCAGTATCCATGGAACCATCATGAACCGGACCGCTCTTCTGAAGAGTGCTTGGATTTTCTCAATGGAGAGATGGCAGGTATAGCCCCAAAGCTAGAGGTTAAGATCACTGAGCTGCCTCTACTTTCCACTGAAACATCAGAGGCCTCGCAAATCAAACAGCTAGGAGTGTTCGCAAAGGAAGATATACCTCCTGGAGAACGCATTCTGGAGGAGAAGTCACTTTTGACCTCCATCTCAAGATTGCACGACCACTATTGCGACGCCTGCAGTCTCCAACTACCAACTACCCAAGATACCTCAGCGGGTGGACATGACGAAATTGTCTCGTGTGACGAGTGCAATGTGGTCTTCTTCTGCTCCATGGAGTGCCACGATCTAGCTCAGGACAGCTACCATCCTTCACTGTGTGGTGTCAGTGTAGAACAAGGCAAAGTGTCCGCGAGCGAAGCCGCAGATGCTCTTTATACTTCACTTTTGGTTCGAGCATTGGCACTGGCAGAGACGCAAGGTTTGCATCCACTAGAGCTCAAAGAGATTCGCTACATCTGGGGTGACTATCACGGCCAAGACTTGGACAAAATTTGGAAGGCCAATGCGGATGGTCAGCTTACAGATGCATTTGCAGGTATACCACAAACACTCCCCTTCTCTTTCAAGAGCAACGTTCTTGCACCATTGCATATGTTAGAGAATATGGAAGTCAACATCTTTACGCAAAGCAACCGCTACGACACTTGGGTGTTCAATACCATCTTTGCGAAATTGCGAGGCACGGCATCGGCTCGACAAGGTCTAGATGGCCGACCAGAAACTGGCGCTGTCCATCCCATGTGGTGCCTTGCAAACCATAGCTGCGATCCCAATGTGGCATGGGCATGGGACGGCAGCATGAGACTTTGGACCCGCGAGAACCTAGTTGAATGGAAGGGAAGGGACCCTAGCACACAATCTGGCATCAAGAAGGGCGAAGAAGTGTTCAGCCACTACTGCGATGTTAGGTTACCAGTGAAGGAACGACGGGAGTGGGCTGCTGGAGCTTTAGGTGGAGCCTGCGTCTGTCCTAGATGCATCTGGGAAGATCAGAAGTCTCGCATCGTTACAAGCACGCAATGATACCGGACTCCTGACCAGGTCGAGAACGATTTGGAATCCAACAAGCCGTCCGGGGCTTGCAACGGACGCGAGCGGATTGCACGTCTTGCAGACAGTAACACAAATTTTCCGTCGTACAGCCTCCTTCCAGTTTTGTCAAGTCTTTAGTCACAGTTTGTAGTAAGAGCTATCGTATGGACTTGAAAAGGACGGGGGATGCTCCGTACGACCGTAGCGAACCCGCGTTAGCCAGACTAGGATGTCATTGCATGCCCCATGTGTGAAATCGCATACTGGTCTTGCCCTTGACAATACTCCACTGACAAAATCATGACTATGCAGGAATCACCCGTCCGATTCTGCACCAACCTTGCCCAGGCTCTGGCCGGCTAATGCCATTACGACCCCACATGCTGCCATACCAGTAGGAGGCCTGTCTCCGACAGTCAGGCCACAAATACCAGCGTAGCACGAGATCTTTCGGTACTTCGCCTGTGAGATGCCCATCGGAAGGCCTAGCCGCCAACTAGAACCCCAGTATCGTACATGGCATTGAGCCACGTTTCAGCCCAGATCCTGCAAGATACGCTCCCGCTCGTGCCACCATGATCTTGATCAGCCATCGGGCGTTCAACCAAACCCTTACAGCTCACGTGTGCATTGACGCTACTATCTGATCTGTCATTTCCTCTCTAATCAGACACAAGTTCCTTGAAAGTCATCGGTGGGCATGCTGCACAGTTGCCTCCACCCAACAAGATCTCGAGCGCGTGCGCAATATCATCTACCTTTTGGCGTCGACAGCCGAGTCTCATCCCAAGCCACAAGCCAAACCCCATGAACTCCGAACCGTTCCTTACTTCTCTGCTTCCAGTGGCTTGCACGCCATTTGCTGGGACGCGCACCCTACTGGAAGCGGCACTGAAAGCCTGAAATCGACCCACATGATTGACATGCGGCTCTGCGTCGACCAGGTTCTGAAACGGCTTACCGAGGGTGCGGGCAAAATGAGGAAAAAGCAACGTGACGCACATCGGTAGAGCGGGAGTTAGCCGCAGAAACAATTATGGACACGAGTACTAGCAGGGCGCGCGGCCGCAAATGGCATGGGATGATCTGTCTCCTTGCTGTCATGCCTGCTAAAGTGCCATTCTGCCCTGGTGAGAGGGTGAATGAACCCCTGCGACTCTGACGGCTGATTCCAAATTACCATAGCTATGCCTACACACATGTACCTCACCCAGGCAAGTTCACTAATCACCCCACGTCATGCCAGGTTCCGCGAATTGCAAGATACGTTCCTCATGATGGATTTCGACTGCCCCACTCTTCCCATATCGATCTCATTCTCCACAGATCTCAAGACTCATCTCGGCCGTTGTACCCTGCGAGCCAGAGATGCAGGATCACATCTATGACGACTACATCAAACGGCATTGTCCATCTCGCGTTAGCATCATGAAACGATCCCTGAGGTTCGTTAAAAAGCCATCCCTTCCGAGAACCCGAGTATTGTGCCGCATGCAAGCTAGGTATCACATCACGACAATGCCATACCTTGTCACATTTAGCTCTCACAGACCATGTACATGCCATCGCATTTCGGCAAAATAGGCCATGCACCAGAGCGCACGCCCGCAAAGGAACGGCCCGCAAGGGCTGTCAAAGAACGCACGACAAATCGCGCGGTCAACTAACCTATCCCCAACCCTATTTCGAGCGCATTAACAATTACGATGCAATTCCCAGCACAATGGGTCATCGTACGCACCCCATTATCGACCAACGCTCGCCGAGAGAAAAATCAACATGCGCATGCGCCCCACATCGGACTTACTGCGCACCACATCTAAATCTTTCCCCAAACGGCAATTTTCGCGACCGGAGATGTCTTCCTCGCAAGTGGCGCCAGAGACGTGAAACCCAGCAGCGCGACAATCTTGGAAACTACCTGTGGTACCTAGACAAGCAACTGGGCTCTAACAGCCTCGCTTTTGTAGATGCCTCGGTAAGAGGGCCGATATCCGTTTCATGACATAACGTAGGGAACGGCACGAGCCGTCGCATTCGGATAGAAATTCACTGGGATGGTCAGAGCTCTTAAGCAACCCCATGGCAATACTCCGCTGATATACGTAAGGGAAAGTGCCTCCACATTCCGAGTGCTCGTTCGATTTTTCGAAGCTTTGCTGTCTTGCATAATGACCAGGACTTCCTGAGCATGTACAATTTTTCGCGCAAACAACCCGAACTCACGGCAGTTGAAGTGGCGTAAATACTATGCAGGTGCCCATTTTCTTGCGTTGTGCCCATGGACGCAAGTCCGACCTCTAGGGCACTGGCTTATGAAAATACACCGCCATAAGGGCGTCATGTCACTGTGCGCGCAAGAACCGGAGATACGCCGGTAATCCAGAGACAACGAGCTTTGTTGTAGACGCACACTTGCTCGTACAATAACAGTCCAGCAAAGGAAAATACTCTTGCTTGGACAAACCATCCAGCCGTCATGCAAACATCTGCAAATGCACGCATCGTAGAGTAGCAATAAACAAAAAAATGCCCCAAACATGAGCACACCCAAGGAACAGTAGATACTTGCATAACGGTACTCAGCCGTACTTTGAAGTCAACGAAGAATAGACTAGCCTTGTAGTCACTTCAGATTTGTAGTGAACTCGACATGAAATAAAACCAACATCTCCCAACCCTAACCCTGAATAAACACCAAAACCATATGGAACTCAACAATCGATAAAAAAAAAACACTCCAAAAAATCTCCCAAAGTCAGAAGAAGTCCCCATTCGTCCCAAACATTCCCACTTCAAATTCAACACACTTAGTGCCCAGGCATCCCACACTCGCCATCTCGCAACAACCATCTCGCACCCTCAAAACGCGAGACAATTGACTTTCCTCGCACCACAGCTCACACAGAACAAAACGATCCCTGTGCCGTCACACATACCACCGGGGGAATTTCACAGAGACAGATTATCCTACACAAAGAGGCTCAGCTAATCATTCCCCCAATTTACACCGCTCCTTGACAGGTCTCCAACCGGCCGTCATGTTTCATTTGTGATTCTGCACCGAGACGCGTATTGTGCGTTTAGAAGTTGCTCGGCGGATCCAGAATCCAGCTTCACGCATGAGAAATGCCAAAAAAAAGCCACAGTACGTCTCGCAACGAGTAAGTAAGTAAATGAAATGAACACCATGCTCATGCACACGTGTCGTGGAAAACTTGTGAAATCTCTCGTATACACTAACAGCCCGCGAGAAGGAAGGGAAAAAAAAAGTATTCACTTAAACAAGGGTATTATCCATTTCTATATCTACTTCTACAGGCCCACTTCGTACTCACGATCTGTTCACCACTCGGAACCTGGCACCCAACACCACCATGCACGCTGTACTCCTACCTCCCCGCCACACGCCCTGACAACCGCCACCACCACTGCCCCCAGCATACTAACCCCGCCCAGCACCTTGACAACCACAAACCCCCTCTTCCTCACCTCATCCGTAATCCTGCAAATGCCCAGGGGATCCCTCGAGTCCAGTCCCTCATGCTTGCCATACCGCTCCTCGCCCTTGCCATCCGCGCGGCGCACAACCGCCCAATCCGCTCTCGGACTGTTCGGCGAAGCAACGATGCCGCCGCGCGAGACTTCTTCGGCGACTTGTTCGAGCAGCCATTTCGCGCGGTCGGCGCGCTGCAGTTCTTCGAAACGGGTGCGTTCGTTGCGCAGGCTGCGCTGGAGGTCCGTGGCCCATTTGGCAATGCGAATGTCTGGGTCGGGTTGGTTGATACGTGTGAGGGAGAAGGAGGTGGGGTTTTCGAGGTCGAGGGAGGGCGAGGAGGTGCGGAAGGGCGATTGGAGGTTGGAGGGGTAGAAGGGGGAGGCGGATTGCGGGACGAGGACGCCTGAGGGGGATGCGGCGGAGAATATTGACGAGTTTGCGGATGCTGAGGATTTGGTTAGCTTGGATGATGGATGTATTGGATGTGTGAGCTTACAATTCATTGCAGCCCTGTTCAACCCCACTGACGCCGTTGTGGGGCTTCGTGGTTGCTGCAGGCTCTTTAGGATAAATGAGTCTCCAGGCAAGGTGGTTCTCTTCCGCCATGCCAGGAACTTCTTTGCTGCCGAATGTCGCAGCCAAGCAATAGAATCTGGCTCAAACACTTGCTCCACGAGTGTAGCAAGTTCAGAAGGGAGAAGAGGTTGTACGTATTCCGGCGACATGAGAAGCGACGCGTCCATAGTCTCGTGGTCTGGACCAGGTGTCGAGGATATGGCGTAAGGGTATGTTGGACTTGTGAAAGGATACTGGCCCGGCTGTGATGTCTGCACTTCTGGGTGGATGATGGAGAGACTCTGAGCCGCCAATAGAGCGTCTTCCAGTGTCTTGTCGAACATGAACGGAATCGCGGGAGCTGTTTGTAGTCGAGCGAGGATGTTGGTTTTGAGCGCGATGTCCTCTTGCGCCGAAAGTGTGTCTGACTTCGCAATGACGGGGACGACGTTGGTCAAAGCCGAGAGGCGTTGCATGAATACAATGTCTGCTGATATATCCTTGTCTGTGAATGCATTAGTTCAGAGCTCATCGTTGTCAACGATCCAGACTTACTTGGTGGCAAGAGATAGAGAACCAGGTCTATCGCAACTCCTCCACTGCCGCTGATGACACCAAGGACATCGCTGTCTTCCATCGTGGTCACCGAAGACATTTGATAAAGCAAAGACTCGACATACTCAACCACCCGGTCCATATCGTCCTTCTCCGCCTCGCCCCGTGCGAAGCCAGGTGTGTCTACGAAGCATATATTCCGCTCCAGCACCGCATCGAGGCTACTCTTCCGCCTTCGCAGCTGTCGACTCTCCTCCATATCTGACCACCAAGGCGGATATGGCTTTGTGCTGGCATGTATCTCTGTGATCGCAGCTGGCCGTGGCCTGTCGGAACTTCGTCTGCGAGACTTGGAGGCAGATCGCGGCGCATGAGTGGTCGACTTGGGAGGAGATAGAGGGTCGACGTGCACAATGTCTTCGCAGACTTGGACTATGGAGCGGACGAGGGAAGTTTTGCCTATGCCTGAGGGTAGTTGTTAGCGAAACATTACCTCAAAGTAAGTGGCGTTTGCCAGAGGAGCTGGAATACGCACCCGACTCTCCGGCGACCATTATCTTCAGCTTTCCCATGGCTTTACCCTTGGTGGTGAAAGGCCTCCTCGACGGCATCTGAATGCTGGGCATGACCAACTGTGGAAAGCTGGCCATGGAAGCTTGTTGCGTCGTCGCTTCTGCCCCGTCCTCCTCTCCGCTCGAGGTTACAGCTTGGCTTCCAGACTCGTCCATGATAGAATCTTCGTCGGACAGCTTCAGCGATTGTAGCGAGATGGCACTCGGGGTGCTCGGCATGCCGGACATGGGTCCTGGCGAGGGTGCATCGGTTTGGAGGGGCGTGAGGGGCGTCGAGCTGGCATGACTGGAGAGTTTCCGTCTCGGCCTGCGCTGAGGAACAGTCTTGAAGCTGCCTGGTAGCTTTACTGAACTGCTGGCCGAGCTGTGTGACTCTGCTCTGGATGTCTTCTTCTCGGATGATTGCGTACTGTGAAAGCTCCCAGTCCGTCTAGCAGTTGGCGTCCTTTCGGAACCAAAAGCAGCTTCGAGCGTGTCGGCCAGACTCTGCACACCAAATGTGCTATCTTGCAGTCTTGCAGGGGGTTGTGTGTTGGAGGAAGAAGCCAGCGACTGCTCCATCTCCTCCTCGCTCCTCATGAAGAAGGCAGTGGGGACATGGCTGGACGCGACAGCATGATCGACGCTAGACTTGCGCGACCGAGGCTTGACACTGGAAGATAGGGCGTCGCCGCCAGGAAGCGGTCGCATTATCGAGAGAGTAGAGGTTCATTCAGTTTGCCACCGAATGGCCGAGATGTGCGCGTGGGACACTTGGAGAGGCCCGATGTCGTTGGGGGAGAGGTACATGTACAGTGATGCGACCAACGCGGGTGATACCGCCCCGCCTAATCAGCACCCCGCAGCCTCAAAGCTTACTAGGGCCCGGTGTTAGTGCAATTCAAGGCCCAAAGACTCCGTTTGAGGAAGAGGAGAGCCGTATAGAATGTAGAAACGTCTTGGTTGATGTGTACGTAAAGTCATGCAAAGTCACAACGTTGGAAGGTAAGTTGAAGCCAGCTCACGCTGCGACGAATCACCTGCGCTGACGCTTCGTCAGCTGACGTCGCCTCGGGTCAATTCAAGCATCACCACGGCGTCGATCCAATGTATTGTTCATACAATGCCAGTGCTGTATTTCTTCCATATCCACTATACTGATCTCTATGCTCAGCATCCCGTCCATGTTGTACATCCCTGCCCATTACACCAGATCGTTTTTCGACTCAAAAGTCGGTATCGAGCTCTCAAATAGCCGTCCGCAGACATCATGTATCGAGAACGTGCGTGAAATGAAAAGGGAAATAGGTGTTGCAATACAAAGAGCTGAATGGAAACATGAAGGGGGAAATGCAAGAAGGAAACCACTCGCTATGCAAGGGCTGAGAGCCCCAAGGATAACAGCGGACGCCACAGACTTTTCCTCGAACAGGACTTTTGTACAAGCGCGAAAAGGCCCGATACACTACATGTCGCTATAGCCGTCAGTCGTCAGGAAATGGTGTCAGTTACAGCGAATCGCGGGAGAAGAGTGAGAGAAAAGGATGGAGAGGGACAGGCGGTCGTCATCACACTTATGCCTCCGTGGGAGCACCTCCTCGAGCACCGCGCCCGGGACCGCCTCGACCACGGGGCTGGAAACCACCTCGGGGACCTCCTTGTCCGCCCATACCTCCACGGCCACCACGAGCAGGACCGCCGCGGAATCCTCCACGGAACTGCTCAGGTCGTGGGCGGCGCTCTTCAACCTTGAGGTCGATGCCGTTGACGTTGTGCGGGTTGGCAGCGATCGCGGCTTGGTAGGCGGCAGGAGTCTTGAAATCAATGAAGGCACAGTTCTACAGATATTGTTAGCGCTGCCATGCAGTAGTAGTATTTCCAGCTTACCTTTGGTCGGCTGATGTCGAAGTACTCGATCTCGCCGAACTTCGCGTGAGGGCAGCCTTCAGAGCAGGCTCCTCGACCTGGCTGTATACGTTCTTGATGTAGGCGCGCTTCTGTTCGGGGTCGGCGGCGGGTCCCTGGTTCTGTGCACGAGACTGCTCCTTCTTGTGGGCAGTGACAGATTGCCATCCGGCGGTCTCACCCTGGCTTGTCGAGGGTGACTGCTCACGCGGAGCAGAGGCGGGTTGCGAGGATGCTGGTGCAGCAGCTGCGGGCTGGGTAGGAGTCGAGGCCTTGGGCTGGACAGCGGCTGACTGAGAAGCAGGCGCGGGAACGACTGGCGTGGCGACCTTGTGTGCGGACGCGGCGAGACTAGCCCATGTCCTGGGAGCAGCAGGCTTGGAGGGCATGGCAACGGAAGAAGTGCTCTTAGCAGCAGAAGGAGCTGGGGTTGATGCGGGAGCCTTGGGCTTCTCGGGCTGAGCGGCTTCGACAGGCGCTTCAGGCTCCTTGGAAGCCTCGGTGGCAGCGGCGGGCGCCTCCTCGGTGTGAGGTGCCTCGATTTCCTCTGGCACTTGCTCGACTGGCGCAGCGGGCAGAGACTCCTCCGCAGCCGGCTCCTCCTTGGCCGCCTCGAGTTTCTCGTCGACCTTGCTCAGGTTCTCCTCGCTGGCCGCGATCTCGTTACCCTGGGTGACGGACGCGTTGTCAGGGACAGCAGCGGTCGGGGCAGGCTCTTGGACGCCATTGGCGCTCTCTTGCTGAAGCTCCTCGTCCTCTTCGGGCTCCTCAGCGAGGTAGCGGAATGATGTCATTCAACACGAAGTAGCCGTTGGTCTGCTCGGCGAGGACCAAAGGTCTGAGAGAAAGCGCTTAGAGGGGGATAGCCCTTGGGTTGGAGATCTTGCCCAATGAACTTGGGATGACAAAATTGGAAGTAGGAGCCTTGGGTGTGGACCAAGGTCACACGAACCTTGGTGTCCTTGAAAGTCGAGACCCTTGATGCGCTCATTGATCGCCCAGGCGCTGTTAGTCTGGACACGGACGGCGGTAGTGTGCGGTTTCCATACCTTCTGTCCTACACAAACGCTGACCTTTTCCTCCTCGACGCCTGAGACATACTGAGAGCGCTTGTTGTAGAAAAGCTGCATGTCCAATTAGCTTTGTGGCCCGTGGCATGACCCATCGGAGCGGGAGACTTACGTAGAGGCGCTCGGGGCTCTTGCTGAGGGTGGTGTAGTACTGCTCGACAAAGTACCAGCCGACCTCGTCCTTGGGCACCTCAGCGGCTTGTTGCGCTGGCTGGGCGGTGGGCTGCTGGGACGGTGTGAAGTTGGAGGCGCCGGTGGCGTAGTTGTTCTCGTAGGCTTGCGGCGCGTAGTTGCCGTTGATGTGGGCGGAATCGGTGGAGGCCATTCTGTCAGTGTCTAACAGAAGAACGGTTCAGGTGACAGTGGACAGCGGCAGATGTCGAGGGGTTGATGTAAGCGACAAGGAGCCTGGGCTGCTGGAAAGTGTAATTATCAGTGAGGCACTCGTGTATGGCGGAATAGCGCGCACTTACTAGGCCGAGGGAGAGTATGGGAAAGAAAACCGTGGGGGCACAGAGACGAGCAAACGTGGTGACAGCTGATGTGGAATTGGCGCAAAGTAGCGGTCCGTATACGCAAGAGCTCTGTGTGTGAAGAGACGAATGGGGTGGAGATGGAATTAGACGGGAGCAAACGTGGGTGGGGTTGTGCGCGTGCAAGCTGGGTGTGGAGGAAAAGTAGCGATGATGGTGAACGAGACCTTCGGCCTAACATCTGTGCGCCTTCCTCAATCAGCCGAGACCCATCGAGCTACCTCCTCTATCGACACCTGGGCAGCACTGCACTTCCACCACCTGTCGTACGACACCGAAACATGACACATTTGATTTTATATATTACAACTGAATCGAGTACCTTGCCACCGCTCGCTTGACAACACGGGCTACCGTATCTGGGTCGATTAGCTCGCCCGTTGCAGAATTCGGCTGCCATCCAGAGGCAATAGTTGGCGTGCAGACTCCGATACGGTTAGCCACCTCTACAGCGCGCGCAGCCAATAAATTGCTATTTTCCATGCCATGGTCAGAACTTGCCTATTGCAGTAACTTGGTCAGGTCGTAGCCCTGACGGTGCTTCGTTATTGAACAAACTTCCTTCCATAGTACAAGCTACATGTACACTATCCACACGCTGCACTACTCGTAACAAAAGAAACCAAGGAAAATGCATCGACTCTAGGTATTATTACAATAAAGCATGCTTGCCGCGTCTAGTCCACAAGTAAACTATTCAACCGCGCCTCGGTAGCAATAACATCCAGCGCCTGCCTGACCTCCAATACTCTTCTGCACTCACCCAGCCAGTCTTTGCTCAGCACCTTGGCCCAGCCTTGCAGGCCGTTCATCTCGCGTGCTGCGGCGTCGAGGTCGCCTTCTTCGAGCAGGACCTCTGTGCGCGCAAGGACGGCTTCGACATCCTGACCGACAGCAAGACCGGACTTCTTGAAGAGGACCTTGGACATGGCAAGGGAGGCGATATGTGAGGCGACGCCGGCGTCTTCGGGGAGAAGCGCAGCTTTCCTGACTTCAGCTGCGACGCGGCGGAAGCGGTCGATGAGCAGGGCTGGGCTGGGGATGCCGCGTTGGTAGGCGGCGGGGTTGATGCTGGCGATGGCGGCGCTGACAACCGGGTCGTCGGCGGCAATTTCCTTGAGAGCTGCGAGCTCGGTGACGAAAGGCTTTGGCGTGGCTTGTGTCTCGAGCGCAGACTTGACGGCCTCGACAGCAACTACGAGATGTTGTGTCTTGAGGTTGGCATCGACAACCGAGTTCCACTCGGCGGTCAGCTTCTCGAGTTCGTGTACGGACGAGGAGAGCTCGTTGAGCTTTCCGAGACGGCCGTCACGCTCAGCTTCAACGCGTTCGCGTACGCTGGCGGTGAAAGACTTCTGGAGGTGGATGCTCTGCTGGAGAAGCTCGTTCTTGGTCTTTTGCTCGTAGACCTTCTCGGCGGCCTCAAGCTCAGACCGCAGCCTGTCCTTGTATGTTTGGGACAGGCGTTCGCGCTCATTCTCAAACTCCTCTTTCCAGTGCGCCTCTTGAGCCTGCATCTGGTGGTCTAAGCGCTGGACAAGTTCCTTCGCGGCCTGTTCGAACTCGTCGTGTGCAGACTTGACCTTCTCTTCCGACTCCTTCCTGAGATTCGCCTTCATCAGGTTGATGTCGGAAACGACGCGTCCAAGCTCAGACTTGGCCTTGTCGAGGGCCGAGTTGTACTTGCCATCGTGGGCGGAGTCGGCGTTGATAACGGTGATGATGTCGTTGACAATCTTGACAACGTCCTGCACGACGGCATCGTTGGCGTCGGGCACGGCGAGATGGTCGAGGTGGTTGACAGGTTTTGCTGGGGCAGGCGCAGCAGCCTCCTCCTTGACCACAGTCGCTGTCTGAGCCGCCTCTTGCTTCTTCTCCTGCACGTTCTTCTCGGGCGGCGTTTACAGCCAGGAGTAATAGAAAGAAACCTAGGACTTCCCACCGGACGTCTTTGGCTGTCCCGCCGGCGGTTTTGGACTTGTTGTCGGCAAACAGCAATGGTGTGCGGGCCCTTGGTTCCGGAGGTCGCTGTGGCCCTCGTCGGCAACACGCGCCACTCAGCCCACTGCGGCCGGAGGATTGATGAACTTGTTCTTCGCACGAGATTCTGGGGCTGCAATCGGGGGCTGTCCCAGCACGGCCAGGGAACCCGCTTGCGGAATTCGCGCTCCTCGAAGTAGGCGACGGCATCCTCGCCATAGGGAACGTACTCGGTGAAGAAGTCGTGGAAGTTGTCCGACACCAGCGAGTACCACACACCGCCAGCGTATCCGAGACCAGACAGGATGGTGAGCCAGAACAAGAGGCGCCGTATTCTGCCCTTCTTCTTGGGCTTGGGCTGCTTGGGGTCGGGCGCTATGCTTGCGCTGCCAGGGCCGGTTGGGGGTGTCGTTGCGGGCTGTATGGTGGGTGCCGAGCGCGATGCACCTGCGGTCTCAGGCGCAGGCGGGGGCTTCGGGATGTCGGAAGACGGGATGGTCGCCTTCTCCGTGGACGAGGGCGTGACGGTGGGCGCCGGGTTGGGGACAGCGGTCTCGCCCAGGTTCTTGTTGTCGGCGTAGCAGCGCTGGACGACGCGCCATTGCGGGCGGGTCTGGCGGGCCAATGGCCTCACGGCTGGACTGGCCCGGAGAATGGAGGCGCGCAGCATCGTGGGCTGCCTCCTGATGGCGGGGATGTGGATGGAGGACGGGGTGGGTGTTGGTCGTCTGCCAACTATTGACAGCTTGTGAAGATTTGGGAGCTCCGGCGTCAGGCCACACGGGCCACATCCGCTATTACGAACTTACCTCATCGCTCCACTCTAGCAACCACCACCACACCTGCGTCATCCAGGTATGCCGTCCCGACTTACCTCAAACTACTGCACATGTTTTCCTGCTATAGCTCCTGCTATGCCATAGCTCCTGCTATAGCCATTGCTAATAGAAATACGTGATTAAAGAGCTGTGCCCGACCCGGTCGGTGAGTTTGAGGGATTGTCGTATCGAGATGAGCGGATCAACATGCGGCGAATAGGCCTCGAGGCTCTTGTGGTAGAAGCCCTCGATAGACATCACTTCGACAAAATTGATCCTGAGCCCTTCTGTTGCCCTGTTTCTGGATGCGGCTTCTACTTTCACAGAGCAGGGCAATGGACGCAGCATGCGGCAGAGGCGCACAGCCTTGAGCTCTTATGCATTGAACTACAATTTGATATTCTACCTGAAGCATTACGGCCTTGCTTCGAATAACGCAAGAGCAAAATAAAACATGGGGAGGATGAGGTCCAGACGAAGGGTCGCAAGATATATAACGATTGGAATGAGGTAGGAAGGCAAAGGAGGGAACGACGCATGGGATACGGGAACGAGGCGGTTGGAAGCCAGCTTTGGGCTCACTTTAATACTGTCATTGATACATGTATTAGAGGCTGCAAATATGATATGAGCCAACTGAAAAGCGACGATGTAATCACTCCTCCACCACTATTGCCGCACGGCCACCATATCCAGCATACGTTGGTCCGACACTTGAACAGCAACATAATTGCACCCATGATCGAAGTGCTATCCTTCAAAACCCTTCCGCAAATTCTAGATTATAAATGCATGCTTGCCAAATTCTGCTAATGTTCAAAGCACATTGGCGACGACATACGTACGTTCTGCACCGCATTCAGCTCAAGAAATGGCCGCATTCGGCAGCGTCCTTCAAACATCCTCGTCACCTCAGATAATTTAGCACATTCCCACCTCAAATTCTACCTTTTCGTGATCTATTCTATCACCACTCCCTCTTACCTGCCTGATCTCTCAAGCCACCACTGAGACACTGCTACGTCAGCCCCGCGACGTCATCGGGTGACTCTTTCACAAACGTACCAGGCAGCCAACAATCAGCTGCGAACGACCTCGACGCCCGCGCATTCGGAACAGACCCACAATCATCCTGCTACATCCATCACTTGCATGTACGCCCGCATGTGGCTTCTCGTCTGCTCCACTTCAAGCACACTTCGCTCCTCTCGCACATATTGAGCTGAAATCTTCGGACATCAACGAACATGGAAGACGGCCCGCACCGCTTGCGCGGCGAATCCAACGGTCTCTGTGAAGCCCTGGTGCTGTCACGCGACATCAGACGGTCGCGCGCACCTTCACCCAACACCCAAACCGCAAACAAGCGCAAAGACACCTCAGCTCCAGCGATAAAACTTTCCCCCGACAGCGTAGATTCAGCATGGCTTCTCCCGACTAAGCGCACTTGCGCCCAGATGGAAATGCACCAGAGTACATGTCTCAACCTAAACAACGCATCCACCGACAACACGGACGCTGACTTCTGGATCTTGCCGGACTTTGACGATTGGGAACTCGATGCTGAGACGCACCGGAAAGAAGCGACGCAGGGTGAATCACATATTGCTCCTTTACTTCAGCGCGCGGCGACTTCGAATCGCGAGCGACTGAGGGCTCGACTGGAAGGCGATGGATGGGACTTTGTGGGAGGCAAGTACGGCCAGGGAGAGAATTTTGCTAGCCAGAGCGAAGAAAGTGTTGATGAAGAGTTCGATGTCGTGGTTCTGCCAGATGGGAGGGTGTCTTGCTGATCACCCAAGCGCTACCTATCTGTTTGCATAAAATCTCTTCTGAACACTCCTGGTGCTCGTAATTACAGCCGACAAGGTCAACCTTTCCTACTGTGGCGTTAATTAGATACCCAGTATCCCCGGCACGGAGGAATTGCATTTGGCTTACATGTACATATCTGGTGCTGACAACGGGAACGGCATGTCTAAATCCGAACGGTTGCTCCCGCTTACTGAATATTCCTCTAGTGGCGTTTTCAGTCACCTTATTGATAAATAGACGCGACTCCTGCGGTATCCTTCGTCGTTCGACCCGGGTTCTTAACACGCCCATGTACCAGGTTGATGGCATCGGAGCAATCTACTTCGCACCATGTCCCTACCGCACCATGTTGATAACCAAGCGAAAGCGACGACCGAGGCCGGCGTACCACCGAGTCGTCGTGCTTGGAATTTAGCTATATGTCCACTCCTTCCTGTTTGAGCTCAGTGCTTACTTTGACGGACCAATGATGAAGATTGCGCTTCGGCACGCATGCATGATTGCGAGGCTTTCACTTCGGCACTCAGGTATGAGAGGCGACACGGAGACGATATCGAGCCATTCTTGAGATGTACGGCGAAACGGAGTCTTGTGCTGAGGTGTAGACAAATAGATTCGGCTTCCAGAAGGACCGACTAGCCTACCTCCTATTTTAACGATAGGTGGTATCGGTTCAACATAAGTACTCATGAATAAGTAGCACAAGTTAAGACGTGGCGTCGACTTTGAGTGTCATTTGAAGCTCGACATGCACTTCACAAATGCATTCATTGCAGCCATTGTGGCTTGCAATGTGCTCGCGACACCAATTGCTCGCTCGCCGTATGCTGTTAAAGAGACGCATTTTGTGCCAGATGAGTGGTTCAAGCAAGAGCGAACGCAAGGGCAACAGAAAATTCAGTTGCAGATTGGGTTGAAACAAGGTCGATTCGATGAGCTTGATCGGCATCTCCAAGAGGGTGAGATGCGAAATCGAGAGGTACTGCTAGGCCTGCAACACTAATGCCTTTCAGTGTCTGATCCAGATAATGAGCGATATGGCCAGTATCTCAGCGCCGAAGAAGTCAACGAACTTGTCGCGCCGAGCTCAGAGACGCACCATCTGGTTCATGACTGGCTGCAAGAAAACGGCATCAACGTCAGTGATCTAGGCTACAGCGCAGCCAAAGATTGGATAATTCTTCATCTTCCCATAGAGATGGTGGAGAACTTGCTCGACACTGAGTATCACAATTACAAGCATGCTGATGGAAGGATCGTCTCCCGTACAACTCGCTGGTCACTTCCAGCCCATCTCCATGGGCACATCGACACCATCCAGCCCACCACATCCTTCTTTCGCGGCGCTCCTCGCACCTGGGCCCACACTACAGCACAAGTACCAGAAACCTCCTCCCGCCCCGACAACGCCTCTCTCGCCGCCGTCTGCGATGCGAAATCCCTGACCCCCGCGTGCTTCCAAACCCTCTACGGCACCAAAGGCTACAAAACTAAAGCCAGCTCCAAAAACAGCATCGGCTTCGCTAACTACCTTGACGAAGTCCCCATCCGGCCCGACGCGAAGCTCTTCCTAGAGAAATACCGCCCCGAAGCCGTCTCGCAGGCGTCCTCCTTCACGCAGGTGTCTGTTGCCGGCGGCCCCACGCAAGACGGCCCGCTCACCGACAAACAACTCGCCGACGGCAAATCTTACGAGGCGAACCTCAACGTCCAGGTGATCGCTGGGTTTGCGTGGAACATGAGCATCACAGCGTACTCGACAGCGGGGCGTCCGCCATTCCAGCCCGAAACGCCTGGCGAAGTGAACAACAATGAGCCCTACCTAGTGTGGCTCGACTTTCTCGCGCAGCAGTCCTTCATCCCCCGCGTGATCAGCACGTCGTACGGCGAGCCCGAGCAATCCGTGCCCCAGGCGTACGCCGAGCGCGTGTGCAGACAATTCGCACAGGTCGGGGCGCGCGGGACGTCGTTGTTCTTTCCCAGTGGTAACTCTGGCGTCGGCAGGGATGGACGCTGCTTCACCAACGACGGGCAGAATAGGTGGCAGTTCAAGCCCATCTTCCCGGGCGGGTGTCCGTACGTTACAACTGTTGGCGCGACCATGGGCTTGGAGGAAGAAGTCGCGGCGTACGTGCCGCCGTCGAACGCGACTGGCGGCGGGTATTTCGCAAGCGGAGGCGGGTTTAGCAATTACTTCCCGCGGCCCGAGTGGCAGGAGAGTAGTGTGCCGCAGTATGTCGAAAAGCTGGGGGACACATACAAGGGGCTGTATAATCGTAGTGGCCGCGGATATCCGGATGTCGCGGCGCAGGGGATTGACTTTGCGTTCTTTTATAACGGCACGGAAGGTATGTCTGTGCGTTATCCATTGTGGACGTTTGCTGATCAAAGACAGGTTTGACTGGAGGCACGTCGGCGGCGACGCCACTTGCTGCGAGTATCTTCGCGCTCGTGAACGATGCGTTGATCGCAGCTGGGAAACCGGCGCTGGGTTTCTTGAATCCTTGGTTGTATAAGAAGGGATACAAGGCACTCAACGACGTTACGAAGGGTTCCAATCGTGGGTGTAATACTACAGGCTTTGCGGCGGGAGAAGGGTGGGATCCAGTGAATGGGTGGGGCACACCCAACTTCCCGAAGCTGGTGGAATTGGCTTTGGGGGAGGGATACCAAGATGCGTCGTCGGTAGAGACTGGTGTATGAATCTTGTCGTCATTGTGGGATATCTACATCATCAATACCGCACCTACTACACCCAAAACCACACTCATCCTCACGCCCTCTGTCCTCCCCCCTGAATTTCCCGGTGACCCAGCTGGCGGCCACTCCCCTTCAGGCTCCCTACTCCCCTCAACCAACGCATCCGGCGCCACACACAACACCTGCGTCTCCTTGCCCTCGCGCGTAATCACCCACGGCCTCGTCTGCCTCACATACAGATCATAGTAGGCGAAATCATCCGCCTCTTCATCCGAATACCGCTCCCTCTTGCTCAGCGCTCTAACGGGCCAAGTCAGATAATCCGAGGGCATGGAGTTTGCCGGCGGCGAGAGGATAGTACACGTCTGATTTGAGAAATCAGTTGGCTTGCCTAGATGAGGTGGTTAGATTGCGTGAAATTGGCAGTGCAAAAAGGGAATGTAAGTACTTGAATAGCCCGACCCGAAACCCTGCTGACCGCACGCTGCAACCAAGGCATCACGCTCCGGCGGCGCCTGACATTGCTCCGAAAACACATGATTCTTCTTCAAAAAGTCCACGCACTCTGGACGTAGCGCGTTCTCACACCCGTTGTCGCCCGCGACGGTCGCGTTGATGCCGTTCAACATGAACACGCAGACCTGCGCATCCGTGTCCATAGGCGCGCTGATGTAGCCCTGGAAATCATGCAATTGCGACACCAGAACGGGGTTGCGCGTGTCGTTTAGCGTCGTGGTCAGATACCAGTCTGGGTCACCTTCTTGCCAGCGGAAGGAGCGCATGCCAGTGGAGTTTATGCGGGCGTTGGGGGAGAGTTCGCCGATAGAGAGGGCGCAGCGGGAGAGGTCAGTGGAGGAGTTTTGGGCGAGGGTGGATGAGAAGAGACCCATCACCACCTGCAGTAACAGTATTTTGGACGACATGGTGTCGTAGATGCTTTTCGCAAGTTAAGAGGCGGCAGTCATGTTGATATGTCGACGTTATCTGTCTGACTTCAAAGGATCGTACGCACGCCACGCCGGCAGGAATATCCGACTTGGCAGATGCGGAGACATTGGTAGCCTTACGATACGGCGTCCCGCGACAACACAAGAGCTATATGTTTTGGTGTGATGATTCGTGAGATGGGGTTGAGGAGGAGGAGAGCAGGGATCAAGGTTCCGGGCCGTCCACGCATCCATGGGGCTATTATGGGTCTTGGCACTCGTAGTACTGTTAGGCGTGCACGACGTCAATGTCTCACAGTCGATTTTGGCGGCACTTCGACATTGTTGATCGATGGTATGACGATTTCATGGCAACATGGTGATGGTGGTGAGACTGAACGCGTGAATCTTGGCGCGCATTAGGCTTATAGAGAGAAACACATACCTATTCCTGGTCGCTGAGAGGAACACAAGAAAGCAATCACAGTTAAAAGAAAGTTCCCATCGCGATCGTGTACCAAGATAGTATGCCGAAGTGCGTCTTGGTCTTTACTAGTTGACGCCTGCCGAAGTCCAAGGCTCGTACATGCAGCTAGCCTCGATTCTTCCATCTACGACATATGTCCTACTTCTCGAGCTCCGAATGCATTACATTGGTAGTTCATTGGTGGTTCCGCCTATGTGATGTGCATTTTGCCTGTCAACAAGTCACATGAGGAGCTTGCTGATCGAGCGCCACGCGCAATGTTGCCAAGAATGAGGCTGGACAGCGCAGACAGATGATTTCACCTCGTTCATCTCGCGACGCCTCAGAACCAGGATATAAATAGAGCTGGACGCGAAAACTCGAAGATGGAATTGATAACGCGCCACAGCTCGTCTGAGCAATGAGCCGTTTCCTTGATTTAGCAGGCTGGGCGGGGGCTGGTGCTTCTTCCCCGCTCTTGGCTAGGTCCTGCTGTCTTTCGTCGTCGACATCTTCGATCCTGACGCGTGAAAATCTTCGGGTACACGGCACCAGGAAATCTTCCATCAGCACAGCATCAAGAGTCTAGGGAACATCGCGTATCCGACGCGTGATCATCCTTGTACACGCATTTCGCCATGCCATCCAATCATCATTCTTCGGAGTCGACACCGCTCCTCCACAACATCCTGCCTTCACACATCCATCCTGACGGCGAGAGTGGACGCTCTGGTTTCCATCCCTCACATTTCCTCAATGTCGCGTGGAAGTCGGGGAGCAAGGCGGCGAAATACGCCAACTTACTGTGGCCGTTCGTCATCGTCGCCTTTGTGCTACACTATGCCTTCCCTAGCCAGCCAATCGCCGTTTTCGCAACCAGCTATATCGCGATGGTACCTGTTGCGAATCTTCTAGGATTTGCCGGGCAGGAGTTTGCGCGCAAGATGCCAAAGGTGTCGGGTATCTTGATTGAGACGGCATTCGGATCAATTGTCGAGATTATTTTGTTCATCATCCTTATTGCCAAACACCGGTCTCAGGATGGATCTTCCGAGCATGGTAATCTTATTCCAGTCATCCAGGCAGCCATTCTCGGATCGATCATCACGAATCTGCTTTTGTGCTTGGGTCTGTGCTTCTTCGTTGGTGGACTCAGACAGGCAAGCCAGAAGTTCCACGCTTCGATCAGTGAGGTGGGAAGTGGATTGCTTTTGGTAGCGGGTTTTGGCCTACTGATTCCGAGCGCGTATTATTCCGCGCTCAAAGGCTCAGCCGTCGAGAAGGCGACCAAGCACCACGAATTTACTGAGAAGTTGCTGCAGCACAATGTTCTGCGAATCAGTCAGATCACATCTATCCTCCTCATCATTGCTTTCTGCATGTAAGCTAGTCTATCACGATTTTGACCTGATGCTAACATACCCCAGCTTCATCTGGTACAATGCCCGCTCTCAGCACTCCATCTTCGACGAAGTGCTCGAGGCCGACGAGCACGCCGATCTGGATCGACACGACGACTTGGCCAAGCCGAAATTTACATTCACCGAATGCATCATTGCACTAGTACTCTCGCTCGCTATCGTCACGCTCCTTGCTTATTTCCTCGTCGAGCGCATTGAAGATGTCGTAGAGTCTGGCATTCCCGATCAATTCCTCGGCTTGATCATGCTCCCGCTCGTTGAGAAAGCAGCTGAGCATTTGACTGCTATTGACGAAGCTTGGGATGGACAAATTAACTTCGCGCTTTTCCACTGTGTCGGTCCGTCCATCCAAACCGCACTTTTCAACGCTCCTCTCGTCGTCATCGTTGGCTGGGCTATGGGCAAAGACATGGACCTTAACTTTGAGATCTTCATGATTGTGCTGCTCGTGCTGTCAATCGTGGTCGTCGGCAATTTCTTGCGCGATGGCGAGTCGAACTATCTTGAGGGCGCACTCCTAGTTGTAAGACTGACTTCGATGAACGTCAAAGTATACGCTGACATGTTGCTAGATCGTTTACCTTATCATTGCTGTTGCGGCTTGGTACTACCCTAACCCAGATGTCGCGACATCTAACGGCATCGAAGGCATGGCGGCGAAACTTCGCTAGAGTTTCCGACTTGTTCGGCAATAGGAGGAAGAAAATGCTCTCTTTGCCGCCGAAGCCACCTGACCCTAAAATGCTGAGCGAGTTCGCACCCGATTGGGCCTTAGTGGCAACCTCTATTGTGCAGTAAGAAACTGCACAACCTGTCCAGATAAATGTACCATAGTCATGTATACACTGCTGTATTTACACAAACCCCGTTGACGCGCTACGTCACCGAGGTATCATGAGAGAACCGATTTTGTATCGGCCGAATCCTGTCAAAAGGCCCACGGTGGTGATGCTTTCGCCATGAGTGGCGCACTTGTGAATGTACAATGTGTTGCTAACCTGTGTTGTACAAAACCGAATAGCCACATGGACAACGCAATCCCATAACAATGCACAGGTAGCATGTCATGACTCACCATGCGCTGGCACCCTTCACAGACAGCCGTCACAGCTGACAACGGCAACCCTACAAATACAGTATACTGAACCTTTTCCAGCTTTACCGCAACACTTGCTTACCATGGCTTTCACACGCAACATCATTGACAAGATTTCTGGTAAGAAGAGCCGTACTCGCCTTCCTGTCTCATCATGGAATCCCTGTGAAATTTTGGTTCCGGATCCTGATACGCCAGAGTCTGAGCTGTTGGGTGTTAATGATATGCTAAAGACCTGTCGGGACGAGGCAGAGGAAGGACGTGAGAATGGACTAGGGGTTGGTACTGCAAAGGGACAGCGTGATAAGGGCAGACAGAATAAGTCAAGTTAGATTTGTAAAATTGTTTCGCGAAAACTCTGAAGAGGACTGCCGAATCGTCGAGAACCGTTTCATAGAATGGATGGAGTTGTATTAATCGATAATAGTTCGAGTTTATCTCGCGGAAACTCGCTCGAAGATCGAAAATAACAGTAAGCAAAGAGCGGACTTATGATGTCGCATGAGTATGTCCTAGGTAGCAGGCTGCGATTCGCAATCTAGTTAGTGGATGGGAAATGTATCAATGAGTATATTGCTTGTGATTGAAAATCGGTCGGGCGCCGATGCCTAATGGCCAGGCATATAATATGCTGTTGGGTGGAACTAATTTTTTGGCATAAACACTTTGATGGCTTTCATGCTATATAGTTACTTCGACGCCTGAAACTTCGAGTCTCGGCTATGACAGGCAGCATCGTGCGATTTCACTGTGCTGCAACTCCAAGCACCCGTCTAAAACACTGTACGGTCACTTCGCGTCCAGCGTTTCTGTTATAAAATGCTTCCAGGACATTTCCAACGAGACCGGTATCTCTCACCCCATGAACCCTATCACAACTTCCCACAACTCAACTGACACTATGGTTGACGCAAGCACTCTTACCATTGACACTGCTCTGGAGACATGCCACAACTTCCCACAGGATGGGAGCTGTGCTATCTGTCTGTTTTCCCTTGTAACCGAGCCATCTAGCGACGATAGTGCCAACGCTGACGAGACCGACGTTGTGATCGCTAAGGTTTGTGGCGACAAGCATCATTTCCATCGTACTTGCATCATGGCGTGGTTCAGTTCCGGCCACATTCCTCTCAACGAGTGTCCAATGGATCGCAACGTCCTCTATGGTTACCAACGCATCCCTCAGTTCCCAGTCAATCTTCCTGAGCTGACCTTCTTCCCCGGTCATAATCCCGAGGACCATGAAGCCTTCTACGCCAGTTTTCCAGGTGGCCATGAGTCTGTCTTCGTAGCTATGAACCCAGAACGCAATGTGTTCCGGCTTGATGTTCCTGCGGAGTTTGGTACACCCATATCCATGGTCTTGGATCTGACTCGTGAATCTACTCCAGAATCTCGGGTCTCTGACCTCGCGATACTTACACGTGGCGCGACGAATGCCTCAGCGATGGATTTATTCTATTTACTTCCACGTTGGGACATAGACTCTGTGCAGGAATTCAATCGGATTCGGAGCCTTCCGGCCGGTCCGGATCCATTGGAGGGCCTTTCGTTCACGCCACCTCCTCAGGCAACTCCGTTGCCAAGAGACGGGTTTGACCATTTCCTCGACGGGGGCTTAGTTCATTTTTGGAACCCTTCAAATGACGACTCACATGAGTCTACCGTGGCTAGCGTTCTAGTATCTAGGGAGACGTCTCGTACTGCATATCAGGTGCTTGAGGACCAGTTCATGTCGGTGATCGAGATGTCTCCGTATCTCGACCCAGTATTCGGAATGGCGATTGCTGATTACATGGCAGAGTTTCCTGATCCGGATTTGGATTCGGACGGCGCACCTGACTTTGCAGCACATGCGCAGCGCTTTTGGCAGATTAACCCGCGCTTCAGACCAGACAATGCCCCTCCAGCTGAGCCGGAACAGCTTTACCCATTCAACACGCTGCCTGATGACGGCGTGGAGCCTCGGCGCTATCTATAGATTCGCAGCTCTTCTGCGGCATACATTGCGGCGCGTTGTCGAGACACGGCGTTGATGTCCATATCAGATATGTCTACAATGGAGGTTTTCAGTAATAGAATTCTCATGGCCTTCATCGTTTGCGAATAAAACCCTAATTTTAAACCGCGGCTTTGACGATCTTGCTTCTTTATTTCGTCTCGTGTCATGTCTTCGAAATTCAACCGTCTGAATGTCCCTGAAACTCGAACTATCAAATGTGCTTAATGCTGTCACGAAAATAGAATACACCCGCTTTGTTCTTTGCACTGGATAAAAAGGGTACGGCGACTCCAATTGATGTCAACATTGTGTAACAGCCTTGCTTTGTCTTCGTACAATGTGACAAAGGTTGCCATATGCGATCGAATTTCAAAAACATACAACCCAGAATGTAAAAATATCTGCTCAACGAAACTGTCTTCTTAGTCCTTGAATGATCTGAAGCGTACTTTCGAATCGGACTGATAAAACTTGCAGTTCAGGTCCGCGTATTCTCGACTCTCTAACCGCTTCCTTTGTACATTCACTCATGGCTCAATCAACAGACGGAAGTAAATTGGTTATGGTACACTATAGGAAAGATGGTAGGATCGAAGTCCGGGACTCGAGTGAATTTATCAAGCGCCCAAGAACACCTAGAACACTACTGCCACCACATCTTCACTACAGAAGCAAAGATCGCTCGCATGTCTGCAGGTGTTCGGATTCGAGACGACACAAGCAATCTTCGCCTGTCGCATTACACTCGACGCATTTGGAAACAGACATAATTCGCTACCTCGACCGGCATCGCCTTAACAAGAGCCCCATGGATGATTTCTACGCTTATCAAAGATCGCAGAACGAACATTGGGCGAGCTCAAGGGTTCACGTCGAGGACTTCCATTACGCAACTGCGCAAAAGGACGTAGTATGCCGCTGCACAAGGCCGAACAACCATGGGCAGGGATGGGTTCGTAACACCGAGATTATCGAGATGTGCGCCGAATTCTTTTGCAGGAACAAAGCGAAGATGACGTGTACAAAAGCACAATGGCGCACGGCTGGCACCGTTTCACCCGGGAACAATGCCTCACAGAGATTTATTGCTCCAAACAAAGACGCCGCCAACATCATTCCTGTCGAGGGAGACATCATCTCAAAGAGCATTCCTTTCAAGTACGACTCGAAATCGACAACGGACCTTCTTCGCGCCCGTGCTGATGCGAGCGTCGATACACCTTATCCTTCACCGAAGTCGGATATGGAACACCTCCGTAGCGAACCAAGCGGCGCGCCCGACATCCCCGAGGAAGTCTGGACTAAAGCTCGTCCATCTGTTTGGACCGATAGGCGTGTTTCCGCGTCGTCTAGTAGCACGCCTTTGGGAACCGCTCCAGTTTCTCACTTCCCCACTGGCCAAGTCTCTCATGCGTTCATTTCCGAGCATGAAGTGGCTATTCACCACGCATCTGCAGCGACGATCTGGTCACAGGTCCAGCGAGACGCGGAGGGCGAATTGTACAAGATTCCTACCGCTTCTTCGGCCTGTTCGCTAACACCCACTCGTACCAAAATTCTTGCAGACACATTTGGCGCCAGTATATTGCAGAAACCCAGTTGCGCTGAGCCTTCATATTATGCACGCCCTCGTAGATCGTCCTCTCTTTACTCCGACGATCCTGAAGTAAGCCCGGGTATGATCTCGTTGTACACCTCGGAAGCTTCGGATGAAGAGCAGCAGTTTTTGCCAAAGGTCTATGAACTTCCTTCTCAGCATGTACCTGCTGAGCTATTCACCATTCGAAATCGGCATGAGCTTGTGGGTGGCGCAGTGGCTGGAATTGATTACCAAGCGGTGTATCTCCGGGAGCTTGAGGGAAATAGACCCGGGTCATACTCTGGATGGCCAGGTAGGCAAGCTTGCATCAGTATTGTACCAAGCTCACTTTCTCAGAAAAGCATGGAGCCTTCACCTCGCCTTTCTACCATCTTCCAAGAGATTGAGGCTGTGGTCGGTTTGCCTGACCAGGAAGAGTTCCTACTTCGGCACGTTGCTGTATGCTCACGCGCCAATCCACCACCTTTGCGTAACTGCTCACTGTGCAAACAACCGCATAGAGACCGAGGTAGGAGAGCCATCGGACTGCCTGGCTGTGGTCACTTCCTGCACGAGGGGTGCCTTATCGCCGATTTTCGAATTCGCGATGAGTCTATCGGTCGATGCCCACTTTGCCGTCTCGCGTTATGCATGCGCGATCTAGCTGACTGCTTGGAGACGGATCGCAAGGCTATCTTTGGCTCTCAACACACTAGACGACATGATGAGGTGCGTATCGAGTTTCAAATCCGAGGCCAGATCGCGCGTTTGCAGTCTGAAGAAGAGTTCGCTGCTGCACAGCTGCGTCTTCTCAAAGACTATATCGAAGTCCATGCGGATGAGTGTTGGCAGCAGTGGCAAGCACATACTTCCACGGAGCCCGACTGGTTCGGCGAAGTAATCAAGCCTTCCATCAAACTCTTCAAAGGTTGGAACTTGCCATCGCAACAAAGCCGATACTTCTGCGATCGCGATGCGTTCCTCAAGTTTGTTGCATGGGCCGAACTGGTTCGTCTCATGAATGTCACTAAGGTGGCCGCATCAAAGGTACAAGGCCCACGTACACCTTTCCCTTCTCTTGCTGAGTTACACCGCAAATTTTTTTGGTCGAAAGATCGGTATGAGAAGGAGAAGAATATATGGAAGACGACTCGTAGTGGGGTTCTTGATTGCGAAAAGGTTGCGCAAGATGCTTACAACCTGGCCATGAGCACACTATCCTGCCTCAACTAATCCCGTATGAACAATATGATCACATGCAATCGGATTCATGCTCCACATGCAAGAGAATCTCATGTGCTTTCACTACATCACTCTCACCAATACATTCACTACTGTCCCTTTCACGTGCTCAAGGCGTTCCCTCTCGTCAGTATTCACTCTCACCTGTAACCCGATTTCCATTTTCGCTGTAGCCTCATGACTAGGCAGCGACACTTTTTTTTCTCATTTGTTTTGATCGCCCGTCACAAACCAAGAGTTGCGAGAACCCGGAAGAAGCGCACCAATGCCAACAGCCAAAGCGCTCAACTTGATAGCCATGGCGCAAACCGAGAAAGCCGCGCATCACCATTGCAACCACTGCGGCTCGACTCACGCGAATGGAGAGCTTCCATGCCAGGAATACTTCCTCGAGCGGCATCTCATCCCAGCGCACCCCGTCACCGTGCTGCCCTCTGAAGGCACAGGGTGTGGCATTTGCCTCGAGAACATCAGTCTCCCACCTTCAGCAAGCGAATGTCAACATCTGGCCCTCTCCAAGGAGGTAGTCTTCCTGCTACCATGCCGACACTTCTTCCATCAATCCTGCATCCTTATCTGGCATTCGGGTATCCGGCCTGAGCGCGATACCTGCCCGATCTGTCGTCGCACACTATTCATCGCAGACCCTCTAACGCCAGCCCAGCTCGACCTGCTACACGAAGAAGAGCTCGAAAACCAGCATACAGATACTGTAGAGCAAGAGACAGAGCAGGAGAACGAGTTGGACACAGATCCAGACGATCAGCGACCTACGTGGGTGTTTATGAACGGAGAGTTCATGTCGATGGACATAGTCGCCGGTCTGGTGATCAAACGGGAGTCTGACAACTTAGATGCCGTTGGCCATTTCAATTGGTACGACGTGTGCACGAGCATACACACCGCCTTGTTGACCGTCAATGGTCCCCTGCGACCCATCTTCCGCGAGCATAGGGACACGTTCGTCTTGTGCGTCCATGCTGCAGCCGCACTAGTTGCTATCGAAAATAGCGACATCATCATGGCGGAAGCAGATAGGGACGACTTTCTTGTTTGGTTCCGGTGCCTCATATCAGACATGAGTGCCGAACTAGCAGAGAAGCTCTGTCAAGAGATGAGCAAAGACGGTCTCTTTGTCACGCCATTACAGCCGATTGTGGTAGCACCGTGGACCTACCGAGAACGCCCGCACATGACCACCGATGCCTTCCGATATATTCTAGGCGATGTGATCAAGAGCAGAGAGGGGAGAGAGGGCAGGGGATTGCGCGCAAGATTGCGCCGCGTCGCAAGGAAATTTTGGCCGAGCCATTGGACCTAAGACTTCACCGCATGGGCAGCATGCTACATTGCGAGGACAGGACTGGAACAGAACAGGAGCGCGTTTGATTCTTTTGAAAAGCCAGGGTTGTTCTTTTTCATAGAGGAGACGCGTCGGGACACGGACACTTGAGGGACGATTTACTCCGCAAGTTGCGAACATCGAAACAGCGCAATGATAAGGCTGGAATTTAAGGTTGGTTTAAAATGCATTACATTCGCATACAGCGTTGGTGATATGAGAAGAATAGGTCGCGTTATTTGAGGCAAAATGATGTCATGATATGCATTGCGTCTAGCGGAAGATTCATCTAACACCAATCTGGCGTTTCAAGGCTACTAACAATCACCATATCAACTTGAACTAGAAGCGCGTAGTGCAGCTAACACTCCGTGCTTTCGATGAGCACGCTGTAATGACAGTTCTTGCGCCTAACGACGTACTGACCGCTAGAAACGTTGAGAACAGCCCGCTTTGTCTCAATCATTGTCTCGCCTGAATCTCCAGCCATCTCGCCCACGAACTCCACCTCAGTCCCATGGAAGGAGTATCCTGGAGGAACAACAATAGTTCCTACAAGAGACGTTTCGCATCCCTTGTGCCGCTTGACGGTAACTGTGTCCGAGGGGCCGTAGACCTCTGACACAACAAAACCTGGTTCGACTTGCATGTATATGCCGACGCAAGTCTTGATCACCACAAGACCCTCAGACTCAACGATACAATCAACAAGGTCAAGGTCCCATGAGAAACCAGCCTTGAGGAACACCTCGATACGTAGGTCACGCGGATATGTAAGTGACGGAGGTGAGCACTTGTCCGTGGAGTTTGGTAGCTGACTAGATGCTTCAACTAAGTCCTTATCGGCTGGATTACGAGTAAGAGGTTATTTCCTCAGACCAAGTAGCAGATCTAAAGTCCTTGTGTGATATCAGACCTAGAAGCCTCCATGTTGCTCGCAAGACATTGATATCTGCATCAGCACGCTCCAAGCGTTGCTGTTCCGTTTTCAGATGTTCTATTAGCTTGGAGCTAATTGTAGGCTCAACAAATGTAATCACAGAAAATCCGATCAAGGAAGCCACGGGTAGTAATATCAACGTTGACGGCTGGTAGAAGAAGGATCTCGTGAGATAGTATAACGACCGTTGCGATCAGGACGATGTACTCTGCATCTGCAACAGACACAGCAAGGTCCTCGACAATATGAAACTCGGCGATGATGGGATCAAAAACCAGTCTTTCCCAATCGACTGGACCAATCCTGGCAGCTGTAGACATCTCGCGAACGGCAGAACGTATGCGCTGCTTGAGTGGTAGTGCAATACGAGCCAGCATGGCCGGATCTACACTGCACTTGCCCTGGTAGTCTTTGTCGAATATGGCTCGTTGAGCAACGCGGACAATGGATGTAACGGTTAGACTCATACTCGTTGACCTAAGTTTGTATGATTCTCCATGGGACATTTATGGCATACATTCTATTTAAGGGCTGACTAACACTGTGCGCGAGCAACGAAAGAAAATACAAAGAAGGCACGGTGCATATCTGACACTGGCGCGTCTAGACACAATGCACAAGAAACAACGCTGGCTACTTTTAGATGCAACGGCGAGGCAAACGCGATGTAACATTGCGAGGTCGTTCTAAACACTAACTACCAAACAGTAAGGTCCGACAATTGCGAAACTAACCCTGCCTCAATAATCAACGTGCCTAGACCCACGGCTTGATAAGCCTCAAAAATTGTGCGCGTATCTGCGTGCTCCTCGAAATCGGCGAAAGTATCCATCTTGACAACTAGCGCCGTAGTATTCAGGTTAGCTTCAGTGGCTCTGTGCCACAGCAGCTGCATGGTTACGACCAACACTAAAAATTCCATGCTACCGCATGGCTCCGCAAGTCCCGTTCGGTCCATAGATCTGAACCTTTTCAGGGCGTGCATGATCAAGTAAGCCCAGTGACGCCCGGTTGGTCTTACCTCATCAACCTCATTTTCTTCAACCATATTATTTCGCCCATTATGCCCCTCAGTTTCTCCTTCTCCGCTGTAATGCTGCCAGTCAGGTCCCGAATTCTCTTCGAGATCATCAAAGACAATGGCTCGCTCCACCAGCAAGCTTGTCCAGAGCTCCGAATTAGCTTCGTCCACCAGTTCTTGCCATATCGTATTAACTGCTAAGTGTATGGTAGGTAGCAGTTCAGACAGTGAATCTCTACTGGCGCTCATATCCTCCCAATGATTCTCGGGATTTTCGAAGTGCTCCATTGGGATGGAGAAATGTCCATCGCCTTCAGGGTCCGGTCTGATGCAAAGTTTTCGGCGACAGATTGGGCAGGTCGCTACCTTCTCCGCGCCTTCGGTGAGCCACAGCTCGATGCATCCGTGATGGAAGAGATGATGACAGGGCAGGCTGACGATGGAAGTGGCGTCTTCATTCCATGGCCTGATGCAGATACCGCAAATGTCGTTCAAATCTGACGGTTCAGCAGGTGTGAGTTCAAACCCGAGGAAGGAAGCTAGATCGGGGACAATAGAGAGGAAGGAGTACAGATCGGAAGTGGCTTGCTGGGACATTTTGAAAAGACTTTAGTCTGCGTGGTGCAGAAATGTGAGCAAGATGAGGGGCTATGGAAGCGGCTGAGCAGATTTTATATACTGGTGTCTCAAAAACTCAGCGGAACAATATTTTGATAGTGTCGCGATATACCTTGGATTGGCGTTGGGGCACTAGCCACGGAAAACCCACGCGCACTCAGCAAGGTACACACACTTACCTCGGAACTCATTATGTCTAGATTCCTAACGCTCTTTGCCAACACGCGAATAATCAATACTGATTGTTTGACTTTCCAGGTTTCAGCGCTTAGCGATATTGCGACCCATCTGCGGCGCATTCATGAGCACACTTCCGATGCCACTGGCCTGTATAGCTGCTCAGGTAACCATGTATGTGTAGATAACTCAGATGCTCGAGACCATACGATAGAAGAGCTGCGCCTATAAACAACGACGAGAGACAAAATTAAACCTTCATCCATGTCTACAAGTGCTCCACGGGTAGAGGTAACTACCTGCACAATCTGTTCACCGCGAAAAGTCAAGACTTCTTCGCTTAGTGCTAGAATTGACACGGCTTTTTCTGCAATACAACGCCTCGTCACTTCACGCTTTCACTCGATCTTACCCGAACAGGTTAGCGCGAACTGCTCTGTGTCGAGACAACGTGCCTGCTTTCTCAAAGGCAGCCGCCTGCCTCCTCCATATTTCCAACATCGCTTAGGAAGTACAGGCCCTTTACTGTATCCACGCAACCTTTTCCAGCATCAACTCCTGCTCCAACCACAGATGACATGTCACTTCCTGCTTCTCCCACCGAGACCTCTGGCGCTATGTCTGAGCATCTCTCTTCCACACCTCAACTACAGGTGCTGCAAGATCGCGCCTCATCAAGCTCCACTGCCGATCAGCCCCCCACGTCCTACTTCTTCTAGCTCGACATCTCCACCCCCTCCACAAGACAAATTGCTTGCTGAGGCCTTCGTCAACTTGGCTCCACTCATGAGCTCCAGTTCACAAAAAACCGGAGAGATCTACATCGTCCCAGCCGTGGTCATCCTCGACCACGCCGACACTACAACGCTGGACGACTGTCATGACGAGGATGCCGCACAGCCTGGTCCCCCTGATGTCACACCTCAGCATAACTCTTTCTCCATACCAGCCCTGACTAAGGGAAAGCACGAAGATTTCCCCTCTCGCGCCTCTTCACCGCCGGCTTTGAATGACGAGGCTATTGGAAATGATAGCCGACAACCCCGATCTCAAGGCGTCGAAGAGCCTGCACATCGTATGAAGCGTAAACATCGAGATACGCTTGCCGAAAGAGACGACAAGGAAATCGGCGTCGAGGAGGTTACAGCTCCTCGTGCAAAGAAAATGAAGGTTTAAAAAGATCCAGAGCCCGACAAAATTACATCAACGGCCAGACCAGAGAAGATGGTATCGCCAAAGAAGAAGCCTTCGGCGAGGACACGACCGAGGAAGGATCGAGTCGCAAAGTCAACATCAGCGCCGAAGATTGGGCGGAGCAGGACATGGCGTAATCAAGACCATGGGAAGATGCTCGATACTCTAGCTAATCAAGAGCAAAAGCGCATGTTGACTGCCCAGAATTCGCACCTCGCCGCGATGCAAAAGGCCCCTGGTTACGAGACAGTCACTCAGGTTGCGGCCACGGTGGAGGCTCACCAGAACAACATCAACAAGGCAAAGGTCCAGATCAAACACATAGCATCTGCTCTTGGTCCTGGTACCAACCGAAACCGAGACGTTGGCGGCAAGACGAACAAATTTGATCGACAAGACGCCCACATCGCTCTGAACACAGACAGTATCGGCGCTTGGACGGGCTCAAAGTGGCAAGACGAGCAGAATGAAAACATGATATGGTTCAGAATTCCTGCTAAGCAGAAGACACTTTCGCTAGCTGGCCGCATGGTACCCATGGCCGAGATCATTGCCAAGTCCGCTAAGTTCCCAGAATTCACCCTCATGCGGAAGGAAATGACGGAGAACTCCAAGACTAGGAAGAAGGAAGTCGGCTTTTACACAATCACGTATGAGAAACTTGAGCCCGAACAGGCTACTGCACGCGGAGAGGTTTTGCTTCGACAGGCCAAGGCTGAGGCGACTCAACGCAAGAAGGATGAGGCTGCCGAGAGGCGTCGAGAAGCTCGTGGGGGAGCCGCATCGAGGAAGAAGTCTCGTGCTTGAAATTTCGAAGATTCTTCAATGACACGATGTTGCATGTATATTTGTCTTCTTTCAGGTGCTCGTAGGAAACGATGATTACGAAATTTGATCTTAGTCCTCGAGACTTTCTTCCTATTCGTGCATACAACTCGATTTAGACCCAATAACCATATATGAAAGCCGTCCTTCACTGAATTCATTTTAAATTAGCGCCTGAGTGTCGCTTATCAGGGAGATTCACCCTCTCTAGTGTACTTTGTCAGTAATCTGCTATTATTCCAAGTCAATCTATGCAAATTCTACCACACTGTGGATGCAAGATTGTCGCTGCCAGACGTCCATGTGAGATGTCTCGAGGACGTATCGTGCTTTTGTTCATATCGTCTCTTTATAGTGTGTCCTCTCCAGACTATGGTAGTGAATGGCGATGGCCACCAGGACCGGACCACGTGAAACCTTTCTTTCACTTTCACCACCACAACCAGCCGAATGTTTCTCACATCCCATTTACGTCATACAATGGCCTCTTCCAGGCTCTGGTAAGAGCTCATGGCCCCACAGCGTCAGGGTCACCTCCATTCACCATACACTGCGCGCGCGTAGGACCGCACGAGCCCTATTTATTCTTCCCGCGCCTATGGAGAACCCTCTCGCGACAACTTCGGGGCTTGGAAAACCAACTCACGGTCGAAAGTACTCAACCAAGTGCTAACTTCCGCGAGTCTTCCTACCCACAGGTGGCCTTTTCCCCACTCTTTGCCCAGCTCACATCCCCATGTCTGGACCTCCACACCACGTTCAGCCCACAATGTCTGCTCCCAAGCGCAAGTATGTGGATGATTTATCTCCCTCTTACAAGCGTGCCATTGTCGGCTCGTCACAAGTCGGCCGTGACGTGCAAGCTGGACCAGTCGACCCTCGCCGTGATACCACAGAGTATATGCGATCACTATCACGATACCTCCCTGGTTTTAATTCCGGCGTGGCGCCCCCAGTCCCGGTGCTGGAGCCTCCTGCTGAAGTGAGACTCGATCCCCCACCCCCTTTGACGTCTAGTGTACTGACTTTCGAGAAGCTGGATCGGCCCAAGCACCAGTACATCCCTCGAGATACGAATCGGGTACGACGACCGAACCTACTTTTGCCCGAGGCGCAACAATATCCACAAGTAGACCAGCGCTTTGCTCTCTACCACGTTGTGCCGCCCGAGAGCTACCAGAAGCACACGGTTGAGCGGTGTGCAGGTGGTAAACCATACAAGCCCCATGCGGTGATAATTGGAGTCAAGGAGCCTGTGGGCACCCCAACCGACGCATCTTTTGAGGCGATGTTCGGAGTTAAGCAGGCTGCCTCTCCTCAAATCCCATTCGAACAGCCCGTTGTGCAGCATACTGAGCCCTACTCTGTGCAAGCTGCGCATCTACCGCATCATCATACCCCTACAATCGGCTACAACGACGCAAGCTCGCGCGAATATGCACGTGTCGTAGGCCAGACCTCCTACGGGCAAGTGTACAATGGAGGTAGGCAAGCAGCTTTTGCCACCGCACAGTCGAAGGACTTTGAAGTAGCCTCCGAGTATTTGGAATCCGCTCGTCGGGAGATAGGTGATAGGAAGCCCCATGTTCCGCAAATTCCCGCTATCCCAAAGGCCTATCATTTCGACTTCCACAGCGACATCCCGGCCTTCAAGCCAAGCGAAATATGGAGCTTGCGACATCTCCGCCCAAACGATCGTTCGAAGATTTACTTGGGCTTCGTCTTCTATTACAAGACAATGATCGTCACTCCTCCAAAGTCTCCGAAGTGGTGGCAGGCTTGGTCTGTCCTGAAGGACAAGACAGCGATGCTTCGTATAGCAGAACTCAAGCTCTACACACTTTTTTCACCACGCCAGGGAGAGAATCAAAAGTCTCGAGCGAAGCGAGAGGCTGAATGGGTCCAGCTGGTCGGCGATCAGGATTGCGCGTGGAGCATTGATCCTGCCACACAACAGCTCCGGCGCGTCAAGGACTCTACCACGATAGATCTGACCGTTGACTCTGAAACAGCTGTGCAAGGTCCTACTCCAACATGGAAGGCTGCGGAAGACTTCCTAGCAATTGTAGAGCGTCGTGCCGAAGATCTCGCGCCAGTCCAAGAGACTGCCCGAGAGATTGTGAACGATGCCCCGAAGCCTGTCATCGAGGTATCCGATCCAGTCCCAGAACCTGCTCGTCAGTCGAAGAAGCGACCTGCAGAGTCTGACATCGAGATTGATCCTGGCCAAGTCCGACCTCCGGCCAAGACAGCGCGAGGTCCGGACAACGACAGCCCATCCCCCGAGGGCGCTGAGTCGCCGAAACTTCCACCTTTGCCAGCATTCAAGACCACGGTCCGAGACACCCTGGAGGAGCAAAAGAAGAACGGGTTTTCTGGAACGGCCCCCAGGTACCGTGCCGACGAGAAGGAACTTGGCGGTGGGCGGACCAGCAAATATGCCTGGCTTGCACACTACCAAACGGAGCGGGTCGCAGATCAGGCAAAACTCCCACGCAAGCCAGAACTTTGGGGCTACACGGACGAAAAGAATGCAGCGTTACCATACTATAAGCGACAGTACTCTGGAGACTCCGTGGGTCTGCCTGATCACCCGTCGGAAAACATCGAGGACTACGCGACAGACAGCCTTGGACGGTACCAGTGCTTCCATACGGAGGGCAAGTGCGCGATGAAGGACGGCAAGTGCGGCCATAAATGCTGCACCGAAGGCAACGATCTCAAAGGGCTCAAGAGTAGTATTGCAAAGGGTCGAGACACGTACAGGAAAGCCGTGGTGCTCAACGTGTGCAGGAAACTTCTCGACGATCGGCACATCTTCTGGGGCAAGTTGAACGCGGAACAGGAAAAGATTGCAGTCCGTGAAAAAGCCGGTGGAAGAGTCTACAAGAAGAGAAATCCCAAGGCTCAGGCTCCCGCGCCTGCGCCTTCGCGACAAGCCGCGATTCCAGCGAAGCCAGCGGTGGTACCACAGGTGAAGATTAATCCAAAGGCTCAAGCTCTCACGCTTTCGCAACAAGCGGCCGTTCCAGCTCAGACCGTGGTGATACCAAAGGCGAAGAAAACACCCGAGGAAGAGTTCGTGGACCTCATCGCTTATCGTCGCGAGGACTACGCTCGTACTCGACACTACCCCGACTTCGAATACTTCGATAAGTGGTGGAATGCCGCGCGCCTCAAGAAGTTCAAGCTCCCTGCGACAGCCGAGGAGCAAGCAATGTGGCAGAAGCCCGGCCCGCATAGACTCCGCGACGCGCCATCCGAGGCGCAGCAGAAGAGGCTGGATGCTGCGGCTCGACAGAAGCAAGAAGCGGAGGTAGAGATTGCGCGGAAGAAGAAGGAAGCTGAGGCAAACATCGAGCGGGAGAAACAACAAACTGCTCAGGCTAAGATGAAGAAGAAGAGTCAGGAAGCCGTCGCTGCAGAGGCAGAAATACAGCGACACAAACGCAGAGCCGAGATATCGAACTCGAATACTTCCCACATCGAGCCCGTGGACGAGGGATGGCTCGATGCCGACCTCGACGACTTGTTCGAAGACTGAACAACACTCCCACATCCACTCGATGCCAAATTCCCACGCGAGACAATACGCGATGCCAGACTTCTTTTCCCCAATTTTCGTTGCTTTGCTTGTAACTTCTCCCGCGCGATGATACCTTTCTCTCTGGATATGGCGTTGGGATCTACGATTTGAGTTGTTGCGTGTTGGGACGAAACGAAAACGATTTATCGCGTTGTGAAAATGCAATACCTTGAACTATTAAAAAATCTGTGAACAATGATTGCTTCTCGAATGGAGCTGAGTTCAAGTTTAGTTTTGATGATGATAGTACTGTCTTGAGGTTTCTGAAAATGGTGAAAGCCACGAGAATCCCAAAGCCATATACACCTTACCACCATTTCATTCCATTCTATTCTCTTGTCAACTCCAAAGCTCAGCCTCGTAAGTCGTTACGCACACACACAATCACACAAACATACCGTCTCAACCCCATACCCTTTAATCCACAACCTCCAACATCCCATACGCCCTCCCCCCCACCGCCTTCCTCACCGTCTCCAGCGGATCAACCCCCTTCTCCACCCTCCTAATCTCGACCATGCCGTCCTCGCCCTCAATCTCCACTTCGACCTCCTCCTCCCCAAGCTCAAACGCCCCAGACTCCAGGAACGCGCGCAGCATGCCCTGCGAATACCCACTAACAAGGCTCGTATCGCCGTCGTCTACGGTAGCCGGCTTGCCCGTCGCACTTGCGGCCAAGTTCCAGAAGATCAGGCGCGGCATGACGTATCCAGCGTTTGCGTATTTGGCTTTGATGCGCGAGAAGGCAGAAGACCAGCGGTCCGTGCGTGAATCCGCTTGGTCGAATTGCATGTCTGAGAAGACAAAGACTTGCTTGACCATGTCGTCCTGTTTTAGTTGGTTCTTGACGGCCATGGGGAGGATGACGTCTTCGAAGACGGCAGTGAAGTTCGTGCTGCCGCCCCATGGAGTAGACTCCATGTACTTGACTGTGTCGACAAGGCCTTGGTCGGGCTTGATGGTCAGGTACGTGGGAGACGAGGAGAAGTTGATGAAGCCGCCGCCAAAGGGCGCGGCGGTGACGGAGGATATGAGTAGAGATAGCCCAATGGCAGAGTCCATGGGGACGGAGGAGTCTTTCAAGACAGGCCCGTCCATGCTGCCGCTGACGTCGCAGAGGGCGATGGAGGAGGTCAAGGTGCCAGCATCGCGGACGCGCTGAACGAGGGTAGTCCATTGGCCGTCGATGACGTTGCGTTGAATGTCGAGTTCGGCGGCGAGTTTGAGGGCTTTCATACCCTTTAGTTCGTTTCTGGATGCTTGGCGTGCGAGGGAACGAGCTTTTGCAATTAGGGTTGATGGCAGAAGAGTCGCGCCCGAGATTTTTGCGGTGCCTTTTGCGACGTCTTCGATGTATGATTTGAAGCGCGGCATGTCTTTCTTCATGAAGAGGCCCGTGTAGCGATCCATGGCAAGCGAAGGAACACGGCTGTACTCGATGTTGCTGAAAGTGTTGGCAGCGATATCGCGCTCGACGACACTGAGAGCCTTGCGAAGTGGTGAAGCATATTCCTTGCGGTAGACCTCACGGACAAGGCGGAGGTAGTGCTCGCGATTGTCCCGAGGAGAGCAGTTTGAGATCGGATCGGGCAATAGAGCTTCTGCGATAGACGATAGAATGAAAGTGTGCTTGTCGTGGAACTCGGAGAAAGTGGGCGACCATTTCGCTGCGAGGGACAGCTTCTTCAAGTCGGACTTCTTGCCTGAGTCTAGAAGTACCTTGTCTTCCTTCATCTGCTTGGCGAAGAGTCGGGCGACGGTGAAGTGAAGAGCGCGATAGAAAGGGTCTTCGATGATTTTACGCTGGACGCGATTGTTTTGATCCTTCTTCCACGTACGCCTGGCCTCTTTTGCGGTGGCCTGATCCCAATTGCGCTTGTTCTTACCCACCTTTGAGTTGTCTGGCTTCTTGATGAGAAGCGCATCCGGATCACCGTCAACCCTGAGCTGATCGTTGGCTGCGAAGACGACAAGGTTGAGAAGATCCTTCCAATAGCCATGGGACAATCCATGTCGGACATCGTGAGCTTTGTCCGGACCTGCTTCTTCAACTCCGATCGTATCGAAATTTTCGTCTACACTCATCTTCTCCGTCTCCCCGTCATCTGACTTGGGAGCCTTCTTCGCAATGACTGGACGCACGAGCCATGGCAAGTTCGTGAGGAGCGTAAGAGGGTGTTCTTGTGCGAGCCAACCGAAAGCCTTGTACGCAGCGACCCTATTGCTCTTACCCAAGTGGATGCTGCGTGCATTAAAGATGATCTTTAATGTCAGTGCCGCATCCTCCTTCCAGGCTGCGTCAAGCAAGGTCTTCAGTTGACGGCCCGCTGTGTTCTCACCAAGGTCGTAGAAGAGGTCGACAAGAGCGTTCTGAGAGGAGATGTTGGTGACATCTCCGTTCGCAGTGAGTGTCTTATTTTCGGCAGACAGGTCTTCAGTTGTGCGCTGGTAGACTTCATGCTTCTCCAGTCCCGCAAGGAATGGCGCTTTCTGTGCCCGATTGTTGTCAGGTTCTGAGGAAGCTCGTCGCTTGAGAGTGTTAGTACTCACAGACGCATGATAAAGCGGCCGTCGGGCTCCTGCTGATTCGATGTTTTTGAGCTCTTCCTCTAGTTCGTCCAAGCGAGTTCGAGAAAGTTCTTGTTTAATGAAAGCCTGAAAGTCCGCATCGTTCATGAACAGTGCATCATGTCGGGGGAGCAGGACGGGAAAAGAGGAATCCAAAACCGTATGGGTAGGCACATCGGAAGCCATGTCGGCGGGATCTTGCGTTGTCATGGAGTGTGGGAGGCTCCTCAGTGGTTCCTCCAATACTGTCTTGGTGAAAAGTGTCGACTTTGCGTGTACGGAAACCCAAGATCAGCAAACCAGCCGAGAGACTGAGAAACAAAAGCGCAGGCTCTGGAAAACCTGGGTCAAGCTTGTTATAACCAGTAGTCTAGCGTCACACAACAACAAACGGGAAGGCGCATGTTGTTGCCTGGTCACGGGATTGTCACACCTGGCTACCGCCTTTTGCCCCACGACTGCCAGGTGAAGTTGAAAAAAGGGCGCAGTAGCAGTTCCCAAGAGTAAAGTAATGTGGCCGTATTGGTGTGGGAGAACACGCGCATATATCCATAGATGCGCATGTGTAGCTGAGGCGGTGCCAAGCATACGCCTGTATACACGTGCAGCCCTGGAGATACGTCTTGTCGATGCGATAATATCTGAACGATGTATCAATCATTTATGCACATAGGATGTCAATCAGAAGTACCAAGCGGTTCAGATGATGATGAAATTTTCCTATCCGTGTGTATCCTATACCCCGAAGACGCTATGCAAAAACCAATATCCTACACTGAAGACATTCATGAAACCTGAATTAACATGGTAAAACGAGGAAAAGCCAACAGAGAAAGCTATTTCGTCAAGTCGTTAGAAATGTCAAAACAATGCCGCCGGTCGTCGTGTCGTGCTTCCCAATCTACTACCGAAAACAGCCAGAGTCTACGCAAGAAAAGCCAGCGCGCAAACTCTCCAGGCATACCAATCTATGCAGCCAAGAAATCCTCATCAACTTCATCCGCACCAACCTTCGCATCGTCATCCTCCTGCTCCTCAAACATGCCTGAATCGCGCCAATTGCGCGTCGTCATGCGCTTCTTGCTGCCCTTCTTGCCGACCTTGACCTTTTCCGTAGTCTTGACAATCTTGCCCGTGGCGACCTTTCGTAGATCAACGTCGCGAGCCTTGACCACGACGTGCGCGGCCTTCATGTCCTGGACAGCCTTGAGAGTGTCGGCGTTGCGCGCCTTGAGTGCGGCGGCGAGGACTTCATTTTGCTCAAGGAGTTGGCGGTGGGAGAGCGTGAGGGCGTCAATGGTCTCGCGCGTGTCTTGTTCTTGCTTGGCGAAGCGCTTCTTGAGTTCTTCGATTTGGGTCGTGAGGGTGTTGATGGTTTCGATCTGCGCAGTGCCCATGACCTTAAGCTCTTCGATCTCGGTCTCGAGAGTGGTGACGGTCTCTTCGTGCTCGGCGGCGAACTCTGCGGCGTTGGACTGGTGGTTTTTGATGGTCGCTTCGAGAGTGGATATGGTGGCGTGCAGGGCCGTGGACTCCTTGGAGTGCGAGTTCATCATAGAGAGAAGCTCGTTGGCTTCGGATTCGACTCGCTGGGAGAGAGACGCAATCTCCTTCTGGTTCTTCTCGTTATCGGCACGCTCGACAGCAAGGTCATCCTTGAGCTCGACGACCTCCTCCTTGAGCAGGGTAGTGTCCTGCTCGTAGAGGTCATCCTTGTCAGCAATCACCTGGTTGAGACGCTTAATCTCAACCTGCTGTTGCTGGACTTGGTTGCTGAGATCGGTGATGTTGGCCTGCAGAGATTCGATGGTGGAGTTGGAAGAGTTCTCCAGGGCGGTGTACTTTGCCCTCAGATCAATGAGCTGTTGGTTGAGGACGGCGACCTGCTGCTCACGGTCCTGTTCAAGCTGCTGGCGAGCCTCCGTCATGTTGACCAGATCGACGTCGTAAGTCGCCAAGTTGGCCTCAAGATCCTCAATCTGCTTGCTCAGCTTCTCGACAGTCTTCTCCGCAACGATGCGCGCCTCCTGCTCGGTGTCGATCTGGTTGTTGAGGGCATCCTCGCGTTCTTGCGACTCTTCCTCAAGCGCCTCGATCTGCTGCTGCTTCTCTTGTTGCAGCTGGAACAACTTGGCGCGAAGCTCGTTTGCCTGAATACCGGCGTTATGCACGGCGGTGTTGAGGTCTTCAATCTTCTCGTTCGCGTCATCAAGGGCAGCCTCAGTCTTCTCACGCTGCGCACGCTCGGTGGCCAGATTGTCCTGGAATTCCGTGATCTGTGCACGAAGATCGACGATGGTTTCGTTTAGTCCCTCAATGGTGTTGGCGTACTCGTTGGCGATCTCAGCCTGCTCGTCGCGTTGCTCTTCTGCAGCTTCGCGGGCTTCAGTCTGCTGGGTGAGTCGCTGAACGAGCTGGGTGAGCTCCTCGGTGAGCTTCTCCACCTCTGCCTCTAGGCTCTCGATGCGACGATCAAGATCCTCAATGTACTCGCCTTTCTGCAGAGCATCCGTCTCGGCAGCTTCGCGAGCATCTTGCTCGACAGTAAGGTCTGCCTCAAGAGCACTGACCTGCTCACTGTGCTCCTGCTCCATGCGCGCAATGGTCTGTTCATGCTCGGTCTCGAGACGGGTGACGGTCAGCGTGACTGATTCAAGGTCCATGCGGTAGGTCTCGGAGGCGTCGCGAAGGCGCTCAAGTGCGGTGTCCTTCTCCTCGACTTCGCTGTTGAGTCCGTCGATCTGAGCGGTCTGGTCACGCAGCTCAGTCTCTTGGCCTTGAGTCAGCTCGGTCAATGTGGTGATCTGCTCCTCGAGATCCATGATGGTCCGCTGCTTCTCCTCGTTGCTCTTGTCGAGGCTGTACTCCTTCTGCTCAAGCTCCTTGACGCGGTCCTCTGAATCGCCGAGAAGATCCAGGACGCCCTCGAACTGTCGGCGCAACAGCATCTCCGTCTTCTGGGAGGTGCTCAACAGGGTGATCTTCTCCTTGACCTCGGCGAAGATACCCCTGAAGAGCTCGGGAATCTTGGATAGAAGCTGCTGGTTTGTGAGGCCAATAGTCATGTTCGGGAAGAAGCGCTCAATCTCCAGGCGAAGGTCGTCAAAGCTATGGCGTAGCTCCACGAGAATCTCGTTGCTCGTGGAGCCGTGCTCGAGGAAGCGCAGGTTCTGCAGCGCGATGGTGACAACGCGAAGAGCACCCTGCGACTCAGCGAGCTGGCGGGTGTATTGTTGGATCTCCCGTTCGTAGCGCTCCACGGCCTGGTCCTGGATCTTGTCTGGGATGGCAGTGTCGTCCTCGATGAGAGAATCCTCAACCAACTGGGAGACCTCCTGAACAGTCTCAAAGGTCATCTGGCTGGAGAGCTCCTCGACACGCTGGGAGTATTTGCCCTTGGGGTCGGCAATCAGGTCGATATCGCGAGAGAGGCTGAGTTCGTCTGGGTGGACCAACATCATTGGCTGGCCCTCGTCGTCGGACATGTCTGCGGGACCGTCGAACATGCTCATCTCGCGGCTGTCCTCGCGCTCGCTGCCGTTGTACAGCGATGACGCACGCAGAGCGTTGAGCTCCTCCCGGGCTTCGTTGAGCTCCTGCGCCAGTTCGGGTGTGCTCACGTCGATGTTGCCCAGACGGCTGGCCTCCAAGCGGTACTCTAGATCCTTGATCTTGGCGTCCTGTGCCTGCAGCTGCTCGCGGAGCTGCAGCATCTGCTTCTTGTCCTTCTTCTGGTGGTCCTCGTAGCTGTTGACCTCCTGGCTGAGGTGGCTTCGGCGGAGACGGCGGCGGGTGCGTCCGTCGAGAACGGCGGTGAGGGGGGCGTACTGGAAGTGGGTGTTGTCGATCTCCTCGTCGACACGCTCCACACCAAGCTGGGCGGGCAGCGAGTGACGAACACGGCGCATGGTCGTGTGGTCGCGCTTGACGGCACCGATGCGGTTCAGGTGCGGCGTGAGGGCCAGACGAAGCCTGCGCCGACTCGGGTGCAAGATGGTCTTCCTCGTCGTCGTCGTCGTCGTCCATGACAGCGACTGAGGCTGGGAACTCGGAATGGCGGCGGCCATTGTGGCGGGTGGTGGTAGAGGTGCTGCTCTGCGTGTCGACGTGGATAGTGTCTCCACGCTGTGAGCGCGAGAACGACTGCTGGATCTCTTCGGCAATCTGGTCCTCGTCGTCGTCCTGCACGCGCTTGGCACGCTTCGTCTGTGACAGCTCTAGCGGCGAGGCAGTGCGCTTGCTCGAGGAAGCCACGTCCTGGGACTGGGACTGGGACTGGGACTGGGACTGGGACATCTGCGACGATGTCTGGTTCTTGCTGGGGCGGCCCCGTTTGCGTCGTGGGGCGTCACCAGGGCCCTCGTGGTGGTGTTCCGACGGCAGGCCACTGAGGCGAGCCATGTCTGCGGGTGCGTGGGAGTTTGGTTGAGTTGGGGCTTTGGGTCGTGTTAGTGCAAGGCCGCAAACAGAGCGAAGGGCTGCGTCAGGGTGTGTACCTATCCAGAAACCAAAAAAATGCTGGTGCCCACGCAAATGTCGCTGGGTGCTCCGTGGTCTGGCCAATTTGTGCGGCCAATTTGTGCTGGCTGGCGAGGTGGGGATAGTTGTGATCTGTGATCTGTGATCTGGCACGGGGGAGAAGTGGGCGGTGGGGTATAGGCAGCGGAAGGATTGAATTGCTATTATTGTGGTGGGAGGGTGGCCAGATTGCTGCCTGCGCCGTGGTGAATTGAGGTGGTTGGGCGGGCGCGGTGTGCAGGTGTTGCTACGTCACGAAAAACATTCATGCATGTATACTTTAGCTGCACGCGTTCTGTCCCGCGTCGCGCCCTTGGTATGCACCCGCAAACACTTCACGCCTGTAGAACGCCATCATCGACGCGTAAAGAACTGGTTTCTTGCTGTTTACAGCCCGTCATTTATGCGCAACGCCATTTCGTCATTTCGTTGCCGCGGAGCACTGGCCGTCTGGAAAATTAACGGGAGGCCCATGATCCCTGTAAGGAGATCCCTGCAGCAAATCAGGGCCGTCGAGATCTGTGAACCTTCCCTCGAGCATGCACTCTGTCGCATCGCATTGTGTACATGGCTTGATTCGTAGCAGACACATCGGCGTCTCTACTTCTTCAGCAGAAAGTCGCTTTGCACCAGCAGGCCCTTCGTAGCGCTCGCCACCCCATACAGCCCACCAAGCGGCCATGTGTCCCAGAAGCGCCTGTACGCCCATTCACTCCAGCCCTCCACCCTCTTCGCCCTCTTTTCTCCTACAACACCCTGCAGATCAACCTTGACCTTGTCGTACACGCTTGGCAAACTCTCCGCATGGTACTTTCTCCTGAGCTCCTTGTACTTCTTCTCGTCGTAAATATCCCAAAACTCCTGCTCGGTGTAGTACGCATGTGCATACAGACACTTCATGCCGCCCAGTTCGGTGACCTTGGCCTCAAAGTCTCGGTTCAGTTTGATGAACGCGTGAGAATCGGCAGGCCCCATGTCCCAGATACCAACGTCCAGTAGAATGTCGTCTTTGATGTTGTTGCCTTGTGAAAAGCTGCGCTCGTCTCGCGGTGCGGATTTGACAGGACACAGCCAGAGCGGCCAGATTCCTGTCCTTTCATCTGTCCACTGTACGAACTCTTCGGCGGCGTCGTAAGGCACCCCGTAGTCCTGGATGATGGTCCTGGAGGCAATGCCGGACCGGTGCAGAGCGTGTACCATCGTCCGGGAGTACATGAATGGGTCGAGTAAGTAGCGAGTGATGCGATTGAAGGGCGTGACAAAGTACTTGAAAGCGCGCAGGCCGCTCCAGAAGACTCCCCTGTCGTATCGAAAGAGATAGGTTTGCACCGGTATGGTTTCCTTGAACTCTGTCGTTTCGCCCTCAAGCATCATCAATACATCTTCTGCGTGCATGTAAAACCAAGGGTCCTGCGCTCTGTCGAACCTCTGAATCTTTCCTCTTCCGGTGCTGTTCGTCAGACGTCCAATCATCACAACACCCCGTGTCATTGAGTACATGATTCCATCCATGTAATCTACGTCCGGCTCGTTCTGGTACTTTCGTAGCACCTGCACCGCCTCCTGTGTGCTAGTGACCGGAATATAGTGCAGTTCAACATAATCCCTTGCGTCTATGAGCTCCATCTCCACCAGAGTAATGACGCCTAGGCTTCCGCAACTTCCAGCAGCTGTGAAGAACAGATCTCGGTGTTCTTCCGCTGTTGCCCAAACAACATCACCATTGCCTAGAATGATCTCAATCCCGGATATGGTTCGGTCGAAGAGGCCATACTTGTACGAGCTGCTTTCTCCGCTGGTGCCGGCAAAGCTGAAAGACAATTAGCAACGACGATCCTGGATACGTTGTGGTCTCAAAGTATATTTGCCACAACTGGCATAGCTGGGTAGGAGCGTCAATTGGCTTACCCGCCACCCACTGTTATGTTGGGAAGTTCTGGTAATACATGTTAGAGCTCATTCCAGCGCATCCGCGACTCAAAGCTCACCCATGACAACCTTTGGCAGCAGTCCCTGTGCCAAAGTTGCTTCTACAAGTCGATCCATCGACACATTCGGCTCCACCAAGACCGTCTTCTTCGCTTTGTCAAACTGAAGAACATGGTTCAATGAGCTGACGTCAATGATTTGACTGCGCTGGCGCGACGATTGCCTCGTCGAAAGTGTAGAACCATGGTAGATGCGAAATGGTGTTTTGGTCGCACTGAAACGCGCGACTTCCGCAGCCAGCCGAGCCACGGTCGATTTGTGTTCTTCCATGGTGAAGAAAGCTTGTTAGTGATGCGAGCGGAATGATGAACACATAATGCCGATGTGGTGTTGAGGTCGATGCCTAAGCATCGGCAAGGCTGAGCCTTCTCCACCTCGCTATCGGCTTCTTCGATCCTTCCTGTTAGTTCAACGTTTCCTGTGATGCAGGTACGCGCGTGACTGCGCTGTTAGTGTTCACATAACGGTCCGATCTGGACGGCACGAACTGCATTCTTGAATTACATTCACACTGCATGCGCACTCCAGAGACCGGCAAATTCAAGGCAAAATGCGATTTTGTTATCGTTCTCGCGGATCGCGTCGTTCGCATCGTCACCGGAAGCCCGGATGTGGGACCCACTCGCTAACTAAGCACGCTAACGTACCGCAGCTCGTCAGAATGACAGGGGTGCAGCAAGCAGCAGTCCAATACACAGCTAGAAGTTATATGAAGGAAGGCAAGGCTTCAATTACAACAGCAGAGTCCTGCGTACAACTGCAGGCTCCCTAATCGCTTTCCATCGCTTTCCATCGCATTCCATCGCAGATGGGCAAGCTGCCATGTAAACGCCACCTGGACTTGAGTTCGCCCGCCTCGCGAGCGAATGTGGCTGTGCTAATTAGAAAAGAGGGGGTGTCAAATCCAGACACTCGAAAAGCCGGGCTGATGGACGCAAGCAGGTGTCTGAGAGGACAAGAAGGGAAAGCTGGAGCTCTGGTACGTGGGTGGGAAAGCTAGACATGATCCACTTCCATTCGATCTGCCGCACTGTAGCACGAGTCCACTCAGGACTTCGTACTCTTCAGCGTCTGAAAATCCAGACTGCAAAGCTCAACTCGGATCATTGGGCAAGTGCAGAAGAGGAGATTCCCAATCGACATCCTTCAGTGATTTGGATCAAGTGATGTTGATGCTACCCGCGGCTACAGAGTTTCCAAACGCCAAGGCCTATCCTGCATAGCGCAGTCGATCAGCTGCCATAAAATCCGATAGACTGAGTCTATTTGCCATGCACAACTCCAACGGTTTCATGCTGATAAACAGTCGCTTTTCCTCCAATAAGATAAATAGCAACAGTCTGACACGTTGATACATATCGGCACTAACTAGAACGTACCAGGATGCAACTCGGCAATTGGATACCCTGTTGTATATTCAATACAAGGGGCTTGCCCTTTGGTCTGTCGGGTAGGTGTCTTTGCTGGCATTTTAGAATTCTGTGAACGACGAGGTGGAAGCGGTTAGTACACGTTCGTGTTGACACTGACGCCTAGCGCTGATGGATGGAAGTTATTACCAGACGTTCACCCTGAAACTCACACATAGTGCTGACGGGCCAAAGCGCACAGCCGAAGGACGGTTCACGCACTGATAAGGCGGAAAACCTCGCCGGGTAGTTCCGGGACGTGTACACAGATAGGCATGATGGGACAAGATTTGCTGGGGAAAGCTTGATAGTGCTTAGCTGGATGGTTCGGTCCGAAGCTGCCCTGTTTCCCACGTGAACAGCCTCGATAATACAGTCTACTGCCGAAGACGAGGCTCACTCGCTATACATGCGAGTACTGTGGGTAGACAGAGAGGATGATTGTTTGGTCAAGGGCACTTGGCCAATGTAGCTGACCCCAGGAGCCACTCATGTCTAGAGACCGTGAAAGGAAGCTACGCTACAATGCGTGGAAGGATACTACTAAACCCACCCTTGACCAAAGGAGATCTGAGAGGATGCGCAAGCACTACACAGGTAGAAGATTCCAGTAGATACCATGTTTACGGCCGCAATCAGTGCAATCAGACCTAGGGGTATGGATGGGAAATAGAGTTTGAAAGTTAATGTCATCTCCGCGTAGAAAAAAAAAACTCACCAGCTCGTGAGAAGTCCTCGTGTTAGTAATTTAACCACCTAGAATGTCCGATCCGTGCGGGCTTATGGACACTGCATGTATTTACTTCGTAAATTCCCTCCATGCCGGCCCTTTTTTACTACCAGGCCCGAGTACACTATTTTCGGTCGTAGTGGTGGCGGTGCACCACCCGAAGGATCATTGATCGAAATCTATGTACATTGTATGTAGTCGGCGAATCTCCAAGACATTTCCGTCTACTCACCTGGATAAAGGGAAAGATTGGTAATGCGAGCCCAACGCCTCCCACGTACTTGTACAGACGAGGGTGTGGAACCAAAACGGGTCCATCTGGGCCATACGCGCCTAGATACTGCTACCCACATGCAGCTACGATTCTCCTGTGGATCCGACCCTCAAGCGAGGTATATCCGTGAACGGTACATGACTTTCAAACCGTCACTGTGTCTACACTATACGTCATACACTACACGCGGACTGTCAGGAGACTAAGTCCTGTAATGCTATCTTACTACTCTACTTCATAGTCCTGTCAATTGTATACCCATATCCTGCGTTCTTCTCCACCTAGGTATGTAACTAGCACTGAGGATCTGTAAACTGAGGGGAACTACTGGTCCGGTGGGGCGGCATTGGCGGAAGCCTGCACGAAAAACTTTGAGTACCTGTGGTGGCTATGAAGGAAGCTGAAAGCCGTTTGCTGACAGGTTCTAGCACAAACTGCAAAAACCTGATCTCTGCTTTCACCTGGTTCATTCTAGGAGACCTCAGAGCACACTGCAGTCTTGAGGAGTATAGTATAACATCGGAAAGGACCTCCGGGAGCTATACTTATCTTAACAAGGCTTATAATTATGCAGATAAGGGCCTTCATTCAGATTTTCTAGCCTCTTTGGGGTCAACAGCAACGATGCAGAGTTGTAAAGGCATTAGAGTATCACACCACAAGTTGGCAGCAAGATCCCTACGACTTGAGTCTCCCCTCTATATAAGATCAAGCAAATTGCCACCTGTAATTCTACAACAGCACATTCAAAAACCGCTTCAACGACCACTTTAAGAATCACTACCTCCGATTTAAACACTTCTTTATCTATCCTCAACATAGAGCTTCCTATAGTCCCGTACGTGCTTCCCTTTCCTGTTTGCACTTTTCAACTAATAGAAGCAATACTAATACTATGAATAGAAGGACTGCAACGATCTCTGCGAGGGGGGGCATAGGGTTCATTCCAAGCCAACCCAAATTTATAAGAGGTGCTGCAACAGCAGTAGGAATGCCTACGACGTCTGCTGCCCACTCACAGCCAGTGAGGTTTCCTGCGACCCTTGCGCGGCGGCCGGCGCCGGACTGGTATTTTTTTCTCTCCCAAGATACCCAGTAAGAACTAATATATCTACTCTCTTATAGCGAGAGTGCTAGTTAGCTGCATCTTTAACTTCTTCTCTAGTTTTGCAAGAGCAGAGATCAAATAACGAGCGCTAGAGAGGTGCTCAAACGAAAAAGCCTAAGCAGATATTCTGGCAGTTACAGTATTTATTCCTCTATCTATGTGCTAAGGATACGCAGTCAGAGGCAGTGTAGATAGAATAATCAAAGACATCAGCAGACAAGAATGGTTCCCTCTACTTAGGGTGAAGCTTACAGTGCGCTTTTGGATCGAATGCATTCTAAGTAAGACATGAATCTTTAGCTCTCGTTGCACTGTTTGGTACGTGTCTCTCATCTACACATCTTATTCATGCGCTGGATTCCGTTCACCGCGCAACTAGCGCAAGCAACCTTTTAGGCTTCTCTATCTTGAGTATCGACTGCTCTCTAGACTCCCATAGGTATAGCTACACGGTCTTCTTTGAGATTTTAAATACAAAGGCTTGTGAAAAGCTGAATCACGTAAGTAGTATTGAAACTTATTGCAAAGAACGTTGGGGATGGATTACCTAGGATAAAGCTCGGAGAACCCGCGGATACTCTGGCTCGGGGCGATTCGGCATCTTCGGCTAGCCGGGCCGATCGTAGTACTACCGAAAACTTCCAGCGGTGAGATGCAATTCGAACAAAACGACAAAAATGGACGTTCATCGCGCGACGGTTGAAACGGTGCGTAATCGCATTCAGCATTTTTACGACACCAAAACATCTTTCCGCGTCTATCATGGCAGCACCAACAGCACCCGCCACGCAAACTTTGACCGCGACGCTATTGTCGATGTCAGCTCTCTTAATCATGTACTATCTATCGACACCGAGTCAATGATCGCGGAAGTCGAGCCAAACGTCCCCATGGATGCTCTGGTTCGCGAAACCATGAAAATTGGGCTTCTTCCGCCGGTCGTGATGGAGTTCCCGGGCATCACTGTAGGAGGCGGGTTCGTAGGCACTGCAGGCGAAAGTAGCAGCTTCAAGCACGGCTTCTTTGACCGCACGGTATTGAGTGCGGAGGTGGTTCTTGCTGATGGAACGTTGGTCAGGGCCTCTACATCGGAAAACGCGGCGCTCTTCGAAGGCCTGAGAGGAAGCTTCGGTACACTTGGTGTACTTACGATGGTGGAATTGCAACTGGTACCTTTAAAGTCCATGGTGGAGGTTACTTACCATCCTACGAGTTCATTTGAGGATGCGACGGCCGAGATGCAACGACACACAGCTGATCAAAAGAATGACTATGTGGACGGAGTACTCTTCTCCAAAACGTCTGGAGTGATTGTTACAGGCCGCCTCACCGACGCGCCTGCATCAAATGTCACCATCCGCCGCTTTTCCAAGCCCTGGAACGAATGGTTCTGGATACACGCAAAATCCCGGGCGCAAGCAGTCGACGCTTCAACAGAACTAGTACCCATAGAAGATTACCTCTTTCGCTACGACCGTGGCGCCTTCTGGATGGGCATGTACGCTTACAAACACTTCATGATCCCCTTCATGTGGTTTACGCGCTTCCTGCTCGATTACTTCATGCACACGCGCATTATGTACCACGCACTACACGCCTCGGGATACACAGATCGCTACATCATCCAAGACATTGCCTTCCCCGCCGGCAACGCAGCTGACTTTGCAAACTTCATCGATCAGAAGTTCAGCATATACCCCCTGTGGCTGTGCCCGCTGCGCTCAGATGGAATGAGTTCCATGGGCCATCCGAAGCCATATACTGGCGCCGTTGCTGGCACACAGACAGGTAACGAATATGACGGAGAATACATCAACATCGGCGTATGGGGACCCTATCCATCCTCCGAAACCGAATACGTCCGCGCAAACCGTGAGATCGAAGCGAAAATGTATGAGCTCGGCGGATTGAAGTGGCTGTACTCGCGGGTCTTTTACACCGAGGACGAATGGTGGCAAGTCTACGACAAGCAAAAGTACTATGCATTGCGCCGGAAGTTCAATGCGATGTCGCTGCCATCGATTTGGGATAAAGTCAAGGATCGGGGGAGGAAGGAGGAGTTTGGGAAAGGCGTGAAGGGTGTCTTAAAGAGGATTGTTAAGGGGAATGCGTTTTTGAGCGGGCTGTATGGGATATATAAGGCGGTGAAGGGCGGCGATTATATGTTAAAGAAGAAAGACTCGTAAATACTGCGACACGTCGCGGATAGCGCTAAATTTATTGAGCTTCCAGCATCGGAAGAAGACTACATGTGTTTTAGTGTTGTTCATGTTGGTGCAACAAACAAAGTCCGAGGGCCGAGCTCGCTGTCCCGCCCGTCCGGGTTCTTTCATGGCAGGCACCCGACTTCCTTCATCCATCCAACAACTTGGGGTCGCCGAACTCAAGAACATCCGTTGCTCCTAAAAGTTTTCAAGTTTGGTATTTTGACTGCTGCATGGATTGTTCTTTGTCTACATTCTTCGCCGGGCTGACGCGCTACTACCACCACGGCGGCTTGCCTCGTATGACGTATCGCGGATCTCCGCAGGGAACGATCTCAAATCTCGACCGCTCTTAGACCATTTCCCCAACCGCGCAGACCAGGTACCGAACACAAATACAGGTCATCCCCTGTTGGTCGAGTGCGTGGTTAGGTCCTGGTGGACGTGCTGCTGTCGTTGACATGCCGTGTCCAGTCGCAGTGCAGCGTCGTCTTCATCCTCCGGCCTCCGACCCGACCATGCAGCAGCTTGTCTTGCCCAAGTACCGATAGGGCTGTTGGGGCGACAACTGGACGATAACAGCCCCTGCAAGGACAGTGTGGCTTACAATCAATGACAAAGACGCAAATTACGCGGCATTTGTATACGGCTTCGCAAGGATGCACCGAAGTCGTGGCAGCGTGGACCAACCATGCGCTCTTCATCATACATCTTTGTCCCTCAACCGTACTTCCAGGAGACAGTCTGGACATCTCGATGATCCTGGCTTGCGCTCGAAGAGCAATAACGCTTCTCCGCGCCGGGCTGTGTGCTAATGTGCACTAGAAGAAAGTACTGAGGCTAACCACGCTACTACTTGCTACCGGTTCCGACAGCATGACTGGATCCGTTTCCCCAGGTACATGGAAACGCTGTGAATTTATCTCGGCACCAGTCTTTCCGGTCCTCAAATGCCGGAAAGACTTTCCACAAGTTGCCTGCAAAGGCAGCAAGCGGACACGCCCGGCTCAATGCCATTGGTCGCACAGCATCAATTTTGGACAGCACGACCGCTAGGCGCACTAAGAGGATGAAAGCACCGAGTGGTGACGAAAGTTCGCGCCGAGCCGTGATGGATCTCAATAGTCGTTATTTGAAATATGCTATGATGTACCTGCAGCTAGATGTAGTGTCATCTTGGTAATCTGGATTGGTAAAGTTTGTGTATATATCAGGGGCTCCTCACTGTGAACATTGAGTGCAAGGCTTTACCTTCGACAACACCAGAGATCTACGCCAGTCAGGACATACTTATATAACACGATCATTATGGCTCCCATCAATGTATTCGCGCCACTTCTTTTGGCCGGCATCGCGACGGCTAGAGAGTGCACGACCTTTCTCATCCCGGTCGACATCTCCTCGCGACAAGGACAGTTCAAGAAATTGCCCGTAGAGAGCAACTTGGACACAGGCGCTTTCGCGACCCGTTACGTAGAATACCAGCACAACCTCACAGCGACATTGCTCGAAGGGTACCAGACCTTGAAGGGTAGCTACAACATTTCTGCCCAGTACTGCTGCTCAGATAAGAGCAGCGGGAAGATCCAGCTTCTAACCCACGGTATTGGTTTCGACAAGACGTATGTTGTAGGCCAACCAAACTCTCATCTTGGTCACTAACAAGCATCAGCTATTGGGACTTGCCTTACCAAAACTACAACTACAGCTATGTGAACACCGCTCTTGCATCTGGCTACAGCACCCTTGCCATTGATCGCTTCGGCATTGGCAACTCTTCCCATGGTGACCCTTTCAACGAGATCCAAGCCCAAGCCGAAGTTGAGGCTCTCAACGCAGTTACCACTAAGATCCGCCATGGATCAATCCCCGAAATTGGTAAGGCTTACGAAAAGGTTATCCATGTTGGCCACTCCTTTGGATCAGTCCAGTCATACTGGCTGTCAGCTTTGTACCCAAACAACACCGATGGAGTCATTCTCACAGGATTCTCCGTCGCTGGACAATTTCTCCCATACATCGTCGCCGGGTGGAATTTGCACAGCGCGCGCCAGAACCAGCCCCTCCGCCTCGGCAACTCATCCAACGAGGGCGTTCGCAAGCTTGCAGCACAGTATGGCATGGACAACAACCTAGTCCCTGCACTCCAGAAAGTGCTCAAATCTGCCGGCGTTGATCTCTCTGAGCAAGAAGTCTGGGACGAAGTCGCAACCACCGAAGTCCTCGACCTGATCACCGGCTTCAACAAGACCAGCTTCAAGTACAACTATCCCTCCGGCTACTTGGTCTCCTCTGACCTTACATCGCTCCAATACGCATTCCTGTACCCCGACAACTACGACATCAACCTGGCGCTCATGGGCGAGCAGACTAAGCAGCCTGTCACGACCGGTGAGCTCCTGACCATCGGTAGCTCGCCATCGTCAAGCCCCTTCACTGGCCCCGTACTTGTCATTACCGGCGAGCACGACGTACCTTTCTGTGGTGGCAACTGCTACGGCAAGCTGCCCAACAGCACGGCGGCAAATATCCCGGCTGGTGTTGCTGCGGCGTATCCCGGTTCCAAAGCTTTCGAAGCGTATATTCAGCCTGGTACCGGCCACGGTCTCAACTTCCAGTACAACGCGACTGCTGGATACCAAGTCATCCAGGACTTTTTGTCGCGACATGGATTGGGCGCTTAGAGTTGCGCGTGGCAGATTAAAGGAAATGTAGAATACTAGAATATGAAAATGGAAGGAAGGTAGTAATGTAATGGAAGAAGATTCATACATCTACAAATTTTATATATGTGATGAAAACTATTGACTTGTTGCGTGCTGACGGATGGATTTACAATTACTCACGAAGAACTTTGCAAGCAAGCCTGATGACGCATTTGTACATGAACACAAGTCCTGACAAACACACTTTGCGAATTTACAATCGAGCAGAGGTACCGACAACGTGCCTCAGGTGCTTACGCGACTCTTATGCGATGGCCGACCAACAGCATGTGTAATTGCTGACGAATGACACCGAGGATTGCTGACATGCATCAGTAAGGTGGGGAACCCGTCTAGCTTCGTATCCAAATAACGTCAAGCGGACTCGGGACGAGCTACACGCTTGGCAACGCTGCAACTCCAACGCGGTTGGCGATTTATCAGAGACCAAATTAGGCATAAACGTCGTATTCAAAACGTGCTAACGAGAAGGCGAGATGTACGATGGATAAATAATGATCTCGGAAACGAACTGCGCGTGTATAGGACGACCAACGACCAATAGAATTGTTGAATGCGATAGGTTTGATGAATGTAAGTGGCTGGACTTGTCTGGATCTCGATGTCTTCATGGTAGTTCCATCTTTCAGTGAGTGGCCATCTGATTCGCAATGCAGTGCGCACTGCAGCCCAGCCCAGTCTTGGATGGAGAAGCGTCGTATAACCGGTTTTTCGAGTGGAGCAAAGAAACATTGTGTCCGCCACGAGCTTGGCTATGCTGCATTTCGGGCTCGAAATCGAAATGCAGATACTTCTTGGAGATCGCGTAGATCTAGAGTTGATAATGTATAAAGAGAGCACCCTGTTGCTCCTCAAAGTCCATCAAACCAACACCGCACCACCTTTCGATACAGGGTGCTTCCGACTTCTACAACTTGTCACAAACAGACCGTCAAGATGAAGTTTCTCACCACCATCAGCCTTCTGGCTGCCAGCCTAGCTAACGCTGTCCACGGTGACTGTACGATGTCCAGCTGTAGTGCCTAGTAGCTTTCTGACATAACATCAGCCGTTCCATGGGAGCGTCTTGACAAGAACAACTCTGTGTGTGCTCCCCGCCCTACTACGAGTCCCATTCCTGACCTAGTGCACAGCTCCTCCTCATCCTCGACATCCAAGTCGGCCTGTACCACGTTGCTCGTGACTGGGACCCGACTCTGTACCAAAACAACATCATGGCGCATGCTTCCATCGGCCGGCTTTTCGATCTGCCCGTGATCCTATCTACATCTGCCGACACCGGTCCCAACGGCGTAAGTCCAATAGCAAGTACGAAAAGCCAAAATGACTCACATCCCCCAGCCTCTGCCAAAAGAATTCATCGAAATGTACCCCAATGCCCCCCTGATCCGCCGCCAAGGCGAAGTAAAGTACCACGTCCCCCATCCTCTGCCATTTTCCACCTTCTGATCTCCTTACAGCGCCTGGGACAACCCCTCCTTCCGCGCCGCCATCGAAGCCACAGGCAAAAAGCAAATCATCCTCGCCGGCATAACAACCGACGTGTGCACCGCCTTCCTCTCCCTCAGCCTGCGCGCCGCCGGATACTCCGTCTACGCCAATGTCGAAGCGTCGGGTACGACCACCGAGCTCGTGCGCGACACGGCCAACGACCAAATGGCCAACGCCGGCGTGCACATGTACTCGCTGTTTGCGATTGTGTGTGATTTGATGCGTGATTGGCGCGCGACGCCCGGTGCGAAGGAGGTGCTGCCGTGGTTGGATCGGTACATGCCGGTTTATGGCAATTTGGCGAGACATCATGCGGCGGCGGTGGAGGTGGGGACGATTATCCCGGGGGAGATTGGGTTGGTTACCGGGGCAAATGGGAGTTTGGTTTTGTGAGGGGTGATGGTGGAAGGGCGGTGTGATTGAACGCGAGTACGGTGAGATGTGGAGAGGGTAGGGTATGTTGAAGGGAATCTGGTATTACTAGGATTTTTGTGGGCGATATTATGATACATCACTGTACAAAATTAGCCGGGGAAATTAGTAGTATAGAAATGGAGTTAAGTAAGAGTTGATGTCGGCGGCGAGAATAGAAAAGTTGCATGAAAACAGGCAAGTCCAAGACAATTGGCACACGCTACCCTCATTCTCATGTTCCCTTGTTGGAGTGCCCAGATTTTCGTGCGGATTGGGGCTTGTGCACTTCTTGAACGGATGCTTGAGCTTCTTGGGGATCTCAGGATCGCCATCCTTGCGAAAGGCATTAAGTTCGGCATGCCAGTCGATGCTATTCTCTCCCTCGCAACCGTTGTGACCAGAGTAATAGTCCTCCCAGTTCTCAGAGAACATGAGCCCAAAGCGCTTAAGAAACGTCAACGTCGTGTCCTTCTCAATAGACCACCCACTCTCCCATAAGAACTCTCCAGGCATACAGGGATAGTTTCGGCTCTTGTCTTCGCCAACACTCGAGATGGCTTCTCCACCGGGATTGCGGAAGATGGGAATGCTGAATGCGCCGGGGACGCTACCTAGATGCTTTGTTTTCTCTGGATCGCCGGACCAGTGAACGGCATCAATGCCGGACATGACCACGCTTTTCCTTTCGAGCGCGGAGCTGATGGTAACGAAATCTGATTGATCCACAGCATCGGCGAGGTTGTTGCGATCCATCATCAGAGATGATCGAACGACACATTTTCTAGTGACATTGAGTGTCTGCGAACCTGTGTCGTCGAACATGTACCATCCAGAAGGAGCAGTCACTTGGGCTCGGTCGTTCTTCAAGGAGCCACCTTCTCGACCTTGGCCAATATTGAAAAGCCAAAAAGAATGTGTAGGCGCCTCTCTCAAGCATACTCGGCGCTCTACTGGTCCCCGATTGTCGCTCTCGCAACCGCCAGGTGGTGCGTCAGCGTCAATAATGTACGGTCGTTCGAAGTGCCAGGCAGCGTTCACAGACACTGCAGGCAGGTACTGCTTTTCCCTTTCCGCCTGATACACCTGAAGGTCCGGACCGGCGCAAGGAAATCTTTGCTGGCCAGAAGATCAAAAACGGTCATGTCCTTTGAATTGACACGGCCTTTTAACAGATCCCGGAGATCTTCACCGACTTTGCGCTGTCTATTATCCAAGATCGTGTTTAGGGTACCGGTCAACCATGATTTAACACCTGCGCTGTAATCAGGGACATCAGCAGTTCCTGCAATGACTATACCTGCGGCGCCAATGTAACTGCTACCAACGATATTGGCGGCCGCATTTAGAAATTTAAGCCCAAATGAGTCAGCGATGTATACGGGTGGAAACGTTGTTCCGCCTGAAGCAATGAGGACAACCGCATTGACTGCGGCCATGAAATCTTTTGTATAAGATGTTTTCGATTGAGGGCTTTCTCGATTTCATCCGCGGTGGTGAACTTGTCGACAAGCCAATCAACAGTACCCTTTATGAAGGAACCAGCATCATTCGTTGCCTTGGCGGACACTGCCATGATATGAGCGACGCCAGATAGTTGCTCGAAGACGAGGTAAATTATCTGGCGTCCTTCGACCGGAAGAGTCTCGTCCAGATTGTCACAGCTTCCAATGCTGCATGCTCCAGCTACATCGCAGAAGACGGAGCTTGGTGCGAGCTTTGGAGCATACTTGTTCCTGAAATGAACAGCAAATGAGGGTGATGTAGGGTTCTTTTTGAATTCGGCTTCGTTCTCATCGACGAACGTCTTGATTTCTGCGTGCTTTGACGCCCACAGCTCTGCTGTTGGGCTCTCTAAGCCACAGGCGGCATTGAAGGTAGACTCGGTACGCTTGCCGACAATAAAGTCTGGTAGAGTCGCATTCTGAAACAAATGGGCGCTTTCTCGATCGGTAGACTTTGGATGTCCAGATAGAAGCTCAAAAATGGAGGGTTCGGTAGGAGGTAGTGGAATAGATACAGCAGTTACAAGATTGGAGACAAGGAGCCTGGTAAGGATGATGCGGTACTTCATTGCCATTCAACGAACGGTGTAGCTGTCGCATAGTTTTACGGTAGTTACAGGATTTTCCTTGATTTTAGGGAGCAGTGTTCTGGCTTTGTAGCTTCGAAGCTCGTCTGGTCTTATGTCTAGCATGCACAAATCTACTGGTATTATCGCACGAAATCCCGGGCGTTCGGTCATCCGCATACATTACATGGCTCCCGTGCGGCTTTTCGAGCCATCGAGCCGAAATCCATGACACTAAGAGCATGTACTGGTACTTCAATTGGTGGCATAACCAGGCGATGAGCATCTGCAGCCCGACCTTCGAGCACTTACTTACCTATCTTAGGGACATGCAGTCGTATGCGTGTGATATTCCAAGCCGCGCAGGTACCAGGCCAAGTATCGTCGACATCGTGATGCGGAAATTTTCGACAATACTTCGATCCATCCAGCTGCAAACCCACTTGGAAATTAAGATTTATCATCAAGGAAATGATATACGGCAGCGAAGTAATTGACGAGTCCAGATTTTTGACCTTGCTTTCTGCTCGGACGCCTCTTGGCCTAACCACGTTAGCGCGGTCTGGTGATGTGCGCCACCCAAAGAAAGCACGGTGACGCATAGACACACGCCTCATCAACTACCAAGGCCGCATACAAACATCTTTTGGCGTCCCCATACTGAAATGTCGGGAAATAATTCAAATCGAAGACTGCTTGAGAAGACCAAGCGATGGTCGGCACAAGCCACGGGAGGCTTCTTGGCAGAAACACATGTCGCTCGATGCAATCGGTACCCCTCCCTTGTGGGGTATGAAGCTCAGGTGCAGCTGTTTGCTTCAAAGATTCGTCTTGGGCCCGATTCGAAGTGTATATTCCACCATGTCGATGTGGATTCGAGGTGTACGATCGGAGTTCTCGCATTCGCAGACCAGAAGGACCGGCATTCAATACAACAGCGACAACAGTCAGTTGTTTTTGATGCGTCAGGACTTGTGAGACCAGGCTCAGACTGAGTAAGTTGAGGTCGAGCAGCCATCAGTCGTTGATGTAACCCCCGCGGACTGTTGAAGCCACGGAGAGGCGCCGGTGTGCATGCCCTTTCTGTGCTCCCGCCCCGAGGAGCTGAGGAAACGGGCAACCCGGTCTCATGGTTCATCGTCCGCCTCAGAACGAACTTTACTTCGACCACGTCCTCTTCGCTATAACAGTTTTCTTCAGTCAGCCAAACTCCATTTCATTTCAAGAACATGGGACCTCTTGCAGGGCGGCAAGACAGAGATCGACATACGCAATACCTCTGGTCGCCTGCGTGATAAACCAAGGCTGCTGATGTCGCCGACCACCATCCATGCTATACCCCAACAACAAAGTCTTCCGCAAACCTTGGATACAATGGACTCCCGAGTCTCCGTGGGGTCCCGAGCAGCTTTCTCGTACACGACAATGACTGTTCACCTTCGCACATGCAGATAAACGATAGCATACAGCCTGGACCGACCACTTTGTGCCGCAGGGGTTGGCGAGGAAGGGTCCAGATTCGGGCATGCACAGACCATCCATGTAGCGCCCACTCACGCTTTGCTGGTTGCACTCTATCCTGAGCCCAAAGTCTGTCGGAATTGGTGGTCTCAAATTTCAAGAGTCAAGTCACGTTGCTTTTCGCTGTCAGGTCAGGGTACTGCGACTTAGCTTATCCTGCCAACAGGGCGACTAGGTGACAATTGCTGGAGGACGCACCGTCAAATTACACATCGTCGGAGATATTCGTTATTCATCTCGTACGTTTCGCCTGCTGCCAGATGCTAGAGACGTGGGTTACTAGCAAAATTTCTTTGTATGACAGCCCAGCGGACGATTCGAGACAATTATTGGCGAGTAAGTGAACCACCAGGATGCAAGCATCTCCATCGAACCTGGTGCTGCAGCACGGGCACTTCGACACGTGAAATCCGAATGTACGAGCTGGCCAATCATCTAAGCTCGAGCGAGGGAGACCTTGCATGAGGCTCTGCTCTGAAGATCACACCACTTGCAATCTCTGTACGGCGGGACTCTTGACCCTTGAGGAGGGTCGAAAAGCAATTTTTGTAGGCGGACCAACTTCCATCTCCATTACCCATGACGCCAAATCCCTGCTTTTCTGCGGCCCGGCCTGGGATAACCCCAAGACAGCAAAGCATGTGCGGGAAGGATCTGTCTGAGACGCTAAACCATTCAGTCGGTTGTGTTCTGCCCTCCTTGCGGGGTCAGATGCTTAGGCGAGGCCGACGCCAACAATTAGACTGTGCACTATCCATCTCCACACGCGGCGAAGCCGACCAACAGCGGTTGAACACCACCACCACGGATCCATGGCGTGTTTGTAACGGTCATGCTCGCTTCCTAGCTCTGGAATGGACTTCTCTATCTTCGCGGTAAAGCTTTACCCCCTGTTGGCTTGCTGTAGAATGCGAGTTGTCCAATGTCAGTCGAGCCAATTTTGGACCTCCGGTGTCGCACAGCATTGCGCTTGCGACGTTCTAAGGAGTACGGGACTATCAGTCGATAACATAGCACGTCGTACCAGGATTTCGGCGATCATGTCGCCATTGGCACCACGGACATGGTACGGCTCAATTGATGCCTGCGTCCTTCAACACTGATACGAAGACATGTTGAAAGTTCCGAATGGCCGGTACGCTTATGGTGAGCATTGCTCTGGCAATCACCCGTCTTGGTGGCTTTTGGCGTCACAACTGCACGCCCCGTATGTTGCGGTCGCAACCTTCATTCTGTGCTGCCTTCCAGAAGTGGTCCGTCAAGCTAACGGACTCTGGTACCGTTCGTTATTCTAACCCGTCTCGAGCGTCTCGTCCCCAACTGCAACGACCGGGGGAAGCGAGATCACTAGAAACTTCTGAAAGATAGGGCAACTTCGTATCTGTGTGCAGCGCCAAGAGCGCCCCTTCAAGCACACGAGACGCAAGCGGCAGCCCCTTCGCCCAGTCTTTGAGCGAGAGCCTGGTGTTGAAGTATATGTCTTCAACATGGCCTTAGTCGAGTTCCGGCCCCTTTCTTCGCCCAGCGTTGTCCCTCATACTGGTAATGCAATGCTGTTGGACGCGTGGTAACGGAGTAATGTCTGTCCGCGCTTACTATTAAGATTGCTTCCCTCAGCAAAGCGCCAGAACAACCGAAACCTGGCCGGTAGTGGGTGTGATCCTCACGACACGTTCCAATCGCTTTGATGAGGATGAGCAGCAACATCACAAATTGAAACTGCTCCTGCATTGCCTTGATCGGTTTGGGATACCGGTCAAGCGGCAAGTGGAAGTACATGGGAGGAGGGCCGCAAGGATCCTCGCGAAAACGGCCCTTTTAGCCTTAGCCTCTGTGTTGTCGGCCCTCGGTCTCAGTCCCCAGCCAGCCATCACTGGGTCGATACAATCTAGACTGGGTGCATTAAGCTGTGGCCGTGCAGATTTTTGACCGAAGAGTGCATACATGCACGTTTGCAGAGACCCCAACTGCACGATGTTAGTCGCTTCGGTATGTATCCACGCTATATATAGGTGGCAAAGAGATCTGTGGCGGTGCGTACAATCTCTCTGAGACATGCTGTACAGACGCAACTAACATGCTTTAGGGCAGCGTCATGCTCACAACGTGGGAAGTGGAAAAGTAGCCGTGCCGTCATGTACATCACGCATTTCGATTGCGTACTGAGTTGCGAGTACCCCACGGTCCCGGAATCTCACAGATGCTGCAGCCGAAATGCACCTTTACCTTCCTGCATGCAACCTCACCAAAGTATGGATATGGTCGCTCAAGAAGACTATGGACCATCGTAGCGTTGCCGCACACGGAGATTCCACCGGCTTGTGGTACCGACACAAAGCATCGTAGTGTACAAATCTACTGCTAGATTAACTTTGATGTGGTGCAGATGCGCCAATCGTGAACGGCAGATTTCCCCACACATGACACGGGTCAACACATGAAAGCTCAGATACTCAGAAGCTTGTTCACGACGCAGGAAGCCTATCTGGAGTATGGACATGATCGTCGATAGCGCAGGCCATGTTATGCGAGACCCCTTGATGTGAGTCGCGTTACATGGCCTGATCAATGAGCATCACCACCGTGGCACAATCGAACAATCGATATCCATGCTGTGGTCGCACTGCAGGCCTAGGTGTCGACAAATTACTTACTCGACGGCTGGGCTGGCCCAAGCCAGCGCGCACCCGCCCGTGGTTCGCGCTCTGTCGCCAACCTTATCCACGAAGTCGGGCCAGACTGGGGCAAGCATTAAGGACAATAGAAACAGGCGGTCCCGACGGCGGTATGAAAGCGGGATGCGCCCGACGATATCGCTGGGCGGTCTTTGTCCAAGCAAGGCTCCATACTGTGCTAAGTGCAAGACCGTCTGAGCGAGATTGCGCTGCCTAGGGACAAGCCAAACATTATTGGGTCCTCTCTCTCATGAGCGGCAGACGGGAGGGTGGCAGCGCGGACATGGGCATCAGTGTCGGCGCCATTGGCAGCAGCCACCGAAGCCTTGCTGCATCTCCCATGTCAAGGCGCATCCTTGGACCCGTGGCTCGCAGGCCCGTGGGCAAAAGCGACACATCGTGGGCGCGACCAAGAGCTGTCGAGCCTCATGCTCGGTATGGACCCCTGCCCGTGGTGAGGTGACCATGACGCAGCGCGCTGTGGGCAATGGTTAGTCAGGACAAGGCATTGCAGCGTTGCGCAGCAAGCAGGTAAAGGAAACGCGGTGAAGTCACCACCTCTGTGTCTGTCCTACGAGCCATGTCGACTGCGCCATGAGAGCAGCTCGCTTACCACACCTCTTACAGGCAATGGTAGCGTCGGAAGTGTAAAATTAGACCCGTCCCCTGTCCAATCGAACGTCATGAGGAGAACACAGCCGCGCACCAGCCACAGCTCCCGCAATGCGGACCGGGCAGAGCGAAGGTTGTGCCAATCACGAGGCGTGGGGCAGCAGGCTTGCGGAATGGGAGGACATGCCACGATGCATCCCGAAAGAATCGGTCGAGTAGCGTGCTCACCATGCCCCAATCCGCTTCTGTTCGCCAGATCAGGCGATGCTCCACCGCGAAGCGCTGTCTTCACTGGCTTGTGGCTTTGCTGCTGACCCGTCCAGGCAAGGCTCGCGCGGCCGGTGCGCCCATCTGTGCAGGGCAGGGGTCGCTGACACCGCAACTCCATGAAGCACCTGGCGGTCGGGGCGTGCGATGGCGGACGGTTGCTTTTCTCCTAGCGTAGACCGTTCTCAATTGACCACCTCATACCACTGGCCCATGCTCCCGTAGGGCAGCAAATTCACCCTGGCTGCAGGGGTGCAGCATGCCATCTGGTGGCTTCGTGCACTGTCCGCAATGGCCCCCAGCATAGTCGTGTCTGAGCCTTCATGTATAAACCAAAGTCGCCCCCGACGCACCACCCTCTAGATCCAGGCCTCTGATCAACGCGAACATAGCTTCATCCAGACCTTCACTGACGTTCTGGGATCTGCACTCAGGAACAAGTCCTCCTCGCCTGTGATTTGTCCTTCGGTTCGCCAGCCAGCCTTGAACACCACCTCTCGGCAAGACGATTCCGCTGTCACTCCCTTTCCCAAACAGCAAAAGATCGACAGTACCATCGACGATACTGTCTCCTCGCCGACCCGTACTACGATTCTAGCCAGTAGCTAGCCTTGCTCAAGCGAAGGTGAGCATTCCCAGCCTGATCGATCCCCTGTGATGTATAAGACACGCTAGTCGTGCGAAACATCACCGACCCATCGAACGGACCGCTTTTGTTTACCGCTTATGCTAATTCTTCCGTGCAAATAAAGATCTGAGCAGTGGTTCAGAAAAGTTTCTTGGACTCTTCTCGTCTTCAATAACAACTCACAAAATGGTCGACTTCGTCCCCTACTCGTCAAATATGCACAACGACTTCGAGCTCTACTCGAACAATCAGGAGCAGCACATGGACTACCCCATCACAAACCAGCCATTCCTGCCTACTTCAACATATAGCATGGAACAGTCCTTCAATGCGACATTCGACCCCATGATGCACCTCACAGAAGGCCAAAGACCTCATGATCTTCAGTACCACTATGATGCGATTGCTCAAGGGGTCAAGCCTATCCAATATCAAACACCCGCAGGCTCTCCTCACTCAACAACGCACTCATTCCACGAGCAGCCTCCTGTTCTCTCAGCATCGTCCGAGTCTGGTGCTTCAGTGTCATCTTCCGCTCTAGGCTCACCAACACACTACACCGATTCTTGGAACTCAATAGGGCTCGGACTCACTTCCAGCTTTGAGTACCCAGGAATGACTGCGAGCGACAAGAACTTTGTGGGTAAGTCATCAGTCTCCAACACATCGCTATTTTCTGCTTCTTCATCTTCTGCCATCTGTTTCACTACATCTGCCTTCAAAACACCGACCACTCGTACCTCGACGAAGCCTTTTCTCGCTATAGGCGAACAATCAAACCCTGTATTTTCGGGTGTAGTGCCCTCATTCGAAACAATTCCTCTCATTCTCTCTCCTCAAATTGATAGTACTCTTCGTGTATCTCAATCTCCAACTTCAATGTTTCGGTTTCCCAGTGGTGCTTTGTGCTACTTTCCAATGATCACAACTAACGCGTTACCAATAGATCCCAACGTAATTCAGCCCTTCGCTTTCGCGCCCCAAAGCCCCTTCCACGACATGCAGGCAATGCCTTCGCCATACTTCCCAGTCATTGAGCACCCGCCATCACCTGCGCTGTCTCACATCTCATCGCAGAGCCTGCAACCTGGCTCGGCACGGATAAAGCAGGGCAGTGCGAGTCCATATCTCCGAACACAACAATATCACCCCTACCAACGCTTCAATGGCCAACGGCGGGGCTCGGTCACATCTATCCACTCACAACACTCTGGCAGTAGCCGCAAGAGCCGCAGTAGCTTTGAAGTGGACGATGAGCCGAGGGAGAAGGGCCTCTGCCCACTGCCGGAGTGTGGCCGTGTCTTCAAGGATCTGAAGGCACACATGCTCACACATAAGAGCGAGAGGCCCGAGAAGTGCCCCATTGCTACGTGCGAATACTACGTCAAGGGTTTCGCGCGGAAGTATGACAAGAACCGGCACACACTGACACACTACAAAGGCACCATGGTGTGCGGGTTCTGTCCCGGGAGCGGCTCCGCAGCTGAGAAGAGCTTCAACCGCGCTGATGTCTTCAAGAGGCATTTGACGTCTGTCCACGGTGTGGAGCAAAACCCACCCAACAGCCGAAAGAGGAGCCCTGGTGGTCGCAAGCCATACACTGGCAACGCCGACGTCGCTGGAACGTGTTCGACGTGCTCAGTCACCTTCGCCAACGCACAGGAGTTCTACGAACACTTGGACGACTGCGTCCTTCGCGTCGTTCAACAAGCCGATCCCAGCGAGGCCATCAACCAGCGCCTCCTGACCTCTGTCGCCGAAGACAGAGCCGTCACCGAGACACTGGACCGCAACGGCTTAAGCAAGAGCATCGAGTACACCGTCCCGTCGTACAACGAAAACGACGACGACGACGTCATCTCCGAAGAAGAATTCGACAACGACGACCACAACGACGACACCTATGGCTCGCGACGCAACCGCTCGGGCAAAGGTAGCACTCAAATCCAGCAAACAACATTGACAACTAACCGGTGCCTCTGCCGGCACCACGCCCAATAATAACAACAACAAAATCAGCAAGAAACCCGTCCCACGCTTCACCTTCTCCAAAGGCGGCGTCTCGCTCTCCACCTCTGGGCGCAAGAAGCGCAAAAACTACCCGCTCAGCTGGGGCTGCGCAACCGACAAGATGAAGATGAAGAAGCGCGTGCTGTGCGTCTACGACGGCCCCAGGCGGCTGTGGAAGGACGACCTCATGCTCGACAGCGCGTTTGAAGTGCGCATGAAGCTTCCGGACGGCAAGAGCTGGGTCACGGACTTGGATGTGCAGACGCTCAAGCGGGCGGATGGGGTGTTTGGCGCGACGGAGGAGGAGAGGGGCCCGTGGGTGCCGGGGATGGCGCTTGGGGGGAGGCAGTATGCGGTTGAGGCGGTTGAGGCGGGGTTGTTGTAGGGAGGGAAGTACATTGAGATGGGATCACGATTATTTGTTGTACTATCATGACTTGGGTTTGAGAGAGGGATGGGACGGGATATCCTGGGATAAAGGGATGGGCGTTTGGGACCGATACCACTTCTTTTTTTTTCTCGATATGATGGGATGGGATGATGAGTCTAATGTCTGATCGTGCTGGCGCGGAATGATACAATTTTGTCACAAGTGTTTCGACTTGATCTACTTGATGCTTGTGATGGTTTTTCTTCATTGTCTTCTGAGACTTTCAACTCATCCTGGTATTCGTCAATGAATGCGAGTCTCTGGATTCCTACACTATCTGACGAATGGTTCAAAAAGCTCATTACGGAAGGCGAACAGGATTGCCTGGACTTTGCTGTCACAATCGAAGCGTCACGATCCTGTGTATAGCTTCGGGCTGTCCAATGCCCTTGTTACTTCCCGTCGTAGTTAACAACGTGCAGTGTCACTGTCACTTCAGTCGCCAGAGTATCATCCAGTAGCGGCGCGGGCATCATGCTACGGTGACGTGCCCTCCATCTCGTCAGGGCAAATTGATGTGCAGCGGCTGTGATGGGAGTACCGTCCTGCTGGGAGGGTTACGAGCGTCACCCATGGAGATGTCGCGCAGGGTTCGGCGGCACGGCGGTGAGGCCCTTCGGCTGCACGGACCCGGCTCGACGATCGTTTTGGTTGCTAAACCATTTCAATACACTTCCAGGGCTACCAAATCTCTCTACTCACTCTACCCGGCGCTCCACTTGTCCAAGGATCGAGGCTCACCTTCCTTGCGATGGACGGCAGCCATGTGCGCACCTCGAGCAGCAGCAGCGCGGGCTATCGCCATGGCAGTGAGGGCGGCGGAGGAGGAGGAGGAGGAGGAGGAGCAGCACTCTGGCCAGCCCAGCCTGTGCAACTCGCGCGCGGTCGCCAGCCGCGGGACGCCCTGGCCAAAACCGTCGACTTCCATGTGTCGTCGCTCGACGAGTTTGAGACGTCATTGCAAAAGTACCTCGACGCGCCGCCCGACCAGCCCGAGCACACCGAGGCCCAGCTGTCGTTCTGGATAGGCGCCAGCTTCATGGTGTCGGCGCCCGCCAGTGCCAGCAACAGCACGCCGCAACATGCCCAGCAGCCCGCGCAGCAACCCCGCCTTGCGCAACAACAACAACAGCAGCAGCAGCACCAGCACCAGCACCACCCGCATTCTCGCCCTCACCCTCACCCTCACCACCCGCACGCCCCGCCTGGCTACCAGCCCGCCAATGGCCTGTCCGCGCAGTATGGCGGCCCCTCGCACGCGTACCAGAGCGTGGCTGACCCTGCCGTCGCCCTGGGCCTGCCCACCTACCCGCAGACGGTCGAGGCCAGCGACGGAAGCAGCAGCAATGGCACGAAGAAGCCCGAGCACAAGGTCAGCCTGAGCATCATGGAGGCCCTGCAGCCGACGGCCGACCCCAAGGAGAAGATGCGCAAGCAGCGCGCCATTGCGAAGTGCTGTGTGGACGCCATCCAGCGCATCGACGGCTACCGGTACAGCTTCCACAACTGCTGGAACAGCCGCGAGGACGACAGCTTCCGCTTCTCCTACTACTGCAACGACTCGCTGCTGAACAAGGACCGCGCGGCGAATGGCAAGGGCGCGAAGCTGGGGAAGCGCGCGACAAAGCCCGTCTACGACTGCAAAGGCGTCCTCTCCATAAAGTTCTCGGCCACCAAGCAGTCGCTAGATGTCTTCTACAAGCACGTGCCCATCCACAAGACGTACGAGGAGCGCGCGCCGCCGCCCCGCAAGGACTCGAAGCGCCGCAAGTACCTCGAAGTGAACGACCCAGAGGCACTGACGAAGCTGGTGACGCGGGCCAAGTCGAAAGACGGCAGCGAGGAGCCAGACTTGCGGCCGAAGAAGAAGAAGGCGCCGGTAAGCACTGAGGCGCCGCGGCCGTCGAATACGTCGCTGGAGAGCGATCTGAGGGCGCAGAGTCTGCGATCGCTGTTGGAGCTGATTCAGGTCGATCCGTCTCCAGCAGAGCCTGCCCCGCCTGATCCTCCTCCTCCATCGCCGCCTCCACCTCCTCATCCGCAGCACACTGGTGGTCCACCACCAAATGCCTATGCAGCAGCCACCTGCGCCACCGCGGAGGACGACCGCGGGAACAGCTTGTGGATGTCTGCAAGGCGAAAGAAGACAAAAGGTACGTGATGTCAAGATCATTTCACTGCAGGCATAGTCGCTAATATTCCTTTCAGTGCGACGGGCACGAGACCCGTGTGCAATACCTGCACCGACAAGAAGCGCCAATGCTACTACACCGAATCGCCTAGCGAAGAGCCACGCATTGAGACAAACGTCACAGTGCCTCACGCCCCAGCACCCACCAAGGAGCTTTCCGAATACGAGAAGATGAAAAAGGAGCTCGAAGAAGCCAAAGCGCGCATCCAGGAACTCGAATCCGAAAAACGCGCCTCCACCACCCCCGTCCAAACTCCCCAAATAACACCCCGTCCCACACTCGCAACCCCAACCTCCCCAACCCCAGCACCGCGCACTCGCTCTCCCAGGCCCAAATCCAGGCCCAACAGCGCCAGCAAATTCCCCCACAACCCCACCGCCAGCAAATGCAACAACTCAACCGCACCCGCTCTCTGCACTCCCCGCAACAACTCTCCCAACCCCAACGCATCATCAACGCCCAGCCCTCGGTCCAAACTTCCCCCTCCACCCTCCAATCCTCCCTCCAAGTCGGCACACAGCACCTCAACACCGCGCAGCCCCAGCAACCCCAGCAGCAGATGAATCAGAACTACTTTGCGCACGAGACCACACCAATCACGCGCCGTATGTGCCGACCCCGCAAACACAGACGCAGACGCAGACGCAGACACAGCCGGGCGCTGCGAATGTGGATGCGAATACCTACCGCGGTACCGCCGCTGAGTTTGCCTGGCCCGCCAACGCCGCGGCGTATTATGCGTATCAGGCGCAGGGCGTGGGCGGGAACGCGCAGCAGCAACAGCAGCAGCAACAGCAGCAAAGCCAGCAGGATCAGTGGGGCCAGGGGAGGGGGCCGGGTGTGTTTCGATAACCGGGCGAAGAGAGAGTATATATAAAGGATGGGATATATATGACGTTTTAACGAAGCGTGGCGTTCAGGTGGTTGGTTGTGTGTTTCTGATCAAATCGAAAGCGGCGATTTCTGCGAATAGGATACCCCCTAGCACTAGCTTATTCTTTTGGGCATTGATTCTGTTCTGTTTCGGACAAAGGTTGGATGGGAATCCGAGCAATGATATGGTATCTTCCTGGTGTATGATTGATATTCTGCAAGATCGTTTTGCACGTTTCTCATGCTTCCTCTTCTCACACGATAATCATGGCTTGACAGGTGTACAGGCGTCCATGTCGCTTTGGGAGTAGTGTTCAAGTTGGAAACTGTTCGCAAAGTACGCACACGAATAACTGCTGGACCTGCTTTGTGTCCACGTAGTTCATTTGACCCTGCATGCCATGTCTGAGAGAGAGTCGCATATGCCCCTTAAACGCCCAGCGCCGTTCGCTAATAACGCCTAACAAATGCCAAGCTGGAAGCTATTCCACCAGCTCATATGAAGAAGTCGGAAGTCGAGTACCCTACCCCCTTCCCCATTGGCCTCCCATCCTACGTGAAACCCATCTTAGATCCGAGGCCACGTAAACTCGCACCGAGACCATTGTCCATGCTCATGCCCGACGACATCTTCTCATTCTGGCCCTTGTCCTGCTTGATCTCCATGCCGGCTGCGAGCATGTTGAGGCGCGTGAGGCGCAGGCGGAGGGTGTGGTCGTACGTCTCGGCCATGGTGAGGGCCTCGGCGTGCACATTGTGGCGTGGGTTCGTGGGCGGCGAGATGAGAAGGCGGTCGACGAGATCTATCCGTGCGTCTAGGGTACCCTCGTTGATCATGCGCTCAAGTTCCTCTTCGATCTTGTATCCCGAGGTAGGGAACTTGGACGCCATCTCATCCAGCGTGACACAGCTGAATGGTATGAAGTACTGCACGATGCTCTTGGTCCGTATGCTGTCGTACATCTGGTTGAGCACTTTGGACAAGTGGACGTCCAGGAGGTAGTCGTTCCTGTAGCCCTCAAGGACTTCGAGACAGGCGCTGTACTTTGAGTTGCAGAAGAGATTGATGGCGCGGCGGATGTGGGGTTCAAGCTCAAGGAAGTTGCGGAACTCGCTGTTTGCGAGAACCTTGTCCTGCAGGTCGCTGCGGTCCATGGAAGCAAGCGCGCAAAGACCACCGTACACGGCTACGTCATTGGGTGAGATGACCTCTTTTTGCCAGGCAATGTTTGCGGCGGGCTCGGCAGTCAGGTACGAGGGTGGGGTCCTTAGGAAGTGGTTTGCGGCCTCCCGGAATTTGCCAGTACCCATGAATGCGAGACCACTGCAGGCAGACACGATAGGCTCTAGCTTTGTCTTGTCGTCACCCTTGAGCTGTGCCGATTCGACCTTGGTCAGGTTTGTTTGTGTCTGCACCCACACCTTCTGCGTTATGCTGACCAGAACGAGGCGAAGCGTCATATCGGCGAGGTGCTTGTTGGATGTGCAGTGTTCGCGCATCTTCAGGTAGGCCTTGTTCGCGCTGGCGTAGTCGCCCGTGTCGAAGTAGAAGTGGCCAAGGTCTTCATTCCCCATCTAACTGCTGTCAGCGCTTCGCCTAAAAGATCTTTAAATCTGGCACCTACTCGTATGCTCTCCTTGATGAGGTTGTTCTTGTATGACTTCAGCTCGTGTTCCAGCCTGTCCTGCTCCTGCTGTATCTCCCGCGTCTTCTTCTCAGCCCATGGCTGTATCCAGTAATGCGGCCGGGTCGTCTGGCGCGATATTGCTGAACTCTTCAACTAATGCCGTGTATAAGCTGACATTCTTGGCCCTTCTTTGCCTCCGCAATGGCTAGGCGGTAAGCATCTACTGCAAAGTAGGGTGAATGAGAGCCGATGTGGTGGAGGCGGTCAACTCGTGTGAAGCCTTGATGTTGTTAGTACTGACTGCACAAACAGTATACAGTAATTGGGATTTCGGCTTACCAGAGTAGTTGCTGATATATGACTCCAGGTCGAACTTGGGCGGATCTAATGCAAGTTAGCGGGGATAGAATGGGCCGGTGATGGTGAAAGTGGTCGTACCCGTGACAACGACTTCATTCTTCGCTCTCCGCTGCTGGAAGAAGGTTGACTGCTCTGTGGTGGAGGCCATGGTTGCAGGACGATTGGCGTTGTCGGAGGTGTGGAGAGTTTCCGAGCTCGAAGCTATCGACGCGCTCGCTGGTGCCTTCCCCGCGTAGTGGGGCGACCGCGGACTGATTACATAACCCTGCGGCTGTCATTGCCATCTCGCGCCACACGACATTCTGCACTCCAATATCGACCTTTCACTTAAAACGCTTTTGACTTTGGTTACGTGTCATGCGGACTGTCCATGTTCCAAAACTCTTTTTTGACGTGCTTCGAGATTGGGCACATCTGGTCTTTCCCTCGGAATTCTTTCGAAGGTTGGCCGCCGAAAGAGGTGTAATTATCCAAGAGGAATGTAATTGAATTATACTCCTCCTGGGCCTGTTCCCCATCCCTCATTGCCATGTTGATACTTGTTCGGAATTCGATCTAGGTCACTGCACAGTCGCAACTACAACACAACCTGGACGATGATCTGAATGAGGCGTGATGACACATCACAGAACAAATTATCTCTGAGCATCTAGGCTCGACAGCTTCACTTCCGCGCCAACAACAACTCCCTAATATCCTTCATCTCTCCCCTTAACCCCTCCATCTCCCTCTCCAACTTTTCAATATCCCTCCTCGACCTCACAATCTCATCCAAACACGTCTTCCCGCTCACCTTCGAACTCCTCAGCCCCTTGACCTTCTGCAGCTCATCCGCAGACAATGTAGATCCACCGGGCTGCGAAAAGCTCTGTCCATCCAACAATCCCAACCCCCTTGAATACAAACTCGTCGGTGATTCGGAATCGGGTATCTCCGCAAGGTAGTTGACAGTGGATTCGAGCTTGAGTTTGGACGCAAAGTGTGAGCGTGGGGAGGAGGGGGATGAGAGCCAGGGGGGTGTGCTGGTGCTTGTGCGTGGTTCGAGATGCTGCAATCTATTGCTGGTGCTGGTGCGCACTGGAGGAGAGGGTTGGGAGTATATACTACTCGTTGTGCGGAGGTCAGGTGTCGAGGGCGCTTCAACAGTGCAATGCCGTTTTGGCGCGAGAGAGGTGAGGCGACGCTGCCAGGGGGTGCTGGTGATTGAAGCTGGAGACGTGTCGGGGAGAAGACTTGTTGATGATGCTGGTGATGATGCTGGAGGCTGCGCCGCGTCTTTCGCGGACGCGCGTAGGTTGGAGAGTTGGGAGAGTATTCTGGATTTGTCCCGTCTAGTTGATGGAGGTGTGAAGAATTCTGTGTCGCGAGTAGGTGATGCGGAGGAAGATGGGAGGCGGCGGGCATAAGATGCTGGCGGTAGGGTGGATGGGGTGCGATATTTTGGCCAGTTGCGAGTTTCTCGCAAGGGGGGTGTGGGCAGTGCGGATGTAGCTGCCAGTATAAGGTCAGAAGGGCGATTTGAGGACGTGAGGGGCGATTGAAAAGTATCTGTAACAATGCGAGGGCGATTCATAAACTTTCTTTGCGCTTGGTGGCGCGTACATCGGGTCCGAAATGGTGAGCCGGCCGATATAGCTGAGGGTCTGCGTGATGGCTGTGCAGACATATGATCGGCAGAGAATAGGTCTGGCCCAGCTGATATGTTATTGAGTGCTGGAATGGCATGTCCAGATACCGGTAAGTTTCTCCTCATAGTCCCAAGCTCTTCGTCTGACGATTCTTCAATGTCTACAATTGTCGTATCCACAACCGGTTGTGGTTCTGGCGACATGGACGAGATATGATTCGGCAATAGCGAAGGCGCAGACATATCTCCAACCCATTCGAGCGCTATGATGGGCTGTTCCATGGCAATATCGTGCACAAGTAGCCCAAGACAGTTGAAGATGAAGACTTTACCAGACTCCGTACCGATCGCGATGAGGGTCTGCAATCCTTCGTAGATTTCGTCATTCTCTTCTGCCGCGTCGCCTCCAAACAGAACTGTGCCATCCTTTCTGCCTTGTGATGTATGCGGGCCATCGGCAACAACTGATAGACAGGTTGCCGGGCCAGCAACATGCTATGTTCGCAAGACCTTGCCGCCGCCTTCAAAATCGACGAGCCGGCAGCGTCCATCATGCCCGATGCTGATGATGCGTGATGTGTAGCCCGGTACGAATTCAGCAGCGACCACTCCTCCCATAGACGCCTTGTGCAGTTTCTTGATCGCACCGATCCTGACTGGTTGCAAATCAAATGTTCGCACACCCCCCAATTCGCATTGTTTGCGCTGTTCTGGCATTGTAGGCAGAAAGAGTCGATACATTGCCATCTTGCCGTCTCGAAAACCCAGGACGAAGCTCGTATGTAGGTTGTCGGTCGGAGTGTGAGGGCCCGAAAACGCAGCGCAACTGACAGGTGTCTCGGCGTCTGTGGGTTGGAATTTCACTGGCGCACTGCCTCTCCATCGTCTATCTTGTATGTATAACGTGGGCGGTGCAGGGGATGCAGACAGCAGTACATCCCCATTGCTTGACACTGATATGACGTTTGGCGGTGATGGATGTGGCTGTTGCGATGGCAGCATCTCCGTCGTTGGGATGTCGTAGGCCTGAACTGATGGACTCAAAGTGGTCGTAAAGTACAGCGTGCGTGAGTCCGGAGATAATAGAAGAAGACGTGGCTCGCCCTGAGTGACGTGTCAGATATGTATGTATTCTCGTTTCGTCGCCGTCCGCCTCACATCGCCTTTTCGCAGCCTGCATTTCTTGCTACCGCGCAACGCGTCGCACAACATAACAACATGGCTATCAGCGACCGCGAAAAGTCTACTGTTGTCTCTCGATGCGCGCGCATTAGTAATGCCTCCAGTCGCGTTGCATTCGAACAGTATCCTGTCGGCAAGTTGCGTCCGACTATGTACAGTCTTCGAAGTGGCGATGAACAAGCTTTGCTCGAGCTGCTGGGCCACAGATACCATGACTGAGACCTGCTACCTTTAGTGATGATTAATAGGGTGCTGAGACTGGTGCACGTCCAGTAGTCGCGAATGTTTGAGGTATGGATGGTGAGCGCACAAGGCAGGTAGGCGTTGTACGTCATGACATGTATACTTGGAGAGTGGAAGTTACGAGGCGGGAGCTGACCTGAAAATCAGCCCCCCAGTGAACTTTGCTTGTTAATCTATATGCTCGCCCTTGCACGCTTCAAAATGAGTTCGGACTCATGGACCGCCTACTTCAGCCTCGCATATTGCTTGCCCCATTTAGCAGCGATTTCCTCCTCGGTGAACTTCCTCGTCTTGCGCTTCAGCATCGCTACGCGCTCCTCGTGCGTGAGGTTCATTTGTGCGCCCATAGGCACCAAGCAGCGAGCAACGTGATCGTAGTTCTTTCTCAGTAGGTTGATGGTCAAGAACATGTAGTCGATGTTGTAGAAAACCAAAGCATGCTCGTCCGAGTACTGTTTCTTCTGGGACAAGAACGCTACCGGGTGCTCACGCCAGTGGCGAAGTGGATTGAGATGGTGAGATGTGTGGTAGCCGTCGTTGTAGCAGTAGCGGTTGCTCTGTTCGGAATTAGCATAGAAGTTCCATCCATTGGGGATTGTGACAAACGTACAGGAACGTCAATGAGTGTGATACTAGACCTGAAGTCGGAGTCCGGCTCCAACTCGTCCACGAGAGCGTGCTGACCCCAGTTTCCGGTCATGAGTGCTAGGCGCATAAGAGCAAGCGGAATGAGGAATACAAAGATGGTCGCGCGGGTGTTGACGTAATTGAACAAAAAGTACAGGAAAGCATAGTTGCCAATCTCGCATCCTCCCGCCTTGAGTGCCATCATAGGCTTCCGAGTGCGTAGAAAGTAGCGCGGTAGATCGAACCAGATCAGGAAGTAGAACCGTCCAACGTATTTTAAGAAGTCCCATACGTCATCTCTCTGGTATCGAACCGTAGATGATAGGTCATTTGGTCCATTACCTTCCACGTGATGGTGCTTGACGTGGTGGAAGTAGTACGAGTTCCACGTATGTCCCATTAACGGATCGAGCACGTACGGGAACAGCTCGTCGACAACAGCGTACTTCTTGCTCAACACTCCTCGCGCATGGATGTGCTGATGCTTTAGAAGCGTGTAAGCGCCAGCATACCATCCCTGCATGACACCGTGGAGGATTGCGTGCCACCAGTGGAAGTTGTAGAAGAGGTAGATTGCAGATGGTAGCGTAGTGCAGCTGTACAGCAGCAGATGGGTGATCATGACAACATCGGCTTCATTTCGCACAACTGTGCGCGCCCACTTCGTGTAGGGTAAAACAATGTTATCGTGGAAGAAAGCATTTTTTATGTCCGGGAGATCCACGGAGCTAAAAACAGTAGGCTCGAAGCTATTCGACTTTGGGTCGTTAAGATTCTTCAGATACTCAATTGCCTGTTGCTCCTGGTCTTGTATATCTAAAAGCTCGTTAGAATCTGTTGGGTATTCAACTCTTTCCCATCTCATGGAACGGGAAGGGCATCGAATTACCCTCAGGAGACGGTGCTACAAATTCGGACCGTTTTTTGGCCGAGTCATCAGACTCCTCTGCGGCATCCACGTCTGCCGTGAGCTCGTGTACTTCGTATTGCTTCTGCATCACGCTCAGCACCAAGCGGTCCGGCCCCGTAAGTTCGGCATCAGCTGGGAATGGTAACCGGCCCATTGCTGGTTGATGTCGATTGGAGGTAGACAGCAAATGTGTGCAATTACAGAATGCTGACGCTGTGTAATAGGAGGAACGCTCGGTATGACAGTGTCAACAAGCAATGGTACTGTGTATGTGGCAGAGCGAGACGTGTTGCAATCGACGTTGGCAAGGACAAGGAGTGTATTTCAAGGTTTGAAGACCCTGAGGCTGGAGGCTGAGCGGAACGGGAGGGCGGTGTGACTAGCGTCCGGTCTCCGTGAGACACGATTGGTCACTTGCAGATCGATAACGCGTGTTCGCCACATGATGTGGGCCGATTCTGGAACAACACCACGAATGTTTCATGATGCACGATTGAATTGAAATTTGACTTTGGATTGCGTCGAGGGGAAATTCTCATAGAAGAATTGTAATGCGGTACTCAAGCCTCCCTTCTTCAGCTTCGATTATAGAAGTCGCGATCGTCCTCAGAGCTGCTAACATGCACCTGCCACTCACTGCCTACAATAAGGGCTTCTTCCAGTCATCAAATTCGATGAAATCCGGATGCGTAACGATTCAAAGAAAACCTTTCCGCAAGTCTTTTGCCCAGAAAAAATTCATGCGTGTTGCGATTGTACTGTGTTCAACGTTAGCACAATTCTTGCCAGACTTTCACCACGGCAAAACTTACATCCCGCATTTGGCGACCGACCCCACGCCGAATACAGCTCTCATCGTATCAGACTTCGCACAGTTCTTTTCACTCCGAAATGGCACCCGGGAGGGCAGCGTGTTTCTTGACGGAACTGCCCTTCTTCCACACCTGGTAGCCCAGACCGATGTTCAGAACCATAGCTGCGAGTAACGCCAGGAGTAAGACACCGATGACGTCCGTCAGGTCCTGAATGAGGTGTCCACCGATGGCATCAATCTTGTTCATCAGATCAGCCATAGCAAGACTGGTAGTCATGGCGGCGTTTTCGCACTTGTTCGTGTTGGTCTGTATGTCGATGAGTTTTATTTCCATCAAGGCGATGTGGCGGAGGCACAGCTCAGATAGATGGTGATTGCCCATTACTGTAGTCGCACTTGGAGGGTGAGCTTTTGTCTTCGATCTACGCCATAGCACTCACATCAGGCCTTCGTCTGCTAAATTGCAGTATCGGTGTGCTTATTTACACGATGTAATTAGCCGGGAAGTTTTGTAGTGCGCTTTGTCATTTGGTGGTGGGTGAGATACAGTGGGAAAGCAAACTAGGAGCGTATGGGCGATTGGGGAGAGGCTAGTAAGTATACGTTAGTGCTAATTAACAAACAGCGTTCACCATGAGTTACGGAAAAACGGTGTAGTGAAAGTGGCTTAACGACAAAGTAAAGGTAGAGCATATTTTTCTAAGGGATTTTATATTGGTTATTACTCAGTGCTAAATAAAGCTTTTGGCTTCAAGGACTACTGTCTGGTCGACTATCCCGCTCTCTCACCTGCCTGTCACCCACACCTTTACTTCAGTACAGAATTTTGTCGACCCTTCTACCACAGCGCCGCCCATGGCAGAAAATGCTTATTTTTGCAGCTCCACTTCGCGCCCAAACTAGGAAGCACACAGCACAAGCCCGATGATACTGAGTATAACCAGAGAAAATAAAATGTACGTGAGGATATCGACAGGCAGTTCGAGTGCCTGAAGCGAGTCATCGATACGGCCGAGAAGGGGAGCGGTGTTGGCGAAGAAGTGGTCGAGACTTTCGAGCCTCTCGATAGCGGCAGCTGTATTGATCGGTCCGAACAGATCTGGACGCTCGTCGCAGAAAGCCTCGAGGATTTGGAGATGTTTGTCGACTCGGTCCTTGGTCTCCGCTGGCAGATAGGAAATGTGGGATGGAACATGGCTCCCCAAGACACGAACACAAGCAAATACGCCAATGTTCCGTAGGCAATCAACTCATCCCGTTTACATTTTGTCAAACTGCCCAACATGCTTCTGCGCTCGATCCCGTGAGCACTACTCGCGCTTCGCATCCAGTCTTCGCCCACCCATTGGTATAGCTGTGCTTCTCAAGTCTATTCGGAGTCTTACGAGAGCGTCTAGGATCTTGTACAGGAAGAAGATAATAGCGGCCAGCAATATCGCGTTCAAAACGACCAGGAATATGAACAGATCCACACGCGTTAAAACGTCGTTCCGAATGTCTTGGATGGTGTTGTCTATGTTGAAAAATCCCATAGTGCTTAGAGTTACGCGTAAGTTGGTGTTCTGGGTGATTCTAACGAAATTTAGCGGTTTCTGGCAGGATGGCGACGGATGAAGTTTGCGGTCAGTGAATCGGTTTGTTTTGGCGCACAAACGCAGGCTGACGTCATTACATGCACGACGTGTTGGACGAAGCATAACGAATTTCCGACCGAAAACCCATTGTCGTTTTCGAGGCTTGGTGTTCTGTTCTCGGCTCTGGGTCGATTCAATCTTACGTATCAGTGTACCACACGCCTGATGGAAATCTGTCAATGATTGGCAGTATGAGGAAATGTTGGATAGTTTGTATTTGCACCCAGTCCTATCTAGCCACTGATGCCTTGTTGACCCATTGACCGTCTGAGCCTTTATACCTTGAATTTCTCGTAACTCCTCTCCGAAGGCTGTAGACATCAGAGCTCACCATTCTTACGCCTTCTTGCAACCCTTCCAGCCGTCGGTGATGCAGGCGGAGTTGCGGGTGAACTCCTGATGCATGATCTCTCCAATCTTGCTACCAAGACCGTCCACAGCTTTGTCGACGAGCTGGAGTTTATCGCCCTCACAGCAATCCCATTGTCCGTACCCTGTCTCTCCGTTCCAAAGCTTGATGTGGAAGTACTGAGCCTTGGTCCCATATGGGACGAGGTTTGTCTGTACGCAGGCGTCAGCTGTTGTTCAAAGGATGCACAAGAGCTGAGTAACTTACACGGACCACATCTCCGACATTGCATGCAGCCTCATCGCCCATCCAGAAACAATTGGTCTTGCCGTCAGGGTAGCGCTTCGTTAATGCCTCGAGTGTACCCGCGACGACGCCGATGAGTAGTTTGCGCAGCTCTTCGGTGCCCCACTCTGCTCGAATCTCATGGATACAGACCATGCCTATAGATAGTTAGTTGGTTCTTGGGCTCTCTGTAGGTGAACATGACTAGATTTCACTAGATTTGGGTTTCAAACGTACTGTCAACGGGACGCTTGTCTTTGCCAATAGTCACGGTCTTGAAGCAGATGTCGGTCTTGTCGACCTTGCATGTCGCTTGGTCTGTGTTGGAAGGACAGGCTCTATCGAGTAGACTCCAGATGGTGCGGTATAGATCAGCTTGGATGACATGACCGACGGCGATCTTGATGCTGCCGACCCAAATCTGAATAGTCGTGCTAGAGTCATATTTAAGAGAGGGATCGTCGCCAGAGGCGTGTGACGTAACTTATCGGAGGTTAAAGGTAATCTCTGGGAAGCTGCAGTTGTGCTTGACTTACCGCCTTTGGACGTGTTGAGGCTGGAGAGCTGCAGGCCGCCACTCGAGCGGTCTTCTAGATTGGGACCAGCGCCAACGAGAATAGTGAAGAAAGCAGTGAGGCAAAGGAGGGTATAGAAAGTTATCCTCATCGTCAGAGATTTAGAGTGGAGGGTTATTTGAGATAGTTTGAAAAAGTTGTTGTGGACTGTATTGAGTGAAGGATGGGAGGGAAGAGGAGTGGATAACTGGTGTGATTCATTTATAAGGCGAGTCTGCTACCGCGCTAGAACTGCGGTGAGAATTGGCATAGCCATGGGGAACGCAAACGGGCATGAGCGGTGAAGTGAGAAGACGCGATTACGGAGACTGAAGCATTTGCCCGATCCACGCTTGGGAAGTAATTACGGTCAAACGCCCTCTAACTCTCGTAAAAGTTTCCCATCTTAGCTTCCTTGTTTGAAGCTCCCAACATTCCAGCCCAAGGCCATGATCTGCCCATTCGGCCAACTCTCCCTCATCACACTCTTTCTATACCACGGGTCCTCATTCACATACCATTTTGTGTGACAGATTGGACAACATGAATTTCCAGTGGTGAAAATCTTCTCAGATAGACACTTAGACCCAAATATGTGCCCACAACTCGGCGTGGTTACTTGTAACGCTACTTCACACCTCGTGCGATCGGGACATTCGTCGTCGTCGGATAGCAGGGCCGATTCATGCGATTCGTGCGATTCGTGCGGTTTGAGAGATTCGTTTGGTTTGCGCGGCTTGTGGATGCGCTGAGTTGGACGTGTTACTTGTTCGGGTGATGGAGCGGGTGTAGGCAGCATGGCGAGGTGAATGTTGCCGCAAGTTGGCCTCGAGCAGTAAGAACATTTGAGACGTCCCTCATAGTTACTCCGGGGTATGAGGTTGTTATTCAAGAAGAACCCAAGAGACGGTGTTGGGAAAACGCAATCGTCAACTATCTGGACGCGAGACGTGAGTGGCTGCGACGGAAGCGGGCGTAGTGGAGCGATGGTCATTTTTGGTTTGTGATTTTGTTGGCAATAGCGATGGTAGATAGGAAGATAGCTAGTCGGCGTCGTATGCTGTAGAATCAAACATGAAATCGTGGAATCATCTGGTGGCAGCTGGTAAGCAAACGTACAACGTCGCTCTTACCAACCCAGCAGCAACATCAAGGTAAGAGCTACTTGCCTTGTAACTCACATGATTGAGGGGATGTAGAACACTGTAGTAAAAAGCCATCCCAAACATATAATGTCTGACGATCTTGCTTAGCAATGTGTTTCGAACATCCGTTCGATTATATGATTTTCGCTGGCATTTTCTGCTATCATACATGCACTTCATACTTCTGCATGTATATACTCTGCAGGATAGCTTAATCTTTTAACAGTCATCATCTTTAGGTAAGCGCAAGGCCGCAAGCTTTTATAGAAACACCCCGTCATATTCACACTGCAGGCCATTACAACAAAAGGAAGAGGCCTTTGCGCCTTTAGTATCTCGATCCCATTATGTGAGCGATGCAATAGAGAGAGTCTCCGTCTGTACGCAAATTGAAATGATCAGACCGCTGAGTCATTGTTTTGCCAGCTCGGACGCGACCGAAATCGAGCTTCGGCGTGAATGCAAGGCATTAGTGTAAGGGTCTGGCACAGAACGGTAGGCGTTGGAAATTGCGCAAAAATTCTAGGTATGCTTTATGCTTCGACAAAAGAACTTCTATTTCTGATATGATGGAAGCTTTGAGAGTCCCGGAGTTCTGCAAATTAGCAGTGAAGGCAGGCTCAGGTGATTACCCAAGTATTGCAGGCGGCGCGACGGTGCTCACAACCGCTTTCCATTTACGTCGACTCAGCGAGTAATAATGATTTTCGCGGTCACATCTCGAGACTGCGGCGCACAACGCTACCTCTATGAAGGTCGCTCAGCCACGTTTGGCGCGATTATGAATCGTGTGAAGAGAAAGATTCTCTGCATACATGCTTGAGTCATGGATCAAATCGCTCCCTGAAAAAATGTCTATTAGATTTACTGGGTAGCTATGGCACACAGACAGCTCGATCGAAAATCGTCATTCCAATATCGTGTTTGAGGCCCCCCGCATTTCAATACATGCAGGAACCACCAGCTACATGTGCTAACGGGCATTTAGCGAATCTTCTCGGCCACGATCAGTCCGCTTTCCAGATCTCCGAGGTCTCGTGGCAATACTATTTGTGTTTCAAGTTACCCCAATCCCCAATACTTCCCCGCAGCGGGGAAGAGTATGTTGCGGGGATCTGGGGCCGTGCGAAACCCATACTTGTCTGCCCTTCAAGTCGAGATCGTTAGCATTACATCCAAAGAAAAAATACCGACTCTAGCAACCCCCTGTCTGACTTCAACTTCCATCAAAAATGTTACTGGACCGACTTGGTTACGAAGCTAACACATTCTACTATGCGGCGACAGCTTGCCTCGTACTCGCTACAGTTGTCGTATTTGTCGATTATGGACGAATGCTTCTGCTGAGGCGAAAATTGCCCCCTGGACCTTTCCCATTCCCAATTGTTGGCAACCACTACCAAATCTCGAAGGACCGACCCTGGTTACAATGGGCTGAATGGGCTGAGTATTACAACAATCCTATGACAACCATCTGGGTAGGCCGAGAACACCGAATAATCGTCCAGGACGCCTGGGTCGCTTCAGATCTGCTCGAGAAGCGCGCAGACATATTCTCGTCGCGCCCTAGATTCGTCGTCATGGGTGACCTCGTTGATGCAACGACTACGAATCAGACAACATTGGTTTACGGTGACAGATGGCGGATCCATAGAAAGCTCATGGTATGTCACATCATCTTTGGTCTTTTGAGTACGTGCCGGATTAATCGCTTTTTAGCATGGTGTCGTTGGAACACAGGCCGTTCGAGGATACCGAGAAGCTCAAGCCAACGAATCGAAGATATTGACCAGAGATCTCATGATGAAGCCGGATGATTTTGTCATGTCAATATGAGAGATACTCGGTTTCGTTGACTTCCATAATTGGTTGGGGTCGTCGTATCAAAAAGACCAACGACGAAGTGGCACAGCTAGCTCTCGCTGTCATGGAGGCTGTCAACTACATCGTCCCTGGTTTGTACCTTATGGAGGCCATCCCAATTCTGTCAAAATTACCGTCTTTCATATACAGCACTCCTTCCAAAATCAAAGCGGGTGCAAATCTATTTTCGAAGTATTTCTACTTCCTTACCCAGGAAGGGGCGAAAGTAGATGGCCCGACCTTTGCCGCGAATCTTATAGAAGCGCAACCGAAGATGAATCTCAGCAACAAAGAAGTCTCAGGCCTAGCAGCTAACCTTATTGGCGGTGGTGTCGACACGACATCAAGCACTATGCTTAGTTTCATTCTCGCCATGGCATACTTTCCTGATGTCCAGAAGAAAGTGCAAGCAGAATTTGATGCCGTCGTTGGACACGATCGATCACCAAACTGGGACGACGTCGACAAACGCCTGCCGTATCTAGTGGCTACAGTGAAGGAAGTACTCCGGTGGAGGACAGTGACCATTCTTGCCGGTATTCCACATGCCAATACTGTCGACTTTGAGTATAGAGGCTATCACATTCCAGCGGGGACGAATATTACGGGCAACATGTGGGCCATCCACCGTAATCCTCGTGACTTCCCTGATCCGGATGTTCTGCGACCTGAAAGATTCCTCAATGGCCTGGAGAAGCCATATCCAAACCAGCGAGGGAGTAATCCATTCGGTTGGGGCCGACGACAATGTAGTGGACAGCCACTAGCGGAGCAAGGGCTTTATTATTCGTTGGCGAGAATAGCCTGGGCCTTCAACATTCAGCCCGGGTTGGATAAGCATGTACGTCTTTGCACGCCCCGTCGCTCCTGCCGTCACAAATTCCGAACTTATACTGACCTTGATGCAAAAGGGAAATGAAGTCAAGCTCGATATCTTTGCCTACACCAACACAGAGAACATGCGCCCAGAGCCCTTTGAAGTACGATTCTCGCCAAGGACACCTAAAATCCAGGATATGATTCTTTCAGAAGCCATGATTGCTTCCGAAGATTTGAGTATCTACGATTGGGAAACCAAGGTTACGATCAAGGATGCGCTTCAAGATGCTTAGCTATATATTGTAATGGTCCATCTGAATATCGCTACCTGCTCTCGCATCCAAAGATGGGGCTACGAAACCGTACATGTGGCAGTACCAAGAGACGATAATTGACCGTCATTTGTTTCATGGGCTGGCGAGAACAACTAGTTTCCCAAATACCTCGCCCTGAATTCCCGACTTTGATGATTTCGTCCAGAGCTGCCTCGGGGGTGCTATCCAAAATCTCCACTGATGGAAGCATAAATCGAGTATTGTACTGCTTAATGGCCCATTCCAGAGCCGTCCACGCATTCCAATGCCTTTCTGGATTACCAGGAATACTGATGGGTTCCGGCGCACCCGGTGGAAGGAAGCGCCACTCGTCTTTGGTCGTGGCCAAGGGCATTTGAAATCCACCATGGAATTTAGTGACGCTTGCAAGTATAGCTCCTGGGCTATTCATGGCGCGTGCGAGCATATCTGCCGAAGAAGGTTGGGTGAATGTACCAGCAGCATCAAGCGCATGGCTTACGGAGCCTTGACCAAGAGCCTGGACCGCCGCAGCAATATCGGCTTCAACGGTTAATGAATTGTAATCAAAAGTATGTGTTGCGCCGAGGCTTTTGAGCAGTTCATGGCGGCCTAGTGATGCGGTGACGAGTATGTTTTGGCAACCACTAGCCTTCAGGAACTGTAATGCGCAGATGCCTACGCTGGAAGAGGCGCCCCAAATAACGATCGGACAGTTATGAACGGCTGGCGAAGTAGGCAAAGGCAACTTGAAGATGTTGAAGACCGTGTCCGCAGCAGTCATTGCCACCACTGTAATAGCTGCTGCATGACTCTGTGGAAGATGCGAAGGCACGCTGAAGATCATGTCTTCCGGACAATAGCAATGCGCCTGGTGGGTTCCATATCTGCTCGGCCGTCCCATTCCAGAAGGCGTGTATCCTGCAACTATGTCTCCTTTGGTGAGCTTGGATCCTGACGGCACTGAGAGGACACGGCCGCAGAAGTCGTATCCGATGACTGTTGAGCGGATGCCAAGATGAGCATGTTTGGTGTCTGCTGGGTTGACGCCGGAGTAGATAACTTCGATGTGCACATCGTTAGGAGCGGTCACCTTATGAAGGATGTCATCTCGTATGGAGAAGTCGCCATTTTCGTCAACGTAGATGGCTTTCGGGTCAACTGCGGACATGGTGAGAACACCCAGCTGGGGAATACGACTGTTCGTTAAATGGAAGGAACGATATGGTAACGACTGTCAACATGTGAGGAAGCCACATCACGCGAGTTAAATCAACATCTATCTTGTGGGGAGCAAACCAGCACTACGCTACTACAAAAACTAGTGTGCTTGTATTCGGCCCTTTTTCTATATAGCCACGTCATTGGAGGAGATTACGTCGGGTTTACGAGCATGTACGAAGTGGGGACGCAAAGCCAGGCGATGTACGACGCTATGATATTGTACGGTGATTAGATATATGATCGGACGAGATACACCCTAACCGGGAGCCAAGTGAGTTCCGGCCAAACTCCCTAGAAAACGCCCTGATCTTGTTGGTCTCATATGTTGACCATGATGGCTACATCAAACGTTGAAAGCATCGACGTTATGCTTTACTTAAATCTTCAACAACACAAGCACAATGCGGGGACTTTTAAAAGATCACAAGAGGCGTCCAAGATCGTTTCCCTTACCAGCTGCTGCTACTATCGATCTATATGCACTGTTCTGCTTACGATGGGTACGTGACAGACGTAGTCTCTTTATCGCGATCTCTCACCCACCAATATCGGGACCAAGCAGAACATTTCCGTTGATGTGAAGAAACGCTCTGTCCTGATCTTCCGTTTAGTTTGAGCCAAAGTGTAACATGACTACAAATGACACGGAATCTTTCAAAACGTGTTTTCGACACGCAAGGCTAGCTTGCCATCGTTGCCATCGCTCAAAGACCTCGAGGAAAAAATGAATATTTGGCAAGACATGATCAACGTGACAGTCACATCGTCAGAAGGCCGGTCAACAACTGTAGATGATGGACGACAGCAACGCAATGACAGCAATGCGAGTGACATCGGCAGAGACATCAAGCCCATTCCAGACAACGAATGCTCACATTCATCTTGCTTCCATTACAACACCACCCTTGAAGCAGCCTGGACCGCACTATAAGTTCGATCGTTTGTCCTCTCTTCTAAACATTTCGATTAAGCACTCTAGCAAAGGAAGGTACTCGCAAACAACTGAAACCAAAACAGAGGGCTAAACCAATCATGCCGAATTCTATTCCCGAATTCAAAATTCAAAACTTCCTGTCGCGCCAGACAATTCCTCTACCTATCTACTCTTTACCCAACGGCTCTCCGCACGACCAAGAATGTCCCATCTGTCATGTCTTCTACGTCGATCCACCAACCACTCATGTGCATCCAGACTTTCCCTCCTCTAGCAATGAATATGCCTGCCAAGTTCGTGCTTGCAAGCACATCTTTGGACGGCGCTGCCTAGAGAGGCATATTCGTGGCAACATGCCCTGGAGCCACACCTGCCCGACCTGTAGGAAAGAATTATTTCCTGCTCCGAACAAAGGCAGATCGGACATGCTAGCAAGCTTAGAAAGAGCTTTGACGGGACTTGCGAACATTGAAGTCAGGGATGTGCAGGTTAGGAGAGAAATTGACGATGTTGAGCGGGTGATGAGGAAGGTGAGAGAGGTACTGTATGGAAACAGGTGGATCTGAGAGATGGCCCGTAAATAACCAATCATAACTTATTTGGTAGTGGTATTGCCGGTGATCAATTCTGAGCGTTTTGCGGGTTTCACGATTGCATGCTAGGTTGCCTATCGTGATGCTTATGATGACTAGGAGACGACCCGAGGCAGAAAATTGCTGGACCATTAGCCGGTGTAACCAAAATCCTGTTGTGAACAGTTTAGAGTTCAACGTTGGCTGTGACACTGCAAATCAGGTGATGTCCAAACGTGGTGGTGGCAGCGATCGACGTATCATGACGGTGACTCCGCAACGTGCGTTGGTGCAGGCTGTGTACCTTCCCACGCTTCAACACGTGACCAAATTTACGCCTAACACACTGCATACATCATGCGACCGTCAGGTTGAATACTTCACATTGATGGCGATTTTTGTGAAGAGAGGTGTGACTGCACGTTCGGCAAACACAGTGGACGAAGACGTTGACAAGACGATCGAACAGCAAAAACCTTCGCCTCGCTAGAAACTCCAGCCTCCCAAGCATTTCTCATCTTCCTGAGTCTTTGCACTCTCCAATACAATAGTGCAGAGAACTGCCTTGAGCCTTCTCAGCAATGTCGACCCCACAACCAGACTGCCAAACGCCGGAAAACCGAAGCAGTAGCAACCAGGACAGCACCAAAGGCGCACTTCTCATCACTCCCGTAGTACTTGCACAACTAGAAGACCTGGAGTGCCCAATATGTCATGAGCTCTACACGGAACCGCGATCCACTGACCATGGTTCCGAGCCACATCAGGAATGGGCTGTCAAAGTCGACATGATCGCAGAGTGGTTTGGTACAAAGCGATGTTGTGGACACGTTATTGGACGCAAATGTCTCGCGAAACACCTCAAAGGGCCAGGGCCGTGGAGGAACAAGTGTCCGTTGTGTCGAGATGTGTGGTTTCATGATGTCGCTCCGAGAAATGCGCAACCACAGGTTGAGGCTCCTGAGCCGCCGAGCACAACGCGCGCGCTGCGACGAAGCCAAAGGATCGCAGAGCGAAGATCCATGAGTCAAAGATCTTCGGGGAGTATACATGGCGTAGCTCGGACACAATCTCGTCAGCGCCCTCAAAGACGTCCTATCCGCTTCACTCAACGGTTAATGGCTGCGCTGGAGGTCGAAGATGGAACGGAGGAGGTGAAGGGAACCATGGAAGAAGTCGAAAGGAGGCTCAACAGATTGTATGAAGATGCAACTGGGTGATGCGGTTGGATGAGTGAAGATTGTTCAGGAAAGTTCGGGATTGGCACATCTCGCCTGTGTAAGGTCGAGTTTTGGCAAGCTTGGAAGCCAGCATTGCAAACATACCTCAATTATCAAAGTTTGATCATGCACTTGTCCTTGTTCTTTTGGTTGCTCTTTCACCATTCGCCTCCTCGCTGGTTGTGCCACTTCCTTGCATCAACACAACAGCTTCTTGCAGCAATGTCTTCTCCCCTAGCCTGACTTCTATAGCCATGCGGTGCCTCTTCGCCAAGTCTTGCTTTTTTAAGAGCTCCTTGTCTTCCTCGATTGATGTAGGATATTGTCCAAGTTTTGTCATTAACGCCTGGGTAATCGCAGCTTTACAACTTTCCACTCGCTTCCGCTTGTCAGCTACTACTTCGGGTTTCGACTTTCTAATCGCTTTGAGAAATGCCGTAAGCTGCTCGTCAAGCTCCGGGGAGATCTCGCGGAGCTCCGCTTGGTAGGTAAGACGTCCTTGGCCGTCTGGTTCACCAGAGTCTCGCTCGATAACGAAGTACTCTTCCAACTCCTCGGGGTCTACTTCGGCATCCTGTAATACTGTCAGAGGCGAATCCCCAATGATACGACCATCCATCATTCACTTACAACTTTTCCCAGTACCTCTTCAGTCAGGCTCAGCTGTTGAACAAGTGCTGATCGTACGAGAGCCCATGGCAGCTCAGCGACATCATATCTGCGATGCTCCGGCGTGACATATCCATAGCGCCGAAGTAGGTCTGAGGAAGGTAATGGGCCCGTAGTAGTTTCAAGATCTCAGAACCTTGCGGGAAAGTCTGGAGCGCAGCGCAGTTACTTCAAAGGCTGTCTCCATGGTTCACATGGTGCCTGTTGAGACTGGGTTAGTGCAACAAAAGCATTTCGCATTCAATGGAAACTTTACGTTGAACTCTGCCATTTGCATTTAAGCATGTCTTGCCATTGGCCACCATGCCCGAGCATGGGTGGTTGCCCGTCTCGATCTTTCAGCCCCAGCTCATTCTTTCTTCGTCGTCTGAATCTTCATCGCCGGTATCAAGGTCAAATGCGTAAGACATAATGGTACTTCCGACGCGATGCGCAAGAGATAGCAAATCATCCTCGCTCAATTGAGTCGTGCCGTCAGGATAAAAGATGGACGCGTTTTGCAGGACGATTGGTAGTATGCGATTCCTCAGCATTTCGTCGCTCTCTTGCTTTCCGATCTTCTCGGGTGTAAGACACGTGCCTTCTAACTCTTTGAGCTCAGCTTCAGTCCAGAAGATTGGCGTGTCAAAGCTTTGTGGAAGCACATCGAAGTAAGGCTTCCATCGTGATGCTTCTCCCTGAAGATACTCATACAGAATAACAAGTATTAGAGAGCCCCATGAGTCCAGAGGTTCCCAATCCTCGTCTTCGTCATCCTCGGGCACTTCAAATACTTTAGGCAGCTTCTCGGCCAACTCTGATGTTTCTGTATTTATGATTGCGCTCCTCGGGATTGTAAACAGCGTAGTGTCTTCCGGTATGTCTTTGATGGCCACTTCCTTAAGTCAGCATACCGTCCAAACGCTGTAGTCGCCCCCACTGACCAATTCCTCGGCCCGCGTCCTTTGGTCGGAGGTCTTTGATCTCCAGCAAATCGTCGCGGAATTCGCCTCCGACAGTTTTGAACCATGCTAGAAAGCGATCAGTGGTCGTCGAAAACTCGTCCATGGTAATTTATTGCCTGTGAGGCTTGAGGTTAACGTAGTGGCGAACTGAGTAATTGTACGACGTAGTGGTAACAGAAATTTCGTCGCTAGATAGTGACGTCGCGCATACGGTCCACAGACGATTTAGTTAGACATACGTTCGAGATCAAAAATCGAATGGGAGGCGCAAACCATGAAAGATGGTCTGCAAGGGTCGATGATGTGAAAAGTCACTCTTTTCGTGCGTTGGAAGGTGCGGAAAGATGATGTGCGCTGATTGGTGGCAAAAGATTAAGGCTAAAAGAGGAAAGGCGCGCCCGCACATCCATGCGCTCCAGGGCTCTCAACTGCGGACTGCACACCCCATGAGGACGACATAACACCCTTTTCCTTGATGCATTATTTTCGTACACATGAGACGATAGGAAATTTCATTTTGATAAATGTTTTAATCTCTTCTTATTATTCAAGACATTTCCTAGGTGTTCAGTCAGATGAGCAGAGTCGTTCCAGGTATGCTCGTCTACCGTTAAGCCGTCAACAATTATTTCGGAAGATCACCATGCACGCAGCCGTGTAAGTTATTTTAAGCAAACTTTAACCCCAATTATTGAAACAGTGACCGCTAAATCTTTCCCACGCTCATTAATTTGTCACATCTCGTTCCTCTACCAACAGCGACAAGCTTTCCACAGCATCCTCTACATTACCCAAAAACATTAGTACACCTGCTGTTGCATTTCCATACTCGTATATTTCCCGCATGCGCTCCAAGCGTGAAACGATACGCTCTAGGCGCCTGGCTGGCGTTGAATATTGATCCTCGGGAGCCACTTGAGCCATGGCGCCTGGACGGACGGAAAGTAGGCCCCGCTCTCCGTCATCGCTGGTTGTCGATATCGAAGATCGCCTTCGTAGACGTACGCCAATAACAGCATTTCTTCGCGCCCGCATAGCCTGTACTCTCCGATTCAATGTTGGATGAAGAAGATCGTCGTCGAGCTCGAAGTCTTCGCTACTGTAAGACCTAATTCGTCGAGTTCTGGGGAAGTTTCTGGTCCCAGTACCGTGGAATGAACCATCGCTGCCATCCGACCCTGGAGCCTCAAACTCGCTCGATGCGTCGAACTCGAAATCTCCTAATGATGATATGGCGCGTTCATCTTGTGAAAACCTGATCCATTCTTCGCGACAACTTGGGCATCGCGTGCTGTATTCTTCTCCTCCTCGCACATGCTCTTCTATACATAGGCGACCAAAGATGTGGCGGCATTGCGTTCCTTCTGGTCGTTCGTATGGGCATGCTGGATAGTCACTGGCACGGTTGAAGTCGTAATCAGGGTAGGGCTTGTGGCAGATTGGGCAATCAGTTTCCGTTCCTGCAGTTGGTATAAGGAGGTTGAGATAGGCATCGATTTCAGCATTTGTAGGTGTCATGTTGGTGGTGTCGATCGTCAAGATCCCTAGTTCAAGGTCAGAGAAATGAGGTGCAGCCATAAGAAGGGAAAGACGGCATAAGTAGAAAGCACTCGTGGCGCACTTTTATGCTATAGGTACATCACGGCTCGGGACAGTGAAGTCAGGAAGTGAACCCCATCCCGTCTTTCCGTACCGGTGGAAGCAGAAGCAGCCACGGAATGTCTAATTCCAGTGTAGCTTGTCAAGTCGTTAGTCTTTGCTGATCAGGTCACTCCAGACTTGCCAGATTCATATACCCCTGAATAGATAAACTCACATATCTGATAGGGCGATGCGCAGTGACAGACTCGCATTGTCTTTTCACGACGTGTTTATAATTTAGACGGTCCGCACCAATGTAGCATTTCTCACGCAGAGTTGAATCTGCGGGACATTCTGAAGCAAATACGTATTCATTCTGTTCAAAGATCCTCGTACAAAAAGCACCACCACATATGGCCGTCTAGTGTCCGCTGCAACTCTGGCAATGACTACACGAGCTTACTAAAGACCATCATGCCGTCCAAACGGATGAAAGCAACTTATTTCGCGTCGCGACTAGTTTGATCTAATGTCAACAAGCGTTGATGTGTAGTTCAATGTTGACGTGAGTACAAAGGGGGCCAATATGTTGCTTGACCGTTGTATTGGTACTTCCCCGTGCGCGAGAGAATTCCACAGATCGTACAATCGTAGTTCTCGACTTTGAGCATAGGTATGACTGTGCTATGATGGTCCTCAAACTCTTGCGCAGTCGACGCTGGCGATTGGGTTGTGACAGAGGTCATGAAATCTTTTAGTGAGAGCCAAAAAAGTCTCGCGAGCACTGCGTCCAAATTACGGTGTAGGCGACGATGACGGTCACTGCGCAAAATTCTTGAATAAGTTCGTGAAGCGTAAGGAACACGAAGAATAATTCATACGCTCTTTGGTGGCATGGTCCGCAGCTGTCTGCTCACACCTCTGAGTGTGAAGTCGGGCATTCGCCATTGCTTTTTTGCAGCCGTACGGAAAGTGCCTACAAATCGCTGGCAGAAGAAGAGTTACTTGAGAAGGAGGAATTCACCAGGTTCTGCCGGTGACCAATCATAGGCAGCAAGAGAGCTAAGGTGTTTAGCGCGGGTGTGCAGCCTCGCCTGCCTCACGTCTTGATGCTGACCTCATTGCCAGTTTTACAACCCAAATATCACCCAAGTATACAACAAAGGCTAAGGTCTACATTTCTATTACTTTCGTTCAACCAACCCCTTCAGTGTTAAGGTCATACAAGCACTATGAGCGATCCAGCGGCTACGCAGCCTACGACCCCGACCCAAAGCCCGCCCAATGAAGCATTCACGGCTATGGACATGGAAAACGATACAAAGTCCGAAGCGTTTGCGATAGATCATGACAGTGCCTATATCACCCAGCCTCAACCCGCATCAAGACGATACTCCGCTCCCAAAGCGGATCGAGACACTTTCGACTCGCAGCAAGCTTTCCTGGACAGTTTGCACCCCATCGAAATCGAAGACGTTGAAGAAGATGAGCAGAAGTGTCCCCTTTGCTGGAAACAGTTTGGAGAAGGTCCTGATCCTGGTCACGATAATTCCGAGCGACCCGTGCGGCTCCGATGCAACCACGTGTACGGCGACAAATGTCTTGCCGACCTGTTCCGCCTTCCTGAGACCTCCAGAGTCAAGTTACATCCTCTCAGATTTTTTCCCGGAGATAAGGGTCATCTTCTTGGCCAGATACTGTGCAAATATCGTCAGAGTCTGGGCGCCGAGTTTCGCAATCGCAACGATGTTGAGCTGTTTGAGAAATTTCTTACAAGCATCGAGATCCCGTCAGGGCCGCCAAAGCCTGAGGACTATTGGAATAGTATCCTCGTAGGGATTTTCAAAATGATAGACCATCGGAGCATCGTAGACATTACATTCATGGAAAATGCCGTGGTATTGGATCAGGGTGAGCCGTTACCAGATGCAATCGCGACACCACGACATTCCTTTCCTACTCAAGATCCAACAGTATCGCCTAGTGGATTACCCAGACTGAATCAGAGAATGGTAGGAGCTGTAAGCCCTCATTCTCTTCCCTTCCCAAAACCACCAGTGGGAAAGCCTGAGTTCGACACGAATTTCTTCACTTCAGGAGTACTTCACGATGCCTCCGACGATACGGCATCTCCACAGCCGCTCATGTCGGCTCCGGGCCTCTCTACACCTTCAAAGACTATTTCACGGTTTGACCCTCAGAAAGAGGGGTGGGCGTCGCCATTCCAACAAGTCTCAACAGATTCTCTCAAGTCACCCCCACAGCATGCCAACCCCGTTCTTTCTTCGGAAACAAGCATCAAGACCACTTCTTCGAATAACAAACCGTTGAAACCCTGGATGGAGGCCTTGAACACGGCAGAGACGAAATTTGACAAGCTTTCCGCGCTTCGGAACGAGAAATTGAACGAGAAAACAGAGAGCATGTCGATGACGGAGGTGCAACTGGCGGCTCAAGCAATTGTGCAGGGGGTATCAACCGATCAACTTGCTCTTAGCAATACTTCTCCGGGATGTTTGCTGGCTCGCCAGAATGGTGTGTATCTGCTTCTTCTTTACCTCCAATATGTAAATAGCCTTTCACTTGCAACTTGCTTACTATTCTCAAGCAGAGAGAGAACATATGAGTCGAGACCGCAAAACATTACTCGCTCGCAAACTCGTCGACGTGCTTGAAAAGTACGAGGCAAGTCAAGGTACTGTGCCGATATCGTACATGCCTCAACTGCAGCATTCCCTCGTTCTTTCTCCGTATTTGCTCTTCTTCCGGGTTCCAATTCATATCCGCGATCGGGCGAGCACTTCGTGTGAGCTTTATCCACACATCAGACGTCATATGGTTGAGCGCGATGGAATCCTATCCGTTTGTGAAAGGTCCAGGATTATCCTTCTGAGATCATTATGCACCGACTGCGAGCTCGACGAAATATCACAGACTGCGTTGCCAACCCCCACCGAGGTTACCTGGGCAAGGCACGCAGCTTCAAATCCCGACTCTTGTCCTCTATGTCAGGAAGTGCTCTTCAGAAGTATACGCACGCGCAGTTTCAGTGGGATTCCACCTCATCCCTTTACTGAAGACGCAGCAACGACGCAGTGAATCATCGATGTGGCAGATCTGGGCACTAGACAGAATTTGGACCCGTTGTTCTGCTGTGAATTCGTAGTGTCTCCGGCCGAGTGGTGGCTGACAAAAGAAGGGGAGCGTTTCGACTAAGCAGTGGAATTATGGTACCAAGCTCCGCTCAATCCCATCCCACTAACTGTACTTTTAACAATATCGTCACGGCACTGCTGCCTGTGTCACGTCATGTTCGCGTGTGTGAGAATCTGATGATGGCCAAGTCAAGTACTGTCAACTCGATGCCTACCAAGTGAAGTGCGCCAATTGATCAAACTTCGAATGATACAGGCTAGTGATTCCAGCTGGCCCAGACGGTGAAGGCAAAAAGCTCGACGAATTCACTTTCCGCGCCTTCCTCACTTTCACTGAGCTATAACAAGGCCCCACTTTTCTCGCCTGCTACTTCTCCCCGCTCACACAACGACAACCCGAATATCACCCACATTGCCAAGCCACTTCAAGCCAAGACGCTACCCAACGATGAATTTGGTGACGATCGCGGAGCAATCTTCCCAAGGCATAGCAGGTGCCGCCTTATCTTTTCTTCCAGACACCGACGAGGACAAAGCACGAGCTCTAGAGACGAGCAAGACACCGTTTGGCTTACCAGCAACTTCAAAGATTGATGCAGAAGCAGTCAACAACGCGACCCAGCTCGCAGTGCCAAAGATCGAAGTCACAACACCCACTTACAACAAAGCTGCCATAGGACAGTATGGCGTCATCTCTGGCACACAGTCACCACAAGCCAGCACTGCGCCGCGTGTCCTACCCTCGCTTCTCCGCTACGTCGATAACGACCTGATGCAAAGCTCCGCCCTTCACAATCAACCACCTCACCCAATCTCTACATGCGGCATATGCTTCAGTCGCTGGGACGCGCCCGTGATCTCCACACAGTCCGGCCGCGACGCAACCACCTCAACCTTCCTCCCACTCTCGCCATGCGGCCACTGGGTGCACTACCGCTGCTTCATCTGGCTGGCCACCATGAACGACGGCCGGCGCAACAAGTGCTGCACCTGCGACACGCGCCTCTTCGAATGGGACGGCATCACCGCCCTCACACTCGCGACGCGCACTGGACTCGATCTCGACGACAACACGCGCGCAGGCTTCCGCCATGATAAGTTCGGCGCGTTCAAGGCGACCGATCGGCGCGCGTATGAAGTAGAGTGCGCGGTCATTGACTCCACCATCCATGTGCATTTCTTCGCCATGCTGGCCAAACCGTCGAAGTATGCGGACCATTCGCCGGATTTGGTACAGTGCTTCTACAATATCTTGGAGGCGCTGAAGGACATGGGGAAGCCTGCGGCGCGGTGGCTGCAGTTTAGCACGCAAACGGGGTATTTGCTTTGGGGCATGTTGGTGGCGCTGAAGATGAGGCGGTATTTGACGGAGGGTCATGGGATTATCACGACGACGGAGGCGTGGAAGGAGTTTGAGGAGGGGAGGAGGGTGCTGCAGGGAAGGATATCGAGTGAGGTGCATGGGGCTTTGATGAAGGAGGAGGGATAAGCGGCGCGGATAACTTGAGCACCATTCTGGGACGAGATTACATTTGCTCTGGGAACTCCTTTCTTGGACACGTAACCTCTCAGAGACTCTACTCATACATTGATAAGACTTCAGTATAATCTCCCCCTCCCATACTCTCTCAAAGCCCGATGCTCTTCCTCTCCCTTCTATCCTCTCCTCTTGTTTCTTGTTCTTCCCCTTCCCCTTCCCCCTGCCACAATATCTCCGAGCCTTCTTCAGCTTAGCCATCGCCCGATCCCGCTGAGTCGATGCATGGTTCAACGCGCAGATGAGAAGCCCGGACAAGATCGAGACCATGGAAAGACACACATACAGGGTAGGTTTGGAGACGCAGAACTTGTGGGTGTTGGTGCCGGACATATCGCCGAAATTCTCGCGGAGGTGCATTGTATGGAATCTGTCCGGGTAATAGGACTTCAGATTTTAGATGGATGCTGAGAAGACATTGTAGTGGAGGGGAGAATTTGAGGGAGATGATGTGTTGGCTGTTTGCTGCATTGCCATTGCCATCTTCTTGTCTGGTACGCACACAGTTGGACAGCAAATAGGTCTTTGTACTTTTGATTGCTTGAAAAGAGAGACGCTTCTTTTGTGTTGTTTTGCTTTACACATATCAAACACATCCACTCACTTCATAGCATTTCTGTCTTCTTCTTGTCTCCCGCACACACTTATCAAGACCCTGTTTTTGATAGGTTCGCCATTTTCCTTCTCCTTCACCTGATTCCGTTGCACTTCCTCTAGCATTCCCATCAACCTGATGATGCGCTTTGCATTCAACCACTCAAAGACGCCGACAGCCAGTAGCGTTAAGAAAATGATGGCGATGTAGCCATACGCCAATTTCCGCGGCATGCAGATCTGTCTGCTCGTGAGATCCATAGTTTGCTGTCGAGGCCGCGTAACGATTGTGTTGTTGATGTATGAAAGACGAGACGATGAGTTGATGTGTTTGAACGAACGGTTTCGTAGGAGTATGAATGATGAGAAAATACCGGGAGGCATTTGGACTATATCACGAATCGTCGCTGTTTGGGATCAAACAAGTCTTCGAGCTTAGTAGAGTCGCACAGCAGTATTGTTTACTCGCGCTATGGCTGTAATTAGCCCGAAGGATTCGCGTTTATGTAATAGAAGAGTAGTTGTTTCGTAATGCCAACGGGTTGGTCGATGTCGTGTAATTCGCGCAAGGGGGAAAATGGCGCAAATCTCAACGCACGTCGATGGGATTTCGACCGCAAGCTATTTACAGAATTCGGTACTTTGTGATGTATCGTAGAATTGATCTTTGAGTCTATGTAGAATTCAAACCCGTCTGTTGAGTTTCTAGCCAGATACTCCGACATGATCTTTTCTATCGTCCATATGTCTACCATCGCCAAAGTATGGTCATGACCGCATTACTCGAGGTGCCAGTCGATGACGCTACGCTTTGAGTTGGGCGGCTGCGGAACGTGGTTATCCTTAGTGTTCACTCCGATCGTAATCCATCCAAGCAAACCCCCATCTGCAATGTCCGTCAGTGTACAAACTTGGATTGCGTGTGATTTGCAACCTACCCAGACCGTTACCGATTCTGGCCCATCGGACATACGGGTCATACGAGTCTGACGAATCATATTGGATAAAGTCGTCGCCGATATTATCTTTTAGTTCTTGCTTGTTGTTCTTGTACTTGCCGGTCCGCTACATAGATTAGTCATGGTGCAGGTCTCGTGCTTGTTAACCAGCGTACCTCAACTTCATCCCGAATGTCCTGGTCGAAGTAGATCATGCCGAATTGTACTACGCGTTTCTCTTCCAGCGCGCGAACAACAATGTGAATGTGGGATGCGCGACCGCTGTAGTGTCCCGGGAAGATGGTGTCAAAATCGACAGTTCCATGTTTCGAAGAAGGTTGCCAGCCGCGGAGGTAGCCGTTCATGGTCGAACTGTACTCGCCCATCGAGGTGGCTTGCCATGTATCAACTTGCGCGCCGGAAAGAGGATTGCACGTGGACACGTCGATGATCTGTATTGCCAGGCGCAGGTAAACACCGTCCTGTCCGGCGCGAATGTCCGCGCGCCTCGTCTGGCCCTCGTGCCAGTATGGGCCGTATGTCGATAGGCCAGCTAATGCGCAGCCAGTGTTGTTGTACGTGGGATCCTCGTTCCAGCGGAAGTTGAAGATGTCTTGAGGGTCTTGAGAATGGCCAGGTGATTCTCCATGCTTCACAGCGGCCCATTTGTTGGCGGATTCGCGGTTACGCTGTATGAGGTCTATGAGACGTCAGTGTAAGTTGAGAGAAGTGAGTCCAGAGCGTTCCCTGACCTCTGCGAAGAGTATGCGCTTTGCGGAGACGATAGAGAGTGTCGTCCCGATGGGCGGTCGTGTGTATGTTGTGCTCATGCATCTCCGGCGACTGCAGACACTGGCTCAAAGCTTCGCTATCACGCTTGGTATTGCTATGATGCTGTGCACGCTCGTCAGAGGACATTTGCGCATGAGCCCACGCAGAAGAGTAGAGACAAAGTAAGGCCATGACGGCCAAGGCAAGCCTGGCAAGCTTGAGTTTGACCATGATTGACGGCTACGATATTGACAATTCAAGAGTATGTATCAGAGTATCAAAAGGTGAGGAGACGCGTTAGTAATGGCGTGAGCCTCAGCAATTGATATAGTAAGCTAACGAGCTTGCTGTTGTGGCTCGTGATGAGCCCCGGCGCGTCATCGACCTTCACCTTTGCTTACTAATTGCTACAATTGGACACGTCTTTATTGTATGCGTACTTGTAGATAGGAGAGCAGATACAACGAGATGTTGTAGTGCGCAATATGTGATGTTGTATGTGAGACATGTCTCATTGACACTGACGCACACAGCCACGTCAAGTCGAGATACGTGAGGGCCCAGCATTCTGTGAAGAGCTACTATTAGTAGTAGCCAAATCGACTCAGTTCAAGACTCAACCATCAAAGTTCTTGGGCTTTTGATTGGACTCGTGGCTCACGCAGTAAATATGGACGTGCTCAACTGCACCGTGTTCGCTGTGGAACAACTGGCGAAGAGGCGACCTCATAAACCAGCCCATCCCGAGGAAAAACAGAGCAGAATCGAAAATCTATGGTATGTCATGATGAGAAGATGTCGAGGCAAACGAGGATGAAGTTCGATACCCCACGGGGTCCTCGGAGCACTATCCCACGCCATCTGAAAGCAGTCTAGACCCAAACAGCCGCAACGTTCCGACCTCGGCGCAATTGCAGCAACACCAAAATTTCCCCCGTGAGAGCTGTCAGAGTCACAACACAGCTTCACCATGGCCGCACGCACGCTCAGAATAGGTACAGAAACCCTCGAGCCCATTCTCAATACGCCAAAATACAGTCACACGCTCAATTGACCCGCCAATTACTAACACCACAACCACAGGCCTTATCCCAGGCGACGGCATCGGCCGCGAAGTCATCCCCGCGGGCCGCCGCATCCTCGAAGCCCTGCCCTCCTCCCTCGGCCTGAACTTCACCTTCACCCACCACGAAGCCGGCTGGGAAACCTTCCAGCAGCAAGGCGTCGCACTCCCCGACAAGACCGTGTCTGCGCTCAAAGCCGAATGTGACGCCGCCCTCTTCGGCGCGGTCTCCTCGCCCACCGTCGCAACCAAGGGCTACTCTTCGCCCATCGTCGCGCTGCGCAAACGCCTCCAGCTGTACGCCAACGTACGCCCCGTCAAATCCGTGCGTGGCGCGCAGAGAGCAGTGGACCTAGTCATTGTCCGCGAGAACACAGAGGATCTGTATGTCAAGGAGGAGAAGACGTACGCGGCGCCCGACGGGAGTAAGATCGCAGAAGCCATCAAGCGGATCTCTGAAACCGCGAGTTGGAATATCAGCGAGATGGCGGGAGATATTGCGCTGAGGCGCCAGCGTGTAAGGGACGCGGGCGCGAGTAGCATTCATTCCAAACCCCTCGTGACGATCACGCATAAGAGCAATGTGCTCAGCCAGACGGATGGGCTGTTCCGCGAGACAGCGCGCCGGGCGCTGGGACAGGGCAAGTACCAGATGGTCGGCATCGAGGAGCAGATTGTGGATTCAATGGTGTACAAGCTGTTCCGCCAGCCCGAGGACTACGACGTCATTGTCGCGCCGAATCTTTACGGTGATATCCTATCTGATGGTGCTGCGGCACTGGTTGGCTCGCTCGGTCTTGTGCCGTCGGCGAATGTGGGCAAGGACTTTGTTATTGGTGAGCCGTGCCATGGTTCGGCACCGGATATCGAGGGCAAGGGCATTGCGAACCCCATCGCGACTATTCGGTCGACTGCGCTTATGCTGGAGTTCCAGGGCGAGGAGGAGGCTGCGGCGAAGATCTATGAGGCGGTGGATGCGAACTTGGAGGAGGGCAAGTTGCTGAGCCCGGATCTCGGTGGTAAGGCGACGACCAACGAGATCATCGAGGATATTTGTAAGAGGTTGTAGGACCGCCATGGCCCGCTTCAAAACACAGCTCGTGAGCATGGGCAAGTATTGAGACTTATTGCGACATAGAAAAGTTATAGAGAGGTTTTCCAATTATATGCAGCATGTAGATACCAAAAAGCCAAAGGAAGTGCCAAATACATTGAGTTTGTCCTCAAGCAGAGCACCTTTGATCCCATGATTCACGTATGTCGTACACCAACCCTTCAAACGCCTTGCCTATGCACCTTACCGTCCCCCACCCCTCAATCAAGATCATCATTCTCCTCCCCCGCGTCCTTCCCCTTCCCATGCGCCTCCTCAAACTTCTCCTCCGGCACCGGCGCCCCCTCCTTCTTCGCCTGCTCCGTCGGCAGCAGCTCAATAACCACCACAAACAGCTCCTTATCCGTCTCGCGATTCTTGAGCACATATCTAAGCGAATGCGTCCTGGTCAGCCCAGTAACCTTACGTCAGCCCCAGTCCCTCAACACAACATTAGCACACAGGGGCGGGGAAAATACGTACCGTAGCGGCTGGCCATCCCAGTGTCCGATGATGCTTATCGCGGGCAGTCCGTACCCGATTTTGAGCGCAAACTCGTTGAAGTCGAGGTAGGGGTTGAAGAAGTCGCATTGGTATTCGCGGCCGGCTTCAAAGGTAAAGTCCTTGCGGTGTTGCTCGGCGAGGAAGTGTTTTTGGCGCGCGGCGCTGGTGGGTGGGAGGTGCAGGTCTTTGCGAATCGCCTCGCCCGAGCCGAATGCGCCTTCGGTGTAGACCACTGGCTCGGCTTCGCTGCTGCTCTTCTCCTCCGTCTTTGCCTCATCCTGCTTGCTGCCTTTGTCGCCTATCCGCAACACATTGATGGAGCTGAGCAGCGCGCCGTATAGATACGGTTCGTCGCCGTACACATCGCCGTCTAGACCAGGGTCAATCCACCACTTCACGATGCCAAACGCCTTGTCGAATAGCGGGGGTAAGCGGTCGCGAATCGGGTGGTCGAAGTCGTTGCCGAAAACGAGTTTGTCGCCCTTTATGTCTTCCTTGGGCGTGAAGGAGAAGGATATCGAGTAGCGGTCGTACTTATGTTGTGGGGTTTCAAAGTAGGGCGAGGTTTTTGGCGAGCCTTTGGGCAGACCTGGATCGAGGTGGTCAGTAAGGAATGTGTGGTACAGGTGGATTATAGGATAGGTACCGCGGTATTCCTGGATGCGCATATGAATCTTTGCATCAATCAGGTCGGAGGAGATGTTCACGGGCTTCTCAGTGTTGACGAGAACATCTTGATGGTCTTTGACGTTGTACGTAGGACCTGCAGTGACGTGCAGCATGTACTGCTCATGATGAGTTACTTCCGGCATCGTTAGGTGTGAGTGTGAGCAATTATCTATCCCAGAGTATGGTCGTAAGAAGTTGCTCAGCAGTGTTGCCTTTGGAATAGAGAACGAGGGCTGTTGTCCGTGCGACGGCGATTTTTGTTGATCAAGCAATGACGTCCGCGGGGATCACCAACAAGGGTCTAGCACTAGTGCGTCTCATGGCGGGCCTTGCATATGACCACATGCCGTTTAAAGGTGGCGAGGCGCGTGGTAAAGGGTAATTCCAGATTTGGAAACACGGTTTCATTCAATTAAGCAAGATGACATGCTAACATGATGACGCCTGCACAGCGAGCGCCATCCCCGGAATTATAGACCTACAACAAAATGACATTAACCAAAACAACATCTGCTCGGCCTGATCCCAAGGCAAGATTAAACAGTCGTCGCAGCCATTAGTACCCTTCTCTCATACACGCGAAAAATCATTAATGTTGACGCGCTGGTAGAAAGAGACATGGCCGAAGGTCTCCCAATACTGTGCTAATCGGTCGTGTGAGATGAGGATGAGCTGGGAGGTCATGTAGGTATCTGCCAGAAGTCAGTCACGAATGTTCAGGTCCACGAAGGAATGCAATACCATCTCTAAACCCGCGTGCAGCAATGTGTCCAACAGACTTGACGATCCTTGCACCCTTGAACATGTCCTCAGATGCTACTCTGAGCAGACCATTCTGTCCAATATCAGGGGCGATGAAGGTATACTCGCCGCGTGGGATGTTCGGGTCGCCAGTCAGCTTCACAGCTTCGATGCGTCCTTGATAGACGCTCTCGTCCTGCTCTTCTACATCTTCTTCTGTATGACTTCCCGAACTCGCCGCATGGAATGCTGCCTGTAAAGTGGCAACACTATCTTCCAAGTCGTCTGCAGTCTCGAAGTCGTCATCCTCGTCCCCAGAGGCAACAGCATCCGTAGGCGCAGTACTCCACGACCCGTCGCTACTCACGCTGCCATCTCGCTCGCGAGATCGCATTGCCCACTCCGCTCGCTCTGGAAGCGGTTGGGGGTTGTCTGGTTGCATGATCACTAAGAACTCGCAACCATGTCCCGCATAGTCACCGCACCATATACCTTGCCAAGGCTTTTGTGCCGTGGGGGTGTAGCACTCTTCAGGCAACGTCGCCCACGTGCTGATGTCCTCTCCAATGCGCATGCTGAGGCCGTGGTGTCTAGGCGCAAATTCCATCCATCGGCGGATCCGAAACGTTGAAGTAGACATATCGTCCAGAGTAGCAGGCTTCTGGGCTGGCTGTCGAAAGGCGGAAGGTGGTGGGTCGTTGCGCGTTCGCACCGGGCTTGGAAGTGTTAGCGGTGGCCAGACAGGTGTCGCATATGAAGTTATATCTTTGGGCCATCCTCTCGCAAGCATTAGTCGAGAGTAGAGCCTTGCAGTCGATGGAGACAGCTCGTAGGACACGTTCATGGGTATTTCCTTTTGCAGTCGATATCCAATGTCGCCACTTGCCCGCTCGTAAGCTTCCGCATCGAGCCGAATGACAGCAGCATTGAGATCAAGCTGCACCTTGGGACTGAAGGTGTGTATGATCGCGTCCGGGTTGTACTCCCATGTCTGGAATGTAGGTTGTCGGCGCTCAGCGACTAGGGCGTAAGCTTCGATGGCGTTGATTCTATGATCATATCTTGCAACGAGTAGCTTTCCAGTATGTGGAATGTCGGCAAACCAGATCTTCTTCTTAGTGAGGAACCAATACGGGTGATGTTGTATAAACAACTCTCGCCAGGTGAGATTTGCGGGCTTCGGTATGCGTTCGGGAACTTGGTCCTGAACGAAGGTGTGCCATAGGGTGTCTTCAAGCGTGTGTTCGTGGACTGCACGGCTGACTAAGCCGGTTGTCAAGAGATCTGGCAGCGTCAAGTAGCTGAGAATGTGATGAACAAGCTCAGATGGGAGCGCAAGCAGAGGCGGAAGGGTTTCTGTCTCCATCTTCTCTATGTGGGTAGACATAGAAGATCTTTGCAATACTGGGTAATGTTCAGACTCCCTGCGAAGGTCCCTGGGTAGCGAGTACTATTGTAGTACCGTGGTACCGTTCAGCCAGACAGCCGCGATTCCCCAGACTTGGCGTGTAGATACGAAAGCTTGACCCAAACCCAGGCTTAAGCACGCGATCATACAGTCGGATTGTGCTAGTGCAGGCTGGCTGTGCCTCTTGATTGCTTCGTGGTACGTCTCGGCAAGCGTTGAAACAGGTACCACCTTCCGAGTGTTGTTTAGCGGCCCGGAGGTTAGAGGTGCACAGGTGGTGGAGGTGCTGCAGTTGGTGGCTGTATGCACAATCGGCTCGCAGCCGGTAATCTTATTCCTCGGTACCTACTCTTTCTGGTTGTGGTCCTGGAACGATGATGATGACGTGCGAGCGATATCGGCAGTGATGCGATGCAGGGTTGATTTATTGATGTGATACGGCCGCATGGGAGGTTACAGCAGCGATAACAGAGCATGTGCGCACGAACGGAGTATCTTCAAGAGCGCGTATTGTGGGGTACATTCATGAACAGCTGACGCATGTACAAAAAGCACAGGTGGTGATGCATGATGACGAGAATAAGGGCACCTGCACGGACCCGCAGCTATGTGGGGAAACTAGTCGCTGGCTACACCAACTTCACCTCACTCATCTGCACATCCAAGTACAACAAATTTCCTTTCCAACATATTGAGTTTCTTTTATTTCCGTGTATAGTGAGGCCCGTAATGTGCGTCCGCATGCTTCTCACCCTCCCTCTCTGAAGCCCACCATGTACCCTCATGACACAGCCGTGCCTTGTTCCTGTACGACCTGCCATGCACCTCCTCACACAATCACACCCCAGGATTCTTCGAAAACCGAAAGCCGGAGAACTTCATCATGGGCGCCGGCTTTGGCGGTATCGTCTTGCGTATGCCCGCCGGCTTCGCGCCCTTGACCTCCTGCTTCTTCGCCATCGCCGCCTGCCGTCGTCGCTCCTGCTCTGTCTTCTCCTTCTTCCTGTTGCGGATGCTCTTGATGCGCTCCACAATCTTGCCCTTCTTCCTCTCCAGCACGCTCTCGGTCATCTGTACCTCTTTCAGTTCTGCCTGGAGCGCCTCGCGACGGCGACGAGCTTTGGCGAGCTCCTGGTTGGTCTTGTCGAGCTCGCTTCGAACTTGTTGCTCCGGGTCAACTGGCTGGTTTGAAGCCTGATAGCGCCGACGTGCTGCGATCTCTTCCTTGAGTCGCTCATTGGCCTCCTCAATGACACCGGGCCCAAAGTTGCGCTTGGTTGGTAGGATGACCTTGTCGCCGCGAAAAAGGGCGAACGACATGTCTGCGGAGCCCTGGTTATGCATACTGGCTGGCATAGCCGTTCTTGGTAACTCCGAATAGATAGAGTTGAGAGTGAAGTATAGGGTGTGGAGTGCGCTTGCAGATTGCCGTGAGTCGCAGAGATAGTCGGATGAGTAGAGCGCTAAGTGGTTGGGTAGGTATTGGATCTGGGTAGGAGGTAGCGGTGCAAAAGGCCTTTTGAGCGTCGAAAAGTCTTATTGTGGCTGGGAGTATCGAAGGTGAAGATGAATAGGTGCCAAGCCCCGCGACGACCATAGTCTCGTCCCGCATTCACTTCGAATGCTAGTTCAAGGCTAAAGTGAAAGGCCGCAAGGCACGGTACTTGGATATCCGATAGCTCCAGACATATGTAAATCGTAACAGAAGCTCACGCTTTGTGCAAATTATAGTCAAATACATTTTAATTGCGTGTAGTTCAACGCAATTGCGAAAATGCTCAAGCCCACCATTGTATGTACTATGGCTCATGAGATTAATCCCTAGACAGATAACAACAACATCCTATCTAAAAATCCCCAATATACGAATCCGTCCCGAACATCTCGTCCAACTTTTCCATCTCGCGCTGATACTCCGTAGCCACGTGAGCCTCCCACTCATCCCGCTCAGCTTTCGTCTCGCCTATGAACGCGTTTCTGCCTTTTTCGGCCCAATACACCTCATCTATGTTGTCCATCCCGGGCCAGAAGCGTACGTCGGTCTCGTCGATGACTTCGACATTGTTCCAGCCGTGTTCTGGTGCGTTGATGAAGGTGGGCGCTACGGCTGGAGGGTCGATCTCTGCACCGACTTGCTCGGTAGTGTCCTTTGGAAGCTCGGGTTGCTCAATGACTGGCTCCGCCTCCTTCATGAACGGCGTGATCTGCTTGACGATCTTCATCATATCAGTGCCAGCATCGAGCAGCGCCGCTATATCGATTCCGCCAACGACAATGCGCTCAGATTCTGGTAGCTCAAGTCTCTTGTCGAGAGCTGCATTTCGCGCGAGCATTTGGCGATACACCGTCTTTTGAGCCTCTTGTGTAGGGTTGAAGACAGGTGTGGGCTTCTTGTGCTGCGGTGGTGTAGCTTGCGGTATTGTGTTGACTGGATCAGGGACCGGCTGGCTTGATGGAGTGACATAAGATACATCATGTGTAGTATCAATTGGCGAAGTTGGGAATTGTTGCGTCGGTTGCTGCTGGCTTTGCTGAGCAGTAGGTTGAATCGTCTGCTGTAATCCACCTGTCTGCATCACTGGAGCAGTCTGCAGCGGTGCTACCTGCCCTTGAGCCACGAAATTCTGTGCCGTCACTGTACCAGGCCAGGATTTCACAAGCGGGTTCGGAGCAAACTTCTGCGCCTGTGGAGCAGAGTAATGTGGTCGAGGCCGTATCGCATCGCTCTGCATATGTGATTGAGTAGGAGGAAGAATCGTTCCCCGCTTCAAATCTGCGATATACGCCTGGGCGGCACCTTCGGCGATCATCTCCTCTTCAGCAGTATACTGACCAGGCTGTGCTGGCTCTACTTTTGGGAAAGGCGCCTGGGATGTTGGACCTTGTTGAATGTTGTCTGGAATCTGTTGTGATGCGGATACGCTTAATTTCAGTGCTTCAGGCCGGCCGTTCCACGTCCTCATCTTGTCCGAAAAATGGTCGCTCAAGTTCCGCATGTTCAACTCGTTGTTCTCCATGTAGTAAGCATCGATTTCGGCCTGGTTGGCAAGGTATGTCTTCTCCAGCTCTTTCAGCCAGGGTGCCATTTTCTGCTGCATTTGGTCACCTTGGCCTCTATCAGTCTGAAGTTTCTTGTTCGAAGCTGACTCTTTCTTGTTGGCTCCCGATTTTCGCTTTCGTGGTGAAGCAGGGGAATGAAGAATTGTTGGGAGAGGTTTTGTCTGTCGTGGAGTTTGATCAGCAAATGATAAAGCCCGCGCGTGACCCGGTGCTTGTGGTGGTGGAGCAAGTCTCGGATCTTGGAAAGTGCTTTGTTCATGCATTGGAGGTGACTGAAAAGGAGCCGAAGCAAGTAGATGCCTGGGAGCAGCTTGTATGCTCATTGGCGAATCTACTCTGCTACCATCCTGGGCGTATAGGATTTGTGCATGGACACCTGCTTGGTTGATCGGAGGTTTGGAGATGTAGACAGGGCTCACAGCTGCTGCGAAATAAGGCTTCTGCCTCGCAAATTCGCTCAGCTCCGGGTCAGTCCAGTCAGGATTCCAAGGATCAGCAAGACTCGGTTCTACGCGAACATGCAGTATCCGCTCCTTGAAGATTCGCATCTTCTCCGCTGGATCAATCCTCTCGATCCAGTTGTAAAATCGACGCTCCTGGGTCAGCATCTTTTGACTAAATTGCAGTATGTCCGCCCACGCGTTCTCCCATTGGGAATCTTTAGGGAATGTCGTGTAAAAAGAACGCCCCAGCTTGATGATCTTGATCCAGGCCTCAAGACGACTCTGAGCATCTAGTCCCCGCATCTTCAGCACGAAAGTGGGAACGACTAGCTGCTCTTCTGGGCCAATGAATAGACGGTGCTGCACACTTATGCCAGGGAGTACGTCCAATTTCGGCAGGGTCAGGGCTTTCCATGCAATTGCGAGCCATTTTGACTGGTTTGACTGACGGAATGGCTCATACGATGCGGCAGAGATAGGTCCACGAGGACCATTCGCCGCAGTCTCGGCAACCTTCTCCTGAGACTTGGCAGCCCCTGGCATCTGGTGTTGACGAGAGTTTGTCTGGACCACAGGTAACTTCGAAGATGTGATCTTCGGGAGAGCATACATGCCCATGGCAGGTTGCTGCCCATAGAAGGGTTGCTGATAGAGCTGCTCTTGACCGCGCACTTGCTGATGAAGCGGAGTCTGTTGCTGCAAATGACCGTTCTGAAATCTTGTATCGTATGTATGCTGGTGAACATAGACGCTTTGAAGCGGATTCTGCTGATGCTGCTGATGCTGCTGATACTGTTGAGGTTGCTGTTGAATCTGTTGTGCGTCAACATTTGGCAAAGCAGGCTCATTTACACTGTTCCTGGGAGCCATTTGTGCCGTGTATGGACCTTCTGCCTGTGCAGGCTTCCCAGCCGGGCCCTTCGTCTTGGGTTTTCTCCGGGGAGTGATAGCCGGCGTCGGTAAGCTGTCTTGTACTACCTGTGATTGGTATGGAGTGTGTGGGTGAGCTGCGTGAATTGGCTGCACTTGTATTAAAGGCTGAGGATCGGGACGGGCATATGCCATTGGAGTCTTCGTCTTCGTACGTCTCACAGTCTGAGCTTGTGGTCGCTGAACATGCTGTTTCTGCATCTCCACATTGTTAGACTCCTGCTCTAATTCCTTCGAACGATCGGCACTGACATCGCTGATTGGCATGGCAGTCCTAGGCAATTGGTCGCCCATCCGTAATGGACCTTTGTTCCAGCTTGGAAGGTTAGGTAGCTGATGTTCTGTTAGTACATCTTGCCCACTAGTGTCCAGGTGGGAAATCTGATGTGAGCTTTACCATTTCTTGTGTCGTGTCTCGTTGCGGATACGCATTGTCCTCGACTCGGACACCCATGTCCGGGTACTCAAGTCCTTGTGCACGCTTATAGGGCTCGTAGCTCTCTCCCTCACGCGGTCGCTTGGGGTTCGAAATGGGTTGCTGGTCTCCAGCTGGCGGCTGGGACATTGTGTACTAGTAGTAGGCGAAAGAATGTCAGTATCAAAACAAGTTGTGGATAGTAGTCCGAAGTTGTTTGAGGTGATTGTGCAAGGCAACAGGAGTGTAGAGATGAATATGGGGAGGTCACTGTGAGTAGCTGTAGATATGAGTAGGAAGGGAGGGGAGCCCTGTGACGCGCTAGCATGGTCATATCACTTTTGAGCTGCTGCCTCGATGAGTGACGTCGAATGTGGGGATGCATCATGCTTTCACGGGTATGGTCTGGGTCATACTGATCACTTACAGCCAGATTAAATCTACGTGTGTTGTTGCTCGCTGTGATATCATCCACCTACTTTCAGCGCATCCCTTAAGAACTAAATGACAGCCATATTAATCTGACTCAGAGACATGCGAGTGCTCTTTTGTACGCAAACGTGGAACGCTGAAAATTAACATACCTGTGGTTAGGAGATCAAGCCATCAATACGTAAAATTCACGAATGTACAAGTCGATGATTAACGTCAAAGACACTTCCCGTCGCACCTAGCCGCCCACAAAATCTCTCATCACCAGTCATCACAACAATTGAGCCAGCAGCAAGTCTTGTTTTTGGGTTATAATTTGGTATTCTTCAAGCGCCACCGTCAATCTCCTGGTGTTTAGTATTCTCCAAGTTAGATGATCCCTCCTCTTCCTCGTATCTAGTATTCGTCAAGCTCACGCCATAACCTCAACGGCATGCGTTTAATCCTCGCTCATACTCTGTTGATCTCGCGGCCAGATTCCGCCTGAAGCAAAATGCAATGCAGTATAAAGCAAGAATCCTCCAAAGAACTTTTTAAAGGCGCAATTTGAATCAAAGCAACGCAGTGAAACACAGGGGGTATTGGACGCAAGGGGTATCATCCTCTGTTGACTTATCGCGGTCAGAGTCCGCTTTTCATGTCGTAAAATCCATCTCGTCGTTAACGTCGTCTACGGCTTGATAGCATCATCGCTGTCAGGCGGGTGCGTAGGATCATCGCTGCTGGGCGGGTTGGTAGACTCATCGCTGGCGGGAGACTTGATGGCGTCGTCGCTGTTGGGCGGTGGGGTGTCACGCGCACTGTGGCGCCACTTTCGGCACTCAGGCATATGCTTCGACAGCATGCCTCTCGGAAGGCGTAGGTTGCAGTGCTTGCACACAAATGTACGAGTGTTAGCGCTGCCGAGGGTAGTGTTGATGGGTCGCGAGAAGCGGCCAGTGGAAGTGGATGGCGCAGAGCCATAGTCGTTGGGTTGAGGCGGCGGGAGACCGGTGGCGCCCTGCATGTTCTGTGGGGAGGCTCTGTTGTCCTGAATCTGTGGTTGGAAACTATTAGGGTCCCAAATGTTCCGCTGGAAGCCGGTGTCGTTCTGATCATGTGGTAAAAAGGGGTTGTTCATCGTACGCGTCGAGATGCCAGAGTTGAACTGCGGAGGGTGTGGGCCTCCATAACCAAAGCCACGAGGCTGGAAGTTCGAGGGCGGTGGTGATGGCGAGTAATTGTTGTAAGCGTTCATCGGTGGACCTGGATGAGAGCCAACGAAGCCGGGAGAGAACCGCGACATGCCCAAGCCACTCTGTGGGCCCGGGAAGTTTGGAGTGGGAGAAACGGTCTTCGGCACGAAAGGAGTCGCGAGTATGCTGCTGGACGTGATGGAAAAGCTCCTAGGAGTAGATACCGTGCTGGGAGATGGTGTAGAAGGGATAGGCGGCTGTGGTGATCGGTTCACGCCAATATGAACCTTGGTGAACTCGGATGAGCCAGGGGCAATCTTAGCAGATGGAGAGGCCGTCTGCGACGCAGTGGGTGTAATATTGGAGCCCGCGATGGTTGTAGTTGTGGTGTGAGCAACAGATAGCTCCTTGTCTCCAGGTGCGTCAATAAGTTTTGGAGATGCACGATCAGTACCAGGCAATGAAACCGCCGCAGGTGTGTTTTTGGTGGACTCTTTGGCAGATGCAAGGGCCTGAGGTCCAAGTTGCCAATCATTTTGAGCGTCTCCAGAAGCTGCACGTTCGACTGCAGGGCCTGTAGGAGTAGAAGAACTGCCAATCGTGAGGTTGCTATCAGATCCTTGAGCCTCAAGTCCAGTTTCAGCAGCCTTCTTCCGAAGATCAGGTCGTGCTGGGAGAACATAGTGAGCGCGATCTGGGTTCGCGTAGCAATCTGGCGTGTGCTCAGCCAACTCGTTGCTCTCAACGTTGAAGAGTTCGTGGCACAACAAGCAGAGATCCTTCGATGGGCTCATCTTACAAAGCTCCATGTGCTTAAGGAAGCCCGCATTGTCTCGGAAAATGTCGCCACAGAATTGGCAACACGCATGGGGATGGTGCCCATCGCGACCCTTGAAGAAGGAGTTGCAGGCGAGAAGATGCGCGGATTTCGCAGTCTTCTTGTACCACAGCTTGCAATTGTCGCACCAGAACTTATGGCCGAATGTGTCGCCCATGAAGCCTCGAGGAAGTACCGCATCCAGCTCAACTGGCTCTGGTAGGTTGCAAGACGCATAGTCCCGATCAGCGAAAGGTAGGACTGCACGAACAAGAGTATCTTCAGGAACTGAGCCCAGAGCAGCTGACTTCTTCTGCGCGATGTCTTGGAATGAGGATGAGGTAGAGGGAGTCTGAGTCGCGTTCTTCTTAAGGACGTCGAACTCATCCATAGGCGGCTGCTTCGCGAGAACCTCGGGTGCAATGCCAGACTTACGGGCCTTACCGCACACTTCTTCGTGCTTCTTGAAAGCACCATTTGACAGAAAGAGAGATTCGCAGTGTGTGCAAAACACGGCATAGTCGGTAAAGAAGAACCCACACATCTTTCCGTGGTTGTAGTAGTCTCGGCGGCCGTAAGTCTCATGGCAATGGCCGCATGAGTGCATATCGCCTCCGTCAGAGAAATTGCAAGGCTGTGGGATGGGTTGGGGTAGCTCAGAATAGAATGGGTCGGTGTATGGCAGAAGTAGAGGCACTAGACCCTCTAACCTATACTTGCCTTGCTGGATGATACCATGGCGGACGACATCCTGGTAGTCATCCTTCGTGGTGGCATTTGACCATCTGAGCCCGTCGGGGACCTTGACGCGGTCAGTTCGGAGATTGGTAGCTGTCTCCTGTTCATCAACCATGCGCTGTTCTTCAAGCTCCATGACAGCCTGCTCTTTCTCCTGTGTACTAGCATGCAGCTCGTCGCGTAAGGCCGTAAGCATGGCATCAGTCTTGTCGACGGTCTGTTCCAGACGTTGAATTTCAGCCTGAACTGCTGCAGCATCGCCATCGGCTTGAATTTGCAGCTTTTCGTTCTCGCGCGCCAAGCTGTTAAGCTCGGTCTTGTCCTTCTCCGCACTCTCGTTCAAGGATTGGATCTGGATCAGCTGCTGTTCGTTAATATCGCCGATGCGCTGAACTTCGGCAGCATGCGATTCCAAGTGGCTGGATAGCTCCCCGGTCTTCTGCTCAAGTTGCACTTCGAGTTGTTGCGAACGTTGACCCTGTTCGGCGATTTCGGCAGAAAGGTCGTTGGCCTTCTTGGTGATATCGGCAATCTCGCGGTCTTTGGCGGCGACTTCTAGCTGTTTAGCACTTTGATGCTGTTTAAGTTGTCCCTTGAGTGAATTCTCGGCAGCGATCTTTTCGTCCTTCAGATCGTCCAAATGGGCCTGCAGATCTCCACGTGCCTTCTCCGGAGATATGGCACGCGTGTTCGCCTCCTCAAGCATGTTCTCCAGGGATGAGATGGTACCACGATTCTCATCAAGCTTGTTCTCGAGCGATGAGATGGTGTGACGAGTCTCCTCAAGCTCCTTCTCCAGAGGTATGATAGTGGACTGAGCCTTGTTGACTGCATCGGTCTTCTCAGTCGTAAGGCGCGTCACAGTGTGCTGATTAGTAAGCTCGTGTTTCCGGGCGAGCTCTTTCTCATCCAGATTTGCTTTCTGCTTGACATCTTCCATGGCTGCGGTGTGCTCGGAGACCATATTCTCGCGAGCAGCTTGAGCGTTCTTCCGCTCGTTGTCGATTGCAGCCTTGACCGCAGAGTCGGTGGCAATGTCGTGCTCACTCTTGAGCTTCTCAAGCTCGGCAGTATGCTTGTCAAGGGTGGATTTCGTCTCCTCCTGCTCGCGCGAAACAACAGCATCGACAGCAGCCTTGACCGCGGCTGCGGTGACGTCGTCTTGATCAGCTTCGATCTTTCCGATGTGGGTGGAATGCTCCTGTCGCAATTCTTGCAACTCGACCTCAAGGTTGTTTTCGCTGGCTCTTAACTCGTCGACCTCTGACTCCAGTTGGCTCATATAATGGAGAGCTTCCCCAAGCTCATCATGCTTTTTCTTTTCAGACTCCCTAGAGCTATCGAGGACCTCGTCCTGCCTGAAGCATTCTTGTTGAGATCGGTGGAGCTCGGAAGACAGTCGCCCATTCTCGCTTTGGAGGCTCGAGAGGTTGTCATCCTTCTGAGCGCAAGCTTGCCGAGAAGAGGTGAGGTCAATTGTCAGCTGCTCCTTCTCGTGGTTGAGAGACTCAAGCTCAGAAGACAATTGCCCGTTCTCGCTTTGGAGGCCCGAGATGTTGCCATCCTTCTCAGCGCAAGCTTGCCGAGCAGAGGTAAGGTCAGTTGTTAGCTGCTCCTTCTCGTCTTGGAGAGACTGGAGCCTTTCATTGAGGTCATTCATATCAGACTCGATAGTGTCGAATTGGCTTTCAAGCTCCGTAGTCCGTCTTTCTTCCTCTTGCTGCATGCTGCCAATCTCAGACTGAAGCCGTAATCGCTCCGAATCGAGTTCTACGCCTGCAGTAGCTGTGGTGATTTTGGAATTGTGCAGCTGAGTCTCGAGAGATGAGATAACGGTGTCTTTCTCGGCAATCATGCGCATCATGTCGGCCATGATGTCTTTGCAATTCTTCCTGTAAGCGGAGCTCTCCCCCTCATGCTCTTTGAGCTCCTGTTCATAGGCAGAGCATTTGGCGACCCAGTTATCTACCTTGGCCTCAATGGCGGTCTGATGTACGATCTGGCCCTGTTCCTTCCGCATCAAAGCGAGATTCTCTTGCTCAAGGGTCGCCTTCTCGGTCATCAGATTTGTCACCCTAAGTTGACTCGCTTCGAGCGCTGCATCTTTTGAAGCTGTTGAAGTCGCGATGTAGTTAAGTCGCTCTTGCTTGAGATGAGCGATCTCAGCTGTGGCCGTCCCTTCTTGCGACATTCTGAGGGCATTCGCTTTGCTCAATTCAGCTTTCGAAGCCGTCAAAGCGGCGATGTTGTTGTCTCGCTCTCGCTCAAGAGCAGTCATCGAAGCTGTGGCCGTCTCCTCTTGCAACATTATGAGGGCATTCGCTTTGCTTACTTCAGCTTTCGAGGCTATTAAAGCAGCGATGTTGTTGTCTCGCTCTCGCTCGAGAGCAGCCTTCTCAGCGGCAAGTTGAGACATCCTGCGGTCATTCGCTTCACTTGCTTCAGCCTCCGAGGCTGTCAAAGCTGCGACGTGGGCGTCTTGCTCCCTTTTCAAGGACGTCTGGTGGTCCCGAAGAGCCGCCTGATGATCCTCCGCCAGTTGTCTCAATGCCTCATTGATGTATTCCTTCTCACGAAGAGTGTTTTCCAGCTGCTGGTTGGCCTCCGCCAGTTCAACCGTCCTGACCAGGTCCAGACGTGTCTGCAAGGCTCTTATGCTATTCTGACAGGACCGCTCCGATGCTTGAGAAGTCATCAAATCGGCTTGAACACCCTGAAGCTGATTGGCGAGAGTCTGGCTGTTAGTCTGAACGCTCTGAAGCTGAATGCTAAGAGTTTGATTGTGGGTCTGAACACTCTGGAGCTGAGCGCTAAGAGTCTGGCTATTAGTCTGAACACTCTGAAGCTGATCGGCGAGAGTTTGACTATTGGTCTGAACGCTCTGCAGGCTCTGAAGACGAGTGCTAAGAGTCTGATTGATGCCTTGAGCAGTCTGAAGCTGATTGTCAAGAGTTTGAATGTCGGCCTTTGCATTGTTGATTTGAGACTGTAGCCAAGCAATGGCATCATCATCCGAGAGCGCTCTCCTAGCATTTTTCCGGCGCAAATATTCGATGGATGTGAAGGCGGCACCAATGCCAACGAGCGCAACGAGTACTCCTGAGAGCATGCAGATTTCTTGCCCGCTGCTAGGAGTCACCGGGGCGAGAAGATGGCCTGAATCAAGAGTGGTCTGGGCATGGAGGGCTACTGGCTGCAGAGCACCGTAGGCCGTCATGTGTGGAAGGTCGATTTTGGTGAAAGGCGGGATCGCCGGTTCTGCAGCTGGTAGAGGCAGAGGATCAACATCCACTGGTATGTCTACTGGGAGCGGTCCATGTGCTTCAGCTGCAGTGAGGCGACGACCAAAGCCGATTGGTGAGGCAGGATGAGTCAAAGAGGCATAGAACGCGCTCCCGCTTGTAAAGCCAGCAAGTACCGCAAGGATTGGATGAGCTGCGATATACTGCCAAAGCTGCGCCGCATGCTGAGCTTCCGCCATGGCGCCTGGTGACACGAAACGCGCGAGTCAAGTCGAATTATGCGCACTCTAACCGTAGAGTGGGTGAAGTGGATGCAGGGGCAAAAGTGGGGGGAGCTGCGCGAAGGTCAGTGAATTGGTCGGGGCGAGAGCTTGAGCTTACTGACTTGTCTGTGGGCGATGTGTGCGCCGTGTAGTATGTGTGGTGCAAGCTTTACAATGATTCGAGAGAGGAGTCGCTGCGAGAGGGTTAGTGAATTGATCAGGTCGAGATGTGATCGAGCCTACTGACTTATCGGCAGGCAATATGTGCGCCAACGTGTGCGCGGTACAATCGTTCCAGTACAGCAGCCGATCGGGTTGACGAAAAACAATTCTCAAGTCGAGTGTGCGCAGGCAAGTTTGGGGAGGGGAGTAGGTGAGCAAGCGCCAGGTCTCGATATGGAGGGCATTGGGGTGCCAAGACTTCGCACGAGGAAGGCTTTCACAGCGCGGGTAGCGCAGGAATACGTATGCCGACTATTCGTGGGAGTCATTGACTGGCCTTTCACTTTCTAGTCGGCCTTGTGGAAAGCGATGGAAACGTGCAAGTATGGCTACCAGGAGGCTGCTGTGGTGGATAGAAACGGTCCCGTCCAAGTGTCAAATGCCAGATTTCCCATGCAGTTAGGTCCAGGTAAACAAGAAGACTTGGGATTCTACATTCTCCAATTTGCTACAGGTATCCACAGAGATCCAAGGCGGCCTGTGTCCAGATTATGCGCACACTGTGATCCTGATGGCGGACGATACTGGTATGTTGACCTTTTCACTGCCGCAGTATGCACCGATCTCGGTCATGTACTCGTACAATGGTAGCTATCCATCCAAAAGGTTTATCCGCGCAGTAACCAATGGACTCGCACTTCGTCGCTTCCCTACTCTTAACGTTGCTTATCATGCCATACCGGCCGCCGTATAGTCGCTCCTCAGGTACATGGCCAAGTCCATCGCGGGAGAGACAGTGCGCTAGACGCCTATACCAGAGGAGCTGCGGGCATGTGAATGATTCCAGGGCTCCAGTCCTCGGAAGTGTCAGTCCAGAGTGAAAGGAAGTTGCGAGGAAGTCACGTCTGGTGACGCTAAGCCGCACTAGCGCAAACACATGCAGAACGTCAACACCACCCATAAGCCGTCATGACACATGCCCTATACACAAGTCAATTCTCGCTAATCGTATGTCTTCTTCCCTACCAATCACTATCACTTCCCTCTATATCCGCCCCAACCTCATAACTCCCCTTCAACCTCTCGACAACCCTACTAACCCCCTTTTCCACACTCTCTCCTTCCACCATACACCCTGAATCACGTCAGCAAACCAACCCATCACTCTCCCACTCCCTATCTCACGTACCTTGATGCCAAACAACCGCATCCTGCACCCCATCCATATACCACATCAGACACGGCACAAAGTCAATACCAAGCTCGCCGGACAGGTCCGGCAGGCCGTAGACATCGAAGATGAAGGCTTCCGTGACGCCGTGGGTGGCAAAGTCGCGTTTTGGAAGCAGCTTCTTCAAGGAGGCGATTAAGGCCGCCGAGGTGCTGTCGCCAGGCCAGTGGGCGACGAGGAGTGTTTTTCCGGTGCAGGGCTTGAGGAGGGAGTGGAAGTCTGGAGCAGGGGGTTAATAAGTGTGGGGTTGGTGATGGGGAGAGGATGGCGATCGGTAGGGATTGGATGGGGGTCCTGATGTTGGTGCTTAAGGGGTTCGTCTTGTCGACGGGCTTAGGGTGGCATACTGCGGAGAGTTAGCATGGGTCGTGAGAAGAAAACGATGTGATCATCATCAGTGGAATTTGAAAACGCCCAAGGGGCCTGGAGGACTACGAGAGGTGCTGTGAGAAGTGCATACCCAGCTTTTGAAGCAATCTCAGTAAAGTACGGCATAGTTGTACAAACAGATGTGTTGATCCAAACGAGTCGGGTTTAGCGTGGCTTGGGGAGTGGTTGTCTTAGATAAGACAGAAGGTTGAGCAAGACAAATGAGTACTGACGTGATCCTAGTTGGGCTATGTTGGTTGTAGACTAACCGGGCTTCCGCAGTGCTCCCGGAGAAGCCGTTGGGACGATGGTGATTAGCAGATTTTGAGCTCAGGCATGATGGCCAATAGGGCAAGAGCGGCTCCCGGGCCCCGAACGAACCACTGTGAGTTATTTATATACAGCCCTACTGCGATTGCGATGTGACGGATACTGTCTAGCACAATGCTGGGATATCTTGGAGTGACATGCTGTACAGAGGCATGGCTTTCGAGCCTTAATACTGCTGCGTAATCACGTTTAACCTTATGTTCTTCAGGGCGAGGAAATTTGACGTCTCCGGCTGTTCCGCATCCCCTGCAAGGCTGTTTCCATTTCGGTCTATTACGCAGTCCCAAAGCGGTTTTGACGGCGGGCCCCCCGGTAGTCGATCATCAGTCATCCGTGCTGCGAGCTCTTGCAAGCTGTCAAAGGTGTCATTCCGTGCTACTCAACAGATGCTCTCGATTCTGCCTGTCTGCGGGCGGCTGCCCTTTGCGCGACTCGAGTGGCGCAACGTTACATGCACCCCTACCGGCGCAAAGAGGCCAGCTCAGCGTGAGTCAGTGGCGCAAGGCCGAATGGGGCAGATCACAGCATGGAGGATACGAGGCGGAGATGACGCGCCGGCCGGGTGCCTTGAGCAGCTGCGATGGCAGAGAGCTGGCGCTGCAGCGATATTGCAGCGACGGGGAGCTAGCTGTCGCCTAGAAGAAACGAAGATTTACTTTGAGACCAGAGCGCGCACTTGGGCACATGAAAGGGGGCGCCAGCGAGATTTCACGATGTCCTCGCGTCAACTTTGCCGCGAGTGAAATTAGCGCATTAAAGCGTTTCGCAGCGGAAAAAAACGTTGAGCTCTGCGGCGGCCAATGACAAGGCCGGAGCGTGCCGAGTCAGCACTTAGGGTGGCTTACCACGGCGGTATCTTTCACTAGGGGTAGTGCTGTTTTGGCGGCGGCGTGGCCCTTTGAGTTGGGTGCTGAGGGTTGGCGGTGCCGGATGCGAGTGCTGAGCGCCTTCAAGGGGGCCTTTACGGGTTCTTATCTTCCTTCGCCCAGATCCATTCATTTCTCTCCAAGATCCTCTTTTCCCTAAGACAACCCTCTGTCCTCGTTTTCGCGCACTTTTGCCAGATGCTGCGATCACTTCCCAACCTAGGAAACATGCAGGCCCTCCAGGTGCTGCCGCGAAAGTACGTGCCTTTCCTTGTTCAGGCACCCAGTTTTATTTGTGCGGCGTAGCCCACCAAGACCCCGGGGAAGGCGCGCATCCAGCAACGATTTGCAGGGCGTACGCAGGGCGTACATAGCATCTGCAAACACCGATGCTAATTATACACGCAGGGCCATCATCCTCGCCATCTCCGCCATTACCATCTTCATCGTCCTCTTCAACTTCTTCGGCGACGTGCCCGTCGAGTACTACAGAAACTACGCCCCCGGCGAGGCGATAGCCCCCGTGGAGACGCAGAACGACACGCCGCAGCCCGGATACTTCAAGGCCCAGCCCGAGTGGGATTGGAAGGTGCCCAAATACGCCAGCAGCTTCGATGGCTATGCGCGCACGCCCAAGAACAGCGACATTGTGGTGCTGACGGCGAGCGACGGCGGCGGCCACAACAGCGCTATCCCCAATGTCCTCACGCGCGTGCTCGAGGACCGCAAGGAGTACTGCGCAAAACACGGCTACCAGAACCTGTGGCTCAACACTAGCCGCTACGACATTGGCGAAGCTCACCGCGTAAGCATCCGCACCCGCCTTCTACCTCGTTCCCAATCTACCAGAAACTAACCCCCTGCTCCTGCTACAGACCTGGTCCAAGATCCCCGCCGTTGCCGAAGCCTTCTACCGCTACCCCAGCGCCGAATGGGTCTGGCTGATCGACACCGACATCATCATCATGACCCCCGACTACGACCTCGCCCAAGATATCCTGTCCCCCGCCGCCCTCAAAGCCGGCCTGATGCGCGACACCCCGATCCTCGACGGCCAGCTGAAAAAGAACCCCACCCACATCAACACCCCCAACGACTTCCGCGTCGAAGACATCGACATCCTCATCACCCAGGACCACCAGAGCGTCAACACCGGCAGCACCTTTTTCCGCCGCAGCGCATTCACCCGCTGGACCCTCGAGATGATGACCGATTACACCATGCTCATGGGCAAGGAACACGGCGGTGCCGAGCAGGACGCCATCAAGCATCTGATGCTCGAACACCAGCTTGTGCGCAACCACGTCGGCATATACCCGCAGCGCAAATTCAACGCCTACGCCCAGGGCGGCGATAACATGGGCTACCGCGACGGCGACCTTCTCGTGCACTTTGCGGGCTGCTGGGTGGGTGGAAAGTGCCAGGAGTGGTTCGAAGAGTTCTGGGGCAAGAAGGGACACAAGGACGTCTGGAAGCCTATGACGGGCCAACTGTAAAGGATTGTTCACACACCATGACGGCCTTTTCTTCCTTTCTTCCTTCAAACTTTTGAACACCCAGACCCCTTGAGCGAGCGAGTCTGCGACCTCTTTTCTTCCTTTTTTTTTTTTCTTCTTCTTCTTCTTCTTCTTCTTCTTCTTCGACGATGTGGCAAATACCCTGTAATGGAACATCTTTTTGTATAGGGACTAGGGCGTTTTGAGAGGAGGGATGTACGGATTCATGAGGGATGCATTTTCAGGGCGTTCATGACAGACAGGCCGGAAGCATTGATAGCGGCAGATATATATCCTTTTTACATTTCACCCAATTGGCCTTTTCGCAGTTCTTTGGACCAGACGGCGATCTTGGTGACGCAACTGGGCATGACGACGGCTTGGATTTGATGAGAAACTGGCGACATAATCGGAATACTTGATGGCAGGTAAGTGACGGCACGTTTTAGTCACTAATGGTATAGTTCGTATACGCGCTTAATTCGCAAGTATCTCAACTTAGAACAGGGCCAACATTGAGAACGCCTACTTCTTGGGATGTTACTGCAGTCTTGCACGCATGGGAAGCCTGCAGGGACGACAAGACAGTTTCCCTCAATAGCCTGAGAGCATCAAAGGAACTGTTCGCTTTCATCTCGTTGCAAATAAACTTCAAGGCACCAGCCAGCTGCTTCCTGCACTAGTCAGATTAAGGAAAGTGGGATGAACGTACCGCTTATCATCTCCCGTCAACATACAGCTTGCGTACTTGCTCTTGTACATCAATGAGTAAGTCACTGAGCTAATCGTAAAAGTCCGTCATCTGATGACATACATCGTAGGAAAGAGTCGATATCATTGATCTCGAACCTACCTATAGCTCTTCTTCACTCCTCAACAGCCCCAAAAATGTCCCTGTCCAACATCTCGCCTCTTCCCTCCACCAAAACACCCCCTCCTAGTAACCCCATACCAAACGACCAAATCCTCATCCTCCCCTGCACCCCCGCCGACGCCTCAATGCTCGTGAGCCTCCCCTCCCACCACTCCCACCCCCCTAACACCGCTCAGGCATCATGTCTCTACACCAGCTTCCCCTCCACATTCTGGGACCTCGTCGAGCCGCCCTCCCAGCGCCCCTTACCCGCCATTCGCCTCGCCCTGATGGCCAAGCGCCTCATCCCAAGCCTATCCGACCCGGCCATCCAATGGATCAAAGCCGTGCACGCGCCGACGGACGAGTGCATGGGCATGGCATGCTGGACGCTCCCCGGGTCCGCGGTGCACAATCCGCTGCGCAAATCCGCGATTGCCTTTTACGCCTGGGACGCGAAAATGCGCTGGACGCAGCACGACGTCGAGGAAATGTTCGCGCATGTGTGTGCCGAGCAGTGGGATGTTCCCATCGCGCGCAACGACCGGCTCCGCGCGCAGTTTTTCCAGGGCCAGGCCCATTGGTATCTCAGTCCCGTGTGCACGTGGCCGAAGTGGCAGGGCATGGGCGTGGGGAGGAAGTTGTTGGCGTGGGCGCTTGAGCGCGCGGATCGGACGGGGACGCCGGTGTATTTGAGGAGTGCGCCGGAGGCGAGGGGTTTTTATGAACGGGTGGGGTTTGAAGAGGTGGAGGAGGGGGTGTTTGTTAGGAGGGGGAAGGGAGGCGTAGGGGAGGTGTAGGAGGTGATGGTGGCTGTGAGGCCTTGAGTGTTGATGCGTGTGATGGATGATGTGGAACATGAAGGGTGAGGTGGAGTGGTAGCAGCAACTACTTTAGCTGGGACGTAAATCAGGAGTATGTTGACAGGGATCACGGGAGCTGGGCCTACTCACGTGTATTTCGCTAGCAAACTGGCTTCAAGAAATAGCTCATCTATAGTCCTATTGGCACGTATAGTCCTTCCAATGAAGAAGGCCAGGAAGAATAATCAGAGTGCGCATGGCAAAAATACGAAGATTGTTGATGTGATGTAGGTTGTAAGATATCACTGGTCGACGAGAAGAGACTTTTTACACTCAGAATTTCCTGCTATGTATTTCTTTGGCAGCAAGTCTATTATGCGTCTCTCAGAACATCAACGACGTGAAAGAGAAGCGTTTGTCGATGACAAAACATCTTGTAGACTTGTACGTTACTGTGGCGATCGTCGTCGATGTTCTCGAAGGACATTTTGCCGATGTAATAAAAGACGTTGCACTAGAACATCGAGTTGCGGGAGGCAAACCGGGTGTGCGATGTGAAGGAAAGTTCAGTGCGAGGCAAGAGCCGCTCCATACGACCATAGGTTGTGTACAGCGCATTGCAACCAACTTAGGCCCGTTTGGAGAATGAGCTGCCAATTACGGCGACTCCCGTGCCATTTTATGCAGGGGAATGATTGATCATTGTTGTACCCGAAGGTTCACCCCACGGTGACATGGACTATCCTACCTGTGCAGTGACAGATCTCGCCGCTGCTTGCGCATTTGTCATAGCTAGTGGGATTCGTGAGCTACTGTGGCGATATTTATGGGGATTTGCACGTTGTGCCATCAGTCTGACAGCGGGTGCGACAAGGTAGTGTGGCATTGCAATTCATTCCCGTGTTCCACGATGGGTGTAGCGAAGGTCGTACTGCCATTATGACATATATTGAAGAACGGGATACATGCGCAGCAGCGGGTGAGAAATCGGAGCTCCTATGATGCTATTTGTAGGGTATGCTTCGTTATGGTCGAATCAATGGCCCTGTGGCACTTCGTTCATACGAGCCTCACGGGAAATCGGCAAGCCAGATATTGCACCAACACCTTCCTAACGCGTGAGAGAGGACCGGAGGAAATATGCGGAGTCACACATCGATTTTTTGTCGTATGAACAGGCGCAGGCCGACGGTGTTGGGAAGGGGAAGGGAAAAGTGACCTCGCTTCTATCTCTACGTATCCATGCGTTTTGATCATTACACCTACACCCAAAAGCATTGAACTCACACAATAAACAAATTAGAATGCTTCAAAGACAATTGTGATGGTAGCAAACGTGATCCAGGGTTTTTTTATTTGTATTCAGTTTTGTCGAGCCCACGTGCTTGTAATCGAATAATCGAACAACATCACATGAATGCCTCGCCACAGTCTTCGTCTCTCGTCTACCCAATGGAGCTTGAAAAGTAACTGTTGCACGATTCGCGAAATTTAGATTGAAATTTAAGGAGAGGAATGATTGGGTTGCGGTAAGGTACATAAACACAGAGGGATCTTGCCTCCCGTTTCCAGTGCCAGCCTTGTTGCCTTGAGGTAATACACAGAAGGAAAGATGCTTAAACGCCGGAACAGTGAGGTCACACTGTTCCAGACTGTCGGTGCCCACTCGACTTGTGAGGGGCTGTATATGTCGACATGGGTAGGCTCTATTGAGCCATCGAATGTTGTACAGAAGTTCAAAGCTCTCGTGTTCTCTGTACGAGGCCTGTTGTAGGGTTAGGAATATCCATCGCGTTTGACGTGTCCCGATTTCGCAGCTCGAGCGTGCCGCATCACCAGCGTTTTCGTAGGTCCCTGTCATGCAATAGCCGGCTTGCAAGCATGAAGAGAGAGCCAAGAGTGAGAGATGCACCCTATGTTTGGTCAATTCAAGTATTCCTGTGACAATTGAATAGTACTTACCGAGAAGACTATCAACCATCGATAGCCATCTTTTGTGTCCTTGTCTGTGATCAAAGCTCCTCCGATAGGAGTTCCAACCAAGCTAGCAACAGCGATGACGCTGTAGAAAGCCCCAATTCGTGCTCCAAGGCTGCCATCGGGCGTGATTTGTCCCACGGCCGATGCCGGCAGCGCGTTGATATTGCTGGCAGCGAAACCGTAGAGACCGACGAATCCCACAAGAATGCCTATGGTGTCACCCAATAGCCAGAGGAAGAGGCAGAGGAATCCACCAAGAAGACCCATTGGCCAAAGGAAGTTGAGGCGTCCAACACGATCGGCTAGAAATCCTCCCCTGGTCTTGTCAGCAGAATCTCAATATTAGTACTCTGATAGCTTACAGGCTTCCACCAACGATGCTGCAAGCATTCATGATGCATAGAAAGTACTCGCTGATACTGTTACCCGGGAAAACGACGTTTGCGTATGTTTCTATTGGCGGATTAGATACTGAAAGTTCGAAACGGCAATCCTGAACGCACTGATGTAGTATGAAGGAATCCATAATCCAAGGATCGCGAAGAAAGTGCCAGCACAAAGTATGGTGTAGCGGATGTCGAGGAACCCACGGAAATCAATGAGGGCGGCGCGACGTCCATCTTGCCCTTGTGGCTTGCTTTTTGACATGCACAAAGCCAAAGAGTAGCAGATGCTGCGTGTGTCAGTACAGCACACTTGAGTGTTTTTGCCTTACTCACCCAATTTTGAGCGCTGCCAGTCGAACGGCGTTCGCAAATCCGACGGTCGGGACAAGCTTTTCTAGCATAAGTGGAAATCCAATTCCACCCAGTGCAGCACCTGTGGACACTACACCCATAGCAAGAGATCTTCGGGCATTGAAGTGTTGTCCAACAACCGTGATGGCAGGTTGTATGCCGAATGCAATGGTGAAACCCAGAAGCATCCCTTGAATCAGGAAGATTGACCAGAACTGTCCAGCCTGGACGAAGGACAGCAACATGAGGGCAAAAATGGTGCCAAAACCTGAGCCCAGATACAGCCACTGTTGGGTGGTCAGCACATATCGGAAACCAAAGTCAGATTAGACACATACCTTGACGCCATAGCGATCACATAGTGCTCCTGAGACGGCTGCAAGTGAGTTCATGAGGAACATCTGAAGTGTGCCACAGAAGGCAATAGTAGTCGCAGGTGTGTCTTTGAGGAACACCACGGTGTAATAGTTCTGGAAGAACCCAAAGCTATTCATTATGCCGAAAGAGGCATAATAGACGAGTGCAGAGCCAGCCACAGTTAGCCATGCTTCGCGACCACCCTCGTACTGTTTGAGTTGACATGATTCGGTATCAGTCTCGCTATCCGACGGCCGGCGCTCGGTGATGGACTTTTCACTCATGACTTTCGATAGGGTGCTGTCCAAATAATAAGGGAATGAACGGAACAGCTCACATCGAACCATATCTGGTGATCCTGCTGTAGATATACTCAACAGCTACAGTGCTAGCGTGTATGTGCGACTGACCTCATTGCAGCGATCCGTTATCCAATAGCAGGTGCTGCTGCCATCTCGTTTGACGATCCGCTACCAGGATGGAACCGGAAGTCTGCTTGCTGTGCCTACCGCTGTGCGCTGTACATCGCTGTACATTCTTTGATTGTCATATGGAATGTGCACTCAACTATGGCCCGATCGATGACCTTCTGGTTCCATGGATATGATGAATGATTTCAAAGAATCTCATGTCACAAGCGGAGTATGAGGGGAGTACCAAACACAAGTTGGGAGCTTTGGGGCACCCCTCACTCGATTGTACACAGTCGTCTTCAGATGAAAGACATGAGTGATGGCCTATCCCAGTAGGATGTACCTCAACGACCAAATGTTCGGTAACCTTTAGATCGACTGAAAGGGTTTTTTGGTCTGTAATCAATGGTGCTAAGGCGTCATTCCGCTGGAGATCAGGTGAATGGGTGCGCTTTCGAGCAAAGGGTCCAGTCATTCGCTTTGCTGGAGCCTCGCTGTACGACCACATTAAAACGGTCGCGAAATGACACAGCATCTGACAGACGTCATAGGCACGGAACAGATCGCTTAAGAGCCCCCAGCAGTTATAACATCGATCACTTTGTTGTGTCCGGTAGATCGCAGGAGCCTTATCAGACTTCGAGGTTGTAGCGACGTCAAAACGCTCGAGGTCTCTTCCAAACAGGAGTGGATACTAATGCGCCCATGGGTTATCTCACTCAGGATTTAGTCCCGTGGAGAGGAATTCAAGACAGCCCGGCGTCCGAAATTTTTGGGTCTAAGCCTTAAAGCCGTGTGTGATACCCTGAGAGCGGCAAAAGTAACGGGTACAAGTAGCGTCATCAGTGGTAGAGGCCGTAATGCTCAGGGCACAGGGTCGAAGCGAGGATCCGCGCATGTCTGGATGCACCACTCTCCATGTGAGTTCAGCATGACTCTATAGCTGCATGCGCCCGATAACTTCGTCTAGAGGCTTCTCAGCCGGGAGGATGAGCAGCTGACACATATCTACTGCCTTTACAACTGGTATTCGAAGCCCGCTGTACTGCGTTTATGGATTGATGTGTCGTTTCGAATACGATGTTAGCGTGTAAGCCGTCCGTTGCGCTGACAACAACTCACCAATCCTGCCCTGCCCCGACGCCGGATAGACGGGTGGAGACCGCGCGTGTGCAGAGCCCATGTATACATAGACGTGGGGGCCCACCATCTAGTCTGAATAGGACAAATATGTTGGTAGTTTTGATTGCCAAGGAAAGAATGCGGCAGAACTTAAGGCTCCTATATAACCCAAACCAGTAAATGTTTCCTGGGTTCTCAGACATTCTCAGAAACCAAGTATGGTCCCATGCCATGCTCCGACATGGTTGTAACCATGGTCGGATTCTAGTGCCTGCCGTGGCTCAGTATCAAGGCCTGTTTGTCACTGTATCGATGCAAAGGAAGTCTAAAGACCTGATCCCAACTGCGACCTCTTGCCAATCGTGAACATTTTCCTCTGTTTTCAACCTGATCGATGGGGGTAATCAGCGTTCACTTACCCAAACCAACAATCTCTGTCCTGTTCAGAAGGCAAAGGCTCTCTTGCCGCGAACAGGATGCATCCTAGCTCCAAGTACCAGGTATGGGGAAATTGAGTATAATGAAACTCGATAGGGATGTCATCCTGGTATGTGGAATGCAGTATTGCATTCCCTTGAAAGCGCTTGTAGTCAGAGCAACAGCGCTAAAGACATACCTTAGCGATGACCATGGTTCAATTTGACTGGTGCAAACGCCGAGTATGGAGAACACCACCCGGCTTTGTTTGGTGCAGCGTGCAGTCGATGTGGCAACGTGAATACTCGTCACCAGGTGCCACAAGAAGGTCAACCCGTCGGAATCTTTATCTTCAACTGCTCTTCTCATGTATGCCCGAGAGGTTTCATCCCGTTTTTGGTGGATCAAGTTCTCCATAGTACCGAAACCAGTCAAGGGAGAGGTTGAACTATCGGTAAAGCGCTGTTGCTCATTCGATATGCTTTAGTCTCAGTTGAGGTTGATGGTCTCCAAGACCTTTCTTTAAGCTTGTCAGTCGCGCCAATCTTTGTTTCACCTAGATGCTAATGCCTTACATTAGACTCAATGAGCTACTCTTATGCCAGTATGTCATACCATACAGCCTATCAACTCGGGGAAGGACGCACTCGATTCTTGTCGAAAGGAACAGCTCGGAGACCTGCCTTTCAATTAGGACGTTTTTCCGTTTAAGAAGGTACAGAGGCCTTTGAACATTGTGCGACCGAGCGCATCATTCGGCACAGACCGTAATTCATGGCGCGGAGCAACGAGCTTGCCCGCGCATGATGTGGGTGGACAGGCCAGACAAGGCTGTCTCCGAGATTGAACATGACCATCGACTGAGTATGGTCGCACTCTCGTTGTTGTTTCTGTGCGATGTTGCTGAGAGACTCTCGATGGTCACGTCACACAGCATAGAGGGGCACTGAACCTTGGTCGTGCACCACCCAAAAAGGACCGATTCCTCCTAGATTGCCAAAAGGCAACCCAAATGTTTAGGCGTCGTCTTTCAAGAGCGAAAATCGAACGTGAAACAAAAGATGGTGGAACATCGGTGATGTTGCACCAGCGGGCGAGATTGTGACGTTATGTGAGGGGAAGAGCGGCCGCTACGACGTCATCTACTGCTGGTTGCTTCCGCTTCCGCTGTTTCCGTGACCATCCCTATGATTTTCACACTTCAAGTCATCCCACCTGAGATCAAAGCCGACATTTTTAGTCCCCAAAGAACGCATGTTCTTTGGTGAAACACCTGAAGCGCCATGTCGACAATCTCAGACCTACCAAAGACAGACCTTGCATGGTTCGACGAACGACCCTCCGAGAGCCAGATTCCTCAGTCAGCCAGACAATTACTCGAAACATATAGCGGCATTGCACCGAATAGTGTAATTGAACACGTCGTAAACCTTCGCAACGAGGCATGGCGGATCCATCCTTATCCGTGTATCGGACAATTCCGATTCCTTGAACCGGGTATTGATGAGCTAGACGAGTATGCGGAGGTCATGGAACGGCTCCGTAAGGGCGAAAAATTACTGGATATGGCATGCTGCTTCGGTCAGACTACTCGCCGTTTAGTTGCAGATGGTGCTCCATCAGAAAACATATACGGATGTGATCTCGAGAAAGACTTCATTGATTTAGGATACGGACTGTTCAAGGACCGAGACAAGCTTAAGACCAAGTTCATGGTGGCAGACATCTTTGATCCTTCGTCTCCGCTGAAAGACCTCCAGGGTAGCTTCGATATGATTTACGCAGGATCTTTCTTCCACCTGTGGGGATGGCAGAAGCAAAAGGAAGTGTCAACGCTACTCGTACAACTGCTGCGCCCACAACCTGGATCAATGATACTGGGTCGTCAAGTAGGAGGTGCCGAAGCTCACGAAACAATTTCTGCCACTTATACAATGTATCGACACAACCCGGACAGTTTCGAACAACTGTGGAAAGAGATTGGGGACGATCTAGGCATCACTTTCAAAGTGAATGCAAGACTCAAAAGTGCGAATGACAACCACTTCGAAGGAGGCGATCCGAATGTGAGACGTATTTACTTCTCTGTCCGAAGGCAGTAGTCCTTTTGCATGAATGCATCCTTCATTCCTTCCTATTTGGCACTGGGTAAATACTTCGTACAGCAGCGCTGCACCGTGACGATCCCAACGTGACCGATATCTGGGGCCAGACGGAAGGCACGACAGGCCTAGAGTCTTGTTCAGTACCTATCCACCGGTTCAGGTACCTGAAGATCACACCATCAAAACAATCCGAGGATTTCTTGTTCGGCCCCACTGAGGTCGTTCTCTAGCGCGGGCGATATCTGGGGTAAATCGATTTGGTGGCTATTTTAAGGCAGTGGATCTGCAGCCTATGGCTCGACACGCGATTTTGCCGGAATCCAGACCGGGGTGAGAATGCACCTGCAGCAAGCATCCCAGTCGCGCGCACTTTGCATATATTTGCTTCATATCACTTTTCAATAATTCTTCCAATCTCTGGCGGCCGGCTGATGCGGTACGGGTAGCGCCATGCAGGTTCGCCAGACTGCTCCATCTACCGGCGGAATGAGATCGTGTTCGTCTATCAATGTTACGCGGTCTAGGTCGTACGGTATGCCCTCGATGGGGACGTGAATGCTAGATGCGTCAACTTCATCTATTTTCAAATGAATTGAACGATACCACGCAGTGTAATTCCGCTACTTTGCCTATGCAGTATGCCGACATGGAAGAGTTTTTCATTCTTCGTATAAGTAGCAACCTTGTCCGGTGAACAAGTATCGTTCAGCCTTTCCGGTACGTTCAAATTCCAGAGACAACGAGCTGCCATCGTCAATATGAAGCTCTCCATGGTTGTCGCCGCAGCTCTTGCTGCGAGCGTAGAAGCAGCTGCTTTTCAGAAGCGCCAGCAGGGTTATCCCGATGGTCCGTAACATTGCCGTTGCGCCTAGCAGCGATAGCTAACACAGGAAATAGTGAGCGAATGCGGACTGGACGCATTCGAAGGCCACACCGCAGAAGCCGCTCTCTTCTGCAGCAGCATCTTGAAATCAGGAACCGCCACCTCGACTGTCACGGTCGGCGGAACGACAACCGTGACTACCACCAAGAAAGTCACCACCACTGTCATTCCTCCAACGAGCAAGAAGACGAGTGCTACACCTTCGCCTACGCCCACTCCTACGCCCACTCCCACGCCGACACCTACACCAACGTCCAAGCCAGTGTCGTCTTCTAAGCCAGCGTCTTCTTCTAAACCAGCATCATCAGCACCAGCCCCGGCTCCATCTTCAACAATAGTCACCTCCCCATCACCGTAAGTCCAGCTCATTAATCTCAATTCCCCAGTCCTTCCGAATCCCATCCTAACAAAGCCCAGCACCCCCACCGCCGCCCCCGGCTGCGGCATTGTCGCCTACGTAAAATCCACGCCTGCCTACTACTTCGAATCCTCTGGCACAAAGAACACCTTCTCCGCCTGCCAGGCTCTCTGCAAAGCGGACGCCAAGTGTCTCTCCTTCGGCTACGGCGAAGCAAACTGCATGCTCTTCGACGTCGCCGCGGCTGACAACACAAACTACAACCCCACCTCCCCATACACCTTCTACGACGTGTCGTGCCCTGCGGAGCTGCCCGTGCGCAAGAGACAATTGAACATTAGCTTGGTATTGCCAGGAGGAGGCATCAATATTAGTCTGGGACTGGGTGGACCGAAGGAGATTAGCAGTGCGTGTAGTTGCTTTATTACGAAAGGGCCGGCGGAGACGACGGTTACGCGGACGAATACTAGTAATGTGACGAAGACGGCGACGGCGACGACTGTGGTTACGACTACGGCGGCGTAGAGGGGAGGGTGCAGGAGATTTGTTTGTGTGACAGCATTTAGCATGGTCGTTGTTCAATATCGCCATTTTGCGTTAATCCGCCTCTCTCAAGTGATCACATGCAACAACTCCCTCCCTTCAATCAACCTCTCCACATTCTCCACTGTCTCCTCGTACCAAACCCCCATCGTCCCTTCTTCCACATACCCCATGTGCGGCGTCAACAGCACCCTCGATTTCCCCTTCACGTTCCAATCCTCACTGCGCCAGGGACTATCCGCCGGCAACGGCTCAATATCAAAAACATCCAACGCCGCGCCCCTTATCCTTCCATGCCTCAACGTATCCAACAGAGCCGCTTCATCAACCAACGGTCCTCTAGACGTATTAACCAGCAACCCCGACGTCTTCATGCACGCCAATTCCCTCTTGCCCACCAACCCCCTCGACCGCTCACTCAGCACATAATGCACCGAAACCACATCCGCACTCCCAAACACTTCCTCCTTACTCACCACCCGAAACGTCTTCTCCCCCTCCTCTGCCATCCCGCCACCCGTCACGGGTAGCCCCACCTCGTGCGCCATTGCATCTGCTTTTTCCTGCGTCAAGTTCGCGCTCCAGCACACAATCTTCATACCAAACGCCAGCACCCCGACGCGCGCTACGTGCGATCCCAAGCGCCCCAGTCCCACGAGGCCGAGCGTCTTGCCCGGCAGCCCGATCGCGAGGTCAGTCTGCCACCCACCGGCCTTGACGGCCGCGTCGTCCGCCGCGACGTTGCGCGCGAGCGCGAGGATAAGCGCCCACGCGTGCTGGGTCGTTGGGTGGCCGCCGCCTTGCTTGACGGGCAGGGCGCGGGGAGACTGGGTGCCTGCGCCGTCTGTCCTGCCCTTACCGGGGGGCGGCACACACAATGATACCACGCTGTTTGATCGCGGACATGTCCCAGCTTTCAAAACTTGCCGCCGGTGGCGAGGATGAGTTTGAGGTTCGGCAGGTGCTGCAGGAGGTCGGATGTTAGTGGTGTGCGTTCGCGCATGGTGGATAGCACGGAGAATGGCTGGAGCCGGGCGATGAGGGCGGCGCGGTCTGCATCGCTGGTTGATGGGTGTGAGTATGCGGGGAGAGTGTCTGTGAAGGTCGTGATGTGGAGTTTGGATTTGTCGATGTGGGCGAAGTGGGGGGCGGCGATGTTGTGGTAGTCGTCGAGGATGGCGAGTTTGATTGGGGGAGTGAGAGACATTTTGCGGCAGTGATTTTATGGAGAAGTCTCGTTGATAGAATACGGATGTTATGGAATGGCATGAGGTTGTGGGTAAGAGTTTACCCGATCACGTTCTTCTACGTTCGCTGTTCCTGTCCGGCATTTGGACGATCGGAAGTTGATGAGGGGTATGGCGTCGTGCTCAAAAGTACGGCTCGTCGGTCTATGGTTACGTCTTTGGTATCCAGAGGGGTAGTTCATGAGTCAAACGCTCTGCTATGACCTATACTTTATCCCGGATGATTGTCGTAGAGCAGTGCGGTGTAAGTTTTTGGAATCGGAGATGACGTACATGGGTAGACACGCATGATGAATAAGCTTAAGGTCTACGTATTTTGTGTTCACATGTAGATGCATATCTCGGAGGGCATCAAGAGCGAGTTGGAATCGAAATACGGTGATTCCAAGTTCGAGCATTAACCATTTTGCGAACTCGGCAAGCACTAGCTGGCTCCCGATTACCATGCCACGAGCACAGCCAATTTTGTACTCTTACAAGAAAAGAAAAAAGCCAACGATGGAAACGACGAAAAAGCGACGCGTTTATCGCTTCCTCTTCTTCCCTTTGCCGTCGTCCTCATCCTCCGCATGTGCACTCTCCTTGTCCTTCTTGGCAGCCTTCTTATCCAACTCATCCCAGCTTTCACCCTCGCTGAATTCATCTTCGCTGCCCTCATCGCTCATCTCTTCAGATGCGTTCTCATCGAAATCACTCTCCTCTGAGCTTTCATCTGAGATGGCGAGCTCAGATTCCGAGACTTCGAATGCTGATTCTTCTTCCTCCTCGTCACCGCCTTCGTCATCTGATTCGGTGGAGAGGAATGACCATCCACCGTCTGCGAAAAATTGATGTGGGTCCGAAGTCACCGTCTTCATGATGGTGGCCCAGTTGAGGTTGAGCGGTCCCTCGGTGAATGGAATGTCGACGGAGTCGAGCCAGTCTTTTACAGGATCCAGTGACTCCACCGGGATAGTGTTAATATGCACCGGTGGGCGGTTGTAGTCCGTAAATACAACCACCATGTCGAAGTTCCTCAGACCGAACTGCACACGTTCGAGATGTACGATTTCAATCTCGGAGAGCGTGAGACATGTGAAAGGTGGTTCGGTCAGTTGGACAAGACAGTCGGTAGTGGGCTGCACGAGGACCGAGGAGCGCGATGGGACACCGTTGAAACCAAGCTCACGGTAGGGAATGTCGACGCTGACATTCTCGTTACGTGCGGCGTCGGCAATCTTCTCGGCGAAGTTCTTGAACTCCTTGTCGAGGGCTGCACGTCGCCTGCGCTCTTCCTGTTCTTGCTCAAACTCTTCCTCGTCACCAAACTTGTGGCGGCGCTTGCGATTACCAGTCTCGTCGAATTGCATCTCGGTGGCTTCGCGGACGAACTGGACATCCTTGGTCTTCTTCTTACCAAGCATGATTGGGTTCTTGAGGTGAACGTGTATGATGACGATCAGCTCGTGTTGTGAAGGCTGGAAGAAAAGATGCTTCATGTTGCTGAAGAGTACGTCGATCTTCGCTGAGCCGTTGCCATGGATGTATCGTAAACCATTCTGGTGGATCTCGACGCTCCCAGGAATGCGCTTGCCGTCGAGCGCTGGTCGGATGAAGATGAGATCAAGGTTGAAGGGTTTGCGAGTCTTGAGCGGGATGAGCTTGTCCTGCTCAACAACATCCTCCATCTGCTTCTTCTCCGTCTCTCTCCGCACGACGTCCTTCTTGAGCTCGGTGATGTCCTTGCAGATCTGGTCGATACGATCGACGTCTTGTGACTTGAATGTCAAGCTACGAATGAAGTGCGCGTTGGGATCTTCGAAAGGCTGGTCATCTTTCCTGCCTACACCCTGACCTGGTGACAGGAAGTTGATACGCAGAGATGTGAAGTCGGCCTCAGGCGTGTGGGAAGCGTTCTTGATGGTGTGAATATGGAAGGGTACAGGGCGACCCATAATTGGAAGGAGAACGGTCAGGCTCTTCTTGTCAACAACGATTTCTAGCGTTGCGACAGAGGCAGGGAACTGGTTGTCGCGCTTGTACGACTCGAACTTCTTGAACTTTTTCTCTTCAGTGCCGTTGAGAGACTTGGCGCCTTCGGTGTATTGCTCCAAGCCTTCCTTCTGCTTCTTCTGGTGAAGTTCTTTCTGATGAGCTCGTCGTTGTTCTTCCTTCTCGGCATCCTGGTTGGTGGTGCGCTCGTGTCGCGTCCGCGTCTTCGTGATGTTGGTTTGCGCGATCGCTGGCGCCCGCTCCTTCTTGACCTTGGGCTTGACCTCCTCCTCTTCGTCGTCGAAAAAGAATGACACAGCATCGAGATCTGAAGTAGTCTCCTTCGTGAAGACGGCGCAGTCAGCCTGACCCACGCGAACAGTGTCGACGAGCACAAGCGAGTACGACTTGCTTTTCTTGTCCTGTGGCTTGCTGTTCTCCAAGTCTTGCAGGCCCGTCTGAACCACCAGTGTCATACCGTCTTTCAAGACTCGTGTGTTCTTGCCGCTCAGAAGCAAGGAAGTATCCTTGTTCTCGGTACCAATACCGTAGCCGACATTCTTGGGGAAGTGCTTCTCCCACTCGGGCTTCTTCGCCTTGAGATGTGCAAGAGCCTTGTTGTAAACATCCTTTGCCACAACACCGTCCTTGATCGACTTGATAACTAGGTCGTGGATCGCCAAAAGAAGCTTGTATGCTGACTCTTGCTCCTTGTTCGGTCCCACCATATAAGTACGACCAACCATAGCGCCGTATGTCATGTAGCGGAGACCAAGGACCGAGATGATGACGCCTGCGTGCAGGTTGTTCTCGTCGGGCTCGGCGGCAAATTTCAGGTCGTATGCGCCTCCACTCTGGATCGTAGGCTGCAGGCACCAGTCCATCTGCATGGTATCGAAGTTCTTGGAAACCTTCTGCTTCTCAAAGAACTTTGCGTCGTCGATTTTGTTCGCAACTTTGTCGGCGAGAGCGCGGTGGGTGATCTTCTTCTCTGAATCGAGAATATCGGACATTTCTTCCACGAAAAAGTTGGTCATGAGAGCGCTTGAGGCTCGGGATGCATCGCGGATCGCTCGCTGTACTGGTTAGCCGGACTCTCGTAACCAATCGTATTTGCGACTCACGAGCTCTCTCTCATCCTTCACAGACAAGGCAGCGTTGGATAGGAGAAGGCCAAGATCGACCTGGTCCTCGTCCTTGTAGCCCGCCTCCTGGAACGCAGCCTTCCACTCCTCGGCGAATGCTCCGGTCGAGTTGTCCTTCTTGAGAACAGCGACCTTTTTGCCCGCCTTCTTGAGGGTGTCCAAGCATGTTTGAAACTGCTTTTTGTTCTCCTCGGGATCCTTGCCTCGGACCAGAATCTCGACGGGGACCTTGCCACCCTTCAAAGGCTCCAGGTATGATGCTGCACCGTTTTAGTCAGTGGTTCTCCGAGCGCAAAACGAGTTTCGATGACGCACCCTTCTTTTTGGTTGTGACAATTTGGAGCAGCTCGGGTGTAAGGATGAATAGTGTGTGGGGAAATTCGTAGCCTAGCAGCCAAAGCTATTGCGATTACTGTCAGCGCTCGTCTCCTGTAATGCCATCATATTGCGCTCACCTGAAATGCGGCGGGCTTCAAATAGCTGCCTGGATCACTCGGCTTGCCCACCACGGCCGCAATCGAGCCTGCGCCCTGGAAAATCTGGTCGCCAGAGCGCTTGTCGGCTTTCCATTTGGTGACCAAGCTGCTCAGGCGCTCGTGGAACAGCTGCTTGTCGATGACGATGTCGTCGGCCATGTTGAAGGCGAGGTTGAGATCGAGCCTTCAGGCAAATCGACGGTGGGTGAGTGGAGTGGAGGAGAGAAGGCGACAAGTAACAAAAGTCGCGGGTCTTGAGAGCTTGCTTGCGACGCGGAGACGCGCACGGGGCCCGTGCACTCACGTGGTTGCGCGCTTGCCATTTACTGTTGCTTTCTATCACCTTGACTGCGGACAGCCATTATCGCGCCAAATCTCTATCCCTGAATTTTGATGGGTTACGAGGACTATAGACTCTACCAAGCACACCTGTAAGACGTACACTCAGATGTCGAAGTTCACAAGACTAGACATGTAGTATCGGTACTCGAGGCGTTGTACTTGTCCAAGATACGGCTGCCTAGCATCGGAAGAGCCATGCATGAATGAGATAGAAGAGATGCCAAGCCCTGTTCATATTTTCCTGACTGTTCATACCGCCGAGTTATGGAAGGTGATATTCTGTGTAGTCCAAGTACATATCAACTTGACATGTTTGTGCGTCATGTAGAAGCGTGACCGCTGTCCCGTGTTCTCACGTTCGGAATCGACCAAGACCCGCTTGTGACATCTTCACGCGCAACTTCTCGACCTCATGGACCCACATCCTCTACCACCCGCAAATGCGTCGGCAAACACACTCCAACCTCCATGATATGCGATGACGACCGGCTCCAGTGTTCCAGCTGGAGTCTCTCCCCGCAGCGATAGCCATGGCGACGGCATCGCGGACAGCCCGCAGAATCCGAACAAGGCGCCCGCAACAGGTGTGCAGGCAGCGGGCATGCGAGCCGTCGCAGCTCGTATGGTCGCTTTTTACTTCCGAGCGCCAGTGAAGGCATTCTTCCGGGGCCGGATCGACTACATGGGCTACGCAAGAGCTATCAATCCTCACATTACGGCGGGAGCGAAATGGTCATGGAGAATGACTACGCCTGCTGTCTTGGCACATGCGATTCGCACTGAGGGATGGGGCTTCATACCCAAGCAGGTGCTGCCGCCGCTGATGGCCAATACTTGGTACGACATGAAGAAGAGGATGTTGGAAATTGTGAACTGACAGGCAGAAGCATCGGCGCGGTGCTCTACACAGCATATCTCCACAGTCTCTCATCTCTCCATGAGCCGTCCTCGTACCAGACCAAGCGTGTGTACCCTCCACCACCGCCAATAACTACTTTTTCCGCCGGTCTCATAGCAGGAGGATGTCAGTCTGTTATTGCAGCCCCATTCGACGCCTTGCAGGTCCGCTTCCGCACTGCAGATATCTTAGACGGGAAGCACAAGACCATGTGGCACTATGCTGGCCATAAGCTCCGCTCTATTGGACTGCAAGGAATTTTCGCGGGATGGTCGTTGAGCTTTGTCAAGGACGCTTTTGGCGCCGCCGTCTTCTTTGGTACTTTCGAGACGGTCAAGAGCCAGGCATACTACGCATTCGTGACCAAGTACTACGGCACCCGCACGCGGGACACTCTGCTCAAGAAGGCTGTAGTCATGCCAGATGAGACAGACGATCGTCCCGTTATCCGACCGCATTACACCCTTGAACCGATCTTCCTGCTGCTCGCCGGCATGTCTGCGTCCATCACGTCCCAGCTCATCATGCATCCCCTGACTGAGGTTCAAGACGTCCACTACCGCCGGCTAGAAGCTCTCGACTTCCAAGCACACTATGAGAACAGGCCGTCACGCATCATGTCCCGCTACTACCATGCCTACGAAGAGACGTTCGCTCAATGCAAGAAGCTAGCCAAGCGAGCAGGCGGATGGCGCAAATACCTCTACCGCGACTTCTTCATGGGCACCATCCGCCAAGTCCCCAGCACCAGCGCCGGGCTAATCGTCTTCGAACTCGTGCGCCGCAAGTACTCGTTCGAAAATGAGGAAGTCGTCATCGACCACGAAGACGCTCGAATCCTGCTCACCTGACGACACGAACTCAAGGAGAATTGTATATTCACGCATACCGCATACATGATACCCATAGACTGTACATATAGACTAAATCCTATAAACACCCTCTTCTTACTCACCCCTCGCTCCAAAGATCACCCGCCATCCACTCCAGCGCCGCCTCAGCACAGAGCGGCCCATCTCTTTTAATGTACCCACCTGAAACTTCTCACAGCTGTATATCAAGCAGCTAAATCTCAGGATTGCCATGAACACCAAACAACAGACTGCGATGGGAAGTCTCCATGGCATAACTGATTCTACAATCGAGCCAAGTCACGACATGTATCAGGATACGTATTCATTATTGCTACGTCACCCTCCCTCACCCTTCCTACCCAGCCGCAGCTATCTTCCCATCCCACCACCCCACCCGCCCAACCATAGGCACCCACCCCTCCCATCCCCACGCCCCCTTGCCAAACTCCCACCACCCCAACACCACCTGCAAAACAAGCAATCCCCACATCACCACCACTGTCCAGAGCAGCCGCGGATCGCGGATCTTACCCCATGCGGCGGACGACTCGGTGGGTTCGTTGGAGGTATTCGTTTTCTCTGTCTTGCCCTCTTTGTCACCCGAGGTGACGGATACCCAACACCCGAGGTTTGGTGGCGGGATTTGCTTGGGAGGGCGTGGCACGGAGAGGGGCGGTAGGCTCGCAATTGGGGTCCCAGGATAGAAGGGCGGAGCGGCTTGGCGCTGGGGGTGGTGGCGGAAGAGGTGAGTGTGGTTTTGCAGCCTCCGTGGCGCTGGGGAACGAATAGGAAATTGTTTCTGGATCGTCGTATTGAGTTGCTGCCGCCTCGGTATTCTCAGGCGAAGCGGTTGTGGGGTTTTATGTTTTGGGGGCTTGAGTTGAGAGGGAAGATGTTCGTCTTCGGCGGGAGGTGGAGTGGGTTTTGGCTTGGAAGATTTGGTACGCGGCAGAGTTGTTGGCTCTACATCTTCAGGTACGTTCTTATCGAGTGAGTCTGAAGCTTTGGGTGGTGGAGAGGTATGTTTGGATGGCGCTGGCTTTGCTATGATGGAAGGCGCTGGTCTAGTTGTTCCCTTCAATTCAGGTCTCTCCTCTTTCTCCGATGGACTCTCGCCATCGTGATCCGGCGCTGCAGCTTCAGAAAGTGTCGGCTTACTCGTTGGCTTCGGCAGTTTCTTGGTGCTTGAAGTAGCTGCGACCTCATGATCCAAATTCAGGCTGTCTTCTGGCAATTGTACGCCATCCACATGATCTGGTGTCGCTTCTTGCGAAGGCACCGGAGTATGCGTCGGCTTCAACGCTTTCTTGGTAGACGGTGCAGCGACATCTCCTTCGCTTTCACCCTTCCCACTCTCCTCTGCAGCTTCCTCAGGCGGATGTGTTGGCTTCGGCGCCTTTACACTCGAGCCATTTCCTCCCTTTCTCGATGTCACCCTCACATCATCATCCCCATGCCCTCTCTTCGGCATCCCCCTTCTCCACCACCACCTCAACTCCACACGCCTTGTGGCAGTATTCTCTTCTGCCCTAGGACGCACCGCTGCGCCCATCGTACGTCTGTACGCCGTCACATAGTTTGTGACATGGACAGTTTTATGGCCGATTTCCTGGACCTGGGCTTTTGGCTCTGGCGTGATGGTAGGCGCAATAGTGTCTGCATGTGCAACGGCGCCATCGTCCACTGGCGAAACGAGCAGGGTTGTGAGAGGTGTGATTTGGGTTATTTGCGAGGGGGAGGGAGTAGGAATTGGATCTAGTACTTCAGCAGACTCGGGTGCTGCTGGTGGAGTAGTTGCTTGTTTGGCGGAAGCTTCAGGGACTTTTGGAGATATGGCGCTCGTAGGGGGTGAATATGGATCTTCGGGTTCCTCAGCAGCGGGCGACGCTTGAGATGGGGCTTGTGGTAGAGTGTTAATGGCTGGTGCATTCGTCTTAGCAGCTGGCACCGACGGTGTTGTTGGATCCACAATGTCTGATGCGGCTTCACTTGTCAAGTCGCCTGCGATCTTCGAAGTTGTTGGGTTGGCATCTTCGGGCACAGCTTGCGTAGCCTTCGCTGGACTCGATGCACCAGACTTCGGCGGCTTCGCACTGACAGCAGTACCATCACTCGCCTGGATCTGCGTGCTCTGAGCAACTTCACTCGTCTTCCCAGCACCCGGTAGCGTCGCCGAAGATATACTACCCGCCTCTTCCCCGCCCGTTCCAAGCCCTTGACAAAATACACCCGCATTATCCCCAGGAACGGGTATCTTGACATTGTCTTTACCAATCTTAACCTCCAACTCCACAACCGTCGCCACACTTCTCTTGGAGCTTTGCCTCGCAACGTCTTTGCAAAACGCAGCCGCCGCGACGCTTGGCAGGTAAAGCATCATATGCCCGTCGTCGGCCTGGAAGGAGATGTGCAGAGCTGGCAATTCTGCACTCTTCGTCGCCGCCGGAGATGGAGATGCGATGTGTGGTGAATGCCTGGCCGTGAGGGAGCGCTTCTGCTCGGCGATATTGAGCGCGTCGCTCTGAGAGATGTACATCACTGGACCGCCATGTAGGGTGGTGGTGTAGCTCGCTTTGCCAGATAGTCTCAGCACGCTGGTGTGGTATACTGTTTTCGTGACCGCATGCGCGGTCATGTCGGCGTTGGCATGATGGGCGAGGGGTTGGTATTTGGCTGCTGCTACTGCGAGTATGAGGGGGAAGAATTTTAGGGGGAACATATTGTGCTCGAGAAGTAGGTCTCGGGGTAAGGTGTCCTGCACCTGGATGTGATTAGAACGGCGTTTAAGGATAGGTAAGTGGTAGCGAGATGTAGAGAGCAGAGAGCATAGTGTTGGAAAAGCATGTTCTATATCGTTTGATTATTGAAAGATGTAGGCGGCGTAGCTTTGAAGGAGGAACTTCATCATGTTTTTGATTCAATGATCTATGTTACGTACGTTACTTGACAGAAGAAAAAGCTCGTGACAGCGCAGATACACGCAATATGAAATGCAAAACTACCAAAATTCGCCTGAGTAGCAAAGTGCTTCAAGAAGTAGAGGTCGAGCGAGGTTTGGTAATGGTGGTTGTTCCAGTAGTCGTGGTTGTAGAAGTCAAGAACACCGTGCTTGTAGGCTCTTCAGTGCTAGAGCTGTTGCGTTATCAGCACATTTTTTTACACAAGAATGGCTTACATACCTTCTGACTTGATGCACGGTCTTGGTGAGGAAGAGCGTGGAAGTGCCACCATTAACCGTCGAAGTGCCACTTGCAGACGTCTTCCTCCGCGTACTTGTGCTCTCAGTTTCGATTTCCGTCTCCAACAGCAGGGTCGTCGAAAGACCAAGTGTCGTGATTGTATCCGTCACAATGGCCTGGAATGTTTCGACGATTAGCGTACCTGGGCCGGATACAGTCGCAGTGAATGCAATGGGATGTGTCGTTGTCAATGTGCTTGTGACCACAACAACTTCCCAAACCTCCTGGAAGCGGCTGCACTCAAGGTCGCCATTGTCGAGGACCTTGCATATCTTGACGTCGACGTCTGAAGGTGTTTCACCTGCCGTCATAGACTGCCATGGCGCAACATAGTATGTGAAGATCTGCCGAACGGTCGGGGCAGGCGTGATCATTGACGTATTGTTACCCTTCGTTGGCGTCGGTGTTTCCAGTGTAAAGCCACACTCAGTCGAGAAAGTGACCTCTTGACTGCAGTCTGTGATGGTCACCTTTGAGGCCAGTCCAGTCAATGTCGTGGCGCAAACGGTCGTCTCCAACGGCGCGTACACTGTTTCACAGCTGCCAGTTCCGGTGACCGTGGTTGTGTGGTTTGTGGTAGCGTTAAGATATGGTGCACCAGAGATTGGTAGGTATTGCAAAGGAGGCGCAACACACCACGTCATCTCAGGAATATACGAGGTCAAAACCTGGCTTTGGGCCGTCACTTCGATGGGCGCGGCATCGGGCGACGGAAAGACGATGCTGTAAATGGTGCGAGTGCTTGAGGGAGATGGACATTGTTGTGTAGTAGTAGTGAGTTCGGTAGCGGTATAGTTGACAGTGTATGCCTGGGTGATGGTTATTCCCACGGGTTGAGGCACTCCCATGGACTGCGTGAAGTTGAGCACCTCATGAGGTAGGCCTGCGTGGACTGCGGCTCGTACGGCCGAAGAATGAAGGAGTGTGAGGAGCAGTAAGACAAAAGCGTAGGGTAATGAATGTGATAGCATCTTGATAGTGCAATGGACGACTCGCGCTTCAAAGCTTGCAGAAGAGAATGAGAGTTCCTACGCCGACGGAGATTCGCAAGGTCGGCAACCTTGATGCTGTCTGTTGACGCGGTCGCGCATGGAATGGACGTACAATGCCCAGCTCTCCCTTACCTACAGACACGAAAATTTGCGATGACTTTTGTCCTACACGATGCATCTTCAGAATCTGCGCGGCACTCAGCCCAGATCATCACCATGCATAGGTATGGAATGCAGCATCATCGTCGTGATGATCGAGAGACTCGAGTCCTCCGAAGATGTAGCAAAAGGACATGGAATCCATCATCATCATACACGTGGTGATGTTGAAACCTTGTTTGCGACGCAGAAGCGAGGGAGGCAGGCACACGCAAGGATAACCTCGAGACCCTGAACGCGACCTCACCCTTCGCAGTCGAGCCTCTCGTCACTACCAGCGAACGGCACAGTCCATACTCGTTATCCTTAAATTTGGACACATATATAGCGTGGACAGCATTGACGCTTGCATGTACTCGAGACATGTAGGACGAATCCTTCCGTGAATGGACACGAAATGCTGCAAAGTCTGTTATCAGTATCCATGATGATCCAGGCGCTTCGGTAGATCTTAAGTGTGAAGCTGGGGAGCGTTGTATACCGAGCTTTACGTGACATATGTCCTGATACGCTTGGGGGAGCGGAACTCAGAACATGCTTGGGGGTTAAGGCCTCCAGGCTGATTACTTCTCCAGCAGCGCGCAAGACTTTTATCCGCATCAGGCCGAAGGAGGCAGCGATGTACACGATCGTTACATCTCCGCGGGAATCTCTCGACCGCGAAGGGGTTCACTTCGCCCGACATGCACTTCTCCCATTGACAGGTCAGTGCGTAACACATAGCGTATCCACAGCCGTCAACATCCACAGTTCGCTACGTCGCTTGTCCCTAGCCAACGCAAAGCCCGAAAGTCCGGTCGCTTACCCGTAAGCAGCGAGCTAACGCACACTGCATCACGACATCACATCCACGATATCTAGCTGAGTAGTCATGATGATTTCTTGCATCAAGGGGGCCATGAACCCCACTTCCCGAGCTACAGTTCCCACTTGACCGGCGACGAAAACCGAAGTCAGATCAGGGACCATATCCGGGTACGGGATAAGCGATTTGGCAGCGGTTAGAAAAGCCGACGATTTGAGTAAGTGTACCGTACCCGAACAGCGAATATACGAGGTGATAAAGGCGTTTGCGCTTTACCAGGCTTGACACGGGTGAGGCTGCGTTATACTATTTAGTAGTGACAACGTATTGCCACGTTGAAGGTGCAGTTCATGCGTGCCATATTGTGCCGTGTGCATGTGTGGAGCAGTTCCATTTGGTTGGCGAGAAAGTATTGGTGCGCTGAATGTGTGATGGAGAAAGCACCCCGTGCCATAGGTGTGTTCCCGGATAGCAAGCTGTAAGCTGCAATAGAAAGTAGAAATTTCAGCGACGAGAAGAAAGTGGAAGGGAAGAAAAGCGCAGGGTTCTTGATCCTACGCAGAGCCCGCCTCGGGGAACAACCCCCCCGCATACGACCTTGCATGCACATGAGGATGCCTGATGCTGATGGTCTGGATGGATTAAGCGTATACAACGAATCAATCAACGCAGCCCTACGATACCGAGGTGTTGAGATGCTCCACAGTATGCGACCGCGATGGCCACCAGCATTCCCAGTGCACGCTCATCGACCACATCGCCAATGTCAGCTCATCCATGGCAAGGACACAGTTCGGCACCTGGCATCTGGTACCCTCAATATCGTAGGCGCAGGACTGCTAGGCCGCTCCGGGACAGCCTGCGACATGCACGCGGCATACGATCCACCAGAAATTACTTTTTCCAGACTATTTTAGAAGAGACTATGGAGACTAGTTGTGCCATCCCACGTGTGCTGAGCGTCCAGGCATGTTGCGACAGCGAGAAAATGAATGCGTTGCATTGTCTTGCACGGCGCGAATCTTCTTCGAAAGCCTGGAAATGAATTTTCGCAGCTTATCGAATCTAGTCTCAATGGCGCATAGATTGACGGCTTGCCGTAGTCTTCCGATGCACTTTGCATGTGTCGTGCCGACCCGCGCGAAGCTAACTTTATGCTTATCCTGCGAACAGAGAGCAAAACATTGTCTGTAGGGCAAGCAGAGGCGGCATGCCATTTCTGGTGTGCTGAAGGGGTTAATCCAGGGAATTTCACCACAGAGGATTAATCCAGATACCATGCGATCTTTGCACACAAGATCCATGCTACTGGGCGAAAAGAACGGTGCGCTAGGTGGTAGCACTAGTACAAGGCAGCTTCTACCCAAGATCCCTAGAGGCTTCCCTGCAGTGTATCGTAGAGCTCACTGCTGAGCTTTACTCTCGCGATATACAGATAATTTCCAAGATTGCGTGAGTGAGGTTCCTCGTCTGGCAATTGTGCAGTATTCCTTGTGAATGTGGAGTGAAAGAGTGCATGCCACAGCGCTGCCAGGTGCTGTGAAGCAATCTCGTCAGTTACACTTAGTCCAGATAGGACTTTCGTCCTCAAAGTGCACGTGTCGATCCATGAAGCTTGCGCATGCGTGAGGCGTGATGGTATTGCTGCTCCTCACCACACACTGGCTGAATACATCGTGGCACTGCAACATACACAACCACGATCAGGGAGCGATAGTCAGCCGGGCGCTACGTCGACTCAGTAGGCGGGCCGCGGATGACGAACGTCTGGCAGTACAGGGGTTTGATGCCCCGAGCGTCATGCACTGACCCCTCCCAGCTATAGCACAGCTATTATACCAAGGTTGCGACCATAAGGGTATGAGGCTGCAGCCCGCGCAAGCCTCGCGTAGACCGTATGAGTCGTCTCACGTCTTGAAATCTGACCATAGGATACATGCTATAGGAAGCAGGAACAATACTTTCTGACCGGCAAGGTCCCGCATCCAGCACTGGGGTATAGGCTGAGATGCGTCGAACCACTTGTTCGAGAGATGCGCCCCAAAGGCCTAGTAAAGTGTTCGGATGAGGGATTTGCTGATGTGGTGAAGGTGCTGCCATTCCCGGCCTAGTTAGGACAGGTCTTGGGTGCTTCCTAATGCGATCAACCAGGCATCGTGCTTCCGGTGAAGCAGCATCTCGGGGGACTTCGATGCAGATCCCGTAGTTTAATATATGCAGAGCATGCTCAACTTGTTATAGTGGCAGATGAATCACACGACCACGAGGTTGACGCGCCAGCGCAGCGGCAATTGAGGTTATAGCGGTAGCCGATGCCTAATGGTAAGAGCTCAGTAGACGCTGCCTTTCGTGGATACTACAGGTCGTTTGAAGGATGGAAATCGACCTGTAGTAGTTCTGTACGAAAATAGATATTGTCCGAGAAAGCGCAGGGTAGGGCGGCGTGTGTGCATGTAGACGGACTGGCTGCATGCTTCCGATGGCCTCAGACAGGGTCCTCCAGATCCTGCGTGGGAGCAAAAGGATGGCGGCCAGGACCAGAATCAGGTTCACCTCAGTGATCAACGTGGAAGCATCTCTTTACGCATTCGAGGGAGTGGAGCGATAGGGGTAGATGGTGGAGAAGTGGTGGGCAACGACAAATGACGAGGCATAGCCTTCGTTCCTTCCTCTTTGGATGCACTCTCCTTCCACGACGCCCGGACCAACATGCTCCATCGCTCCACGTCCTGTTCTCCTCCAACACGACTCCGGCTGCCTTGTCTTTTCACACATCTCATCGCCAAGCGTTTCATACCCCGAGTATCGCCCGGCTAAGTGCCGATGTTTGACACGTGCCGTCAGCAAACACAAGCACCTGCAGTGCTGCACAAGTTAATTCAAGAGCGGGTGCATGACAACGACCTAACAGCGATGCGGCCACATTATCGCGGCTATTTCATACCGCACTGCGAGTTGAACAAAATGCTGAAGGAACGAGATCAGGTAAGAGATGCTGTAGAAGCGACTGCAACAAGCAACCATGGATCCCCAGGTCGCCTTCATCTCATCGCGACGGGACTATCTTGCTGGATCGAGGTTGAATGTAGCGCGAAGACAAAGCTGGCCAGGAACGAGGGCTTGTTGCGACCGTGAGTCCGTGACGCACGCAATTAGCCCGTCACTCGTGACGTGACCGCACAGCCCGCGCGGAAGCACTCCTGGACTCGATGCTTGGCTCAGCAACCGACAGTTTGGAGCCGGGATTTGGTGGAGGCGGCCAACCGATCAGCTCGGATCAATCGTCTGGCGCCGTGCTGACCATGGCCCTGGATGCGAACTAGGACGTTTCAGGAATCAATCCCATCGCAGAGGTGCCTCCTCTTGCCGTCGCTTTGACAGGGTTTGTCGTCCTGGATGAAGCTGTCGAGCGCCAGATTGAAAGCCATGTATTTCATCATCTTGAGGCACCTCGGAACAGGCAAGGCTTCTTATCCAAAACCTCAACTGCACCAGCTCAGTGTACCCGACCATGCAGTCCTCTCCAGTGGGAATCATCCGCAAGGTACCTGTCTTCAGCACAAAAGCTTCCCAGTAGCAAAGTCAACAAGCCAACAGGGGTCATCAAGAGGAATATGGCGCGTGGCGATAGGTTGTCATTCAGGGGACCGTATCGCTCTTTTGAAGGCGGCACGGCACCAAGCTTGAGTGGTTCGCAAAAAGCATCACTCGGGCTAACGTGATTATCATTAGAACCTATGGCAGCACAGCCTTGAGAAATGACACGTGCTAGTCAACATGCGGCAAGTTACGGGTCAACACGTGACGAAACGTGCGGACCCTCTTGCGTGCGATGACGCCCAACGTACATGGAGTAGGGACTCCAACACGGCCTGAACGACGACGGAAACTTTGCACGCGCTCTGGAGAAAGCGAGAAGAATGCTCAGAGATGGCAATGACTTGGATGTACATGTGCTCCATCAGCTTCACCTGGCCTCAGTAAGCAGGACCCCCACGCCTGCTAGACATTTTGTCGGGATCTTGAGGCAGTGCCCAAGGGACTGCAGCATTGAGCGCACATGACGTTTGATCTCACCGACTTTCAACAGTGCATCGCCTTGGACACTTGATGGCATCGCTCTGGGCTAAGCATTCGAGCACGCGATACAGCTGTTCACGCCAACAGCACGCCCCTGTGCAGGACCACCCAGTCTGAGCACGTTCTTGTGCAGCGACAGAGCCGACCACGATGCACTTTTGCGTGGCTGCGTGGCTGCGTGGCTGCATGACTGCAAGGCGCGCATGCTATGTACAGGTACATGATGCTTCTTCCACGCGCAGGCGAGGCGTTAAGCCGCTGCCGGGCTGACGGTCCCGACAAAGTTTGATGGGCCGAGTTCAAGTTGGCCGACGGCGTCGTCCAGCACCGAAGTGGCCTTGACGTTTTGACGATGTTGGATGGCCCGAGGCCAAGCTCTCTTGGAGAACTGCTGCGGCTACCCCAACGCTTATCCTTGGGTAGCTTCCGAGGTGGAAGTTTGTGCAGATTGCAGATCGGAGCACCTGTGTCTCGCCTTGGTGGTGTTGGGTGTTGTGCTGCGCGCAGCACGCAGCACGCAGCACACTGTGATGCACGGTGCTGACGGTCGTGCGGCGTTCAAGGCGGAACACTTCGTTTCGGGGAGTTTAATTCCACCGCAGCGCTCCCATGTCTGGCTTCAAATCTACCACACGAGCGACAAGCGAAGGGATGAGATGGGGCACATGATGAGACAGGGTGGTCGTGCACATCACACTTGCCCCGCGCGCGAACATGGGCGCGGCAGGCTTTGCTGCTGTCCTGTGCTCTCCAGCAGCCAGCAGCCCGCAGCCCGCAGCCCGCAGCCCGCGTCTGGCGGTGTCAGCCAGCGTCCCAGTGACAGTGGTGGTGCAGGCGTGTGGTGCTGTGCTGTGCTGTAATGCTAATGCTAGCTCGGTGCGCGCTCTTGCGGTGGGGAGATGGCGTGGGTTCCGCTTCCGCGCATCGTCACCGACTTCCCTGCACTTTGCATGCAGTAGTGCAGTAGTGCAGAGACCGAGCGTCGAGCGTACACATGTATCCCGGCCCCGCTTAGCGCGTGTCTTCAAAGCCGCCTACAAGGCATGATGTCCTGGCATCTGGCGCAACTTGGTTGACAGGGGCACATCCTGAATTTGCTGCCCGGCCAGCGATCCTCCGACCCTACTACACCGTACTCCTCTCCAGGGCTTAAGTATCCCACCGGGCCCTTGCGCACCCTTTCGCGCGCTGTGACCTCTGCCCGACACACAAATCCTGACCATTTCCCGCCACGCTGCAGCTTCATTCTCCAACGCTTCACTCGTCTGCTCACCACCCATCTCCAGTACTGTTCCTGTGGCGCAGGCTGCGAACTCCCAATCGAGCATAGCATGGCTGGTCTCTCTCGCAATTCCTAGACAGCCCTACCCAACTCCGCCGACATCGCTTCACCCACTCCATCTATCCCTCTCCACGCCACACATCACCTATTTCGCCGTGATATATCTGGGTTGTCATCCTGACGACCCGCTCTTCACTCTTCACGCTGGCTACCACACTCCCCGCTATCCAGGCCCCTCACCCTCGTTTTCCCCAGCACCATTTCCAACAGTCCTTGACCCCACCCTACCTCCACGAGGAGCAGAAACCCGAACGCTCATGGTTGGCCCATGGCAGCCAGAGGGGCTCTGACGAAATCTTTTCCATGTCGAGACTACCGGCAGGAGGATCTCGCTCAGAGCGGACGACCCCTCAGCCATCGCCTACCCAACCCTATCCCGGTATGCAGCCACCAATTCCAAGAACCAGCCCAAGGGAGCCACCAATGAACCATCCCGTCCTTCCTCCTTTGCGTCAATTATCTAGCACTCCACCAACGCCTTCTGGTCAACGCTATGCCGACCCTTTCCGCCAGATTCTCAACCCCCAGCAAGAGCTTAGGGAGCAGGAACGTAACAGAAGGAGAAGTGCTTCGCAGATGGATTCTCCTTCGCCCGTCGAGACTTCACATTCACAGAGCCTTCCTTCAATCAGTCGACCAAATAGTGCCGAGTTAACACAAGACGAGCATATGCCTCGTCCATTCCACCCCCCTGGAAGACCCGGTGCAAGACACATACTAGACACAAAGTCGCCACGACTGCACAGAACCCAAAGCTTGAATTTGCTAAACCCACCAACTGGCACCATAGATGCGCACCAGTCTCCATTTCTGACTGCCAGCACTAGGCCCTCGGAACCTGCCTCGTCGCACCAGTCTCTGCCTACGCCTCCAGCTGCAGGCCGACATTCGTATTTCCCTGCCATGCCGACTACAGGTGCAGCACCACCCCACAGCATGGCGCGTACCGACCTTCGCCGGCCGAGTATGGGATTCCCCCAGTCAGGAAGTGCGAGTCCCATCGCCCAGTATTCCCCATATAGCCAGCCAGGCTCTGTTGCATCGAGTCAATTTGATACGCCTAGCACCCCCGGACACTATCCTAACCGACAACCGAGTGTTCAAATGCACGAGTCTAGACTGTCTGCTGGTCCCATGGAGGCGGAGCGAAACATGATACCCATGGCACCATCATCACAAAGCAGTATCCAGCTCATGACAATCAAGAGTCAGCATGGGCACAACGTCCAAATTCCAGTTGATGTACAGGCTGCCTCCAAGGTTGCCGATGAGAAGAGAAGGCGCAACGCGGGTGCGTCCGCTAGATTCCGTGCTAGGAGGAAAGAAAAGGAACGCGAAGCTTCCATGAGTATCTCCAGACTTGAGCAGCAGCTACGGAACGCCTTGGAAGACGCCGAGTTCTACCACAGTGAGCGAGATTACTTTAAGGCCATTGTCTTCTCGCAGTCTCGTCCCGAGACGCTTTCTGTAACAAGACCGCAGTCCCCTCGCCTTAGGCGACCATCGATCCCGCCTTCAAATGCAACTTCTTCCATCAGAGGCGGCTCCGAGGACTCCTTCGCTGATTACGAGGAGGAGATTCGTGAGGAAGAACGCAACGTGAGGAGGCGCACTAGCAATTATCACCCGGCATCTGGCCCTCCACCGAATGATATCAGCGCACCTGACGCGAGGTCTCAGAACTATCCTCCAGGCTACCCTCCGGGAAATCAGTTGTCTCAAGGTGTGTCTCCAGTGCATCAGTATCCTGCTAGGGAGCAAATGCATCCTGGGCAACCCGTCTACCGTGACCAGTATGGTCAAGACAAGGGTCGCTATGAGAATAGCAACTGGACACCACCTCAAGGCCAGCCTCGCGAGACGTAGGGTATTGAAACCACCGACATTTTCTTTCATCAAACTTTTCTTTTTTCAATCAAATCTCATGTCTATATGCATTGGCGAACGCTTAATAGAGTTGGTAGCACGCGAGCTCAACTCTCGTTATATACCCACGGGCTTCATGACCCAAGCATGTTTGTCAGTCACGCGCCGCTGCACCTCATCAACATATACAGTACACATAGAAAACTGCATCTAGAACAATACGCCTCCACGGGCTTCTTCTTGTATCTCGCATCATCTTTCTTCGATGCTATACTTTTCCTAGGCACTACGCTGCCTCGCTCATGTATTATACAATTTCTTCGCTTTGTCAATAGTCTGTCAGTCTCAAACATCAAACGACTGCCATCGGCCCGATAGTCCACACCAAGAAACTCAATATCAGAATGATTTCATGTTCTTGATCCTTTACTTCCATCGCATGTTGCGACCTAACCATCGGAAAGTTCCAAGATTGAGAATGCGCAAGGAGCGTGGTCCCTCGCTTACTTGAAAAAAGAATGGCGAAACACGGTCCAGTCATTTCTTGCTATCCCAATAATTCCTCCGCGGAACAGTGTACCGCTCGGCGACCTTTTGGTTTCTACTACTATCGATTACAATGCCGAGATACGTTACCGATGGCGTTGGACGGAAATGATCGCACCACTAGGCTAAGCACAAACTCAATTCATCCCTAAAAACGACTTGTCCGCTGAACCAAGTGTCAAAGCTTATCCTCGACACATGCTATAACAGGCCACACTTTAGCGTCCGAGTCTAGATGATGGTTCTCAACGGCCGTAGGTGTCGACACAGTACCGCGATGCAGTTTCAGTATCGTAGGCCTCACGCTTTACGCTTCACTTTAGCACTGGTACTATAGGAGTATGGACACTGTTCCGCAAAACGGACCAAATTGGTTTTGAAGTCTAGACCTTCATCCCACACGTTCTCCGTCATCGGCGACACACAAGGAAAACATCTTACAACGGTGTTCCTGGCTAGACGACAGCATGGCTTGGTACCAGATTACTCCCACGCAAAGCGGTTGACTTCCACCCTTAAAGACATACTCCTCAGAACTAGCTTGGACGTCGTTGCCCCGGCCAGGGAAAATGGCCACCATTATTGTTCCGAATAACGGATACCCTTGCTCTGTCAAACGTCGGTACATTGAAGGTGATGCTGGCAACCTCCAACTCTGCCTTACAGAAGTCGCCCGTGCATTACGCGCGCAGCAAGAACAACTCCCGGGCCTAACCAAGGGTCCGCTGGCATGCGTGCCATCGCTCCTCAAGCCACATTACCATCTCGCTGGACTCCGTCACTAGATTTTTTGTCCGGAGTACGCTCCGTGGCTGTTCCCTCGCTACGTCAAATAAAGTCCACACCATGCTGATAATCTCTGCATAAAGTTATGAGCTAATGATCACAGCGCGGGTGGAACTCAAGCCACAATCTCATCGCTAACACCACGAGGCCAAAATGTCCGACCATGTGGCAACCGCGGAGGCAGGCTGGTATCACTGCAGATCACCGGAGATGCAGTGCAAACGTGGTCAATAGTTGACATTTTATGTCAAGCGATCCGGCGGTTGAATCCTAAACACCGAGATGCACCGAAGCTCGACACATGCAGATGTAATTTGATCCTGGGGACCCCAGTCCTATACTTCTATCGCGTTCGAGTTCGGCGACTTGGTCGGCGCATCACGAACCACAGTGCTGCCCAAAGTGGAACTGTTTTGCCTAATCGAGGCAGACAACGGACCGCAGTCCGCGCTGTAAGATGTTAGATCTTGCCTAGTCCACTGAACGGGATAAGGGTCTTTCACGGGCTTTCGCCTGCGTCGATCTTATGCGTGCAATGCATGTTTTGCAAATATCCGATCGTGACTCCCTTCACGGACCGACTCAACTGGCCAGAACGCAAACGTCGGTCAGCGCAAAGTGCTTCGATAACCTCGTGCTACTGGCATGTACTTGCCAGGTACACCTGATCACATTCGCACCGACGTCGGCCATTTAATGACTCTGTTATGTCTCGTCGTTATTGGATGCTAGTCACCGGAGCGTGGTCCGGCCAACCAAGTAGCAAGGAGCTTTTGTGACGCACTCCTGTGCCTCCAAACTTGAAACGGAATGCGCAACAGGCGATGCTGTCACTATCACCACAGACCATACAGCCTTCGACGTCAGTTCACTCTGCGGCTCTTTCCTTTCCCCGAACATGCTAGTCTTCCGAAGGCTCAACGTTTAGCCTCCGCTCAGACACTACAGCATCGGCTCACGGGCCACACCGCCTGTTCGAAGCTGACAACCGTCGAGCTAGCAGTCAAGACTCAAGACTCAAGACTCAAGACTCAAGACGCACCTAAAATATTTGTCGCAAGTGGTCATGAGTCGCAGCAGACCGCCTGCATTGCCCTCACTCAGTCGCTGCAAGGCAACGCCATAGTGTGTGGGGTCGAGTGTAACCGAAGTGGAAGGCCTACACATTCCGTGGTCCCGCAGGGCGGTACGGTGCGTTTGCAAAGGCCAACCACGCATTGCGTGCGCCGCGATTACCGGCTCACATGCTCAGGATGTATGCAAGGCTAGATCAGCAATGGGGAGACCCTGTGGAACATCATCAATCACGATGGAGCAGGCCTGATGTGCTGGACAAGGACGTGCCAGTTGTCACCAGCAAGCGACATCAAAAGCACCAATCTCGTCACCACCCGAACTTCCTTCGGCCCGAATCTCACCACCCTCACGGCTCGGCCAGCGCAGCAATAATGAACTGCCGCGTTCGCCCTTCCATTACACCATTATGCTGACTCCTAATCGACGGTCACCGCACTCGGACTTGTTGCCTGTTCTTTGCGCGGTACCACGTACAGTTTCGAAATTCCATGCAGCAAAGAATTTCATAGTCTATCCACCCGGTGTCCCACCGCAGACACGTGTAATCCCCACACTCACCGCCCGACCTTTCCCACACTAGATCTACGATGGAGATGTGAAGGAAAACTGCATAGTAGTCTGGCATGCAACACTGGTGCAGGCCGTTGAGGAAGAAGAAAAAATAGACACAAGGAATCTAAAATGTCTTATCGATATATCTTCCTTACCCGCGCATGCATGCAGGCAGCAAAAACTCAATCCACCCTCGCTCGAACCGAGCCAACCATCCCCTTGTCACACCGCATGCATCCCCAATTGCGCAAACAAACCCTATAGTATTGACTTTAAGCGCGGCAATTTCTACCGGCCGCTACCTGCTCCCTGAACCCGGCGTGCAACCCCAGGGACTCGAGAAAGGTTGGTGGTGGTGTTACACTGCATATTTCTTGCGTGAGGCGGCAGGCGAGATACGAAAAGGAAGAGTACATAAGGTTTCTGGCGTCAACTGCGGATGGTGGCGATCGATTGGAGGTGGGAGGGGGGGGGGATGTCATGCGCGTAATATCGACGGAGCTGGGCGCGATATGCAGGACACAGTGCGTTGAGGCGTAGTGTTGAGCATCTCGTCTCTGCTGCAACTGAACATAAGACCGAGCAAGCCTTTTTTTCACAGATGGTTTGGTGTGGATGGATTACCTACTTTGATTACCCCCATTCGACACAGAAAGAAAAAAAAACTGACCGTGACTATAATCCCCGCAAAAATCCATCCCCTCAACTTCAAACAAGCATCATCCCCCTTCTCCAACTACCTCCAACCCAGCCCCACCTCAAGATGGTTCCGCACCGCCGGTACCCCCTCATGCATGTCAGCACTGCTCCCTGCCACATGAAGCCTGCGGTCATGTGAGACAGCCAACGTCCCGACCAATCAGACGCACGCGACGCTGGTATTGGTCGGGTCGGTCCGAGATTCGGGCCGTTTTGCTGAGAGGGAAGTGAAGCGGGTGTCGGGGGGATTGGAACGATACATCATGTTGTAGATTTGTGATGATGGCGTTTGGATTGAGCTCACACCCCTCAAACTCCTCAATCCGGGGGTTTCAAGGGGTTTGAGGATGTGGTGTATGTGGGGAGGTGGAGAAGGAGGAGGAGGAGGAGGGGGGGATCGTTCGCATCCACATTTCACGTGTTTGTGTTGCCCATGGTCGATCGCCGCATCTTGGACAAGAAATGTCGACATTGCTTTGCAAAAAGTTACTTTTTTTTCCTCACGACGCACGTGTTCTGGATTCGGAAGTCGTGCGGGCGGTGTAATGCCTTCTGATGCAAATAGGGTTGTCAACCAGTGGATTGGAACGCAATTCAACCACGTGTTTGGCGGCCAACTTCCAAGGTCTTTGCGAGTACAGAGGGCACGCCCAAATTGTTGATGCGAGTGCATCAATGCGATATTGCAAGAATGACATGTGGAGATGATTTCAAAGCTGTATTTATCCACCTGCAGGTAGGTGCCTGCAGCGAGGCCAAGTCTTACATGTGTATTGGTTCTTGCGCATCTGGCTTTCATTTGGTGGAGATACGATGATGCTGGTCGAACTTGTTTGTTACTGCTCCAACCCTTACAGGTCCTGGTCCTGGGCAGCCTCTGTGCCTTGCTTGTGTGGCCTTGCTTGCTTCTTGCAGCCCGAGTCCTTCGCAGTGACATGGTCAACCACGGTAACAAGTAAGATCGATCTACCCGTCCAACACCTACACTATCCGCCTCAATTTGAACCCCATAGCAATGTTCATGGTACGCAGCCCTATCTGACACGATTAGAACAATATATATCGGAACCGGAGACCCCTGCATGGAAGCACACCGATCGCCCCTGGTGACGGACATGTAAGCCGTGCACGCGGATAAATTTAGATTGACGGGTGACGGAGGTTGCCAGCGGGCGGCAAAGCCATGATCGGTGTGCCATGCTGATGACTGTATCGCGTGGCCACTCAGCAAGAACGCAATAACCAAAGCGAAATGATATGACGAGCCGGGTACGTTGGTGGGGTGGCGTCGCTTAACGCTGGGGTTGCATATTGCTTACGCCATGCCATCTCAACGGTGCAGATTGTTGCTGATGTTGCAGTCTTGATCTCCTCGGAGGGCTGAAGCGTGGGGTAACTGTGGGATTTCGAGGTGGGGGCGCGCGACCTCGCAGAATGCGGTGCGGCAATAAGCCTGGCCACGGGGCTCTATTGTGCACCTCGCTTGCAAGATGTCGATGCAGTCGCACCGCATGTGGTGTTTACAAATGGCGAGCGCTGTCCTCGATCCTTCAGCCACCGCCCACTCCGAACCGCGCGCGCAAAGTGTTGAGCCGCCGCAATGTTTCGGGCATGTCATTCATTCCGCTCTCGGTGCGCGTCAAGCGGTATGCCGAGTAGTTCTTGTTTTCTTGTACAAGGGTGTCGATAAGACTGAAGTCACCGATGGCGCACTGGCCTGACGTGAGGATATCTAGGGCGTCGGGCTGGCCAGCGTCAGATGACGATGACAGCAGCGCATCTTCCTCATCCGGGTCGATTCCAATGTCTGACAGCGTATCCATTCGGCGCAGGACACCTCGCTCTTCATCGTCGGCATTCTGTTCTCGGGCCGCATGCTCGCGAGCAGTGGCCTCGGCCGCCTCGTTCGACGCATCTGGTGTAGGCCGCTCGACATCGTCTGTGGTACTTGGAGTGCCTTCCCGCAGACAATTTCGCTAGCTTCTTCTTCAATTCGCGTCTCTTAACGTGCACGGAAACCATGATAAGCTGCAGGAACAGTATGCATAGGTCCAACGCCCCAAGCTTCCACTTGCTGGTGGGGCCTTGTTGCCCAATAAAGTCGATCATCAGGCCACCGTGTAGATAACCGCGTGTGTCTTCCCCGGCCGATGGCGCAGGATACAGCTGATGCAGGACGAAGTTGACGCAGAACGAGAACAGTATCAGGGGCAGGAAAGGCTTGGGCTCGTCGGGTGGGCGTTCGCCGACCGGGTCAGAAGTGGGCGTAAGCAAGGTGCCATGGATGAGAGCCTTGACGGCCAGCCAGAAGAATGAACAGCTGTGATGTATCGGTCAGTACGGTCCTAGGGTGTTGTGGGGTTATCGTACTCGAAATGATAGAGAGTGATGAGCTGCATGTAGACAACCAAGTCAAGCTCACGCAAGAGCTCATTAAGCATCCGTATGCGTTTCCGCTTTGCATCTAGCCGTCTCTCCTTGACGAGCTGGTCTTTCAGCCGCTGGACCTCCTCTTCGTCGATTTCCACCAAGTCATCCTCAGGGTCCACGAGCTCAGGTGAGTTGGGTCCATGGCGCTGCGCAGCTCCCGAGGACTCTGCCTCATCGTTCATGGCGGGGAGAAAGCAAGAACGTCCTTTTTGGCGCTCATCAAGACGACGTCGAGATTCGAATGGCGGTATGGAGTTGCTGGAGCTGCGAGCACTGGCGTGTTACGCGGTAGCGATGATGTCGCGCCGCTGCTAAGATCGGCGCTGGAACATCACAAATAGCCGATGCCGATGAGTGGTGAGATAATCGATGAAGCTCCGCATCTACACATCTTTGTCGGCCCATATCACCACCACCACGCTTGTAACGCTTGCGCAGAGCTCAGAGACGTCATTTTAAGCTACAGCACTACTGGTGGTATAGTAATTGTACCTTAAAGTCTATTGCTACGTATCTTCACCGCACGCGACACCTCCGCCACCTCCGCATTTCATCATGGCGGGCATGGGACCTCCCAACAGTGCGCCTCTCCCCTCCTCTTTTGACGAAAATGCGTGAGTTACTCCTCATTACAATAGCAGCACGTGCACAATCGTTACACTTCCTCCTCTCTAACAATCTGGCGTAGCGACTTCTACAATGAAAACACCATCGACAAGATATGGCGTCGGTTCCGCGAAGAACCCCTCATTCCATTCGGCTGCGGTCTGACTGCCTGGGCCATTGTTGGCGCAAGCCGGAGCATGCGCAAAGGCGACCACAAAATGACCAACCTATACTTCCGCCGCCGACTCTACGCGCAATCATTCACAATCGCCGTACTCGTCATAGGAAACCTGTACTGGCAAAAGGACCGCGTCAAGCGCAAGGATTACGAGAGGATGAAGGCGGAGACGGAACGCAAGGAAAAGAGAGACAGGTGGTTGAGGGAGTTGGAGATGAGAGACGAGGAGGACAAGGCGTGGAAAGAGAGGTTGGCGAAGAAGACCAGGGGTGCGGCAGATGAAGCAAAGGGGGTTACGGACATGGTGGCAGAGAAGACGAAGGAGTTGAAGGACCAGACGTTAGGGAAATGAGTAACGAATGATTCCAGGGAGAGAAAACAGATCAGGAAGAGAGGAATGTACAACACGATAGGCGCTTTTATGCGCCAGAGGATGTTAGATGTCTCCATGTTGACCCCATTCTTTGTATATCTTGGAAAGCGTTGTACGATTAGGCATTAAGAAGCAGGAGAAAGGTAGGCGAACGACTCGATTTGTATCAAGGTACTGTTCGCAAGCTTGTCTTTACGCAACATCACAAAAGCTCAGATTATGCGACTACGACAAAATAAATAAAGTCCTCTCAAATATTTCACGAACATATGTCCCCCTTGATACAAGCATGACCTGTGATTTCACAATTCGTCTTTGTTTGTTCGTCTAGGTTCCTTCGTCACGTCGTACCCACCCCATCCGTTGGCAACAGACATCCGTACTATAGCTTCTTACCAAATCGATGCAACGGTTGAAGACCAGCCATCATGGCTTTGGAGCGAGTGACACATTAATATGAGATCTCACATACTGGAAACGTATCAACGTTACATTGAGATACCAGATTGTGAGCAGACACTATTGGGTGCTGTTGCACACATTTCTTTCTGAGGCGGAAAAGAGTGAAGAGTTGATTAATTCCAAATGGGTTGGAGCCCGGGTATATCTACATAAGTGGAGTATTCACGCACACAAAGCTCTCTCTCTCATCTCTGCGACGCTAATTCTCCCACCTCACCTTCTCACTCTTCAACACTTCCACCAACCCCACAGGCAGCAAATCACGCTCCCCAAGCTGTACTCCCTGCCCACCGAATCGCTGCTTCAAGTCCCCAGCATACAGATTGAATATCCACAGCCAATAATGATTCGACCCCAGCGCGTGCGGCGCATCACTCCGTCTCAAAGCCTCATACATCTCATCGCTGGTCTCCACTCGCTCTTCAACTGGACACTCCAAGAGATTCATATAAGCCTCGAACAGCGGGTGGGAAGTCTCTTCGCGAAATGCGGTGTACTCTTCGAAACTCATGAAGGGTTCGTCGGTCTCGCGGTTGGGGCATGGCACGTCGCCCGCGTCCCAGCGTTGTTTCGCCGTGTCGTATGCTTCGCGTTCTTCTTCGAATGCTCGTTCGATTCGTGCGCTTGGATCGCGGGAAGAGTTTTGGTATGTTGCGAACGCGCTGATCGAGGGGTTGTTCAACCCAAGGCCGCCGAGCTCGACAGGAAAGTAAAAGAAGGCATCAGGTACCGCGTCAGTTGTCTGGAAGCGCTCTTTGAGTACGCTGCGGAGATATTCCGTGACGTTCGCGGTGCCGTACTTGCCGAAGAAGCTGCGTTGAATGTGACTGAACGTCTCGATGATCATGTCGTTGTGCTGCCGGCCGAAACAGTTCGCGGGTTGCGCGAAGTTTGTGTTGAAGAAGAGGCCGACGTAGCTATTCCAGGCTTGAATCCATGCCATTACGCTATGGCAGGCATCGAGTTGTCGCCTGAGTTCCGTTATGTGCTCGTCAACTTGGGCGCGGTCAATCACCCAGCGACCGGCGGAGGCGTCAAGTTCGAGAAAGCCCCAATGGAGATTGCCCTCTGGAAGATTTGGGTGTGGCACCCGGGCTCTGCTCTTGTCGGCAACGATAATCGACGACCCAGTCTTCTCTTCGTTGAGTTGGAGGCCCATGACTTCAGTGAATTCTTTGATAGCCTCCCAGGCCTGGACGCTCGTAGTTTCCTGACCCCAAAACCACAGATCATCATGGAATCGATGGATGTTTGCGCCTTTCGTGCGTCGATTCACTGCAAAATCCAGGCAAAAAAGCACAGCTTCGCCGAGCGCATCGCTGAGGATGTGGCTATTCGGGATACCGCACTTCCGTACCCGCGCTTTTGCACCTGCTCCATCCTGCGCAAAGACAACAGGTACTTCCAGAAATCTCTTAAAGAATCGAAGCCACTTTGCAGGAACACCGAAGAATTCCAACACTGCGAATATCGTATCGTGAGGCAGTGATGGGCCAAACCACTTGAAGTCTGACTGCAGCACAGAACATTCGCCGTAGACCTTTGTGTTGAGCAGTATCTCAGTCGTGAGTAGACGTAGCATAGTCTGTTTTGTGGCAATGTGCGAATTCTTCTCTTGGCCCTCTGCGGCATCATATTCCCTAGCGTCTTCGAAGGCATTCGACGGTAGCTGTGTCATGAAGTACTCCTGTTGATACTTCTGGCGTCTATAGTTGCGAACCGAATCACCCGACTTATTACTATTCTCGATGAAGTGTTCTCTCCGTTGGCGAATTTTCTTGGGCATCGATCGATATGGTGCCTGCAGCCATGCTCCCGAGTGATAGAAGTTCGTGAAGGCTTTCTTCAATGCCACTGCCCACGTTTTGCCGATGAAGTGCAGCAAAATTGCTTGATGGATCTCTTCATCCATGTAGACACGATACTTACCATTGGTTTGCCGGCGCATGTTCAGAGGAACCGGACCATCCCACTCCCAGTGATCAAGTCCGTCCACATCCATGTTCAGTACATCGACCAGCTCCTTCAACACCGCAGGCTGCTTCTCCAAATCAATAATCATCTCAAGTTTTCTTCCGGTGAACAAATCGGCTTTCTTCACACCACGAATACACGACTGGAGGAGTTCAATCGTGAAGCGGCTGCCATGCGGTGCGGAGTGACCGAATCGTTTGTTGGACGAAAAATCTTTCTCTGATGTGTCAAGGTCCGATTTGAAATCCATGACCTCCTTCATTGAGTCTCGCAAGACCCGGAGAGGAGACTTCTTAATCTTTTCAGTCTGCAGCGCATCCCCAAAGATATCGCTGAGATACTGTTCAATCGTGCTCTGATTCACCTCTTTCTCTACGAAGGCGTAATTTTCCCATGACTGGCGCTGTTCTTGCATCTTTTTCCGGCCTTTCGCAATAGAGCCATCACTTACATCGGCCGACTTCACGAGTGTTGAGTGCTTTATCCACTCTGTAACAAGCTTGCCGAACAAAGCTGCGTACTCGTACTTGTTGCTTTTCACATTCAGTTCATGCTCGAGCCTAGATTGCCAGTCTTTTAACAGAGATGCCGAGACGGAGGGATCGTGCTTCGCCTGGTGGACGAAGTGCTTGAGGTTGCTGATGGATAGGTCGGCTTGCTTTGGTGCTATACCATGTAGTTCGAAACCATCGAGGAGTGCTTCGACCTTACTTCGATGGTCGGGAACACTAGAGACTTGCTCCAGGATAGATTTCTTGTCGGACTCGAACTGTTGACGTTGACTGTCGAGTTTGTTCAGCTTCTGTAACGTGACATGTTGAAGGGTCGAGAGTGAGGAAGCCGCCATTCTATAGTTGATGCAATTTTGAAAAGGGTGAAAAGCCAAAGATCTTGGTCGGAAGATGCGAAATTGTCTGAACATGATCTTCCAGGGCAAGCGCCAGTTTATAACCAGGCCTCTAACGGAGAGAAGGCAGAAGTCCTCAAAAAAAGAACTTGCTGTATCGGTACAGAACAATCTTTGCACCAATCAGCTTCCATTCCCTCACGCCCTTTCCACTTTAATGCGCAAGCCCAAACACGCTGATGAGATTAACGAAAGTTCTGCGACTTGATGAAGGGCGGTAAAGCAGGTACATGGGCGGCGCAGCTGCGACCTTTCCTGTTCGAGTTACCTCAATGGGCGCTACATCCAATAGGCATCACACAAACTCTTCTCTATCAACATGGGTTCTTTGCGACCTCGCGTGGAGGTCAACAAATGTTTTCAATGAGCTCTCGTTAGCATGGCAGCCCGGTTCACCAAAAAGGCACTGTACGCCCGTGGCCAGACACCTTGATACGAGAGACACTCGGAAGTGTTGCGCTTTGAGCCCAACCGTACCTAGATACTTCGTGCCGCAGTTGGCTTCCCAACGTTTTGTGCTTTGAGCTGATAGCACAAATCACGCATTGCAAGGCAGCCTTTACTACGCATGAAATGCAGTGATGCAGAGCAATACGCTAAGCCCAGGCTCCATAGCACTAGACCACTTGCTCTTCCGAATTCGTCGAAAGTGTAAAGGACCAGGCGACATATGTTTTGGGACTTCATGTCTGTTCTGCATTAATTGCGAATTGTAGACTTCTGTCGTTGCCGGATGCCATAGCTATGCCAGTGTCGAAAGAGGTAAAATCAATTGCGTGTGTGCAGGTTTAATCAGGGCCTTTCAAGGTTAGAGGGGACTTCATCATATACAATAGTATTGCAGGTGTGTCTGAGGAGAGAGCTACAAAGTGTTGGGTATCAATGATGGCTTGGCGATTGATGTTGTGCTCGTTCAATCGTGTGTGGTAGTCGAGACTTGACACGTGAAAATTGTTTCAATGTATGGGAGGATGTTACTTTCATCAGCTACAAATTTGCTTAGTGTCCCGTTGAAGATCACTGTGTCGTAGCATTGACATTTGTGCTGTAGTTCATTGACCGCCATCACATCGTGCTGTGAAGCATGACCGTGACCTAATGTGATTCAGTGACTGAGATCATCCCAGGCACAGGGGATCGAGTCTTTTCGCAGGTCTTCACCTCTAAAGTTCAGTCTCTGACTGAGGTCACGAAATTCTGATGAATGTCTATCCTTCACGCGAGCGCACCATTTGCCCTGCAGCATATCTATTACACTGGCGAAGCCTCTCGACTTAGACTCTCAGACAATCGGAAGCAGCACTACCCTACGACGGAGATATCACCAAAATTATCTCACAATAGCGCCCCTTCCTTACAACGTACAACCTCTTGTCGCCTGGAGCGAACCAAACATCAACTCGTACCCCACGATCGATCCGTCGAACATAGCGACAACAACGCGTCTACACACACTCACCGAACACTTCGCCGACAATGGAAGAGAACTGGGGCGATATGGACTTGACGCTAGATCCAGACTTTGACATCGACGATATGGACATATATCCCGAAGACTTCAACTTCTATCACGATACCGAGGGCATGAATCCCGAACACTTCAACCCCAGCTACGCGACTACTAACGACATGTGTAATACTGTGGATCCTGAGGATACTATACAAGTCCGTGCTGTCAGCCAGGGCTTAAATAACCCAAATCCTCCGTATCAACAGTACGATCTGCTGCCCTCCCATAGGATCCAAAGACTTGAAAGTCCAGGAGAAGGATCCTCTGCACACGCCGGTGCAAGGCGTACTACTCGTACCAATACGACTAAAAACCCGGTTATAATGCGCTATCAATTCCGAGATATCGAAAGCCTTGAGAAGGATCTAGAACAGGCCAAGGCGAGTGGGAAAACAGGAGATGAGCTGCGTCCATATGAGGAAAGAATTGTGAAGACGAAAACGTATCAAAAAAAGGCTGGTAATGAACAAATGAAACACTATCGGGAACAAGCAATGAAAAACGTAATCAATGAACCGAATTCACCGGAAGAAACATGTTCAGATCCAGAGGAACAGAAGAGAGCTTTAAATAGGAGGTCACAGAGGAGAGCCAGAGCCAGGAAGGTTCAAAATTATGACGATGATTTCTTTTAAAAACAAAATGGAGGTTGCAAAAAGTATAAAGACTGTCTGAAAATGGTATGCGAAGACATGAATTTGTCAATGGCAGAGGTCCAGGCCTTGCCCAAGGAAGAGAAACGGGCTGCTTTGGCGAAGGTTCGAGCTCAAGGTCTTGCCCCAACCACTGGGGTCGCGCAGCGTCTGGGCCCCAGCCAAAGGCCCCAGCCAAAGACCACATCATATTCGAGCCGCTGGGAAAAGTATCAGACCAAACCCGGAAGTAACTAGAGTTCCTAGCAGTTCACCAAATCTCGATTTGACCTTAGTGGAGCTGTACAATCGGAATCAGGTGAGGCCGCAAGGAGCCGGAGAAATGGAATCAAGTCGAGCTGGGAAAGGCAAGGTCATGCCTAGCATAAGAACAACGCCCAATCAAAATGCTACACAATGTATAGATCCAAGGCTTCTTCAAGTCAATGAAAGGAATCGTGCAAGGCCTCGGGGTCGTATGAATTTGCAGCGCGGTCAGGCTTCAATCGATAAGGGGAAAGGAACCACCAGGCCTCTGCAAGATTTCGCTACATCACCCGCTCACGCCACACCACCTGAAAGCTTTGCTAGCTCATCACCACATGTTCGTGATACTGACTTAGGAGGTGCTAGCGCCCAAGCGATTAGAGACAGAAGCCGGTAATGTATATTGCGTGCTGACAGCTACGATAATCTGCAGGATTTTGGTCTTTACAATGCTCCTTCTCCAGTTCGTCCCGCCGGAAACCTTCATGAAAGCTCAAGTCCTCCTAGTAGCAGGTCAAGAGGCCCCACACCCCGGTCGAGAGAGCCAACACCTAGGTCGAAAGAGCCAACACCTAGGTCGAAAGAGCCAACACCCATATCGAGAGAGGCGACTCCAAGGTCGCAGAGCAGTGGAGCGGACAGTGGCTGGAACGGCTTTAGCTCAAGTCCCTCTCCCTTTTCTGACCCGAGCCCAACAAATCAACCAAAGGACAAGGGAGAAAGAAGGGCGCAGCAAAACCCCACTGGTAAAGGAAAAAAAGTGATTGCCCCACGCTCTTCACGCTGGGGTTCCACGACTTCGAGAGCAGCCGTGAAACCCGGTCTCAAAGCGACTAGGCCAGTCCGATCATATGGTGCTCGTCGCCAGGACAAAGTGACGAAGAGTACTGCTCCAAGGGTCGGAAGAAAATCCCAGAAACAGTTAGGCCGGCCACTCGAAAAAGGTTCGAAAGATAGGATCAAAGCTGAAAAGGCCGCAGTAAAGGCCGCATGGAAGGAGCAAGAAGCACTCAAGGCGGAATTGGGAAAGGCACAACAGAGAACCAAAGATGCAGAAAAGGAGAAGAAGCGGGAGAAGGAGAGATACAGAAAGGAACAGAAGAAAAAAGAAGTTGCTCAGAAAAAGAGGGAATCTAAAGGATTAAAGATGATCAAGGATGCTCGAGAGAGGAGAGCAAAAGTAGCAACGAAGGCATCGAGCCCAAGAAAGCTGCACATACGACAGGTCATTCTGGCGCCCCAAAGCGCGGATGCACTATCATGTAGATGTCCAGTTATCCTGCCAGATTAGTATCAACCTCGGAATGTCCTATTCAACAATTTCATAATGCTTTTCGTATCATGCTTACTAGGTTTTCTGTGTCTATGATGTTCCTGCAGACACAATAATTTGGAAAGAGCATCCAAATTCTGAGCTGTCTGCATCACAGAAGCTGAATTATCACATGTACGCATGTCATTATGGCATGGAAGCTAGGATGGAGAAAGCCGGATTTTATCCAGTCTTGATCGAGGTGCGCATTTACTGACTGTAGTGTAGCAACAACAACGAGGCTTGTACAACATGTGTTCATGCTCAAGAGACACAACCATATGTGTCAGGTCAATACCAGAGGCCTTCAAAGAGTTATCATCGAAGAGCTCGCGCACTTCAAAACGTAAGATGGCGCTCGTACGCTAATAAAATGACTTCATACCCAGATTTTGCTACATTCTACACAGTGGTCATGGATAAATGATATCCGAATGGCGGTAATGTGACAAGCTGCATCTGACTCGGAACAGACCACTACATTCACTGCAAAGATCATCTTGGCGAGGAGCATCGTTGGAAAATCATCTTGACCCTGCCCTTCTCACATTCTTCTTCTATGTTTTGGCCAAGAGGAAGCTGTATGCTGACTCGTCTAGGCAGCGAATGGTTGTAGCCTGCCCAAAAAGCCACTTTGCACTGCCTCCAGCCCCGCTCTCTTTACGAGCCGCACCGAGAGAACTCGTCCGCGACCATGAAACCCACCTGTCGCTCTTTTATATATGCGCTTTGTCCTTTCATCTGTCTCTTATAAGTGCGTTGACTAGGTCCATCGAAACTACGCAGATCATGCGCCTCCTATGGCGCGACGATGACGGTACCCTCCGCCTGGCGGAGTTCCTCGGCAAGGAAGTCCCTCCTTACGCCATCCTGTCTCATACCTGGGGCAACGATGATGAAGAGGTCACTTATAAAGATATTGTGAAAGGCAGAGCCAGAGGCAAAAAGAGCTATATCAAGATCTAGTTCTGCATGGATCAGGCTACTAGGGACAAAATCAAATACTCCTGGATCGACACCTGCTGCATTGATAAGACTAGCAGTGCCGAGCTCACGGAAGCTATCAATTCGATGTTTCGCTGGTACCGGAATGCGGCTTTGTGCTACGTGTATCTCTCGGATGTTTCAATCTCTACGAATGATGAGTCTTTTCGTGGTGACTTACTTTCCCCGACGCTTTGGACTCTGACTTGCCAGCACAGCAAATGGTTTACCCGCGGTTGGACGTTGCAAGAGTTGATTGCCCCAGCTTCTCTGCGTTTTTACAGCACTGAAGGCAAGCAGCTTGGTGAGAAGCATGCATTGGCACAGGAGCTTAACAAGATCACTGGTATCAGCGTTGATGTCTTGCAAGGTGGTCCAATGTCGCACCTCACTTTTGATGAACGCATGTCGTGGGCAGCTGAACGCAAGACTAAACGCGAAGAAGACTTGGCGTACTCGCTGCTAGGGATCTTCGACACTCATATGCCTCTCATATATGGCGAAGGACAAGAGAACGCATTCAGTCGGCTTCGAAGAGCAATTCGCGAGTCCATCGACGATGATCCGCCAGTATCGATTCCTGTCGTTCCATCTAAACAGCGAAAACGCATTGTCGATGTTAAGATTTTACGCCCGAAAATATCATCATCACATAGGGCACGCTCGATCGCAGTCTCCAGAATAGAGCATATCTACGCCGAGCTCCTCAGTGGCGTATATGATGCATTACCTCAGATCATGTTCATCTTGATGCTTGTACTCCAGGTTCCAAGGGCACTATCGCAAATGCTCCCAGACAACATAGTCCTGCGCGACTTCTTGGGAAGAAAGCATAGTTTGCAGACGGAGTACTTCCAGAATTGGCCCGTCTTGATCGAAATGCTAGCGTCCAGGTTCAAAGATTGCCCAGGCCACGTACACATATCACGAGGCTCTTTCACCATCATGGATGTCGACAATTTTGGACGGCGAATTGGCGCATCCAATTGGCAGGCAGTTGTTTCAAAGCGCAAAAGGTTCATCATGCTCGTCAATATCAGCGAAACGAAGCTTGTGAACAATGCCTGTACGAGATGCGGCGAGCGCATCCGGAAACAGGGTGCATTTACGGGAATCTGCCGATCCTGCAACCTTTTTTATAGAAGCTTGACTGGACCATCCAGTCGTCTTACATCGCAGCATCTTCAGACACTCAAGTCTGCTCATTATGTCTCTGGGAATCTTCCAGTCCCTAAAGATCCAGAAAAGCTGATGCATAACGGAAAATGTGTCTCGCTGGTGCAAGAGCACGCCAGGTTGACGGGTGAATTTCTGGACCTTGCCATTGATGCGGGGATTATCAAAGGACTTCCTAAAACAACGATGCCAGTTGAATTTTCGCGGGACATGCCACATGCACCAGAGAGCTCCCAGATAAGAGACGAAGCAGACCAGGTGGAAGGAGATATCGAAATGAAAGCAGGAGCTAACGACATTGATGAAGTAAGCGAAGACGAGGAATCGCCAGACGATCACTCTGGCTTGATCGATCGTTCGAGTTTAGACAGGGAGCAAGAGCAGCGAGAACTTCAGCACTTTTCTTCCATCTGCGTGGAACAAGATTCTAGTCTTCACGATGCGGCGTATAGTTCTAACATCACAGAGATGCTTCGTCTGCTGTGTACCGGTCATCAAGTTGACGAGAACTGGGGTTTGTGGGGAACTCCCATGATTGCGGCCGTACTGTCTGGCTCAACCGAGGCGATCCAAACATTGCTGAACGCTGGAGCCGATCCACTTCTTTCGGCAGGCCCCTTAGGATACCCCCTCAACGCGGCTGCTTATGTTGATCACGCCTCATGTTTCCAGGTCATTCTCGATGCGACCATACAGAGACGCTCTGCCTCCAGGAAAAGGGCCCAAAGCTTCCAGGATGCCGTTGACCAATCACTATTCACATTCATGGATGGCGAGCACCATGGCCCAGAAATTCTGCTTCTCTATGCCGGTGCGAATCCTTTCAAACAGTTTTCGGGCGGCAGATCTGCGTTTGCCGTTGCACTAGGCAAGAAAAATGATTTGCTCACGACCTGTTTCCTCGCAGAGGCTTGGGGCAGACAGTTGCTTTCGCCTCATGAAGTCCTTTGTCTGTGGGCTACTGTAGCAGGCAATGATGTAGACGCCAAGTTGGTGCGTGACCCATGGCTTGCGTCATGTTGTAGGAACATCATGATTAACAGAAGCCAAATGCTGGAGAATCGTATTTCAGCCCGCTTAAGCTCCCACACGAAACCTTTCTTCCAAGTCCACCAGGACTGGCGCGCGTTGAAAAGTCGTGGAAGAAGCGTCGGGGCCGAATATCTTGACGGATTTGCCAAAGTTTCACGTAGTGCGCATGCACAGTCCTATTTCGTGCCGCCAGTTTTCCGCATCGTTGTGAACTAGGCTGTACTCTGGAAAGGGAAGAAAAAACTTGCCGAAATCCAGTCTTCGCAGACGATCCTCGATATGTAATGTGCTGATATGGCAGTGTGTCGCATTGCTCATCTACGCGAACGTTTAACCGTGGTAACACTTGACGGCGGGCTTTGACACAAACCTCAGGTGTAGACGAGATGCGCCACAATGTTCTAGATGCACCTAGTGTATTGTAGATTATTGCGGCGTTGAAGTCCCGAGAGCTTGCATTGAGAGGCCCATGCAAACCACGAGAAGCGAAAACAGAGACTTCAAACACGAGGTCTAGATTGAACCTGCGTTCGCTGTGGCCAGGATCCGCGAATACATGCCGTGCGGAGGCATCGTGTCGGCATCCACAGATTGCGGAGAGTCCTTGCTTAGGGTTGGAGGTCTCGCGAAACAGGTCATTGGGTCGAGTCGCACGACAGCTTCTGAAACACAGAGATACCGCGCAGTTGTTGATGTCTGCGATCTCGAAGGAAGAGGATAAATATCGCGACCAATTTGAACAGGGACGCGCTCCGATGTATATCCTTGCCGTTGTTCTTAGCGAAAAGACATCGAGTATTCCGTAGGCGAATAAAGAATTGCAATGAATCATCACGCCTCGACAGGCCATATGCACGGCATTGCTTTGCTATTAATTCGACCGCATCGTTACCCCAGTTCTACCGTTTAACCGGGAAGCCATCTGGCCAGGTCATCGCTGCAAACACCAGGTAAGCAAGCACGTTCCGGAACAAAGTCAAGCATGGCATAGATTGATTGCACCTGCCACGAGGGGCGGGGAACCGGATCTTGGTTGCGTCCAATCTGCACAATTAGATGAATGCGAGGGACGCTACTTGGGAAAATGTACGTCTCGGGATGCACAGGCAGGGGTTGATTTTAGATTGATGGGCCGTGGAATTTAGTGGTTAAGAATGGGCGGGTCGCGCGGCGTGCTTTCTTTCTGTGTAGAGGAATTGAAGCGTCCGTCGTCACTCACCGCCGCTAGAATAAACACCGTCTTCGCCTGCTGAAGCTAGAGACCTACCACAACCACCAATTGCCAGCGAAATGAAGTTCTCAGCTGTCTTTGCTCTCGTTTCGGCGGCCGTCGTACTCGCGTCGCCTGCGGCTGTACGTGCCCCTCTGTTGCATGGAGATCAGCAGCGCTAACTGCGTCCTGTAGGTCAGCCTCAACCGATCGACCAAGGAGGTGCGGGCCAGCGACAACACTGTCTCATTGCTCTCATGTGTCGAATGTCCCTGTGAGGGTTTTGATGGAAGCTGTCGATGCGTGAGTTGTCTTGAAGCCTGAGCGTCGAATCAACCTGACTAGTTTAGATTCCGAACGGATGCTGCTGCACTTAAGCCGGTGACGCGCCGCTCGAAACAACACCACAGCTCGCATATCTGGGGTTCTACTTTCTCTGTATACTTTAAATCAAAATACGGTTGCTGTACATTCTGATACAAAAAGAGTGGAGTTGTTCAGGACAACGTCAGTGGTCGTCGATTAAGCATGAACGAGTACATGCATCGACCAAATAGGTCTCCATAACAAGATAATACACTTTTCGAAATCCGTTAATCTGTTACTGCGCGCTCTTCTCAGCCTCTTCTCTCTGCTCATCAGGTCTGATCCATCTCCTGAACCCGATGGTCATGATACCGCCAATAGCGACCTGGAACGCCTGAAAGATAATGGCAGGAATCTGCAACTTCGATTGTTCGATTGGACTGGTGTTGATGTACATGACCGAGCTCAAGGGAACCACCATCGCCAATGCCTTTGCAGGACAACAGTAACAGCATGCGATCACATCTTTCTTCGGGAGCCACATGATGGAAGCCGAGAAGCATATGGCCAACCATATCATGTACAACGCCATAGTGATGAACACGATGAATGCTATGTTCGATGGCTTGACTGTCTTGAACGCACCACTTTGAAAGGCCTGGTCGAAGGTCTGCCACACAAGCGTGAGCAGAGCAATGGACGATAACTTGATGATGTTGTAGTCGAAGAAGACCTTTTTGGTTTGCTTTGGGAAGAGCTTTTGCACCACTTGGCCAACGAACATGGGCAAGAAGAGCGATAGGCCTAGCTGCATGAAAACGCGCTTGTATATCTCCGCATAGCCATCGCCATGGATTAACACCTTGCTATACCATGCTCCAGATGACAGATACATCTGGAGGATGATTGGCGTAAGGAAAGGACAGAGGAATTGCCCAATGACAGACTGCACGACTGTAAGAGCAGTGTTGCCGTGAGCTTGCCTCGTCATTACAACATTCGAATTCATTGTCGTCGGCGCGCTCCCAACGAATAGAAACCCAATGAGTAGCCACGGATCCATAAAGTTCGGATTTGTTGCGCAGAGACTGACGATAGCGAAGGTCGCAGCTGAGCAAACGAGGTAGCATTGGAGTTGCACAAAAGCGTGCAGCTTCCAACGCATGGAGTTTTCCAGCAGGATGGACGTCTCCAGAGTACAGCCGTTGATGAAGAAGATGACGGAGACGGAGAGGTATGTGACGACGGTTCTCTTAGTGTGTTGTCGTGATGCTGGGACTTGGACTTGTGATGCGAGCAGAATGACGGCTGCCATGGCGAGGAGAAACCATTGGTCTGTGACGAACCACTTGAGATATGAGAGTGCTTTTGTACGTTTTGAAGATAATTCTAATGTTGATTGACGTCTTGTAGGGGTTTTCGTTTGGGACGCTGGGGTGTCTGGCTGCGACTCTCTCGATGCCTTCGTGGGCTCCATGGTGTATCCTGCTTCGTCGCTTTGCATGGTCTTGCTCTTTGCATTGTTCGCCATCAATTTCATCTTGTTGGTCTTTTCGCTGCTGTTTTTAGTCGACAAATGTGACTCAGTCGCCATTGCTCGTTGCACTTCTGACTGCTCTCGTCAATTATATAGCGGGAACATATCCTGCGAAGTCCTCGTGACTCAATCCGTAAGGCGTTCCAGCGGAAAAAGAATGTGCGTAATGATTAAGAGATGGACCTATCACAAAATCTTCGTTTTGCGGATTTGACCTCGGGAATACGGGAAGACAAGGGCATGACGCAGAGAGCGGGTGATGCCGGCTTGGATAAGCTACCAGGACGGAATCTATCTCGTAACTCCCGTTCACATATTCAGGTAAGAACTTGCAATCGATGTTCGCGACTTTGGTGTTTTTAGGTGATGCTCGCCGTGAAGAGTGCTGCGGGGTGCTGTCGCGACTTCCAGGTTCCCATGGTTGCGGGGAAACCCGCTCAACACCACGACCATGAGCCGCATTAAAAATTCCCCAGCCTCCATCCACACGGCAGGTTCATCATTTGACTCGTGCTGACCACCCTACTGCCTTTCCTTTTCCGGTACTATGAGTGTTCCGTCTTCTACCGAAGCGAACAGAAAGCGGATATGGGCCTGCGTGTACCGGGAACTCGTTCGACACGCCATCCCCGATTCACGTTTCGATTTTGACTTCCTGTCATTCGCACTGGACTTTCGAGGCTCGGCTGCCGCTGTTGATCGTGTTCGGGAACAAAATTGCTATAAAGATGCACGAACCGTACTCATCACGTGCGACAATAGTCTCGAGGGTCTGCGGCACCAAGCTCTTCAGGATGGCAAAAAAGTACTCGTTGGAACGTATAGATTACGTCGAGGCTTTGTTTTGCTTGATCCGTCAAGGATAGATGGCGCGGATCTCAGGCTCGCAGCATGCTTGGATGGGATGGAGAAGCCCGGTCTTGGAAGAGCGGTGTCCCTCATGCAATTGCGCGACGAGGGTCTGCACATTGACATGTGCGTTATGGGTGGGTTGGTTTTCAATCAGGATGGCGTTGTACTGCATGAAGGCCAGGCCTTGTTCGAAGTACAATGGGCTCTGCTACAGGACATCAAGATCTTGGCAAACACGACGCCAGTCATCGCAGTTGTGCATGCATGTCAGGTGGTGGATGAAGTCTCCATGGGGATGGAGAAAACCAGCCCGAATAAGCCTGGGGAGGTCCAATGCGATCTGATCATAACACCAGATAGGACGTTTGAGATCGAAGCGGCAGTGAAATCAGCATCTGGCATCGACTTCGACAATGTAGATGCTGAGGCACTGAACAACATCCAGCCATTACAAGAGTTGAGGGGCATACGCAGTATGGAGCAGATCATGGCAAAGGGAGGGTTCCGTCAAGAAAATAGGAAAGACGAAGAAAAGCCAAAGGCACCTACGGCCGAAGAACAGATGGGTATTGATATCATCGAAAAGCTGATGAAAGGCTACAAAGCCTAACTTGCAAGCTTGATATTATTGTAGTCGACTAGTAATTACCGATAAAGGACGCCCGTTGGGAATCATGAGCTCATATGAAAGAAAACGCCAACGCAATGCCAAAAGAATCGAACCGAGAGCAACGCCCATCACGCACTCCCACTTCCCGTCCCACAAGTCAATCCGGTGACAGTCACGACACCACCCTTGGAGTCCAGCATGACCATTCCATCTCCCTTCCTCGCTTCGATTCCTTTGCTCGAATATCCGATGTTTACCCTGCAAAAGACTTCGCCTTCTACCTCGGCGTCCACGACTTCGAAGCCCTGTAGCAGCAAAGGATTTTGCGCAAGTGATGACAGAGCTATGCCAATGGGCAGTGTGATGATATGTCCATTGACTGAGGGACTTTGGTTGGATGATGTATAGTGTGTGTTGTCCGGACCGATGGTGCGGATGCGGACAGTAGGGAGGTGCGCATATGCCGGAGTTGGAGAGCAGAGGCTGAGACCGAGAAGAGTGGAGATGGTGAATTGAAGTTTCATGGCGATTATGATGTTTGGTCTTGGTAATGCTCCAAATGTCAACTACTGATGTTGTCCAAGTCGAATTTTCTCAGTGCTTTGGTGATGCTGTGCAATGGTCCGCTGCTTCGGCGATTGCATTGATATACCTCTGTCCAAATCGTGGCACAGCACGTGGGCGCGTGGAAATTGTCCATGAAACGTCCGCGCCACATGTTTGCATGAACGACAGCGGTACCGCTCGGTACATGCCGGGGCCGGTTTGTGCTGATAGGACCCTCAACAGCTACGCGCCATGATGCTTGTCGATGATGTCTCGAAACGAAACAATACCTGGGTACCTCATCACGTGCGGCCCATGTGGCCGTTGCGACTGCGCAACACGTGACTGAACGGCGTGGTGAAAGTCCAGTCCAACGTGGGCGGGCCGCATCGCGCTAGGCGGGTCTCCGGCATTTCGGCGCACCACAGCCGCCTAAACTTGGAAGCGTCTCTCCCAAGCACGATAGCGGCGGCATCATCATATCAGTCACCTCAAATGCCTCCCGTACGGCAACGGCCACGGTAGCACCACCACCATGATGGTTAGGCTCACGCCGCTGCGCATATTGTGCGCCGCGCTGGTGCTTGCCGTCTTCTTCTTCACCTCGTTCCTGCCCGCCTTATTGCACGCCCTCTTTCGCGGCAAGCGTGGCTACGACCTGCTTGTCGAGCGCCCGCCTCCCGTGCTGTCTGCGCCTGCGCCCAAGGTGCACTTTGGCCATGAGTGCTCGCCCTTCAGCGCCGGCGTCATGAACGATGTGACGATCGTCCTCAAGATTGGCGCTGGCCAGGCGAAGACGCAGCTGCCCGTCTATCTCAACCGGCTGGGCCGCTGCAAACAGGATCTGCTCATCTTCTCGGACCGCAAGGACCACTACAACGGCTTCGACATCGCCGACGCCCTTGCCCACCTGCGCCCGGAGTATAAGTTCAACAACCCCGACTTCGACATCTACGACCGCATACAGAACGACAACGTGACCGAGGAGACGTCGGACGAGGGCTGGCGGCTCGACAAGTACAAATTCCTGCCCATGATGGAGTGGACCTCATACATGCGCCCCGAGTCGCAGTGGTTTGTCTTCATCGAATTCGACACGTACATCAATTACGACAATCTCTATCGCTTCTTGACCCACTTCAGCCCGCGCTCGGCGCATTACTTTGGATCGCCCGTCCTTGCCAAGAAGAGAGCCTCATATGCGCATGGTGGCAGTGGCTACGTCCTCTCGCGCGGCGCGCTCGAGAAGATTATGGCGTTTGGCCGCATGTTTGGCGAGAACAAGCATTTCCCCGGCACTCATTTCTTTGGGCAGGACGTCAAGAGCTATCACTCTGGTGACGACGTGCTGGCACAGGTGCTCAAAAAGAGCGGCGTCCCGCTTCGCGGCTACTGGCCCATGTTCAATGGCGAGCCACCTATGGGCATACGTTACGGCCAGGAGCAATGGTGCGAAGCCATCATCTCGCTGCATCATCTCCAAGACGACGACTTTACTAGTCTCCGGAAATGGGAGGAGAGTAGGAAGCATCCCGAACGACCGCTCACGTTTGAGGAGCTCTTCGACATGGTAGAGCCTTACATGGAGGACAAAGTCGTCGACTGGTCCAACATGTCTCACGACGTCATCTACAAAAAGGGCAGCACACACGCGAAGTCCTTTGACAAATGCCACCGGGCGTGCGTGCAAGACGGCAGATGCATGCAATTCGAACACAACGGCGAAGAATGCCGGCTCCAACATTCCATCCGCCTGGGCCGCGCTCAAGAACCCGACGGTGATAAGAAATGGACATCAGGCTGGATGACAGCACGCATAGCAGCTTTCAAGAAAGCTAATTCACCGTGCCAGGGCGCACACTTTGTCCATTCGCATCCTTGAGGAAACGCAACGCAGACGACGGAATGAAATCTATTCAGTACGATTTATAGTACGATTTACGGCATTGTACGGCGTTTGATACCCATCGTTGGCGTCTTTCATACGAAGGCCGCTTCACATATGTTTGGGCGGTGTGCTACGCTTTGTTTGCTCTGGCGTTCTGGGCACAGTCTCTTGGTTGAGAGGCTCATGTACGATAGCTTGCTTGAGAGGACTGTTGTAATCATTGCTATCCTCATGGTACGATCATATCATTGTAGGTCTATGTTACTTATAGACATCGCGTTTCATACCATCAGCTGATTTGTGAGGCTTAACATGCCTACACGACGAGTTCATTCAATATACCAGTAATAACACAAATCAATAGACCCACAGCTCATCTCACGCTGGCTGCGCCATCATAGGGGGGATCTGCTTCAGCTCGACAAACTTCTCAAACGCATCAACAAGCGACTCATACGAGTCAATGTGCCCATTCCACCCCATCCTCCTCGCCTTATTAACGCTCAACGTAGCCTACCACGTCCGTTGAGAAACCCCAATCCTGGAACCCCCACGTTCCTTTGTCCCACGTCCCCTTGGCCTCACCATGACCCTTTCCGGAGGTAATCACACCGATCTTACAACACCTGCGGGTACCTGACATCACTATAGGGGACTAAGATGTGGTTGCTGCATGTTGGCAACCTTGTTGCAGATGAAGCTTTTTTTATGACAGGAGTAAGCAGTCTTTGTCATATTGTGAAGTGGATAAGTTCATGCTGACCCATAGGCTAACGCTGTTACTGCGAGTAACTCAAATCCGGACAGCTCACGAAGAACTATGGTCATGGTCTCAGCTTTGATCGAACACCCAACAGAAGGACTTGTTTTATTCGAGACTGGGGCGGGCAAAATTTGTCCAGCTGTGTGGGGTCCTCAACTCAACGATATCTTCGCTCGAGAAGATTATGTCGAAGATCAAGAGTTAGACGCCGCTACTAGCAAGACAGGCAACAAGATCAAAGATATCAAAGCCGTCATCATGCAGGAGGGTTGGAGTATTTTGTGGTACTAATGTACCCATCTATACGCATGAGCGCGAGCTCAAAAAATGCGTTCTACAACGTCGCAACCAAAACCGACACTGGTGAGTTCATCTCACTACTATCACACTTTCTTACTGATCGGATCTCTAGGTGTTTACATGCCAACTTACCTCCAGTTTGATCTGAACTGGAAGCCATTTCACGATGAAGGCTTTGAATTGGCCAAAGGTCTCATCATTCGGTATTGCCCAGGCCATACCCCAGGACTTTCTATTCTGCAAGTGAACATGAAAGACAGTGGCGCATGGATCTTCACGACAGACCAGTATATTGTCAAAGAGAATTACGACTCTCTCGCTAACCAGAGGTGGTTTACTAGAGACCACGCTGCTTGGTCCCGGTCCAATCAAATGATACATTCGCTCCAGAAGTTGACGAATGCAAAGCTGATTCTCGGGCGCGATCGAGAGGTATTACTCCAGTACAAGCTAGCACCAGAGTTTTATACACAGTCTCCAATACATTTGTATCTAACGCAACTACCCCCACTTCTTATCGCATGACTGTACGTGTCTCTAGCTGCATTGTTGAGCCAGTCTCAGTTTTCCTCGAGATACTAATGTGCATTTACAGATCGGCAGATCTCCTGATAAGCATTAGCATGATCCAAGGCGGGCAAGTCACGCGCCGTAATCCAAGCTACTCGCGGAGAGGCGGAAGACATGCCACTCTATCCGGCGAACCACTTTTACCGCCTACCACCGAAATTCGACACCGGTGCCACCAAACACGGTACATGCTCGCGGTGTGGAACCTTGATCTTTGTGCGGCAAGTGCCCGAAGCGTCAGACGCAATCAAGGAGCTGGCCAAGGATCAGCGCCAGTGAGCACGGCATCAATCCGGACCTACTACGATGGCGAATATCTGGAGACTGAAAACGATAGACCAGGTCGAACTCACATGCGCACTACACTGAATCTTTGTCGAACTTCAGAACCATCCAACAGGCCTATTGCTCCAGATGACCCACGCATCGCCCTGACATCCACTGCTTTCGTGATCTATAATCACACAAATCTCAGCGCTGCACGTCAATTCTTACTGGATTTTGGTCTCGAACCTGCTCGCGAAAGTCAAGATGGAAAGGTGCTGTTTTTCAAGGGCTACGGCACCGAGCCCTTCATATACATCGCTCGACAGTCTTCCTCTAACACTTTTGGCGGAGCGTCTTACGAAGTTTCGAGTCGCAATGAACTTGAGCGCGCTACCAAAACCATCCCTGGATGCTCTGCAATCGAGCAGTTGGCAGCCCCAGGTGGTGGCGAGTACGTGAAGTTGATAGATCCCGCTGGACACATTGTCCTTCTCGTACATGGACAGACTAAATCCAAGTCATCACCACCTTCAGTAACCCTGAAGGTAACACCTACAAACCTCGAATTCGACGATCAAAAACCGCGCAAAGGTACATTCCAGCGCTTCGACCCAGGTCCGGCCCCTGTACATCGCTGGGGCCATTACGGCGTTACATACCCTCAAGGCGCATACCAGGAGATGTACGATTGGTACACGGGCTACCTCGCTCTTGCACCAAGCGATGTAGTGTACAAAGACGGGAAAGCAATCATTTGCTTCTTCCATATCGATAAAGGGGAAGAGTGGAGCGATCATCACGCCTTCTTTTTCAAGGGTGTGAAGGACGGACAAGAAGTCGGCGTAGCGCATGCAGCGTTTGAGACCCATGACTTCGACATTCAGCAGCTTGGGCATGACTGGTTAACTGAAAAGGGATATGAGAACTGTTGGGGTGTTGGGAGGGTAGGTGCTCCCTTCCCCTCGCTAGTTGAAGCATTTGGGCTGACAAGTCGATCAGCATGTGCTTGGTAGCCAGATTTTCGATTATTGGTTCGATCCTAGCAAGTTCATAATGGTACGTATCATCTTCTATAATTTCCTGTTTCCAGATGCTCACCATGATTAGGAACATTATAGCGATGGAGATTTGGTCAACTCGCAGACGAAGGTCTCGCACGTGCAAGCAGGGCCGCAGGCACTGAAGATTTGGGGCCCGCCGGTTCCATCTGTCTTTTGATCATCGCCTTTGAGTTTCAGATAATGATCCTGGACGACAAGGGAAATCCTGTTCAGAAATTCGCCCTCAATTTGCTTGAATGTCAAACCAACCACTGAAGCATGGTCGCATGAAGATGAACTTGTGCCTACGTTGCCAGCCACTTTACCCCACCATGTTGATGTTATCATGTTTTTCTTGTCAGCGCGAACAATTCCCAACTTTTGCACAATACTTAGACTGTTCTATTTGTATTGTTTGCTAGCAGCAACATACAAAGGTACTGAAGAAGAGCTGAATCGTGGTAGATGCAGGTTTGGGGAACCACGGCAATGGAGGTTGGGTGGAGCAAGTCAAAGCGGGGCAAGATCGCCACAGAAAGCGCGACTCGAGAAAAGTCACAACAATTCAGCTACGCGTGATTCCCCTGGGTCTGCACATCGCCTCGTTGGTTTTTCTGTTACTACTATTCTGTTACTACTACCCTATCTCCAACTCAAGAACGATTCCTCACATCATGCCACCCAAGTCAAAAAGTTTCCTGAAGCCCAAACCTAAGACCAAGGCCAAGGTCCAGGAGCCGCAGTCCGAAAATGACTTCCTTGAAGCTGCAGATGATCACGAGCAAGCAGCGGGCAAATGGCGTGCTGGTGACGCTGCAAAAGCGACGAGATTTTTCAACCGAGCTATCGACGCGTACAACGAAGGCCTGAAAAGATATCCAACATCTTTTGATCTGGCATACAATAAGTGAGTGTAGAGTATTTCGAAGCTAGCAAGCACTTTACTGATAGTTGCAGGGCGAATCTTGAGTACAGCATCACAGAGGATGAGCGCATCGTGGCTCATTTCGGTAACAAGACAGCGCTGTTGGAAGAGACACTAAACTCGCATCGTTTTGCTATCTCCCTCAACCCAACCAACACCGACATCTTGTTCAACGCTGCACAGGTCTTGACTTCTTTAGCCGAAGCATCACTGGAATCTGGAACCCAGGAAACCAAGAAAGGCCCAGCACGAGAATTACTTGAGGAAGCAGTCATGATATTCACAAGATGCCTAGAGAACCAACAGCGAGAGTACGAACAGATGCAAGCCGAGATCGCCAAAGCTCAAGCTTCTGGGGAGTACCAAGAAGCATGGGAAGGCGGCATATCCTTGAACACTGCTCAAGCAGATGAAGAAGAAGCCGAGACAGGTTCAAGTTCGTCAGAGGCACCTGGCGACTGGGCTACCGTTGAGGAACTTCTCACTCCAGAAACTATACTGGAAACATGTACAGCGCAACTCGGCGCTTTGACAACACTTCTTGGACTTTATGATCCTTCAGACCTCGCCAATATCGAGAAGAGAGCACACGATGGTACAGACACAGCCACTGCTAAGATTCCTGCCTTGATCAACCTTATCGACACGACTCCTTCCATGACAGTAAGAGACGAACCCAAGGCTGGGCCAACGCTATCTTTAGGCGCATCTGCTGTTGAAGAGGTGACCACAACACCAAAAGACGACGCAATACTCGCCACCGCAAACTTCCAGTCCACAATCGCAGAAGTAGCATATCGCAGTGGAAGCAGCGAATCCACCCAATACGCCCAGACCATAGAGCAAATCTTCTCCAAAATCTCCGCAAGTACAGACAACCCAGCTAGCTCCGAACTCGCCGTCGCCAACATACACTCTTCCTACGCCGACGCGCTCATCGACCTCGCATCCGCACTGGCCGATGGCACACAGTACACCCCTTCCTCGCCATCCTTCGCTACCGACGTCGAAATCCAGTGGACTGCACTCACACAAGCACAAACACTCCTCACAAAACTAGCTGCTGTACCGTACACTTCAGTGCTCACGGCCTCCCGACTAGCCGACATCTTTCTCGCGCGCGGCGACGTCGATCTGTTCCGCTTCAGAATCGGGTTATTCGAGTCAGCAAAGCCAGCCTGGGTGAAGAGTAAGTCTGTTCTGATCGGCAATTCTGGGGTGTTTTATCGGGGCGCGAGGACGTATGCGGAGAAAGCTGGGGCGGTGGAAGTGCGGAGCACGGCTGATGCGAAGGCGATTGTGGCGGAGGTATTGAAGGCGGTTACGAGCGGCGAGAAAGAGGCAAAGGCGCATTGGAAGGGACGGGGTGCGGACGTAAGCAAGGTGTTGGAGCAGATGGTTGAAGAGGGTGTTGTGGGTCGGGAGAATGTTGAGGGTATTCTGCAGGCTGTAAGTTGATCTAGTGCAACGGTATCCTAGTTCCAGATGTTCATATAAAGAATTTGATATTACAGTATTGTCTTCATGCTCTAACTGGCCGATTGAGGCACCAAGTCGCGTCACTCCCGCGTGCTCACGTGTGCCAAGACTCGCGCCTGCCGTTACTGCTCCCACCATGCCGCCTTGCTTTACTTGGACCTCTTCACGTCACCACTACTGCTAAAACTTTTGTCGTCAGAGCGATTGCGGCACGCTTGTAGCAGCCTTATTCGCGCATGCGATCGCACTCGCACGCCAGTAGCTAAAGGTTGTCCACTCTAAGCGGCAACAAGCCATGACGCGAGGTAATTAAAAATGCACGAGACCAATTGTTGTCCACTGAAATGTATAGACGAGCCAGATGGTAGTACCCTGGGCGAAGGCAACGGCGGACCCGTGCAAGGTGTCGTCAGTGACGAACCACATCGCCCGCAGCCCAGCCAAGACCTGCTACAGTTCTTCCCCTCCCTCAGCCAGTACACGACCTGGATCAAATGGGCCGAAAACCGTATGCAAACACTGTCGCGATCTGAACCCACCGCCGAACAGTCGCATGTTTCAACACAAGCAGAGATACGCAATCTGACTGCGAAGATCAAGTTGCAAGATGAGAGAATGGCCAAGCTACGCAGAGAGAAGAGTGCGCAAGTTCAGGCACTTTTGGACAGTCGTGTAGAGAAACAAGACTGGTTCGATGAACAGATGGCCACCCTCGTGACGCGGGCACAAGAGATTAAGGAGATGGAGATGGCAGCAGCGCGCCCTAAAACCGGACCTAAGGCAGACCAGTCCCTTCTCGAAGCCGTCTCGAATCTCGGAAAAGTAACAGAAAAAGCCCGGCGAGACATGAGTAACCTGGTGGCGGGTAAGAACAGACCGGAGCAGGCGTTCACCAAGTGGGAGACCACGTACTGCAAACCCAGCCTGGACATCTTACATCTTGCCAAGCAGATAAAGCAAGACCAAGAGTCTCACCAGAAGCAACTTGCTGAGCAACTTGCCAATCTTGTCCGTCGCGAGGAAACAACCAAGTACCTCGAAGACTTCAACAGCCGTACTGCTGCTAGCCGCGAGAAAAGTATCGAAAAGAAAGCACGAGAGTTTGAGGAAGAACAAGAAGAGTGGCGCCTCCAGCGAGCCATGAATCTGGCAGGTGAAGAACTAAAGATAGTGGAAGAGAAGTGGAACAAGCTTCATAAACAGGCATTCAAAGCACAGATCTGGGACGAGGCGAAGAAAGCCAACATCGCTGCCGCTGAAAAAAGTCTCGAACTCAAACACAAGAAAAATTGCTCGGAATGGTACAAGAGCGGTAGGGTTCTTGGACATGACGAGGGACTAAAGCAGGGTCGAGTAGATACTCTTAGGGAGTTCAAGGCACAGCTTGACGCCGCTCATGCGAGTGGATACGGAAAAGCCCTAGAGTCCCAAGCGACAGAAAATGCGGACAGTATCAGAGTGTCATACGAGGAGGGTGAGCGACTAGGCCGCGAAACAGCCGCTGCTGAGTACGAGATAGCCATCGACATAGCCATCGATACGGCGTGGCAGGAAGCTTATCGAAAGGGCCGCGAAGCAGCCACTGCTGAGCATGAGACAGCCATCGCGGTAGCCACCGATACGGCGTATAATGATGGTCAGCGAAAAGGCCGCAAAACAGCAGCTACCGAGTCCAAAAACGCCATCGAGGCGGCGTATTGCAAAGGCATACATTGCGGTGTGCAGATGCCCGACTGGAGATATAATACTGAACTCTTCGAAGACGACGGCGCTGTCGACGAGCATCATCCGTACTGGTGGGGCAGATTGGTGGCATTAAATATCGACTCATTGGGCGTGTGAGTCTACAACCTTCGCTAATGAGCTACGTGCTGACCATGAACCCAGGTTTTCAGATCCCACTTCAAAGTGGTATCAGGCTGACAAGAGGGGCTCGGAAAAGTGGCACTGGCTCAGCGTGCGAGAACACAGGAGGGACGGCTCTATTGTACCCGACTACCACGAGGGCTTGTATGACGGTTTGTTCAGGAGCGACAGCGTCAGGATTCGCCTACCAGGCTGGCGACCAAAATGGAATGTTAGCGGCATGTAGCGCAAAGTGATCTATGTCAATGGACGGTCATATGCTGCATGAAGGACACAACGTATTGCAAGGCGATAGGAAGAATTAGACGTACAGTGCATCGAAAGAATTAATCAAAGTTTGGGGCTCTCTATCTTCGAACTATCAATCCTCTTCCCTTCATCGTCCTGCTCCTTGACCCTAAGATCCGGAAACTCCGCCGGCATAATCCTCCTCGGCGTCGCGCCCTCTACCACACTATACTTCCCGAACTCCGTGACCCCCTTTTTCCTCAAAAAATCTTCATCAAGTTCCAAACACCCATTAACCTCACTCGCTTCACTCCTCAACATCGCCAGAATCGCATCCCCATAAATTGTCGCCTTCCTCAACTCACTCGCCTCCGCCGTCTCCGTCGCGGCAGATTGAATCGCCGCAGCCGGCCAGATAGACGTAATCGCCATATCCTTCTTGCCCTCGCGCTCAAAGTCCATAGCGAGTCCCTTGGTCAGGACCGACATGCCGACCTTGCCCATCGCATACGCCGTCTTGCCGCGGAAGAATCGCGAGTAGATAGGCGGACTAACGACGATGATCCTGCCCTTCCAGCCCTGTTTCTTGAACTGCGGTAGTGTGGCTTGAATGGTGCCGTACAGTCCCTCGACGTTGACACGCTGCATCAGCTGGAAGCGCTTCATGGGCGTGTTTTCGACGCTGGCCCACCATATTGCGCCTGAGTTGTAGATCAGGACATCAAGCCGGCCATGCGTGGCAATTGTTTGCGCAACGAGATGCTGGATGCTGGCGAAGTCGCGGGTGTCCACGGGGATGGCAGCGGCGGTGCCGCCGGCTTCGAGAATTTCGCGGGCGACGGTGGATATGGTGGATGCGGAGGAGTTTGGATCGGGCGGGAAGGGAGTAGTTTTGGAGGCATCGGATGTGGACTTCGCTGCTACGACGACTGGAATGTGTTAGGTGGTGGTAGGTGTAGTTGGAGATTGTGGTCTTGCCTGCGTAGCCTTCACGAGCCAAATCGATGGCAATCTGGCGTCCAATTCCTCTGGAGGCACCGACGATCAATGCGACTTCTTGCTGACGAGGTGACATCGTGAGATATGCTCGACAATACGGTGATGGCTTGTCACGTGAAAAGCTTCAAGGGCGTGGAAAATAAACTGAGATGAATGTAGCAGTCAAATGCTTTCAATCTCGAGAGAATGATAAATGGATGCCCATCGCGTCGTCTGCAGGCATTTGCAGCTTTATGCGGAGAATCCGGGGTACGCGCATCGCTCGGTGGAGGTGAGATGGTGATTACTGATGAGCTCCAAACAGCTCCTCACGAACCTCGGCTGCCAAGCGTCATGCCCGCCTACTTCCACCATAAAGATGTTTAAGGTCCTACTTCCGAGCGACGTGATTTCTCATCACCGAGTATCGCGATATGTCAGGCAGAATCACAAGCTATCTTGATTGCGGTATGTCCTTTGAAAAACCCGTGGACGTCCGAGACGCCTGTCCAGGGCGCGGCGTCCTGGAGCACGTGACACTGACTTGAGCTAGTATCCCCATACTCGTACTTTGCTCTGTTGCGTCTGGAGGAGAATCGAGCGCTGCTCAAGGAACACAATGTAGAAATCGAGTAAGTGGCTGCCATTGCTCGACGATCTGCGTGAACTCCGAGCTCGCTCGACACGGGTCCATCAAGACGCTGTGCAACCAACTAGCCTTGAACCAGCCCTGCGATTCCTCCAAGATGTCAGATCGGCACACACCCGCAGAACCCATGGCACGATCGCACATGTACACTATCTTGTTCAACATGGGATAGGGCACAGTCTCTATCGCGAGGACCGTCCAATGTTCTGGCGACTCCGTCCAAACGCAAGCCCTTCACTGACGAAATACAGCATAGTGCCCGTTTTCCTAGGCGGTATTAATGTCGGCAGCGGTACATATCCCAGCTCCCCAGCTTCTGGGAATCCTATCTTTAATCTGACACGTCTACCCGCCTGCCCCACGCTGCACTACTCCACTGCGTAATCCCTGACGAAACATAGGTAATAAGCCGCCGTGGACACTTCCCGCAAAAGGCGCGTACGGCAGGTACGATAGCGAGCGTTCGAAGCGGTACTTCGGCGTGCCGAACATCAAGACGCCCGAGTTCTTCCCGATTCTGTCTCTGCTGCCGCAGCGGGCGTTGGTGTATGTCAAGGAAGCCCATGCACAGAAGTTTATCCAGGCGTTCAAGGATATCTTCCAGGGAATATGGGAGCAAGGGCTCGACGTCAGCAAGCCCGAGTTACTGGCTCAAGTGCTCTCGAAGCAGTTCAGTGAGACAGAAGTCAGGGACATCCTCGAGAAAGCAAACAGTGCGCCGTACAAGCAGCGACTGAACGACAATACCAAGGAGGCACTCGATCTTGGGGCCTTCGGATGCCCCTGGCACGTTCTGCGTAACTCGAAAGGCGTGGAGGAGCCTTTCTTTGGTAGTGACAGGTTGGTATTTCCCGTTTTCTTGGCGTCTCCTTTTGCGGGTACGCTACACGCCTCTCATGTCCGCTTTGTGATATAGTACAGGTCGCAGACGGGAAAGTGTTTGGATTAACATGCGAACCGTGAAACATGACAAACCCAACGAGGTAGCCCTCGAGTGTGAAGCGCGCTGACTGAGACCAGGTTCCATTACATGTGGGAATTTCTGGGGCTGCCGTGGAAGGATATTGAGCTGCAAGCACCTGGATCTGCAAAGACAAAGGCGCGGATCTGAGCAGTGAGATATCTAAGCAGAAACTTATAGGTTTATTACGGTTTTATGTTTTCAGATCGGTACATGGTTGCATGATCTCTGCTCTGCATACATTCTAGGTAGATATTGTCCTCTTCAACAAGCCATGTCAGAGTCATAACCAGGTCTCTGTCCCATGGTCCCAGCCTCCACGTTCACTTTGGTCAAGTTCCAACCTGCATGGCATGATGTCCTCGTACACAGCCTGTATGCTGCACCTCGGCTGTTTTGTACCACCATAGATGGAATTTCCTGGTCGTGTCACAGCAGTTCGGCTAGCGACTGCCCTGTGGCACTTGTGACGCTCGCACGACCTGTCATGGCATTGCCATCAGCCATCCTGGCACAAATTAATCGGGACTTTTTGTATCTACCACGCTTTTGCACAGTTGAGGTAGTTGGTTTTCCAGTTTTAACGAGAAAACCAAAGTGACGTGAAATTCATTGGTTCAAGGTACAAGTTGTGGAAGAGGGTGCACTCTTATCTCGAGAACCGAGGTGTCTAAGTAGAGAGCCCTCATTCAACACGCGTCCCAGGGAAGCACGCACTAGCTTCCGTGCATGGGCCACACTGGAGGGTTTTCGCACCGTGTTCCCGAAGCTGGAAGAGCAACGTGGTGGTACAGAACGGTCCACTGTTCTGCCATACCGAGCTTGGCACCAACGACCACACGCAAGCAGGGAGATCGTCAAGCACGCCTCAGCCTCCAAGCTGGCGATCTCAGAGTGGTTTATGGCAGCAGGATCATCAGATCGGATTGCCACAGCGGATCTTTAATTCTCCTACTGGCCCGATGCGAGAAACGCCCGCCAAGACCTGTCATGCAAGCAATCGTTTGCCCGCTGCATATCAAACCAAACAAGCAACGTGCATCGCTCGAGCCAGCTCAGCTAGTACAGAAAGATCAAGCTTGCTTTTCCATTACTCGATCTGATAGGACAACGCCTGCAAGAGCTGGCTTTTGGCTGTTGGCAAGGCTGAGTTGCAGTGCGGCGCTAGCCACGTTGGGCTCTCGTCGTCACCTCAGCGCTGTTCTGCGCTGGGGAAGATACTTGTCTTTCGATCTGCTTAGGCCTTGTGGACATTGCGCAAGTTCCCCATGCCGGGCGATGTTGATAGCCTAACGCCTTCCCGTGTCAGGTTCAGGGTTGTTGTCATTGCGAGCAGCAAAAGGGATGGGTCTCCCGAGAGCTTAGATCTGGTCGTGCACTACCGTAGAATGTAGACCTTGAAACATGGGGAACTCAAACGCAGGTCATTGCGCTGAGAGAAGCCATTGGGATTGTCTTGGATTTAAGACAGCAACGTCCACTCACCTAAGTAGCTCCAGCACATGTAACTAGTCTTTCGCAAACTGGCTTCGGCTGTTCTTTTGCAAATCGTCTTGCTGTTCACCTCTCTGTAATTGAACTTGTGCGTTTCCCGATATCACTTCGCAAGGACTCGTTCCACGAGTCACGGCGCTGACATCTGATCAGTGTGTTCGTACATGCCTATGCCATGATCGCGTGCTTCTTAGGCGCTTTCTAATTGTCCTGGTACGCGTGGCATATTGGTAAGACATATTCACACACCGTTACCTTATAAGCGCGCTGACGATGCTCGTGGAGTAGATACATCAGGTGCACTCATTGTTGCTCGATATAGATAGCAGTGCCGAGCTCGTCCTCTCCGCAGCACTGTCCACTCAGCAGTTTGACATTGCCGATTTACGACATCTGCGCTGTTCGCGGTCCACAGGAGCAAGAATTCACCTGCAGCTGACTGGCTGAAGGATCCGAATCTTTACCGCTGCTGTGTGAAGGGCGGCCGGCTAATCGACGAATGATAAAGCGGCCACTGGTGAACAGTTCCCGCACCTGTTCCCGCATCGTCTCCGTACCTCAATCTAACCTGCCAACTCATTCACACGACATCCCCCTTGAATAGACTGCGGCACCGATATTCACAGCGACTTGAACGAGGCTGTGTTGTAAGATTGGCCCTATCACCTGTCTGTATAAGGTGCGGTTGCCGCACGCAGCACGATGCCACATGCAAGTCTGCTTCACCCAGGGCAAAGTTTCCAGCACCCGAGTTTCTCGACCCACAGTTCGCAGCAGGTACAGCTTGAACACCCCACCAACGCTCTAGAGTCAACTGCACTCTCCCACTCTTTCAACTACGCTCAACAAGCTGGGGCGATGGCCCAACCTTCTTTCGTAAGCATCTCATTCTCCCGGTCGACTCCAAGAACTGACGACCGCTTTGCAACAGCAACACAGGACCGTAACGAGCTATGTTCGAGGACAGCCCACAGATTCTGCGGATAACCAGCGCCAGTACTCAAGCGCGCATACTTGGGGACCCTCAAACGACGCCATGTTCTCCCAGAACTCATTCCTGCCGTCCGGGGCAATGTTCGACCAGGGTTTCGCGTTCAACAGTAGCTTAGACATGTCGCCGCATCCCATGCCAGAGCCTGCCGGCTCTTGGCATATGAACAACAGGCTGGCGTATGCCGGCTCTTCGTCTTACGGGTTTCCCAGCACTGGAAGCACAAAGTACCGCGACGCCCACGCGTGGTGCCCCATGCGCTCGACAGAGGTCGTACCTCGCGGCTTCAGTATGAATGGATCAGACTCCGAGACCAACAGCTCATACTCGCCTAAGAGCTTCGTCAGCGAGACACAATCGGAGACGATGCCCTTCACACCGGAACCGGCTTCTGAGATAACCAATTGGAGCTCATACGGGTCGCAGACGCGCCCAGCTATCAAGGCTTCTTCGCCGGAGAGCCCGGTAGTGGTAACCGAAGAGGATGCGGCCAACTTCTCGGGACCGTCGCGATATGCAATGGGCGATATTGTGCATTCGCCCACGTCTGCAGAGATCACACACTGTTTGAACGGCCTTCCTACGGTTGGTAACGATACCAGAAGACTTTACGATTCGGAGTATGCATATTCCCAGGCGAGCAGCCCGGGGCTTTCACCGTGGTATGCGGAAGGCGAATCAGGCATGGCCATGCCTTTCCGACCTCGTAATCCACCTATCACCAGCGCTCCAAGCAGCTTCTCTACTGCTTATCAGAATGAAAATGCGAATAGCGCATCGCGAGGAAATCCCTCGTGGGCTGGCCCACAGACAAACTTCCCAATCCAGGATCGCGCTCAGAGTCATCGTGTTGTAGACTCGCACACCCAGCGCAAAGCGGACGACCAAATTCTGTTGGAAGGGAAGAAAGATGGCCTGACGTATAAGGAGATTCGCAAGAGGATGTACACGAAGTGTGCTGAGTCCACATTGAGAGGCCGGTACCGTTCCTTGACCAAGGCCCGGCAGGATCGTGTGCGTAAGCCTGTCTGGCAGAAGAAAGATGTAAGTCGAGACATGCATGATGCCCATTTCATTGCTGACATGCGCGAAGCTCGACCTTCTCAGGATGTTTGTTCAACAAGACCTCGATCGCATCAATTCGAACTACCTTAACCAAACCCTGAGCTATGATCAGCGACTTGCGAAAGTTCAGTGGAAGAAGGTCGCCGACTCCATCCATAATAGTGGCGGATCTTATCATTTCGGAAACTCTACCTGTAAGAGGAAATGGCAAGAGCTGAACCCAGGACCTTGAGCGAGTGTTCGACTGTGCCTCGCTTGAGAGAACTTGGAAGCGATCCAGCAACAGATCGCGCACTCCACGACGGAGTTGGGGCTTGAGCTTTATTGAAAGATTTTCTGTGAGACAGCAAGCGCTGCCTAAATCATCTGCCTTGACCTGAATGTCAAGGTAGCGTCATTCACTTGTCCTTGACATTCTGACAGCCTGCCATAGGTGGCATTTTCACCTTTTTTCGCTCTGAGTAAGGCTTGCGTTTCGATTCTCTTCTCTGTAAATTAGTCTTGGTTGGAATGTTTGATCGAGCTTGTCTGATATCTTCTGCAAGGTTGCAGAGTTTAGATGGACATTGCTGCAAAGCACGATGGCACCCTGTCATCATTATGGAGGCTCTTTGTGCCACTTCCAGGCGTTAGAGATGGAGATAAACGAATGCATATGGTAAACAAGATCAACACGTCGTGATTGCGATGGAAGTAATGAGAGTGTTGAAGTGTAGAGAGTTGAAGTGACGTCTGTTCATGGTTTGTCTGTGCGCTGCGGGCCTGTCTTTCCGAAAGCAGCCACCTTTGCTGTCCCTGACCTGCCCACTCAACACACCTTCCTTTCTCATGAAGATGCTGCTCGGCCTGTCAGAAGCACTACCAAGCCTGGTGGAAACCAAGTTTAGAACTGCGAAAGCTTCTGCAAGCTTGCTGTTCTCTCCAACAGAGGTTTCCGTTATTCGCACCTCGACGGGCATTCCGGTGCGCGTTCCGAACATGCGCTGGATGAATGCCGACTAACATACACACTAGTTTCAGCTGAGATACTGCCCTACCCTCGCAAAGAAGCCAATTCCTAAGAATGAAAGCGATGCGTCCAAGAAGAAAGTAGACCCCTTCGAGGACCCTCCGCAAGCGCTGCACATCGCCGACATACCAACCTCCAGTCCAAGCCATCTCCTGGTGCTAAATAAGTTCCCTATCATTGCTGAACACTTCATAATTGCCACCAAATTTAACAAGAAGCAAACACATGTGCTAGAACAAGATGATCTAGAAGCAACTTACGCTTGCTTGAAAGCATGGCATGACGGAACGGGCAGCAAGCAGCAGCGTTTATTTGCATTCTTCAATTCTGGCGATCACAGTGGAGCAAGCCAACCGCATAGACATCTGCAGTTTCTGCCAGTCGACAGTATGCTTGAGGGCGAGGCAACTAGCGGCTGGGATCTAATGATAGATCTCATGTTATCAAACTCAACTAGGCAAGCTGAAGGTAAACTGCTTTCCGCCAGCTCATCTCGAAGGCATAGCGCTGAAGCTAATTTGAGCCATAGGGACACCACATGGTGTGTTACAACATGAAGGTCTACCTTTTACACACTTTGCTCAATCATTCAGCTCCGAGCCAACAGGTTCCGAGTTGTTGAGCACCTATGAAGAACTCTATCGCGCTGCGACTGGGGCGGTCGACACTTACATTGCTACTAATCCAGGCTCACTGGCTTTGCACTCAGTTGACGGAGGGAACTCTCCTATCAGTTACAACCTCGCAATGACGACTGCTGGAATGGCAATTCTGCCACGCCGAAGTGAAGGTACTATGCTCCGACGCGATGATGGTAGCGAGATTGGCTTTGTGGCCTTGAACGGCACGACCCTTGGAGGGACCATGATGGTGAAACACCAGGAAGAATGGGACGTGCTACGCAGACAACCTGAGATGCTTGACAACATACTTGAGGCCATTGGTATACCAAGGCAGACCATGTCGCCAGCGCGATCGCGTGTTTCATCTGTCTTGCCATAGTTCTGATGGTGTCCATCATATGAAGACTTGACTCGCGACAATTTTGGGCGGCTCGCACGACCATGATTATGCTACGGTCGTGTGCAGATGGCATGTACAAGAGGCATCCAGCTTGAGTCTGTACAAGATGCATGGAAAACCTGCATAACGCCTATTTCATCACCGTTCTCCCTGTTCACATGCTCAGTATGTTCCAACAGCCACAACATGTTTTCAACTAAACTCCTAATGTCCATTGAGTTAACTGCAGCGGCTTAAAGACGACCCAGGGGCCAATGCATGCCTCTCATGGAAGTCAATCCGATCCAAATATACAAGTTGCCTAAGATGACGCGATATATTGATATCTCGATATATATATTATGCTTGTAGACTGCATGTATGGGTGTGCTTAGTAAGGGCAAAGGGTGAAATTGACGATCCGCAAGCGTGCAAGGGTCCAGCCGTGGGGGTCATAGCTTCAGCCTTCATTGCGGCGTTTCGTCATCCAGAGCTCAACTCACCCAGACAGCCGAGACGGAAACTTCGCGAACGTATACACCTCCCCGCGACAGCGTCGAAATGCGTGACTGTGTTTACCCTGCATGCCCGCATCCTGTCAAACGCATCCCGCCTGATTGAGTCTCGCCTCTCACTAGCTGCTTCCAGACACTCTCACCGTTCGCCTCCCCGTAACTACCACCGATCCTATATCTATTCGCCTCCCAGGTGTTCCTGAAGTAGCACAACATGAAGTACACAGTATACGATCGCCTGCTGAAGCGCGAAGTCGGCCAGCAGCGCAAGAAATACACGGATATCCGAGGCATCTATGGCGACCGGCAATGGGTGGACAACCTAGACATCGTCAACGAGTTGGAAGGCCACAACGGCTGTGTAAACGCTCTGAGGTACCAACTATGCGCAAGTTGATCTTGATGACACATACTGACACAGTACAGCTGGTCAAGCTCGGGACGACTGCTCGCCTCTGGCTCTGACGACCATCGCATCAACATTCATTCGTACCATCCTGATTCGTCGACGTCACAATTTAGCCTCACTACTTCAATACTCACAGGTCATCGGAGTAACATTTTCTCTGTCAAGTTCATGCCCTACTCGAACGACCGGACCATTGTATCTGCGACCGACGACGTCCGAATATTTGACATCGAGCACAGTGGGCACTCCGCGCTTGGTTCTGCAGGCAGATCGAATACTGGAAGGCGTTCTATGGGCATGGCAAGAGATGGCGTCACTCTTACTGAGGGGGACACAAATGCAAAAGTGTTCCGCTCCCACACCGACACCGTCAAGCGTATAGTAACAGAGGACACGCCCTTCTATTTCTTGACGTGTTCAAATGATGGCGATGTACGGCAATGGGATGTCCGGCAACCTTCAAGTGCCTATCCGCGGGCCAAGGACACATTGGTACCGCGATGGGCCAGAGATGAGGATGCATCCGATAACGCCCCACCGCCATTGATCTCCTACAGTCGCCATGGATTAGATCTGAACACCATCTCATGCTCTCCATCGCAGCCTCATTACATTGCACTTGGAGGTGCACATTTGCATTGCTTCCTCCACGATCGGCGTATGCTCGGTCGGGACCGCAACAACGAGCGTGGATCTAGGCTGTCGAGTCCAGGAAACTGGAGTGAGCACGAGGATGAATCGCTTGGCAAGGCCACCCAATGTGTGAAGAAGTTCGCGCCTAATGGCAAGAAACGGATGCGCCGAAACGATGGCGGCCACATTACAGCGTGCAAGATCAGTGATGCGCACCCTAATGAGCTAATTGTGAGTTGGTCGCAAGACCACATCTACAGCTTCGATATGCTACGTGCGCCAGATGCTAGCGAAGAAGTCAAGACTACAAAGGTCTCTCAGGGTGACTCAAGCCACCGGGTCAAGGGCAAGATGAGGAAGCGCAAGCGACCAAAATCCCGCACGCTCTCAGAAGAAAGTGCTGCAAGAGTCGGCTCCAGGCAACGTACCGAAAGTTCTGAAGAGGATCTTGCACTTCGAGTAAGGTATGAAAATGGTCAAATTGAGGATATTCGCATCGAGCCTCCTGCGGAGAATGGCATGTCTCGCGAAGAGTTGAATGATCTCAGATCCACAGACCATTATCGCATTGCAAAGACCACAGTCGTGATTGCGAAGCGCATATTCGATCTTGCCGAGCATGGCGAGACTGGGCTGAAGCTGGCATTTACGTCCATCCTAGGTTTTGCAAATTCAATATTGTCCGACATGGACGAGATTGCACGAACATGGGGATATCCCGTAGATCCGGACCCAGTTGATGTTGCTGTTCAAAACAAGTTAAGAGACAGCCGTGCGGCTTCGCGTCGCTTTGTTCAGGCAGCTGGAACACTTGCACGGGTTCTGGGCGGACAGCTATTGACAGGGTCAAACTCAGACGCGCTCATCTCACAACACTTCTCCTCGATCCAGCATGCGCCCCGTGAACGAGACTTGCCACAACACGAGCAATTCGGTTATGACTTCCTCAAGGCAATCCTACTATGGCTTGACAGCGGTCCCAGCGCAGTGGTGGAGGGCTTTTCAAGCCGTAGCCCAAGTACTCGGTGTCCCTGCCCACAAGAATCCGACATGGACGCGATCGACGAAATTATAATCCCGTATTTGCTCGACTTGGCGAGCGACGAGCCCATTGTAAATGTGGATGTATCAAAGTTCGAGACGGACGATACGCGGGTATTATACAGTTCTGAAAAGGCTGCAGTACTTGCATTTGCACAAGCATTAAAGGTGCCTTTCGCGGATCTGACCGGAGCAGTAGTTCCCGCGTCAGGCGATGGTTCACTGCCCCATGATGTTCAAGACCGAGCCAGGGCCAAAAGGCGATGGGCATATTTGGTCGGAAGGGGAGTTCTGCGAAATGCGGCCAAAGACATCAAGTTCAAGTTCGTCGATCGTGCCTTCGGAGGCCGTGGTATCGCGGACAACAAGGTCAGAGCTGAGGAACAAGCATTGAGGGAACAACAGGAAGACATCGATCCTATTGATGATGACGGTCCTGTCGCCGAAGCAGAGCTCGTGGGACGCGCGCGGGGAAACAGCCGAACCGCAGGAACGGAGACTGCATCCATGGGTGATAGTGAATCAGATGCACTAATGGACGAGGAACAAGATTCGGACGAAGAAGATGACGATGATGACGACGATGACGACGACGACGACGACAACTCAGATGAAGAGGATGAGGACGACGAGGACGACTCAGATGACGAAGGCCTCAGGCGAACAAGAAGTGGCGGCGTGCTATGGCGGTCAGACTTTGGTCGTACCAAGCTCAGTAGGGAAAAGGTGGAGCTTGACGTGCCATGCGCGCCTCACACACGCGTATACAGAGGCCACTGCAACGTCAAGACGGTCAAAGACGTCAATTACTTCGGTCTACAGGACGATTATGTCGTCAGTGGAAGTGATTCTGGTCACGTCTTCATTTGGGATCGCAAGACAGCTCAGCTTGTCAACATCCTCGAAGGTGATGGCGAGGTGGTGAACGTTGTTCAAGGTATGTATTGCACCTCGAGGATCTGACAGCTGCTAACACCTCGCAGGACATCCATACGAACCAACAATGGCAGTGTCCGGCATCGACCACACGATCAAAATCTTCTCGCCTGATGCCCGCGATCAGCGCAATGCCCGGAAAGGAATTGGTGTTCAGTCCTCGGATCCGGGAAGCTTCTCAAGCCTGAATTGGGGACGTAGGAGACGCGCCCAAGCAAACGACAACGAAGAGCGTCCCGGTGAAGAGCGTGCAAACGAAGATTTAAGCGATAGCGACGAGGAGGTCACCATGAACGGGCTGAAGAGCCGCAAGCGCATGCACGAAGCGTATCAAATCACTTCGCAGAACGACATGGACCGCAAAGGGGGCAGGGAGGATTACTTCATCTCTGTAAGTTGTATGTGAGCCTCCATATGAATACTGTACTAACAGTCCGAACAGCAAGCAGTCTTTGCGCAATTGGCTCGTCATATGGCTGCTCAGCAGGCTGCTGGTGGTGGTGCCGGTGGTGCCGGTGGTGGTGGTGGAGGAGATGAGGACACACCCATTGTCGTTACTGAGGAGAATTGCTCGGTAATGTAGGCCACTCGAGCCAAGGACAGCATTATCAGACAGGCACATGTTCATTTCCTCGTCTCCATGAGGAAGGCTTTGAAAATATTGATTATATTATGATCTCTTGCAAAGACAACGTTCATGGCCCAGTGTTCCCCTTGCGCCGCCCTGATGCTTTGAGTGACCTCGTTTTACTTCCATGTCACTCTATGATGCCTTCTTCTGCTGCGCCTTGAGGGCCTTCTTGCGATTGCTCTTGATCATGACGACGGAGAGGAAGCTGCCGACAACGGTGGAGCCGAGAATGATGAGGATGACAGGGATGCGGATGGCCCAGACGCGTGGCAGGAAGAGGTTGTGGAGGAAATGGTCGTCGTCGACGAATGGCTGATACAGTCAAAATCGGAGCACGTGAAATGGTAATTCGGGTCTTCAAAGGATATGCGCATACCATGAACAGTGTCCAGACAGTGTAGTAGACGAAGATGGAGGTTGCTGCGATGAGCATGCTGAGGCCTACGAGGCGGTCGAGCTGAGGCATTGTTAGTTCTGATGCACAATGGCGCGGTTTCGGAGACATTGCATACCATCTTGAATGATTGCTGGGTGAACGAGTGACTGCAATGACCTTCACTTTGGTCGAGTGAGTGTAGAGAGCAGCTGGCACTTTCCCCCGATTGCCAAGCACAGGGGTCGGCAAAACCGCGGGCCGCCGCCGCCTTGCGCGCCTTCTTGGAGCTAAACTTTCTCGCTGCTGCATCACATCACCACCACCACAACTTCGGTTGTGCGAACCGTCGACCCTTCACGACGCCTCAGCTCGGAATAGCCATGACGGAGGTCGCTTCTGCCGTGAGGCTGCCCTCGCCGTCGCCAGAGCCCGACATCCAGCGCAAACGCGACCGCTCGCCCTATGAAGCCGGCCCATCGAAGCGCTCGCGGACAGACGACGAGGCGGAGAAACCGCGCATCAAACGAGAAAACGGGCGCCGACACGATGGAAACGGCCACAAGCCCACCACCGACGATCTCCCCGAGGACGACTCGCGTCTGAAGCTCTTCCGCAATGCCTTCAGCGCGAACCGCAAGCTGCCCATCGATGACTCCAAGACGCGCGCGGGTGGCGCCTACATCCCGCCTGCGCGCCTGCGCGAGATGCAGAAGAGCATCACGGACAAGAAGAGCGCCGAGTTCCAGCGCATGGCGTGGGAGGCGCTGAAGAAGTCGATCCAGGGTCTGATCAACAAGACGAACACGGCGAACATCAAGATGATTGTGCCCGAGCTGTTCAGTGAGAATCTGGTTCGTGGGCGCGGACTGTTTTGCCGAGCGATCATGAAGGCGCAGGCGGCGAGCTTGCCGTTCACGCCCATCTACGGCGCCATGGTTGCGATTGTGAACACCAAGTTGCCGCAGGTGGGAGATTTGCTGGTGCGCAGATTGGTCATACAGTTCCGGAAGGGCTTCAGGAGGAACGACAAGGCTGTGTGCTTGTCTAGTACCATGTTCCTGTCGCATCTGGTCAACGCGCAGGTGGTGCACGAGGTCCTGATCGCTGAGATCTTGCTGCTGCTGCTCAACAAGCCCTCGGATGACTCGGTGGAGATTGCCGTCGGTATCATGAAGGAGGTCGGCGCTTTCCTCGAGGAGATGAACCCTGCGATTGCCAACGCCATCTTCGACCAGCTGCGGAATATCCTTCACGAGGCCGACATCGACAAGCGCACGCAGTACATGATCGAGGTGTTGTTTGAGGTCAGGCGGACAAAGTACAAGGAGCATCCCTCGATCAGGGAAGATCTGGATCTCGTAGAAGAGGAGGACCAGATCACGCACAGGACCACGTTGGAGGATGACATCAAGGTCGAGGATGGATTGAACATTTTCAAACTTGACGCCGAGTACGAGGAGCACGAGGCAGAATACCAGAAGATCAAAGCCGAAATTCTGGGCGAAGAAGAGGGAAGCGATGAGGATGGATACACAGATGCGTCATCTGAGGACGAGGAAGATGAGGAACAGAAACAGCTGGACATCAAGGATCAAACCAACGCAGATCTTGTGAACCTGCGCCGGACAATCTATCTAACCATCAAGAGCAGCGGTGGCTTCGAAGAATGTTGTCACAAGCTCATGCGCATCAACCTTCCCAACGGCCTCGAGAACGAGCTCACAACTATGATCGTCGAGTGCGCCAGCCAAGAACGCACATACGAGAAATTCTACGGTATGGTTGGCGAGCGCTTCTGCAAGCTCAACCGGATGTGGACCGACCTTTTCGAGGAGGGCTTCGCACACTACTACGAAACAATACACCGCTTCGAGACCAACCGCCTACGTATCATCGCGCAGTTCTTCGCCCACTTGCTCGCTTCTGACGGTATCGGATGGCACGTCTTCCAAGTCATCAAGCTGAACGAGGAAGACACGACCTCGAGCTCCCGTATCTTCATCAAAATCCTCTTCGAAGAACTCCTCGCATCCCTAGGCCAGAAGACCGTCGTCGAGCGCTTCAAAGACCCTATGCTCCAGGAGAGCCTCACAGGCGTCTTCCCCACCGACGCAGACGACCAGTCCAAGACGCGCTTCTCCATCAACTTCTTCACCGCAATCGGCATGGGCGTGCTCACAGAATCCATGCGCGAATGGCTCAAGACCAGCGCCCCCAAACCCAAACCCCTCCCCGAGCCCGAAAGCGACTCAGACTCCGTCTCCAGCCGCTCCACATACACGTCCTCCAGCTACTCCTCCCGTTCTCGCTCGCGCTCTCGCTCTCGCTCCCCCGTCCGACGCCCCCGCGACTCCCGATCACGCTCCCGCTCAAGTTCCCGCGGCCGCTCATACACACGCAGCCCCTCACGCTCCCGCTCCCCAACTCCCCGCAAACTCAAATCCAAACGCGCCTACTCATCCAGCCGCTCCCGCTCCCCGCCTCCCAAACGCCGCCCTTCAGACTCGGCATCGCGCTCCCCGCCGCCGAAGCGCAGGGCGCGCAGTCCCTCGGATTCAGTGTCGAGGAGCCCGCCGCCGCGCAGACGCAGGTACTCGACTAGTCCGAGTCGCTCGCCGCCGGTGAGACGTGGGAGGGATGAGAGTAGGAGTGTTAGTCCGGTGGGGAAGGGGAAGGGAAAGGCGAGGAGTGAGAGTCGGAGTGTGAGTCCGGCGCCAAGGAAGAGGCGGTATAGTAGTGAGGGTTCGAGGTCGAGGTCGCCGCCGAGACGGAGGAGGGATTCGTAGGTCAAGGTTGGGTTTTGTTCAGAAGAGGATTTATGCTGGGTCTAGGACTTCTTCGTTCGGATTTAGGGGAAGTGGGAGTGGCGTCAGAGGCGGTAGCATTGTATAGATAGCATCACAAATCAGATTGAGCAAAGACGGTTTTGTCAAACAAATTGTTCGAAGTCCCTCAGACGTGTGTGTAGAATCGTGACATTGCTTCCTATAGTGGCTTCGACTTGGGCCAGGTTTCTCCAAATCCCTCCCACACCCGAATACCAGCGCCAGAACTCCAGACTCCAGAGTTGCCAACTCCGTTTTCGCATAAATCTGTGTTTTTCGGGTTCCCTAGCGGTTTCAATCAGTGGTGCATACAAGCGTCGATTCAGTCTTTCAGCCGAATGCAACATGGGTGCTCAGTCGACAAATCGACGATTCGGGAAGTCCTAACACGTTAAAATTGAAGCTGTAAAGACATAGCGCTTCGAGCGCCATCCCATAGCCACCTCCTCACTCCCTGAGTGTTAGCCGTGTGGTAAAAACAGACATGAGAGTTTGTGATCACGATCAGGAGGAACGGGTGAGCCAGTCGAGGGATCGCCTTACCTTGTGCGCAAATGTGGACTTCTTTGGTGTCTTGTTCTCCTCAGTCGCGGTGGCGCCTGATCCGTCCGTGGCGACGTTGGAGTCAGTTTCAGCGATGGCTGTGCTGACCTCTTCGAAGCTGCTCAAGGTTGAGGTTGGGTAGACGGTGTCATCAAAGCTGCTGAAGGTGGAAGTCGGAGAAATAGTGTCCATGAAGCTGCTGACGGTGGTCGTATCGGACTCTGTGAAGGAGGTCGTCGTGGTGAGTGTGGTACCGTCCACTGTAGTGATGCGAGGAGAGTACGCCACCGTAGATGAAATTACGGTAGGAGTAGGCACATCAGAGCCACGTTCAGACTCGTTCGAAAAAACGCTCATGGGAGTCCTACTGATCGCGGGCTCGCCTAGTAAACCTGCATCATTGAAGTAGTCAGGCATCTTGACATCTCCAAGAGCCTCGCCGAGCTCCTTCATGTGCAGGGATTCCTTGGTAAGCGGGACAGTGGGTGAGTTGGGGGAGAACTCGTCGAGCGGGGTGGAAAGAATCACGTCGTGCGGTATTACAAGCCCAAGTTTGTTGCGCTGATCACCCTGGTCATCGAAAATGCCAGTCCAGTTCGGCCACTTGATAAGGCAATGGGAGATTGCGTTGTTGACCGCCTTGCTCCACTTGTTCTGTGGTGCGCGACCGGTCTTGGGTGCTCTCAGCCCGCTGTCGATACAGTTGTCGCCACAAGTCAAGAGCACAATTCTGGAGAGCTCATGACCGAAAGGAAGGTGGTCAATAACGAAACCGTCCAGCTTCAAGCACCATAGCGGGAGGGGCGTGGCTTCGTCCAAGCCAGAGGCTATTCGAGCTTTGCGGATGGAGTAGTCGTCCAGGTACTCGCCAGTACCGATAGCGTAGTGAAGTATGCCTTTTCCGTCCATACCCTTGTAGAATTTTTCCGGGGAGTCCTCGAGAGCAACGGTGAGTCCGGCCACATCTTTGGCTTTCTTCCACTCTTCAGAGCGCACAATTGGGGCCACTGCCATCTGGATGTCTAGCACTCGCATGCCTCCTGCAGACGTGTTCCGGAAGACCGCCTCCCATACAAGCGGCTGGAACGAGTTGTGCACATTCAACAGACGAAGCTCCTTAAGCTTGACTTGCTCTTGTAACAACTGCATCTCATCTGGAGTAATATACGAGCGGTACAGGAAGTCACCATCCTGCTCCAGGCGGACAGGCTCGCCAAGGTCGATGACGAGTTTGATAAGCTCCGTCGGCAACATCTTCCAGACAGCGGCGGTGAATGGCAAGCCCGAGATCCAACTGGCGATGTCAGCGCTGGCGCGCCGTTCAATGACAACCGTATCCAACTTACGTCAGTTCCTGGAGGTTGCCCATCTGCTTCAAAAGCTGTCCAATCTTCTCGGTCGCCTCTCCCCACTTCACGACAGAATCGAGTCGCGCCTTGTTAAAAGTCAGCTTGGATCAGGAACACAGGACGGTCTGACTTCGCTCGCGTTCGCTCGGAGATGTGTGCTGAACCTACCTTGGTCTCTTTTGCTTCTTCGTCAAGCTCATCTCCAGAGTCAATCGGGGTCAAGTTCCAATCACCAACGATATACAGCTTGGTCGCTGCAAAGGCAGCTGCGCGCGCATAATGTAGCACGTGATCGACTCGCTCGATGACATGCGCATGAGAGGGAATAGACTGGCCATTCTCATCGTGGCCGACGTCTATGACCAGACAGCCAGAATTCCGATCAGCGGCAAGTGCTTTCTCGAGGTTGTACGCCTTCAGTGCAGATCTAAACTCGCTCATGGCGATAGCTGTGCTCTTCAATAGTGGTTGGTGGTTGTCGGGTGTTCAGTGTGTGGGCGTAGAAAAGATGCGGGAGAAGTTGTGTCGAAGCTGTGGGAGATAAGATGTATGGCGGGTCCGGTAACCGAAGGCTTCGGTTTGTTTGCTATATAGATAAGGCAAGTGCGCGTGGTGAAGGCGTGCAATCGCACACATGTCGCCGCTAATTGGCCCGTTCCCCCGTAATGTGCTCATGGACGCTACGCACGCCGTTTGTGCGACGGCGGTCAAAGTGGGCATATGAAACTAGAAGAGGTGGAGATTTGAGTCTGTGGATGGTGTTGTACTACTGCCGTGCGGTAATCGCCGTGGCCTATAGGTCATGTGGAAAGGACGTTGTTGATGCCCAGGGGAAGAAGGCAGCTGCTGACGAGGAACGGCGGGTTGCACGATAGTTGTGATATTACCAAGCTGGCTTTCTGGAGTAACGATAACAAGACCGAAATACTGCTTATAACACACCCTACTAGTACGCACGCAGAGGCCGCGTGTTGTCTTTTACTTGTGATTAGAGTGACTGTCCCAGAGTTTACTCTCACCTTGCACCCCGTGGCCACTTTGACTTTGTGATCATAGCTGCCATAACGGGCCCTTTACAGGACGTCAAAGATACAATGTTCAAACGAGATCGGCAAGGTGAAAGTGTCCCAAAAGCGGGCCACGTGACTGAGATTAGACTGCGCGTCAAACTGAGACTTGTTAGCTGGACTGAAAAATTTATCCCCCTCACCTTTACGACCTCAAATTTTACTCTGTCCCGCGGACGAGCGGGGCTTTACTGTCGCCATGTCCTTGCAGCAGCTATCCACCGAACTGGATACCCTCATCTGCGAACACTGCGACACCAGTACTTTACTCTCACTCTGCGCGACGTCCCAATACTGGCGCACGCTCGCTGAGCCAATACTCTATGAGGCTGTCTGTTTCACTGTGGACGAGGTGAGGGAAGTCAAAATCCTCCTCATCACTCTGATTGAGCGCCCCGACCTCGCAAAGTATGTGAGGAAGATCAGAATAGCCCCGTCGTGGCCCGCGACCCATCCGACCGGACCCAGTAGCAGTTCGCAAATTTATCAAGACCAAGGACTTCTCGAGTGGACCGCAGAAGGCAGTGTTGGGGACAAAGACGGTGCTAACGGCTTGGATGATCCAGATTTCCTCTTCGCCGAAGAACAGAAAAGCGCACGAATTGAGAATAATTTCCGGGCTCTCACTCCACGAATGGCTCAAATCATCGAATCCGCGTGGCCCAAAGTGTCTGGACACACCAAGAAGCACCTATGGATTGCTGGTCTCAACACATCCTACTACGAAACAGCCGACCCATATCTGCCGCTCATTGTGACGCTCACGACAAACGTTGAAGAGCTTGACCTTCAGTATCCAAGGGACGGCTCCGCTAACTTCACCAACATGATATTGCACTATCATCGTACAGCGCATGAAGTGGCCTGTGGCAATCCGTATCCATTCCACAAGCTAAGAGATCTCCAAATACAGGGCACATTTCATTCCCAAGATTCTGGACACACCATGTCCCTGTGGGCTCCATTGCCGGTCAGCACTGAGAGCCTTGTGATACGCGACTATGAAATAGACCATTTCGAATATGCGCAGCCGCGAGAGGTATCTGAACTACCATCCACGAAGAGTGCTGGTTCAAGCGTCGGTGTGATTCCTAAAGCCATCCGTGCTGGTTTTGGTTCGAAGCTACGCATCCTGGATATGCGCCGGTGCTACATAGCTGTACCCGACCTTGTTTGTTCATTACGAAATGAAAACTTTTGTAACCTCGAGACACTGCGAATAACGAAGCTCTCCCACGCCCATCGTTGGCTCAACATGCCGTGGGCACTTTTCGGCGGTGTCCTGCGCTCTTGCCTTCCAAAGCTTCAAGAACTCGAGTTATCGATGTGGTGGGATCAGCCAGGGCAACCCAGCGCTCTGAGTGGTCCTGTGGCTTCTGTGCAAACTATTCGAGGTCTGCAAACCTTACCCAACCTGCGCATCCTGAACATCAACCTGGGATTGCTCATGTACTCATTTGCCGGAGACGCTGCGAATGAATTGCTTACGCTACCTTGCACAGTTGTGCCGGAGGACCTGGAGTACCTCGAGCTCACTGACGTCCCCCTGCAGTTCTTGGACGAAATCGTGCACGAAAATGCCGCAACAAAGCGGAGGAATGTGCTTGCCCAGTTGCTGTTAGCTCTCCCACATTGTCATTGGTTGTTACTTCAGACCTACAGGATGCCTTCTGCTGAGGTCTTGAATGGTCTTCAGGCAATCAGAAATAGTCTGGCTGAAATGAACGTGGAATTCAAGGTTTCATGTTGTTGTCCACCAGATGAGGCAGCGCATGTTGATGGAGAGAAGTTAGTACTGATATGAAGGAGCTGCTGTCCGTCGAATGAGGCAGCGCAAGTTGATGGAGAGAAATTGGTCCTGATATGAAGGAGCGAGGAAGCAAATCGGATGCGCTAAGCAACCTACTAAACTTCACATCAAATGTCATGTCACATGCTATGTTCACTCGATGTTGATAAGACTACCTGCCTCAGATGACTAATTAGCGTGTCAAGAGGCCGATTTTCGGCGCTCCAGGAAGTCGCGCCCATTATCACCGTAATGAACGCGTGCGAGCTGACAACGTCGGACTCATGGTATAATCATAATGCGTCTGATGACGCATTGCGGCTCCGACCCCGCATGCAACAGATATAAGCAGTCTCACTCTTGCCTCTTCGCCTGACAAGAGCCACTTGATCAACCACTTATCTTCAGCAACAATAGCTTCTACACACCAATCAAGCATTGACTTGACTATCCAATTACCTACCAATACATCCTAAAACTCAAACACTGGCAGAGACTTGTCATGTCGAAATATCTCCACGGACATCACGCTTCTGTCCTTCGTTCCCACAGCTGGCGCACCGTCGAGAACTCGTGTCCACACCTTCTACCCTACCTCAACAACCCCTCTGCCAAGATTCTCGATGTTGGTTGTGGTCCTGGTACTATCACCGTGGATCTAGCGTCACGCGTACCGCAAGGTCTCGTATACGGCATCGACCCTTCTTCTGAGGTCATCGGCAAGGCGCGGAAGCACGCTGAGGAGAAGGGTGCAACCAACGTGCGCCTGGAATCTGGGGACATATTCGACTGGGAGTCTCTAGATGGCATAGAAGAGGCGAGCTTTGATATCGTCCATGCGCATCAAGTTCTACAGCATCTCCAGGACCCGCTTGGGGCTATGAAGCAGATGAAGCGTCTAGTCAAGCCTGGGGGTGTGCTTGCAGTCCGAGACTGCAACTACATGGCTATGGACTGGTATCCAGAACACGAAGGTATGCACAAGTGGAAGGAACTATACATCAAGGTTGCGCAAGGCTTGAATGCATACCCCAACATGGGCAAGATGCTGCATGCGATAGCTCTGCAAGCTGGATTTCCAAGGGAGGACATCGATGCTAGCATCGGCGCCTGGACATTCAGCACACCAGAGGAGAGAGCTTTCTGGTGTGGTCTCTGGGCAGACAGGACCGTGCAGAGCGACTACAAGCAAAGAGCTCTGGATAGCGGACACGCCAAGATCGAGGATCTCGAGGAAATCGCTGCGACCTGGAGAGAGATGGAGAAGAAAGAAGATGGCTGGTTCGCGGTCATTAATGGGCAAGTCATATGCCACGTAAGGTAGGCTGGTGCAAGTAATACAAAGCCTACGAGCCATCTCTCTCCCGAATCTCTTACCTTTCCTGCTATCTCCTCCATCTCTATCTCACTGAGCCACACCTCACCCTCGCCCCCACCCCAACGCCCAATTAAATCACTCACCGCAGCTACCGCGGCCCATCATCTGACTTTGCGTGCATTAGCTGTCTAGCCTAGCCGTAGCTGCCTGGCCCTGCAGCAGCTCCATATCAACCCCACTTACCCCTCCTGAAGCTCTCTTTCAACCATCAGCAAGACATTCACATTTCAACAACTCACAACAAAGTCACTCTACCAAATAACGACGAAGAATAAACCAGTCAACATGCAGTCTACCACAGTCCTCGTCAACTTCCACAACGACTGCCCCAAGTGCGGCGCTAGCATCAGCGACGCTACTAAGACTTGTGGGTCGTGCGGCAGCGTGAGCTCTCTATGAGAAATTTACGTTGAATATGGACACTGACTGTTGACATAGTCCTGCCCCGTCTAAGTCTGTCATGCGACAGCGTTATGCATGGGATGGCGTAGTTGGCGAGGCTGAGTAGTTGAGATACCAAGGCATTTGTACGGAGTTGACACAGGGAGTTGAAGTCTCAGGATAGTCTGAGGGAGTAGGCGTTTAGTGAGTGAGATGAATCCAAAGGATGATTTGACATTGCGATGACTTGTATTGTTTCATTTGCAATTAATGTACAGGGTACGTGCGTGAGATTACTATTACATGTATGCGCCAACGACTTGCGAGCTTGAACTCGTTCCTAGCTCACAACATCCTCGCCCCTGCTTCGGAAAGAAGAGACGTCTGCGAATATCTGGCACTTCAGATGCTCTTCTTCATCCGAAGGAAAGTCAACAGCATCGTCGCGAAACAAATGGCCACAGTGAGAAACATAAAGATGGAGTCCGTCTGGCTTTGCTTGCAGCGCACATTCAGCTGAGGCACATCTTCGTTGGAAGACGTGAACGCACAGCTCGCTACACGTTCATCGCCGTACGGCACATCGTCCTCGTAGCAGCCTCCATTGAGGATGTCGATACCTCCCAGAGAGCCCTTGAAGGGATAGTATCCATTTCCTAACCGGTTTTTGAAGCTTGTATCGCCACAATTCATGCCTTGGAGCTTGATAGCTATGATCTGTCTTGTCGTCAGCCCTGATCGAACCCGAAGTCATATGCGCTTGACAACTCACAACTCCGCCGACCACATTCAGCATGATAACCACCACGTCCACCAACATCTCGATGTATTCGCGGAGAATGTCAGTCCATGCGATGACTAGGCTGAATACAGCGGCTGCGAGGGATATGGCGCCTATGGCTGCGGCGAGTGGTAAAATAGTTGGTGGAGCAGGTGCAATAATGTCTAAGGCACTACCTTCCCAGGCTTTGCTCTGGCTTTTGATCAAAGTAATGGACAACCCAAGAATAACAATGCCAAAGAGCATCTGTAACCCACGCAGAACCGAGCTGCTGAGGAGATTGAGTTTGGACTGCATATCGGCAACGGAATCTGCAGGTGTGGTATAAAGTAGTGTGTGTGATATAACAACAACGATAGCGACAGACGATTGACACTGACAAGACAGGCAGCACAGCACCAGCAGCTCACAATCTATTTGAAAGACTTACACACAGTATCTCCAGGACTCATGACCGCAGAGAAGACATCTTGGCTGTGCTCAATCACATCCGACTCCATCGCACACGCATAGTCACTATCACGATACACCCGCGTGCCTTTGAGCAACACATTAACGTAAACTTTCCCGATTCGTGTGCGTTGATTTCGATCACGCTGTTATATCATCTTTCCACCCTTGAAACGCCTGAGCCCTTCTGCCGGGGTCGAAAGAGCAGTACGAAGCATAAGAAAGGAAACCGACGTGCGCCTTGCCTCCTCCCATTACTCCCATCACATCACTTCCAACCACTTCGTACTCTTCATTCCACCAAACTCCAACTCCCACTTCTACTCACTCCCTCCTTCATAGCCCCACACCTAGTAGCCCTTACGCTTCCTCAGGAACGCCAAACCCGCCGTGACAAGGAACAACGCCGCCACCAGAAACATAAACACCATATCCGCACTGCTCTCCCTGCAATGCCCCTCAATCGTATTCTCCATCTTGCTCGCACTCCAAGGCTGACTCATCACCCAGCAGCTAGTTACCTTTTGAAATTTCATGCACCCGCCGTTGAAGAGCTCGTTGTACACGGCTTTGAAGCCGTTCTCGATGTCGTCGAAATCGTTGTCTTTGATGTTGCAGGTCACGCCGCGCATCTTGATGGCGAGGGCCTGTTGTTCAGCTGCTTAGCTTTTTGGAGTGAGTGGGGGATGGGGGAAGTGGGACGTACAATTCCGCCAGCGATGTTGAGCAGCGCGGCGAAGACGTCAATCGCCATGCCGACTATGCCCTCGAGGAACGTGATCCAGACTGCTGCGATCCCGATGAGCGCGGCGATTATAGTCACGCCGCCCAGGAACGCTGCGTAGCCGAGTGTAGCAGGCAGCGCGCCCCAGTGATGGCCGCGGATCAGCGTGACGCTGAGACCGAGGATGACGATGCCGAAGAGCAGCTGGAAGGCGCGGCAGACCCAGTTGGCGAGTGTGGAAATGGACATGATTACTCGATTCGTGTGATTGTGTGATGTGTCGTTGCGGTGTTTTGGTGTAGCAGCAGAAGAACAGAAGTGAGAGAAATTACTTTTCTATCCGCTTGTGTGCGTGCTGAGACAAAAACTACTAGCTCACAACAAATAAACAAACGCGGTAAAAGTGTGCAGAAAACAACGTGGCCGTGGCATACATTCACTTCATATCTATATCGAGCTTCACCGGTGCTTAAGGCCCCCCGGCGTAGGCATCCAAAGGCGTCCAATACGACGGTCCTGTTTCGAAGTTCAAACTATGCCGCTCTGACTCTACGCAAGGCAGCCATAGGCACAGCCTTACCCTCGCCGCATAGTCCTTGCTTTTATGTAGGTGCAAGTATGTTTCTGTGCACATCGTGCGAGCTGGTGGCCGGGGTTCGTAAGGCAGCAGGCGCGCGAGTACGAGTTAGGATTCCATAGCGTCACGTCGTATGGCTAGCCGGTGATGGGAGTTTGTGACACTGCATGCGCCGAAACCTTGTGTCGCTAAAAAAGCGGTAGGACTGTAGTCTTTGTGGGATGCTGTGTGTAATGATGTTCGAGAGCTAGTATCCACCCAGCGCAAGGCTGAGTGCGTGCATGAGCCGGCGCTTGATTTAACCACCAAATGTGATTGGACAGTGTCAGTTCGTGCAATGAGTGCGCCTCACCATCAGTCTGGCGATGCAAAGTGATGACATTTTGGACCCCTTCATGATGCCCGTTCTACTCCAAATATACCGGGATGCCGTATACAACTGCTGCCGCCCCATTGAGATACCTCAAGATGCATGACTTCCTTGCCTCTCTGACGCATTCGTCCAAACCCAACCCTCTACGCCGCTCTCCAACAGGCTCAGCCTCATCATTGACAATCTTAGCTTTTTTGCCCTTCTTCGCGCTACCTGGTGCTCTTGTGCCTTCTAGATCGTCTGCTAATTGCGCAACTCTTCCCTTGCCCTTTGCTTTTCTACCAGGAGTCTTTGGTACTACTCGTGCAGCGTCTTCTTGTGGCTCAGGCCAGAGGCCCCACAATTCACCTGCTTTGATGGCGAAGCGATCACAGTCCTTGTCTGTGACATCCCAAAGCATACCTACAACAGCAGGTGCACCCGCAGTGAGGTACGAAGCAAGCATACCCGACGGCTCGTAGATGCCATTCTCGGTGAGATGCACAGACGAACAGCCGAAGAGGAATGTCGTCGCACAACCGGGTTTCTGATTGTGATCGTCCTGTTGGCCAGGGTAGAGGCGGCGTACAGCCTTTGAGCGCACGAACTGGGCACCACTACCGTGTCCAAAGTAGAGCACCAGTTCGTTTTCTCGCAACGAGTCCTCGAATTCTTTTTCTGTTGGTGCGCGGTTTGCAATGTGTGTCCAAGGCCCTTGTAGCTCGTCCAAGCGAGGCTGGAGCGTCTTCGACGTGTGCGACAAGTCACCACCGGGATTCAGAATGCTGGTACCTCCACAGCCCACCCGTATATAATGCCCAGGCGGCTGTTGTGTGTGGTCGTTACACGGTCTCGCAACCAGCAGACGTTCTCGAAGTGCGGCCAGCGAAGGAAGGCGGGATATGGAGAGCTTCTCCAAGCAGGGTAATGACTCCCAAGGAAATCCATGCAGGTTGTTGTCCAAGATGAGGATCGTGTGTTTGGTAGTCTGAGGTGGCTGCGCTGCGCTGTGGTATGCTTGTAGCGCTTCTTGCGTTTCCACGACCATGGCATCGAAGTCGATTTCATCGTACGCGTTGCGCTCGCCGTTGAAGTGTAGAATGTCGACTACAAAGTACATGAGGTCCATCAACGCCTCGTCAAGATCCAATTCTTCGTCGTTGGCATTGCCTAAACCAATGAATAATTCCAGAACCCTAGTATCCAACGTGGGCCTCTTTGCTTGAGATTTCTTTTTGCGGGACGGGAGATGTTGATTCAAAATGTTCTCCAAAGACTTGCGAAAGCGGGCAAGCAGACTTGGTTGTCGCTCATGCTGAGAAAAGACACCCTTGAAACCACCGAGCCAGATGTTTTCCATGTTGATGAGGAGCTCATGTAGCCTTGTGTCGAGAGCTTCGCGTTCGGCCCACCACTGTTGACGGGCCTCTCTCGAGGTCATATCTTTGGCAGTACGTGTACTAAAGTCACTGAGCTCGATGATCTCGTCGAAGTCTCTTTTCCCATCTTCGAAAGAGAATTCTTCCTCATCCATGTCGCGGGATGCATGTCGAGCCAACGGTAGGCGAAGTAGAAATGGAGATAAACCACTTTCATAGCGTGTGACATATAGCTCATCGCGAGTGTCGTTCAGTGCAAGAGACACCGCATTCCAGGTCTCTGGAATGATGTCAATGTATTGTCTCTGAAAGTCTGACACTGTTGTGGGGGCATTGGTGGTGGATGATGAGTTGGGCCATCGCAAGCAGTCGTCGCGTGACATTGGGTCTTTTTCGGCTTCGACTGCGTCTTGCGCGAGCCTCAGTGCGTTGCATTTTGGGACTTCTCCCATGTAAGCTGCATACAACGGGTGTATAGAACCACCCATCTCGTCTCCAGACACTGCAGAAAGCAAGACTGTAATAGTGCCCAGCGCCATGGAGACCTGCTGAAACATGTAGTTTGGACCATTTGCAGCGCATGCTGTGTGGGCTTGTACTAAGCGGTCTCGAGCATTTCGTAGTGTCTCCACGAAATCACTCTTTGCAGGCTTCTTTGCGCGGCCAGTCTTTGCTGCTGTTGACGATGCAAGCGCAGGGCGTTTCCCATTGGCGTCCTCTGATAGTCTTCGCTCCTTGGTGTTAATGGCGGGGAAGGCAATGGTGGATTCGGGCAACGTGTTGACCGCAATGTTCTCAGCAATTTGTTTGGTGCTTTGCGCGAGCATAGTTTTGAACGCCGCCCACGAATGAGATAGATCACGGGCTGTAGCGACTTGGTGTTCATCCATCTGGGCAATAAGAGCAGACGCGGTTGCGAGGTCCTCCTGCAACAGATGCGCAAGAACCCGTCGGTTTGTGATCTCGAGCTGGAAGTTATGCAAAACCGAGCATTGTTCACTGCTGTTGGCATTTTCAAGGGAGGATTCTTTGGCCTTGGACGTGGATGCAGGCTTTTCAGCGACAGCCGTCTTGGGCTTAGATCTAGCGTTTGGAGCAGGCTTTGCAGTTGTCTTCCGTACCGGGGCCTTGGTAGCCTTTACTGCAGGCTTGCGACCTCGTGCTGTTGTTGCTACTGCAGCTTTAGTTGTTTGGGTCTTTGTTGTGCCGACAGTCATCTGAGACATTTGATCAACAAGGCTGTCGACATCAGAAGAGATTGTGTCCAGAGTTTTTGTGTATATTGGCGATGTCAGGTCCTTCAAAAGCTGTTCGAGCGTATCGTACGACGCAACCTCCTCTTCGTACTGACCAGTCCAGTGGTGGACTCTGGCAACAGCGGATTGGTAGCCTATGATTGAAAGACATTTTCGGGTCGCATCAACCGAGAGAGAATCAAGAATAGGTTGCGCTTTATCGGGTCTGCCGCTCTGAGCCCAGCAATCTGCCCGCCAGCTGGCATTGTCGATTATGAGAGTGGGTGATTTCGAAGCGGAAGCGACCTTCTCGGCTTGTTCTGCGACGTAGACAGCCTCGTGCAGCAATCCCTGATGAGCGAATATTTGGGAATGCTGCATCAGTCCCCGATATAATGCGGGCACCAGAGACCAAAACTCTGGCCCACTCAGGGCATCGTGTGTGACGGACATGACGATAGGTGCGCCCTTCTCGTTACGCATTGAGCTCAATGGATCGAATGCTACCTTGCTGGGCCCATCAATGTCCGACTCAGAATCATCAATAGGCGCAGCCTTCTTAACAGTGGCTCTTGACTCCAATGCCGCCCAGATACGTCGATTGAGAGCCACGCATTGTCTCGCATGCTTCGCAGCATCCTTGTAACTGCCTTCAATTGTCGATAGAAGCGAGTAGACGTATGTGGCATCAGCTAATACCCTATTGAAGCGTAGTCTCGACGAGAGAGTAGTTGATGGTTTAGCCAGATCCATGAACTGCTGATCCGCGAGAGCGTGCTTATATGCAGCAGTCATGATGGCAAGACTGGCGAAATTAGCATGAATTTTTTTGGAGTAGCAGGAAGGACTTACCCCTTGGTCGTATTCCCAATTCGAGCCAGGTACTCAGCATACGCAATATGCCATCGCAGCCTGGCCTCTGTAGATGGCTTGTGGTTGGCGACCAGCTTTTCTGCCTTAGCCAACGAAAGTCCGGCTTTTCCAGTGTAGCCGAGACGAAGGAACTGCAGTCCCAGAGCACAGAGGCTTGTGACCGTGTCAGATGGATCGGGATTTTTTTGCAGCTCGCCTGCTTTCACAAGGAGGTTAAGTACGGGTAATGCTAAATACTCCTCGCCATTCACGTTGAGATACTCGACACTCGTCTTCAAGTCGGAGAGCCAGCTGGCGGTATCATCAACACGGTCCGCAAGGCTTTGCCAGGAGGACGACGTGGCAATGATGGACTCCCACGTAGAGAAGCACTCGCGAAGGATTGGCGCCTGTGGAACAGGCTCTTGTGTCAAGATCTTGAGCTTACAGAAGGCGTTCAGATGCGGGCCAAATCGCATCAAGCCTTCGTCCTGGGAGCCTGAAATATCGATCAGAGACGTTTGCAACGCATCTGCTTCCAAAGACTTTATTGAAACAACATCAGCATGACTTTGAGAGAGCTGAAGCAAGGACGCAAGTAGTCGTAGCCGTCGAATGGGATACTGCTTCGCTGCGTAAAGATCTTGGAGGCTTTCCACAAGGCCAGTGACCGATGAATTGAGGTTGGTGTCCCAATGTCGGTTCTTGGACAATGTATGTAGATAGAGATTGAGCTGGTACTCTAGAAGAACACCTCGAACTTCAGACTGTAAACCGGAGTGGTCAAAGAATGCCATCTCTTTAGCATCTGATATGCCGGATTTGAGGAAACTGCGATGATGCGACTTCAAGACACGATTGAACGTGCCCAATGGGCCCTGGTCCGCGAAGATTTCTTGAAGTGGTTTATTTGCTGCAGCATCTGCTAGTTTTTGAGACGCGTCTGATTCTAGGTGTGCCTGGAGACACTGCGTGTAGGCTTTTCGTGACTTCGCAGCGCTGTCCAAGCCTTCGAGAGTATCACCGAGCTGCTCGAGCTTCATGATGAGATGACCTCCAGACCGCACGTCTTGAGATCTCATATGTACGAGATTAATAGAGCGCTGTATTGCTGTAATGAGAATCGCTGACGTGAATTTGGCTTTCCTTAGCTGAAGATAGACAGCCCAATACGCGTTGGAAAGTTTCACGAGTAGTGACTCAGTCATTTCGGAGTCTAGTAAGTCGGCATTTGTACCGAGCAAACATTCTTCTTCAAGTCGATGTATGATATGCGAGCATTCTTGCAGCATGACATCGAGTTCTTGCCATTGTTTTTCCGAGTCGATGATCTGTTTGCAACATGCTAACACAGAGTCGAGGCTACTCTTCGTGCACTTGGACAACATCATCATCCGCGCATCGTGCCGACGTTGTGCGTTTGCATCTGCGTTGTCTGCAACTTTCGCACCAACCATCCTGGCCGAAAAATGTATGCTCGCCGCGATGATGTGGATGGTGCTTTGCCTGATATCATCCTGCCCTTCAACCTGCTCAGGTTTCGTGGAGAAAGCCATGAGAAGTCGAGTTGCTGCACGTCTGAAGGCATTGACTTCCACAAAAAGTGTGTCCAGATCTGCGCCAGACCCACTAAGGCTACCTCCCAATGCCTCAAGTGCATTACTGACTGCATCTTCTAGACCCGGCGTCGAATTGTCCTTGACAAAGCCTTCGATAGTAACAGTCGCGATTCGCACGATGCGAGCGCTTTGTTTAGCGGAGGATCCAGTTGATGAGGAAGCAGGCTGCGCTGTACCCAACCATCGAACTGCTTCCTCAGACAGCCCTGCGGCCTGAGCTAAAGAACTGAGGGTTTGATTGACTGCTGTGTTTGATGCATGTGCACCTTCCTGGCCCCGCTGGCCCGATTTCAAATCTTCGTATAGCGTTGCAGCCAGTCTGTATTTTTTGTTTGGTGATATTTGCGATCTTCTTGCGAAGGCAGTCAAGCACTTCGTGAAGGGCTCTAGCAACTCCTTCTCTTCGTTTCCCTGATGCTTTGCTAAGCTCCACCACGTCTTCCGGACCTTGAATGCCAGCTGTTGCAAAAGTAAGACAGTTTCCGTCGATGGCTGTAGGGGTTTCTCATCGTGTGAGCTAGCGATTTGTGGACAGAGCGAGAGGATCGTTTGGGCGAGAGATTCAAGCTGTCTCGCAGCTTTAACTTGACCACCTGGCGAGGTCGCCATGTGATGTATCAAGTTTGCGGGGGACGAAGGGTTGGACAGCTTCAGGTAGTCCCAGGTGGCTTCGACGATGCGAGGCCGGCTCAGTTTTGCGATTACTCGTAGCGCGTATATTTGAAGGTTGACGACGATTGGTACCGCCGGACTTTCAGCTCCGATTTCCGCAAAATCCAAAAGCGATGCCAGGCTTTCCTTATCTCCCGATCCGGCGTTCTGAGCTCCCTTCTCAGCGATTCGACTTCCAGGGCGCTGTGCCTCAACATCGTGACCCAAATATTTGTCCAGCCTTTTCTTCAGGTGTCGCATCTCCTTGACAGCAAGGCCATCAAGTCCAAGCGCAACCAATTTTCCAATGAGCGCCAGAATGCCGCTCTCCAATTGTAGCTCCTGTGAATCTTTGCCCAGCACTTTCGTGGCTTCCACTGTCCCCAAGTATGAAAATGCAATTCTAGCGCACTCGGCTGTGGAGACCAGGCCCGTATCGGGGCCTGTAGTCAGGAAGGAGGAGTATGACGAAGATCGCCGTATCGCCGGCTTTTGTGGCGCATTGCTTATCTGCGAGGCAGATCGTTCCTTCAAAGGGCGCTGCGAGACAGAGGCGCTCTTTGTGTGTCCTGCCCGCGATCGGACTGGCTTTCGCGCATCGTCGCTAGTGGTGGGCTTTGTTGGCGGAGACGTTTTCTGGGCGGTCGCATACGAGGGGGTCTTCAGAGCGTCTGCGAGGTTCTTGAGGGTGGTGTTGGCGACTTCGGTAGCCAGTATGTATTTCTCCCTTGGCGAGAGTGTTATTGCAGAGTCCTTGACCTCCACATTGGCTGTAGCAGTCGCCGTTCCTGCTCTCCTCCGCGCTGTAGTCTGTGCTTTGGCTCTGACATTCTCTTTCTGTGCAGGTTCCTCCGATTTCTTCAAAAGCAATTCCTGCAGTGTTGTGACGGTTGCAGGTGAACACGTCGTCGTGGACCGGAGGTTCGCCTTTACTTCGTCGATGCGCAGACGCGTCTGCTCGTCCTTGGTGGCCATCTAATATCGGTTGCGCAGAGTTATCGATGATCGCGGTGCTTCATAGAGCGTATATATTATACATTATTAGGCGGCTGAGCATGTAGGAGGTTGTGACGTTATCCAGGGCGGTTGTTGAAGCCGATGGGGCGCGCCAAACAATCGCGAAAGCATAGTACCAAATCCGGCCTAGCGTCTAATCATGTTTCGGCAGGCACGGCGTCCCCCAACCTTTACCTGAACAGCACCAAGTTGAAGAGCAGCAGATGGGTAAAACTTTGCTATTCGAGCGTCATCTAAAGACAAAAACCCTCACCTATTCGTCTAAAACTACGCGATCTTCCACCGAAAGCGTGTTGTTGATGAGATGACGCCAATCGTCTGCAAGCCCTGTACAAACGAAGTCCTCCATGCTGATCGTCAACATTGACACCATATGCACTTCAGCATTGAACGTCAAAAGGCTCCAATTATGAGGGTAGTGAGATGTTGCCGCAGTCGCCATCAAATTCAGCAACAGGGTCCAGGAATTATCTCGATACTGCACTTTCTGAAAAGTGAAGCAACACCAACTCTTGGTCTTCATCCAGGCCCACACGTTCTGAAACATCCCTTCGCTTTCAACGTCTATAGCAACTCAGCCCCGGACGTTATCTGGTGTTGGTATCTGCGCTCAGCTAAGAGTACCTTCCTTTTTACTATAGCCGATCGATGAATGGCTGGAGCAGGACATGTCACATCACATGCATGCGCTTGAAGTACTCATATCCAATCGATTCACTTGTACCACAGTCGCATTAGAAAGATGACGGCATGGTGTTACAGCATACGTTACGTCTCGTGCTTCCACGCAAGCGAGCGATCAGGGATAGACGTCTCCGTGAGAAGTGATTATGCAGTTGGGTCACGCCGCAATAGTACATGTTTCTCGAATATTGGCTGCATATACGATATGTATGCGACCATCGCACAGCTACACGTGTCAGAAGTAGCTGATCCGAGTCTAGAGTTGCTGAGAGATGCCATATCTTTGCCTTTTCTCAAGTTTGGACGTTTGGACATCGCATCGAAGCCAAATCTTCAAAGGCGCGCTACTCCTTTTGGGCAAGGATACCTAAATCACATGTAGTACATTTGCATGTCATTTCGTCCTTGATCAAATCTGCTCATAACAGTCTATCTTGGACCTCAGCATCAAATTCACCATAGGAAGTCAGCACACTTTTGTTCCGCCACCTTTTCCTGAGCCATAGTGCACTCTCTCCTCACTATCTTATACACTGGTCGCAAAGCCTATCAGCCGCAACATGGCATACAATTTTCAAGGTGTGTTCTCGACCGCTGTGAGTTCAGCTGTGCTGTCAACGCTTAAGAACGCCATACACGACTCGAACTTGAGCATGATCTTCTCCAGAGTGGGGTTTGATGCGCAAGTCCAAGTCCAGATCTTCGTCGCTCAGCCTCGCGATTCAAGTGCAAGGCTTAGCGCAATAAATACGGCGAAAGTGGAGCATCATGAACTCATTCAGAAGTGAACTCCGCTCTAGACTACCTAAATAGTCAAATAATAGAGTATAACCATAGCGCCCTATGGCCTCAAGAAGAATTAGTGCTTCGGAGAGGGCGATCTTGGACTGCCTAGATGGAAGCGAGCGAACGTTAGCTTTTGCTGGGTAATTAAGATTGTGATCAACTCGAGTACTCCTGATGACCACTTTCAAAAACATTAAACGGCACACGCAGGACAACCTTGAGAACCTCCTGAATACTTCAATTTAAATTCGATGGTCTCCAAAGGAAATCATGTATCGCAGTCTTGCACCCTGCATTTCGAACCGCGTTGATTCGCCCTTCAGCACCAGATCGGACACATAAATTCAACTGTTCCCCAGGCGGTCGAAGTCATGTCTCAGCTTCTCCCAACATCGAGACTTGATTGATCATGTTCGAGGAGTGCGATACCGAGACTGTCGTAGAAAAGTGAAGCTCGCAAATCTAGTTCCTGCGGTACCGCAGGTGACACAGAGTTAGGTTGGAGAACAGTCGTGATAGAGCTGGACGATACACACCAAAGATTAAGTTTTTTGGCCTGATTGACAGTAGCGAAGAGAAGAGTGACGAGACTACCACTCCTTGATAAGCAGCTACCTTACCCGAGCCCCATACGCTTGAACCTCCACTTGCCACAATTTGCTTGCATCTCCACGTGGCCAAAGGTGGCTTCGACCGCATTTCTGACCAGCATCGTCTTCGCGAGTGAGATACAGATAATGTCGGCTGAAGCTCACAGCGGAATTCCAAGTGCACATATACCTGGCGCCACTACATGCACATCGACATTGTCTGCACGTAGTTGCAAATCAAGTCCGTCTGCCATCCTCATGGATCTGTGCCTCTCCCTATGTGAAGATCACGTGGATAACATGTATGCACTTGGCACTGCATCGTTGAATCTCTGCCTGGTCGGAATGTGATTGGTATAGTCGAAGCTTGCTCCAGTAATCTGTGGTTTTCCCCTATGGGTTGTAGCATGTTTGACACGGATGCGCATGGGTAGGCTGATTCTGTGCATAGCGTCCCTTGATGACATGCCCTCTTCGCCTGATGCAGTCACACTGCATGTCCACTCCGTGTGATCAAGTCCCACGCCAGCTGTCACTTGAAGCGACGCAGGAGACTGTTTGAGCGATACAGCAGAACTTGTGGCAGTTAAAAAAGTTGCTTATACCTATGACGACGATCTGCGCCGAGGTCGTTCGGAATCGCAGTTGGAGCAGGAATGAACACTATGTGTTGCCCAATGACGAGAACATGTGTTCGTTCCTGCGCCGGGAATATGCAGGCGAGGTACTTGCTATGTTTCATACACAAGCGAATTACACCATCGAAACGATGGTCCCAACACAATACAGACTCTCTTCAGGGCCGATCAAACATGTTGCTGACGCTGGTGAGAAGCCGACATGCCTATATCGCGAATGCTATTAACCGCGTACCCTGCTTGAGTTCGTGCAGAACGCAGTGGCCTTTCTGCAAGTTTTCATGATGGACCACACATGACCGGCTGTTTGTGAAGACGCAGCTTACTGTGTGACGGTCGGGCTGCGGCGGGTTTGGGTCAACAATGGGGTCTATTGATGCACCCTAGCTTGCTAAAGTTGGGGTTGTTGATGGCCTCGGTCGAATGGTATTGACATGGCAGGACCGCCTTTCTCGATGTGCTTCACGCCGAGATGTGGAGATGGCGAAGGACGGTCAAGCGGAAGCCTGGGGAAAGCACTAGCTAATGAAGCTATGCTTCACGCGTTATACCTCCATGTGGCTTCCAACAACCTTGTCCGGCAAACATTGGTGAGACCTGATTGGCGGGATTCAATGCTTGGATGTCCGGTATGATATTCGTGCTTACAGACGGAATCCTGTGGATACGACAGACCGCCGTGTAGAGCTGAACCCGTATAACCGGCTTTTGCATCGTTCGCTTATGTCTTCGCATATCCGTGATCGAGAAAGGTGAATGAGGAGGGGAAGATGATGTGGCTTGGGTTACGAGCTCGGTAACCGTCATTGTGTGAATAACTCCAAGTTTCGAACAGTCCAAAGCAGCGCCACTGCATGTGCTTTGACACAGCACGGGAACGCTGCGGAACGTTGTGTAGTTTGACGCGGCACATCCGCGGACACGAGGCGGTACGATTTGACGGACGGATCGAGCATTGGCTGACCGGTTAATGTTGTGTCACGAATTGGTTCGCGGTACTTCACTCGAGGACGTCTACCGTAAACAGTCGTCTCACGGCTAGGGTCGAGCCAGGTAGCTCCGTGGTTGTGAGCACAGTACCTTTCCTCAACACACGCCTGATGCAGGCAGCTTCGCCCGTTTCGCGAATCGGGTACTTGGAGATCTCCGAATTGCATTAGCGAGCTGCTGTGACTGCATATTTTACCTTGGATATATCACTTCGCGTGTTAGTGATTGGTGATGCGCGTGAAAAGGAGGTCGGGAGTGCAGAATCTGAATCCAGATTTTATGGTGTTCTAGTTTGCAAAAGGTGCGATGGCCGTTCGAGCAGACCATAGACGCTTGTGGGGTAAAGTGGTCCTTGGGGTAAACCCGTGGACTAGGTACCTGCGCCTACGTACCAAGCGACTAGTCCTGAACGGCAGCTCTTCAGCGCCACATGCAAAGGTCTCGACCAATGCAATATGTCAATCCGGGAAAGACGCGCTCGTGTCTCATGTGAGAGTGGACACGCGACAAGGCGTTGGCTTCTACGCGTGACTCCTAACCATTAGGGCCTGGATCCGCAGAAATCCGAAGGATGAGATAGATTGGCTTCGTCGCTAAGTTCCAGGTACTCGGAAATGTCGAATGTGTAAACGGACCGACATGCAAGACTTCATCATTGCAGTGCTGCGCCGTCTGCGGCATGCGATGCGCTTCTTGGCTGTAACGTGCGGTGACCCCGCGAGTGCTTGCGGTCTAAGCTCTGGAGCAAGAAGGATGAAGGATTCACTTCCTGACACACAGGATAGGAGCTCAATGCCTTCTTCGAAGTTCTGACAAGAGAGCCGCCAGCTCTTCTCACGCTCCCGTGTGCATCAAACACTCGCTTGTGTAGTCGTACCGGGATAGGGTGCACCCGCGGGGTTCTGCGCGCCCAACAATACATGTGCTCCTGCATCAAACGCGTCCACTCCTGGCAAAGAACTTTCTGGAAGCGACCGAGCCGTGATCGTGTAGCAGGTCCTCTTCCTTGGTCCGACCTCGCTTGATGGTTAACAGGCTGTGTGGGACGGAGCTGCCGAAAATGTGGCTTTGACTTGATTGCGAGTTTTGATTGCTTCAAGAACCACGCCTCAAAAGCACCGATGCTCGGTCAGTCTGCCAGGCTTTCGGAAGACGCAAGCGAAAGCCGGGCACCTGCTGTCCGCGCTAGCTCCAGAGGATTCGAACGATGGGGAATTTGAAGTCGATTCTGGTGGAAAGCCGCAAATACATCCTCTGGGTATTGTAGGAGCAAGTGTCTCTTTTGACACGCGGTGTGTCACTAGAGTCAGGTCCGCCGCGGAATGCGAGGGACGGAAAGACTATCAATTCGGACCGCGCCGATACAACCACTAAACAATACAGAGTCGCTATGCCGAGGTCTCGAATGGAAGGATGCATGCCCCTGATTGGCGAGCGTCAGGCCTGCCGCCTATCCCCCACAATAAGCTAGCGAGCTGTTTCCCCACAGAACTCAGAAAGGGGTTGTTGTTGTGCTACGGTAATAGAGAGGGCGCTGTTGCCGGCAGAATGATCCGCCTGTTGGAAGGAAATGAAGCGGCGCTGCGGCGTAGTTCAACAGATGCGAGAAGGCCCATCAAACACCAACAAAATACACTCTGCTAGGTGCCTAGGCTAGCAAATGCACATAGAAGCGTCGAGGGCGCGGCTGGCACCGTGTTGTGTCGCTGGCAACTCCGTCTCACCCGGTGTCGGGATGATTTCGCAACGGTGGCCCGTGCGAAAACGTGGCGGACTGCACTCGTTGCTTGTTGAAACTCATCACATGATGACATCCCCTATTCGCCTTCCTACACGTCGCTCTCTTACGCAGTGAGCGTCTGGCTTTTCCTCCTCTGCAAATGTGTCCGACACCGGTCATAATGCACAGATCAGCGCATAGAGTTCGAGTCGTTCACTGGTGTCCTCGACCCAACACTGACCATGCTCGCGGCTGGCTGCACATGGGCTGATAGCTGACATGAGGCGGGCGCTAGGGGCATATCCCAACGCGTACCTTGCCGTCCCTCCCATGTACGAATAGCGTGGCAAGGTGTAGTCGCAGTGTAGCACCCGGCAAGCATGCACTTAGACCTGGTACAGCAGGCGATAGGACGATCCCTCCCGTTCAAGCATGAACCCGTATCCAGACGCCCAAAGCTCCACTGTACTAACTTCCAGCGCATATCGGTTTCTCTGATAATCTACAATTGCGTCCGTAACTTTTGTTCCCATTACTCAGGAGGACCCCTCGTCAAAATCACATCTAGCTTTGATCGCCTCTTTGTGTACGATCAAAAGCCACCCCGCAACCAACACCTGTGCAGACAAAGGCCCGTGGCTTACCACCTTGTCGATTCGGCAATCCTAGAGCCGCAGTACTGGTCTGTGGATCCCAGTTGCACGGCACCAGTCATCAGGCAATCGCTGCTTTGTTGCCGGAACTTGCAGGATGACATGAGGCCCTAAAGTCTGGTCTTTTCCCATTCAGACGCAGAACCTCCGTTCCACACCACACTCTCTCACAGGATACACCAAATGGCGCCTTACGAGATGGCGTCCGTCGACACAATCCTGGCTCTCGACAAGCGTTATTTCCCATATCCAAACAGTCTGGAAACATTGTCGCCTACATACCAAAAAGGCCTGATCCCCATCACCATCTTCGCCATGATGAGTCTGCTCTCAGTCACAGCATTGCTAGGTTTCATTACCCACCGCTTGATTTCATGGCGGAGACACTATCGGGAATACGTGGGCTACAACCAATACGTTATCCTCATCTACAATTTGCTCTTAGCAGATCTTCAACAGTCGATTGCGTTCTCAATATCCTTCCATTGGCTCCGAATCGATGCCATTCTGGCTCCAACAGCACCCTGCTTCATTCAAGCCTGGTTCCTGAACATCGGAGATGTGGCAAGTGGACTCTTCGTCCTGGCTATCGCAATCCACACATGGCTCGGCGTCATCAAGGGCTACAAGATGCCTTATATGTGGTTCGTCATATCGATCCTTGGCGTCTGGCTCTTCGCTCTACTGCTGACCGCTATCGGTCCGGCAATGTATAAGGACCGCTTCTACACAAGAGCCGGCGGCTGGTGCTGGATCTCATCGGACTTTCAGGACGAACGCTTATGGCTGCACTACCTCTGGGTGTTCATTGTCGAATTTGGCACTATTGCAATCTATGGCCATGTCTTCATCCACCTCCGTGGCCGCATTCGAAGCATTATAACGAACGATACCTCAAAACTGACGAGGGCCACTAAGTTCATGGTCTTGTATCCCATCGCCTATCTGGCCTTGACCTTACCAATCGCCGTGGGACGAATGGTTGCTATGGGAGGGGAAACGCTTCCAGATACCTTCTTCGTAGTCGCAGGCTCCCTTCTCACGTCTTGCGGCTGGGTCGACGCCGTCCTCTACGCCCTTACACGTCGCGTCCTGGTCAACAATGAACTTAGCACTGGCCAATATGCCCACACCGTCAACGCCACAATGACCAACCCAGCGCGTCCGGGCGATGACCAGAACTACGGCCTGACATCCATATCTACTAAGGAACCCATTACAGCAACTGCACGCACCGTCACCATCGTCGGAGGCAGCAATAGACTATCGCGCATAGTCGATCCCCGCCGCGGCCGTGGCACGCTGCGCTCGAAACACCACGATTCCTTTGCAGAAACCAGCCCAACACGGTCTGGCTCACAAGACTCGATCATCAAGCCGATGCGTCAAAACGAAATCAACATCGTTACCGAAACGAACATTCACGTCGAAACTGCGAGCTATGGCAGCCATGATAGCCATGACTTCGCATCGGGCGCGCCGTCGCCGTCGAGACCGATGAGTAATACAGACTTCAGCAGGCAGTCATGACATGCATTGTGAGTGTGCGGAACTATAGGCGCATGTTCGATTCTTCGGCAGGTTTGCTGATACAATTGAATGGCCCTCGCCGTCAGCAAAGACCTCATGGCGCAAAGCGTCCATCCGCAGTCACATCAACCCGTCAGAAAAATACAAACCACACACACAACTACCCTGTGCGAATGATTAAAAGCGGGAAGCGAGGAGTTCAACAACGGCGCAGTTCTTACATCCCTCTTCAGACTAATTTTTTTTGTCTTTATTGTTTGGGATTATTTTTTATTTTTTTTGGTTGTTGACAACGATGTTGCAACACATAGCCAGGGATTGGCATGGCACCCGGGATACCCAGTTTTCAGTAGATAGTTCACAAACGAAATGAAATACACAAAGCAAAAACATTTAACATTTAATTGACGTTTTCCGGCACTTGGTCTGTGTGGAGGTGGTTGGCGCAACATTGTGATCGCGAACGTGGCGCGTGCTGGGTGGTGAGCACTTCGTCTTTGTGTGTGTGAAGTGGCTTTGTTTTTGTGGCTACATCTAGATCCCTCTTGGACCCTTATTGGGTCAAGTTTTCCGATCTGGTGAATTCCTGGACAAAGAATAACACGCAAACTGTGTTCGGAAAATACATGAGCGTAGATTTTACAATAGTAATGATTGCATGACAACACGCATGCGTATCTCACACATCGCGCGCCATCGCCTCGCTTTCCATGCAAGGCTGGCGGTGTCGCCTAATTCCCTTGGGAACCACACCGTTTATTCCCAAACGGCCCGACGCCGTTGTCGATAGCCACGCTCAGCCAACATCTTCGATACGAAGGGTTTCCTTGTCCCTGCGTGCAGATTGTGGCTGATCCCAATGTCGTGCTTGTCGATCTTTCCCTGCGCGGATGGACCCGGAAATCATGGGTCGGGGCCACAAGGTTTAACATGCGGCGTTGCGAACGCATAGTCGGTGTCCTTCACGTGGGTTTGCGTCGACGTGCTCGGAGATTTACGAGTTCGGCTGGCGGTGAGGTGTCGAAGTTAAACGAAGGGAACATGCCAGATAGAGGTCTTCTGGGGCTGGGGTCTGGATTAAGGTTTTGCGGCTCGTTGGAGGAGGCCGAATCATCGGTAGTTTCGGCAGGAGACTGGGCAGAAGCCTGACGTGAAGTAGGTGTTGGTGAGTAGGTGCTAGGTGTGGTGTCGAGGTCGGAGGAGGGGAAGCTGTCGAATTGGGGCCCTCGTGAGTCGGAGCTCGATATAACGTTTTGTGTTCTGTTGGCTGGGATGTAGTTATGGGTCGATTCGGCAACGAACTGTGCAGAAGCCTGACGTGTTGCAAGCGCTGGTGAGTAGGCGACAGGATTGTTGAGCTGGGATGCTGTACTTGGCGAATAGCTTGCAGTCATGTCGTTTGGTGAACCGGAACCGAAGCGATCATCTGTGTTCGTGGACCGCGATGCTGCACTTGTCGGTGTTCTATCTGCAGGCGCGTTTCCAGGCCCCCGTCGAATCATGGCATCGTGTTTTCGGGGCAGTTTATACTTTTGAGCGTCAGGGCCGGCGCCCCCATTCTCCTTGTTTTGCATCATCTGCTGCAATTCGAATGCCTTTTGCTTCCACAGCAGTCCCTCTTCTCTTGCGTTCAGTTCACGTGCTCGGGCTTCGAGCAAGGCCTCCTTTAGCTCTAGTTCCCTAGACGCGGACTGGTGCTGGAATACCGCTGGCTTTGAAGAGCTCTGCAACATAGCTCTCTTCTCGTTGGCCTGTTTGACTGAGCGCGCTTCCATTGCGGCGGGCATGTCCAGTAATTCAAGGCCATTACCTAACCGAACATTTGGCTGCAATGTGCCATCCACATATGTGCCACGGAAAGTTCGTAGCGCTTTTTCGACTGCAGAGTTTTGTTTAAGGGTTAAGTTAGAGCCACCCGTGATTGTGCTGTGGATGTACTCATGAGTAGTCTCGTCAAATGAAACCGTGATATGCTCAAACGGGATCTCAGCAGTCGTGATATGCTCACCATTATGTACCTTTCGAGCAACAAGACGCAGCACGGGCCCTAGAGAAGTGCTTCGGTCATTGCTGAATTATTTTAGCCTAGCACGTACTTGCACGTAGCTTGTGCTCACTTGATCACAACAAGGCGTTTCTTAAGTGCATCACTCTGGCGGTTTGCTTGCATCCGAAGAGTGGGTGCAGATATAAAAGGCGCAATTACTTTCATGCGCAGCTCAAAGGCGTCATGATCCAGGTATGTGTACGGCACGATGAATATAGAACCATCATCGAAATACGCCCAGCTAGTTGGTCGGTTCTTGGTAAGACGCGTAGTACTAAAGAGTTTACCCAGATTGACAAAGACTGATGCGGCGCGCACATAGTCCGTCATGATGGGTCTTTGCGATTGTCCTTGGGTGACGAGATCTTGTAGTGTGCGTGCATTCCAATAGCCCAAAGGCTACCTCAAGCTGCGCAGCCGGTTTTCAACCAGAATTTTGTGCAGCAGAGGCGACCATTACCGGCAGCTAGGAAGACTTGGGCACGAGTATGGACGAACGAGGGGCGAGTCTGGAGCCGCGGTGCAAGGCGTATAGGGAGCGAAAGTGGCAGTACTAGCAACTATCAGTATTCCAGAACACTAATCAATAATGGAGAAATTGCACTACGAGAAGTGCTACTTGGGTGCCCGTACCTCAAATGTGGAACATGCGTTGGGATGTTGTGGTGGCTGTGGAGCATTCGCGATGCACCTGCACCAGAAATTAAAGTATGTGCATTGGGCGCTCGGGACAAGCGCGTATCAGTGACGTCCGATCCCGGATCTGCAATTGTCTTAAATACACCTCACACCTCCTCACAACCACAGGAATTTAATCCAGAGCGTCCAAATATGCGTCTGACACACACACAAGCACTTCGCACTGAGCAGATTGCGCCACTTATTGCTTACAGGCCGATTTGTAGGGAAAACCGCCCGACAGTGCGATCACACTGAGACTGAACTCATTTCAAAGAGAATACAAGAGCAAGGTTACTGTGGAGCAATGTCATAAAATATTGCGAGAGGCAAGATTCGGGTAGCATGGAACGCCTGATGCGCCATGTGCCGCGTCACCGGTGAAAGCTTCCATCCATCGTTTCTATCCTGGCCCCCACAACGCCAAACACCTCGACACTTTTGGAAAAGAGCGACCCATATCCTCCTCTATTTTCTTCGGCCTGCCCAGCCGCACGCCGCTGATATGTCTGCCAAGGTCTGCTGCCTGGCTTGTACCCATGTCCTTCGGATTCGTGAGCGAGCTGACACCCAGAGCGAAGTGGTGAGCCGAGACTGCGCGCATGCACGCAGCGAGTGAGGCAGTAAGCTTACTGTCATGAAGCTCACACCGGTATTGCAGTCTGAGACTGATCCAAGGCCAGTCCCAGTAGCGCGCCTCTCAGCACACGTTAGGCTCAAGATGGTTCTACTTTGTCCACGATGCTTTCAATGGCCATGGACCGCGTGGAAGGTGTTGTTGGGGTGGGTGGTGCCTTTGCTTCGACCTTCGGCAGCGCGGGTGTCTGTTGCGGGTGAGGCGGAGCTGGTGGTAAAGAAATATTGCTCGTGTCGTCGGAGAGCGGCTCGTTGTCGTCCCCAATGATCTCGTCCACCTCTCGCAGCCAGTTTGTCTTCAGCACCTCCATGGGCGGATCCAAGTCGCCAGGTTTTCCACCTCGTCGAGCTTCTGCAGCGGTCATCTTGCGCTCGCCGCGCTTGTGGGGATGGAAGTGCATGCGCCGAAGATGGCTCGCAGCATTATAGCACTCGTTATACCTCTTGCCCGTCTGGCAGGCTTTGCAATTGGCAAGAAACGTCTTATCAGGTGAAGTGTCGATAGTCACCCAGACCTTGCGCACTGGTTTATGAACGCGGTTGGTATGACGCCGCAATTCATGTTCACTGCGGAAGCCGTCGGGATAATCGCTGCACTTCGGGCACTTGAGTCGCAGCACCCGGCGCGTTGGTGTCTTTAAAGACGTTTGGAATGTTGGCGAGGTATTCAACGGGTCTTCTGTGAATGGAGCTGTGACAACTGTTTCCCTGGGAGCCGAAGGTGGTTCCTGGGGACCAGGAGCCTGAACAACAGTATCTGGGGCAACGGCAGGTACTTGTTCCTTCATCTTGGCTCTCGATCTTGTCGGAGGCATGAATATGCAATGCCTTCCAGGGTCCAGCAAGGCTAGGACGAGCGTAGACCTGTTTCCTCCGCGGTGAAATGGTAAAAGTTTGGTTTTCGGCTAGGCGGGGCGTCTGCGGTTGCTCCAACGGCTACTACCTCCCTTGGGAATTAGTATGGCAGCAATTGAGGGGAGCAGCCGGGTGTTAAGGATGTGCGATGCGGCTGTAGGTCGATCTGGGGAGCGCGGGGCCTGGGCAGCCAAATACCTTCCGCCTGATAGCCCGATCTTCGCAAGGCTTACGAGGCTGAGTTCAGCAGCCTTGTTCTTGCCATCTGAGTGGGCGACTCGACATGCAGCCACTCCTTGAAGCGGCGTCGATGCGGCGGGCTGAGCCCTTATTGGCCTTCGGAGCGAATCAGGCAGTAAGACGCGCAAAGCTGGGAAGTGGCCCTTTACCGGTTTGTCCAAATTATGAAAAAGCACGAAGGATCCCGCAGAACCCTGCTTCGCATCATTCCACCATCGCGAAAACCTGCAGGCCAGAGAGAGCGCGGCGTGTGAGCTTGACGGGGGAGAGCGAGCTGTTGTGCTCGTTCAACTCTTTACATGCTTTTCCATTTTGAGATTTCGCGCTCGGGGCTAGAACTCTGCGTGCCGCCCGGCCTTTCGCTGGACCACCATCCCTTCGCACTTGCGTTGCATCATCGTTCCAACACCATGCATTCCGCCCACTCTTGTGTGCATCAGCACTGCTTTTTTACGATTTGGTCCCCTGCCCCGGCCAGCCTCGTACAGAAGCCAAGGACCGGATCCAGCCGCCTCTCTGCGGCCCATGCAGCCTCGAGTCCAATAGCAAATCAGAGTTTCGGGAAGACTGGTTTCTTTTACGAAGCGTCGCCGATTAAGAGCCACCAAAGTGCGAGGCCGTCAGCCCAGCTGAGAACACATCGGCTCTTAGCACCACCTCGCTAGATATCTGCGCAGGACGCCGCCAGCCTTCACTGGCGCGATCGATGGTAAGCATGTCTCAAATTCAAACACCGCTCTGTGGGGGCGCAATAGGTGTAATACGACCACATGAAAAAATTGTTGGGATCCTAGCACCAGTCCCCGCATTGTCGAGATCGTTGCTTGGCTGTCGGTTGTAATGGCAGATGGGTAATGGACGTAAGACCGGTCCCCCGTCTTCCGAGGCTGACGAGTAATCGCCACGGACCTGTTCGGACCATGAGAACGATAAACAAGTGTAAGAAGACGCAGCGTTTTCGGTATGTGTATCACATAAACCGCAGAGGATCGCGGTCTAAGGTGTCTTAAGCTCGAAAATGCTGTCCGTGTCTGCCGTACTCGTCTATGAATATTTCCACGTGTTACACTGGCAGCCTTCAGCCCGCTTTCATGTCAGCCTTCCGTTCAGTAGCAGCTCCGCCTTCTCCATTCAGAAGCCAAGGATGCGGAAGGACTCTTATTGATTCGTAAGCCTCTCGCCTGCAATGGGACGACTCGGCGTTTCATGTTCTCACCAAACGTATTATCTAGCTTGCTCGCGATGTCCTACCTACTTTGGCCAGGTTATGCATCGTTGTTGCTCTTACACACGCAGCGCTAAAGCCAATTCTTACGAAATGCCGTCGGTTCACTGACCGAGCAAGCCAAGAGTATCGACGCTCTATAACCCAGACACTATTTGGGAGAATGAACAAACTCTGGCTTATGGTTTCGCTGAGAATCCTGATTCTACCGAGATACGAACCGATCCGAACTGCCGGACGCCGTGCAAAGATCGCGATATCGCTGTCAGCTTCAACTCAATGGGTAACGACGTGGAAAACACCTTGACGTCGCCGCTGTTCGCAGGTCCGCGGATATAATACCTATGCCTTGTTTGAGATAGCCTTGCTTATTGTTATCGATAATTGAGCCGGTGAGAACGTCTGTGGCGTCAAGCAACTGCTCCACTGCTAACGACCCTGGAGCGCCATCGGACGCACCCTAACAGCTACATTCGCGAACAAGGCAGTCACGAACGAGGCAGCCGCGAAATCTGACGTAACCCGCGGAAGTTGTTTGATAGATGCAAAGTCTCTATGCATTGCTTTACATCGCATGCAATGGAATAGGGGCAGATCTATGTGCTCGTCTGCTTTCTCGTGACATCGCAGGCTTGACCTAATACTAAATGAGGCCCCGATATAATGAACAGCCAGAGGCTCGTAGGCGTTTTCCAGACACAAAGTCACTATACATTGGTTAGCGCTCGAAGATCTGAAGTCTGTCAGGTACACGCGAATTTCGCACGCTTCGTTGCCTGAAACACATTGAATACTCCCGGACGCTAGCCATCCGGACTCTAGCCGGTCTAGGAACCCAAAATTCGGACTTTGGGATCGCACGATAACCAATTATATCTGCGCAAAGTTGTCACAGACTATTGTTTTCTGTATCCCTCACTCATTTTTCCAGATGGTCACGTGTTCCCCAGGCCGAACTCGGCAAGTTCCTACAGTACCCAGAAAGTGTCGCGCTGTATATCGGCCAAGCGTAGTGTACCGCCCTGGAAAAGTGTTTGCGCTCGACATCGGCACACTCCTGAGAGAGAAACTTGGCTAGGAAACTCTACTTGTCCCTCGCAAGATTCATTGTCGGTCGCACTATCGCGTGGCATGATCAGCTGTACTCCTACATGCGTACTTCAACATTCCGGGTCCAACAGCCAAGAACACCGCCTGCTCTATCATGTGTCATGTACCCAGATCGACCATGGTAGGACAGGGAAGAAACTCAAATACCCAGATCCCAACGTTGCGGAAGTGTCATCTGCCAAACCCAATCTCGACACCAGCGGGTGCCTGACTTACTCCTATCGTGACAGGTCGTAGTATGTGCTACACTGGCCTTACCCAATGTTGGAGTCTTGGTCTATTGGCTCTAGCATGTATGTTGCTACTATACCATTGGGGATCGACGTGTGATCTGCAGTTGAACCAGTGGACTGGGCGCTGATCCCTGTTGTATAAAAGCTTCTTTACACGCAACGGGGTGGAGGGCAAGGAAAGCTATTCACTCTCTCATTCTCTTGTTCAGTTGTTTCTTCTCTTGACCGACTTTGTGACTCTAGTTAGGCAAGCTCGGACTATCCGCTCATTACACGTGGCTCGGTGGGTAATTGCACCTCACAACTTTAAATCTAGATCAAAGCTCTGGAGATACTTGCCCGTCAAAACTTTAAATCAAAACAACACAAATCTTTTTTTCGCCTTCCTCGATCAACCTTCAAAGACTCGACGACATTCGCAACATTCGCGGTACAGGGAACCTCACCACCACTATGAAGCTCTTCTTCCTCCTCAGCGCGCTGATTGCGTTTGTCTGCGCCGATGCCAACTTCGCAGACTGGCACCCGCAAGGCGACGGCGAAGTGCGCTCGCCCTGCCCAGCGCTCAACTCCCTCGCCAACCACGGCATCCTCCCACGAGACGGGCACAACCTCACTGTACCCATCCTCGTCAAAGCCATGGGCGAAGGCCTCAACGTCTCCCCCGAAGTTGCCACCTCCCTGTCCAACCTCGGCATGACTCTGTCCAAAAACACAGCCAGCGGCGCTTTCAACCTCGACGACTTGAACAAGCACAACGCCATTGAGCACGACGGCAGCCTCAGCAGGAAGGACATTGACCTCGGCGGCAACGAGAAGTTAGATGCCGATACGTTCAAGCAGACGCTGGGCTTCTACAAGGGCGCGAGCAACATTGGACTTGACGAAGTGGCTGCGGCCCGCTGGGGTCGTGTGCAGAACTCCAAGACGAGGAACTCCAAGGTCCAGTATGGCGATGCGCAGCGGTTTCCGTCGTACTTTGAGTCTTCGGCGTATTATCAGCTGTTCAAGGATCCGAACTCGAGCAAGGCTAGGGTGGATTGGATCAAGGTCTTTTTCCGTAAGTTTCTTTACCATGTGATCTTGGGCTGGATCAGAGCTAACTGTTGCGTCAGAGGAGGAGCGCATGCCAGTCAACGAGGGATGGAAGCCCGTCAACCACATCGATGGCTTCTCGGTTGCTCAGGTGATCTTGCAGTTGGTTATGCGCACGCCAGAGAAGGTTACTGATGCCACTTCGCCGTCTGATAACTTCTGCATTGCGGGCTTCTGTGGTCTTTCGCCGGGCGGCTTTTTCAAGTCTTTCCGGGCCTAGAGAGTTAGTCTTTGGGCGGTTCACAACCATCTGCGAGCCGTAGGCGTGGCTTTGGCACGGCCGATTGTATACATAGACAAAATACCCTGCATAAAACGAATTGTGTATGCCAACGAGTTTCTCCGCTTGCTTTACCATGTAAATCTTCCGTCCTCGTTGTGTTTGACAAATGACCTCCCCGCTTGCCAATTCTCTTCCAAGTATGAAGTGTGGTCAAGTTCAGGGGGGCCTGACACTTGCGTGATATGGAGTGGGAGATCGACAGGAGATCGCGGTATGTACCGCACTTTAGTTTGACCGGCATGGCTGCTTCCGAACCAGATCAATAGTTGTTGTCAGGTACCATGTAAAGGATGATGATCGAGGTAGCCGCGATATCCAGATGGCATCTGGCGGGTTTGGCGCCGTCGTTCAGTGTGTCGAATGCGGAACGGTTACGTGCCGAGGTGTCTTTCTGCACAGGGGATTGATCTGCCAGTCTTGTGCCTAGGCCATTTTCTGTAGGTACTCTGCTGCTCGGCTTTGAGAATAACTCCCAATATGTCTACAGAACCAAGGTGCTTTGTGATAGAGACGTAATTGGCTATGTGTCTCGAGCTCTCTGCATGAACGAGGCGCGCCGCTTAGATAATCATAAGGCGGCCATCGTTACTCAGAGCTTGATTCAAAGAATGGAAGAACTTGGAGACAATTACATGTGGCAGACAAGACGTGAGAACACTGGGCGATGAGGGTGGTGAAAGTGAAGACGGGTGTTGCGAGGCTGATGCAGGGTCAAATGGACGCATGGGCCCCACATTGACGTATGCAGATGATTCCCATAGGGTCAAATCTAGACGCGTCCTCCGCTCGTCTACGAAAGTCGAAGTTGACTAATCTGGTATACAGACTTACCACGGCGTGATACTGGCTCTTTCCGCGATACTGCTGCTAGCATCATACCCAGGCCCCTGCGCCTACTCTTGCGCAGCGCTCGTGTTCGCCATGCGACGCCCTCAACGACCGAGGTAGGAGAGCCGCAATCGCACAGCAATGTCTGCACCCTCCAGCGACGGCCGGCCCTCGACATCCTCGGAACCTTCGGCGACGTCATCGCGGACACTTCATTCGAGGGGCTCGGGTGCCTACACCGAGCATGGAGAGGGCAGCACCCATCGGCAGAGATACGCCTCTGGGTACGACACAGGCACAGTGAATGGCGCAAATGGGACGCAGTCACGGAGCCAGAATGGACTTCTCTCTACTGAGTCTGTGGACGACCAGGACTTTGCCCGGCGACGACAACGAGTGCGGCGATCAGGGGGCTTCCTGCTGGAATCGAGCTTTCCCACCAGTCCGCGCAAGCACCAGGCACGTGCCGATGACAAGGGAAAACGAAGCTCGCGGCATCTCGACGTGTCTAGGGTCGACGGCCAGCAAGATGGTAGAAGGCGAAGGCGGCACTCACCTGACAGCTCTCCCGTGACCAGGGATCGAGAAAGTGCTGCGAGCGAGGCAACATACAACGGTTCAGTTGAGACAAGGATGCAGCACGGCGACGAACTTCATGTTGGCAGAACTAGGAATGACGCGTGGAATATGCAGGATGGTAACCAACGGCCGACAACACCACAAGCACCCGCCATCGACCCAAACCAGCTCGTACACATGGCTCTTAATCTGAGCGAGAGTCGAAGGAGGAACATCAACGCCGGTCCGTTGCTAGCAGCCCAGCCGAGGACCGCGTCTGGTGGCCAGCGAGAAGGAAGCTTCTCTAATCAAGGTGCTGGGGGCAGTCTGAGGCAGTACTTGAACGAACAACGCAGAATGTCGCGGAACATGTCTCCCATGGGAGGTCAAGGCTCGCCATCGCGACATATGTCAACTTCGATGCAACGGAGCGGGTCCATGGCGTTTCCAAGCTCACAGTCTTTCAATCCTTCGCCCGCCACGATTGCTCGCAGAGACAAAGCTCGCAACTACATTGAGCTACGGATAGAATACCTGCGGCTACTGGAGCATCTGCCACCACTCAAGCTCGATGCTAATGCACCCGGCAACTTCATTGTGACCGCAAACAACATGCCAGGCAGCCCACAGGCGCAACTCACTCGGGTGCCCTCGTACGCGGGCAAACAGTACGATCTGGGCCGCCCATATAACCCTTTGCAGTACATTCGGAACAGGAGAAGCAGGGCGCGTGAACGACGATCTCTCAACCATGCCCCTCATGAGTTCGCCGACATCCATGAGGTTCGCGATTGGGTCGATACCGTCGAGCGGACTGCAGCACGACCTGGGTACCGGCGAGACGACGGTGTGTCCTTGCCCAAAATCCATGATGATCATCCCGAGAGCCTTGAGTCCAGAAAGCCGCCGAAACCACACAAGGGGTGGATATTTGCACCGGAAGAGCTGCTTGCGGATGCATATTGGCTTGAGCAAGGGGACAATAAGACGATCATTGAGAATCGTCATGGTCGCAAGATCTACCCGCCTAGAGAAACACCAAAACCAGACTTGTTGCAACCCCGCGCGAGCAAAGAATACTCCGACAAGCGAAGGAGAAGCTGGATCGAAGGTGTGACAGGTGGCGACCCTCCAAGCGGAGGCGAGAGCGAGAAGGGAAGCGAACGTGGTCGCAAGCGAAGGCTCCTTCCTGCGTTCCGCTCGGACAGTCCAAAACATGGCAGACATTCTCGACATGGCTCACGTCTTCGGGCAAATATTGACAGCGACTCATCAGACTCGGATTCCGATTCAGGGACACGTAGGCCGCGTATCGTGATCGACGAAGACCATAACACAGGTCCTTTAGCACTACAGTTGGAGACGAGGCTGAAGCAGCAGGCAAATCAAGCACACGAAAAGTCGCCAAACATCGTCTCACCAGACACGCCAGACAAGTGGGGTAGATATCATCCCGGTGTGTCAGCAGAGAAAGTATCCAGAGACTCACTGGAAGTCCCTCGAATCGGCAATGGATTTTCAAGCATGGATCATCCCGGACATTTCAGGATGCCACCTCGCGTGCGGACCAATGCTACTCTGACTATAGACGACGACATTGAGCCTCGCTCCTCATTTGATGACCAGGACAGTACAGCGCCGAATACTCCATTACACCAGAAGCGATTCCCGCGCCTTAGCGGGCATTACTCGCCTCCGCCTAGTCGCGATAGCTCCGTGACCCGGAAGTCCAAGCGTAACAAATTCAATCCATTTCATTCTCATGAGAATAGCGGAGAACACGAAGATGATCACAATGATACGGAGTCGGCGGAAATGGACAAGAAGGGGCGGTCTCGGCAGACGAGCGACGAGAAGCAAGACAGTGGCCATGTCGGGCATGCGATCATGGCTGCTCCAAGTGCTGTCAAATCACTCCTTATGCATCGGAAGAACGACAGTACCAGTAGCTTGCCTAGTCCGGAGAAACTTCGTCGTAGAGACACGCAAGAACCTCACTCTGCTGTCTCTCGATTCTTCCAGGGCGTTAAGCACGAAGGCTCGAAAGTCGGAGGGTTTGTGTTCAGAAGAGATCGTCCGGACGATGATGACACAGACACTATGTCTGATAGCCAAACTGCAGAGTATGGTACGGATACGTCTGTCAAAGGTACTAAAACCCATCGACTAGCATTATCTCGTTCGGCTACAGCAACTACAATTGATGCGCCCACTCCGAAACGCGACAGCCGCTATCATCTGGACCTACCAACGTTCAGACCGGCGCACGAAGCTCATATGGATGGAGATGGTGGGTTCCTGCCCATGGATCATATTTCGCGACAAAATCGTGAACGACAAAATAGCCGTTCACCTCGCTTCGACAAACTCGCGCCGCCGCGTATGGATCTGGGTAGACTAAATACCACAACGTCTCAAATCGTATCAGAAGTCAGTCCGAAACACGGTCAAGATCAGATGAAGAAGGTACTCGCTCACCCTAGTGGAGTTGGTCACGAAGATCCGTTCGCAACCAGTCTGAGGAACGCTCGCGATACAAGCGATCGAAACCGAAGCAGGTCAAGACCAGGACTTGACGGAAAGCGCCACTGGAGTATTGCTGACGATGATGGGAACATCCTCCGTCGCAAGACTAACGCAGAACTTGTCACGCAAGCTGACATTGCGCGCGTACGTGCTCTGTTCCTATGTTCTGGTGTGAAGGCGAAGGAGATCAATCGTCGAGCCCATACCAAAAGATCGCCTCCAGCAGACTTCCTCGTCAGGGCCGCGAAGACGGCGGATAGAGAGCTGGTTCCCGTTGCCAGAAAGGAGGAACATGTCTTGGCTGCGCGACTGTTATTGCGCGAACTAGAGTCATCGACTCGGTCTCTCAGCGCATCCACGCAGCAATTCCGTAACAAGACGATCAAGGAACTGTCCGAACGCGTGACGGAATTGAGGCGCAAAGTCGATTCTGATCTCATGCCTCGGATCTTTGAGGGTGGAGACACTGCTGTTCGTATTACTAGCGAGATATCAGGCCAAGGTCCTTTGCAAGTCAAACAGATCACAGACGATATCGACCGAATGTTGCGCGCTCGCCCACGCCGAATGAGATGGCTCCGCGGCTTTGGATGGATGCTGGTCGAGTGGGCGCTAGTTGCAGTCATGTGGTGGCTGTGGCTTGTAGTTGTTCTAGTAGGATCTGTGAAGAGAGTATTTGGATTTGGATGGGGCGTTGTGAGGTGGTTGCTGTGGCTGTAGGCGGCCACTTCGACTGCAATCCTCTTTGTATGATGCTGCATGAGAAGGCGCTTGGTCCGTCGTTATTGCATGGTGTTTCGATTATCTTGGTACATGGGAACGGCGTTGGATCGATACCACAAAGACTGTAAGAGGAGGATGCCACAGATTTCTTGGATACCGATAGTATAGATTACTTTAATGTACAGCAAATAATTCCTACTGTCATTTTCGATGACTGTTTGTACCGTTCCAAAACAATTGGCTCATCGCATGATCACTGTTAAACCGGTCGGAATTGCAGGTGTTCTTGGGCTGAGGAGAGTTCGTGTGAAAAGAGCTGGACGCCTCAGACCGCGCCTCACTACGTCATCGCATTGAACTAGGCACCTGTCGCGCGTCTCTCAAAACACGACCAGTTCCCCTGCACAAGCTGTCCCTACCATAATAGAAGACCCACCATCCTGCGTCCCTTTTCCCTCGGCTCTTTTACTTGTGTGTGGTTCACACAACGATGCTTTGTTGATTTTGCTCAAATTTTCAACCGCAATACGATGGATCTTCAGACTGTGTTCATCGCCAAGGGCAATGGCACTAGCGGTGATCAGTCGGTAAGTCATGGATTCATCCATCAATGATGAAGAAGTTCGGTCTAATATCATTAAGGGCCCGTCCTCGCTCGGCGCAGTAGCTGCAGCTTTTGTCCCGACTGCTCTCACAGCAGTGTTGTTCATCATCGCTTTCGTTCTCATTCGACAACGGTTTCCAAACATCTACTACCCACGAACTTTCCTGGGAACTGTGCCAAAGAAAGATCGTACGCCATGTCAGAACCGTTCTTACTGGGACTGGATCCACACCATGAGGGTTGTCCCGGACAAGTGGATGCTGTACCATCAATCGCTCGACTCGTACCTGTTTCTTCGCTTTCTGCGAACCTTGATCTTCATATGTGTTGTGGGCGCATGCATCACATGGCCGATTCTGATGCCGGTCAATGCGACGGGTGGGGGCAAGGCGACTGAGCTCAATCGCATCTCGATTGGTAATGTCAAGAAGAGGAAACATCTGTACGCTCATGCGACGGTGGCATGGGTCTTCTTCAGCTTTGTCATGTTCACGGTGGCAAGAGAGAGGTTGTGGCTCATTGGGTTACGACAAGCCTGGAATTTGTCGAAGACCAATGCGAAGAGACTTTCGTCTCGTACCGTTCTGTTTCTCTCAGCACCAACGCCTGCGCTCGACCAAGCCAATATGCAGCGGTTTTTCGGCAACGATGCAGTACGAGTATGGCCGGCCACCAAAGCTGATAAGCTGAAGTCACTCGTCTCTTCCAGAAACTCTTTGGTGGAAGAGCTAGAGTCAGCCGAGCTGACGCTCATCAAGAACGCCAATGAGAGAGGCAGGAAGAGACAGAGCAAGAACAGCCGCCGTGACGTAACGTACGACAGCTTTTCCGACGGTATCAAGAAATCACTGCGACCAACGCATCGCCTGAAGACAGAGAAAGTTGGTAAGCAGGTCGACAGCATTGATTACTACCGTGAGAAGATTAAGGAGAAGGAATCCGAGATTGAGAGAGCCAGGGAATCCAACGCGACTGCTGATAGTCATGGCGGTGCAGCAGCAGTGTTTGTGGAGTTCCGCACACAAGCTGCAGCTCAACACGCGTGTCAGCAAGTTGCTTCCGCAGACATTCTTTCATTGACTCCACGCTACACAGGCGTCAAGCCCAACGAAGTCATTTGGGAGAACTTGACTTTGGCACCGGCACGCCGACTATCTCAAGAGGGCATTGCACTGGCTCTGGTCATCGCGACGATCATCTTTTGGTCGATACCAGTATCTCTGGTTGGCGCAGTATCCAACATTGGCTACCTTGCGGAGAACTTCAAGTGGCTCGCTTTTCTCAACAAGCTTCCACCTACTGCCATAAGCCTGCTTTCTGGCCTGCTGCCTCCACTGCTACTCAGTATGCTGGCTTCGTACGTGCCAAAAATCTTCCGATGTAAGTAAACATATCTTTGGCTCACGCATTCCTACTAACATGCTCAGACATCTTCAAGACATTCGGTGAAGCTACGAATACCTCGGCTGAGTTACGAGTGGTGAAGTGGTACTTCGTCTTCCAAGTCCTACAGGTCTTCCTTGTCACAACACTCGCCTCCGGAGCTGCTGCAGTTGTGTCCCAGATCGCCAACAATCCGACTTCTATTCCTCAGCTACTCGCAGATAAGCTACCGAGTGCCTCAAACACATACTTGACGTACTTCATCATCCAGGGCTTAAGCAACGCTCCGAGCAATGTACTCAATTACTCGGATGTACTGTCATGGGCCTTTTTCGACAAATTCTTCGATAAGACGCCGCGACAGAAGTACAACAGTTATGTGTATATGAGGGGTATGCAATGGGGCAAGCTGTTCCCGAAATATGTCAACTTCGTTATCATTGGTAAATTGCATCTTTACTATTTTCAAACATTGTATTGACGTGTCTAGCAATTGCCTACGCGTGCATTGCGCCCCTAGTGTTGGGTTTCGCCGCTCTTGGTCTTGGTCTGTTCTATTACAGCTACCGCTACCAGTTGCTCTACACCAACCAACCCAAGGTCGACACGAAGGGCCATTGCTATACTTTGGCTCTACAGCAGATCCTGACTGGTATCTACATCGCCGAGCTCTGCCTGTTTGGTCTCTTCAGTCTACGCAACGCTACCGGTCCATCCATCATGATCGCCCTCCTCTTCGTGGCCACAGTCATCTTCAATTACACCACAAACCGATACTTTGCGCCGCTGGAGCAGTACCTTCCTGCTGACTTGGCTCTGGAGTCTGGAGACGATGAGCAAGCTCCCTTGTTATCTGCGGCCGAAGAGGGCGAAGCAGATGCGTTGCGGAATACAGAGTCGAACATCGATCGGCTGACCAGCCGCGCACGTGTTCCCAAGAAGGTTGTCACTCCCATCGCGCGGTTCCTGCAACCGCATATCTTCGCCAGCCACACAGCTATGAAAGAATGGTTGCGAGAGGGCGACTTTGATCCAGATGATGTACCGGAGTACAGCGAGGAGGATCTGAACAAGGCTTATCTGAACCCAGCTTATACGAGCAAGACGCCTGTCGTGTGGCTGGCGAGAGATAGCATAGGCGTAAGCAAGAGCGAGATCCAGGCGAATGAATCGGCGGGGATTCAGTGTAGCGATCAGGGTACATGGATTAACGAAAAGGGAGAATTGAAGTGGTCTTCGGATAACTTCGATGAGGTACCTATCTTCAAGGAGGGAAAGAAATGGTAGTCATCACACTGGAATTAATTTGAACACAAAAAGCATCACATAGTCATATTTGAGACACTACATACACGCATGTTCTGATTTTGACTTCTCAATACAGCGCGTGGAATGGAAGACAAACATGGCATTCCACCTGCATGCCCCCAATCACGGCATCCAACCCCGCCATTGTGCCACCCGAAACAACTTACTGGCTGCCGAACACCGTGTTTCATGGCTGCTGAAAGTATCGATCGGTAACAATGACGTAGCCGCCCCTGACATATTCGCTTGCCCTTTGAGCGTCGTCGCAACAATCTAAAGCGGAAGCTGTTTATGAAACCTGCTTTGTCCAGCGCAAGGACAATCGCTCGTATATAACAATCTCACAGTACCTCTTCTCCGTCACAACTGAATTGTCACATTCAGCTTTTGAGATACCATGTCGTCACGCAGATCCGGCCGCGCAAAAGCGCCCGTCAAATACACATCTGATTCCGACGACTCAGACTTCGGCAACAAGAAGCCGCGCAAATACAAGACCGCAGCGACGCCCAAGAAGCGCACAAAGATAGAGGTTGAGCCTGACGACGCGCCTGCGCCCAAGAAACGCACAAAGAAAGATGCAGACCAACTCGCCTCTGACGCCGCGGCTGCGCAGGAAAAAGCCTCCAAAGCCGCGCACAAACAAGCGTGGGATGCATGGCTCAAGGACAATGCGCTACCTGAGGACGATAGGTTACTAGATGAAGAGCCAGACAAGGAGATTAGCATTACGCAGACGGACGCGGGCAAGAAATACGGCCTGAAGAAGGAGGAATTGAGCGTTGTAAAGCACTTTGAGAAGCGCAATCCGAATCCGCTGTATAAGAACGACATCAAGTTGTTTGTGGAGAGCGAAGTTAAGGAGCTGGGGTGGAGAAAACTGGGAATGCTGGTGGGTGAAGAGGGTGAGGATGCGGTAAAGAAAGGGAGGGAGATGTGGGAGGAGGAGTAAGTCCTTTACTTTTGCAAATTGGGTAAAATAGCAGGCTAACCCCACCCCCGTAATCAGGCACAAGAACGACCCGGAGCCCAAGCCTGAACCAACGAAGAAAGAAAAACCAAAGTCGAACAAACAACTCTGGACCGCGTGGGTCGATTCCAATACGCACCCCTCTCCACTACCCAATCTCGAGGCGGAACCAGAGAACGCGATTAATCAGACGGAGTGTAAGGCAAAGTACGGCCTTGTTCCGCAGGATATGGTTGTGCTGGAGTACTTCCCCAAGCCGAATCCAAAGTACGGGAACACGACGAAGCTGTTTGATGAGGAGGCGGTGAAGAAGTTGTGTTGGAGGAAGACGGCGATTCTGGCGGGGGAGGATGCTGGTGGAGATGAGGAGGGGTTGTTGGAGAAGGGAGAAAAGCTGTTTGGGGAGAAGGATTAGGGATGGGAGGGGGGATGATGAAGAAGCAAAATGGTGTGTGCGGGTATCTACATCGAAAGGGTGCAGATGCTCTTCTTGAGGGGTAGTTGAGAGTTAAAACAGTAACAAATGTCAAGAGCAAATACTTCATATGATGTACACATTAAGCATTATTTATTCAGAGTTCACTCCTGTCTGAGAAAGACATGTAATGACGTACAACTAAGGTGTTAGTTATGCGACCACTACATGATTTGGTCTGGTCTGAGCACAATATACAACCACACCATACGAGGACGGACGCGAACTATATCGGTAAACATCACACATCAAGATCAGCACATGGGACGTTTGATATGTTTCATTGGCGTGAGGGGTGACTCAGCCATGTTGGCACATTGTTTATCTGCACCATGCTTTCGCCGCTTTCAATGCTAGTGAAAGTGCAGAAGAGAGTAAAATCGAGAGATCCGAGAAACCACGCCGTGAACCATCCATATCCCATTTTGCCGCACGCACACCCTTCCACGTCTAGATCGTTGTCTCGTAAGGTACAGGTGTGATGTTCTCGGGCTTGTTGTCCTTCAGGCTGACGGTGCGCTCGCCCTGGGGCTGCTTGGGGATACGCTTCAGCTGCTGCTTCTCGCCAGTCTCCTTGGCCTTCTGTTGGAGGGCGAAGTTGGCCTTGACGCGCTTGAGGAAGTCCTCTCGCGAGCGGGACATGCGGACGTGCTCGATGCGGACGTTGATGCGCTTCTCCATGTAGCGGTTGCCGACCTGCTTCTGGAGGATGACTCCGACGGCGGATTTGGTGACGTTGTAGACGATACCGGTCTTGCCGTGGTAGACCTTGTAGGGCATACCCTTCTGGACCGCACCTGTGGAGTGTGAGCGCCAATTCCAATTACAATTCCACCTCCCGCCTCAGCTGGGTTTTCCGGGGCTTCGTACCGTTGGCTACGACATCGACGATGTCACCGACCTTGTACTGCTTGAGGTAGGTGGAGAGCGGGATCATTCCCTTCTTCTTGAAGTCCCTTGAGAAGCTGCATGCTGTCAGTGGCCGTGTCGCAAACAATTCTTCGCCGGGCTGCACTCACGCATAGCGCGTACCCGCGCGGAGACCGGCTGCGTGACCCATTGTGAATTTGTGAGGGTGGTGGTGTTAGTGCGGCGGTGATGTTCGTGAAGTTCTTTGGGATTTCGTCGCCCACCATCGCTCAGTGTGCTAACCGAGCGCTTGGCGGCGCTAGTACCCACCACCAGCACGAGATCGAAATTCCCACGCACGAACTTCTTCCTCCGACTCGACAACTCCATCGACAGCAATCATGGTCGCCCGTTCCTACTCGAAGACGTACTCCGTCCCCCGTCGTCCTTTCGAGTCCGCTCGTCTGTACGTATTTCCCTAGGCCACTAAGCTAGAGCGTGCTCTGCTTATGTCTGGGAGCAACTGGTTAATGGTGGGATAGGGACACTGAGCTGAAGCTCGTTGGCGAGTATGGACTCCGCAACAAGCGTGAGGTCTGGCGCGTCCAGCTTACTCTGTCCAAGATCCGTCGTGCTGCCCGGTAAGTGCCCCTCAATTGCGCTGTCGCTGACACTGCGCACGAAATTTAGACGCAGCCGCTAATGGTCGCAGTTCGCTCTTGACTCTTGACGAGAAGGACCCCAAGCGCCTCTTCGAGGGTAACGCCCTCATCCGCCGTCTCGTGCGTGTCGGTGTGCTCGACGAGTCCCGCATGCGTCTCGATTACGTCTTGGCCCTGAAGATTGAGGACTTCTTGGAGCGCCGTCTCCAGACCTGTGTCTACAAGCTCGGTCTTGCCAAGTCCATCCACCACGCTCGTGTGCTTATCCGCCAGCGCCACATCCGGTATGCTTTGAAGAGCTAGAAGCATGTGAGATTGCGACTAACGAATCCCAGCGTCGGCAAGCAGATCGTCAACGTTCCCTCCTTCATGGTCCGCCTCGACTCCCAGAAGCACATTGACTTCGCCCTTACCTCGCCGTTTGGTGGCGGCCGCCCCGGTCGTGTCAGGAGGAAGAAGGCCAAGGCCGCCGAGAAGGGTGGTGACGACGATGCTGGCGAGGAGGACGAGGAGTAGATTATGCATCAAAAGGAATGATTCACGGATGACCGGCGTTCGGCATGACGGAATGAAACATTCGAGCAGGCGCTCTGTCGTCGGGGACATGACATTTGCATGGGTCTCGGCTGCTGGATTCTCTACAAATACCACATGTAGCATGTCTGCCAAAATTTTCAATTGCCATCATCCGCCTACTGCTTCGAATGCATCTGATAGTGACACTACCATGCCGTGTCATGTACAACAGGGTATGAGTACGTCATGTCTGACTTCACTCATTACCGTCCTTGCGGTTTACCATCTTAATCTAAACGTCGACTTGGGAGCTGTGTTGCATTCTGACATGTACCTTTCATCATACAGACGTAACGTGAACTGTTGTGTAACATAAATCTACCACCTAGTCTACTCAATACTCGCCCGCCACCGAATCATCCGTATACAACCTCGTCTGCGGCGGCCTCTCGCCATCCTGCCTTCCCTTCTCCTCTCCAACCTTCGTCCTAGCTTCCTGCATAATCCACAACCCGCTACTCGTCCCCAGCCTCGTCGCGCCCGCCTCCAGCATCTTGACCGCCGTCTCCAAACTCCTGACTCCTCCACTTGCCTTGACCTCCATCTTCTTACTCCCCACACCCTGCTTGGCCAGATACTCCGCCGCGCCGACCATGAGCTGCACGTGCGGCAGCGTAGCGCCGTGCCCATTGAAGCCCGTAGACGTCTTGATGAAGTCGAAATTCGCGGCGGCCGCGAGGTGAGATGCAGCGAGGATCTGCGCGTCTGAAAGCTGCGACGTCTCGAGGATGAGTTTGAGCACGACGGGACTTGGGCAGAGCGATCGGATACTCGCCAGTTCCCTGTAAATCGCCGAGTAGTCCGGAATCTCTTCATCGTCAGGCGCGGCAGTAGACGCCACGTTCGCCGCGGTGTTAGCAGCAGTGATGCTATCAATAGCAGAGTCCTTGGAACTGATGATGCGGTCAGGGGAAGCGGGCTTATTGTGCTTGGTCAGTAGGGCGTGGTTGAGCACGAGGTCTAGTTCAGCGGCGCCGGCTTCGACGGCAGCGCGCGCTTCTTTGAGCTTGGAGTAGGTGTCTTGCGTGCCTTCGTGGAAGCCGACGACGCAGGCGACGACGACAGGGCTGCCTTTGAGGTTGGAGATGCAACGCTGTACCCAGTTGAGGCGCACGCAGACGGACTAGGGAAGGTCAGCTGATGTCCACGAACACATTTGTTACAATTTCCCTCTTCGTTTCTTTTCAAGTTTTGCAGAGACGACGAGATGTTAGGACATACCTTGAATCCTTCGGTCCGCGCCTCACTACACAGCCCATCAATCGCGCTCGTCGTCGCATCCAGCTTGAGCACGGTATGATCCACCGTCAACGCCAGCTGCTTCAACGCTTCCTTCCCATCCTTCATCCGCGGCCCTTCATAAACTTTCCTCGCCCTCTCCCCACTCTCCACCTCCTTCAGCACCGCCCGCTGCGTCTCTTTAATCTGCGCCGCCCACTCCTCATTCGTGTACCGATCCGTCATCATAGTGACCGGCCCAAGCTTGGCGTCTAAATCAGGATTGGCAGCCAGGAAGCCGCGGATCAAGACTTCGGATTCTGTCAGGGGAATGGGGTGGGGGTTTGCTGGTGCTGATGCCATGATGGTTGTTTGTGGCTTTTTCTAAGGGCTGGCTCGATTAGGTTATCTGGAGGCTAATTGCCAATGATTCGTGCCCTCGTGTCAGGGGATGCCGAGGGAGTGTGCAGACGGAGGGATGACGTCGGATGGAATGTATTCTGTGTCTAGAATCAATTTCTGGTAGTGAACATTGTTTTTAATAGCAGAGGCACGTTGTGTTATATTACCACAACGCTTCCGTCGGAGGTCGGCTAAACTTCGCTTTTAAGCATCAGGTGGGCGGCAAGTTCTCCACTCGTAGAGAAAGAGACTTGACGTCCTGCTTTTCTTGGTTAGGGCAGAAACAGCCCAGACCTTCTGCCAGTCAAATCTACGAGCATCGGCCGTTGCCGTTTGTGGCGTTGCGTGATGTTATATCAAGTGCAGGTGTAACATAGGACGAGTCAGATTTTGTCAATATGATGATGAATGTATTCACACTAAATAATCGGGGTGAGTATCAAAGGTTGTCACATCAGTACAGTGGTAATGTTGTGGCGTCGAACGAGCGTGAGGTTGATGTGTCGATTTACAAAGGACCGCTTACATGCTGAGGTGTCCTCGATTGCAAACCGGTCCTCGCCCTCGGACAACGATCCAGAGCTGCAGATGCTATCTCCCCTCCACATGCATATACATGAAAGCTGCAGAAGAGCATGCCGAACTAAAGGAAATAGAATTGAGAAAGGGATATCCCATGATTCCACGCTAGATATCCGGAACTCCCGTTTTGGTGACTTTTGCATTTGAACTCGAGTCGAAAGATCCCTCTTCTATCATGCGGTCGAGCCGATCGGTACCAATGGAATCTACATCCCTATCCCATGATAGTCGTTATCGTAACCCGTCAAGTCGCCGCCATCGCCATTACACGAATCGTCTACTTCCTTCGGAAAGAGCAGCCCTCAGTGAGACGCGCCTTGCCACCAGTTGGCTGGCACCTGTTGCGCTTGTTAGCCTCTGCCGTGTCGTATCCCGGGGTGACAATGACTTACAGGACCTGCGAGCAGCCCTGGCAGACGACAACTGTGTTTGCGTGCGAGAAGACGGTGGTGATGGTGAAGCAGCCGGGGCACTTGACGTCCATGAAGAAGGAGCGGGGGGCGGGCACCAGGGTCTTGAGCTTGTGCTTGCGGGCCTCACTGGATATACGTTAGTCGATGGCCGTGATTACGAGGTCGGGAAAGTATGCGTACGCGGCCGGGGTGGGGTTGAGAAGGTCAACTGCGAGAACCTGAGGGTGTGTTAGCCTGGAGAGCCCATTGAGACCAAAAAATTGCGATGTGTTGCCGCAGAGGGTTGCGAGAGAAAGATTTCGTGGCAAACTCCGACTGTCGTGTGGCTCTGGCCATAAATCTTCTCCGCTTCCGCCTGCAGCTCGCAGCAGCTCAAACTCACCATTGTGTCGGTTTGAGATGTGTTTTGTGTTTTGTGTGGTTTGGTTTACTCGTTGAAGTCGATGGATTGGGCGCGAGGATCGAGGACGCGGACGGCTTGGAGGGACGAGGGGCGATGAGTGCAAAATGCTGAGGTCGCTGTGGGCGGGTCTTGGCTAAATTAGCGTGTCGGCTAATTCGCCCTTTCCACTCCGGACTCACCACCCTGCACTTGACGGTGAGTCTTGGAACAACTCAAGGCAGCAGCAGTGAGAAATAGACTACATTACCTTGATTATTCTTGTTCAACTTCAATTCACTTTCCGTAGCACTCGCACGACAAGCAACGCGGTGTTGTGCGCACGAGTCGATGACGATCTGATCCAGCCGCTCGGCGCCAGTGCACGTGAGCACCATTGAGCATTTGTAGATCCTCACGATGTTCGCTGGCATCAGATTATCGCCACTCCAGAAATTTTACCAAGTGTAATTTCTCCCGTCACGCTCTGTACAATCCTTGTCATGTGGCAGAGCAGCCCGACATTCACTGCTTCGTGAGTGGCCAGGAGTCGTGCCGAGTTGATGTGGGTCGCATGATGTACCCCGAACACTGCACAGCTGGAGTCGTGAATCGAAAAGTCACCTTACCAAGCTGAGGGTCAAAATGCGAGCTCTCAGAAGCTGTACTAAGCGGCAGTCTTGGTATGAACATGTCAACCACACTAATGTGGTAGCGTCGCTTCCCCTCCAATGATACACAGACGACCGACATGTTATAAAGTCGCGTTCATCGTCCCTCTCGACATGAGATCAGACAAAGTTACTGCACTCTTTTCTTACACAAACTCACAATGGCAGCCACTACGAAGAATACGGCAGAGATCGAGAAAGCAAAGAAGCTTGACCATGTACCCTGGTGTGAGGAGTACGAGAAGATGATCTCGGGCATGCTGTGAGTGCATTCCATTACTACATTCATCATCGAGATTATGCAAGATATTCCGCATCCTTAGTAACAGAGTTGGCTCACGTTTCAATCCATTTTAAACTTGTCAAAGCTGCTTCGCAGACCCATTCCATCTCTCATTCAACCCCACATATCTACACTCCCAATCCATCTCCCCACCATCTCACCCCCTAACACCCCCAAGCTACGACTCCCTAAACCCCGACCTCTGCGCCGCCCGCTTCCGCGCCCGCGCCTTTGCCCACCACTACAACACCTGGTTCCCGGACCCAACGACCACCACCCCCTCAACCGGCTTCGAGGTGCTAGCATCCGAGCGCTTCAAACTCCTGAAAACCATCATCGGCCGCGTAGCCGACGACGAAATCTTCATCGAACCACCTTTCAACATCGACTACGGCTGTAATATTTCCATCGGCACGCGCTTCTACGCAAACTTCAATCTCACTATTCTCGACTGCAGTCTCGTGACGATTGGGAATCGGTGCATGTTTGGCCCGAATGTGAGTATCTTTGCGGCGACGCATGAATCTGAGGTGCAGAGTCGGCGCGATAATGTCGAGTATGGACGCCCCGTGGTGATTGGGGATGATTGCTGGATTGGTGGGAATGTGGTGATTTTGCCGGGCGTGACGATTGGGAGGGGGTGTACAATTGGCGCGATGAGCGTTGTGAGTAGGGATATTCCGGATTTCAGCGTGGCGATGGGGCAGCCAGCGAAGGTGGTCAAGAAGGTAAAGGAGATTCCGCGGGAGGAGGGGGATGCAGTTGAGAAGTAGGGTTTAAGACAGAATATTGATTTACACTTGAAGTATAGACTGGAAACTAGGCTGTGATAGATTCATCAGATGTGGGCACTATAGCTCAAAGCATCATCGACCTCAGTGCCCATTCGTCCCGTTCGTCCCGTTCGTTCCATTCGTCATCCCTCCAGTTTTCTTAACAATATCCGCCCCCTTCTCCGCAACCGCATACACCAAACTCACAATATTCCCCTGCACATGCGTCGGAAACACACTCGCATCCACCACCCTCACATTCTTGGTCCCATAAACCTTCAACTCACTATCCACCACGCCCCCTTTCTCCCTTGGCAACATCGCACACGTACCCACAGGATGATACTCCGTCGCGGCATTCGCTCTAACAAACTCCTTCGCCTCCTCCAGCGTACCCGGTAACTTGCCACCGGTCTGGGGCGCTACCAGCGCGCCGTGCTCATCGCGCCGCAGCACGGATTTCAGCGGCTCGACGTCCGTGAAGCTGAGGATGTGCAGCGTGGCGCGCGCCATCATGTCGACGTCGAGCGGGTGTTTGAAGTACGCTGGATCGATGGTCGGATGGACTGCGGGATCAGAACTGTTGATGTGCACCGATCCGCGGGATAGTGAGCGTGTAGAGCAGGGAGCTAGCACAATCCACATGCCTGGCTCGGCGCTGGGGAAGAGCTGCGACGGCGTGTTGACTTTGGTAGTGTCGGCGCCGAGGGAAAGGGTGACGAGTTGGCATACAGCTTCTTTTGGGTCGAGGAGTTGGCGGGCGAGGAGGGGGTTGCGGCCCCCTGGGTCGGAGTCGGGGTGTGCGTTGGCGAATTCAGTGAGGAGAGATTGGATGTGTGCCTCGGCGTTGGGTAAGTCGGGCTGGATCTTCTCAAGGGATGCGAAGCCGGTGGTAGTGGGAGGGGCGACGAAGGGACCGGCTTTGTGCTGGATGTAGGCTTCCAAAGCTTGTTGGATGAGTTCTGGGTTTCGGAGGAGTGCTTCGGCGGTGGGGTAATCGTCCTTGACGCCCTGGTAGAGTTGGTTAGAATGAAATTAACACAGCATGATGAAACATTCTTACCAGTGTTAGTGCTATTGCGGTGTGGTCGTTCAAATTCTCTCCGACGCCGGAATTGTCCACGATAGTCTCTACACCCGCACTGCGTAGGACGGCCGAGGAGCCAATACCAGACAGCTCTAGAATCTGTGGGGAGTTGATTGAGCCTCCGCACACTATGACCTCTTTCTTTGCTTTGACAGTGTGTGTAGCGCCATCTTTGGTGAACTCTACGCCAGTGGCTTTCGCATCTCCATCCGTCTTCTCCAGCTGTATCTTCAAGACCAATGCGTGGGTAAGAACAGACAGATTCGACCTACCCGAGGCAGGTTCGTAGTAGTCCCTAGCCGCGTAACTCCTCCTGACATGCTTCGGATCGACGGTGTTGAGTTGGTTGAAGCCACCGATGGCGGAACCACTTCGAGGGTCTTTGGATGGTTTGTACCCTGCATTGAGGATTGTCTTGGGCCAAACCTCCTGTAACCAAGTTGCCTCATCACCCGGCATACATACCTAACGATATTAATAGATGAAAGGATGGGCTGATCGTATTCAATGACCTACCTGAATAGGGCCAGATGTTCCGCGCAGTGACGCATCGATGTACTTATCATTCACCTTCGCCGCAAACTCATCTTTGGCAGGATGATAAGTCTCAAATTTGCGATAGTAGGGCATCATATCGTCGAAGCCCCAGCCCTGGTTTCCCAACTCGACCCAATTGTCGAGGTCCTGTCGTGAAGCCATGCTGAACATGTTGAAGTTGATAGCAGAACTGCCTCCCAGCACCCGTCCTCGGGCCCAGCCATGGATGCGGCCAAGCGTTCCTTCCTGCAAAAGTTGTTAGGTAGGTGTGTAGTATACAATGTCATTAACACATACCTGAGGTACAGTCTTGTAGTCCCAGTCGTATTCCGGCTTGCCCATAAGCTGGAGAAAGAGGTTGGGTCCGTCAATCAAGAGGTCGTCCAATCCGTTTCCTCCTGCTTCTAGGACCGCGACTGTGACGTTGGGATCCTCGGACAGTCGTGCTGCCATGACGAGGCCTGCGGTACCTCCACCACAAATGACATAGTCGTACTCCTGCTTGATGAATTCTTCCACAGACATGGTGAAAAATGGAGAAGTAAAGTTGAGGAACGTAGAGCAAAAGTTGAGTAGAATTCGATAATTAGGAGCTGACGTGTAATGAAAGCCCTATAAATACGCATTCGTTGTGTAGGCTAGACCTTCTCCACTACGGCACAGCCGAGTGCAGCCAGGGTGTGCACACTGCGCGGGGTTTCTCGAGGCTTGCCCACGAGGCCTACCCATTACTCCTGCAGCCAATCTTTGCTCTATTCAGCCGATAGTAGCGGCTCATGCCAGAGGTAGGCACACCACATGCAACCTCGGAACGCAGAGCTGAGTGGATTGAGGATATCATCAGACATATCGACGCTATTTGGCCATGTCTCTACTCGAGGCCTGTATGCTCTCAGCATATCTCGAGATCGTTTGAGGGATGACTTGAGGCCCGCTCCACATTGCAAGCTGAGGTCGATGTTGGAAGAACAAGGCAGTGATCAGTACAAAGGGTTGCATTTGATTGAATCAGCCTAGAGTTCAGCAAAGGACTTGGATAGTTGAGAGGAGGTTCGTGTAAGGTTGAATGACTGAGCAGGGTCCAATGGAGCGATGATGGCGTCCCGAGGCAGCGACGACGCACGGACGTGCTCCACCAAAACTTTCTGAAAAGTTCCCAAGCTCAAGCTCGCAACACCAAAACACGCACGCACGCACGCACTCGGGATGCTGACGGAACACTTCGTGGCTGCCATATCGGCGTCGACGAAGCCGAACACGGGCGTCACCAAAGACGCGGGCATCTTCATCCACGAATACCAGCCACTGGCCGCCCAGCGCCATGTCTTCAAGAAGAGTGCGACTGCGCCGAACGGCATTGCTGTGAGCAGCTCACATGTATTTGCTGCACAGGCGGAGAAGGCCATTGTGCACGTGTACAGCAGGGAGAAGGGGAACCAGGAGGCTGTTATACCCTTCCCTGAGCGCATCCACAGCATTGCTCTGGCAGCACAAGACACAGTGCTGCTGCTAGGCACCGAGAGCGGGCGGGTGTTGGCGTGGGAGGTCAGTCGAGACGCCGAAATGCCATGCACTGCTAGATACACAGCTCTAATACATGCCAGATCTGCTCAGGTCGCCTCGTCTCTACGTCCACTTCCCATCTCCAGCCAGTGACGTCCATTGCCGTCGACCCCTCGTCCAACTTCTTCCTCACCGGCTCGTCCGACGCCATGGTCCATGTCTGGGCACTGCCAGCGATCCTGTCCTTCTCTCCAGACACCCCACGCACGCCGGTGCACACTCTGTCCACCCACCGCGGGCCCATCTCGTCTCTTGTGTGCGGACACAGCTCGACCAGCGCAAACATTGCCATATCCACCTCGGGAGACAAGTCTGCCATTGTATGGGACTACCACAACGGCCACGCACTGCGAACATACCTGCTTCCTGAGGCACCTACCGCAGTGACACTGGATCCTGCTGACCGTGCATTCTTTGTCGCCTATGCCGACGGAAGCCTGCAGACGATCGACTTCTATGACGACGTCCAGAGCACATTATCCACCAACCTCCTGCATGACCCCTCCTCGTCTCATCGCCCAGTTCAACCCCCACCGAAGACCAGGTTCAGTGCCGAATCTCAGAAACTCGGAGGAGCGCTCAGTCTGACGTTGAGCTGGGATGGCACGACGCTTGTCTCAGGCCATGCAAGCGGCAAGGTTGCAGCTTGGGATATCGCGAAGAGCAACTACCTGTCAACGCTGGCCAACCTTCCGGGGCCTGTCTCCAATCTGCAATTGCTCCCCCCGACCGGGTTTCCCCAGGATCCCGAACAACTCTTCAAGGTGCACACAGTAGTCAAGCCGAAACATGATCCGGGAACATCCGCTGGAGGAAGTGGCCTAATTCCACCGGGCTATACGCTCACCATGCAATTGACCGGTCGCCTTCGTACCGAACGCGCGTCTGCTACCGACACGATGCTTCCCACCAAGACTGCATTTGAGGAGGCCTTGACTCATCCTTCTTTCCCCGCAGGCATGCTAGAGGAGAGTCTTGCCGAGCTAGAGTCATGGAACTCCGCTTCCAAGGGGGCCACTGCGCCAGCCTCTGACTTCATGGCACTCGACGATGACTCTAATGCCACTTCTTCTGATGCTCACCTGACCGAAGTCAAGGAACTCAAAAAACAAGTTGCTAGCCTGCAGCGCATCCAGAAGGTCACTTTCACTCAGCTCTCCGAGCTACGCACAGAGAGGGAGTATTTCTTGAGCAAGGAAAAGAGGCGAGCAGAACGTGCCAAAGCACGAGCCAAGAAGTCATTGGGTCACACTAACGGCCACGCGAATGGAGACGTAGAAATGACTGGTGGCGACAACTCCGATGATTCAGACTCGGACGATGCTTGAGCTTCTGAGGCTTGATATACACCGATCAACGACTGCCGGACGACGTTTTGACCATGTAGTGCACGGGGATCAGGGTATTGCTTCCTCCTCCTGATGCTGTAATTCGAGAAAAGCTCGGCTAGGAGAAGTATGAAGCTCGTCGCACGTCCATGTCGCAACGCCAACGCCAAGTCTGTGTACCGCGATTGAACGATATTCCGAGACCTGGACGATATCAACACGGGCCCCTGTCACAGAGAGCCATCCTCATTCCACAAGACGGGCGCTTCCGAGAACAACAAAAGCCGCAACAATCTGAGCATTATCGTACCCTCGAGTACAAGTCACGAGCAATTGAAGCCGCAAAGTACACGAGGACATTGCTATCTGCAGCTCTCCCCTCATTGTACCACCATGGACGAAGCTACACATATACGCCTTCACCGCACCTTGCTCCATGTCACGCCCGGGTTCACGTCAGCTGGACATGGACGACTGCCTGAACTACTTGCGGGTGCGACGCCCATGGGCTCGTGCGGAAGGAGCCTCTCGGTGCAGGAGAAGTCGCTGGTGCCATGACGGGCGACGTCGAGAATACGGCCACAATGCCCGTTCGACTGGCGTAAATGCGGTGATACTGTGGTGCGGACGATCGCTTCCTCAAGTAGAGCTTTACCGAACATGGAACCAGAACTCGCCGTGACAACAAGTTCGGCCTTGACACGTCTCCTCGCTATAGTAGCTAGATTAATAAGACCGTTGGAAACGTGATCCACTTTGTTGCGAACGTTCCCACATTTTTTCTTTTGCGCAGAGGGAGCTTCCATAGCCGTTCGGACCGCGTGAGATCATGCAACTATCCGCTGTGGATACAGCATGCAAGTCACGCAACCACGCCGCACGTACGCACGCACACGCACTCAAAAAGACGGTGAAGCAAAAAATCTATCTGGAGAAAAAAAGAAAACTCCGCTTCGAAACAACGTCGCTGTTGCTAGTTTCTTCCGCTCACTCACCGCCCGCGCAACTCGCAACTCTGCCCGAGGCTCTAAGCTCGTCAGACCTCACGACCCCATGAGCCTGACATAATCTCCCCAATCCCCATTTTTTTATTCCCTTCCCTTTGTCAAGTGTGTAGCGAGCGAAAACCAGGACCAAAAAAACTCCCCGGGCCTTGTTCGTATGTAGGCCCCCGTGCAGGGCCCGCAACAACCTCGCTTAGCACCTTTCTCCTGCTTCAACACGACAAGTCGGGGGGAACAGGTGGTGCCTGCATGACGAGGCCCGCGTGGGGTCTGTGTGTGTGTGTGTGTGTGTGTGGTGTGCGTGCGGGGCCCACATCAAAGCATGGACATTCAATGGCGATCATTACAAGTCAGTCGTGTACATGGGTTGGGACGGTGCAGGCTTTTCGTCAACGGCGCGAGAGAGTGCGTGAGACGTTGAGTGCTTGATCTAGATCGTCGGGAAATCATATACGATAGAGAGGGGGGGGGGGATGGGTCTCGTGGGCGTCAACGTCACGCTATTGTATTGCTTTTCTTGCTCATGTAAGTGCGGAGATGACGCCGCGGAGTACGTGTGTATGCAAAGCAGGTTGACGCGAAAGCGTGTACGATGGGCGTTTTGTAGAGATGAAGAAGGATGACCCGGGGGTTTGGGACGGATATGCATAGAAGGAGAAGCATGGGTGTCTAATTTGGACCTTACCGCCGGACGTGTTGCCGGATTGATGGATTCTTGCGAGTTTCAAATTGGACGGGGGGGCTGAGAACGGAAGTGCAGTGGGGGGATGCGCATGAGTGATACTCGAGTTATGGACGTCATTTTGATGAATGGCTCAAGTAGTGTTGGGAGATGGAAACTCTTTGTGAATTATAATTTTGGCAACTTGAACTGCCTTGGCTAACGGTGTTTCTAGAGCTGCCCGGCTCGCTTGCGACTTGGAGAGCCGCTTTGCCCGGGACTATTACATGCAGGCCAATATTGTGAGCTATCGTTTGACGGCATGGGTGTGCCTCCGATGACGCTGGCCACCGGGCATTTCGTGCCCACGACTGGGTTTGGAAAGCTGACATCCCGGTCGCATTCTCGAAGGGATTTGTGGGCTTTGCCGAGACCGGGGGATGTTCATGACTTGGAGAGGCGCGGATTCGGAATTTGTCGAGCCGAGCAGCAAGGAAAGACGATGCCAAGGGAGCAAGTTGCGCATACCAAATATTGTCGGATTTAGAGAGGGCGAAGGCAGGATTAAAATATGTAGGGAATCTTGAATGCAGGAACGAGGTGGGTGCGTGCTGAAACACAGATGTAGGGTCCAAAGCCGCAATAACGATGATAAACTCTAAAGCGAGTACCCTGAGGTTGATAGTCTTCGGTATTCATTAGGTCGTTTACCCTTGCGGCCGGGCTCCCTGCAAAATGAGGGGAAATTGGTAACAGTACTCCACCAACGCAAAGGAAAATTTGGAGGTATAGATGCCCAGGAAACCAAGGAATGCAGCCAAGTGACCAAAGTGCAGGCACGAAGAGGTACCATCGCTTTTGCATATGTGAGAAATCAGATTGATATTCCGAAAGAGATTAACAATGGTATTGGTCGTCATTCGTGTCGTAAGTGCTGCAGGCCGTATAAAGATGATATGCAAGTACGAAGAAAGCACCGCAAGGTCGAGAAACGCCGACGCTAATAGTCGCTAATATGTCGGAATGAGCCTCCAGGAAAGCGAAGATGGAACCGTTGCTTGGGAAGAAAAGACGTCTACGACGAGTGGGACTTGTGCCGCCCTTTGTTGCCGGTGGAGTATTCTCCGTCGGGAGACCATTCTTCGGGTTGAAAGTCCGGATTCATGAAATGAGCTGTATTGAAATGGGAACTGCATGTGTTAGGCAGGTGAATGCAAGGGAGCGCGAGCCGAGACTTACTTGCGGAATATCGATGTCTGAAAAGGTTGGACCTGCATGCCATGCCCGAAGCCTGGTTCTAGTTCGTACATGGACGGTCTGAACGGGCCGCCTCTTTCGATGACAAGTGGAGTACTTCGCTCGATGCTGACTGGAGGCGGCGGCGGAGGCGGATGTATGGGTAACGTCACTGGCGGCTGGTCGAGATGGATGCTGTGATGGCTTGGTGTGTTGTATTGGCTCGCGTGACTCGGGTGACTCGGGATAATAAAGTCTAATTGCGAGCTAACTGCAGGCGCCGGTGGTGGTGCAGATTGATATGGTTGTACAGGCGCAACCTGCGGTTGTGGTGCGGGGCTGGGACTGAAGTCGTACGAAAGCGAAGCCCACTTCTGGCCAAAACCAGTGGGGTACATGCCGGGAATCATTGTCATGACGTCGGCAGAGTCGGAAGCCATGGGGATGAAGTCGTTGAAAGAATTAGCTAGGGCGACCTGGAGCGGTGCCTGAGTTTGAACAGGCTGCTGTGGTGGGGTTCGTGGGACATCTTCAGCCTTGTAAAGGATGTCGTAATGACCACTTTGGAGTGTTAGAGTGCAAGACAGGCGACGGGCAAAACACATGGTGACTTACGGTCTGTAGAGCAGTCTCAGCATGTGTGCGTTTGGAATGGACATTCCTTGATGGTCTGTTGGGTCAGCATAGAAGCTGCGGTTGATCTCCTCGCCAGGTGAGCGGTCGAGGTACCAAACCTCGAGGCCGAAGCCCGCGGGTTTGATCAAAGCCTCAGCAAGGGCAGCGATGCCGATGTTGTCGGCTTCGCATTTGGTAGGCTCGATGTTGTTTGCACAGTAGGCCTTGACATCGCCCATGGGGACAAAGTGCCTGAATTCGTCTGCGTGCGTCTGCACCCAGGCACTGGCAAGGAGCTGCACGGGTCAGCCGAAGTCGCTTGGAACGGGCGTGCATGATGCTTACTTTGACGTAGGTGATGATGGACATGGACTCGTTGAAGTCGTTGAAGGTCTGCAGCAGGATGTCGGGCGCTTGGCCGTCCATTGCTTGCAGCGAGTCGGCGAGCTTACGCATCAGGTCAAAGGCGCCATCTGCGAAGTCGATCCAGAGGTCGCGCGAGTAGCCAATATGGTCGAGCAGGTTGCCCAGCGAGTTGAGTCGGGCTTCTTCATCGCCAAATTTGTTCACGTCGCCCACGCGCAGCAGCGCTTCAAAGTACGTGAAGGCAATTGCTGAGGGAGTGGTCAGTACAAGCGAGCAGGCATTCGGAAAGGGCGATGCGACTCACCCCGCCATCCACAGTGGCCGTCGCCGCGACAGGTGCGGAAGAAGGCATACTTTCCAGGCAGAGCAGCCGTCTTGATCCTGTAGATGGGGTCGGCGTTTTGATATTCAGTCGTGATGGCAGCACTGCTCTGGCGCTCGCCCACTAGTGGGCCCTGGTGACGGTCAGCACTGGTCACGCCCCCCCGGCATAGCAAACTCACCGTGGCCTCGGGCTCGTACTCGCTCGACAGCTTCTGCAGGTGGGCCATGTCCTCGTCGGAGGCCATGTAGGGCTCGGCCATGGCAGAGATGTTGAGGTTGATGTTCTGGTGCGGGTGCGGGTGCTGGTGCTGGCTGCGGCCGTGCTGGTGGTGGTGGTGGCCAGTGTGTTGGTGTTGGTGGTGGTTAAAGCCCGCGGGAGCGAGGACCGGGGCGCGCATGGATAGCGGCCGTGCAAACGACAGCCCTGAGTGGACCATGGTCGGCGTGTAGTGGCTCTGTGCGGGAACTCCATAATGCTGGCCTGCATGCGTGTGGCCGTGACCATGGAAGGCGCCCATCACATTCGGCCTGCTCATCGTCAAAGTGTGTCTGCGTGCAAGCTGTCGCGGCGTCGATATCGGTGTGTGTCTGGCAAACAGCGTTGTCGTCGATCAGAAGAGGTGTCTCTGCGTGCGATGATGCTCTCCCTTTCCCCCACCAGTGTGTGCGCTCCACTCTCTGTGTACTGGGTGACGGTCAGCAGCGTGACGGGATGCGCTCGATGGCAATTGGATGGTCGATTCCACAACAGATTCGGCAGCGCGATGTGTCTTCTCAGCAGCAATTCGTCCACGAGCTGCTGGGCCGAGGGCACGTCTGGCTTTAGTAGGTACGGGCTGCCGTGGCGGTGGGCTGGACGCTGTGTCGTTGCTGTGATACCCAATGATCCCCAGGGGCACGCCAATATATGGGAGAGACAGGCGTGATCTTCGAGGCGTGCCAGTCGACTTCACTCGGCTGCCAGGCACCAAAGCACTCGGCAACACATTCGTCCTGGCGGTTTGAAACGGCGACTCGCTGTTGCACCGAGAGCCTGGAAGACGGGGCGGGCACAGTATCGATCTCGTCAGTGCGAAGCCGCCTCATGCACATGGAGCAATGGGGCTGTTCAAGTGAAACCGGAGGGAGGAGAGGGCGAGGCGTGACGGTGCTACAAGAAGGGAGCACTTCCTGTCCCCAAGGGCGGACACAATCAGCGCCTACCGGGGCCTTCGAGCAAAAGAAAAGCACCCATGGCTGCTGCCCATGGGCGAAGGCAATGCCAGCATCCCCCAAGCCCTGCTGGTAACCCCCCTCCGATCGTACAATGGAGCGGAGATCTGTTACCGCTTCTTCATCTGATCATGACTAGCAGCTTCATGGGCTCAGGTTCGGCCAATGTACCCTCCACTGACTCTCCCTCATCACCTTCATATGAGAGCACGGATCAACCGTAAACACGGGACGTCTCTCATCACGAGCGCCGACCAGGAAATTGTCAGCAACTGCTACCGGAACAATTGCGGAGCCCAGAGGCTGGTGTTGCATGCAGAGGGCAGCAAGTCTTCAGCAAACGCTGTGCTACATGATGGAATGCAGTCGACACAGCATCATAAGATGCCTGACCCATGTCGAAAAAGCGATTCTTTGCCCCTCTTACCATAGGCCCAAGCTTGGCCACTCTCGCGTTTGAGCGCTGCTGTCACAGCGGCCGCCTGCATATCATGATTCGTTCGCATCGTCGTGGCGCTTGAAAAAGAACTACCGACCCGGCGATAATATCACAGTTACCGTCCCCACGCCCTAAGCGAGCCAGCATCCTTACCAGAACGGGGCCTGGGTAGCTGCCCTGTCATTTGCTAATGGTTCGCTAGACGCTCGCATCCTTCGACGGTGCCGCTTCCCCGGACCACATCTGTGACAAGAAGAAAGAACATCTGCATTTGCAGACACCGTCGTAAGTGAGCCATGTCAATCTGCTTCTGCGTAACCTCGCTGGTCAGTGCTTCTATGGTAAGCATCACAATAATGGGCTGCACCATGGCTGCAGAGACCCGCAATAACCGTGCAACCGGGATTCTTGGCTGGTTGCAACGAGAGAACGAGGCCATGTTACATACAGGATCTGCTGCTGACCCTCGGTCGTAGAGGCGCATACGTGTGTACCCGAACAAATCCGCCGCCCGGATGCTGTTGAGACGCCATTTCGAGAACCTACTGCTCATGTGGAAGCAAGTCTTGCCTTGTGCTACTTGCTAGACCAACCCCAGCGCCCGTCCTGAGGAGCCTGTCTCACTCTTCAGGTGCGATGAAGCCTCGGTGACGGTAATGTGTAACTTGCTCGTCCCGTGGCCCTCTCCCGTATTCCTGGTCATTGGTCGTCTTGTGTTGCCTTCCATCCTAACCTGCAAGTCATACTTTGCTTGACACGCCCGGCAGGCGTCCGGAGCCGGAGTGACCCTTGCCTTTCTGTCTACCGCCAGGTTTGTTGCTACCTCCCATAGGGCCTTGACCCCAAGCCATGCCGGGACCGCCAGGCGTGAACTGAGAGCCGCTCTCGTCTGACTTGAAGCCCTCTCCATCGTTCAACACCGACTTCCACAGAGATCCAATGGCGGCGCTCCACTCTTGCATCGCCTGCACCCGATCCATGTCGGTACTACTCTCGATCTCCACCGTTCCATTCTGTTGGTTGATCTTGCCGCGCAACCGCTTATCGACGATCAAGAAGCCCACAATTTCCTGAACCTCGGGGAGGGATATCTTCAACTGCTTGGAAATGAAAGCCAAGGTGAAGCGAGTGTATGGTGCAACGAGTTTGACGACAGCCTTGGTGCGCACGTTCCGGGTTACTTCGTCGATATTCTCGGCGATGAACGGATCTTGTAGCAGGTCCTTATTGTCCTGCAGAATCTTCTCGTACTCGTGAATGTCTTCACGCTGATAGGCGTTGACAAGGTTGGTCATGGTGGAGATGCGCGGATCATTCTGGTAGGGCTTGGTCTCCTGAGAATCGAATGGGTTGATATCGGAACCCGACAGCATGGTTGAGAGCACTAGATACTTCAGGACCTGGATTCGCTGCAGCGAGCCAGCCTCGTCGTAATTCTTGAAGCTCTCGAAGAAGTCACTTTGCGCCCCTTTCCAGTTCTCTGTTACAGATTAGCAGTGAACCGCTGTCTCGGGATCTCATGCTTGCCTTCGCTCATGTGCATCTTGCCGCCACATTCTCGGATGATACCCATGATCTTGGGATGTGGAACAGCTGACTTCACCTTAAGCGCTCGCTGGTATAGTGCCTGTCGTTTCGTCAGCCGTCATATGCACATGGCAAAAAAGGGCAATAAACCCTACCTTTAAGCGCTTGTTGTTCCGCTGGTCTGCATACATAAGAATCTCCAAGGAGTAGACTTCGAGCGAATATGTGCCTTTGCTCGGGTCATCCGTTCCGTCCTCTCGCTGGCAGGCCTTATGCAGCTCGCGGAGCTTGTCTGTCAGCTGGCGGTAGTCCTTGCGGTCCAGCCACAGCCTTGCCAGCTTGATGTTGGTCTTCAGCCAAAGTCGCTCATTATTCGTGCTCTGGAAAATGTCCAGGGTCAAGGCGTAAAACTTCTCCATGCATCGATATGCGTCCGCGTCCTCTGCCGCCTTCTCGATAAAGTCAAGCATATTGTTGATTGACTTCTCTGAGTAGTTACGCGTCACTGCAGACTTGACGTAGGTGAGTAGCTCTTTGTAGTGCTCGACTGCCTGTTGCTAGGTTAGTAATCAAGCCTTGTATTTTGAATATGCTGTGCATACCTGGTCGTACCGCGCGAGCTTGAACTCAAGCTTGATTGCTTGCTTCAAGCCTTTGAAGCCCCTACTAGCGGTCAGAAAACGCCGGGTGTAAGCTTCATGTAGTTTCATACCAATCGGACTTCTCTTCTTCAAGCGCGGGTATACCAAGAAACTCGTCGATCGCTGATTCGGGGTCGTCGGCCTTGACTTGCTTCGCGTTGTAATACTTGTTCTCGATGTCGACATCACCGCTCTGCTCTTCGTCCTCGTCTTCATACTCGAAGTCGTACCTATTCTTTGTCAGCGTAGGCTTAGAAAAAGTGCGCCGCATACTCACTCCTCCTCTCCAGAGTCTTGCATAAAGTCGTCGTCGTCAGACATGTTTGTGGCGTTGGGTAGGTAGAATTGACAGGTGTAGAGGTTCTACAGTCGAGAAGAAGCCTTGTGATTGCAAACGTGAGGCGGCTGGGTTGAGTGATGATGTGATCGCGCAGGTTGTTGTGCCTAGGTAGGCAGAAGTGTAACTTCTGGATCAAGCATGGGAGGCTGCGGACATGCCCCGCGAAAGGTCGAGTGGAGCGCTGACGCTAGTGCTAGCGCTGGGTCGCACCTCGTGAAAACGACGTTGATAAAATAAAGACCTGATTTCACGCACTGATAGCTTGAAGACACCCTGGAGACGCTGAGGATGTTCTTGCATGTTGGAGAAACACCTGATGCTGTGCATACAATGCAAGTCCATGTCGCTTTACTTGCAGAGAACAATCACATTCCCTGTCAATTTCCTCACTTGCTTCAACACTCACAACGGCAAGAAGCCAATATGGTAGTATTGCGAAAGAATGCAGCACTTTCTCCAAGAAAAAACATACGAGCAACATACAGCAACAAACCTGTAATTCCAACACAACGACCACGGCTACTGGGCGGCTCCGGATGATAGCCAGAGATCAGCCGAAGCAAATGGAAGCATGCATCGAAGGGCCACATGCCCTGCTATATTGCATGGATACCGTCTCGCTCTCCGGCCGGCTTTCGAATCCTTGGTATGGTTCGTCGATCGGTCCAGTGCCATAGGTACAGTAGTGTCTTTGCCAGCAGCTTAATGAACCACGTCTCGCACATTCGTGGAATATTTTCATTATCGCCCACGACTCCAACGACCTCATAGGTACACGTATCGTGCACTTGTGCTATTGGCAAGCAACCACGGCGCGTCGGCTTCCTGAATAGGCGGAGAGTCTCTAAGGCTCGTGGAGCTGTGCTACGCTAGTTTTGACCTAGTGTTTAGCCCGACCGGCTTCGAACTGCGCATCACACATCCACAGCCCGGCTTCTGGAACACCTTTATACCTTACTTATCCTTCTCTATCACCTCCGGACTCGAGCTCCTTTGCCTGTACGACCCTCGCTTTTTGGACCGACATCTGTATAGACCCGGCCTGCAGTTGACGCCCCTTGCATCGCAGACGCGCCTGCGCACTCCTCCAGCCGACGGGACGAATCGCACGCCGAGCCACCCCCTCTCGCCATCACGATGCCTATGTGTGGTGGAACCAAGTCCGTACAGCGCAAGCTAGTGCTCCTGTATGTCGAGTCCTTTGCGGAAACGTCGCGACCCAGTTGCGACGCTGGCATGCTGCGACAGATAGCTAACAGGCACGCAGTGGTGACGGTGCAAGCGGAAAGACTTCACTGCTGAATGTCTTCACAAGAGGGTATGTCGGGAAACAACATTCATATCAAAGACTAACGGTGCTAACACTGCGGCAGATACTTCCCGACAGTATAGTAAGTGACGTGCGCCATCTACGCATGCGCCTGACTGACCATAGTCCGCAACAGTGAGCCAACAGTCTTCGGTAGGCGCATTGGAAACGATCCACTCGAGAACTTATGCTAACATGCCTGCGCAGAGAACTACGTCCACGGTTTGTTGCGCCGTCTCTGCATACACGAAACACACATTGACGTCAAGTCGCAGATATCTACATCGACAACACGCACGTCGAACTCAGCCTTTGGGACACGGCCGGACAGGAAGAATTCGACCGATTGCGATCACTCAGCTACGATGACACGCACGCCATCATGCTCTGCTTCTCAGTAGACTCTCCAGACTCGCTTGAGAACGTGGAGACGAAATGGGTTGGCGAGATCGCAGAGAACTGTCCAGGCGTCAAGCTCGTCCTCGTCGCGCTGAAGTGTGATCTACGAAAAAAAGACGACGATGATGCGGAGAACAATGAGCCTGAGAAGCCCTGTATCGACTACGAAGAGGGCCTTCGGATCGCAGAGAAGATCAAGGCCCTCCGATACCTGGGTATGACTATGTTACTGCCTTTTGCCCTATACTAGCTAACAGAATCCCAGAATGCTCTGCCATGAAAAACCGCGGCGTCAACGAGGCTTTTACCGAAGCCGCCCGCGTCGCGCTACAAGTTAAGACAAGCAAGGACAAGAGTGGTGGCTGTACTATTCTTTGAGCGCTGTACTTGCCTTTGTTCTGTTTTCTGGATATATCATACCTCGCGCCCATTACGTCAATATCCTGAACGACCGCCACCACCTCCTGTCTGCGCTTTTTGCATACTTCCCGCCACACGAAAGCCCCCTTATTCCCCATTTACATTCGAGTTCAAGCCGGCCATGTAAGGTGACCAACGGTGCTGTACGGCTGACTCTATTCGTCTCGACACAGAGATGGAGACCGTCGTCAAAATGCTCTCGGATACACCACCCATTGGAAGAAACGGAGTCTACTTCATACTTGTAGAAAGAGTCACCTCATCGCTTGCTGATATATAGTGTCATCTCCAACCTCGCAATGTTGTCTTCTGCTGGAGGATATTTGTTTACCTAGATCATTGCCCTGGACTACTTTTTTGTTATTCGACTCGACGCTTTCATGTACATGCAATAGCTTTGGCTTACTTTTTTTTCTTTCCTTCGGGATTTTAGTGGTGCAAAACGCGTTGCACGCCGGTTGTGGTAAAGGGTTCGCTGTCCCGAGTTAGCTCGAGCAGGACACCAGGCGATGCTCATGCTTACATAGTTGCTTACTACTATTATCACCAGCGTTCTCACCAGGCGTACATGGTCCACTAGTCTCATAATGTATAATTCGCATGCCTTCCGGTAGACGACACGCTGCGCTCACGCGTAAACACTACTATACATGAGTGTATTGAGTGCATTACTGCAGCTGACTTAAGGTGGCCTATATGCCACGATAACGCCTAGATACCAGGCTGGACATCTTATCATTTTTGAGTAAGCATGCTTTAGGATGAAATTCTTCGACAGTGAAGCTTCTCTTTGAGTAGCCTAGACGGCGGTATACTTGGCCTCGAAACCTTAGTCAACTTGCCCGGGTGTTTCCTATCGTTTTGTCTTCTCAGCAGCGGCAAACTTGCAGTGCTGCATGCCGACCTTGCACATCCAATCCCGTGTCTCGCTCGCTGGGCCCAGACACGGGCAGCTTGTCATGTTGGCGCACAAAAGAACCCCACCCTGAAATGATTGGTGTCGTCTCTGCAGCTCACCGCGCCACAACAAAGCCAGCGGTCACGGGCGATGCGGCGTACACGCCCTTGGTCGATCAGGCCGCGCTGACGGTCGCGCCTCCATAATTCCTTCACACTCGAAGACGATCGCGCAAACAATGCGATGCCTGAGATAACCTTCGTATTTGGTCCAGACGGATCATTTTTCTTTGATTGTCCAAAAACATGGAAATGTAGGATATCTCCAATTTCGCGCAGGAGTAGAGCTGACGGCGCATACAAGTTCACGGCATTCCACAGTCGCTTCGGCAGTTGTTCAATAGTTCCATGTCAGCAAACTGGAGGATTGCGCAACCATATTGTGTAGCCCTTGCGCCAGCGCCAAAGAGTTTCAAACTCGCGGACCCGTTATGGTACGCTGGATGCAAGACATTGAGCGGTGAAGATAAACTCTGTAAGTTGCATCAGGCAGATTCGTTCAACGCCTTGCTCCACAAGATCTGGGTTGCGCTACGATACGCCAATCAGTATGATGAAAATCACCAGTCATACTGATACGTTGTAGTCTACACTGAGAAGTCTTTTGAAACGACATATCCGGATCTTGTTCGATGGATGAAAGGCCTTTCGAATGCTCCACGTTCTTGCTTCGTTACCTTTGGTCAGAATCTCAGCTACTTCGCATGCGCTGCCGATCAAGGGTCCATATGGGGCGGTATACCATCAGAACTTGAGGACACCGTGCGAAAGGTAGTTGATATGCCCACGTTCGTATGTTTGGGAAAACATAATGCTTGGCTGGTCTTGTACCCAAACGGGTACATCGCCTGGAAATTCCATGGCCACTACAGTGCGTTGCATACGATTCTGAATAATACAGCACCACAATCGATAGCAGTAAGTCTAATTATGCCAGTGACAATACGTTGCTGATCAATGAACAGTACGTCGCTCTTTCGCCTTACAACAAAGAGCATTACTTCATAGCCTTTAAGGATAGATCGATCAAGTACAACTTCAAAGGCGCGCCCAAAGAATGGATGGTTCTAATGACGGAGGTTTTCAAATCATGGGCTACGGAACCTATGCCATCTCAACCACCGCCACTTACCCAACCGAACTATCAAGCTCCACCAAGATACTACCCGGAGCAGCAGTACCCACAAGGACAGGCGTGGCAGCAACCACAACCATATCACCAACAAGTCCAAGTGGCGTACAACCAAAACTCTCCAGCACAATATCCAGCACATCTCGCAGGATACCATAATGTATCAGGCATGCCGTCACCCGCGCCATCCTACCACAGTCCAGTACCACAACACGCAATGCCCTCCCCAGCGCCATCTTACCACAGTCCCGTGCCGCAGCACATGGTTCCCAATTCACCACAATGGTCCGGGCCACCACAGCCCCCTCCAGTCGAGCTGCCAGCAAGTCTACCAGTAGAATTACCAGCAGAGTTGCCCGGAGATTTCTCACCAGCTGGCCCGGCATCTGTACCCTCCCAAAAAACCTCTACGGAAGTGAGTCGCTCATCCATGGCATTACTGGCTCGCGATCTCTGGGGCGCTGACGACAAATTAGAAAAAGAGAAAGTCGCTGTTTAAACTGTTTTGAGGCAAAGATGGGGAGGGAAATTGAGCTGTTTGTCTTGTATTTGGATTTTGATACCCTAATGTGATTCATTCTGCATGTCCATTTCGTTGGCAGTTTGATTTCCGATGCTGGAGAATGCGTATCGATATCGATGCTGTCTTTGTTCAGCTGGGCGTTCGCGAGCATCCTCACGGTTGGAGATCATGGGATATGTCAAAAGTTCCTATCGAAATTCATCATGAAGGAAGTACATGTCGAACTTCGACATGTATTAAGTTAAAAAAAAAAACACTCTTCAGAACGACGACAACAAGTTCGTGGTACTCGGAGATCGCCAAAAGTACCTGCCTTAATTGGTCCCTGGTCTGTCGATCAAGGCGGAGCAGAGCGCAAGCCCACATCCTACGAAGTAAGCCTGGCGCATTCGAAGAAACAGTCTGTCTCTACACGTTTCTAAAGTAGAGGACCCTGGAGATATTCGCAGAATTGGGTTCGTTCCACCATACAACAAAAAAGCTGCACATCCCTTCAGGATGCACTATCGCATCCATTTCACATATACCCCAGAGCCCTGAGTGTCCCGTCGGACGTGCACGCTACGGCACGCCGGCGGTATTTCTCGTACCCGGGATACCCAATCTTGCCACTAGTACCAGCATACAAGAAGTGTTGAGCACCCGCAGCTGATTCGCGACCTTCACGATCCGACAACCCGCCACCATGGGAAGAGCTTGGAAATTGGGCGCGCTGCAGGTCTGCCTGCTAGCAAATGCTGCTTCTGCTGTTGAACCTACCGTCAAGGTTCTCAATGGCACGTACGAAGGCACGTACCTGCCGAATTTCCATCAGGATATTTTCCTCGGCATCCCCTACGCGCAAACTACGGGCGGTGAACATCGCTTTCGTCCTCCTCAGGCTCTTAATTCGACTTGGAATGGAACAAGGGAGGCGAAGGTTTACGGGCCGGCGTGTCCTGATCCTGAGTTGAGTGGGGATGAGATTAGCGAAGATTGCCTCAGCATCAACATTGTCCGACCTGCTGGACTTTCTGAAGACGCCTACACCAAGCTACCTGTCTTAGAATGGACTCACGGGGGCTCATATCAGGTGGGCTCCAGTGGTCTATCTAATTACAATTTGAGCTATTTGGTACAGCGGTCGGTCGAAATTGGTAATCCCATCATTGCCACATCGATCAACTACCGCAAAGGGGGCTGGGGGATGTTATACTCCCGCGAAATCCAAGGCACAGGAAATACAAACAATGCCTTGCGTGATATGCGTAAAGGGTTGGCTTGGATTTCTGAGAATATTGGGGCGTTTGGCGGAGACAAGGATTCGGTCACTATCATGGGAGAGTCAGCAGGATCCTTCGCCGTTGGACAATTGCTCATGTCTTACGGTGGAAAGACGGACGGTCTCTTTCATAGAAGTATTCAAGAGTCTGGGAGTGCTGCCACCGCGTGGTACAATGGATCGGACTGGTATCAGCCTATATACGACAACATCGTTAATAAGGCAAATTGCTCGGACTCAGCAGACACTCTCGCATGTCTGCGTACTGTACCATATGAGAACATGCTTCCTCTTCTCGCCGCTCCATCTCAAGGACCAGGCTGGTACCCCGTTGTCGACGGCGACGTTATTCCTGCCTACCCGACCGAACTTCTCAAATCTGGCCGCTTCGCTCATATCCCCCATCTCTACGGCAGCAACAGCGACGAAGGCACCGACAACGCACCCGCCGGCGGTGCAATCAACAACGACACCCAACTCTTCGACTACCTCAAACGCGACACCGGCTTCGGCTTCCCCGACGCCGTCATCCGCAAAATCATGGACCTCTACCCGGACGACCCTACAAAGGGAATCCCCCTGAACACTGGCACCGAAAGATTCGCCGAACAAGGCTACCAGTACAAACGCGTCGCAGCAATTGTCGGCGACGTTTTCTACCACGCTACCCGCCTCGCCGACGCCCGCGAGTATGCGAAGTACTCGCCAACATACATCTACCGCTTCAACACCCGACCGTGGCAAAACAACCCCATTGCCACCGAGGGCGGAATGGCCCCGGCATACAAAGGCGTCAGCCACTTCAGCGAAGTGGCGTTCGTCTTTGCGAACCCGGCTTTCTATGGGCCGTGGCCAGAGTACAAGGCCCTAAGTGATGAACTGAGCGCCCGCTGGATCAACTTCATTGCTGGAGGCGCGCCGGATGCGATTGGTGCGGCGAAGTGGCCTGTGTATAATTCGAGCGCGCATGGAGTGGATTTGGTGTTGCAGGCGAGTGGGCGCGGGCAGAATGGGAGTTATGTTGAGGAGGATACATGGAGACTGGAGGGGAGGGAGTATTTGGCTGAGTGGGCGAGGCGGAGACATGTGTAGATGGTAATGATGGTGTTGGAATATGTAGATATTGATGATGGCATTGTGCTAGTAATTATTGATGGACATGTTGTATACTGGATTTATGTTCCAGCTGTCAATCGATCATGCGCCTCGAATGTTCAGATGAGAAACTGTCCTCGAAAGGTGGTACAACAGCATGTAACAGCTCAGTTCTTGTATGTCGAGTCAACAGCATAGCCATGGGTGAGGCTGGGTAGCTTCAAGGCAATTTCGGAACCTCAGGAAGTGTACCTCAAACTTTGAATATATCCAGGGAAGCAAAGCTATAATGTTCGTCCTCAACAAGTACTGAAATTTCAAACCGTGGGCGCACAACTTATGATAGCTTGAGCGCCAGTCAGTATAGTATAAGTCGAAGAGATGTACATCTACAACAATGCTTCAACCTTCCTCTGAAATTTTGGGCTCTTTAACACGAAGCTCTTCCTCTTCATATACCTCATGTACCATTGCTGTTGGAAACTTTGTACGCAATTGTGCAGCCATATATCGGATTCCCCAGTCTTCCGCAGGTCTGTGACCCACGCAAACAACCGTCATACCCAGTGCTTTCGCAGCTTCCATGCCATTCACACGCGGTTGTCCAGTAAGGTAGAGTATATGCTTTCCAGGCGCCTCGTCATTAGCCATCGCCCACCCATGCTGCAAAGCGACCTCTAGGACACGCTTCACCTCATGATCGTTGAATGCGTTCATGACCGCCACGGCACGTATTTCGTCTGATAGTCCATCGAAGGCAAGCTCCGCTTCACCAAATTCTTCCTTTATACGATGTACGAGCAAATCACGAGCCATAGAAATCGGGCCTACGAGACCAATGTTCTCCTCTCTGGATCGCCTTTATATCCCTGAATACACACACTATCGTCCACGTTTATTTGTAGTCGCGCGGCAAGCGAAGGATTCCAGCCCGTCGTGAGAACCTCGTCGAAGGAATTGTGACTCGAGAGAACTAACGTTCCTCTGCGCACGCTTCTGCGATCGAGCGTGAACGGTCGGTGGAGGAAGCAGAGGGTTCGTGGGTCTCGAGTACGCGTTGGCGAAGGGCGCACCGAAGGATCGAGGGTCGCGTTGTCAGGCGTATAGCCTATAAAGGAGTATACGCCAGGCGTGGGAGTAACGCTGAGTACTATCTGGTCGACGACAGCCGTCTCTGAATCGTATCGTGTGTTTCGCGGGACGTGGTACAGTCGTGGGACGTCATTCTCCTTTAGAGGGAGGAGAGTTTCCATGAATCGACTGACTGCCGCATGTGTCGGTTTCTTAGATATCTGCATCGTGGTTATGTATTAGCATCTTCAACGTTAGCTGCAAAGATGTTCAATCTGTCTGGCGTCAAGTACGTCATGGATCCTCATTGACGTCGCGTCTATCGTTGTTTACTCTCGCAAGTTATTGCGGTATAGTGCATTGGTGTACACCTCAGGGCTATGAAACAAGTCATAATACTATCAGGTTGGCGCGACACAGCAAAGAGTGATGATGGGCAACGACATGGCCATGGGATTGACGTTTTGATCTGCGGCTAGGCTCGCCTCGGCTCAGCGCTGATACCTCGCCTTCTCACGTTGCGGAAAAAGCGAGATTTAGCAGCTTCAGAAATTCTATATGCAGAATTATCCTAAGTGTAGATAGCTCTACTTAAGTCTGTCTTAAAGTAAGTTTAAAAGACTTCCTAGAGACGTTTGCAGCTTTTTCTAATCATTTTCTCTTTACTATTAAACTATTGTCGCAGTCTAGCTGGATTAACTATTTCTCACTTCTTCCTCAACTTAAGAGCCCGCCCTTCCTCAGCCCTACAACGCCCTTGTAAAATAGTTTTCATGCGCGATTGATAGGCATACTAATGGTTCTAGGACTGAGGTTCTAAGTTGTTAGAGCATTGACTATCGATGACACTACTGAAGGCGTTGACTAAATCTATTTCCCCGGCCTTCTCCAATCTTCCATCCCGTCTCTTATCATTCGGTCACAATTCCCAAATCATTCGCATTCCCAGCCTCTTTCAAGGGCACAAGTTTTCTAGCCTCAACATGGCTGTCGCAGGCCCCATACCCACCATTGTTGGTGCTCTGAAATGCCAAAAAGACTCATATCTGCAGACTTTCGAAACTGAGGTGGTTTCTTGCAGTGAGTATACTGCGCCGGAAGCACCGAACGCAGGCAAATCAAAGACGAAGAAATCCACCGACCCAAGCAAGTTTGAACAAACAGGAAGCTCGAAGACGTGGCTCGTCGAACTAGCAGATTCGGTTCTGTTTCCCGAGGGCGGCGGCCAACCTACGGATCATGGATCTATCATACCTTTGAACGAAGATAAGGCAGATCCTATTGCCATCACAAGTATTCAACGCCATGGTCTGCAATGCATACACTTCTCGCCTGCGCCTCTTGCGCCGGGCACGAAAGTGAAGCAGACCGTAGATTTCACTAGACGCTGGGACCACATGCAACAACATACCGGGCAACACCTTCTCTCAGCTGTTATGGACAGCTTAGACCTTCCAACACTCGGTTGGAACATGGGCGCCGCAGGTGAAATGAACTACATCGAATTGCCGCGAAAGCCATCAGACGAAGAGATTCGGAGCATACAGAACAAATGCAACGAGTTGATCAGAGGCAACATGTCAATCACAGTCGAAACGCCAGAAGGCAAGGGCAGCGATAGTCTGCCGTTAGACTACGATAGAGAAAAGGGCGTCGTGCGATTCATAAAAATAGGCGATCTCGACTACAATGCTTGTTGCGGCACACATCTGAAGCAGACTTCACACATCGGGGCTATCCTCCTTCACCACACGGCATCTGTGCGAGGCACAAATTGTCGCTTGTACTTTACTGCCGGTGATCGCGCAATTAACATGGCGACCGAGTCAATCAACGGCCTGCGCTCAATCGCCGTGTCGCTCTCAACGAGCGCTGCACCAGCAGATGTTTCATCCGCTGTGCAAAGACTAGGCGATCAGGTATCTGAAGCAAGGAAGCGAGAGAAGAGGATGTTGGCCGAGATCGCGAAGTTCGAAGGTGAGCGCATCAAGAAAGAGCTGGGCCAGATTGAATGCGTACTATCATATCGACCCACAGACGGACTGGACTTTATCAATCTGGTGATTTTCGAGATCAAGGAAGCGGTCAAGGAGCGCGTTGTCGTGTTATGCTCAGGTGAAGTCAAAACAGCTGGCTCACTTGTTGTTCTAGGAAAACCTGAATTGGTGGAGAGCATGGCGGCCAAGGTCAAGAATGTAGTGAGTTCAGTCAAGGGCGGCGGCAAAGGCGAAAAGTGGCAAGGGAAGGTCACAGAGTGGCAGAAGGGTGAAATAGAGGCGCTGAAGAAAGCGATAGAAGAGGTTTGATCGATGATCTATGGCAATATATACAGATGAAAGAAGATAAAACTGTGTGCTAGATTCGCAACACGAGCATAACGATGAAGAAAAATGAAGAAGGGGTATTGAGCGATCGTCCCTGACTCCTACCAGGCCTTAATCAAAAATACCTAAGCGAATGTGAAGTATGTACGTAGAATCGAACACAAAGTGCAAGCAAAAGGGAAGTATAGAAATTCAGGAAGCAAGAATGCCGGACGGCACAAACCAAGGTTTCACACGCTGTAGACCTTGATGGAATTGATTAGCCAGTACGTCTGTGGTGTGTCAGCTTTATGTTCCTAGTTCATACAGGCACTAGACACTCACGTCGTAGAATGACTGCGGCTGCGACGCCACGTACGCATTGCAACTTGGGTTGATCGCAGCACAAGAGGTTGAACCCCATACACCACCAGCCCAGTCACCACAGAAGGTGATGTCAAAGACCTAAACAGCGTTAGCACAACATCGTCTATACTCAGTACCATGACTTACAATGTTCATGTCCCTAAACCTTCCGTTAAAGTCACATCCACCATTGCCGTAGTTTGCCATGGGGGTGCCCCAGCTATCCGGGTTAGGGTTGCCACTTCGAATATTGCTGGGTACATCGCGGCTTGCGAAGTACCACACCTTTATGCCTGAGCTTGTCCAGAGACTTGCGTAAACGCCGCCGCCGTTTGCGTTGAACGCGGTGCCGTATGACACTGGGCTGTTGGACGAGACGCCACAGCCGTTGAAGCCTCCGCCAGCACCGCAGTCTGCATTCGCAACGCGACTGCCCTGCTCGCCGCCGGGACCGACGTTGGGCGCGCAGCCAGGTGCGGTGTGTAGGGTGACTTGGTTGTACCTAATCGAGGAGTTAGCATGGCGATAGTGCAAGACCTGGTCAACTCATACGTGTTCAGATGGACACCTTCATAGATGTCCAGTTCGCCTTGGTTAGGCCAGTTTGCGCCGACCATCCAGCTGAAGTTTGATTAGAACAAAGTGCATCAGGTAAGATAGTTGTAAATACTATGCTGGCCACGAACCACACGCGCTTCCGGGCGCGTGTGCAATGTCGGCAATGACAAGAGCTCTGTTGTAGGATGTCTTGCTTTGGATTCGGACACTCTTGCGGCCTGAGCCATTGGGGTCGAGATGAGATGATGTATCGACACCCATGTACACTTGACCATTCTGCATCTTGAGAAGTCCGAGGTTCTGCGCATCTTGAGCATTGACATAGTCGACGAAGCCGTCTGTTCAGAGTGCGTCAGTTTGTAAAACCATGTTCGTGCGTGACAGCTACATACGTGTAGGATCAGAGATGTCTTGAACATCAAACTTGCTCAACCAGTTCCCCGCGTCATAATTATCGATGAGACCGTACACCGAAGAAGAGTGTATCTCAGATGTGGCCGAAGGTGTAGATCCATTTGGAAAGAAGCCGGGCCCCGCTGGAAGTGCGGTGGCACAACGCCAAAGCAACGGTAGAGACACTGCAATGGACTTGAAAGACATGGCTTGGAAGTGGTGCATAGAAGTTTGGTTGTATAGTCGTACGAAAACTATAATGGGTGCTCACTTCGTATATTCATATACAAATGCATTTCCATCGTGCGTGCTGCCAAAGCCCCTGGCCAGGAGAGGTCTTGGGTCGGCTGCACGCGTACGCTCATACTAGACCGACCAGAATTTCGAAGCGTGGATATGTGATCAAGACGTAGCAGTAGCATAGCACTTGCTATTGGACATGGCTTTCAGATTGGGAACTAAAGCCTTGCGATGTTGCACTGTGGCCTAGACTTTGTGGAAGCGGAAATAAGGAGCCAGGGCGTTGCGGAAGATCAACCAAGTCAGGCAGTTCAAACGGATCGACTGGATAGCGTGAACATGTCGCCTGATGGATGGTGGATGCTGGCGCCCCTGTCTAGCTGTTAGCGTTGTTTGCCTTGACGTCGATTTCGGTAGAGCGCCGAGGTGAACGGTCGCAAAGTCCTCAGTGGTTGACGTCTTTGCGGCTCATAAAACTATACCTTGACGCCACTCCGCCTTTGTGGCGAGCCACTACGTAGTCGACAGCTGAGGGAAATTGCTGCTGTGATTTCTTTTCTCAGACGGTTAACGATGCCTTACAGACATTTTGCCCGATGTGCTTCTCTGAGCACAACCTTGGAAGTCCCAAATACTATAGGTACCTAGGCACCGTCGGTGCTGCAGATTTACATAATGCCTTGACTAGAAGGCAGCCAAAGCGCGACGTGCCCAAGATTGATCGAGAGAATCAGATCAGATTGGTTAGAAAGATGTCTTTCGCAAGCGGTTGTGTTGCTAAATAGGATGTCTGCCGACCCCGCATTTATGACCTCGTGCACCTGGTGGTCATGGTCATACCAGAGCGAAGCCTCACAAGACACGCGAACTCATCGCCCATTTGGCCGTCCAAAGTGAGTAATGTGTCGCGCAATGCATGCGCAGAGCTCGCGTGGTTATCGGTAGCATTGCGCGAGTTGAGGTTACGACTAGATATCGGCTCTTTTCACTCGGCCGATTTAGATCCCTGAATATACTCAAAAGCTTTTTAGTGCGTTACAAAGTGCTAAAACAGCCCTGAGGTAGGGCAGCTCAGCTAATCAGTGATTAAATATTACACAGAGTCTCCTAACGCAGCGCGCACTTATTGCAGCAACCAGTCAGATTACTTTGTAGGTTGAGAGACTGAACAAAGTCAAAGGCGGACCAATTAATCAAGAAACATCAATGTATTGATGTTCATTACAGGCGAATTGAAGCTTTGCTATATTATACTCGTCGTATCCGTTTTCTTCAAGATTTAGCATAACCTGACAAGACACATAGTGCTACTTGTCACAGTCTATGCAACAGGAGTGTGCTCCTCGTGCTTGGTCTCTAGGACAGGCTTTTCCATGTCACCTCCAGCAACGTGTTCATCACTTCCGTTGTATACACCAGCCCGACGGAGGAGCTCAGTGAGCCCGACCTCAGCATGGACCTCCCTCCAGCGCTCTTTCTCACGCTCAGCAGTACCGACGGAACCAAAGAGCGTGTCCATCTCCTCGAGGGTGAGACCTTTAGTCTCGGGGAAGTAGAAGGCGATGAAGGCAGCTCCCATAGCGGTGAAGATACCGAAGAAGATGTAAGTTCCGTACTTCAAGTGCGTGAGCATGTCGGGTGTGACCTGACCAACAATAAAGTTGTTCATCCTACGATAATTAGTACATGGTCTTCAACATGAATTTTTTGGAGTAATGTCATACCAGTTGGATGATGCGCCAAGTGCGATACCATATGGACGGTTAGACAAGGGCCAGATCTCAGCAACCACGATCCAGGCACAAGGGCCCCAGGAGTAACCGAAGTGAATGACGAACAGCCAGACCATAACGACGGCGGCCCAACCGGCACCCTGGTGGTTTGGCCAGTCATCGGAAAAGCTGGCAACGATGGCAGCAATGATGAAATGGCAGAGTGCCATGCCGATAGCACCGATGACAAGGACTGGCTTACGACCCCAGCTATCCACGTACATGACGGCGGGAACTATACATGTTATTCAGGGAACTCGCAGGTAATGTAAGATGTGTGACTTACTGGTAGCAATGAACATAACAATACCGACCACACCCGTGGCTAGCAAACTCACTGAGTTGGAGCTCAAACCCAATCCTGAAAAGATGGTGGGCGCGTAGTACAAAATTGCGTTGATACCCGTCCACTGTTGGAAAAACATCGTCATGGTCGCGATGATAACGCGCTTGAACATACCCCTGGTAGTGAAGAGACTGCCAATAGCAACAAACTGCAGCTTGAAAGTCGACAACGCGCTCATATCCTGGAGATGTGGGAAGTTCTCGCGGAGGGACTTCTTCTCGAAGAGCGATTGTGCCTTGATCTCAGCAAATTCAAGCTCGATCAGCTCGTGCTCCTCTGGTAGGCTTCGGAGTTGAGCCAAAACCCGTTGAGCTTCAGGCTCGCGGTCATGATGGACCAGCCAACGTGGGGAGAAAGGCATAAAGATCATGCCCACACCAAGAAGGACAGCCGGGACGAGTTGCAGACAGAGTGGGAGAAGCCATGCCGCTTCCTTTTGGCTACGACCAGTGCCACCGATGAAGTTCGTGCCATAGTCGATCCAGAAACTTATCATAATACCGAGAGTGATGGAGAGTTGCTGAAGACCGACAAGCGCACCACGGACCTCAGGAGGCGCGATCTCGGCGTTGTACATGGGTACAATCATGGAGAGCGAACCAACCCCCATACCTGTGATGAATCGTCCCGCGAGGATTGCGTTGTGTCCAGCGCTAATCGAAGTTGTCTGAATCACAACACCGATGATGAAGATAGCGACGTTGACGAGAATGGCGTATTTACGAGACAAAATCTCAGCGAGGAATCCAGAGTACATAGTTCCGAGCCAGGCTCCGAGCTCGAGAATAGAGACGAGCCAACCCTGCTTGGAGGAGTTCCATGTGAGCTTGTCGGCATCTTCAATATAGTCGCCCATGTCTTCCATCAAAGTCAGCAACTTGGTCAATTCGTGCTATGGATGGTTGAAACTTACGCTCCTTGAAAGAAGTCATGGTAAGAACACCAGAGAATACACCTTGGTTGTAACCATAAAGCAGGCCACCCAAGCACGCAAAGCATGCAATGCCAAAGACCTTCAAGTTCTTGACCAAGGCCATAGGCCCCGTGGCTCCGGAGAGAGCCTTGCGGCGAGCCAAAGCGGCAGCCTCGAACTCGGCAGCCCCGCCACCAACAGGAGCCATGTTGACGAAGTTTGATGTTGAGGTCTAAGGAATGTAATATATGGGCTTTCACAGAGCCAGTTCTTCCTATGTCCAAAGGATGAATGGTGTTGCAGAACCGTTCAGTCGAAAAGCTTACCCGAATCCCAAGACTGCGGGTGCACACCTACATATGTACTCGTCGCATGCCCCGGCGACACGGACCTAGAAATCAATCTGACAAGGTCTTACAGGCGCCGGCTCGCACGCTGAATGGCTATGAAACGAAGCTTTCTTGTAGCGGATAAATTGACGGCTAAGCTCACTTAGCATCACGCTTGTTTGGTGGAGCGGCAACGGTCAAGCTTCGCTGGCGTCGAGTAAGAGGTGCTTGTGCACGCGGCAAGGAACGCCTCTTGCAACGAACATCGCTTTTCGTGCCGTTGTGGCGTATGGAGATGCGTACAGTGGGTGTCAGCTGCGGATTTATCGCCCTGATCGGAGCTTTCGTGACGGATTAAATCTTCCCTGGTTCTCTAAAACACCTTCAGCGTCTATCAAGACAAAGCGACACAAATCTCTTCGGCGTCACATCTCGCAGATCGACTTGCGCCATGTCCAGCTGCACAACAAAGCGTTTGAATGGCTCCGAAGCAATAATGGACAAAATGAACATGCATGCATGCTAGGTTCCGCGGGCTGCCGTAAGGCCCCGCCTCATGTCAAACTGGGGTGTGGAGAGCGGGGATCTGGGATAGAAGGTATGGTTGGCAGTGCCGTGCATTCTGCCTAAAGTCGACTCAACCTTGTTGTTCGCAATGTCAATCACCAGAACCGCAACCCCGGACTTTCAGAGCATTTGATTGCCTTTAAAATGAAGAGAGGTCGGTAGAACTCCTTGAAGGCAAACGTGCTGACTATCTTAAAAAGTCCTCTGATCATTATCGCTACAGAGGTTTGCATGTCGCGAGCGGAGTCATGGCGTTTCACGATGTGAACACCAGACACATTAGTAATGCTCGTTTACCGTTGTACGTAGTAATAAGCAGGAATGCTGGTTGGACAAGGAGAATTTTGCTCTCATTAGCTAGAAAAGTGCTATCATCACATGATGCTGACATCGGCAGAGCACTGGAGCTTCCACCGTCAACATTAGAACTTCAAAAAACTGATAACTCTATGGCTGGAATTTGTAACGAGAATAATGACAAGACTATAGGCGGCAATGAGACAACAGGGACTATAATTACGGTGCTGTGCACCACTTTTCATTTGTTTAGGTACAGACATCTTATTATTATTTGAACTCCAGAATTTGACAGTCAGGAGCAAAGTATATCACTTAATTGTTCCGACTCGACTCGTAGCCCAACTTCGCTCGAATTTTAGTAAAGGAGGCTGGACCTCAAGGAAATGTGATAAACATGCGTACAGTGATCGATCACAACCTACTTCAGCGTGCGGCCAGACCAGGTGAGATCCCAGAAAGTAAACGCTGTATAGATCTTCAACAGTAAATGCCATTAAGCGAAGCATGGATATGCTGGAATCACAAAGTAGAAGAAGAAGAAAAAGAAGAAGAAGTCTACCGGATACTCCCAAAACCAAGGAATGGTCTTCGCGAGCTTTGAAATCCGGATGAAGCCGATGAGCAAGCCCATCATAGCCATACGATGACATGACTGTGCATACAGGTCGGTCTGTGTCAGAATATACACTGCTAGGCTGTCCCAAATGAGCGCAGCATTGTATAGCCACGGGAAGAGCGTCGTCCAAGTAGTCAGCGGCCAGGTCCACCAGACATTACAGTCTGAGAAAAGTGCAATGGGGTTCTGGCGGAATATGGTTCTGCTCCAGCGTTGGCACTGATTTGTAAACTTCAGCGGGTACGTACCGAAACTGGTCGTCATAGTTGCGTCCTTTGATGACTGGATCTTGACCTGCCACTCATGATTGATCACCCAACGGGTGATGAAGTTGTCATCGTCGGCTGGTACCAGGCCCCAACCAGGAAAGAAGTCGCCGAAGCGGAGGACGTACCCGGTGAGGAACGCGTGTTCGAAGCTAGGGTTCTTGACGATGTCAATGCGAATCAGACTAGAGCGACCGGACATACAGAACACGCCCCCATCAGCAGCGTTGCTTCAACGCGTCTCGGAGTTGTGACGGACCAGATAAAGGCCTCCAATGGTGTTCCAGAAGCCAACAACGTACTGTTTCCAGAGACCAACGAAGAAATTTGCAGGAGGATCGCGAGGATGAGAAAGGTGCTTGACCCATTTGCGCGTACCTACAAAACCCACCTGCTTCGATTCGAACGCTGGAAGTGTGGCCTGGAGAAAACATGGCTGCCTAATCGCCGTATCGTCAACCATGACGAGGATGTCGGTGTCTACGTTAGAGAAGGCGTGTACAACCTACTGGCGCTTGTTTGACATGTTCGCATTCCGAACGAGGATCTCGGTAGTTACCTTCAACGGACCAAGATCGTGCTCAACCTGATAAGTACTGGCGCCTGCTTGGAAATCCGCCGGAATATGTAGTAAGGCGGTATCGACCTGCTCAGCTGCCGAAACAGTGTTAGTAGAGAAGACGATTCGAGCAGGGTGATTGACAAGAATAGCCGTAACCATCTCCTCGCAAAACTTGTTGTCGGCTGGACCGAATGTCGGCACGATGACAGAACAGTCTTGCGCAGTGGTGTTGGGCTCAGCCGCGATGACAGCTAGCTCATACTGGAACCAGAACCAGATTGCTACCAGCTCACGCCAATAACGAAAAATCATAGTGGCCGTGAACCACACCAACGCAGTGTCTTGAACCGATTGAGCAGTGGTGGTATTGGTCAGCAAGAAAACGGCTGGGATGTTGTGGCAGAGAAGACCAAGTTTACGGAGCTTCGAGGGTGGGTTTGGCCAACGGCGGACATCGAAGATGAGGTACAATGTCCACAGAAATGATGCGCAGAGAAAGACTGAGACGATAGATGTAGGAGTGCTCATGGTGTTGAGTGATACCACGATGGATTGTACTAGCTCTGGATGTGTCAAAGATTGTAGAGTAGGCTCGGGAATGCGATACAAGTATTCAGTGCTGAAAGTTTTAAAGTTCTAGTGAGAGTGCTTGTTGATATGCGGGAACAATTCTGCCATCGCGAAGATCATGACGTAAGTCGAGATGTAATTACTCAATGTCCTTTGAAGATGTTTCTGAGCTGGAAAGTTGAAACGAAGAAACATGTAAGTACAATGAAGATCGAGGTGATGCTCCGAAACATTCGTTGAAATGAAAGATCAGTCCAAATTCGTATATCTGCGTAGACACAAGCTGGTAGCTGTACAATGTTTCTGATCACGATAATCTGAACGACCATGTTTACAAGGCTATCAATCTGCATAAAGGTAATCGTCGTTTCTTCTGTAATTAAAAACCTGCCTCCGGGTTACTTATAACTACATAAAGCCATAAGAACGGTACAGATATTGTGTTACTCTACACGTGCTGTCATCATCTCTTCACTTGTCTTGCTGTCTGCCTCTTGATCTTCATCTGCACCTGGGAAGTTGCCGGGCGTAGCGTTGCATAGACGATCGGCTTACTCGTCCTAGTCTTCTTCGCTGGCGTCTCCAAGAGGCGACTCGCATCAAGAGTTTGTTGTTGGATCCGCTTCGCCACCTCTTCCCAGACCCCAGGTACCCCAGTCTTCATCGTGTATGAACGGCCTTCTTTGACAAAGAACTTGAACCTAGGCTCACTGATCGCCTCGTAAAATCTCTTGAAGAGTCCCTTTTGACGCTGCCTCTGGACCCAATCATCGCTCTTTGGAAGTTCAATGTTCGCAAACCTCATCTTCTTTGGGGGTAAAGCACGAAGCTCATGTAGAAAAACACTGGTTTGTTTGCGGAACGGAAAGATTCGCAGGGTGACAAACTCGAGCTTCGTGTTCGCCGTGTCGACGGGCTTCGTTATGAGCGTGTTCGCAAAGTGCATGAGGTCCTTTCTGCTGCGTCGCGCGTATTCTGGAATCTGTAGATATACTCGATGTGTAAAGGGTGCGGTCAAGTATCCAAGCGTTAAGGTGGGAATTGTACCCAGTATACCAACTGTTGGACGTGTGAGCCTCGCTGATACTACAAAGAAAGGGTCTTGAAAACAAATTGTGGTGGCATTGTGTCATTTTTGCCATTGTCCAACATACATCGCGTACGCTTCATAATCATACGTGGGCATAGGCCACTTGAATACTGACCACTTCCACGGCTTCTTTGTCCAGACACAGAGCATTTGGAAGTTCAGAAAGCTTGACATCAAAGGAAGGGCTGAAATGACTCGAACGAGATAACACAAAAGCCAGGCAGGACAAACATCAAAGAAACTTTTAGCACATACCTAATATTGCCGTAGCTTTTCTCAGTCTTGGATCCGGCTCGTTCTCATTTTTCCACAGGAGTGGTACTGCAAACACAAACGTAGTGCCGCATTGCAATAGAGCTACAGCTTTCCAAAACGAAATCCACGTCGTCCGCGCGTCACCAGCATCGTAGATGAGCAATCGAGACTTGTATTCTGGTACATGGTTAGCCAAACTCACCAAATTTTGCGAAATCACGTACTCCGTTCTTTCTCAGCTACCTTCTTAGCTCCTCCGAGCAAGCGTAGCGTAGGAGACGTGGAAAATTTCTGTTGACATGACCTGCAAACGAACTGGGTATACCGAAATCGCGTAGTTGGCCTTCCGACATTAGATCCTAGCAAAGAACGCTTCAAGGCTGCTGTAAAGGTGGGGAAAAGCGGCCGCATGACCATTGATGGTGTGGTAGAAGGAGAGTGGCTCAAAGTTGTTGGTATGGGTTGCTCGGCTAAAGCTGCCGCTTCTCTACTTACTGGCTTGGCTTGGCGCTCACCTTCTTGCGGATGTGAAGAACAGTGTGAACGCATGCTCTGGCCTGTGCGTACTTCCAAAGAAATGCTAGGAATTATGCCATTGGCGTGAGCAACTATTCAATTCACGCAGCTTGCTGGATGTCACGTGCGATGTTCGGAATGATTGGGGCGGAACCTCGGAACCTCGAATTCCCATGTTGAGACCACGATTCAGTCCTCCACCGGTTCTCAAAGTCTGGTCGCAATATGCCCCAATTCGACCAATAACCTACACACCGGCTCTTTTGGATCACACTCGAAAGCTCTGATGTGAACAAGCCATCTTCATCATGTTGTTCGCCTCTGCGCTGCTGTCGCTCGCTTCATTGCTCTCCTTGGGGTCTGCTTACCACGACATCAGTGACGAGTCCCTCCAGAAGTTACCTGGGCCGGGCAAGGACTTCGATATCAAGACCGGTTCTATCTTGGCACCCATTCTGCGGCCGCGTGTGTCTGGTACAGAAGGGAACGTGGCTGTACGACAGCATTTTATAGACTTCTTCCACAAGGAGCTTCCGGAATGGCGCATCGACCTGCATAACTCGACATCGAAGACGCCTGTGAGCAACGGCAAAGAAGTGCCTTTTGTGAACTTTATCGCGACTCGCGATCCGCCAAATGCGCTGCAGGGCGACGTGTCCAGACTGGCTCTGGTCGCCCATTACGACAGTAAACTCACACCAGATGGCTTCATTGGAGCGACTGACAGTGCGGCGCCCTGCGCCATGATCATGCACATTGCGCGCAGCCTGGATGCAGCACTGACCAAGAAATGGGCATCCTCCAATGCCGACGACTTCGATGTGGAACACAAGGGACTGCAAATACTGTTTCTGGACGGCGAGGAAGCCTTCAAGAGCTGGACTGACGACGACAGCCTTTATGGCGCTCGGTATGCACAAATCTGAAATAGGGCTGCATGCAGTGCTGACAGTGACATCAGGGCTCTCGCCGGAGACTGGGAGTCGACCTTCCATGCCGCTTCGTCCATCTACCGCACGCCTCTCGATTCGATCGAGCTATTTCTTTTGCTCGACCTGCTGGGCTCCGCTAGCCCGCGCGTGCCATCATACTTCAAAACTACACATTGGGCATACAAGCGCATGGCAAACGTGGAGGAGCGGCTACGAAAACTGGGCTTGATGAAGTCATCTCCCAATCATCCTCTTAGAGTGGCCAAGCGCCAGAACAAGAAGCCTCGCGCAGAGCCTATGTTTCTGCCGGAAGGCGGCAAGAGCGATAACTCGTTCATGGGCGGCTTTGTGCAGGACGATCACGTTCCTTTTATGGCTCGTGGCGTTGAAATTCTTCACATGATTCCTACACCTTTCCCAAGAGTCTGGCATGAAATCACGGACGACGGCGAGCATTTGCATACAGATACAGTGGAGGATTGGGCGAAATTGGTCATGGCTTTCACGGCAGAGTGGATGGAGCTAGAAGGTCATTTAGACTTCAAGGCAGAGAAGCGGAAACAGACGATTGAGAAATCGGAGTTGTAAGTAGTTCCAACGAATTCCAGTGTTCCCTTGTTGACATCATACAGCGAGATACCCTAACTTTCGTAAATTATGAATTCGTTCTTATTATCAGTTGCACAATGTCACAAAGAGCTTGACCCATGTGCTACTGTTTTAAAAGATTGAAGTCTGAGACAAAGAAGTCGCCGTACCAAAGCGGGCCGTGAGGGCCTGTCTTTGATCGCAAAAGAAGACAAAGACATGTTTTGGCAAATGCAAAACATGCCACATTCTAACAATCAACCTGCTCACACTCGCATCGCTGACCGTTGACACCATCCTCTCGATAGACAGACTCTGAATCACAGAAGAGAATCCTCATTTAAGCGTATCTATCATTTCTCCTAGAACAGGGTATCTTGACAAACCTCACAGGCTCACTATCCCACACAAGCGTTCGTAGCAGTCAATACATCACAACATGGCTCCGCAAGCTGCTCCACACAAGCGTGGCGGCACGCACCGTGTCAAGGACCGGGACAGAACCAATACCGTTTACGATGATTGGGACTACAAGCAGCTCAAGAACGGCTGCATCGAGCGTGGAATTTATGTGAAAGACATGAAGAAAGTAGAGATGGCCAAAACACTGGCTGACTACGATGTCCAGAAGAGGCGGGCTGAGCGCAGCGCCCTCGTGGAGCACGAGAAAAAGCAGCGAAAGCTCGAGGTGGAAAAACGCCAGGAGAACGACCGGCGGTTACAAGAAGAGGCTATCAAGCACAAGAGACGAATGGAGAAAGAGGCCAGGCGCGAACGCGAAGAGAGTGTAAGTGATGACACCCCCGACGAAGACGAGATTCGGCAGATGCACGATATGATGGCGGGAAGTGATGAAGGTCCAATGGGTCAAGTACTCAGCGAAGAATCCTGGGATAGTACTTCCACAGACACGACAGACTCCTCAGTGAACGACACTATCCTCCCCGAATGCAAACTCCGCTTGTTTGAATGGTCCTTCCCGGACATGCCTTCGCCAACAGCTCGCATCTCAACACGACAAGCCGCCATATTCCGACCCAAGAGTCCAGAATATCCACCTAAACGACCATTGCCCGTGCCACGCAATATCCCCTACGCACCGCTAAAAGTCCATACCACCTCAACCAAAGAGAAGCTCTTCCTCCCCGGCCAAACATACCCTCCTGGTGTCAACCCCGACTTCGTGCCCTTACTCTCGCCTCGCACGCGCCACGCAGCCCGCAACGGCGTCCTCTCAGGCGTCCTCCGCAAAGCGACAATCGAACGCGCATCAACCTGGGCGCAGCGCACGCAGATCCAAGGCTGGAACGCACGCATGTTCTTCTCGCTTGCGCCGCGCAACGAAACCAAAGCACTCTCCGACGTGTACACCAAGTGGTTCCTCGAAAACCGCAAGCTGCTGCGCGTCGAGCCTCGAGGCGTCGGGCTGAAAGTCACGCGCGAGCAGCGGCATGTACAGCGACACGTCAACAAGGGCAGGAAACTCGCCGAAGTGTTGGAGGCGAGCGAGTATCGGCCGACGGCGGTGTGCTATCTGCCTGCATATTTGGATTATGGGGAGGAGGAAGAGTCTAAGGAGCGACACAGGCTTGAGAATCTTTTCTTCGTGAGGTTTCCGGGGTGCGATGTGCCGCATTACTATTTCTGGACGGGGGAAGGGGAGTGGGCGGATCCGACGGTGAGGAATATGGATTGGACGCACGATGGAGATGGGATGGAAAGGTCAAGTGTGTCGCGGAAACGTCTACCTGGAACGTCTCGCACGATGGTTACGCGCGTCAAGAACCCCAATGTCTGGCCTTCTCCACCGGTGCATGTAACGTCTCCCCCGGATCTCGAGACCATCATCGCGCTCATCGAGTTCGAGCTGTACACGCACGGCCTCGCCATGACGCTGATCAAGTACCGCAACCGGTGGGCGAAAAAGGGCAAGGCAGATGCGTGGAAGACCTTCGGTCAACACTTGCCTCTGATCTACCCCAGCGGGATATTCCCAACCGTTCCACCCCCGAACGCAAAGAGTGCTATCAGCGTCGCGGTGAAACTAGCCATTATTGAGAAACTTAAACCTGGGGATGATACGATGGCAGATCCACTGCGTGGCGACGAACCGTGGACGAGTAAGGATGATGTGTGGTGGACTATAGATGGAGCGAACACTACTCCATCCACTGAGCCAGAACACGAAGCCCTATACCGTCGAGACAGCGTCCCGACACTAGAATTCCTGAGCACAGATAGATGCGCGGGCTGGCTCGAACAAGTCAGCCCGTCCTTTGTGCCGCTCACACCAGAAAGTTTACCCGCTTCTCCCGAGCTGGAAGAGATTGAACCAGATAAGTGGGAGGAGCGGTTCTTGCAGGATTCTTCGCAGCATATGGACGTCACGTGTCCGTTTTGTTTACTGGAGCTGGGGGTGATGAGTATGGAGGTAAGTTCACTTGCGACGTTGAGTACGGGAAATTGTTTACTGATGGGAACGCAGGAGCAGGCAGAGCACATGCACGCGCACAACGCGTTTGGAAAAGCGAGCTATCGCCGTGTTTCTTCGAACGACTTTTTGTTTCCTGTTTACCCATCGGCTAGGCGTAGACGATGCAGTCGCATCAATACCCGACTCGATCTTGTTGACGATGGCGCAGATGCCGACAATGAAAGGACACCGACGACTGAGCCCACGAGATTGAGTCCTAATAGCTCATCTAAGAAGCGGAAGAGGGTCACTACTGTGACGTATCGTAAAAAGCTCAGGGCATGGGATAGTCCGCGGTGAATACTCCTTCTAGACACCAGGTGTTGCAGTAATTCGTGCGCGCTCTGCTTAAAACGAACTTACTATCAGAGCACGATCGCCATCTAATATGCGTACTTGACGAGATTCAATACCGTTTTAGGACGCAACAAAGTGCTAAAAGTGCCTCGAAGTTAAACAGCTCATCTCAGTTGCGCTTAGATAGTGCTTATAGTTATCAGACAACGCGCACAAATTATTGCAGCACCTGGTGTAATTAGATAAGGGTCGGTTTATATAATCAAGTGTGGAGCTCAAGAAAACGACAGGAGGACCATGTAGATACAACGGCCTGTATAGCTCCGCGTCTGTATCAATCCTCAATCATACCTCCTCGCAGTGCTCTTAATGCTCTTCTCATCCATTTCTTCCTTCAAGATCTTCACCTGCTTCTGAATTTCAACCCAAAGCTCCAGGTGATCAAGATCCGGGTCATCACCGCCACCAACCGATATGCGGAGTTGTGACAACGGGTCTTGCGGGCCCGACCACTTGTCTACCTCCTCAGACTTACCACCTCTGACCGCGATGGCCAGCAGACTGGCCACAAAGGCCTCCTGCATATACGCGAACGAGAACTTGTCGGTGATCTCTGCAACCTTACTGCACAAGTCGTCCGGAAACTCAATGTCCTTGTTGTCCTTGAGCTTGTTCTGCCAGAACTGTGCGTATTGGACACGCTGGCCGAAGTCTGGGTCGGAGAAGTAGTATTTCCGATCGAAACGGCTGGGGCGCTTGGAAATGCCCGGGTCCAAGCGGTCGAGATGGTTCGTTGAGCCGACCATCATGATGCCATCGTTTGACGTGAGACCGTCGACTTCGTTGAGGAAGTAGGAGCGCACGTTGTCGCTGACAATGGAGTCGAGGTCTTCGAAGACGAGGTAGCATGGCGCTTCCTGGCGGGCTTTGTTGAAGATCTGACGGAGCGAGTACTCGGGGCCGCCGTAGGAGGTCAGGGTGCGGACGTAGAGAGTGGGGACGGTGAGGCGGTTGTCGCCCTTTTCGACACCGCGCTGATAGAGGCTGTGCATCATGGCCTTGATGCTGATGGTCTTGCCATTGCCTGGTGGGCCGTAGTAGATGACGCCGCGCTTCCACGGGACTTTGAGGTCCGTGTATGTCTTCTGGCCGTCGAAGAAGTTCTCCACGTCAGCGACGAGGGCCTTCTTCATGTCCTCGTCCAGGATGACGTTCTGCCAGTCTGCCTTTTGTACAGCGTTGTAGAGCTCGGCGCTCTTTTGCCAGTAGCCCTGGTCATAGACCCAGACCTCATTGTGCAGCTGCGAGCCCCAGAGGGAGGCGAGCTTGAGCAGCTCGTCGACCTTGTGCTCATTGGTGGTGAGGATGTAGTGGTTCCGAGGAGCTGGGTAGCTTGACACTCCATCTCGTCCGTCTGCAATGTATACTATCGCCTCCTGGTCCTTCCATTTGTACAGGAATTTGCCGAAGGTGACGTTGTCGACAAAGACACCAGGTCCGCTGTCGAAGCGTCGGAATGGTGGAACGTAGCTGCGGTGTTTTAATCCAACACCATAAACAGGATCGCGGACGGCATCTTCGAGCGGCGTCGCTTTGGCGAAGCCAGCAGAGGCGTATGCGAGCAGATTGGTCACGCCTACGGGCACCACGACAAGCTCGAGGTGGGGATATTGCTTGCGCAGAGCTTCAACGAGGACGACATCGGTGTTGACGCGCTGGGCAGACGAGTGGTGGAAGTACTCGCGACCCGTCTGGTCTTCATGCGACTGCACGGTGAAGCTGTTCCCCGTCATGGTAGGCAGCAAGCAAAAGTCAGGTCGAGAAGCAGGTTGCAATTGTACCTAGATGATGGTGAATAGTAGAGTGGTAAGCAGCAAGATAGACACGTTGGATGGGTGATCAAAAGGGCTGGCTGGTTGCCTGGTACGCGGTGTTACGCCTCGCGCGTCACGTTTCGAGGCTGAGCTGTCAACTGGTCGCGCAGAGCCCTGCAGCAGGAGCTCAAGCTGCGAGCTGTGAGCTTCCCCGCGCTACGGCTGCGATCGACATGGCCATGACGTGCCGCTCGTTCCGTCGACTTGGCTCAACACCAAGAAAAGGACTGCGATGCGTTTCAGACGGCTGGCTTCTGAAAGGGAATCGAAAAGGACTGAAATGCCATGCTGCTCACCCATGCTCGCGGCCCTGCTCGGCCTCTTACAACAAGCGACGTACGCCAAGTTCACCAAGCCGGGAGGCAATACCAAGCAAACGCCACCTGTCCATGTTGCAGGTGATTGTTGCAACGTCGTGCTGTGATCTCTGATGTTGATACTAACCTTGAGCTTCCCCGTGGGGAGGAAGTGACTTCTTCTCGAGGACTCCACATCCAAGGCAAAAACAACGCAGTGCTCCATACTTGACAAATCTCGAATCAGAACATGGAAAGTGCCGCAGGGCAAAGTCGGCCGACGGGTGCTGGCGGATCCTTGAGCTTTGTCGTCGTTCGCCGACTTTCATCACAGGACCCAACCCCGACATCCCCATCCCCAGGAGTCTGGCACGCTGCAGGGACCAGTTGAAGTGCCCGCCCTCCCCATGTTCGAGACTCATGCTGCAAGCAGGCTACCAACGTCTACCAGCAGCAGCTCGTTCCATGCCTAAACATGTTTGGGTCGAAGCACTCCCGAACAATCTCACTTCAATATCGACTAAAGACGCCATCAGCAGGGCACAATTAGGCTAAACAATGTCCGAGTGTGAGATAACATCAAAGCATAGACAGCAACGGGAGCTTCGTGTCCATAAGCGCCAATCACCGGATGCAAATGTGTTTCCTCTGTTCTGCAGTGTTTTCGGAGAAATCCTTTGCACCACAGCGCGACCTCAAAACACCAGCTTGTCCTTCGTCCAACACAATAGACGGCGCAGTTGCAAGGCCAGACTTGACATGATTACATCTCAAGATCCATCTCGACTCAGCCACGAGCGCTGGTGTATCTAGACCGCCACGGCCTCACGGAAGCATACGCAGGATTTCGCAGTCCCTTCTCCCGCTGGCCCGAGCATGTTTCAGCCGAACTGCAGCTCAACCTTGTCTTCAGATGCCGTGCAACGCTCTCAACCACTCTCCGTGTGGAGACCCCGGCAATCCTGTCCGTCGAATGAACGCTAGCTCATGCTCTACGTCCGTCCGTCGCAGAGCCCCCGTTCTCAATGCGCTAAATATCAGCGCGAGATTTGAAATTCACGAAGCGCTCTGGCAGCTCCGTTTTCGCAATCAACCAGAATGTTGTTTGTCATGTTTTGGTGAAGGGCTGGTGGCTTGCCGAGACTCTTGGACAATGCTTAGCCATCGACACCGTCCAGGGTGCAATGCATGCCATCATCGCCCAGCAGCCGGGCATCAAAGGCATTCCCATTATCCCCGGCTGCCTGCTACAGCGAAGTCTCGCTTGCAAATCCATGACCCGCGGCTTCCAGCATCCCTGTGAGCGACGGGATGTTCTGTTGGTAATGACGAAAGGCTACCTTCCATTGCGAGTGAGAAGAACCGCTTTACTTTCTGCAGTACATGATAGATGCGACTGCGACAAGGGAATGCAGGGCGACACTCCCCTGCCGCAATAACACTCTATCGTTCAAACAAGCGCCCTGTATCCTGCACAAGTTGGGATGACATTGTATCTGGTCAGTGCTTCGGATGTTCAAACGTATTTTTTCCGATCAACACTCTCCGTGGAGTCATGGGCGTCTCCCAAGTCGCGATGATGTAATGGCATCGGCAAAGGATTCAGCGCACCCATTTCCCCGCGTCATCGCAGCAGAGCAATGCAGCTCACGAGATGTGCACCATGGTAAAGTCGATGCTCCGATCGTTTTGGGCGTCTCCAATTGCGAGTCGTCTTTGTCGGCGCACGTCCGGCGCCGGACCAGGCTTCTTTTGGTCGCCGATCGACACTATCCCAGTGGCTCGTATGAACCAATTGCCTTTTTGTCAGCCCATTGATTGACCCCATGTCGCTCCTTTACCCGGTCTGGAGACAGCAGTGTGGGGAATCGTTGTGAGTGGCTCCAGATTAGTTCCTGTTTGGTGCTAATTGCACCTGCTTAGTCTGGGTGAACGCGAGCTCATGGCACACGTCGTTAGACTGACTCCACCCAGCGACGGCACGGGCTGTAAATATATGAGCGCACTTGTTCCCCAGGTTTAAGAATCTGTTTTTTCCCCAGACCCATTCTTCCGTTCCATTTTTTTCATATTGGACGCGAAAGGTTTTTCAAAGTCTCGTACATATCACTTAGGCAGTACATCACAATGGCTACGGCAGCTGAGCACAACGGTGTCGTATGTTGCAATCTCGTCTTCATCAGGGAAAGGACTGTTCTAACTAACTTCATCACAGCGCGGACCCAGCATGGAGAAGACCACCTCAACCCACGACCATGCCCATAACGGCGCGGCCCCCAGACAAAGGGCACCGTACGACTACGGCGGCAACCCGCTCGCCCACGTCGCGACCAATGACCCAGAAATGCGCCTCCGTCCATTCGGTGGTGACTTCCAGCCCGGTCTCTACCGCCCACCGAACCGCAAGTTCGCCAACCCAGCTCCCCTGGGTCTTTCTGCTTTCGCCCTGACGACCTTTGTGTTGTCCCTGATCAATGTCAAGACCAGGGCCATTCCCGGACCTAACATTGTTGTTGCTCTTGCCTTTGGGTATGGAGGACTTGTGCAGCTTCTTGCTGGCATGTGGTGAGTAACAAGACACTACTTGACTCTAAATGTTCTTGTGCTGATTCTTCGACAAGGGAAATGGCTGTTGGCAACACCTTTGGTGCCACTGCGCTCTCATCCTACGGTGGTTTCTGGCTGTCCTTTGCCATCATCCTAACCCCTGGAGGTTTCGAGATCGAGTCTGCACTCGTCGCGAAGAGCGAAGCTGCTTTCCTCAACTCTTTCGGCCTGTTCCTGATGGGCTGGTTCATCTTCACCTTCCTGCTACTCATCTGCACGCTCCGGTCTACCATTGCCTTCTTCTTCCTGTTCTTCACGCTTGACATGGCCTTCTTGCTGCTTGGTATCGGATACCTCGAGAACAACGGCAAGGCCCCACAAGAGGGATGCATCGTCGCCGGTGGTGCATTTGGTCTCCTGGCTGCTTTCGCTGCCTGGTACAATGCCCTGGCTGGTATTGCGGACAGCTCCAACAGGTACGTCGATTCATACACATCTTATGGTCATACATGTATGCTAACGACATGTTCACAGCTTCTTCGTCATCCCCGTCGCGCATTTCCCATGGTCCGACAAGGGCCGCGAGAGGCGCACCAAGGTCGACAACTCGGCCGCACGCGACGCTGCGCACGAGGCCTAGACGGCTCGGTGTTCGATGACCTCAGGATGCGATGTGTCATTGATCGGCAGTGAATTATTGCCGGCGATGGCGCTACTAGTGCAAAGGTTCCGATCGCGCGGGTTGGATGTAATTATACCTATGACGCAACGCGATACCTACTCATATTGATACTCTAATACCACCTTTTTATTACTTCACGTTCACGACAAATTGGTGGTTTAAATATGCCTTTGAATTCATCATGTTTGACATTCCACTGGCTCAACCGGTCTGCGTTTGAGCCCACCACGTTCTCTTTAGCACGCAGGTCAGAGCATGGAATCAGACTACCAAGTGATCGGCATTACACTCGTACCATCTCCCCCCACAAAGAAACTGACAGTCCCCACCGTTGATGCACAGTACCATGCCACGTCCGCGTCCACTGACGTGCGCCAGGCGCTTTGTCTGCTTAAGCTTTTGCCCAGACGCTTCCCCGGGCTTGGATGAAGTCAGCGGCTGGCGTCGAGGCAGCTATACCCGGCACATCGCAGCGAAATAGCAGCAGCAGGAATTCGTGCGCGCGGATTCTGAGCATTTTCTAACGAAGCAAGGGTGGTTTAGATGAAGTTGTTGGACTTGAAGGGAGTTTTGGCTGTTCGCAAGAGACTCATCAGTTATGGAGTTTACTCAGGCTTCAAGACAGAGCGCGGACGGATTATTGCTGTACTCGGTAGCACACGTACAAATGGCATGATGATGAATTTACTTTGAGATTTCCAGAGTTCAAGTCTCGCTACAGCACTGCAAATGCACTACAATAACTCACGCTGCTATCACCATAATCCTCGACCAAGGAACTCCTCTCGTACCGCACAAACTTGAACCTCCCCTTGCCCTCGCCCACATCCGCACTCTCGACCGCCGCCATGAAGACCCCGATAGGATGTCTCCCACACACAGTATTGCCCGTCTCCTTGAGCTGCTCCAAAAACCGCTTGTGATGCCCACTCTCAACAGCATCCATGCTCTCCTTATCCACAGCCTTGATACTCTCGTGAATCGGCCAGTCCTCATCGATCTTGGACTTGCGCGTCAACTGGGTGGCTGAAGCCCCGTCTGGCGACTCGTAGTACGTATAGCGGAAGCGCGAGCCCCAGTGGCAGAAGTCGGAGGATATGACGAAGATGTTGGTGGGGTCGGAGAGGTATGGGGCGAGGAGGGAGCCGTATTTGGATTCGGTGGAGGGGGAGGTGTTGCCGATCATGATGGGCACGAGAGGGACGGAGGAGGGGTTGTTGTGTCTGTATTGTCATGGTCAGTGGGTTTCACATATGGTATGTTGGGGATTTACAGTGACAGCATCTTGTAGATGTAGGGAAGATGCATTTCCAGGCTGTGTTCTGCCTCATCAACATCTTGGCTCATGGTCTCGAGACCCCATTCTTGCTTGATCTCTTGGACGAGCGCTGTGTCGATGATCAGGTCGCCGAGTGGTGTCGCGTACTTGTCACACGCGGTCGTCGCGGCGCCGGAGAGGTAGTGGTGATGTGAGGGACCGAGCAGGAAGACGCGCTTGCTGGACTTATGGTCAGTGATGTTCATATACACACCAGAGCTGTGGGGAGACGCACGCATTCGCCCAGTCGGCGCTCTTGTAGGCCCAGGCAGCAGCGGGCCCGGAGTATGAGTATCCCGCGTGCCTGCGTGTCCATGAGCCTTGTCTTCTCTCCGCGCGACTTCAAGATAGCTCACGGTGCGATGATAGCTCGTGCATTTGGCGTCGGTATCGAGACGTCTCCTTGTTCCGAGGAGGCCGTGCCAATGGGCGTGGTGGAGCTTGGGACAGCTTCTAGCCAGCCGTCAAGCTGCTGTGAGAGTTGCTTCCCATTGGACGTGTACCAAGAGCCGGCATGTGACGCTTCACGCGTGACCATTTTGTGCTGAGAAGTCGAAAAGAGGGATTACAGATGCTTCAGGCGACGATGCGGGGGAATGTCTGTATCATGTGTAGGTGGGGTCGTGCTTCCGGGGGTGCATTAGCCCCTCGTCGCGGTCGCGCAAGAACACGCGACGCGCCTACGCCAGCCATCCGCATCATGACCACTTCCCGTTCCATCTCATCACCCGTGCTCTTCTCCTCCACACCCGCACAACCACATACTCTCCGGTCTCTAGCCTACCGACCCTAATCTTTTTTGGGATCCATTCCAACACATCAGCAGACAAAATGGGCTCCAAGCGCAAGCGTTGCATGGACGATTCGCCTCTTTCCGTCTCGAGCTACACTTGGTCCACACCAGAGACTCAATCGCCCATCCCGTTTCCGCACGATGCGATGCAAATGGACGTCGATGCATGCTCGCGAAACAATGGCTGGGACTTTGCCAATGCAAGCCGCGTGAAGAGCAGCGACTGGGGCAACCGCACGCGCAAGAGATTCCGCGACAACCGCCCAGACGAGCGTTCAATACATGGTATGTCATCTGATGCATCTGATATTGGAAGAGGCATACTAATTCCACGCAGAAATCACCCTTCAGAAACTCTTCTCTGCACAACGCAACCACCCCGACGCCTCTCCCGTTCCGTCCGAACCCCTGCCAACCCAACAACCAACACTAGCACTCTCGAAGCCAGTACAGAAGTCGACACTGCATTCGTTCTGGAAACAGCTTCCTGCGCCACCCGTCCAGCCCATCTTCTCGCAACTCCACCAAGTCGAGCCTCAATTGCCGTCATGCGACGATTGCGACTCGCCGCTTCAGAGCGCAAATGGCAGCATGAACGTCGACATGGATATCGACATGGGTGGCCCTGTGGAGAGCAGTCCTTTCGCATGTAGTGACTGTGGCAAGAATGTCTGCGGTACATGTGCAGTGGTATCGGCTAGCCGGCATTGCCTGCAGTGTGCGACCAAGGGCAGGAACTCGGCACGATGGTGGTAGCTGGCCAGCGCGGCAACATCCTTTCTTTCTTGATACGCCGGCGATGAGGCCGCTTTGTTGTACGATATCCATCATATTTTCATCCGCAAGCGAGGCGTTTGGGCGCTCAATATCGGAGCATCCGTCGAGGTGCAATTTGGGGTTTTCCCTGGTGCATAATACCTGTGTAGCCTCCAACTACAGTGTACACATCGAACTGTATCAATTTCAAGTACATAATTATTGAACCATCCCAGCACTAGAGACTACGAAATACCATCGTACGTACCTAGTCGACCTAAAAATGCTTCCTGCCAAATACATGTATATCAGTCTTGAGCCTCTTTCATCTGACAAACTAAACTTAATGAGCAACGCAACAGCCACAATGCCGTGGATCCGCTGTCAGTTTTGACATGTCTGTCAGCACACTGCATATTCATACATGCTGTACTTCGACGTCTCTCGTGTCTTGTTCGCTGCCTCACTTCTGGCGACGCATATGGTTGTACGCTACCAGACCAGCTAGCACACAAACTGCTAAATTTCTGCGATGCAAACACGAGGTTTCTGCTCCTGTTGGCAAAGTCCAGAAAGAGGTAACAAATATTCTGTCAGTGCTGTTGCGTACTCAAAAGAAATAGCTCCTGCTTATAGCAATGATCGATAAGAAGATATCTACATAACCTATAATAATGTCTACAGAGGACTCACCCCAGCCCACCACCCAAAGTAAAAAAAAAATCGCCGGCTCATCACAGCATCTAGCAACTAGCAACGAAGAGGGAAGAAGCCAAAAGCAAAAAAGACTGATGCGTACGAGCGGGGAGGATCGAACTCCCGACCTTCTGCGCTTTAGATCTTGGAGGATGTAAAGCAGACATCATAACCACTAGACTACGCTCGCTTTTGATTCGTGGCAAATAATAAAATAGATTACACTATAAACTTGTTGTTATTGGAATGTTGGAGGAGTTTAATACGAAAAGTGGCGGAAAGCGGGGCAGTGAGTGGGGTTTGCACTACCAGCGTTATAAGAGTTGGCGCGAAAAGCCGACGGTAAAACATGGAAGTAGAACATGGTATCATATCAGGCATTGCGGCTGATGGGTTATGATGCGTGAAGGATATCTAGCCAACTTCTAACTCGAGTACATCGAGGAAGTTTGCTACCCCCAAAATGCGTCTGCCTCTTTCTGATGTCTAACGATACGTTTCGAGCAACTATGCAAGACAGCAGTTTATGTATCATGTCCAGAGGGCCAGTATACGGTTTGTTGTAGTAGAACGTCATTAACATCATTCCTGACCATCTCATGTGCCCAGTATTTCCGAGTATGCCAGCACCGCCCCGTCCCGCTGACTCCGTTTAAATCCGAACTTCAACCTCAGGCTTCCACGCATCATCCAGCCCTACCATCCTTCCACCACCCCACAAAATGTCTCACAACCTCTTTACCAAAGCGCCCACTTTGCGCGCCGCACTGCGCCGAGCGCAACCACAGCTTCAAACCGCGAGCTACCACTCCACGAGCTCCCCCAAGATGCCCTCCGGCCACCAACACCTCCGCACTCTAATCCGCCAAACCACCCTTCGCGCAAGCACAACAACCCTCCAACGCACCTCCTACCCCGTCTCCCAACACTTCCACACCGCGCCCCCGCGCTCCCGCACCCCCAGTCCCCCACCGCCCTACCAAACCCGCGGCCTAACCCTGTGCGCCCCAACCGACCACTGGTACGCGCTTCAACACACCCTACACCCTCAGCTCCATCCGCACATTCACATCCACCCGCCCCGTAAAACTCGCCTCGGAAGCCCCCGCAGGCTCGTCAATACCGCCCGAAACGCAGGCCCAGATCGACGCGGTGATTGAGCAGATCAGCGACATGTACGGGACGGCGAAGGACGAGTTTGAAATCGCGAGCGAGGAGAGTGAGAAGAATACAACGTATGCGCCGGACGATCGCGCGGCGGCCAGGGAGGAACTCGATCGGCTGGTGGAGTATTATAATGGCGTGTTGCAGGGGGACCGGGTTGTTGCGGAGGAGGTGAAGAGGAGGGTGGGTGGGAGGATTAGGGAGTTGGTTGCGGGCGTGGAGAGGATGGAGGAGGAGGCTATGCATGGGGATTGAGGGCTGCTGTATGGAGAGTGGATGTCATATTACACAGATCTGCGCAAGGAAGAGCTCTATATAGGCGTGGAGCGTGTATGGAGATTCCAATCATCTTCACGGGCTGTACAACAGACATATTCTGTAAAAGTGCGAAATGTTTCAAGCACCGCATATCAAAAGCTGGTACCATAACAATGCATTTCCTACCATTGTCCCTGGTACGATCTCTAATTGCAATAGAAATGCTCATAGCAAATAAACTCCATCCCAATGCAATCATTACAATGTTACCAATCCATCACGTCACGATGGCCGCGGCTTCGGCATCGAACTATGCTTCACACTCCAACCCTGCATTGTCCTCCGCGTACCCAGCGTTTTCCTCTGTGCCGCTTGGTTCTGTACTTGGTTCATTGACGTAGTGTGAAAGGCCGACGCAGCTCTGAAACCAGATGACGACACAAACGAAGACGACTGCTTCACTGGACTCGGTGGGGCTTGTTCTTGTTCCTTATCGGCACTTCCAACAGTGGTGTCCTCCCAATCCGGCTTCACAGGTGAGCTAGACAGGAGCACGTATCTGGTATTCTCCATGTCCGGTGGTGGCTCGGTCCGCTTAGGCTTGCTCGCCATGGGACGATTCTGAAGTTTATAGTTTGGAAGTGCGAGCGATTGGTAGGGCTTTGGCTGTCGTACAGTGGAAGACTGAACGTTGGAGATATCGTATAATGGGGTGTTGCTTGACAGCGACGATTGTGAGCGCTGCAACGATGCCGTGGGAAGAGGTGGCACTTGCTCCGTGTCTTCTGAAGGCGTGCTGACGGATCTCTTCGCGAAGAAGTTCGTGATGGCACCTTGGCCTGCTGCCCGAGGCTTGGTTTTCTTCGCCTGCGCAGGCTTCGTTTCTGCCTTCTTGTCTTCTTGGTATGCTTTGCGCCCTCTTTCTGCATCGTTTGCGGTAGCAAGCATGCGAACACGCTCTGCTTCCCGCTGCATAGCTTGTAGATCACCGAGGTCACGAGCGGTGGTGAAGCCTGGTTTTGCGCCATGCATTGTGGTAGAGGCCATCGAGAAGCCGGAAGTCCTATTCATGGTTACCGCAACCGAGTCGTGGGCATGTGAAGTATTAGCATCGAGTTTGCGTCGTTTGAACCCTGTTTGAGCTGCTTCGCTGCTTGGACCGAATTTGTCGAACTTGTCGTCCCAAGACGTACCCCAGCTTGGGTCGTCGCCATCGATCTCGTCCCTGGTTGCAGGATATAAGTCATCCTCCAGGCGCTCCAGACCGACACGTGCAGTTTCAATGTCCTCGGCGGTCGGGCAAGGTCTGCGCAAGATCTTTGCCAGGTCTGGTATGGTTGATCGTTTGAACGCGAAATCAGGTCCTCGCTGACTGAAATGTTTTTGTACGCTTCTCTCTGAGATAAACTTTGACAAAGTCGTTGTCTCTTGTCCCGACTGTCTGACAGGGCAACTTAGATACAGTAGACCTTGCGCACGTGTCATACCGACATAGAGCAGTCGTCTTTCCTCGTCGTGATCATCTGCGCGCGAATGGGGTATCGAGCCGTCGTACATTGCGGGTAGGAATACTACTGGCCACTCCAAGCCTTTGGCAGCATGTATCGTGGAGATGGTGACCTGCTCCACCTCCCCACCGTTCTGGTCTGCAAGACTCGAGAGAGTAACGTTTGCGAGAAACTTCGACAGCACATCGGCGGCTGTATCTTGTCGTTGTTCGATCCCCTCCACGATAGGTAGAGCATCGTCTGTGATCTCTTCTCCGCTAGCCAAAGCTGTAGCCATCTGCGTCGCTTGAGCGACAAGCTCCTCCACATTGTCCCACCGGTCTTTCCAATTCTCCTTGTGGGTTTGCTTCAGGTATGCCTCGAAAGAGATCTTCTGCAAGATATGACCGATGAGCCCGTAGAGGTCGCAATGCTCGCCTTTAGTAGGCAGCAACTTCTCCCTCGAGGTGAGAATGACATTGACGAACTGCTCGATACCTTTCTGGGCTTGGGTCGAGACCTTGCAATTAGATCGTATCCGCCCTTGCGCAATGTCGAGCACAAGTTTCCATAGTGTTACTTTCTTTACTTCCGCCTCTTCAAGCAAAGCCTTAACCGTACTATCTCCCACTTTCCTGGAAGGCAGATTGATCACCCGTGCAACCGCATCGTTGTGCTCTGGTTGACTGACCACGCGCAAATAGTCCAGTATGATCTTAATCTCCGCACGGTCGAAGAATTTGATACCAGCGACCATTCTGTACGGCACCCCGGCTTTAGCCAAAGCTCTCTCCAACTGTAGTGAGAGCTGACTAGAGCGCAATAAGATGGCGTAATCGTTGTAATCAAGTAGACCGGCTGCGAGCGTTCTAGTCCGTATGATCTCATCAACTGTCCATTTTGCCTCAATGTGTGCTGACACGAGATGGCGTAGTGTTGGTGCTTCGCCCACAACATGCGTTGCTATCAGAGCCTTTTGTGGGCGACTCTCATCCTGCTCGATTACCGCCAGTGCCGAGTTGAGAATACATCCAGAAGACCGGTAGTTGTTCTCGAGATTGATCACAACGGACTCTGGGAACTCGTCGCGCATGCGAAACAGGTTTTTGATCTCCGCTGCGCGGAAACTGTAGATGCTCTGGTCCGGATCTCCCACAATCGTAATTCTTCTCGTACTTTGAGCGAGGAGCTTCATCAGTTCGTATTGAATATTGTTGGTGTCTTGATACTCGTCGATGAGTACCGCTTGGATCGTCGAGACGCAGGATGGACTCCGCTTCAGCAGCTCAACACATCGTACGAGGAGGTCGTCATAATCAAGCAGATTGGCTGCTTTGAGATGCTCCTCATACGAAGAGTATACCATGGCGAACTCGTTGTCATTGACATTCTTGCTAGTGGCTGCAAACGCATCTGCGGTGACCCCCTTCGATTTGAGATTGGATATCCTGGAACGAGCATGGCCAGGTTCGACTGTATACTGATAACGCGTGACAATGCGCTTAATTATGGCTTTGCTGTCGTTTGTGTCGGCGATACCAAAGTTTTTGTCAATCCCGATTTCTTGTCCGTATCGAGAGAGGAAGCGGCGTGCAACGGAATGGAAGGTTCCCAGGATCAACTTGGCTTCGAGCTTGTCGCCTACAAATCCTTTGATGCGTTCCTTCATCTCTCTGGCCGCCTTGATGGTGAAAGTACACACGATGATGTTCCATGGCTGCAAGCGCTCGTGAATAACATGGTACGCGACACGCGCAGTGAGGGTCTTCGTCTTTCCAGATCCTGGCGGTGCGAGAACCTGAACGACATTTGCGGGACTGGTGACCGCACTTCGCTGAGCGTCATTCAAACCCTCTAGCAGTGCATCCATGGGGTTGATATTAGAACACGGTACGTCCCGAATTGTGCTGGAGGGACGCGTGGTGAGAGGCAAACTAGCGGGTCTCGGGAAACGCGCCCTCACGTGGAGATAAGATAAGGCGATTCTCGCCTTTCACACCAACACTTCAAAGCGACCTCACACACCACCTTATGAATAGATGAATGACGGTCGCCTTTGAACTCCGCCTGTGAGGTTCAATGCACAGGCGAAACGACAGTAGGGGAAATTCGGAGCGATCATCTTCCCGATCTCAGAGGTCTAGATGCATTGATTTTGAGCTTGCTACGTATGTATGTAATGACTATCCGACTCGAGAATAGTATGTGTAACTTTGTATCTCATGTTGTACACCTCTTTCATCATCCAATCGCTGTACAATCAAGCCTTGCTTTGGTCCACCTGCCTCTGCACGCCCTACATCGCCTCTGCGGGGATGTCACTACTAAAAGTCTATGAACTCGGATGAAATATGAAGAGAGCAGACGATGGGAAATAACTGGGGTATACGCAAAAGTTCAGTAGATGAATCTTGGTGATTGGTCGTTCGTTATGATTGACTTGGTTCGAAGCAAGGCGACGAGGGTTCGTGTCAACCGGAGTCGGATGGAATCAATATGGTAGAAGCAAGTGCGTCTTGATGGCGAGCTCCAGATTGCGAGCGCAAACAGAGATCATAGCCTTTTGCGCCGCCTCTTGCCAGTCTCCAAAGCGACAGCACGACAATTTGACACGCCTTTACGGCGAGCTTCGTCTAGGGGGAGGTTTTGGGTGTTGGCACAGGCTCGGTCGACTTGTAGCGATCCTCCTGCACATGCCCTTGTCGCCTCTCATCGTTATGCGGTATGCCAATGTGAAAGTGATCCCTCTAGTGAGAACCCTATTGCCTGTGGGCGTATTGGACATGTAATAGACGTAGCGTGGTACATCGGCTGATTGGAGACTCTAGTAGTGACCATTGCGTAGAATGCCATCAGCCACTCTTGGTCGCCGTCTCTTCGCGATCCCATCGCTCCAGGGCTCTAGATGCCTTGCAAGCCCGGGCTCTTCATCGCGTGAGGTTATATAAGGCCTCTCCCCCTCATAGGTGTTGCTGACAGTAGGCAAGAGGAATTGCTTCAAATTAGGCTTCTCCTTCTCAGCGTCGCGAGCGCCTTGGCCGACTACTAGGCTCCCCGGACGTCGTGCCATACCCAGCTGAAGTTTGTGAGCTGCTCACACAGTCCCATGAAAACGGAATCTGGTTTGCAGGAATTGCAACACCTTCGTACCGCCTCAGTCGATCCCGTCGCGGCGGTGGCGAGGGCTGCGCGAAAGCTTCTCTTCGAACATTCTCAAGGGCTTGATTAGTGGCAGCGAGGACAGCAAAGCGTCGATCAGGCACGCGACGAGCGGTCGTGTTCGGCGTACGCGAACGAGCTTGGCGCGAGGGGGAGGCGTCGCGCTCATGCTGACGTGAACTTCTGCGACGATTCTGAGAGCGTGGGGTCGGGCTATCAGACGGTGTTTGTGGAGAACGATGCTGACGCGACGAGCGATGGCTGCGAGGAGAAGAGTCCAGAGTTTGATAGTTGCGGTGCTCGCGTTTTGGTGTTTTCGGTGGAGAGGGCGCGAAAAGCGACCATCCCCTCGAAGGTTCGGGACGAAGATTCTTCTTGGATTTCGAGTGTCGCGGAGGGTCTCGCTTGGCTCCGCGACCACGTAGGGTGGTTTGCGACGTACGTTTTGGGTGCCGTTGCCGCTGGTGTGTGCTTCGGTGAGGACGCGGGTTGAGCAAAGCTTCCTGCGAAGAATTCGTGCTTCCAGGCTCTACTGAGCGATGCCACATGTCGGGCACCTGGACATTCAAAGACGGCCTGTACGAATCACGACTTGGGTAGGTGTCATCGCGGTACTGTTGCGTCCTCGGACGATGCTCTTCCTTCTCACGCCGCGATGAGCGCGGACTCGTGCTTTCTCCTGTCCTTCTCTTCCTATGCGTCTCACTCGATCTACGCTTCTCAGAGACCTCTGCGACAACTGTCTTGCCCTTCCCATGGAGTGGCTCGTCAGGTACATCCCTCCTCTTCTTCTCACCCGACGATGACGAGCTCTGACGCTTCTTCTTGCTTGAAAGACCAAAGCTGAAACACCAGCACATAGCGACCAAGGCTCAAGTCTCGGATCGCTATGCGCCCAAGATTTGCGACTCGTGGCGGGGTTGGAATATATGGTTACTAGACCGCATGTATAGGCCGAAGTTCGGGGCTGCAAATGCAAATATCTCGGCAATGAGGGATGCAAGGTGGTACTTAAAGAAGCGCAAGACGAACCAATGACTACAACAAGGACTCGCGCGTTTCATGCAAGGGATGAACGGTAACTGACTGGAGCAACAGAGAAAGAGGCTTGGGTATTATGATCTCATGTGAAGACAAAGGGCTGTTACGGCCTAGCAAGGGAGCAAGTGTGCACCGCAGTTGCGGCGTCGACGCCAAAATTCCAATAACGCTATGCGACAGCATGGCCTGGTGCTAAAACAGGACTGGGCCTCGTTCAAGGTACCTTGTAATTGTGGGTTGCGCTCCAATCAGAGGGGAGCCTACCTGATGGTGTGCGAGAAAGTGACTGATTCGCAGTTTGCGGAGGGTGGCTTACTGGTCCACATGACACACCCGGCAACAGCTGATCGACTCATGATCTGGCGCATTGCAGCCGTCGAATGTTGTGGTATGGGCATGTAGGACATTGGAATTGTCGGCTGGAGCGGGAGGGACGTCTTATATGGCGGATTTGGTCTCTTTGTGGCGATTCTTGCCCTTCAGGTGCGACTTTCATGCGTACCTGCGTCGCTTGCTACGTGGCACCTGTGCTGTACAGAACAGCGGCGGGACGGCGCGGCGCGATCCTGGGTGCATTCGACGACGATGCTGCAAGGGATCTAGTGGGGTGTTCTCATGTGACAATGTGTGCTAGCTGCAGGTTGGAGTCAGGATGGAGAGCGTCAGCTGAGCCTTGGTTCCTTATCGTCTTGTTATCGGGCCGCCCGCGACGTCATTGGTGCAAGTTGGCCCCACTTTGCACGCGACGGGTGAATGATGGCTGCAGCCAACCTCGAACAGCTCCAGGAGTTTCGGCCTTTTCCACCAAAATCCTTCGCACGGCCGCGGGACAGTGCATATCCTGCTTCGTCCCGGCTGGCTTTGCATAATAGCGTTCGTAGGCATCCGGTTCGCCTCGATTGCTAGCCAAGGGGTGTTGGTGGAGGCAGGGTAGGGCGAAAGTGAATAGCCAATCATTGTGCCAAGGTCGCTTCTCTTCCAAATATTGTGGCGTCCGTCCAACAAGTGTCGGAACTTTGTACGCTCGACTTCCGGAACAGGAGTACTCGCGAGAACGATGTCGGCGGTGCCGCAATGTCGGTTCTGCCCAGGTGTCCTTGATTCCATACAATCCGACGATGACGACTTGTTTGGCACTTGAGGGCAGGAACCCACTAGCTGAAGCATGAAAGACCTTCGCGCAATTCACGTGATTCAACGCACCTATTCGCCTGTCAGAATAATGAGAACCAAGCCACCTTGGAAATGCTTTAGCGGTGCACTCTAACAGCGTCTATGATTCACTGATAAGTCTAGTGGTACGGCATAATCCATCGCTGGGTCACGACTCGCATTTCTTCCTGACATTATCGGTCACCTAGACACCTATCTAGTCTTCTTCTTTAGAAACAGGGCCATTGCTAAGTACAGCACTGGAATCATAGTTAGCTTTAAATAGCTGCTCTCCATGATATAAAACATCCTTTGGGTGACGTCGAGACTCAGCAACTCGGAGATAATCGCGGTATAAATGGAAGCGCGGGGTGGCTTTACCCCACTGTCGTCATCTCGCGATCTCGCAGGCCGCTACAGCAAGATGCTTCTGTAAACACCGTGCTGGAATCTTAACAAGTCTCCAAAAACAACATAAGCTAATTCACTATGCCTCTCCTTGCACAAAGCCCTACTGACCGGGTTATCCTTGGGCTGATGACCTTCGGTACGAGTATCTCCACGACTGCTAGGCCGATCTAAAGCTAACAGATTTCAAGGTCCCAATGAGTCCGATGGGGCAAGAATGACATCTCTTGACGAGTTCAATAAGCATCTTGATCACTTCCAATCGAAGGGCTACAATGAAGTCGACACCGCGCGCATGTATGTTGGTGGCGCACAGGAAGCATGGACACGTGATGCAAAATGGAAAGACCGTGGTCTCACTCTGGCAACAAAAGTTTATCCCGTCGAGCCGGGAACGCATAAGCCGGAAAAGCTGAAGGAATTATTTTCGACATCGCTGAAAGAGCTCGACACGGATGCTGTCGACATATTCTACCTGCATGCACCCGATCATTCGACGCCCTTCGAGGAAACGCTGGGCGCAATTAATGAGCTTCACAAGCAAGGAAAATTTGGTGCGTAAAGTATATGTACGAATTGCATGTGAGACATACACTGACTTCGTACTCGAACATCTAGTCCAGCTAGGCCTTTCGAACTTTGCTGCGTGGGAAGTCGCGGAAGTCTGGAACATCTGCAATGAAAGAGGCTGGGTGAAGCCCACAGTCTATCAAGCCATGTACAACGCGATCAGTAAGTCTGTTCGAATCGCTGCCCAACGAGATCAATAACTAAAGCTAAATAGCCCGCGCCATTGAGCCAGAACTGATCCCATGCTGCCGGAAGTACAAGATTGACATTGTCATCTATAATCCGCTTGCCGGTGGGCTCTTCAGCGGTAAGATAAAATCCGCTGATATAGCGCCCTCTGAAGGTCGATTCGCCCAAAACTCAAAGATTGGCGAGATGTACCGCACCCGTTACTTCAAGAACTCTAATTTTGAAGCGCTTCGCATGATGGAGGAGGTAGCGCAGAAGCACAAGTTGACATTGCTTGAGATTGCGTTGAGGTGGTGCGTACACCATTCTGAGCTAAAGACGAGGGCGAAGGGAGGGAACGATGGTGTGATCATTGGTGTGAGTAGTTTTGCTCAGCTGGAAAGCAACTTGGCGGATTTGGAGAAGGGACCATTGCCCGAGGAAGTCGTAAAGGCGCTGGATGAGGCATGGATGATGGCGAAAGCGACAGCACCGGTTTACTTCCGTTGAAAAGGGAACACGCAGATACTGAGTATGTATATTGATAGTGCCCACAACTTGTTTCTTGAGTTTCCCTCAGCACCTGGCCCGGTGCCACAACCATTCTTGTCCGCTCTGCTCATGCGACCATGTTAGAGACTATCTAGTAAGCTATACACCGGCCTGTATAGCTTCAAAGGCTTATCAAGCCGTGACAATGTTATAAAAGTGGATCGCGGGTATATACAGCTTTAGCTACTACTACGCCACTACTGCTCACTGCGGTGCACGAGAACAGGCACGGATTACAGCGTCACCTATTGTAGTATATTCAACTCGCAGTCTATTCTGCTGGACACGCTGCGCTCACATCACTCACCCCTGTACCCTCGACAATCTTCGCCTCCACAACCTGATACACCGGAATCTCCTTGAGACGGTCAACAATATGATGTAGCGTGGGCAGAGTATTCCAGTCCAGTGCGTCGAATTTGATATCCGCGCTTGATGCAACGAGTGTTCTTTCAACCTTCTTCTGGGCGGCACCGGCACCCTCATTATTCGGCAGGAAAGCGGTATACTCGGCGTCGGCTTGACCTCGCGTTTTGCTGCCAAGACTGCCAGTGGCGGGCAGATACTTGTGGAAGAACATGCCTTCTTCGTTGGAAACCGGTGCAGACCCTTCACCATTGGGGGCAGTCTGCTCTTTAAGGTCGGACAGTGTAAAGCTGCCAAACTTGGAAGACATCCAGCTAGCGTTCAGGGCATAGTTCTTGTGATCGTTCTTCACTTCAAGGTCACAAAATAGCTTTGGGAAACCGAGCTCCTCTCTACCACTCAGGATTGGGTCGGCCAAATTCTCGAAGAGTAGGGGCAGATATGTGCCTGTCACTGTTTCACCATTCTCTTTGGTGTACTGGACACCGTGGATGTATAGGCCGAAGTGTGAGTAGCCTCTGCCACCGAGCCACTCCAAGTTGTCCAGCTGTGTCGTGGCAAAAGTTGCATAAGCTGCAGTGTCGGCCACCGCAAATTTAAGCTTTCCAGTGGGGAATAAGTTTTCAAGAACTGTTCGGCTAGACTTGAACTTCATGCTGGCAGTCGTGAATTTTGCTTTGGAGCCGTTTCTCGGCCTACCATAAAAGTCCTGGCGAGGTCCTGGCATGGGGCCGAATGCGGTAGGCATGCGCCAGAGGAGTCCTTTCTTCCTCTCCCATTCCCACTTCCTCAGCATCTGGCTGGAGTAGTCCCATTCGTCGTGGCCAAAGTTGTAGTTGGTGAAGCGTGCAGCATCCGGTGGCGGTCCACTACCTAAGTCTCTGCCTGATACGCGCGATACCTCTTGGATGTTGGAAGCACGTTCAAGCCTACATTTCTCGTAAAGCTTGAGTCGCGCTTGGATCTGGTCTCTAGGAACGTTCCAGGGTAGCATGACAGCTAGAGAGGCAGCGTCTTCGATGGCTTGGCCTGCACCTTGGCCTTGGTCTGGTTGCTCGTTAGACTTGTGCGTGGCGGCGAATGTATGGAGAACACTTACGAGGTGTAAACGGATGGGCAGCATCGCCGATCAGCACCAGCTTTCCCTCCGTCCAAGACGGCATCTGCTCCATATCTAGCAACTCCCACACCTTCAACGTCTCCTCATCCGCCATGCTTAACAACTTGATCATCGCCGGCTCAAAGTCCTTGAACACTTCCAACATCTTGCTGATGTTGCCCTGATTCTGCCAATCACTACTTCCCGGCTCTTCAGAATTGACTTGGGATTCGGCCGTAGGGTGGATATTGACAAAGTTCAGCAACGTATTGTCTGAAGTAGGGTACACAACCACACGCCGATCACGAGCAAATACCATGACCAAGTGTCCCTCCTTCTCCGCAAACTTCCTTGTCTCTGGATCCGCCAGTGCTTTCTCCCGCGGAATGAGGAACCGGAAAGCACTTTTGCCGCTGCCGAAAGGCTTCATGTTCTCCGCCCCCGGGATCTTTGCTCTCGTCCGTGAATGCACGCCATCCGCGCCAACAATGACATCGCTCTGGATCTTCTCGCCACTGTCAAGTGTGACAATGCCCTGTTGGGCGTCCACGTCCACAACCCTGGATCTCAATCTCAGGGTTGCGGGAGTTCCTTTTCCTTCCTCACTTGTAGCCATGCGCTTCAACTCGCTGTGCAAGCTCACGCGGTGTGCCAACTGCCACGGATGCTGCCATCGCCCTGCATCCCGTTTCAAGTCGACGCTGAATAACTCTTTCCCATTCGGTAGCCACTGACTGAGCCGCTTGCAAATCACAGCTCCATGGTGTTCGGGAATAAAGCCCATGCGGCGCAAGAGCCCGTTGGCATTTGGCGCGAGGTGCACAGCAGCCCCGAGTTCGTTGGCAAAACGGGACTGCTCAAGGAGTGTGACGGTGTGGCCTTGTTGGCGAAGGAAGATGGCAGCGGACAGGCCTCCAATTCCTGCACCAACTATCGTGACGTTGAGAGGTTTTGCGGTGGCATCTTCTGCATGGCCGTTCAAGCCGTTAGCCTGTGCGAAGTCCATGTTGGTGAGATTTGGAGGTATTGGTACTGACAAGGAGATGCAAGTTCCTCAGATCCTCAGATCTTCTGGTCTTTTCGTAGCGAGGCACTGCGCCATCGCATGTGGGATGCTCCATTAGGACTCGGCAGATAGCTCAATTGTCTTCCCCCACTTTCCGTAATCGCGGGCGCGTCTAGTTTCACGCTGGTAGCATTGTGGTAACACTTTTTACAATTTTTGTATGCGCTCGTGTGTTGGGTCGGGGGTGCATCCGTAATGAGTATTTCGCACGCGTTCGCAATCAATGGATCTAAGCTTTGCACAACTCATAATTCTGTTGACGAAGACTTGTAGTATGATGTTTCACCAAGAAAAATATAGATTCAAGCGACAAATGTGATATGCGTACATGTTGTATAATGTAGCGCTCTGCAATACCAAGATTCTGAAATGATCATGCTCCAATCCTTCACCACTCCCCGCCGACTTTGTATCCTACGTTCCACACTCTTCCCAACGAGGACCTCCATATTTTTGATACAGTCTGTAACTCCTGTCAGCAATGTACTCACAATCCTCTCCGATGTATCCATACCGACTCCAAGTATACGCCTGTGAACATGACTGTTACGAACATCTGCTCCACCCCACTCAGATACACCCTTCTTTCGCTTTGGTCCAGCTCTGTGTTGATCGGGCGGTATGCAGGTACTCGACGATGCTCAGTTGGCCATGAGCTTGGGTTCTCGTGCGAGCCGGCCGGCGCCGGATGCGTATTCAGTGAAGTGTCGACCTCTTCTTCGGTGTGGTGGAGATCGTAGTCCGCCAGGACGGTTTGCAGGCTGTAGGTAACAGGATTGGCAGTTGTTGTGACAGACATTGCGACGATTTTTGGCGACACGAAGTTGCTTGTCAGACGTTGAGGTCTTCAACAAGAGCACACTACTTCGGTGTCTAGCCGGTGTTTTCGGGCTCCGCACAAGGGTGAGGCGGCGAAATCTGGGGTCAGACAAGTCGGAATGTGGGGGAGTCAGCATCGGCCGGCGCTTTTGGCCCTTGTGGAACACGCGTGCAACTAACCTAAGATCTTACCTTAGGGTTGTTTTATTGTGGTTTGCTGTCGCAATTCGTCAGACTGTAGCTTCTTGCCTTTCAGCACTCACGGAGTAGCAGTCTTCATCATTTGCAATGGCTTCTCCAGTAACACCAGACGCCGCGTTGGCAGATCTCCAAGCTACGGCGCTCACAGCGCGCTGTCACAATGTATTTTTTCGACAGAAGCAACTCAAGTCACTGCATGATGCGCTACGGAAGAATGTGTCTTCAATCAAAGACGCCATTAAGCAGGATACGCGGACATCGGATGCAGAAGCCACAACGGAAATTGCTCTTGCCCTCGACATCGTGAAAGAGCACCACACGTCCCTTAACTCGAAAAAGGAATTGGAAGAGGAATATCGCATTACAAACAAAAAAAATGCCAGCGACAGAAGAGAGCCGTGGGGCGTTGTATACATTGAGCCTCAACAGAACCACACGCCATTGTTCTCGGTCGTTGTGGCTGTTAGCGCAGCTTTGGCTGCCGGCAATTGTGTTGCTCTGAAGGTATGAAGTGCTAAACTCCGCGAAGGGTTGAGCTAATACATCATGTAGCTCGAGAACAACCTTCGCGCTCTACCAAGTCTACTCCGCAAGCTACTCCCTGAAGCAATCGAAGCTGATACATTCTCCATTGTGTCCTCCGCTCCGTCCTCAGAATCTATATCGCAATGTCTGCAGGTCCTTCAAGAGACACAGGTCCCCGTACCCACGTACTCCCAGCTTGTTTCGCCCGCGGGAAAAACTATTGCGGTGGTAGATCGCACCGCAGACCTAGCAACAGCTGCTGAGCAGCTAGTAGCCTCACGCTTTGCTTTTGGTGGAACATCGCCGTACGCCCCAGACTTGGTGCTAGTGAATGAATTCATTAAGAAGGATTTCCTAGAACTTGCTTTGAAGCAATCTATCCGCTATCTATCCGGATCCGATGACGTTGCAGCAAACGGATCGACCAAGTCATCACAGAAACCCGCCTCACGAGTAGCAGATGCCTTTAAAACCCTACAAGACAGCAAGTCATGGAAACTTAGAGTGATCACTCAAGGAGACAATGGCGCCGTAGTTGAGCTCGCCAACCTCTCCTCGCTGCCACCGAAGGTTACCCAGCCCTTGTTCTGTATCTCGGCCATCACATCTCTGGAGCACGCGATCAGTCTTGTAGACGAAGACCTCGAGCCATCGCAAACTCTTTCCGCGGCATACCACTTCGGCACTCCCGCATCAGGCAAATACCTGTCCCAGTTCATCAACGCAGACGCTTCGTTCATAAACCATGTTCCCTACCGACTCCTGCTAGGTCCAGCCACTCCATCTTTCCAACATATCGATATCGAGGCGCGATACACTCCTCTTCACTTCACACGGGCATCACCAGCATACATTTCGCCATCGTCGACACAAACGGCAATGGAGAAAGCCGTGGCAGGCAAAGAAACACGCAAAGCAGCTGCGGATCTACTGGCCAAGGCGTCTCAAGAAATCAAAGAAAACAAGAGGGCGGAATCAATAGCTATCGGCTATTTTGAGCAGGGCATCTTCATTGGTTTGGGTGTGTATGGTATACCATTGTTGAGTTGCATTGGAGCGACGCTGTTCTTTGGTATTAGAGCTGGCTTGAGGAGATGGGTGTTTGCTTAGAAGGTACATCAGTACTCTATCTAGTTTGTGTAGCGTCTCAATCAAAGTCTTCAATCACTAAAAGGTAGCCATTATGCAACCTTGAACGGCGGTACGTCTGAGGAGGAGAGGGAGAACAAGACAGATTGTAAGTTAATATCTCATATGTAAATAAATACGACTATTTGACATCGCTATATAGATGTCGCGCATTCACGCTTTTCGCCATGAGACCTTCACATCGCAGATCTGTCTGGCACCCACTTGGCCGTCCAAATGCGGAGTCTCTTACCCCAGATAAGCATCGGAATAGTCAGCAAACCAAACACACCCATCAACAGACCAAAGATACCAAAAGGCTCAGCAGCTCCAGCATCGTGGACCCAAGTACCCACGAAGAAAGTCCACGCAAACGAGATGATAGCCCTAACGCAAGTGACTGCGACAAAGCAGTCTCCTGCGATGCTATTATATGACTCTATGAGGTAGTTGAAGCCAACAGACGGTGCTTGCATGAGCCCGAAAGACACCATGGCAAGACCGATTTGCAGGCCTACCCAACCTTTTGGCGAGGGGTTCTGTGCCACGAAGCCGAAGATGAATGATCCGCCGGTGGCGATAAAGAGAGACGGAAGCGCCGTGACGAGACGCGACTCGGGCTCTGAGAGACCACGGGTGTCTTTCTTCGCGAGACGCTTGGTCATCCAATCCGCTGACAAGTATGTGTAGACCTGAAACGCTTGTTAGTGGACGTCAGTCAACGGGTAGAGTTTGCGTCACTTACACCGCCTAGAAGCGCACCGATGAGACCCCCCACATTGATCAGTCCCACATTCTTGCCCCAGAGATACGGCGGGACAGCGACAAGTTGTGTGCCGATCGTGCTCAGCGTTACGATCAAGCCCACGAGACCCGCATACCAGAGCGACACAAGCCAGACGCCGGGAAGTCTCATGGTCTTGTAGGGCGCAATGAATTTCTGTACGATTCCCGGGTGGTATGTTACTAGCCGGAGCGACCGCATGTAGGTGTAAGGGGGGTATGAAGTCGTTGGGACCGACGAATCGGCAACGATGACGGATTCCTTCGTCTCAACATCGGCCTTGTTCGAATCGCTAGCGAGCTGTACGGTTGTTTGGGGCCGGATGTAGAGCGTCTCTGCTTGGAGGAAAAAGCAAAGAACGAACGTGACGGCGGAGAGGATAACATTGACCCAATGGACCCAAGGAATCCCACCAGCAGCAACGATATAGCTACCGCAGGTGCCTCCGAAGAGAGAACCGAGCGAAAGGAAGACAGTATAGATGGCCTTGAAGTCACGTCAGTAAGGCTGAATCACAAGTTTCGGTATCTTTGTCGGGCTTACCATGGCACGTCCCCGCTGGTGAACAAAGAAGATCTCGCCAACAACATCGGGTGACACCGCATCTGCTGGTCCGCCGCCAATGCCCATGAAAAGCCGAGCCGCAAGGAGACTGCTAAATGTCTTTGCTAGGCCAGCCCACATGCTCGAAAATATGAGCAATAACAGGCTGACAAGAGTAACTGGACGACGGCCGAAGGTATTAGCCAACGGCACCCACCACAGATTAGACGCGCCGAGCATGATCAGGTTGACGGCAATGAGGTATGTGAGCTCCGAGAATGGCTTTGGTGGGAGGCCAAAAATCGGCGTCGACGCGTATATGGGCAGCGCACTTCCGATGGAAGAGCTTGCAAAGTTGACGATGAAGGGATGAATAGACATCACCGCTAGCATGGCCAACTACAAATGAAGCGGTACGTCGTCAGTAAAGTCCCGTGTACAGTTCGTGCGATGAACGTACCTTGCGCCAGAGTGGCAGATTCAATGGGTCTGCGGGATCTGCTGAGGGCTGAGGAACGAGACGAATCTCGTCAACACTGGTCTGAGATGCTGTCCATTCGAGGTGTTCTGCAACTGGTCAGAGACGGATGCGCCTTACTGTTGTGAGGCTCACTGACCGATAAGTGTTGAGGTACCCGGAGGCATAGCATTTCGGACTTCATCCTTGGATAAGGAGAAGGCCCCCTTCAGAGAAGTCATGATACGCGTACAGACAGGAGGGCACGATCAGGGCGGTCAAATAATTCTACCTTGGGTGATGGTCTCTCGAAGATACATACACCGCACTCTAGAAGAGTGTTGTTTTTCGGTAGAGTCAACAAACTATATACCCGCGAGGCACAGAGATACCTCCGCCGCGCGAGGGCGTCTCAGACATGGGTTTATGCGCTAACAATCTACCTTGCAGCGAATGATGCCAATCCCTGGGCGCCCAAGATGGCGATGATAGGTCGGATGAAACGGGAAGGAAGCCGCGTTGGGACCAAGCTTCATCTGCACTCCCGCCCCCATGGGGTTGTGGTGGTCGGAATGTGGAGAGGGCTCAGCTCTATAGTCTAAACAAGGCAGAGGACAACCGCAATGATCGGAGAAGTTGCATTTTTGGAAGGACTTCGGCCATCAATAGGATGTTAGATGCTACGAGAGATGTCAATGTGTCTGCAGGCTATTCGATTATAGAAACGCGCGCGACTGTATGCAGACATTTTGTGATATAAATGAACTATTAATAATGTCACACAAGATTGTCTTCATGTAACCTTACTCCGGTGGGAGCAGGATGACAGTCTTTTTGCTACCATGTCCAGCGCATTCATCTAGTCGCAAGACGAAGGCCTTCTAGAAGCTGGACCAGATTGCCTACAAGTGGCGGACATGAACCTTCTATAGCGGCATGTGGTGCCTGTAGCAGATGTATTAGTCCATCGATTACACCCGAGACATCGCTAAGTTGAGTGCTGATATGTGATCCAGGTCGCAGAATAGAAGGAACACCACGATTCAAGGTAATGAACCTTCTTGCGCTTAATGAATCGTCCCCATTGAGAACCACGATTGTTTGTGATGCATCATTTGGGGTCTGACCAGTAGAGACGGATCGCTTGAGGAACCCATAGCCCCAGAGAATCAGTCCAGCATGATACACTGCAATTGCGTTAAAGTTGCGGAGCAGCGGTCTTGGTAGATTCTCTGCAGCACGTAAAATCTGGCCGGCGTGCCACAATGCCTGGCGTGCTGGCACACTTTTGATCCAATCACGCAGAGCTGGATAAGCAGCCCGCGCTTCCTCTTGACCCTCCAGACCTGCAAATAGCTGCACCTCGTCCAGCGGAGCATTTAAGTGCAGAAGCATCAACTCGAACGTGATTTCGTTGCCCGGACTCAATGGAGGACTGCTGACACGGAAGTCTTCTAGTTGTTTGACAAGCTCCTGGTAGCGGGATGACAAGATCAGATTATTACTCGCTTTCGCATGAGACTTGGCAGCAAGAGTACTCATCTGTCTGTATTCCCAGACCATGCCCCATATCATGTGGAGATATGTTGTGCTAGCACTGTCGTAACGCGCGAGTTGCTCAAGATCCAAGAACACCTCGAGTGCGGAGGGGCGATTGGTGGCCTCATGTGGCATACTCAGGTATGCCTGCCTCCATGCAGACGCTGACTTAGCTTGCCATAAGATGTTGGGGCTTGTAAGAGGCAACTGCATCTCTGAGTATGATATCAGTGGAGGTTTTAGGAGAGCCATCGATGACTGTCTATCGAGCTCGAATGCGCGGTAGGCTAGACGCAGGTAAGATTCCTGATCGACCCATTCTTGCCACTGATTCTCTAGCGAAGTACTGCTATCATCAGTAGGAGGAGTGATCTGCCTCCATGTAGAGCGGCGAAATCGACTTCCACGTCGAAGCATGGTCATCAATGGCTGGAGAAAGCTTTCAGCGATCTCCATCTTGCGACTGATACCGCTCCACATGCCGATCTGCAGCTCGAGGAGCAAGTTTTGAAGATGCTGAAGGTCCCTGATTGCCGAGTTGTCTGCCTCAAATGCTTTTGCTTGGCCAATTCGCGAGGCCTCGTGCAAAGCGAACCCCAGCTTTCGCAAAGGCACATCAGGTGTCGAGACAGCGCCAGCTGCAACAATGGCTGCTAGCACTTCAGGATTAATTTTGGAGGGAGAGAACGTGGGTAGGTGAAACCAGGATTGTGCGTCCAAGGATGGTGAGGTCAAGAAAAATTGGATCAGAGTGTCGAGTAATTCGATGCTGGGAAATGCTGATGCAATTCGCTTGACGTTTTCAGGACTGCAGGTCCCGAGAACCAAGGCCATTAGTTGGTCACGACTAACGCGGTGTAGTCTTTCGGAGATAGCTCGACGCTGTATGATCTGAGAACGCCGGCTGTTATCCTTTTCTGAGTCGCAATAGGCCAGATTGGCCTGCTCGGCTCCGCCAAAATCTTTGTGTCGTTGTGGAAGATACCGCCAGATGCTCTGTTTGAAAGCCTCCGTCCGCACCGGAACGCTTTCGCTTTCAGGTATGTGTTGCTCAGCCCCTTGATTGTCCGTGGAAGGTGTATCTGCAGCAAAAGGTATTTGAAAATTGTACTGATCAAGCAAGCCGAGGTCGATGTCTGTCAACCCGACGTCTATGTCGAAGCTCATATCCAGAATACCGCGTGGAGTTGCTTGACCAGAATAGAAGGCCTCATAAGGCGGCATGCTGCGGAAGTAGTCGGGCAAATACGGATCAATACTGGGAGTCTCATCAAAGTGTGTAACTGTCGGATCGAAGAATGCGAGATCGTTCCCTGTGTCTCCTGCATAATGCTGGTTGTCCGTAATGGTTTCCACCCCCGAAGGAACATGGCTCGACAACGTCAAAGATCGTTGTCGCATATCAGTATCAGTAGCCGAAGAAGCGTTCCTTATGCCATTTCCCGACGCTGTCGCTGTCGTGGTTCCTGTCAACGATGGGTGTTTAAACTGGCCCGAAGGACTAAGCATGTCGAATTTAGGCGTCATTGGTGGCTGTTGCCCGCTCTGTGAGGGCGTTGCTCCAGATGGGAAGTCGAAGCCGTGGGAAAGGTCTAACAAATCCTGTGCCGCATGCACGGCATCCAGCTCATTAAGCTCACTATCATCTGTTGCGGAAGGCTCGGGTACGCGACAGGGTATGTTTTTCTTCCTGCACCGACTACAAGGCTTCTCGTCTTCACATCGTAGATGACTTGATGAACAGGCCTCGCAGGCTTGCACTACACGGGTGTCGCGAGCAATCTCGCGCTTTTGTCGTTTGTTTGCAGAGTCCGAGTCGTGGTTGGTCACATGTCTCTTCAAGAGATCTCTGTTGCAGCTTAGACACCACGCATGTGACTCGAATTGATAGCCAGTGAGGAACCTACATTCTGGCAAAGCCCTTTGAGCAAATGGGGCACACGTACGGCTTGGACTTCGTGTCTGTGTTGCATATTAGTAAGCATAAATGTCATGGACGCTTTGCACGATGATGAAGCATCCATTAGATCAAGCACGCGGAGCCTCGAACAAGAAAGGGTGTTCAGCATAATGTGAAGAAGACATGATGTGAGATCCCGCTAACGAACTATCGCACTGGCTCGGGAGATCCACTTACGCGCTCTCACGTGCCGCGTGAGGTGATCCGCTCTGGTAAAAGAGCGCTTGCAAGTGCTGCACTGAAATAGCCGTTGGGGCTGTTCTAGATCGGGGCTGGTGGCTGCTGTCTGATTGTGCCCTTGTGTTGGCGTAGCTTGCATGTTCGTCGTGTCGCAACCTCAATCAGCGCTGGAGGCCTCGGGGCAGTGAAGTGGAGGAGAAGCTGGGGACAAGCTGGGCGCGTGGAGACGGGAGAGTTTGGGGCTGCTCGCGGCACTGTGCGGAGTTGGCGTCTGGCCGGGCCTAGCTTGAAGCGAAATGTGGCCCCCGCTGGCTTTCTGTTCCTCCACTTCACGATCCTGGTCTGTGGACGCGTAGTCCTGGATGCTCGGGTTTTAGTGATTATGTCTTGGACCTTAATCGGCCCTGATAGAGATCATCGTGATACTGTATTTCCAACAGTAGAGCCGCCGTCCATCTGTCAAAAATAATCACAGACAGTCAAGGACCCAGCTGGGCAGCATAACAACATCGCTCAAGATCACAATTTGATTATCGTCATTTGCCTTTCGGACGCACAAAATTATTCAGAATGGCCGTTCCGCCAGTTCACTTCTTCTCCCATGGCTCGACCATGATGTTGGGCGAAGAGTCGCGCTCAGCCGATTACTGGAAAGCTTGCGGCGACGAAGCCAACAAACATGGCTTCAAGGGCGTAATCATGATGGGTGCCCATTGGGACGCACGAGGCACAAACCGAATCGATGTGTCTATGAACCCAAAGCCCAACAAATCGCCGGTCGCATACGTGCATCCGCGGAAATATACCGACTACGAGCTCAACCCCGATCTCGAGAGTGGAAAGAAATGCATACAGGCGTTGAGAGAGGGAGGAATGGACGCCCGACCAAACGAATCTTTTGACTGGATTCACGACACATATCTGATCTTGATCCGCATGTTTCCGGAGAAGTGCCCACCGACGACAATCATCAGTATGAACTCGCGCTTTGATCCACATCTCCATGCACGCGTGGGGCAAATCCTTGCTCCATTCCGCGACCAAGGTTACCTGATTATCGGTACTGGTGGCGCGGTGCACAACCTTTACCGCAACAACTGGAGCCAAATGCTCAGATATACGGACAACTTCGCACAACCCTATCCGCCTGAGGCGCCCATGTTGGAGTTCAGACAAAGTGTCGAGGATGTCTTCCTTCGGAACTGCGGAAATGGTACGAAGAAGGGTGCACTAACAAGGGGTATCACGAGATTAATGAAGCACCCAATGTTTCGAGATGCTCATGCCACTGACGATCATTACATGGCAGCATGCTTTGTAGCAGGAGTGGCAGATGGGAGCAAGAGGGACGGTGATGACTGTGTGTTAGGGGCAGAGGATTGGGAATTAGTGAACATGTGCAACAGTCAGTTCACGATTGGAAAATGGGTAGCAGCATAAATATACTAACACTGAGTCGTCTTGTCGGCCACTATTTAATTCGAATTGTTTTTAGAGGCTCAGAACTAGATCTTCCGCGAAGTAGTCACTTATAGGCGATCATCGGGAAAAGTGATTGCCCATGCTATTGCTGTAGTGAAACAGTTGCAAAGTCTGAGCGAATTATGAAGAGGAAACAGTATCTAGAGGGAGAGGAACTGCGATGGGTATATTTTTTTAGGTATAGGCCTCGCTTGTATGTTCGAACTCACTGGAACTACAAGGCGGTAGAGATGTCTTCTAATTGGCACAAATCTCATTGATATGCCATCATGCAATAATGTTCCCCCTCCCTTTTTTTAAAAAAAAAGAAAACTCATCAACACGGTTACCGTGCAATGCATTCCATAACAGCTCACCCCCCAAGCTTCTTCTCTCGGATGAACCATGCAAACACAGCACACCACATCACGAGACTGAGGCCAACGCCCAAAGCCGCACGCGTAGCCTGGCTATAACATTCCCTCACAATGTCGCGTAGATGTGGTTCCAGACTTCTGAAGTACGACAGGCCTTCTCTAACACGCTCTGCGATCTCTGCTGCATCTTTGTCGCCGTGCAGAGCAGTTTGTAACGACCTCCGCAATGTTTGGTTGAAGGCTGTTGCGCACATGGAAATGCCGAAGACGGATCCGAGAGAACGGAAGAGGTAGCTACATGCTGTTGCAACCGCTTGGTCTGCGTGCGAGGCGTTGGCAACTGGCGTATTGTTAGCGCGGGAAAGTTTAGTCTGGTGGATTGCACGTACTCAGACCGATGAGAGTTGTGGTCACTCCACAGCCATTGCTGAAGGAGCAGATGCATGTGCCAAGTACCATCAGAGGGAGGCTTCTCGTAATGGTCCCGGCGGTCATGAGGATCAGCGCGAGGCCGAATGTGAGGTTTGTGTATGTAATCACGGTGATCCAGTAGTAATTACCTTTCCCAAGTTAGCTACGAGTCATGAGCTTCCAGTTGAAGATTTACCAGTCTTTTTCATGTAGAAGCCGCCGGCAAGCGATCCGCTCACGCCACAGAAAATGCTTGGAACCAGCAGCAGTCCAGCTCGAGCAGCACTATAGTCGCCTATGACCTGCCAGTACAGAGGAATGAAGTAGAGTGATGCCAGCCATCCGCCGAAGGAGAAGAAGTTGCAAAGGTAGCATGCGAAAAGCGACCTATTTAGAATGATGCGTCCCGGAGCAAAGGGATTGCGTGCAACATACTTCTCGACCAGAATGAAGACGACAAACAACGGCGTCGTACAAAGTCCAGCGATCGTAATCGGACTCGTCCAGTCTCCATTCGAGCCTCGATCCAGCCCCACAAGCAGTCCAGTAACCGCAACGATCAATATCGCAGCCCCCAAGAAGTCAATCTTGAAAACCTTCTCTTTCCAATGCGCGTGGTCTTGCTTCGGCAGCTCCAGTACGAGCGCCACAGCAATGAAAGCGAGCAAGCACAGCGGCCCCTGCGCTATGAATGCCCATCTCCAACCAATTGAATCCGCAAGCAAACCTCCCAAAGGCGCACCAGCAGCCGCTCCAGACGCATACATGACATTGATGTACCCCTGCCACGTGCCCCTCTCCCTCAACCCCACAATATCACTCATCAACACACTCACACACACGGACATGCCTCCTCCCCCGACACCCGCAAATGCCCTTGCAGCGATCAACTCGCCCATAGTCCGCGCGAAACCGCATAGCGTCGACCCGATGCCAAAGACCAAGTACGCAAACAACAGACATTCCTTGCGCCCGAAGATATCACTGAGTTTTCCGTACAGAGGCTGCAGCGCGGCGAGCGTGAGGAAGTAACTCGTCGCGACCCAGGAGGTGGAGGACAGCGCGTGCAGGTCGGTTCCGATGGTGCCGTAGGTTGAGACGACGAGGGTGGTGTCGGCGGCGGTGAGGAAGACCTGGAATACACTCGATTAGCCAACTGTCCTCAGATATGGTAGAGGAAGCGGGAGAGCACGTACGCCGATGGCTATCGCGGGGAAGATGTATTTCATGCGCGCCCGGACTTCAGGCAGGCCTTGGTGCTTCGAGGCGGTGCCATTGCTGGTTTGTCGCTCGATGTCGCCTCCATCTTCGGTTTGGGGATTGGGCGCGGTGGAACTGCCTTCATCGGTGGCTGAGGTGCAGGTATTTGGTTTGGGAAGTAGAGGTGAGGTTTCCCGGGGTTCGGTCATGTTTGGCGCCATGGCCGCGATGTCACCGTTGTGCTACAACACGATTGCTTCCTCAGCAATGTCTGGAAAATGAATTAGAGGTTTGATGTATGGAATTGCTTGGAGATATTGTACTCGGGTCCGCTATCGACGGGATTGAGCTATTTCTCCACAATCAAGCGCTGACTCTCCCCGTTCCCGTTCGCACTATGACTCTATTAGACAGAGCTTGTGCCTCCGCTTATCTCCGTTTCCGGAAGCGAGGTGTAATGGGTATCGATGTAGCAGGGCAAGTGTTATGGCTTCAGCATGATAGCCATTACATACTGTTTACGTGTACAACATCAAATGCCGTCTCCTGCAGGTCATTCAATCTCCAATTCCCTACGAGCCAACCGCACCATACCACCCAAGCCCAAGAACAGCTCCAAACAAAATGGCAAAAGCTGGCGGTACACCAAACCAAGCAGTCTCTGCATACGTGACTGCGGCAACCACAACCCACCAAGGCTCACCAGCAAGGCTCTTTCCATCGCTGCTCTGCGGCGTCAAGTACCCAATCTCCCACAGCCTATACACAGCCGTGAACACCAACCCCACCGCCGTAGCATTGATGCCCCGTAGCAAACTCAGCACCCAGGCTTTCGTCCGCAAAGCCTGCCAAATCGACTGCACACCAACAGCCAGAATCAGCCCAGGAGAAAAGATCGCCACAAAAGCCAGCAGCGCGCCGAATATCGTAGGCACGTTTGTCGAAGCTAATGTCAATGCACCGAGGTAGACGGAGAAATTGAAATTCGGGCCAGGGAAGGCTTGGATGATGGCGAGACCGAGGAGAAAGTCTCGGGGCGAGACCCAGCCTGGGTCGACGACGTAGGTTCGCAGAAGAGGGATGACGACGGGGCCGCCGCCGAAGATGATTGTACCCGCGAGGTACATGTTTGAGAAGAGGTCGAAGGCTAGACTCCGGGCATCGACAGTACCGCGAATCACCATGACGACGATGAAGGACAGGAGGAATCCCACAACGAGAGAAATGCCGATCTTAACGGAGAGATTGTGTGTCCTGGTGTCGGCGACTGGTACCAGCTCTGTGATTTCTTCTGTGCTGCGATGTTGCTCAGACTGACTTGGACCACTGTGTTCCTCAACAGGGAGAATACGATCTGTCGAGCTTCCAGTATGTGCTTTGCGCTTCACGGCTTCTGGGCGTCTGACTTGCAGCTCCTGCGCTGGTGGGACGACTTGGCTTGCGGTCGTCTCTTCAGCATCCCCACCTTCGTTTTTTGCTCTTCTCCTCTTTGCTGCATATCCAGCTCTGAGCTTGCCGATTTTCTGGTGCAGCCAGACGTCCCACACAACCGTTACTAATCCGCCAATGACTATCAGCACGGGAAAGTACCAGAGCGCGTTATAGCACAACCCAGCGCATGCTCCGAAAATTACTAGAATCCTCGTGATGCGGTCTTTGATCGCTTTCTCCGCTAGTTGTACTGCGGCCAATGCAACGATCCCAACGGTAGACGCATTCATGCCACTCAGCAACGCGTACACAATGGGCGGTAATTTCTCAGGCATCTTCTGCACTCCAAGCGAAAGAGCGTACATGCCAATCGCGCCAGGCAGCGACCACAGCAAGAACGCAAACAAAGCAGCGCCAATCCCCGCATGTATCATAGCAATGCAAAACACCATCTTAGTCGACGCCGGCCCAGGGAGAGCTTGACATATCGCAAACAACTCCTGATACTATGCACAAAGGCATTAGCTTCCGATCCCACAACCTTCACCCACTTCCTAGCAACTCACAGTCTGCTCGTCAATCCATTTACTCCCCCCGAACCCCAGTCCCTCGACAAATCTACGATGCAAGATCTGGAAATGCACAGGCGGCCCACCAAACGCCGTGAAGCCCAGATCCCACGTCTTCGCGCCCACCTCTGCGAGGCGCCATCCTAGCTTTTCGGTATTGGGTTGCAGAGACGCATTGTTGCGGCGCGTGCGCGTGTGGTCACGCAGGGAGCTGATGATGGATTGGATAGGCATCGCTCGACACTGGGAAGTGGAGAGGAGACGTGGGCAATACGAATGCCTGAAAGCCAGCTGAAGTCTCTCGGGAACTCATCCTAAGCTCAACGGAGGATACTTGGAATTGTTGCGGGCCAATCACAAAGGCGCGTTATTGCGACATTTGGGGCTTGAAGGAGGGCCAAGGCATGGCGTTGAGGACAGGAAAGCGGCGGGCGGGTTTAAGCGAGTGGGCTAGCTGGTTGTGTTACGATGGGGACAGTGGAGAGCTATTGATATTCAATATCTTATCGGCCTCCTGTCTACGCCTTTCTTCTTCTAGCTCATAGTGACTTTTAAGAAGGTCTCGACCCTTTATCATGCCCCGGAATTTCGTGAATAGACACTGGCTGAAAGCTAGTCCTAATACTAGCAATGTATGCCCCAATCAACCGGAAGATGAGTTAAACACTCCTGCGGAAAGCAAAGCTATCCACTATCTGCCTTCTTATTCCCACTCCAGCTGCCGTTGTTAATTCTCTTAGCTAGCATTCAGCTGACGCATGTGTGTAGTGCAGGACCTTTTATGGAAATACTATTTGGCACAGCCTATGAACGAACACTTCCAAAGACCATGTCTGAAGATCGGTTCTGGAACTGGGGCATTCCACTGTGACTCTGGAGACCTCCACCGCGTCACTGGAGCTCCAGGTACTTGCGATGCAGCTGGGAAGTTGGTCGACGTGGATGTAGTTGGGTGGTTTGAAGTCAAATCGATTTTGTCTCTACTTCGAGTAGGAATGGCATGACGATGATGCATAGAGAATGATGGAGACTATCCTGAATCATCGCTGCTGTTGTTTTTGCTATTGTTGCTGTTGTCCATTGAAGGGTCTGTGTGACTGGCAATATTTTCTAAGCCGCTGGAGGGCAGGTTGGAGTAGTTGTTATGGCTCGAAATGTCAAACATCGTATCGGACTCTCTTACGATCGCCTCTGGTCGTGCAGCCGCTACGGGAGACAAAGCTGTTGGAGCATCTGATCTGAACTCTGTGATTCTCCCATCAATCCACCCTACTGTTGGATGCGTTTCTCTGCCATTTTGGGCAAAATATTGCGGGGTGGTCGTGTCGAAATGAGCAGGCGTGTAATGAGCGGAGTGATAAAGGATGGCAGGATCAGGCACAGAGTGAGTGGTGTGGGATATGAACTGAGAAGGTTGTGCGGTTGGCGTAAACTGAGCAGCGAGCAGAGGTTGGGTGAGCAGGGTCGGTTGAGTAGCTTCCACGGTCGACGTGAATAGAATAGTGTGCAGAGGTTGAGGTACCAGCGGACTTTGAGTAGCTTGTGCATATGGCGTGGGCTGAGTAGCGGAAGTAGGATGGGACGCCCACCAACGCCTCGCAATCTCGAAATGTATCTGCCTTCGCACTTCACTGGGTGGGGTGGGCTCCTGGCCCTCAGGCTTATTTTGATTAGTGATAACGCCGTATGCGAAAATGATGGCCGCGAGCTGCAGTCAGACATCAGTCGCGACAGCTTGGAGTGAGTGGTATATTGGCTGGAAGCGTAGCAACGGCAGTGCATCTGCTGCGTGTTGAGCATACAGGTCGTATCTGCGGTCCCAGGATACAGATGCCATGATGGCGGTAGCTCGCGAGGTAATGTGAGTATGGGCGATGTTGTGACATGTGAGGTCAGAGACTTCGGTGGTGAGGTTAGAGGGTTTTTCTTGGGCGAGGAAGGAGGAAAGGAACGTACGAGTAGCTGAAGCGGTACCCTCAACTGTCTTCTCTCTCACCCCCTTCTTCCAACTCTTGCAAACTGCACTTCGTCCTCATCTTGCTGATAAGCATGCACCCTCCTGCTCTTCTTCACGTGCTCAAACCCTTCTTATATGTGAAGCTAGTCTCCAGCTTCTTGCTGCGCGACGGGCAAGCGATTAAGGTATTCAGCAATGTCTACTGAGTTTCGAGCAGTGGATTGATCAGACATGTTTGTTGTTTGAATGGAGGCAATTGCAATTTGTGAAACTAGAGGTCAGATATTGAACAATCGCAGTATAAAATTATACTGTATTTTCGATATGAATTACTCTAGCAACCATGTCAACTGAACTTACTCGACTCACCCTTTGTCTAATACCTAGCTATCCTATTGCTTCTCTCTTCGCAGCTTGAAGAAGAGCGTGCAGCATTTAGGCGTTCATTTTGGTCGAATGGCATACTGCAGGTTGTCAACTATGAGGAAAAGTAAACAGGGGCATCTATTGACCCGAAGCCATACGCAGTATCGCTTCAGTTCCGAGGCCAAGGCCCCGTATATAATTTCAAGCATCCGAATCGCCTTCCCGTCGTCAGTAACAAAAAGCAGTAGAGTGCCGTGTTTGCAGATTCTCGCTGTAGGAAGAAGATCAGAGGGTGAGCAGTGCCGCATGGAAGAAAAGCGGGGATGACCACTTTTTGAAAAGTCCATGATAAGTATTGCATGACCATCACATAGCAATGATGCAGACAGTCTATCATGTCTCCAAAAGTCCAGAGATAACACCAGAACAAGTGGCTGCAAGTGGCTCTGATCCATAATTCGATGCGGAGCCAGGTGCCACAACGTCCCCAACTTTGCACAGGGGCAAACGACACTCAACGTCGCAAGCAGCTAGCCGCGCCTTAATTTACGTGATAACGCTGAGCGATCAGCGGAGTCTGTCGATCAGGGTCTTTTGCACGCAATCCATGCGTTTTTGCAAGACGGCAAACGGCAGACAAAAGCCATGGTCAAATGCGCAGTGGAGACAATGAGAAAAGTTGTAGTGGAACGAGCTCCAAGGATGGGTCAGGTACCACTATTTGCACACGACGTGGGTCTGGAGCCGAGAGTCGTCAGCGTGCCTTGTCCGAGGACGCAGCGCGTCCTCGGTGTTTCTGTCGCAAGCTTTCGCTGAGACATTGCTTGGCACTGGGTCTGGACTGGAGTCACAAGACAAGGGGTGGCGAACGATGAGCTGTTGGTGAGGGTGGAGTACAGTAAGGAGTGGGTCGAGGAAGTCGCTGCTGGTGATGGGCAGCAGAGTGACACGTTGATTCGTCACGTAACGGGAGCAGGCCAATGACGCGGCAGACGATCTGGAGTAAGCGGGAGTGACTTTCAAGATCTGCCATGGCCACATGGTAAGCTACGTTGCGCAGGGTGTATCCCGAGTGCAGAGTATATTGCGAACAGAGAGGCAAGGCTGCTTGCGTGGAGAGGGAAGTAGGGCATTAAAGATGGCGTGGACTGGACGTCTTCAGTTCCTTCGCGCTGTTGCCTCTTCGGCGGTCGTGGTGTTTTAGTGGGCTGGACTAGGCAAAGACGTGCTATAGAACGCGTGGCTTGACGATCCATGGCGTCTGTGGGCAAGAGTGCCGCCGCAGTAGCCACAAGGGGCTTAACGTGAAGACATGGGAAATGAACTGGCAGCAGCTTCGACAGAGCGGGACAGATTCATCTGCAGACGCGTTTGCCAAGGGGTTCCAGTGGTGACAGTGATTGCGTCGACACAGCTTGCGCAATCCGTTAGTTTGAATTCCGGTAGACGAGGACTCGGGGCATGGCCAGTGCGCAGTGAAGGGATCTGGCAGCACGCGCAAGATACTGCGAGGTGTACACAGGCAGAACAGCACCGCACAGCACAGCAGGGCGGCACGACGGTCAGCCGCGAGGTTGCAGTGGCGCGCCTTGGATGTGCGATGGTCACAGCGAAGGTTTTGTTGCGGGCGTCGGGGTCTGTTTCCACTCGCAGCGCGAATCGAAGCTGCCGCGTAATGGCCCATTGGCGCTTACCGCATTGAGCCACCCTCCCAGCAGTACACGCGGCTTCCATTTTGCAACCATCTAGTATTACCCCGTCGCTCCTCCTTCTGCTCTGCACGCTGAATTATCACCAACGCTCACCGTGGGCCCGTTGCGCGCGCTCGACAGACGCACTCGAACAGCAATTGCCGCCCGTCGTCGACGTCCGCTCCCAGAATATCGCCGCCAGGGTCTGTTGCTCCGCCTCGCTCATCATCGGCGGCTGTGCAGCCCATCCCCGACCGCAGTTAATACACCCACCACCCGCTACGCCCACGCTCCGACACCTCCACCTCGACCCCAACACCACCACCCGCGATCCACGGCCATCGCGACGACAGCTCGCACTCGCACCTATGGATCATTCGCACGGCGCCGCGCGGGCGCCTTCCGCCCCGATGGACACGGACAGGATGGCCACCGAGCTGACAGAGCGCTTTCGCAGCGTCCTCAGCACGAAGCGCCTCAACGAAATCACATCACGGTCACAGTCTCGATCCGCATCTCCAGCACCGCGCGACTTTGGCACCCCGCAGCCGCCGTCGTCCAGCGCCCCGCCCACGTACTCGTCCATCCGAAACATTCCCCTGATGCCTGAAGCACCTCGCGACGCACGCTCATTGCGCTTCCGCAACATGCTGCATTCGCTATCCGCCCTTCCCACGCGATGGGAGAACCCTGGACTGCTCGACGAAGCCCTCCGCGTCGTGCCTCTCGAGCAGATCTACAACGAAGCCGAAGAGGAGAGCCAAATCCTGCAGGCCGAAGCAGAGAGCCTCGGCGCAGGTAAGAAGGCCGCCTGGGGCTACCAAGACTGCGTAGTCCGCGCACTTCTGCGCTGGTTCAAGCGCTCCTTCTTCCAATGGGTCAACAACCCACCCTGCTCGCGCTGTTCCTCGCCCACCGTAGCCATGGGCATCACCGCACCACTTCCCGACGAACAGGCACGCGGCGCCACCCAGGTCGAGGCCTACCAGTGCTCCTACGAAGGCTGCAAGAACTTTGAGCGATTCCCTCGCTACAACGACGCATTCGTGCTTCTGCAGACCCGCAAAGGACGATGCGGCGAGTGGGCCAACTGCTTCAGCATGCTCTGCCGCGCCGTCGGCTCAAGAGTCCGCTGGGTATGGAACGCCGAGGACCACGTCTGGACCGAAGTCTACTCGATGCATCGCAAGCGATGGGTGCACGTAGACGTCTGCGAGGAGGCTTGGGACAAGCCCAAGCTGTACACCGAAGGTATGTTTTGACACAAATGACACACATGACGTATCTGACATCTCGCTAGGCTGGGGCAAGAAGCTCTCATACTGCATTGCATTCTCCGCCGATGGCGCCATGGATGTCACCCGCAGATATGTTCGTGACCCCTCCAAGCACGCTGCTGTGCGCGAACGCGCATCAGAAGCTGTTCTGCTCCACATCTTGGACGAGATTCGCTACATTCGGCGACAAAACATGTCCAAGCAAGACAAGTTCCGCCTCCAGGGCGAGGACATGCGAGAGGGCAAAGAGCTCCGCAGCTATGTCATCTCCTCCATCGCCAATGATATCAGCAGGCTCCGCGCCGAAGACATTATCAACGGCCATGTTGCCCCACGTCGCCAGGATGCCGATGCCGACAAGGCACTAGAGGGCCGACTCAGTGGAAACTCCCAATGGATCCAAGCACGAGGCGAAGGCGGCCGTGGCCGACCAAACCACCAGGACCCTCGAAACCAACGGTGAGGTCACATTGTGCGACCTTGACCTTATCCTTCTCCATCGATACCGACATGACTTGAAACCCAATAATCAAGCCGGGCAGTCTTCATGATGCATCGCACACAGAAGCTTCACCGCACCGACTTGCACCCAAGTCCCGCCGTATCATTCTCCAACTTGCGATCTTCCCACCTGTAACCATACTTCGACTGCAGCGTATCTCCCACATTTGCAACGGCGTTCCTGGCGCATCAACAGATTATTAGCGTCAACACCCTAATGTCTGGACCATCCTCACCTGAGGCTTTCCTATTGTTTACGGCATGTTCTGGCGATCTCAAAGATGGGACTCTTTCACGAGGCCACTTCACTTCTATTTCGGGTGCGCAGAGGCTGCAGCACGGTTTATACCATTTTCGCATTTTATTTGGATTACGATATTGGATATCATTTTTCATTTGTTCACGTTCGTCATGTTTTCTATTCATCACGAGCATTCTGGGTCGAATTTTTTACCTTACGATGCGATGGCGGTTCACGCTCTGTAAGAGACCCGAATATAGAAAGATGCGGATGCGTTGTACATGGCGGGGATCCGCGAAGAAGGTTGCGGCGGCAGAAGAGGGGTGTGGGTGAACGCGCGGCTCAGAGCTGACGCAAGGCATGCCGCGTGTATAGATGAGAAGAAGACAGCAAATACCAAAGCCAGCAAAATGGCGACATTTGTTCAACTCCATGATCCGTTCGTTCTATTCAACATGTGACTTTCTCTGTTGTGACTTTGTGAGGTCGAGCAAGGTCAGCCCTGCACCACTCTGCGACGATCTCTGCCCAACGGTGTTTCCACGACGCGCGTTGACACTCGTAACCCCAAGGCGCCTGATCTACACTTCATCGCCCATCTGCCCGAGGAAATTTCTGTGTGTGTTGACGGTCCGAATCCCAAGCGAACATGAACAAAACAGCCAAACACAGATGACTGTGACTTGTCTGCAGGCCACTGGCAAACCTTCTCAATGGCCCTGAACGGGCCGTTCGTCTTCCAGCCTTTTACCCAATGCGGATTAGCAAAAAGGGGGTATTTATAGCCTGACACGGGGCGCGCTGACCGCGCATCTTTGGGGCTGGGGCTGGCGGGGCCAAGCGAGAATGGGGCCGGGCGTTGAGGTGGAGGAGGGCGCTTCAGCCACAGATTGTGTGCGCGGTTCTTGGGTTGTGGACGTGTGATGTGAGCAAACGTGGAGTCACGGAGGTACTTCGCATCTAGCGAAAAAGTGTGACTTTGAGCCTTGGAAGGGGTACGTGTGTGTGTGTGAATTGTATGAGCAAGGCAAGGCAAGGTGGTGCGCGGGAGTACTTTGTGCCGAGCTGAGGCTGGTGTGTGGTTTCAGCATCATCAGGATTCAGCAGTGGCGGTACCTTGGCCTTGATTTGGCTGTGGTCCTGGTTCTGTACATATTTCCCACGTTGGATAGCAGTTTGCAGAGAATAGCAGTAGTCTGACAAAGCAAGATTACAAGATGGTGATGAAGATAGGTCGCCAACCAACATGACGTTGGGGTAAAACCTTCGAAACACACCCAGTTGCTGGCGCTCAGACTTCGGTATGCCCAAGACAGCAAAGCGTGACCAGTGAGGCTTGTGAGCGCGTTGTGTGTTGCGCAGCCGCAGGTGGGCCAAGCACGAAGGGGGCGAAGCATGGCGGGATTTATTGTGGGTCGGTGACTTCAGCTCCCAGGGTCTTGGTTTGTGGCAGTTGGGTTTGATACAAAAGGCTGGCGGGCCCAGCGTGTAGGGCTGGGGCATATCACCAATCTCTCGTTTTTTCTCCACGTTTGCTCGTTTGCACCTAACACATACTCACTGTCGCTACTTCGACTCGACACGACCGCAAAGATGGGTAAAATCGGGCGCTTCGCGTGCATCATCACGCCCATGGCATTGACGCTCGCGTCGCTCATATGCATCGTGATCGTCATGCTGGGCCAGATGTCTGCGGGCAGCAACAAAGCGCCCGCGACATCGCTCGGGCGCGATTTGTACTTCTTCAAGGTACGTCCAATCCAACGCCCCCTCCCCCCGCATCCTTGTACTAACAACGACGCCAGGCAGACACATCCGCCTTCCAAGCCGACTCCGACTCGCTCCTCGACAACATCGCCGACTCGGTCAACATCGACAACAACCTGCTCAACGCGCTGCAAGGCGGTGCCAAGTCCGGCGAACTCAAGGCCTTCTACCAAGTCGGCCTGTGGTCGTACTGCTCCGGCACCAAAGATGCAAGCACGGGTGAAGAGACGATTGACTTCTGCTCCAAGAGCTCGACGAGCTTCTGGTTCGACCCGTTCAGCGTGTGGAAGCTCGAGGACACGAGCCTGCAGAAAGCGGTCGGCGAGGACCTGCAAAAGGGCTTGAACACGTACAAGAAGGTTGCGGGGTGGATGGTGTGGAGTTTTATCATTGCGTTGGTACTCAGCGTGGCGGAATTCATCATCGGGTTCTTCGCCATCTTCAGCAGGTGGGGAAGCATGGTTACAACGATTGTGTCGACTGTAAGTTTTCATTCCCCTCCTCCCTTGCCAGTTTCTCTCTTTGAGTATTGGGTTCGATGCTAATATTTGCAAAAGGCGCAAACAATCTTCGTCTTCGCCGCTGCCGTCACCGCCACGTCCATCTACGCCGTGCTCGCTGGCGTGTTTGAATCCGTGCTCAAGCCCTACAACATCAAAGCCTCGCTAGGCCGCCAAATGCTGTCCGTCGTCTGGCTCGCCGTCGCCTTCAGCCTCGCTTCCGGCCTCTTCTGGCTCTTCAGCACGTGCTGCTGCAGCGGCAAGAGCGCGCACAAGAAGGTCAGCGTGGAGAAGACGCCGTACACGTACGAGCGCGTTGCGAGCCCTGCATTCCCCGCACAGCACGGTGCGCCGGCGCAGCATTCTGGATTTGTCGGCGCGGGGCAGGGACAGAGCGGGACGGCGTATGAGCCGTTCAGGGGCAGCCGTGTTTAAGTCGACGTGATGTCTGGGCGGTATATGGGTAATCGCTAATTAGTTGCGAGACGGAGGAGTGTCTGCCGCCAAAGCACTCTGTACGATTGTGTTTTGTTTATTTGACTGCGTTGGCCATTTTGTATACCACGGCGTTTTATTCTCACCATATTATGGGATGCATCACATCACGAAGGAAGAATATGGCATGATATCATAGACGTGGAAAATGGAAATTGAGCAAGACTTTCATCTCTGACATCTTCCCTTGCTTGTCTATACATAGTGGTTCAGGATATCTCCCGTCTCTTCTTCCGCGCTAGTAAATGCAGTGCAGACGAAAACAGACACGGACCCAAGCACGTAGCCAAGCTGCCCTGAAGGAAAAATTAACAAATGCATGTATCAACAAAAGATGTCATCACCACAGGACCAGCCTGTAACATTCAATCATTTCATTCATTTTTCTACATGACTGTTATATAGTGTTGAGATTTTCGTGCCGCCGTGGAAAAAAGATCCAGTAACATGGATCTAGAACATGGAGTGTTTCTTCGACTTGGACGAGTGCGGCTTCTTGTGCCACCCCAACACACTGCCCACAACCTGCACAATCTCATCTGCTCTCTCGACGGCAATCTCGTGGCCTACGCCTTCTACGACCCGGACGCGAAGGTGGTCTTCGCCAAGGGCAGCTGTTGCGTCTTCCACGAGCTCCTCCTTGATGATGATGGGATCGGTCTCGCCGAGCACAAGCCAGACCTCCTTCAGTGGACCCTTACCTGACTCGATGTTCTCCTTGATGATGGTCCATCGGTGCTGCTGCTCGTGAACTGGTGCATGGCGGATGGACGAGACGAAGGCGGGGACGAAGCCCTTGTGGTGCAGGACCTGCCAATCTACCACAGCCGAGACGGTACTGTTCGGGTTGTGCTTCAGAAGTGCCTTGTTAGAGGACAAGAAGACGGTTTCCTCGTCATGTTCGTCTTCCTCAACACCGGCCAGGGTCTCTGATATGGTGCTGACTCTGCTTCCAGGGGAACTCTCGCGCCTCTTGGACTTGCGTTTCCGGCCCATATCGCTGAAGAAAGACGACTTGGACTTGCCAGATTTGCTCGATTTTCCAGAGCGTACGGACCTGGTGTCGGCATCCACCGTCTTGGTAGTCGTCGTTTCTGCGACTTCAATGGCTTCGGGCTCAGGTTCTGGTTCTGGGGCTTTCAGGCTGTGCTTTCCAGTCCAGAGTCTGTTGGCAACCATTCTGTGCACCATCCACTCTGGCAACCAGCTGCTTTGGTAGAGAAGCTTGCTCTTGAAGGTGATGTTCCTCTTCCGGATGAGTCCTCCGGGGGCCACAAGAACGAGTCCACGGACATTGTAGGGAAAGTAAGAAGCAAAATCAGCTGCAATGGCACCACCTAGGGAGTAGCCAATAATGGTGAAAGATCGGTGGCCGGACCAAGCGATAGGCGAGGACTGTAAGCAGAGCAGGATTTGGGAGAAGTAGAGGCTAGAGTCATACTTGTGATACAGGGGCGAGGGAGCATCAGAGTAGCCACGTCCGAATAGATCTGGAGATGTCAGCAAAAATTCAAATGAATTCGAAAACACCAACACGCGTCGTGCACTCCTGGTTCAATCGAAAGTCACGTCAGGTTGAAGAGATGTTCCGAGGAGGGACCGCAACCCAGGGCAGACCCTTGCCACGTGATGTAGACCAAACTATCCAAATCATGCGAAGCAAACAGCATTGGAAGCTGTACCAAATATGAAACTTGACGTAAGGTTACGATGCAAGGTAGGAGAGGGGATACCGACCGAACATCATGACACGACATCCTCTCCGGACCAGCTTGTGTGCCAGATCTGCCATGGCGATGCCCGGCGTGGAGATTCCGTGGATGAGTAGGACCTTGTCACCGTCCTCTGGACCCCATTCGTACACTCTGACGCTGCCATACGGCGAATTGACATCTCTTGCTCCTGGTAGGGCATTCGGCGGGTAAGGGAGCTCTTGGACATCTTCCTCGGACAATTGCGGCAGCTTTGTCTGCACGGGCGATGGGATGATGGTGGTGGGGGCAGACTTGAGAACACTCATGAGGGTGCCCAGCACCAACAGACTGCCGAGAGAAGCCCCCCCAATGGCGACATAGGGGTGATGCAGGTCCGGGAGCTTTGAGCGTGGGATGCTGGGAAGCGACTGGGAGATTGACGAGAGTGACAGAGCGGGGGCTTTGGCGGGAGCAGCCGAGGCGCTGCCGCCCAACTTTGACAGCCAGTCCATGGTGAAGTGGTGGTGCGAGGAGCAATGGGGTCGTAGTGCTGACCAATGGCGGGTTGTACGGGTCGTAAATAGATAGACGAGTCGGAGGACCCTGTGGTGTTGACAAAAGAAGATCGCCCTCCTCACAGCGCTAGTCCGTGCGGATCGTTCTCGCCACAACGGGCCCCTAGAGGCTGCCCAGGTGTGAAATTGAATTCCGCGGTCCGGAAGCTGCACAAATATTCGCTGGTGGTGTTGACGCACGCGGGCGCCGGAGCCGCTGCGAGCCCACGCGCGACACGGCAGTCCCACGCGGTGAAAGGGCCGGACGCAGCGCGCTCTGGGTGACGAGGCCCTTGCAGCTGGCACTGTGCCGCGCGCGCATACGCATACCAAGAAGAGGCGGAGAGGCCAAGCGGATGCACGACCACGACTAGCGCCAGCTCTTCTCCTCAGCCACGCTGGAAACAGTACCAGCCATGCAGCCCTGACCTGGAGACAATCCTCACTGCCTGGCCTCTGGGCGCCGCTGAACCACCGACCGCTGACGCTCTTTTCTCTTGTTATAGACGCTTCGCCGTGCCTCCCATTTCGCCCTCTGTTCTTCGCTCCAGGAGAGTCTCGTGTTGCCTGTTTGATAATTGCGGACCTCCGTCCTGCTCGCTCTCCACCCGCCGTTGACACCACGCGCTCCCCTCACCGCCTGCTGCACCTGCCGCCAGCAGCATCGCGACCCGCGTGACGTTGATCGGAAGCACCCGGACAGGCTGGATGTGGTAGTGCGCCATGGATCAATGGACGTCCAAGCAGCTCCCTGAGCGCCTGCCCTTCTCCAAGAAGCGCCTGCCCAAGAGGGTCATCTTCTCGTGCGTAGTGCCGAATGTCCGCCGCCATCACGCGATACTGACTGCTGCAGATACATTGGCGACTACCTCATAATAATGTAAGCGTGCCCGTGGTGCGGTCGGCACACGACCACCTGCCCCAGATTGCCCTGTCTAACGAGCCCCAAGTCTGCTTATTGGCGTCTTCACTCTTGTCGACAAGATCCCGCCCTTCCACCAACACTTCTCGCTCGAAAACTACACCCTCCACTATCCCTTCGCCGTCAAGGAGCGCGTCCCCGTCATCTGGCTCTGCGTATACGTCATTCTCGCGCCCGCCGCCATCATCGCCATCTATACGCTGGTGCTCGATGGCCTCTTCTCACATCAAACTGAGATGCCTTCGGGCAGAGCTGGTCTCAAACGACTGAGTGGCAGATACAGGTTCAAGGACCGCTTGTGGGAGCTCAACTGCGGCATCCTGGGTCTCGGCTTGAGCGTCGGCGCTGCTTTCACCATCACAGGCGCGCTCAAGAATGCCATTGGAAAGCCGCGCCCGGATCTAATCTCCCGGTACGTCTTCTTTCTCGGCGCACTTGGACATGCACTGACCTATTGTAGCTGTATGATTGATCAGACCAAGATCAACACTACTCTATACGCCCTGCAAACCATAGACATATGTACCCAGACCAACAACTACATTCTCCAAGACGGATTCAAAAGCTTCCCCTCGGGTCACAGCAGTGGTATGTCAGCACCAGGTACTCGAATGGTCTCCACTGACACGCTCCAGTCTCCTTCGCGGGCCTCTTCTACCTTTCCCTGTACCTCGCTGCGAAACTCCATGTCATGGACGCAAAGGGCGAGGTCTGGCGCACCTTTATCGTGTTAGTGCCGACCCTCGGCGCCGCGCTCATCACCGGGAACTCGTATCATGGACGCGCGTCACCACCCCTTCGATGTTATTTCTGGTGCGATGCTTGGTATACTCGTATCTTGGGCAGCGTACAGGCAATACTTTCCTGCAGTCACCGAGACATGGCGCAAGGGCCGCGCTTACCCCATCCGTGCGTGGGGTCGTGGACCTGCTCCTCCGCCGGAACCAAACCCTACTATCATGGTTGACGAGGACGTGCAGCCGCTGAGGCCAATGGGTCGTCCGACGGACATGGAGCGTGGCGAGGCTTCTGGCTTCGCCTCCAACACAGCGGTGGCCGGCGAGAGTGAACACGGAGGCAATGTGTTCCGCCAACAAATACATGACTCGCAACGAAGGCGACAAAATCCTTACGCCGTTGAACGGAGTGACACGCTGGCGTCCAGTAATTACCGAACCGACACCATGGGCTCAACTATATCGACAAAGGTCTCCAATTACCAAAATCAGATGCCGGCATCGAATCCCTTTGCCGGTCAACGGAGAATGGACACGTATGACTACTCTTCATCCGAAGATGGCGATGGATACGAGATGCAAGCAGGTCACTTCACCGATACAGGCTACCACCGCCCCACAGGCATCTCACCTCAGCCTACCCCGCCGCCTCCATCGAATGCCGGAATGCCAGGACAGGCCATCACAACAGCATCGATAACTGGAGATCTAAGTGAAAGAAGAGATCTCGCACCTGTGCCTCCGCCACACGGCGCAGGCACAGCACCTCAGCAGATATAGATTGCATTTTGTTTGACCATGAAGATCACGCCAATGCTCGCAATCGACGTGATGAGGTGGAATGCTAGCTATACGGTGGTCCAGGTGCTAACTTGATCGAATTGACGAACATGTACTTTGTATCATTACTGCTCCTAGAAGAGCGAGGAGTTTTTGTAAATGGCGAAAAGTTGGGTCATAGCATACAGCATACTACCAATGTGGAATTTCTTTTAACTGTTCATTTAACCTATCGATCCCCCTATTTCGTAGATATCGACGATTCGCTACTGGATTTCAGAATAGTCTACAGGTTGCGATGCTTCATTGCCGAAGTGTGAGCCCATAGCTGCATGGCATCTTCGTGAACACACACCATGCATTGGTATCAAGAGAGCGCAGACAAGATATACCGACCCATCTTCAGCCTTTTCCCTAGTGGGGTAATACGGCTTATTTGGTCAGTCGTGAACGGACGTGAGCCCCGGCCAGTTGTTCTGTTCCCTTTTGGGGTATTTCACTCTAGGTCATGTAGGTGACTGCTGTTTCTCCTGAGCTAAGGCTGCACCCCCAGTATCTTATCTCTAACACCCATGCCTTTCTCAAGACTTTGATTTGAGACTAGCTTGATCAGCTCTCAGGCTCATTCAACCTTCGATAACACTTTAGTCTCCGACCATCGTTATGCCCGCGTTTGAATAACTTCGTGTTATCTTCAGATCCATAGGGCTGATCGATGACGACGCTAGCAAATAGCGCAAATAAGAACTTGCTCGTGGATAGATTTGAGAAGTTGAGGTTGCGGCACGGGAAGTTGCAGCCACGACCGTGTGCACCCTCTGCGTCAACACTCTCACCTGAGAACCTTCAAAACACGACGTCGATTCCATTTCAACCATCGCAAAATCGTCAGGCGTCTCGACCACCTCAACAAGATTGGAGCAAGATGGTTCTCATCGAACCTATTCCAAGAGATTTACCGGAAACCTCAGACCAGTCCCGATTACGCGGCCGCCCAACCGAGCGACCCCAGGTGGCTGCAAAGGTGGGCTCAAAAGCCACCCGCCCTATCATCATAAATCTCTGCGAGGATGAAGAGGCCTCTTTGCCTGCCAAGAGGTCGCGTCCGAATCCTTTCCAACGTCATACCCGGGTCAGCGACCAGGCTATCAAACCTACTCGACAGCAGACAGACCCTGTTTCTCTTAGACCGAGACGACGGATTCGAAGTCCGAGCGCCGCTAGCAGTAACCTAGAAGGTCAGTTGACGCCATCCAGCTCGGAGGATGTATCGGACTCTGATCTGGCCGTACGCATTGCCCGTTCTGCAGAGGAAGTGCCTCACGCATCACCGTCGCAAATTCGTAGCGGAGGCAGTTTCATGAACAGCAGAGAGGCTGTTCTGCTAGGGGAACGCTTAGATCGACGGTTTCCAGTGCGATTGCAGCTTCATAAAGATGAAGGATGTCGTGCGGCTTTATCAAACTTGGGCGCAGCGGGGGGTCAGTCTTCTATATCTGGGCCTACAGCACGCAAAGTGAACCACGGACATAAGACACATCGAGCATCTTCTCATCAAAAAGGCACCGAGAACAATCCAATTAAGCTGGATTCCGATGATGATGATGAGGGAATGACCGGCTCCGTTGATCGAAACCACGCTCTGAGCGCGGCTGAAGCGGGTGATCCCATGGATATTGACGAAGATGACGGCGACTTGACCTACAGTCGAGATGTTCAAGCAACTGACCCATCCATAAGCGATGCATTACTGGCTCAGCAACTCCATGACCAGGAGCGCCTTCAGCATGTAGTGGTCAGGAGGCGTGACTGTATCGTCTGTGGAGATAGCATTCTCATCAATGAGTTTCCTTCACTTGCTAAATGTGAACACATCCCACAGACATGCGCTGTCTGCTACTCGACGTGGATCGCAAGGCAACTTGAAGACAGTGGGTGGAAGGAAGCCAGATGTCCGGAGAATAAGTGCAAGACGAAACTGGAATACTACGAGATACAGCAAACAATAACACCGGAGGTGTTTCAGCGATTCGACGATATGATGGCGCGTAATGCTATAGGCGAGGACCGTAAGTTCGTGCAACAATATCGAACAACATAACAAGCTAACGTCTGTCAACAGCCAACTTCGAATGGTGTCGAAACTGCGGCTCTGGCCAGATCCACATGAGTGGCGTCGAAGGCAACATCTTCACGTGTGCTGCATGTGGCCACAAGATGTGCATTGTCCACAAGAATACATGGCATGAGGGCGAAACATGCGAAGATTACGAGTATCGCTCTTCAGGTCGCAAAGAGCGCGATCAGAAGGCACAGGAAGCTGCCAGTCTCAAAGCCATCGGCAGGATGTCAAAGAAGTGCCCTGGTCCAAACTGCATCTACAACATCGAGAAGAATGATGGGTGTGACCATATGACTTGTAAGTATGAAACGATGATGGCGCATGGTTACTAACATGTACGCAGGCTCCAGATGTAGCTACGAGTTTTGCTGGGTCTGCCTGTGTGATTACAACGAGGTGAGGACACGGGGGAATTCGGCGCATGCAAGGAACTGTAACTATCATGCCTGAGTGAGTACATGGGGCCTGGAATGAAGGTGGTGTATGGTGTACGGTGAGTAGTCGGTTTAGAGGTATAGCCTATTGCAGTCATCTTGTAATGCATATAGAGGCATATCCTGTGCGCTGCTCAGACGAAAGACTGCGTGTGACAAATATTTATCAAGACGTAAGTTGAAGCGCAACGTGATGTCAGAGGTCTTGCCATACAATTTCCCTCGTTCTCGGAATCCGATTGGCTGCCGGCCCTAGCAACTCCGCTAAAAATTGTACAAGACGTCAACAAACAGCGCGCCTCTGCATTCCCATTTTGTGCCATTGGTGGTCCGTAGCAGTCGCAAACTACCGCGGATGTGATTCAAGCCTAGGATCTTCTTTCTCGCGTACTCCTACCCATTGCCGATCCGTCATCCCCCATCTTGTTGTTGCGGCTCCTCCACGCCTGCAGCTACCCCTGAAAGATCACGCCGCCACATTTCTGCAGTCATGTCGATGCGAGTGACGCGGTCGCAGAACGGGAAGACACCAGTGTAAGTAAACCGCGTTCTAGAATCATCTGTACGCGATATTGTGAGCAAGCGACTGACAATCCTGCAGCAAGCCTGAACGTCCTGGCTTCGTCGAGACACCCGGACGGAGAAAGTCGCAGCGCAAGTCGATCAACCCCAGTGGCGATGGATATGAGTCGACGCCCGAGCCGGAGAGTATCGTGAAGGCCGGTTCGAATGGACAGACGAACGGCTACTCGAATGGACACCGCAGCAAAGCCGAACAGGAGGCTTACGCCTGGAAGATTGAGGCCGAGAAGAACTTCTCCCCAACGGACGAGAAGGGCAAGCAGGAGTTCGGAGGCGCGCTCGGCATGAGCGCCATGATGGTCTGCTTCCCCGCGCTCATGTACTACATGTGGATCGGAGCCACCTTCTACGACGGAAAATTCCCCTCGCGAACCGAAGGGGAGAGTTGGGGACATTTCTTCGGGCACTTGTGGTACCTGGTCAAGACGCACGCATACCCCAACAACAAGGCCTGGCAGATCTACTGGTTCTTTGGACTGGCGCAGATGGCTTTCTACTTGCTGATGCCGGGAGTGTACCGCAAGGGCAAGGGCCTTCCTCATCTTGGTGGCAAGCAGCTCGACTACTACTGCTCTGCCATGTGGTCGTTCTACACCAGCATTGTCATCAGTCTGGTCCTCCACTTCACCGGTCTCTTCAACCTGTACACCCTTGTTGAGGAGTTTGGCCACATCATGAGCGTAGCCATCATCTCGGGATTCCTGTGCTCGACGATTGCATACGTTTCTGCCCTGGTTAGGGGTAAGGGAGTGCGTATGACTGGATCACCGATTGTCGACTTTTTCTTGGGCGCTGAACTGAACCCGAGACTCTTTGGTATTCTCGACTTCAAGATGTTCCTCGAGGTCCGCATTCCGTGGTTCATCTTGTTCTTCCTCTCTCTGGGTACTTGCTTGAACCAGTACGAGAAGTACGGTGCGCCTTCGATGGAGGCTGTCTTCCTCCTCTTCGCCCACTACCTGTATGCCGGTGCATGCGCAAAGGGTGAGCACTTGATCATCACGAGCTGGGACATGTACTACGAAAAACTAGGCTTCATGTTGATCTTCTGGAACATGGCTGGTGTACCCCTTTCCTACTGCCACTGCACTCTTTACGTCGCACAACACCACCCGTCTGAGTACACCTGGCCATCATGGTTCATCGGACTTCTAACTGCGGCTTATCTCGGCTTCTACTACATTTGGGATACCACCAACAGCCAGAAGAACCAGTTTCGTCAAGAAGAGCGTGGCGAAGTTGAGGAGCGCACTACCTTCCCTTACTTCAAGTATGGAAGGATTGCGAACCCAAAGATCATTGAGACATCGGATGGACGCAAGATCTTGGCAGATGGATGGTACGGCAAGGCGAGGAAGATCCACTACACATGCGATTTCTTCTTTGCTGTCTCTTGGGGTCTCATTACGGGCTTCAACTCTCCGTTCCCATGGTTCTACTCGGTCTTCTTTGGTGGTATGATTATTCACCGTGCTCTGCGCGATATCGAGCGATGCCGCGAGAACTATGGCGAGGCTTGGACGCGTTACGAGAAGCAGGTGCCTTACCTCTTCATTCCGGTGAGTTCTATCAATCCATTTCCAAAGATAAGAGTAACCTATTACTAACATGTGTAGGGTGTTTTCTAAACATGTCATCAGACCTCGGAGTGCCTCGAGCGCTATCCCAGTCGTTGCTAAATTCCCGCATTAATTGACCATCCGTCACTTTTCATATTTCCCTACATTTTTACTCTTCCGAACCTTTCGTTGACGGATAGATTTGTATTATATTTTTGACTTCTTTTGTTCTACGAAATCTTTTATCGGTACGCGTGTGGTTATAGTAATGTTAGGAGTAATGCAGATACGTATAGACGTTTGAAAACATGTGAACCCGCTTCTCAAAAGATTCCCCTATGCATTTCGCAGCTCTGCGCGATTCGTCCGGACGAACCAGCTCTACCACCAGGGTCTCGGCACGTGGACGCTAGCGCAGCTTTACGTCAGCGTGTGCAGCCAAAAGTTCCCGCAAACAACACGTTCGCAAACCGTCGTCGGCAAACGTCTGCATCATCGCTACCATGGACGCCCTCCGCTCCGTCTTGCAGCCCATCACGCACAACCTCCCGAAGCCCATCGAGGACCTCGGCAAGTCGCTCATCACGCCAGCCTGCTACAAGACGCTGCTCCTCGACATCGACCCCTCCCACACCGAGTGCCTTAAGCTCGCCATCTCCAAGGGCCTCGGAATCGGTATCATCGGCGCATCGTCCGTTGTCAAAGTGCCCCAGCTGCTCAAACTCATCAACTCTCAGTCCGCAGAGGGTCTCTCTTTCACGTCGTACCTCCTCGAATCCAGCGCATACCTCATCTCGCTGTCGTACAATGTGCGCAATGGATTTCCATTCAGCACGTATGGCGAGACGGCGCTTATCTTGATTCAGAACATCGCGATCGCGAGTCTGGTCTTGAAGTATAGCGGAAACGGTTTGGGTATTGCCGGCTGGGTTGGTGGCTTGATCGCGGCTGGAAGTGCACTGTTCAACGAGCAGTGGGTTGGTGCCGAGAGGCTCAGCCTTTTGCAAGCAACAGCTGGTGTGCTGGGTGTGGCTAGCAAGGTGCCGCAGATTCTGACAATTTGGCAAGAGGGTGGGACTGGCCAGTTGAGCGCTTTCGCTGTAAGTCTGTCGCGTCGTCAAGGTTACACATGTGCTAATACATTCGTACAGGTGGTCAACTACCTCCTCGGTTCCCTCACACGTATCTTTACCACGCTCCAAGAAGTCGACGACCCGCAACGGTTCTGTACGGCTTTGTCGCAGGCTTCGTGCTCAACCTCATCCTGTTCCTGCAGGTCGTATACTACTGGAATGCCCCGACATCCAAGAACACAAAGTCGAACAAGCTCGAGAAGCCGATTGCGGGAGACCGTAAGGAGACCGCTCGTGCCGTAGCCAGCGGATCTGCTCCTTCGTACGCGAATGCTGCAGGGAAGAGCCCAAGCACCAGGCGCAGGGGATAATACTGTGCTTTTGTAGTGTGCTATTCTTTGAATGGTCGCCATCTTAGGAAGTAATCCTTATGCTTTATTTTCAGATTCGTCCCTCTCCTCTATCTAAACTTTCGGTGCAGGCTTGATTACACCTCCGCAGTCTCCAAACCCAATCCCATCGCTCGCATCTCCCACAATGCCGGTGTATATCACCTCATCACCATCCTCGAGATACCGCAGCTCACTCCCATCACTCAGCTTACTCGGCCTCTTGCCATTGAAGGTGAGCTCCATCAGACACCCATGCTCATGCTCCTTCTCCCCACTCACCGTCCCACTCGCAATCAAATCGCCCGTCCTCAAATCACACCCTCCAACCGTATGATGCGCCAGCATATGTCTAAACGTCCAATACATCGTCTCAAACCCCACCCTACACGTCGTCGTTCCCCTCCCACCCCGCACAATCCTACCCTCCAACTCAATCCTATAATTCGGCGCCTGCGCATCGTCCATGAAGTCCGCCACGCGCGCCATGCGCTCCGGCGCCACCACCTTGAACGGCTCGAGCGCCTCGAGCGTCACGATCCACGGCGAGATACTCGTGCGGAAATTCTTCCCGTTGAACGGGCCCAGCGGATTCATCTCCAGCGCCTGGATATCCCGCGCGGACCAGTCGTTGACCAGCACCAGCCCGAAGATATGCGCGTCGGCGTCGGCGGCGCGCAGATACGTGCCGGCGGCCACGGGCGTGCCGATCACGGCGCCGACTTCCAGCTCGTAGTCGAGCCCGCGCGAGGCGCCGAAGATGATGTTTTTCTCTGGCGCGGCGTAGGATTCGACGAATTGGCCTAGTGGCCGCACGACGCTTGTTGGCGCGAGGGTGATGGAGGAACAGCGGCCTGCGTAGCCGACGGGGTATTTGTGGTAGGCTGGGGGTTGGGAGCGCGTGCCTGTTATGGCTTCGCTGGCGTTGAGGACGTGGTTGACTGACGCGGAGTAGTCTGTGAAGTCGCCGATTTGGACGGGCATGTGCAGCGTTACGTTGCTAATGTCCTCGGAGAAATCCGTGTGTTGGGAGGAGGTGTAGGCATTTTGGATAGCGGAGCGGACTTGCGATTGTAGCGGCTTGGGGAGGGCGGCGAAGGTGTTGAGTGTGGGTTGGAGGAATGTTGACACGAGGTCTTTGGAGATGGATTGGAAGGCGGGCGTGGACGCTAACTCCGACAAGAAGATTACTGTGTCGGCGATGCGGGTGACGGCTTGAGGTTTTGGGCGTGAAGAGGAGCTGGCGATGCCGTAGGGGATGTTGTTGATCCCGAAGTGGGAGGTGTAACTTTCTGGCATTGTAGCGATTCGGGTGTTTGGATTGATTTGCAAGATTGCACTGTAATGAACCCAAATGCCTCAGTGATACTTTGACAGCACTTCTATGTTCTGGCTAACTTCAATAGTCCTCTTGGTCTGGCACACAGTCTGTCCCGTCCAGTTCACGATGGCTGCTCCATCTTCGGAAAACACTCCCCCACATCGGCGCTCCCCACGGTGGATTTTCGGTACTTGAGGGCGGTTTCGTATCGCGCCGGGTAATCTTTCCAGGGTCCTTGACGCGCCGAAGCTGCTAAGCCAGGGTCTTGATGCTGCATCATGCGGGGTGGCTCCGCGCTGACCCGGTGACATTTCTCAACCGTCTCGACTTGATTGACTGTGAAATCTTCAAGCCATGAGTACTGACGCGTTGAAAGTTGCCCATTTTGTGCAACCTTGGAGTCAACTGTTTGCGAAGAGAGCTTGAGAATGGAAGGACAACCAGAGAGTACCAGCATCTGTATCTTGCCTTGCTCCCGTAAGGTTTTAGTTGACTATGTTGGCTCAGAAAGAAAACAGCAACGCGAAACTTTTGTACATGCGATTGTACATCAAGCAATGGCCGCCCCGCAAAGGCGGTTCCCAAAGGAAAATTGCGCCGTTGCGAACTGCCCACTGCCGTAGTGTGAACTGCCAGAAGAAGCTGCAACATTCCCCCACATCCCTAGATTTGTAAACAGCGGAACAACGATGTGATCAGCTTGGTATTCTTCTACCTAGAAGAATTCTGTTCAATTCTGTCCGTCGCACCAAAGTACTTCTCTCTACCTTGCAGACTACTTGCATTTCTGCTACAAGCCCCAAGATCATCACCATGGCTTCAGAACAACACTCAGAAAACACGCTCCCCAAGCTTAAACGCTTCATCACCACCCACGACCCGAAAACCAAAAAGGCTATCTTCTCAGACGCGATCTCCGAGGACAACAAATTCGACGCCATCCCAGGCGCGGCATTCGGTCTAGGATACGTTACCAAGACATTCCCCGTTGACCTAAACAACGACGCAGACATCAATGCATACAAACCCTACCTCTCAAGCCCCCCAGGCCTCGTCGCGACCGGAGGTACAGTACTGCGCTTCGTAGACGTAGCACCTGGCCATCTATCGCCCATGCACCGCACAGTCTCGCTTGACTACGGCGTAGTCATCGAGGGAGACATTGAGCTTGTGCTGGACTCAGGAGAGACGAGGGATTTGAAGAGGGGAGATGTCGCGATTCAGAGAGGGACGATGCATGCGTGGAGAAACAAGAGTGATACTGAGTGGGCGAGGATGATGTATGTGCTGCAGGAATGCAAGCCGGTAGAGGTTGAGGGCGAGGTTTTGAAGGAGGATTATGGTACTATGAAGGGTGTTCCCAAGTCGTCGTAGAAGTATACTAGAATTCATGATGAACTGCTCCTCTGAAGCTCCTATGCGTTCGTGTTGTATGCTACCCATTACATCTAATTTGATTCTGAGCTATATTCCCGTGTACAATGTGATGAAATGTTCAAAACAAGTGCCTCTACAGACACTCGCCAGAATAGTCAACCCGTGTGGTGTATTGTTCGAAGCCATCGCGCAATCCCCCACATTCCGACTCTGCCCCTCACGAAGCACTGGCGTCGGCGCGTCAACACTACCGGTACCCACTACGCGTTGCAATCATCAATATATACTCAGATTTCTCGTAAAGGTAGGATTCCATACGTTTTCAAGTCCTGCATCATCGGTATCATGTCTGACCAACTAGAAGTCAAAGATGCGTACAAAATCGACGAGTCGTCGTTTCCCTACATTGTCGAGACCGACGTTGCGGTACCGTTGAAGACTACGTCGGGTAGTATTATTCGCTGCAATGTATATCGACCGAAATCGACCAAAGAGGGCTCAAAGTTGCCGGTCTTGGTGACTTATGGTCCCTATGGCAAGGACATTCACTACAAGGAGTGCGTCAACGTCTAGTTCGTGGAGCAATTACTGAACACAGCTAACACATGACTTTAGCTTTCACGGCAAATCATACGCTGAAGTAAATCCTGAGCACCATTCCGATCATTCGGTATGGGAAACACCCGACCCCGGCTTCTGGACGAAACAGGACTATGTCATTGTGCGCGCAGACGAGCGAGGTCTCGGACAGTCACCCGGTTTTCTCGATACAATGTCTCGCGGAACAAGCGAAGCATTCTTCGATGTGGTGGAATGGTCAGCAGAACAACCTTGGTCATCAGGCAAAGTCGGCCTACTCGGCATCAGTTATTATGCTGGCTCGCAATGGCGTGTCGCAGCTCGCAAGCCCAAAGGTCTGGCGGCAATCGTCCCTTGGGAGGGCATGAGCGACTACTACCGCGACCGGTGTCGTCACGGTGGAATCTTGAGCAACAAGTTCATCGACTTTTGGTGGAACCGACAGGTCATCACAAACCAGTACGGTCGTCCTGGGCGAGCGGAGAGGAACTGGGGACCGGATACTGTTGACGGCAATCTCTCAGACGAAGTACGGGCTAAGAATCGACAAGATCAGACCATTGACACTGCGAAGAACAAGTTTCGAGACCAGACATACTACGCTAGCAAGGAGTATGACATGAGCGACATCGAGGTACCGCTTCTGTCCGTCGGCAACTGGGGCGGCATTTTGCTTCATCTTCGTGGCAACATTGAAGGATACGCCCATGCTGGCTCAGAATTCAAGTACCTCAGAATGATCACAGGAAGACATGATCTGCCATTCTACTACACCGAGGAGGTCGAAATACAAAAGAGCTTCCTTGATGCGTTCCTCAAGGGCGATGATCGCGTTGGCTGGTCTGTCAAGGGCAAACTTCCGCCAGTCGATATAGTCCTGCGCAAGGGCGACGTTGGTTTCAATGATGCTGAGAAAGAGAAAGTTTACGAGAGGAGAACTGAGAACGAATGGCCCATTGCCCGCACGCGGTACACAAAGTTCTTCCTCACCCCGTCCCAGTCGCTCACTCAAATTCAACCCATCATCAACCGGCCTCAAAAGCTATCCTACGAAGCACTCGGCACCCTGGACAATCCAAAACTGCTGCAATTCACAACAGCGCCGTTTGAGGAGGAGACAGAGATCACTGGTCACATCGTCGCGCATTTGAATGTTTCGCTATCTCCTCATGCCGCTGGAGCTACGCCTTCGGACATCGATCTCTTCCTTACCCTTCGCTACATCTCCCCCGAAGGCAAGGAAGTCTACTACACCGGCACAGCAGGCGACCCTATCCCTCTCGCGAAAGGCTGGCTACGGGTCAGCTTCCGCAAGACGAACCCCAACCACCCCAAGCATCGCGAGTACCTGCCTTGGCGCGATTACTTCAGCACTGATGTGCAGCCTGTCATACCAGGTGATGTGTACTCCGTCGATGTGGAGGTCTGGCCGACGAATGTCGTGGTGGAGAAGGGAGGAAAGATTGTGTTTGAAGTCAGCAGTGGAGATACACAGGGCAGTGGTATCTTCCAACATAACCACCCAGAAGACAGGAGTGAAGAGGTCTTTGGTGGTCTGAATCATTTGCACTTTGGTGGGAAGTTTGAGAATTATGTTACGCTTCCGATTGTACCGCCGAAATAGATGTTCACTAGATCTTTTCATGTAGAATAGAGTCTAAATTTGCACCCTCCTGAGTTTGAAATTGACACATACGCAAAGTTGCATATTCTACCTCATCTCAATCATGCATTCCCTAGCAGCTCCTCCACCACAAATCTTCCTACACCGGCACTCTCCCCGCAACACTCAACCAGAACGCACACCTCTGCTCCAGCATCCCAATCGAACCATTCTTCAACCCCCCACTCGTCACCAAGAACTGCTCCCCGCTCCGAACCTCCGGCACACCCACGATACTCGCATTAGTAACTTTATGCACATTCGGATCGCCCGTCTGCACAAAGCTCGCCATTGCGCCCGCATAGCCTTGATACGTCACCGCATGCGTCTTCTGTATCTCACCAATCGTATTCCAGTACTGCACGTCTGAAGCGTGTTTGGCCGGGCTGATGGTGTATTCAATCACCCAGCCTTTTTTCGCGGCGCTGGAGAGCCAGTACGCCGGACATGCGAGGCCGAGGTCGCGGTACAAGAGGCCGGCGCGTGTGTAGGTCGTGTTGTATGCGATTTCCTCTGCTGTGCCTGAAGCCGGATACAGCGCTTTGACTGCGTCGATGTCAGAGGGTGTGAAGCCTGGTAAATACCCTCTGATCCAGGAGTCGAAACTCGCTTCGGAGGAGTTGAAGCCGTCGGTTGCGCTTGTGTTGGCTTTTGTAAAGCCGGGAGGGATGAAGTTCTCGCCTTCGTGCAGATTGTAGGATGTCAAGACTAGCTCGGCGTTTAGGGCGCCGTTGGTGATGACCGAGGACAAGGGCTGAGTGAGGAACTTGTCATCGATGACGGGGCCGAATGTGAATGCGCTGGTGGTGTATTGCAGACTTGTGCTTTGGCGGAGTGCACTGTCTCGCAAGAGCTGCAGATCGGCGGATTTCAGACAGGCGATTTCGTCTGTGCAGTTGGCGCAGCCGACGTCACGGAGGGTCTGCTGGTAAATGACTTCGGACTCGGGGGCGTCGTATCGCGGTGTTTTTGGCCAGAAGGGAGAGCTGCTCATTGCTTTGGTGAAGAGCTTTAGCCCTTTGTTTCCGGTTGCAATGGTTTGCGCGACTACGCTTCCACCTCCTGCAGATTGGCCCCATATTGTCACGTTCCTTGGGTCGCCACCGAATTGCTCGATGTAATTTTGTATCCACTTGAGCGCAGCTTGTTGGTCCAGCAGTCCAGGATTCAAGTCGACATCTGAATGCGATGCGATCTTTGAGCCTGGGAGAAAGCCAAACACGTTTGTGCGATAGTTGGAGTACACAACCACATAGTCGTTTAAAGAGCTGACATTGAGGACCGGGAACCCAGAAGGCGGGATATCAAACGATGCTGAACCTCGAATGAAGCCTCCACCGTAGAAAGTCAGGAGTACGGGTCTTAGGGCCTGTTCCTTCCTCCATGGCCGCGAGTATACACCAAGGTACAAACAATCTTCAGAACCATTCACTGTGCGCTGTGGGCACATATCAAAGGCCCGGTCAGTATCGTATGTGCCATTCTTGATTGGGGTCGGTGGTTGCGGTGCGCGGAATCGGTTCTTGCCTGCTGTTGACGCGGCAAACGGAATACGACGGTAGTATGTGAGGTTGTATCTTGTCGACGATGCGCCCTGCAGTGAGATATAGTCAAGCTTCACAATGGGATTAGAGACATTTTCGCTAGTAGGTCGTGGTGATGCAAGCGTAGCGCAGAGTAATGAGAGCACAGTGAAGAGAAATGTAGACGTGGAAGACATTGCGAACAGCATCATCGATCAAGTTCACTTACCTTGGATGCACACGGGACCCTGCATCGTATATACCACTTCGAACCTCGCTAGAGCTATCTTTAGCCTCATTTCCATGTCTTCGCAAGGTTGTTCCCGAGTTTGCGGGGTGGGCATGACTAGGGACAGCCCCCGGACGTTTAACATTGCACTCTCGGTGTAATCCTGGCCGAGATTGAGAGAACTGGAATGATTTCACCGAAAGTGTCGCAATTAAACTGTGGGTGTGCAAGAGCCTGCATTACAACCTCGCATGAGCTTTTGACACAGACTAGGAAAATCTGGTGGTGCACATGTGAAATGCAGAAATTCATAATTGGTACATTGAACGCCAGCTATTTGAAGGACCCAGAACGCCTTCATATCTCATAGAGCAAATCATAAAATAAACGTCAACAATATGTTCTGTCACGAAGGCGCTACCAAAACCTCACTTCCGCTCTCCCTTCCTTCCTGTCTTCTTCAATCTCGCAGCCAGATCGAGCATACCATCCGCCCAAACAGCCATGTCGTCAATCTTCCTCACTTCGTTACCACTGAAGTCCCTGAGGAAAGCACCCATCTTCTCCTCGCCATATTTCTCTCCATAAACAATCTCAGCCCTAGGGGTGACATCCGTCTGCACACCATCGGAGCTCAGGCTGACGCCAACCTCAAAGGTGACCTTCACTTTGGTTTGAAGAGTAGGCAGAAGCATGTTTGCAGAGATGCCGATGCGCTCATCAGAGAGTATAAACTCGTCAGTGATGTAATTGTGTTCGAGCCAGCGGACACCATCAACGACTGCGAGAGCAGTAGCCCATCCGTTCTTCACAACTGTTAAAAGGTCCAAGATGCGTGTCTGTGACTGGGGAATGCAGTGGAGGTGCGCACGGATGAGCTGGAGGAAGAAGCGCTTGCTCGTGGTCAACGACCGAGGATGGGGCGTCGCCGAGTCGCCAACGTAAGCAAGTGAAATAGACTGGTTGGGTGTGTTGCCGCCTGTCATGAAAGCCGATGGCTGGAAGTACAACTCAAGATCGTTTAGATGTGTCATCGTGATACCGTTTGACGAGGCCGAAGTGATGCTCCAACCGTAAGCTTGCTCGAGTGCGGCTACCTTGGCTGCGATAGTGTTAGATTTATCCATGGTTGAAGATATCATCAAACTTACCTTTTAGGTCATTGACTTCGCTTGTAGACCATCCACGGCACTCCTCACGCACGCGCTCGGCTGCTTTGGTCTCTTCGATACATTCCACTTTGCGTTCCTTGATAGCTTGGATACGTGCGTCCTTCTCGGCAAGCTCTTGCTGGAGCTGTTCAAGAAGTTGTCGTTTGTCCTCTAGCTCCGCGTCTGTCGCAACGAGCCTTTCTCGTGTCTCCTCTAATTCTTCGCGGTCACAGCTGTTGAGCTCGTCATGCCTTTGTTGAAGCTGCTTGCATTCGGTTGACAGCATCTCCCGCTTTTCAACCAAGGGGGGAAGGACCGTGTCGAGAAGTTGCTCCTGGTTTGAAAGCTTCTGTTCGTCACGCCTGAAGCCGTCTAATGTACTGAGAAGACCAGACTTCAGATCGTGTAGCAGCGTACTGCGCCACGTGTACCATTCTCCGCGAGCTTCAAGTCTTGCATTAGTCTTCAGGTTCTTGAATTGGTTGTCCATGACAATGCGCTGATCTGGAGGGGCAGTGAGGTATTCACTGAACAGCAGTGGGTTCTCTTCCATAACGTTGGCCTCCATAGTGCGAACGAAGTGGCGTCCGTCAGAAATGTATTTCTTCATCTCATGGCAGGCATGCTGGTATAGCTCGTACTCTGGGAGGGTGCAGGCACCAGCGACGACATATCGATCCAATGTTTCCTCCTTCTCCTCTACCTCAGTATCATGGAAGAGAGCAGGGGCAGCAGTGTGCCGTCGCTTGGTCGTACTAAGGTCCATGAAACGAATCTTCGTCATGTCAAGGAAGTCTTGCAACGATATCCGCTCGACTTCTGACAGGTCTTCAACAGCTTCTTCGGCATAATCAGCCTCACCCTGTTGCTCACCGAATGCAACACGCTTCTTAGGGCTCATGCTCCTCCTTGGCGTGGCTTTCTTGGGAGTAGGCGTCTTTTGCTTTGGTGTTGCCAACTTCTGAGGCGTCTGTGATTTCTTCGGTGTCATGCCTCGTTTCGTTGGGGACATTAAGGTCTGTTTGCGAGGAGTGGACAATAACTTAATATTGTTCGTAAGCAATGTGGTGCTCTTAAGGATCGGCTCCTCGCGAGCTGCGTTTAGAGGACTGAACTGCACGTTCGATAGCGATGAGCGACGTCTGTTGAGAATTGGAGCAGCGACTGGATCCTCAGGTATGGGCATGTGGACTTCATGCTGAGCCTGGTTTGTGGGGGTGGAGACGTCTACCTGTGATTTTGGCGTCCCTTGAGGCGTCTTACGAACAAACGGCGAAGGCTCAATGTCCTCTATCTTGTGCTGTCGGACAATTTCAGGGGTGCCAGGATCGAGAACAGGGTATTGAACTTCCGCAGGCATCTGGCTAGGTGATGCATGGCTTGGGGTCTCGTTGCGGGCTTCCTCTGAACCTACAACGCTTCGGCGTCGGACTGGCGACTTTTGCGGAGTTTTCTTTGGGGTGGACTTGTTCGAGCGTATAGAGAGAGACTCCGCAGCTGCTACATGTTTCTCGGGTGTTGCTGATGGTTGACCGGTGCGTTTGATGCCCGGTCCGACGATCTTGGTAAACTCCATGGACAAGTCCTCGTCTTCGGGCTCAGACTCTTCCACGTCGCCGATGGCTGCCGAACCACCTTTAATGCTGCCAACGGCTAAGGTGAAGTCCATTGTAGCATCATCGAGAACAGTGTCTACGCTCACGCGCCTGGCGGGCTCAGAGGTGTTTGCGCTCTTAATTGCACCAATCGCCATAGTGAGATCCATGGTTGCATCTTCAGAGGAGTCCTTTTCTAGCTGACGCTGTTGTCGAAGGCTGGTCCTGCGGCTGGCAGGTCTCTTGGCGGGACTACCTTGCGATGCGTCCAGCATTGAGACGCGGCGCTTAAGGCTTTTCCTTCGGGTTGCCGCCGATTTTGTGTCCATTGTCTTGATGCTTCCAAGAGGCATAGTGAGCTCCATGCTCATATCATCGTCCATGTCTGAACTCTGAGTGTTGTCTTGGGGTACAATCCTGCCCACAGCACGTGTAATGTCCATGCTCATATCATCGTCGCTCACAGTGCCCGCTGGTGACGACGGCTCGACGTTTTCCTGGTTTTCCTGAGCGATTGCAGTCTTCCTTGCCCATGGCTTGAACGACGCCGTGAACTCATCCTCTGCGATATCCATGGTCATGTCGCCTTCCTCGTCCAGGTCGAGCCTTTGTGTTCCAGCCTGGTTCGACGCCTGTCGGAGCGCAGCATCAAGCTTTGCACTGCTTTGCGACGAGTTCTCAGAGTCTGGCGCATCCTGTAGATCTTTTGAGACATCGTCGTCATCCTCCGAAGCGCTGTCGATACCGTCTACGCCTCCCGGTGACTGGTTGTCTGCGCTGAGCGGGCTAGAAGAATATATGTCGTCGGGATTGTTGAAGTTCATTGGCGGGATGCCTGAGCTGCGTCGATTCTTCTTCTGATGCTTCTCGCGCTGATTCGCTGGGGAGGAGCTTGGCTCGGGCTGTGGCTCCTCGGCCTGTTCAGGCGGCGTAGATGGTGGCTCAGAAGGGTCTGAGGTTGGCGCAGGCGATGCGGGCGTTGAGGCTTGGGAAACGCCCGAAGCTCTACGCGTCGCATCCGAAGATGCTGAAGAGCTGGTCGCATCGCGTAGATATTCGACTACATCCCAGGTATGCAATGTTGCTTCTGGAGCAAAGGAGACCCGTCGCCGCGCTATTTTGGGTTAGCAATGTTCTGTTGCTGTCGTTGTTGTGAACTCCACGCAACGTACCGAGCGACTTGCGACGGGCATCGCGCCGTTTCTTCTCGTCCTCGTCGTTCGACGAGAGTATCGACTTTACTGCCGGGAAAGCAGACTTTCTGCGGTTGCCATTGCTTTCTTTCAGGGCTGGTGTTTCGAGCTCTCCAAGACCGCCGGGACCGATGCTCTTGCTACGCGCCTTTCGCGATGATTTGGCCGGAGACGAGATGCCGGCTTTGGGCTTCGGATTCGCTATGAGACCCTCTGCGATATTTTCTTTTCCGTCCGTGTTCGCCATGTTGTGGGGAGGTCGCGGTGGGGTTGCGATGATGATGGTCGGTACCAAGGCGTAAAGGTAAACAGAAAGGCGCGGTTCGGTAAACATGCCAAGCGGCCCGTGCACACTTCACTCCAAGAGCTATAACTTCTCCAGGATTTCCTGACGCCATAGAGAATATAAGCCGGCACTTGGAGGCGTCTTTCGAGCTAGCTTTGAAAGTCTGCGACAAAAGGTCACGGTTATTCTGTTAACCTGGGCAGCGTCCTTTGATCCTGTCTTGCACGTGCTCGCGCGCAACCGTGTTTTAGCGCCATGTCGGGCGCTCATCGAGTTGGAGTGGAGCAAACATAAGACCCACGCCTTTACCACAACGCCAACACGGCCTACATTCTCTCGAGCGCGCCCACATAAACCTTCGTAATCGAATCTAGTAGCTGCACTAATGGGCTTGCCTAAAGATTTGATGCAAGGTCTCTGGCCAAGAACGTAGGTGAAGCGTTGCACTGCTCATTCTTAGAGCACTACTAAGTATTTAATTAGGTTTGTATAAACCGACTTTTACCTCGTACTCTCCACTTTGTCTCGTTTCGGCGACCATGGCGAATACGCAAGGAGGGTCTGGTAAGAACCCTTACTGTATCAATGATTCAGAGCCGCCACGCTGGTTCTCTAAACCATCAATCCCGTTCTCTACACCAACGAATACGGCTAGCATTGCGGGCTATGTCGACTTTATCGACGAAGACAACCCTACAGAAAGACATATCGACGAAGTACCTGCAGGTAGCCGAGCTGCAGACCAAAGGAGACCTAAGCGCGGCCGCAGATCCGACTTGGAAAACGGAAACCCAGCAGCTGAGCGACGAAAGTCAGACTGGATGACCAGTGATCCAGACCGTGACGTGATTGACTTGACTTTCAGTGACGACGAGGGGGGTGTGAGAGGCCGCCGCCATGCGTCACGAAGCGAGACAAACAATGTCTCTAGCCCGGCGAAAGCTGGACCATCGTCAACGATTGAGGTGTCCAAAACACGACCAGCAGAGAGAGTGAAGCTTTCCGAACCAATTACACCATCCTTCTCGCTGCTCCATTTTGCAGCTGCAAACAGTAGGACGTCTTCCCATTCTCCAATCGGAGGTCGAGCCGACCCTGAGCGCGAACAGACCACTCCACGGCGCGTTAATGCTGATGCGACTTCGACAGCGCGGCGCGAAAAAGATGTCGGCCAACCAGGAACATCCGGCACACCAACACGACTTCCAGAGGGAACACAAAGGATCCGCGACCCGAACGTTTCGCGAATCCTCACAAAGGCAAGGGCTATCAAAAGTGCTACAAGTCCTCCAACACGCAGGACAGGCTTTGGCCAACTTACCGGTACTGATCGCCCCGCCAGTGACCATGCATATTCATCGAGTTCTGCCATCGTGTCAAAACACATATCAGGACGGCAAGCATCGTTTGCAAAACGCGGACCAGGCTCGGAGCTTTCGAACAAACCTGACACCGAAACTAACCCCAAGAACGGGAATATAGGTCAAAGCAAAGTTGCAAGAAGCCTACCGCTAGATGTACTGCATGAAAACAGTCTTGGTGAGGATACCGACATGGGTGCTCAGGTCTCCGAGCCTGGAGATCTGCTTGCTTCAGTTTCTTCGCCAACTGAGCTGGAAAATCCCCAACCAGGCATTCGAACATCTCCACTCCCAACATGTCTGTCTTCTTCCGAAGTAGTTGAAGCTCAAGTAGACGATATGGCACAGCTGCCACCACTGGAAAATATAGACACGAACCAACTAGGTTAGTCCTCTTTCTACGCACGTGAAGATCAAATTCTGATTATGCGTCCTGTTGCGTAGTGTCTCCGATTCCCACACAGGCTGACTTGACCAAAGACATTGAGTCTGCTCGCCGAAGATTCGAAACTTCTCTCAGTCACCGTCTTAACGAAAGATATGAGGACCATGCTTATCTGGTAAAGGTATGTAAGAAATGTGTCTGATCTACGCGTAAGCTTACAAAAAGGTAGAACATAATGTGGCGTCAGAGAACGTGCTACGAACGTGAGCTGCGATTGAAGCGATCGAATGACAGTAGTCAGCGGCCTCAAAGGCACACGATGACGCGACCTGCGTGTATACAATCAATTTCGCCTTTCATAAACATGACAGACACACAGAGCCCCTTCGACAAGGGCAACCACAAAGCCAGCTTAAATGTTGTCAGTCAGGATGTTTTTACTAAGAGTCATCCAAAGGGTGTAATCAGGTCGTCCTGGAGCGTAAAAGCCATCACTTTTGCGCCTGAAGCTCTTCAAATACCTTCATTCATGGAATACGTTAGTTTAAGAACCAATGTACTTGCTGATAACGAGTCAAAACTTCTGACCATGCCATGGTTGGGCGACGACGAGCCAGAAAAACGCCAAAAAGCTCTAAAGGATGACCTACCGCACAAGTACGAGATCAAGTTCGACAAAAATCCCTACTTCGATCTCCGGAACGAACAGTACAACTTCTATTTCGGCGCCGTATCTTCACTGCTCGACGACTTGGGATTGTCTTGGGACGTGATGCTCTACTATCTGCTATCACCTGAGACGTCTCTGACACGGATAAATCGAAGTTCAGACAGATATGAGGACTATGAAACTCTCATGCAAGATCGAACAGCTTACGAAGAAGAAACGTTTCAACGAGATGATTCGGAGCAGCAAGTCATCTTGATTGAACGTGCACCTGATTCGTGGCATAAGCTGTTACCTCAGCTTCGAGAGCCCTCCCCCATGCAGCTCCGTATGGCTGCGCTTATATGCGCGGCGATCCTGGCCAATTGCAACTTCAGCCCTTGGTATTTGGCCAAGCAAAGTACTACGATGCGAGAGTACATTGATGCCAAGACAAAACGTGCTGAGGCTGCACCCAAGTCTGAATTTAGAAGCATCGTGTGTAGTGTTTGTCACGAGTAAGTACTTGCATGTCAACGACGGGGCCACAGCTGACCAAAGATGAACAGACATAATTGCCTTTTCCATGGACAAATTCGAGAAAACCCTGAGAGCGGGACCGACTCAGAAACGCCTGAAGAAGACGCGTCAGAAAACCCTGAAGATGACCCGGAAGATGACCCGGAAGAAGAACTTATGCCCATACATTTCGATTCAGATGACTCGGATGTCGAAAAGATTGTCAATTACAAGTTCCCATCAAATCCCGATAGCTTGAAGAGCCAGCCAACTTCCAAAGCGCTTGGGCGATCGTTGCCCCCACCAGGAGATTTCAGACCCAAGTGGTGGTTGGATTATACCATTACCTCTCAATGGGACGAGAGGAAACCTTTCGTCCCTTGTAATCATGAAGGCACTTGTGCAGAAGCCAGGTGTCGCTGCTTCATGGAGAACGTCACCTGCGAGAAGACGTGCAGATGCCCTCCGAGCTGCAATCGGCGTTTTCCGGGCTGTACATGCGCTGCTATTCCCGGGAAGCGTACTTGCGCGCTTATCAAAGACTGCCTATGCGTCAAATTTAAGAGAGAGTGCGATGCCGATCTTTGCGGAACTTGCGGCGCCACCGAGATTCTTGATCCTGTCAACCGCTACAACGACGAGCTCCTGCACCATAGTTGCGCGAATGTTGCAATTCAGAGAGGTGTGCCCAAGAAGACGTTGCTCGGCAAGTCAGAGGTGCATGGCTTTGGTCTATATGCTGGCGAAGACATAGATGCGCATGAACTGATTGGCGAATATGCTGGAGAAACGCTTTCCATTGGAGAAATGCAACGGCGAGAAATCATCTACACCTACGAAAAGAACATGTACCTCTTCAAGCTCAACAAAGAACAAGATGTTGATGCGACACACATGGGAAACAAGCTGCGGTTTATCAATAACGCGAACGCAACACATTCCAATTGCGCCTCCAAGGTCGTGTTCTGTAACACCGTCTTCCGCGTAGCACTGTACGCACTCACGAGCATCAAGGCAGGGTCAGAATTATTCTTCAACTACAACTATCCGGAAGAAATGACCAAGAACTTCAAGCAACCCAAAGGCAAGATCGTAGCAGTAAAGCAGGTTGTCAAGCAGCCCAAAAAGGGCAAGATGAAGCGGGCACCGTCGTTCAACGACTCCATCACGTCAAGTACTGGAGGAAATGTAGACAAACCGGAACGGCCAGGGATGAGAGAAGCATTGGCCAAAGCCCGGGCTGCAAAAGCAGCTAAAAGAGCATTAAAGCTTGCTGAAGAAGGTCTGCAGACACATGCGACGAGTGGAAGACCAAAACAAGCACGGGAATCAGCTAGTGGCCCGAGTAGCCTTCGAATGTCCAAAAATCCAGACGTAGGAGGCCGACCAGGAAGAGAGCGAGACTCCAGAGCGCGCGAAGGATCCAACGCCTCTAGGTCTCGCGCGGGGACTAGAGCGAAAAGCGGGACACCCATCCTTGTCATTCAAGAGACCGACGATGAAGACGAGGACACCAATGGAGGCGCAGAAGCTTCCGACCCCCAAGTCTCGGAAGATGGCAGTCAAGCTAGCGATACTGTGCCAGAAAGAGCAGGCGCAGCGCGACCTAGAATGAGGAAGTCGGCTCCACTTTTTGCGGTGAAGGAAATCAAGAAGACAAGAGGTGGAGTGAGACCTGGTGCAGGTAGGAAGAGGAAGCGACCTCTAATCGTTAATAGCGAGGATGAGTAAGCTCCTTCAAGCTGCACAAGTATGAATATTACTCGATGTATTAACACAATTATCAACATTGTTAGGACTTCTACAGTGAAGAAGCCATCCTTGCACACCAACACTTCAATGACCTCTCTAGTGCATATCTGACAACATTTGAGTGCCAATAGAGCGTGGTTATTAGGCTTGAGCTGCGAGAGTTGGTCGCCAGCTCTGTTTTTTTGCTTGTGATGAATCACTTTATACCAGGGTGCCTCATCGCGCGTCTAACACACTGTGGTCGGGCAGCGGGCGTGGAATCTCTTCTAGTCGTGAGCATGTACGTAGAGCGACAGCGCTCAGGGCGCCACCGTAACGAATGCTGTTATAGCCTTGACAGCGTCACCTTCATTCACGCGAAGCAATTCGGTCGCTTTTTGTTTCGACACCTCCAGTTCGGCAACCTACAATCAATCAGCTTCCTCCAACACGCCTGTCTGGACAAGATATCCACTCACCAGTAGATTCACATCCGCCGGCTCAACCTTGACTGTCTTCTTCTCCTCCCCCTTCTTATCCTTGATGTCTAGTCCTTTTATAGCCTTGTCAAGCGCATTCTTATCCACCTCTTTCTTCGCGCCCGAGTCTTCTTGTACGTCTAGTGTAGACAATGCTGCAGCGGCCTTGCGATCCTCGGCAGTACCTGTGGGCGCGTGTGGGTCTGCGGCGCCTTCGTGGACGTCGGCAGGTTGGGGCTCGGCCATTGTGATAAGCGATGTGGGGCGGGTGAGTGAACTGGTGTTATGGAGGTCGAGGAGGTAGACGATAGTGAATAGTAGGACATGCACTGATTCAATCGCAGGGCGTGTAGACTGGAATGTGGGGTATGACGACAGGTGGGTCCGCGGGTTGAGAGAGGGTTGACGCTAGCCAATGAGATAAAAGAGCGGTCATGATTGGTTGGAAATTGCAGATTTTAACGAACGATCTTCCGAATAACCTGCCTGCACAAACATAACTTCACCATTGTAGATCGAATAAAGAAGACTACCTGAATCGTCAACATACTCGGCTTAGCTGTTCACCTGCAGTACCTCGCCGTATTTTTGTAGTAAGTGATATCCCGCCCGCAATCTGTTGCCTTCCTAAAGCATTTCCTCCGCAAACAATTTTGCCGTTCTTTGAGTCATGTGTTTGCTTCTGTTATTGAACACCCTTGTGGGCTGATCCTGGGCCGGCGTCTCCAAATTAATATATTGCGAGCATCAAACGAAGTGTCCTTCACGAGCACATGTGCTACAAGAATTTCGACATCGTTGTTCACATTTGACCTGAGGCACAGACAATCATCATCGGACACTTTGGGGAAGTCAGACAGGAGAAAGAAACCCCGTACCAGTTGCGAAGGCAACCAACACCGAACAAATGTCGAACCAGAATGCTCAGTCATCAGAATGGTCGCCTACATGTTAGACATCGCATCCTATTTGTTGACGACTACTAATATTTAACAGCGTGGCGCTCCAAACCTCTCAAGCAAATCGTCACCTACGAAGACCAGGAAGCGGCTGATACTGCTTGTAAGCGACTGTCAGCACTTCCCCCGATTGTCACTCCCAGCGAGATCGTACGCCTGAAGTCAAGTCTTCGCGATGCCGCCCTTGGAAAAGCCTTCCTTCTGCAGGGTGGTGACTGTGCAGAGCTTTTCTCTTACTGCGCGGACGAGCCTATCGATGCCAAGATGAAACTGCTTCTGCAGATGAGTTTGGTGTTGATTTGGGGTTCAAACAAGCCCGTCATCCGCATTGGACGCATAGCTGGCCAGTATGCAAAGCCAAGATCAAGCCCAATGGAGATGGTCAACGGCAAGGAGATTCCTAGTTTCAGAGGTGATATTTTGAATGGTTACGACCCGGAGCATCGACGTGTAGATCCAGAGAGGCTGGTCAGTGCCTATTTCCACTCAGCGACGACATCGAACTACATTCGAGCCCAACTCTCGAGTGGATTCGCGGACCTACACAACCCCTTGGACTGGGAACTTGGCCACGTGCGCGACCAGGGACTCCAATCAAAGTACTCCACGATCGTCACAAGCATATCAGACTCACTTCGCTTCATGAAGACTATTGGCGCAGACACATCGGGCCAACTGCAAACGGTCGATCTCTACACAAGTCACGAAGGTCTTGTGCTTGAGTACGAGCAGAGCTTGACAAGAAGGCTGAAGCACCCATTTGGGCACAAGCCATCACAACCGTCCGCGGACGGAAAGGGCTGGTACAACACCTCAGCACACTTCATCTGGATTGGTGATCGGACACGTCAGATTGAAGGCGGACATGTTGAGTACTTCCGGGGTATTGAGAACCCTATCGGTATCAAGGTCGGTCCTTCCATGAAGAACGACGAGCTAGTGGAGTTGCTGGACATTGTGAACCCTACCAAGGAGATCGGCAAGATAACGTTGATAACGCGTTATGGAGCGGAGAAGGTGGAGTCGATGCTTGGTGCACATATCGAGGCTGTAAAAGCAAGCGGCCATGTTGTGGTGTGGCAGTGCGACCCAATGCATGGGTAAGTCAACAAAACTCTCTCTTGGGCCCAGCTAACGTCATCTAGCAACACTCGAAGCACGCCAACTGGCATCAAGACGAGGTCGTTCAACAGCATCTTCTCTGAATTATCATCTGCACTCAAGATCCACAAGCAACATGGATCCTTCCTCGGTGGCATGCATCTCGAGCTGACAGGTGACGCAGTCACTGAGTGTACGGGTGGAAGTGAAGGTCTCGTCGACGAGGACCTGAGCTTGAACTACACCACATACTGCGACCCAAGGTTGAACGAAAAGCAAGCGCTGGAATTGGCTTTCCTGGTTGCAGGGCACTATCGCGCAGATGAGGGTCTCTAACAACGGACGAACGACGCACTTATACAAAAGCGATAGAGCAATACCACAAAATATGATGATTCCACCACTCAGGAGGGCTACAGAGCCTCATGCGACATCTGTTGAGCATTTTAGTGTTCGCTATCTTACGTGAACCCGTTTAGGTGGCCGCCGTTGCGGGCAACGCACGGACAATTATACATGACGAAACCACCAAAAGTCGAGTTGGTACATCTCAACAACCAGAGGAGCCCCACTGCACAACCACCAATTGCGACCATGGGCAACTCAGCGTCAAAAGCCGGCAAGGCGGCTACGAGCACTGTGCGTAAATACCCCACGAGGTCCCCTCAAAGCGCAACGACCCGCATCCCAGCTACCTCTCCTCCGAGCGCTCCGAAGGCTTCCGCCGCAGGACCAACCGTACACCCACCTGTCCAGGCGACTGAGACGAGGACGCAAGGTACTTGAACCTATCAGCAAGAAAGAGACCTTGTGCTAACCACGTCTTGCACAGCTATCGAGCAAGATGCAAAGGATCCTGCGCTGGCTTCGCGGCTCTCTCAATTAGGAGCAGTACAGCCGAACCCTCACTACTCGCCCACATCTACCTCACAGTTCGATCCCCAGCGCAACCGATCGAACAATGAACCGTCCGATATGATGCAGGCGCCCCCAGCATCTGTTTTCCCGGACCCGCGCAATAACCCCGTCTTACGAGTGCTCGAGGCGAGACAGCGGATTTCCGACCTTGCAGAAGATGAGCTGAGGAATGTTGGTCGTAAGAGTTTCGCTGGCCTGACATACGCCGATGCTGGCGTCATCACATTGGCGCTGATGCGACAGTCGAGAGGCGAACCAGAGAGCAGGATTGAACAGGCGCTGAACATCAAGAAAGGGAGACTGAGCGTGCTAGGGCAGGGCATAGTAGGCCCAATACAGATGGGATAATGTGGAGATATCGAAGGAGTTCTTCGAGTGGATTCTATTGCTACACTGCATACAGCACAGCACGTTAAGGCCATGCGACAACCATACGGACCCATTCGTCCTACCAGCCAAGGCGATGCAAACCGTTTCCGTTACCCATATCGTTACCGAACGCCGAACCAATGCATATAAGAACGAATACGACAGCCTCAGCACTCGGCCTGCTGCTCATTGATGAAGTTGTTGAGCGCCTCCAGGGCGTGCTTCAGACCCTCCTGACTGACTTCGAGTCCGTCTTGCGCCATCTCATCCTCGCCGATTTTGATCAGGCCGTCCATCCTTGATCGACCGGGTCGCAATGACCTCGCGCCTTTCCACCGCGCCTTCAGCGTTTGCTTAAACGAAGGGGCCTCGGCTTCAATGTCTGGGTTGACTTCCTTGCTCTCGTGCAGGACAGTCAGAGCATTCAACACATTGAGGAATATACTAGTAGGAGATGAGCAATGTCACATGGCTAAACGGCATTTACGTGCTTGGCATACCTCTGTGTTAATTGGACATCATGCTCCCACTCATACGCGACATTCGTGAAGCTGTTACCCCGCGCAACGACATCCAGGAACATGAACAGGCTCTCTTCGATGCTGATATTCGATGACAATTGCGATGCGACGTGCTCAATGATCCAGTCGGCGAGCTCGAAGAAGGTCTTTTGGTCGAGGTGGCAGAAGTCGTAGAACCGGTCGGGAATAGTGAAGAGTAAACTGATGGCTCGCCGCGCACCGGGACTCTCAATCCCTTCCATGCTAGAATGGGAACTCGAACTCGCACTCATTGCTGTCTGTCTGTAGATGCCGAAGTGAATGTGGTTGGCGTTTGGCCGTCGGCACGACACAAGCGTCAGATCGTGTGTCCGACCGTCAGGTGAGACAATCGCAAGTCTAGTCCGGTCTCCGGTAGGCACTGTAACAAAGCCGCTTCAGTAGATTGAACAAGGGCGTAACGTTCTAGTAATGTTTTTCCGTGCTGAGTGATAGTGATAGTGAAAAGGATGTTCGTCTAATGTACAAGTTTTGCCTGGCATAAAAGGCTGAAAGGGCAAGTGAAGCGCACTTTGTTCCTGGCGTGGGGCCGTGATCCCGTTTCCAAAGTCACCAGCCAGACGGAGAAAGCATGTGAAAGTGCACGGGCGCCGGAGCTCATGACATCAGCAACGTGCATCGCACATTCCGGAGTAGGCACGCACGCACGCAAGAATGTCTAACCAGACAAGGATGATGCGGGAGATAGTCATCATGACTGACATCTTTATTTCTTCTTTGTCGTTGATCGATGCGAACGTTGCGATGCGATGCGATGCCTCGAGACGCATCTAAGGTGACGCGGAAAACGGGGCTAAAAGTGGAAGGTGGACCACCAATGCGTCGCCAAATCGTCGCGTCTGGGACGAGCTGTGGATCCCCGACATCGATCACATCAGGGAACTAAACTCTGTACTCATGACAAACTTCGTTTTTCCTTAACCGAGATGTCGGCGATTGCGAATTGATCTGGCTCGCCCAATTGCTGGGTTGCCGTGCAAGGATCGCATCTAGATTGGGACGGCGGAGTTCCACGACTCTGCATAGTGCTGACTCAGATGAACTCAAATGAGATGCGCAGCACAAGGACACAATCGGTTTGAGTTGCTGAGTATTTGATGTCGATATCGCTCGTCGCGACTGACATTCCAACCTCACTACCATCATGCTAGGATACATATCGAGCACGCGCAAGAAGAGCTGCTTCGGCTGTGTGAAAGCTAAGAGACGGTGCGATCTAGGGTACCCTTTCTGTAAACGGTGCGGAGTCAAAGGCCACGACTGCAAGTATCCAAACGCTTCCCCGCGCGAGAAGTCTAGAGAGTCCGGAGCTGTGCCCGCTGAGGTGGTCATCCGTCAATCCACGCCGGACCTGGGACACCCATTAACTAGCGCTGTCAGTAGCTGTGCCGAACCGTCGTTCATCAACATCAGCACGTGCGATGCGAGTCTTGATCCATTGTTGTTCCAAACGAGTGGCTCGAGCGGCTCAAGTTCAAGTCCAGAGAGTTTTGAAGAATTCACATTCCACGATGACTGGGACTTGGTCGCGCCACGGCACATGCCTCGAGCCCCCTTGACGCGAATGCTCTTACCAGAAATAGTCGTCCCGACCTTCCTCAGCCAGGCTCAAACGCAGTTCATAACATACAGCCTACAAAGCTTCGTTTCCGTCATGGCGTATCAAGGCTCCACAGCCTTCCTCCACAAAGACCTATACGAAACCCGCGAGCCTGAAGCGATCCAAGACTGCGTCGCCATATCCGCCTTGTACATGAGCAAATCCGCATGCAACCAACGCATTCTCGCAAACACCATCGCCACCAAAATCTCCGCCCTAACCCACGAATCCCAGACGTGGACGCTAACCCAACATCTCGCCGCCGTCCAGGCCCTGATTATCTACCAAATCATCCGACTGTACGACCCCGACCTCAATCTCCAACACCAAGCCGCATCCCAGTTGCCCTTGCTCGAACACTGGACCGCCACGCTGTGGAAACGCTCCTTCGCTGAGCCGCAGACCTTCGCATCGGACTATGCATCCTGGATCTTCCACGAGTCCCTGCGCCGCACAATCATGATATCAGTATTCGTGCGCTGCGGGTATTCATGTCTCACGCGCGACGGGCTGGCAAGCCAAGTCCCCGTAGTCGCACGACTACCTTTGACTAAGGATCTTGGGGCCTGGAATTGCAGCAGGGAAGAATGGGAGGTGCGACCCGTTGGGTGGCTGGGCGAGGAGGATAATTTGGTGAGTTATGGCGAGTTTGGGACGTTGTGGAGTTTGGATAGGGATGTGGGTGAGTTGGATGCGTTTGGGAGGTTGCTTATTGCGGCATGTAGGGGGAAGGAGGATGCGAGGTTGTTGGCGTGATGGTGGAATGATATGATGAGCTGGATTCTGGAACTATAAGAGGAGGGATGACGCGAGCTTGCTGGTACGATGATAAGCTAATATGAAGAGGTGGGGTTTGGAACTATAGGAGGTACTTGGACACGACGCCCCAGAAGTCGGTCACGAATTCGCCGCCATCTTCGAGCAGGAGCTTGAAGTCTTTGTGCTTTCCGATAATGTCGACTTCGCAGGCCATATACTCCACCACCAGCTGTCTCAGCTCGTTTATGGCACCGCCTTTCGAACGATCTGTTCCATGTTCGTATGCCCATCGAGCAAGTTTTACTACATCGCCGACTCGCTGGTTGTATAGCTGAAAGCCGATCAACGACTTGTGTAGCTTTTGGAGCGTCAAACTCCTTAACGGATAGATCAGCCGCATCTCAGCGAAGATGTAAAGCCGAGTGTGAGCTAGAAATACGGTCGTGAAGTCCTGGTCGACCGCAGAGTTCGGCTTTGGTCGAAAGCTTTCAGATATTTGAGCGTTGGGCGCTCCGTCCGTGACATACGAGCGCTCTTGAAAAGTGGAACGCAGCGTCAACATATCTCGCTCCTTTTTCTGTTTGGCCTTTTCGACTGGCAGTACGTGATCAGCCGGAACAGAAGGTTCCCACCCATCTGTCGACTCTGCAAACACAGACCCAGATTCGTCATCAGGGGTTGGAGACGTTGGTGCATCAGGAACAGGTTCCTCCTCTGGAGCATCGACGTCGCTCGTCGCCAGCGCTGATTCGTCAATTGTCCAGGGTGGTACGGTGTAATCGCCGCGATACACATACTCTAAGAACCTGACGAAATCGTCCGGCTCGACATCTAGGATCTCGGCAGAGCCTTGGTTGGCCTCAGCTAGGCCTCCAGTCAGAAGCGCTCTGAACAGGACCAGACGTTGCAGCAATCGCAGCTGTATGGACTCTGAACGTCTTCCTTTCCTCGCCGACATAAAAAGTGAAAAGATCAGACTGAATCAGGCTAAAATAGTGTTAACATATATCCAATCGGAGGACATGAGTGACTTACTTTTCAAAGGAACATGTCCATGCAGGCTCGGTCATCTTGAAATGCTCCAAAGTGTCGATAGTCGAACAGCCTAACTCTTGCTAGGAGTATGTCTATCTCACTTATACTTGTATGAGTCGCAACCCCTTGCCATTCAATAAAGCAGCAGCGCGGGGTTGTACAGCCAATACATGAGCTGATCGCATCCCGACTGGCTGCTAATGTGCTACAGCTTCCATACGCGCTGATCCATGCGCAGAACTGTCCTACGCACATATCCACACAGTGCATGAAGCAGGACAGTATGTATTCTTCACACGCTGATTCTTGATACTACATCTCCCGTGATCGACGCATCAGTGCTGCCAAAACACTAGAGACGAGATGTCGCGAATCCTAGGGCAACCGCAAGCGAGCCGGTTCCCGCGCCCGCTTGCCATCCGCAAAACCGGCTTCCCTCCAACCACTGCGTCATGGTGTCACAGCCAGATGTTCCCGCCCCAACGCGCGGGACGTTCGTGCAAGGGCACTCCATGCGAGCTCGATAGCCGTTGGATGATGAGCCGCAAGGATGGGTGCGCCCATCACGTCACTCGAGGGTCTGGATGTATAGGTCCTGCCTCCGTTTCCTGGGATTCGTATGTGCCAACTTTGACATTCGCGAACGAAGCAAGAAGACAGTTGTAATTTCAGTTATATCTATTGCTCGCATCTTACTTGATTTTCCGCCTTTGAAGTGTGATAACATCTGTTCAAAACGGCGCCGCAATATCCTACGCGCCGCGCGCTTGCCGGCTTAGCTGTTGTTTCTGTGCTTTCGGCTATTGAGAGACAGCAGAAGAAGAAGAGAAACAAGACACAGGGAAAGGAATTGGAATTGGAAAAGGAAGATATGTCCGGCGAGTTGCAGACGATTCCTGCGCGTCATGGCGTTGCGACGTTTGTGCCGAGGGGCAGGACGATCAAGGTCATCAATACTTATGGCAAGCAGGTTGTGAGCATGTGGGCGTTTAGTCTGGGTGCGCCGCCTGAGGAGGGAGAAGGAGAGGGTGAGGCGGAAGACATTGATGAGGATAAGGTGCGGGAGGAGGCTGAGGGGTTGAAGAATGCTGTTGAGGGAAAAGACGGGGGAATGGAGTCTGGCGAGAAGGATGAAAAGATAGAGAAGAAGGACAGGGAGGAAGATAGTAGGTCGGGGACCGAATCTACAGCCAACGAAGCGGATAAGACAAAGCCAGACGACGACGATCCACCGGAGCAAGCTCCCGACACACCAGAGAACGAGAAGACGACAGAAACCACCGCATCTTCTTCAAAGCAGCCTACGAAGCGCACATGGGGCTCTTATCTCCCGTCTATTCCGTATCGCAACAAAGGGGCACCGAAGAAGGAAGAGGGCGAGAAGAAGCCCAGTGCACAAGATGAGAAGACGCAAAACGAAGCCAACACCAAGAAGTGGTCTTCTTATCTGCCTACAGGCAAAGGATTCTCAAGCTACGTGCCAAACGTCCAGATCCCAGACTCGAAGTCTGCCATTTCCGCCTTCCAGTCGAGCCACAACCGCGACCCGAACAAGAGCTATGCAGAACAGCTGTATGACTTTTCCAAGACGCCTGTTGGAGCTGGTACCATTGCTGGTAAGTCCTATATTACTAGCTTCCGATGCTCAAAGGTCCAAAGTCGATGAGATGTGGAGCAATGACTGACCTGCCATTACAGCTGCAACAGGCTCCGGCTACGCTTCCTCAGTCTACGCCGCCTACTCCGCATACGCATCTACACACCCCTCCCAACTCCTCACAGCCACCCATGGAATACCTCTCCCCTCCCCCACACACGCGCCTCCTCGCACAAACTCGTCCCCGAAGTCGACGATATCCTCCTTACCAACCTCCGCAACCCGATCATCACCCTCGTCGAAGATACAACGCCCGGTGCTCATGACACGCTCACCGCCGCATGCGATGCAAACCTATACAGCGCGCTAGGTACAGACAAACCAGAAGAACACGGCAGCTGTGCAGAAAACCTCGTCCTCGCACTCAAGGAACTGAACGAAGGCGCAGGCCTCAAGGGCGCAAAAGCAATCGGCGCAGATATCACTGTAAACATCGCACCCACGCCTCTGCACTTATTCATGAACGCGCCCCTCGACGTAGCAAACATCAGCAGCATCGACGGAGCGGGCGCGAAGGGCGCTATCCTTAGCGTCGACGAGCCAAAGGGCAAGAAACGGAGCTACGTGCGCTTCAGAGCTGATCGTGACGTTGTAGTCGTGTTCAGCGCGTGTCCAATGGATGTGGGCAAGCAGAATGGTGGGCGTTGCATGGCGGCAAATTTCATGGTTGAGGATGTGAAGGAGGGGGAGGATTTGGCTAGTAGTGTGGCGTCACTCAATAACACTGGCAAGAAGGGCACGCCGAAGCAATCCAGTAGCGAGAAGCATGTGGAGAAGAAGCCTGAGATTGATGTGAAGGGAGAAGAACAGAAGCAAGATATCGAGCAAGACTTTGAACAGCCAAAAATCGACGCAGAGACCAAGGATACCACACAAGAAAAGACGACCCCACAAGAGTCCAAACCTACCAAAAAGTCTCCGCCGAAGAAACTCGAGCGCAAACCCTCTGAGAAACCCGCGGAAAAACAACCGGCCCAAGTTGACTCGACCAAATCAGACGAGTCCAAGCCCAAGAAGAAGCCCAAGAAACTCCAGGTTCGCAGTAGCGCTACGCCTGCGCCGGCGTAAAAAGTGGACTCGACTCACTTAGGCTGGAGATTGTATACGATATCTGTACGCGATCTGGATGCGAAGGGTTCGTGTAGCTCGTAGGCTATTCACGGCGCATAGATTGGAAGCTTGGCTTTGACCTTGTCCTTGAGCCCTGGTCGCGGGTAATAAGGACCACGTGTGTATTTTGCTATTTTAGTCTTTTTTTTTGATATGTATGCATGGTTAATATTCGCTTGGGGAACAGTATCTTCACACTTTGATTGTAACATGTAGCAAACTTCAAAGATGTTGGTTCAGTACACGCGATAAACGTTCGATTGAATTTGCAGACACATCCTGGTCGATTCTACGAAAAGCGAAGGTAATACTACATACTACATGTCAAGACTTGGACATCGTGCGGGCGACACTTCACCTTGGATTGAACTCCTTCACGGCACAACACCCCCTCTATGCACTCCACACAACCGTCGCAATAGCAGTCTCAAGCGCGACCCCATCCGTGGGCGAACTATCCTGCCTCCTTCCCCAAATCACAGTCGCCGTGGGCGGTTCAAGGCCGATAGTATTCGGCTGCGTCGGGGCAGGAAATGGCGGGACATTGATCGGGCCTTCGGGCTCTTCGTCCTCGGGATCGGTCTCGTCCTGGCGTTTTCCCCAGATCACCGTTGCTGTGGGTGGTTCAAGACCGATAGTGTTTGGCTGTGTCGGGATAGCGAATGGGGGTATGTCGATCGGGCTCTCGGGATCAGTCTCGTCCTGACGCTTTCCCCAGATCACCGTTGCTGTGGGTGGGTTGATGCCGATGGTGTTAGGCTGCGTAGGCACGGGGAAAGGTGGAATTTCAATAGGACCTTCCTCATCCTGTCGCTTTCCCCAAATAACCGTCGCAGTGGGCGGGTTGATACCAATACTGTTCGGCTGCGTAGGCACAGGAAACGGCGGGATCTCAATCGGTCCCTCGGGATCCTCTGGGTCCTCTGGGAACTCGTCGTCAGGGATCTCGGGCACTTCCGTCGGCTCGGCGTCGTCCTGGCGCTTGACCCATGAGATGTACGTTGGAGGTTTCGCAGAGGGCCAGTACACGGGTGCCGTGGGCAGGGGAGGGAAGCCGAAGCCGATGGTGTCGAAGTTTGTTGGCGCGGCGACGTCGGCTTCGCGCTTGTCCCAGCTCACAGAGACTTTGAAGGGAGGCAGACCGACTGTTGGCCAGGGGAATGGTGGAGGCACTTCTGTGGGTGGGGCGGCGCGTTTGCCCCAGCTGATCCAGCCTGATGGTATACCAAGGCCAACAGTATCGTTGGGTAGCGGTTCTGGATCATCGCTCGGGGTGGGTTCAGGGGTGGGCTCTTCTGGGTAGTCGTCATCTGGAACGGTCGTAGGCGAGGGTGTTGGGCTTGGGGTGGGCTTGACGGAGGGCTTCGGCGTTGGTGTTGGTGAGAGTGTAGGAGTTACCTTCTTCGAACTAGTCTTTGGCTTCTTGCTTGGCGTAGGTTTGGGCTTTTGTTTGGAAGCAGTCGGCTTTGGTGGTGGTACATAGACCTTGTCATCTCGCTTGTACCAACTCACAGAAAACGATGGAGGTCCAAGACTGATCTGATCACTGGGGTCCGCGGGAATGGGCTGCGGAGCTGGAGTTGGACTTGGAGTTGGGAGAGGAACTGGCTTGATCGATGAGCTTGCCTTTGGAGGCTTGGCGGATGCCGACGAAGACTTTGCTGTAGAAGACTTCTTAGGGGGCCATGGTTTGTATGAAGGCCACTCTGGATACCCAGGCTTCTTAGTAGTGGTGGGCTTGCCAGTCGAAGAGCTAGATGGAGCAGGGCTAGAGCTAGGCTTTGGTGGCACTATAGCAGAAGAGGGCTTCTCTGGTTCTGGTACCGCAGTAGATGGTCCATCTCCACTCCAAGAGACCGAAAACGTAGGCTTTCCCAATGAGATCTGGTCGGATGGCTCGGCTGGCGCTGGATAATCAGGCTCATCAGGGGAAGGTGTAGGAGCAGGACTATCCGTCTCCCAACTCACCCAGTAGCTGGGTTTGCCTAATGAAATCTGGTCCGTCGGTTTACCCGGCGCTGGATATTGAGGCTCTTCAGGTGCAGGTGTGGACGCTGGAGCATCTGTCTGCCAGCTTATCCAACCGGAAGGTGTGCCTAGGCTTATCTGATCACTTGGCTGTGGGAAGACTGGCGGCAATTCGAGTCCCTCTGATGGTTCAGGAGTGGGCTGTGGGTCGCCAGATTCAAATGTTACACTCTGCTGAGGTGGTGTAAGAACCTGTCGGCCCTGAAATCCAGCAGGTAGTGCACTAATGCTATTACATTGTCAGAGAAAAACCTAAGACGAAATGGAGTATTGGCGTACCTTGTGGCAAGACCAAGTAAAGCCAAAAAGCTGTGCCGAGCAGGTGCCATTGTGCCGCTGTGTGATTCTACACAGAACTAACTACCTAGAGAGCGAGGCGTTCAACCGTACGGTGTATTGTTGCGAAATGCTACCCTATTATAGACTTTCACTAGATCCCCATTCTGTGTTGACCATACTGATCCAGTGGCCGTACTATGCGCGCATATGAAGTATACGAGGCTGGCCACTCATCATCCGTACGACTGTATCGAGTGCTTGCACAATATACTCAAGATCTTGCGTTAGCGAGCCGAAGCAGGTACTGTTCCGGGCTTTAGGTTGACATGTCGAGCTCACCAAGCAATCAATGCTGATAGACCTCGGGTACATCAGTGGCATGACCTGGGGGCAAGTTATTTTTAGAGGGCGAGAGCGTGATACAAACATTCGCAGCTTTCCATTTGGCTAGAACATGGAAAACGCTCGGCACAGATAGAGTGGTCGTTGTTTGGATATATTGATGGTAATTTGGTGATTGTGAGGCAGGGATTCGGCAGCAACCGAACGTAGTACATAGCCGTCAAAAAGAACCGGCCCCTGTAGAATTTGGCAAGGGCCAAACCGACCCAGCTTCATGTCACCAGTACTTGTACTTCGTTATCGCATCTCCCACGCCTAGAGGTTTTTTTTGGACTTGGGTCTAGATGCGGGTATATTCGTCATTTTTTTTTCCCATTCGCTAACTGGCCCAGGACAATGATAGCTGGCTGTTACTTTCAGTAGACCAGGAAAGCACTAAGGCATACAATCTATGTAGCCCGGAGATGGCAAGTCGCTTTGAGGTGTCGTCTAAAGATAGGTGGCGTTTGACACGTTCTATGAGCGCGCGATGCTTGACAGCGTGCACCGACATAAGGCGCGGTACGAACAGGTATATCAAAACGGGCCTTATGCCGACACGAAGGCCCAATGATGCAGGTTCTCCGGGCATCACGAGCATTTGCAACATTCGTGAGAAGCATCTCGGTCATTATTACGATGCCGCTCTTCCGATGGTGGATACGACATGCGCAGCAGCTGAGGGGTAGTGTTTCTCAGTCTCATGATCACATACTTCTAGCCGTCGACTACAGGGTCTAGCAGTTGGTTTAGCGGCCATTTTCGTATAGCCCGGATACTGAGCGTATCAGTGTGACCAGCCTCGAACATCTCAATTCCGGTCCATGCAATCATGGCAGCGTTGTCGGTACAGAAGCTTGGCGGTGGAAAGTAGAGATTTATGTGTGAGAAGCCGCGGGCGCAAAGAGTACTAGCGAGTATGTGCCTCAAGAAAGAGTTCGCTGCTACACCGCCAGCGAGAACAACGGATCGAGGTGCCGGGTCACTGGCTAGGGATCGTAGTGCTAGAACCACACGATACGCGACATGCTCAAAGGCCGCGCGCATCGCTTCCCTTGCAATGTGTTTCTTTTCTTCAAGGCTGATCTCGTCAAGGGTCCGCTCGATTTTGGTACGCTTCCTTGTGACTGGATCAGTCTGATATCCAATAACGCGCTCGACTGCAGTCAACAGGCCGGAAAAACTGAGCTCGATGTCGTTCACCTTGAGGCCACAATGCGCTGTGACTAAAGGCTGATTGAAGGCCCAGCCCCATTTGGTCATGGCCGTCTTCAAGGCCTCCTCGTGATTGGGAGGGACCTTGTACCATGTGTAATCATGGCTGCTAGAGTCCAGGTATTGTTGTGAGGAGCTTGCAGTGGCACTGGAAAACGTCGAAGTTCGTGGAGCGGACCCTGTGTTGCAGGTACTTTTGCTCTTCTGCGAATCTACCGTCTGACTTGCATTCCCTTCAAAAGCGAACTTCTCCAGGAGCGCGCCGTACATGGTGCTTCTAGTACTCTGCAACAATTCAGTCGGCAGCAAGATACGCGCGACCTTGTCCAAATATTCGCCAACAGCAATGTCATTTGTGGTACCCAGCAAATGATGATCGTTCAAAGATGCAGATTGTATGAGCAGAGTATGGCCACCGGAGGCGAGGACAGAGAGAAAGGGAAAGTCGGGTTCTAATGTCGGCGTTGCAGATGGTTCTAGCGCGCTCACGAGTCGTGGGGTCAGAGCATGAGCCTGCATGTGATGGACGCCCACGAGAGGTATCTAAGTGTCTGGTTTAGCTAAATCATGGTGGAAAGTACGTGTTCAGTACCTGCCATGCTACGGCAAGGCCTTTTGCAGTGTCTAGTCCCGTGAAGAGGTTCGACCTCATACCAGGGCCTCTTGTAACCGAAACGAAGTCTGGCAGGCGTTTCTTCGTGACGTCTAACACTGCCTCTGGTCTTTGTGCTTCCAGTCCTCCATGCTCAAAATCATGATCACGGCTAGCGGTCTTCGGTGGAAGATGGCTGATGGCCTCGCTCACCAGATCTGCAAGGTTTTCTTGGTGCGAGCGCAAAGACACAAGGGGATGCACTCCTTGGTACTCGGCATTGTTTGCAGTAACCTTCTTATGGAAGTGCAATTGCGCAACGGCACGCCCATTTTCAACCTTCTTCTCTACAATTGCCACGGACGTGTCGTCGCAGCTGGTCTCGATGGCGAGTGTCATCAATTGGCGGCGAAAGCTCCATTGTGGTCTGATCGAGGCGCGCGTACATGTGGTACCAGTCCAAAAGATCGGACGGAGCCGCATGGGTCCTGGGGGTGGTATGGATGAAGGGGTTCTGGCTTCGAAGCGCGTGGAAGAATCATGCGGCGTTCGTTCGGTGGTGGAGCCGATCAAGGGTCCCAGGTACGTCACTGCATTTCTCACATGCGCCCTAGAACCTCAACACTGCATCTTACATGTCTCGAGTCCCTTGACGATGCGACGCGCCGTATCCCCGACCCATTGCTATGACTGACGTGAAGAAAGAGTCGGATGGCCCAGAGCCCTACTCGTCCTCTGCTTTCGACTTCACCCTCCTCCCCGACTACAACAACGACTTCATCAACGAAGATGACTTCGCCGAGTTCGCCAAAGCGCTAGCTGCCCCCGACCACCTCTCGCCATCGACCGAAGACCTCACCGCACCGCAGCCCGAGACGGGAAAGTTCTCGGCGAACAATGACTGGAAGCCGATCCACCAGCGCGTGCGGCGGCGGAAGAAGAGCAAGGCACCTCCGCGGCGAGGCAAGGACGAGACACGTGAAGGCTTCGTCTACGTCCTGCTGAAATGGCCGCTGCTTGTCGTCGTGCTTGGCTGGCTGCTGTTCCTCAGTATTGCTTACGTATTCACGCGGCTATACATCTATCTATATGAGCACATGGTCACATGGCGAGGGACACGGCAGAAGCTACGGAGACAACTCCAGAATGCTTCATCATACGAAGAATGGATCAAGTGCGCACAGCAACTAGATACACACCTCGGAAGTGACGACTGGAAGAAGAACCCGAGCTACAGCTACTACGACTCCAAGACAATCCGGAAAGTACACGAGCAGCTGGTGAAGCTGCGACAGAGGGCCGAATCTGATGAGACGGGCAAATCCACCGAGAAGCACGTCGATGGCCAGCCTCGAGCTGTCGAAGACCTCCGCGCACTCCTGGAAGCTTGCATCAAGAACAACTTCTGTGGTTTCGAGAACCCCAGATTATACAGCGAGACGTACTATGGCACAAAGGACGCTGTGCAGAGCTTCATCGAGGAGGCTGAAGCTTCTCTGGCTTTCCTCCTTAACAGCAGTCAGCTCGACGCTGAAAACAAGCGAGCGCTTTTTAAACACTTGGGCAGTAATTTTGGGCGCACGGCTCTTTGTTTGTCTGGAGGAGCGACATTTGCATACTATCACTTCGGCGTTGCCAAGGCTCTACTTGACGCTGGCGTTCTCCCGGAAATCATCACAGGTACCTCGGGGGGAGCTTTAGTGGCTGCATTGCTCTGCACAAGGACCGATGAGGAACTCAAGAAGGTGTTGGTGCCCGCATTGGCTGGCCGCATTACTGCCTGCCACGAGGATACCTGGACGTGGATGAAGCGGTGGTATGCTACTGGTGCTCGCTTTGATAGCGTGGACTGGGCCAAAAAGTGCGCTTGGATGACGCGAGGAAGTATGACATTTAAGGAAGCATATCAACGCTCTGGGCGGATCCTGAATGTATCCTGCGTACCATCAGATCCTCATTCGCCGACTATACTCGCGAATCACATAACAGGTTCGTTTTGATGGGCTACTTTATAAGCAATTGGCTCGAGATACTGATCATGGTCCAGCTCCGGATTGCGTCGTGTGGTCTGCAGTACTGGCGTCAGCCGCCGTGCCCGGTATACTGAACCCGGTCGTGCTCATGAAGAAGAACCGGGATGGAACACTATCGCCGTACTCCTTCGGGCACAAGTGGAAAGATGGAAGCCTGAGGACCGACATACCCTTAAAGGCGCTGAATCTGCACTTCAATGTTCGATTCTCCATCGTCAGCCAGGTCAACCCACACATCAACATTTTCTTTTTCTCCTCTCGTGGCTCAGTCGGTAGACCCGTCACCCACCGGAGAGGTCGAGGGTGGCGTGGAGGCTTCATAGGCTCCGCGACCGAACAATACTTGAAGCTCGACCTGAACAAATGGCTGAAGGTACTCCGCCACCTGGAATTACTGCCGCGACCCCTCGGCCAAGATTGGAGCGAAATTTGGCTTCAACGTTTCAGCGGCACAATCACAATTTGGCCCAAATCCATCCCTTCCGACTTCTTTTACATCCTCACCGACCCCACACCGCAGCGTCTGGCCCGCATGATCCACGTCGGTCAGCAATCAGCCTTCCCAAAGCTGAAATTCATCGCCAACCGCGCCAAGCTAGAGCATTTAATCCAGCAAGGAAGACGGCAATACCGCCCTCGTGGAATCCGGGAGGATATCCAGGCTGTCCTATCAGAGGACGACCTCCAAGGTCTCCTCAAGCGCACAAAAAGCAAAAGCCCGTCCGAGGAAGCCATCTACCCGCTATCTGGCTCCGAATCCTCGTCGTCCGCCGATTTCTCCCGCCCGGGTTCGCCCATCACGCTCCCCCTTGGCTTCACATTCACGCGTAAGAATAAAAAGGGCCTTGCGGATTTGCGCACCGACCCGAAAGCACTTACCGACACGCCGAATAGTCCTTCGCTATCTGCCCGGCTGACAGGCTGGTGGAACACCAAGTCTCCGCGCGACAGCCACCCGTCGACGCCAAAGGATCCGTCCCGCTCACTGTCACCATTCACGCATCATGATCGGCCGAACTCCATGTTCGAGCTGCGGCCGCCGAAGGAGGTCAGGGATTTGCAGGCGCGCACGCATGGACGCCCGCAGCATCGGAATAGCGACTTTCTTGAGGAGATTCGGAGGCGGAGTAGTGCGTTTGTGGAGGGCGAGGGATCGGATGATGAGGGCCGCGCGGGACGGTATAGGCGCGGCGATGTTGATGCTGGGGCGCAGGATGCGGAGGTCTATGGCGAGCCAGCGGAGTTTGGGGACAATGAGGGGGATGGGGAGGAGGTGCAGAGTGCTGTTGGGCTGGGACTTGAGGGGAAGGGGTTGTAGAGAGGAGCGTCTAAATTTTGATCGGTAGCAGGGAACAGCTCATCCCATAGGCTGAAGCTATACACAGGGTTTTACCGTTGCTACTGAGGCCGAACGGTACCATGTATATCTCCAGGCAGTTGAATGCTCCCGTTACTTTCTGTCACAGTTGATAGCCCGTACAGACTAGTTTACATAATACTTCTTTGTTGGCGATTATGCACATTCAAGAGTTGGTTCACTATGGATCTACATGAGATTTGGTACATCTCTGAACGCTTGACTATGCAGCTTTCCCCTTGCGAGTCTTCCTCGCTCTCTTCTTCTTCGGCTCCTCATACGCCTCGTCTTCCTCCTCCTCCGCAGCAAAGTCATCCTCATCAGCAACCGAAGTCGCTTTACTCCCGCCCTTCCTCTTCTTGCGCGTCGCCGTCACGCTTTCCTCTTCCGCCGCCGCACCAGCCAGACTCTTCGGCTGTACCTCCCCTTCCCCCTCATCATCAACCCCACCTCTCGCGCCCTCCCTCTCCGCCAACTTCGACAACGCCGCACCCAACCTCTTCCCCGCCGCTCCCTTCCCCTTCTTCTTCCCACTCGGCCCTTCTGCACCCCTCACCCTGGGCGCAAACGCGCCCGCACCCACCCCGCCTTCAAAGAAGCGCGTAATATTCGCCTGCGTACCCTCCTTCTCTCTGCGATTCATATCCCTGATGACGGGGACGAGCACCTCGTCCGTGCGCTCCCAGCTCCATCCAATCTGGGAGCTCAAGAAAGTGCGGAGTGCGGCGAGATCGGGCACGCCCCACTGGAAGGGCTCGGGGTCCGAGTCGACTTCGGGATGCAGGTATGCGTCTGCGACACGTTGGTCCGGGAAGCCTGGCGGGAGGAAGAGTTTCGTGGCTTGGCCGCGGCGAAAGCGGCGGCGGAACGCGCTGTTTTTGTCTGCGTCTTTGGGGATGGTGTTGTTTTGCACGCCGGTCCACCAGTCTTTGAAGTCCTGGAGGTCTGGGAATTCGGCGAGGAGTTCGAGAGCGGTGACGGGGCCGATGCCTGGGATGCCGGTTGTGTAGTCGGATCCGAGGAGTTGTGCGATTGCAATCATTTTGTCGCGCGTGAGGCTGAATTCGGAGACGAGGTCGTTGGCGAGATAGCACTCGACGAATTTGGCGGCGTTGAACATGTTTTTGTAGACGCGTGTGCCGCCGAAGAGGAATGTGTCTGAGTCGTCGGTTACGATGCCGTCTACGAGACCCAGATGCACGAGCTCTGCGCATTGAGCTTCTGCTTCCATGGGCGCTGTAATGTATGGTAATCCGAATAAGGTCAACAGGTGTTGACATTCAGTGATCATGCTCTGCGTCACTTCATCAGCATCACGACGGTCTTTCTTCTGTTGCGCGCGGAGAGACTTGAGTTCCTCGTCAAAGTTGACTTTGGTGGCGGCATTGTTGGTGACCTCCTTGGCGAAGCGCTCATGCTCCTCTGCTTCTGCAGCTAAAGAAGCAAACAACTCAGCATCTTCGGGGTCAGAGTACTGATCAGAGTCATTTCCAGGGATATCAAGATGTGCTGTATCTTCTGCTATACCGCCATATGGGACGATGGGGATGTCAAGATCATCTGGACCCTGCAGCTCAGCAGGTGATGGAGACCGATGGCGTCGCTTCGGTCGAGAGGGTGGTTCTGTACGTATTGGTACGTCTTCGAAGTCTGGCGAGGGTGACTTGGCGGGTTGGGCAACCGTTTCAGCGGTATGCTGGCCATTAGTTTGTGGAGAGGATACTTTGGGAAGGTCGTTCGTAGTCTTAGGGTTGTCCATAGGAACATCCTCGAACTCTTCTGATGGTGATCTAGTAGGCTCGCGGGGTGCTGGCTGCTCAGCCACTTCGGCTGCTTTTACTGTAGCTTGTGCACGTTTCTCATCTTCGGGCTCACTTTCTGACCAGTCCACGGGCTCATCGTCCGAATCGTCGGCGAAAGGAGTCTTCTTCACCAACGCAGGATTCTGTCGAGGCGGTGATCCTTGTTGCGGAGACAAGGGCTTTGGTGGCTCAGCTCGCAATTTATCTGCCAAGTCACCTATTCTCACCTCAGCATCGACAGCTGGCGCATCTTCCATCAAAGCATCTTCTTCGTCCGAATCGATGGCTACAACCTCTTGACTCTGAGCTTGACTGGGAGGTGCATCAAGGTCGATTACTTCTCGAGTATCCTGCTTGCGTATCGTCGGCAACTCTTGGAATTGGAAACGTGCTTTTTCCTCCTGTTTCGCCTCTTCCCATTGCTGCTTTTCTTCTTCTCGCTGGGCCTGCAAATCATTCCCAAGGTCACGTTCACCAGCAAACCATGGAGGCAAAGGAGCTGCATCCTTCTTGTCCTGGTCTAGTTTCTTCTCGAAACCGCCTGCATTCTCAGCCTCGATCTTTTCCATCTTCTTCTTGCCCAGGATGGAATTGCCTAGATTGAGTCTTTCAAATGGTAAGGGCCCGTCAAATCCAGGAGCATTAATGGCTTTCGGTGTAGGTTTTACCGCAGGCGCAACTACCTTTGACGAAGATGGTGAAGACTGACGAGGTTTGACTGGTCTTTTCGACTTCCGCGACTCAGCCAAAGCTGCCTGCAAGTTCATGTCATCCTCTTCACTATCACTGCCCTCGAAAGGTCCTTTCGGAGCCAATTTGCTGCTACGCTGGTTGGCCAAACGCGCAATAGCTAAACCTCGTCCTTTCACACCTGCAAAGGGGTTGGCGTCTGCAGCACGCTTCTGCTGGAAGACCTCGCGAACTGGGTCGTCCTCAGATTGTTCTGCCACTTGCTCCTCGTCACCATTTGGTTGCATGGATAGCGCTATCGCCTGTTGTAACATATCATCTTCGACGTCGTCTCCGGCGTCTTCGAATAGTTCGGCATCATCGGCCGCAGGCACATTTTCCCACTCTTCATCCTCATTCTCTTCAGCTAAGAACAGCGAGTCTGGGTCCTGGTTCACAGGTGAAACTTTTCGTGGTCTCGGCTGCGTGGGTCGTGGCTTTCGCGAGTTGTAGAACTTTCGACGTCGCTTTGCCAATTCATTCGAGATGAACTCTCGTCCTTCCTTGTCCTCCGCACTCAGACCAGGCTTGGGCTTAGGCAGTCGGTTTAGTCCTTCAATGGGCACATCCTCAAAATCTTCGTCTTCCTCCCAATCTTCGTCTTCCTCAGCAGGCGGCGGAAGATCGACGTCTATGGGCTTATGTGCCTTGCCCTCATCTCTATTCGTCACGACACCGAGCGCCCAGCCACCCTCAACTCCATCATTTTTCACGAGCACGTATTCACGACCTCTTTCGCCCGCGACACGATTCGCTCCTCCAACGCCAACCATATCGTCGTTCATGCCATTAAGGTTCATTAGACGTTGCGTAAGCTCATTGCGCTCACGTACCCGCTCGATCTGAAACTTGGAGAATGCCATTCTATCTGGGAACATTGTATCCAACTGCTCCTTGGAGTATCCCATCCTCAGCCGACTCCGCAGTCGGGCTGCGTTCAAAATGTTGTATCGGTCGGCGGCTGGCAAGCTCTGGAAGAAGTGACCTTCGAAGTCAATCTTGGAGAAATCGTAGACATTGATATCCTCGCCCCTGTCGAACTGTCTCGCATATTCCTCCAGCTCTTCGAGCGACATGACGCGAGGATCGTCTGCACCACCCATTTCGTTCATAGACTTTCCCAGATCAGGCAAATGGTATTGGTCCTTCTTCTTGAACTTTCTGTTCTCGGTGCGCTCCTGCTGTGACTGCAGAATTTCTTCCGCGTACACCAAGTTCTCGGGTATGGCCTCCTGCTCCTCCTGGTTGCGCGGGTGCCGTACAGCCTCCTTCCGCTTCTTCTCTTCCTCCTCAGCCGCCCTCTGCATTTGTATTGCAAGCAGCTTTCCGGCTGTTCTAACGGCATCTTCGCGTCTGCCCTCGCGGCGCGACTTGCGGTTGTTGATGGTCTGTCGCTTGAGCACCGGCGCGCCACCATCGAAGACGAAGACAGGCTTGATGCCGATAAAGAGGAGCTTGCATACGCGGCGGAAGAATCCGACTATATGGCTGTTTCGCAGTGCATTACCCTCCTTGTCGCGCACGGCCTTGAGGAATTGGTAGATCCAGATGGAGGCATCGACTGCGAGGCGCTTCTTGTTCAGCGTTTCGATCTTGATCGGTCGCGCGCATGGCTGCAGGACAGTCCAGAGGCCAGTGACACCCATGGCGGCCCTCTAAGTACTGAGTCCATTGATCGTCAATGAAGAAGAGCTTCGCGTTGGTCCTGCGTGCGAAAAGTGATTGAAGCTGGCTGCCTTGTGACATCGCGTAAGAAGCGTGTCGATGACGTCTTGCCAAGCCTCTGCGCGTCAGGTCATTCCTGCCTTCACCAGACACGTCTAACAGACACAGGCTGTGCGTGTATTCTACTACACTGCATTTTATTAACCGTCCATCTCGTAGCACTTTGAGCAAAGCTATACCGAATTGCGTCTGACGTGCGATGGTCTTATGCAAGGTCACCATGCTGCACGCGGGAGAACAAAGCAACATCCACGTTTCCAAGGTTGGCCGTCCTCTGTCAGCATGCACATATGTTTCCTTGATCAGAGACCAAAGACCAGAGACCAGAGACCAGATACCAGAGGGGCTGCTATCGCCATGAACTCGACGCAGTGTTATAGTGTAATGATTAACAAAATTTTGGAATTTACGGACATAACCCTCCCCTAGGCTCACTCTCCAGAAATCCCTTCATCCTGCGCATTCCTATATTCTCAACCAATGCACACTCTTTCGCAAGTTGTTTCATATGTCTCCCAATCTCTTGTTTCGACGTTTCTCTACCGAACTTTGTTGGGTCCACGTTGACCTCGATGTTCCATGTGTTGTGTGCGCCAACATCCCTTGCACAGGGTTTCGAACACAGCATCGACAAAACGCCAATAGCCCGCAAGCTCCACGCTTGATGACACCCGTTTGTCTCCTCTCGGCGCGCACAAAGGATGTGAGGCTTTACGGACGGGTAACAAACAAACATGAGGACTGCCCGTTTGCGGAGAGGTGCAACAGCTGTTCGCTTCTATGCCTTTGTCAACAGCACAACAAAGACTGCTCCTCAGAAGTATACCTCCTCGAGTAGTTCCATGATTTGGAAAGAGCTGGTTCAATTTTAGCTTCCCATTCCTTCAAGCAGAACGTTTTTGTGCCTCACCTAGTTGCACAAGCCATTAATTACTCCTCGTCAACTGCACACGAGACCCTTTTTCACGGGAAATTCGACCGATAGCTATCATGTCTTACAGACGCAGTCTCGAAGCAACTGAGACGTCCTCAAGCGTGATAGAAATCTCCGATGCTGAAGAGATTTACTTGGTCAGCGACGATGATACTTCACGGAAGGACGCCAACGATCGCCGACTTGCGCAGGCCGTCAACTACCTACAACACGAAGGCGGAAATGACTCTCACGCCACCTATATGGATCGTGTCAATCGTATTGACGAGACTCTGCTGAACCAGCTTCCTCACCAAGGACCTATGTTTAGTCACGAGCTTTACCAACAAGTTCGAGCTCTGGTCATCGGCGTCAGACGCGACTTTGGCAATGCTGCACAGCAAGATTCTTTTGACATGGATAGCCACGATGAGCTTGCTTATATTGATAGCCCAATGGCTTTCGAAGAGGAAGCACTGTATCGCGGCGACTCCCAAAGCCCGACTCCAACTCCTGCCCCTTCCAAGCGACGAACCTCCAACGTTTTGGCTCCAAGGAGCCTAGTGTCCGAGGAAAAGGTGCAGAGAGTGCGTTCTTTCAAGTACGGTGGCGACAGTGAGATTGAAAGCTGGCACAGCGACTATCCAGCGTCTCTCCCTTTCCCTGAAACACTCATGATGGCGCACTGGGAGAGTATGAAAATTGATTTCGATATCAATCGCCCCAAGGATGCTGCTACGGCAGAAACCATCGTACCTTTGGAAATCCCACAGATGCAGCAGTACTTCGAGTTGCCGCTCTATGAGTCAGGTTCACGATTCAAGCTTCCGACAGTGAGCGATGAGGACCAGGTGGCGGTCAACAAGCTCGGAACGAAGCTTCATCTCCAGAAGGTTGTGGACAAGTTCTTTGAGAGGGACCAGACAAATGGAGGAAAGAAGGATTATGTTCCGCGCCTCTTCCTTGAGAATTTCAACGTGGACCACCAGTGTGAGTACAAGTTTTGAATGTGTTAAGTTCAGGAGATCTAATAGTCACCAGGGGCACCCGACCGACTACGCAGCAAGCTGAACGCTTCGCCAACCAAATCTCGAACCTTTCAGTCCGCTACCACTGGTAAGATTACACCAAGTCATTCCTCGCCGATTGTGAACGACACATGCATCCGTCATACTGATTATGATCCAGTACCACCTCGCAAGCTCACCAAGACTACCGCTATCTCGCAACGCGCCTCATCTCCAGCATTTAGACGTATCAGCAAGGAAGTGCGACGTGAAAGTGTCGTCCACCCAGCATCCTGTACAGAGGCAAAGGCAACTCCAACTCCTCCAACCACCTTCAGCACACGGCTCAAGTCCAAGCCAACCCCACTAGCCACCTTCAGTACGCGACCCAAGTCTACTCCAGCTGCACCAGCCACCTTTAGCACACGACCCAAGACAACCACCGCGGCCACCACCAGAACCCTATCCCACGTCGCCATCCCCATCAAAAAACCCCGCGGCCGTCCTCCCAAGAACCCCAAGCCCGTAACAGCAACAGCTTCCAGCGTGTCTGCCATCCGTCCTGACCCGACCCCACTCAAGCGCAAACCCAGTCTCGGCTCTCAGCCATACGAGACGCCCAAATCATCCATCAAAAAGGTCCTTCGCGACAACAAGAGACAAAAGAGCGTGGTTTTCGTAGAAGCGCCGATCGCGCTTGAGGAAGATAGCGAGGATCCGAATTATCCTGCGAGTCCGGTGTGCAAGCCTGCGAGGGCGAGTACGCGTGCGAGTGTGAGTAAGGCTGCGGCGGCGGGGAAGATGAGTAAGGCAAGGAAAGATAGTGGGAGTGGTGGGAGGATGACGACGAGGAGTGGGAATGCTTATTATTAGATATTACTTGAGTGTTTTTCTTTTCCCTCTCCTTTAGTATCCTAGAGCTTTCGGTAGATAGTTCAATGTTCGATTCCCATCCATCCTGCTCTACCCACAAAGTTGTATACACCTTGGTCGCTTTCAACCTCTCGTGCGAGACGACCTGTGACGACGCTTCTTTCGTAGTCGCGCCCACGGACGAGGAAAGGCTCAAAGCCACTACCATCTGGGCCGCGTACCCACTTGACTTTCCCGCCGCTTGTGTCATCTACAACAAAACCGCTGTTTTGTCGATCGAGCTGCATGAACCAGTGTCGCTGGTGTATCGATCCGATGTCGTTCGTCGAGCCAGGATACGCGTTGGTTGCTCTAGTTTGGACATCTTCATCGGTATCTGTGTCGATTTCTTCTCCTGGAACAGACATAGGGTTTTGAAGGTCGACTTGATCTTCAGCTTCGGAGTCGGACTGAAGCTTAATTTTGTGTACTAAAGGCTTGTGCCGGCTCTTTCGACGGACAGTGGGATGTTGGATGATTTCATTGGTAGGTAGTCGCATTACGATCGTGTAATTCTTGGGCAGACGCGTACCGTGAAGGCGAAGACGTATATATCGAGTTTGAAACGCGGTGATAAGCTTGTCATTCTCGTGTTCGATGCCTGTTGTTCTCGTTGGCTTCCTTGACGTCTCTTCATCTGAATCCAATTCGGTTTCTTCATCGTCTGTAGTCTGCGGGCTAGGCATCCCCTTCCTATTTCTACCACCTGTCTTCCTCGGCAGCACTTCGTACGTTCCGGTGTCCCAAATGAGCAGACTTCCCGTCTTGCTACTCGCACTCTCAATGAGATGATTCCAGTAGTTGTGTACCCGCGTCTCTATGGCCATACGTCCAATACTCTTCGAGTTTGGATTACCTGGCAAGCCTTTGGGAACTGCGAATGACATGCTACTCGTCTTGGAAAACTGCAGGCGCAGATCATAATGTACTCCGGCGCGCGGATGGTTGTGCTGATGAATGACGAAGTGTCTTCCGTGCTCATTTTCATTACCGTGATACAGTGTAGCGAAATCTGATATCGACAAGCGTGCTACATCTGCAGGAGTTTGACGATGCGATTTCGCGAGGTGGTTCTTGAAGTAGGACAGGTGATCATCAATCTTTGCTTTGCCAGCTTCAATCGCTACTATAGTGGGCTCAATATTCGGATTTGGTAAATATGCAGCAGCTGGCGAAGAAATCCCGGCTGTCCTCCGTCTCTTTAGGGGCTGTGGAGGCGAAATGTCTCGCGCCAGGCTGGCGGGTACGTTCATTGTAGTTGAGCAACGACTTGTGGTCGTGTCTGCGATCTCTCGCAATTGTCACAATTCACTCATAGTCCCACTTCTGACAACTATTATGGACCCGTGTTTGTTCAAGTATACAGTTAGAGTTTGCAGTGAAGTGAACGAAGCAAACCAAACTAGGGAAGGCGTTGTATTTAAAACAGGTTAGCGTATGATGACATCATCGTCTCAGCTCGACCTCATCTTTCCAGCAGCTTTCGCCTTCCGTTCTGTAGTTCAAAAGCAATGCCATGAGAGACTCGTCAAACATGTCTCATAAAACACGGACTTCCGTTACGAATTCTGTCGCAGCTTGTTCGCTCCAATCAATCTGACCTTTCCAGATCATCCTCTGCCCCCATCCTTGACTCTTGAGCTGGGGGCCCATTTGTTACTTCAGGCTGGCCCAGCAGACCCTCAGTCAAATTATGCACGGTATCGTGCAGGGTCAGTTTTACACACCATGTGAATTCGATAGATCAACATGCGACACTTATCAGCACGACCGACATGTTCTACAAACTGGCACAAAGCTCGATCCACGCCTCAAAGCGGCTGACACCTCTACGACTCAGCACGGGGCGCTGTTCATCTAGACTGCCTCATCAACACTGTTTTCCAGTATGACGGCACTTCACCCTTCATCCGTATACTGAAAGTGCCAATTCTTTGAGCGATCACTACGACAAAAGACCGGCTCAGAGATCCCGATGCTCTTCACATACGACACCGCTGCTCTTGAAACAAACGGTGACACCCAATGACTGACATCATTTGTTCGTGCGCTGAAATGATGATCGCGTGGCGGTGAGCTGAGAGCAAAACTACGGGAATCACTCCCTCTCGCCAAGAAATTGGATGCGCGTGGGACGTTTTCTTGTTCATCCCTTTGTTCGGCTTATTGGAGGCGCAGTTGGCGCCGCATGAGGCTCATCACTTTGACCGTGCCGTGTCAGCAATCCGATTGTTTGTGTACGTGCTGAGGTGGGCGTAATCCTACACTAGCCACTTGTAGCAGCAAGCTCAATGACAACGCCGTCAGGCCTCTGTCCGTTACCAAATTTATAGACAAGATCTCCACTGCCACGCTGGGTTGCTAAAATACTACGCCGATTTGAGCGAAGATTACCCAATCAGAGGGTTGTGTTTATCACGACGAGGCCAACGACTGTGCCCCGGTCAGGGATGGTAACACGCGCGCGGTATTGACCACCAAGTAGCACACTGTGCGCTCTTTGACAAAGATCCTTGCAAGATAATCCCCGTTCTGCACTTTCATCTGTTCTCACTCCTCCATCCATACGTCACAGCACCTGTCAAGTGTAACTGTTCACTTTCCTGCAACAATCACGAGGTGCAACACGACGATGTCCAATGCTACGAAGCTCACTTGTCCAAGTGGAGGGCAATGGTGAGTGATATGATCAGTTTTCTATATACTTCATACTAACAAGCAGTGAAGGTACGCCTGTGGAGCTGAAAGTTCGAAGTTTGTCGGTTGTTGCACCTCCGATCCCTGCTCAAACGGTTGCGTGCAAGGAAATGTCCGATCAGGAGGGTTTCCCATGGCCGACTTTGGTAAATTTCCAGATGCAAGCTGTGAGACTGGAAGCAATTTCTTCAGCTGTAGTGCTGCACCAACATTCTGGGGGTGGGCAACATCCCAGATAACACTTTCTGATCGTGGCTAACCTATGTAGATGCTGTAAATCAAACCCTTGTACGGACAAACCATCTTGTAAAGAAGGCGATCTAGTTCCTGCATTCTTGGGCAGACCTGAGCAGTTTGCTGCATACGCGCCATCAGCATCGCCGAGCCCCACAAGTACTCCAAGCAGTGCCCCAAGCAACGCTTCAAGTAGTAGCTCTAACAACGGGGCCGTTATCGGAGGCGCAGTTGGAGGAAGTCTTGGTGCCGCCATTCTGGTCGGATTTATCGTCTTCTTCCTCTGCCGCAGGAGGAAGCGCAAGCAACAAGTCGCTCACGATGAAGCTGGCGCGGCTTCCACACCGAAAATGAGACAGAGATTCGAAGATAATACATCAGCGCAATTTGTGGGACAATCGCGTAGGTATACTCCAAATCCTTTTTAGGTACTTTACTGACGATTTTTCAGCGCCGCCTACATATTCCTCGCCAAACTCGCAATTCTATCAACCAATTCCGCCCCCTAAGGATTCTTCAAATCGTCGGTCGTACCAGGCGTACAGGCAGGAAGCCGATGGTCTTCAAGAACTGCCAGCAAATACGACACCGCCTGCCGGACACAGAACCTCGGAGCTCCCAGGCGAAGCAGTCTCTTATAGACCCCATGGCATCTCGGAATTACCATCTAGCACAACTCGGGTGATAGCGGAGCTCGAAACACCACAGACTTCGCCGGACATACAGCAAGGAGAATTCAACAACGACCTAGCAACACCAACGAATCAGACAAGCGATATGGCCCCAGGATCAGCTTTGTAGGATATACAATGGTGTTCGATTACGCAAGGCTGTAGTTTACTGCTGCTTTGTGCACCTACAGAGTCTGACCTAGAGATTCACAGTTCGGTTCTACATAGATTTACAATAATCTTGACAAATCATTATCGTGTAAAAGCTGTCTCGGCAGTTGATGCTACATATGTGCAGTTCCCAAAATATCACTTTTGTGCCGCAGCAAAAGTGCTCCGCCACCTCGCTGATCATCTAACCATATCTGGAATTTATTTCAACATCATCTTTTGAATCTCGGTCCTTACATGGACAATGACAGTAACTACCTGAGATGCGTCCGTCTGCCGTTCCTCAAATCAATTAACGCTCTTTTACGTGACTAGCAGGTCTGCATGGTGCATGCGAAGTGCTTACTTGTAAGCAGTCATCAAGCTCTCTGGCTTCCACGTGTCAATTGTCACAGGCGTAGATTGTATACCGGATTCGCTTTCAGTAAGCTTCGAACTAGATTCGAGAGCGACACTTGAGAAATCCTTTGATTCACCATATGTTCAGACAGTTTCTATCTCCTTCGTCTTTTAGATCGGGCAGTGCATGTTAGTCACCAGATTGCAAACAAGAATAACCTCTCATGAATCGGCTCATGGTCTGCGGATTCGCGATTGCTGGAAGAGCTGTGCGCTGTCATGAAATGTGTTGCGCTCACACGAAACCTTGAAAGCTCAAATTTGAGTAACTACTCAACAGTGAAGATCAAATCGGTCGAGCTTTTCCGACTACTTCTTGTAAATCTCTTTCCGGTATTAGTTTCTGAATGCGGGTAAGTGGTATCTCAAGATATTGTTGTTGGAGTGGTGTCGAAGTAATCGTGGTTGTTTGCCGATTGTATGCAACTAAGTGGGGTCGAACAGCTCGATGTGGCAAGCACACCTCAGCACAGCCTGCTGGAAACCCTGCTCAGCCTGATGAAAGCAGCGTTCCTACTCTGAACTATGTGCAACATCTCATTACAAAAACTATCGAAAGTCTGACATTCGCACAAGGACTGGTTCAATCACCCCCGTGAAGCTGCTCCAACTGCCAACGGTAAAGATGCCCGCCTGTCGGCATCCTGACATTCAGAGGTTTGATGGATTCCGCTGCTGTCTTTCCTGTGGTGAAACGACTTTCGAAGATGCTGAGAAGCCAGAACAAGGATCAGACCTTACAGCATCGACAGGCTACCAGTACAGGCGACTCAACTACGAACTCGGACAAGAGATACGACTGGTCGTCCTGTATCCCGGTAAAGAGCTGGAAGACATAACTTGCGACATAATCCACGTCAATCTTCTTGACAAGCCTATCTATGAAGCGGTGTCCTATACTTGGGCTACTGAAGATGGCGACCTCTCAATGTCAGCAAAGATCAAGTGTCGTAATGGAAACATTGCCGTCACCCGAAATTGTGAATCAGTACTGCGATCTTTAAGACTCAAAGGCCGAAATAGGAAGATTTGGGTGGACGCTATCTGCATTGATCAAAAGAGCATCCTTGAAAGGAATCATCAAGTGAAGCTCATGGCTACTATTTACACAAACGCCTCGCAAGTTGTCGCTTCTCTCACTACTGATACCAGTTTATCTTTCGAAAGAGTGCTTAGACTCTTGGATGGAAGCTCGCGCCAATCAAATCAGAGACAAGAGACACCTTCACGTCGCGAATTTGCGAGGTTCATTTGTATGCCCTATTTTGATCGAGTGTGGGTAAGCATAGTCAGTCGGACTCGGTATGCAAATCCAAGCTAACACTTTTAACTCTTGCTTAGATTTTGCAAGAGATTGCTCTGGCAAAGATAGTTACGCTTGTTGTCGGAAAGTGGACTTTACGCTGGACTGCCGACACGGTATCGACATTGTTGAACTTGTGCAAAACACTGGACTTTCGGGCACCTAGCGTACTACGTTGGCTGCCCTCAAGCCAGCCAGAAGCTGGCGACTTGCTTGATGTATTGCACCGAAGCAGAAACTGCTCGGCTACTGATAGAAGAGATAAAGTCTACGCCTTACTTGGTCTCGTTAACGCTGAGGTCGCCAGCGCCGTTCCTGTGGACTATTCGCAGACACCTTGTGAGATATTCACCGACATAGCGATCTATCTATTGAGAGATAGAGGACGTGTAGATGTTTTATTATATGCGTTGTGTGAACAAAACGACACGCCTTTCGTTCCTAGTTGGGTGCCGCGATGGGACGTGAAGAGTAGTTTTGAGGTGGGCCACTTGTATACAATTTGGCTAGAGTACTGCTGACCTTGTTCTCCTATATTTTTAGCCTCTACCTTCACAATTTTCAACGTTGCAAGTGGAACGACTGGCAGCATCATGGTACTCTGAATCATCGACTGGGCAGAAACCCAACACAGTCGACTCGCGGGAAGAAGAACAACCGAAAAAGCAGCATGCTGCCGAATACCACTACAATGTTCAACTCGAAGTTGTTGATCGTACTTCACCTGCTACGACAAGTTCGGAAAGTTCCTCATTATGGTTAGACAGCTTGAACACGGCTCTTCAAATCGACGCTACAGGAGAACCGCACTTCGCTATCAAGCCGCAACGATTACCAGTGAGGATACATGAACGAACGGAACCTCCTGCAAAGACACCGCCTTGTTTGAGAATCCGGGCGCATTACTTGGACATCATCAAGAAGTTTCTACCGATGGCCACGAACCGCCGTGAGCTCATACTACCTCGTGGTGTTCTAGATGCCTTCTGCAATAAAGACACATGTTCTAAATGCCTACTCGATTCATTTGCCTTGTCCAATTTAGAGGCGGCATCACATCTATACAAGACTTTCGACCACACAGTACACGATAGCTGTGCTGAACCAAAGCATGTGGAGCGGGAACTGCGCGATGAATTCAAAGATGTAGTGAACCATCTGGGGATCGGAAGCACGACTTTTGAAACACGCTTATCAATGGGTTTCGCAAAGGAATGGAGGATCGACCAATCGATATGGCCAGGTGATACTATCTGGGCTCTAGCTGGACTCGCCGTGCCAGTGATTTTGAGAAAGGAGCAAGATCACTATATTCTCGTTGGGCAATGCTACCTATTCCGGGCAGCGTTGCCATTTCTATGCTCGGATTGTGGTGCAGAGGTTAGGCCATGGCCTATGGCTACCAAGATCATTGACATTTGGTAAGACTGACCAAGCATGCAGATTATGTAGTGTTTATCATAGATCAACACACGTAGCTGTTGAAAAGCTGTACTTAAAGAGACAACTTCATCACTTGCTAAAGATTCAATGTTGGTCTACTGTTTGGTATACATTTGGGCTATTTTGGCATTGCCTTCACGGACACCCACGACAACACAAGGTGCAAAGAACATTCGTCGCATGCCCAAGATAAATCGTGTTTCAGCGTTGATCACGTGCGTTGAGCCTTATCATATCAAATTCCTCGTGCTGTAAAGCATTCTATCTGGAAGGCTCAGTGACATACGAGTACAAGCACGCTTTGTGAAAGGCATGTTCGCCTACCGCCTTCTCCTCCTCCGAAACCTCAGCACGACATGGATCTCATCTTCATATCAAATTGCACCAGTGCTTGGTCACGTTTTACTCCGCAGATCGCAGTTCAAACTGTCTGGCTGTTGCGCAACGTTGCGAGTCGCGTGTGAGAGGAGTTGAGCATATCTAGCGAAGGCCTGATCCAGAATTGGCAGCGCGAAGATGAATAAGACGACTTACTGTTTCGCTAACGGAGATGTTACCGAAATGTTATGGAAAGCAAAGTGAGTTGCATGCTCCCACAAGGCGATGAATTGTTGACACGGAGCATTGGGGTAAGTTCGATAAGCTCGATTATTGGACCGCATGCGGCTCTGAACAATATCAACTAAACCTTCAGATTTCCGACTTCACGTAGCAACAGTTACGTCTTACTGGGCTACATACCGTCTTCAACGGGCCGTAGAGACGGAGCCGTTATATGTTACGACTTGGGGAGAGAGTTTGTGACGCCGAAACTTTTCTCACGATTGCACTCAGAGAGCTCCAGGTTGACATGAAAGCTGGTCTGCCAAATTAGGCTGTTGGCAAATATCAGAAAGTAAGTAAGCATGTTGGATGACCGGCAAAACATAAGCACACCATCCACACGGCGACATGTGTGGTCCACGTGCGCATCTGCGAGCGGGGATGATGATTCCGACCTCTTCCAAACATCTCAATCTGGCAACCCGATAACCTTGATGGACGAAAGAGACCCAGGGGCAGGGCTTCGCGTCGAGCTTGCACATCGTTTCCCGTTTTGCTGAGCTCGGCGCACAATCACGATCGTACATACTTCACCAGCAGCAACTTCACCCGCATCAGCA